GCGGCAAATTAGCTTTAAGATAAAGTTCTTGGATAACCTGAACCTAAGCCTAAGCCTAAGCCTAAGCCTCAAGCTTCCAGCTTTAAGCCTGCTTCCAAGCCCAAGCCTATCGCTAAGCCTCAAGCCAAGCTCAAGCCTAAGCCTACTGCCTAAGCCTAAGCCTAAGCCTAAGCCTGAGAAAAAGAAAGCATAAGGCCAAGCGGAATTGAATTGTGCTAAGCGAAATATACTATAGTCGATGTGCCACAAGTTGAAATTTCATGAAACGACACTCCGCCGTTTCGATTTGTGCGGTAGCGCGCATCTTGCGAATTTGCCAACCTCGGCCACGCTAATTTTTTTTTGGTTTTAATTCTAATTTTGATCGTTTTTTTATTGTTTTATTCCGTTAAAATGTATTATTATCGTTGAAAAGGATTTTTATTGTACAAATGTAAACGAAAGAACACAGTAAATTTCATGATCTTTCTCGAAAAAAAGCGATTTAAAAAAATTTGAAAAAAACTTCATGTATTCGTCAATCGCTTCAATATTGTTTTTTTCTCGTTTTTTTATTTTTTTACATTATTTGAAATGAAAAAAAGAAATGTCGATAAAAGGCTCAATGAAGGTTAAATAACGGAATATATTGAACAAAAACCAAAGACCATCTCATGAAAAAAACTTTCAAATGTTATAAACGCATTTTTCTCTTAAAAATTCGAAAATTACGCTATTTTTATTTTTTTATCAATGGAACAGTCTATCCACTAGAAAAAAATAATTATGAGTTTGGCACGAAGAAAAACTATTAAAAACATAATTAAAAATAATGGAAATTTCAAATAAAAAGAAAAAAATGGAAAGCGCGACCGAAATTCGCAAAGGCAAGGCGCTTTCACGGCCACGGCCACCCAACGGAGTGTCGTTCCATGAAATTTCAAGTCGTGGCACATCGACTATACACCCATAATTATAAATGAACCTGCGATTTTTCGAAAATTTAAATTTTTTGAGAGTTTCTTTCAGCATAGTAACGGGTGCGAGGTTTTTTGAGTTTTTTTTTGAAATCGCTATAAAAATCTGCACAAAACAACTTTTTTTGAGTCTCAGAAAACAAAATTGCAAAAAAAAATCTATCAAAAAAAGGGTTTTTAAAATCATGGAATCCTTTTTATTGTAATTTATGAAGTTCAATTACGGCTTTGAACTGATTTCTTATTCGCCTTGACAAAATTATTGAGTTTTTTCAAACGAGAGTGTAGCAAACTGGTTTGATAAATTTCCTACAAAACTTGTTGGCGGGAATTTAAATTCGTTTGAAGTCATTTTTCTTCAAGGTGTATCGAAATTTGTGCAGTTTTGGACATACTATCAGATTATTTGGGCCAATATGAACGAAAACGTTTTTCGGAGGCATTTGGGAAAGACCAAATGTGAGACCATTGAAGGATACCATTAATGCTTGATTGGAGAGATCCGGGAGAGGAGTTAAAGATTTTTATATCGTCCGCAAAGATTGAGATTGGGTTAGAGGCATCAATGTAATTTCCGATGTCGTTGATGAAAATCTTGGAAGAGGAAAGGACCACTGACCGTGCCTTGGAGGACACCGGAAGGATTGGGAAAACAGTTGTCGGCAAATGACTACTCGGGCAAAGTCGGAGTCGTGGCCGCTAAAAGGGAGAGGCTCAAAAAAGGCAGCAGAAAGCCAGGAAAAAGGCAGAAAGAGAGCCCTTTATCGAGCCTTCCATTTCTCTGGGATTTTAAAGGTTCGAGAAATGGTGGAGAAAGGGAGAGGCAGCAAAAATGGCGCATAAGGGCTGAGAAAATGGAGCAAAAAGGCAGCAAAAAGAGAGCCTCCGTCACCCTAAAAAGAACATTTCTATGGACCTTTATGGACCCTCGGAGGGTCCTTCCGACTTTGCCTATGTAGTTAACTTTTACAATCGACTTCTGCGAGATAGAAAATTAGTGAACCAACGGCTCTATTATCAGAACCAGAGTTAAGCATTTCACGGCGTTCCCAAACGGGGTGGGGAGACGTCAAATAAAATTTGGCGCGAAAATTGAAATCTCAAGTACGGAGCCCAAGGCGATCGAACAAACAAGTTATTAACGTTGAATTCCAATCAAATAATGTTTACATTTTACATGGAAGGTCATTTTTGCGTAGGGTTTGGAATTTTCTATAAATTTGCTCAAACAATCTCTGATGGACTGGGAATGCGACGCTGTTTGCAAGAAATGTGTACGCGCAACCAGCCATTGCATGACAGCTAGGAGCGTGGTGCAGTCCATACAAAATAGGAAGGAATACCTGGCAAATAAGCTTCATTGGAAAATTTTCTTCAATTTTTCTTTTTTATACAAGAGATGTTCACCAAAGTTTCGTTGTCCAAACCTTTTTTGAAAACATAAGTTTGAAGAAAAAAATATTTTTGATGATGTGGATAGAGACCGCAAAGCCACGCCCCTTTTTGCGATGGCGAAATGCGATGGTTTTTTAGATTTCGTGTTTGATGTTTTCGTAAAAGCGCAATACTGAATCAAACTCAGAGAAATTTGGTGGAAACGTAGAGAAAACCTTCCTCTTTAATCTGATATACTTTTAACCCGATTTTCGTAGCGTTTTAGCGGAGTGTCGTACAAAAAACCAAAACGACTTTTTTCTTCGGGTTTTTAACCTAGTTCCATGTCGTTGGCGCCTTTTTTTATTTCTTAAATATTAGCGTATCTCAATTTTCAATCAATTGAAAAAAATAAATTTCCACGGTGCCTAAAAGTTTAAATATTGTTAATTTGAAGCGTTTAAAATAACAAAAAACACCGAAAACGGAAGCATTTTGAACTGAATCTCTATGAATAAATTATTTTTAGGTGTTCCGAACACACGTGACTAATAATTGTTCAACTTTCATAACTTTTTTTTAAACAAGATAGTCGGTAAATGCTGTACTTTGAGGTGAAGTGCTGTATAGCGCGAACGCCTCCCATCTCGGAGGAATGGACGTGCACGTCCTGAATGTGCGAGAAAAAGCACCGAAAGTTTAAAGGCCGCATCCCAGATAGGGTCTGCCCGGAGCATAATTCCTGCCGAGTGGAGCAGCGCAAGTGCGCTTGCTTACACACTAAGAATAACTGACGATATAAACGCGAGCTCGGTGGCGGTACATTGACTAACTCGCAAAAATGTCGCTTTTTTCTAGGCGCGATCCCGCATTTCTCTCGGCGCGACCTCGCTTTTTTCTCGGCGCCATCTCGCATTTATCTTGCATTTCGGAAATTTTCAAATTGCGAGAGAAATGCGAGCTGGCGCCCAGAAAAATGCGAGACCGGCGCGAGAAAAAAAGCGAGATGTTTGCGAGCTCGTCAATGTACCGCCAGTGTCTCGCGTTTATCTCGGCAGTTATTCTTAGTGCAGTTTTGATATCGCGAGTTCAATCCTCGCAGCGGCCATTTTTTTTATTTTTCATGAAAAAATAGCTTTTCTCTTCAAACTTGAGGTTTTATACTGTTTTAATAACTAATTATGACTTTGAAAACCGAACAAAACTACTAAAAAATTTAAATCCGATATGAAAACACAATGAACGACCAAAAGTGTAAAATCTAAACTTTCAGTACTAAATTTCGCGACTTTTTTCACTACTGTTTTGACCATAACTTTTTTTGTTCTCAACCTTTTTCGAAAAACTAAACTGTTTTGAATAGTAAATTAGAGCAGCTATTCAACCATAGTAATATTGAAGTTCGAAAATTTTTTTGAAAATTTGGTTGCGGTCCCTAGATGTGGAGCATGCCGCAACTTAAAAAATTTTGAAAAAAAAAATTTGTTAAAAAAGTTATTTTTGGAACAAAATGGCCATCGAACGGTTTTGGAACGTTTTAATCATGAAATTTCGACATGTTAATCGATTATAATCATGATCCGTCAAAAAAAATAATGGCAAAAAGCCATAGCCGCAAAAAGTTTCGAACCTCCATCATAGGCTTCGAAGGCAACCGCTCTAGCCACTGCACCACGCTCCTAGCTGCCATGCAAAGACGTGTGCTGCGGACACATTCCTTCCGAACGGTGTCACGTGTTTGAGAATGAAAACTTTAAAAAGTTATATCTCCAAAACGAAAAGTTTGCGCAGATAGCGACTATGCGGGATCGATTCCCAGTCTATCAGAGATTGTTTGAGCAAATTTATAGAAAATTCCAAACCCTACGCAAAAATGACCTTCCATGTTAGCAAAACTTCATTTTTTCGTCTTCCTTATTGAACCGTGAGACAAGAAGAACGCGTCTATACCTTTGATATGTTATTAAGCGTTCAAAATTCTTTCAATGAAAAAATTATGAAAAGGATGACGACGCGGAAAATTAACGACTTCGAAACCTCGAAAAATGCACGCATGTTTAAGACAGTGCTACGGTGGCCGGCGGCCGGTCAATATTGCGCCGTCAGTTTCGGAGCTAGGAAATTTTTTTGAGGTTTTTTCTTTTTTTCTTTTTCGCAACTTGCTGAGGACCTATTTCTTGAGGTTACAAGATCAAGTAGGTCACAAAAAGTGCATACGCTTTCTTTTTATTACCGAAAAACCTATCCTGACTACCGTAATCCGACCGTCCGCCTTAAACAGCTGTTTTTACATGCGGAATGACTATTTAATTTTTATTTTGGAATAATTCGTGCTAGTGTCCGTAGCTGTGTTTGCGTCGGAGTGTTTGACACTAAGAATATAGTCTGTTCAGGTTTTGAATGTCAACCAGATAACTCCGCCCTTGCCGCCACAGTATCTTTTCGCGTCGATGTTTTTACGCGCGGGGACTAATTTTGATCTTTTTTGATCTAAAAGATAGAAAAAGAAGTCAAAAATGCAGCCTTATTAAAGGTTCATCGTCATCTGGATATAAAACATTGACGCGAAGGATATTGTAGCCTTGGGGTGGAGTTAGCTGCTTGACATTCAAAATCTGAACAGAATATAACTGGCGAGATAAACGCGAGCTCGGCTGCGGTACATTGACTAACTCGCAAAAATGTCGCTTTTTTCTAGGCGCGATCTCGCATTTCTCTGGGCGCGGCCTCGCATTTTTCTTGGCGCGAGCTCGCATTTCGGAAATTTTCAAGTTGCGAGAGAAATGCGAGCTCGCGCCTAGAAAAATGCAAGCTCGCGCCCAGAAAAATGCGAGACCGGCGCGGGAAAAAAAGCGAGATGTTTGCGAGCTCGTCAATGTACCGCCAGTGTCTCGCGTTTATCTCGGCAGTTATTCTTAGTGGACTTACTCAGGCGATGGTACGACAAAATCTCAAGTCCGCAAATCTTGAGAACCGTAATCTTGTGTACGCAGATTTCACCTTAAGGTTTTGGTTTCCAAGATTATGGGACTTGGCCTTGGAGACCAAAACTTGGAAAGCAAAAAAAAAAAAACGCTTTTGCGAATAGATTTTATCAGAAATTGTATTCGGTGTTCCAAAAAAGAGAATATAAGTAGATGAAGTGCAAATAAGACTAAAAAGGAGATTTTTGCTTTCTAAGATTTTGGTTTCCAAAATTATGGGACTTGAGATCTGCGTAAACGAGATTACGGTCCTCAAGATTTGCGGACTTGAGATTTTGTCGTGTCGTACCATCACTCAGGCGGGAAAATGGCATATCACTGCGCATCTAAAAAAGGAAACGGCAGGCCAGCGCGCATGTATTAGTTTAGAGCACGGTAAACTCGGAGAGCCAGACTCATGCGATGGTCTGCCGTTACATGAGCGTTGGTCTGCCTTTTTCTTTTAAATTTGGCATGCCAGCGCGCATGTCCTCAAACAGTGTGCAGAGCGAGGAGAGTACGAGTCTGGTTTCTCCAATTTTACCATACTCTCTTAAACCGATGCTGACATGTCGTTTTCCCCCTGACATGGGAGGTCATTTTAGCGTAGGGTTCAGAATTTTTTATAAATTCGCTCAAACAATCTTTGATGGACTGGGAATCGATCCCCCACAGTCGCTATCTGCACAAACTTTTTGTTTCGGAGATATGATTTTTCAAAGATTTTATCCTTAACCATGTGACGCCGTTTGGAAGGAATCTGGCCGCGTCACCAACCACTGCATGGCAGCTAGAAGCGTGGTGCAGTGGCTAGCGCGTTAGCCTGCGGAGCCTATTATGCAGGTTCGAATTCTTTTTGCCGCTAACTTTTTTTGCCATTATTTTTTTAAGAGTTCTGATGATAATATTAAAATTTCATGAGTAAAACCTTTCCAAATAAGTTCGATAGCTATTTTTCTTTCTAAAAATCGCTTTTTTTATAGACAAAAAAATTATGAAAAAAATTTCTGAAGTTGTGGCAGACTCTACATCATCAGAGAATTTTTCCCCAAAAAAACATTTTGCTCAAAAAGATTTTTTTAGATTCCTGAAAATTTGATCTGGATTAGGATAGAAACAGGGTTTTGAAATTTTTTTCAATAAAACTCGGATGACAGGTAAGTTTTTCATGTTCTGTAAAGATGTTTCTTCAGAAGTAAGGCAGAAATTGGCTATTGAAATATTGAAAAAGCCACTGTTATTTATCACAACCAAGACATGCGAAGATCTTCGATGAAGGTTCAGCGCTTTTCTGAAACATTTTTCGCTGATTTTCAAAAAAATAGTCTCTGATGATGTGGAGTCTGCCACAACTTTAGAAATTTTTTTCATAATTTTTTTGTCCATCAAAAAAAGCGATTTTAGAAAGAAAAATAGCTATCAAACTTATTTGGAAAGATTTTACTTATGAAATTTTAATATTCTCATCAGAACTCTTTAAAAAAAATAATGGCAAAAAAAGTTAGCGGCAAAAGAATTCGAACCTGCATAATAGGCTCCGCAGGCTAACGCGCTAGCCACTGCACCACGCTTCTAGCTGCCATGCAGTGGTTGGTGACGCGGCCAGATTCCTTCCAAACGGCGTCACATGGTTAAGGATAAAATCTTTGAAAAATCATATCTCCGAAACAAAAAGTTTGTGCAGATAGCGACTGTGGGGGATCGATTCCCAGTCCATCAAAGATTGTTTGAGCGATTTTAGAAAAAATTCTGAACCCTACGCTAAAATGACCTCCCATGTGAGTTGTTTTCCCTTTTCTTTGTGTTTTAATCATGAATCAACTACCTATTTTATAAAGTTTTTCAAGAAGAAAAAATTTCGGAGAAGGAATAGTCGCGACCGACGTCGGGAAACGTCGAAAGTTCCCTAACGATTTAAAAAAAATCGGAAAAGTCGAAATATCGCTGTTTTTCATTTCATTACAACAATTGAGACGTTTAATTGCCCGACTAGAAATCTAATGTGAAGAAATGTTAACAAAACGGCACTTTTCTACATGAAGCTCCTCGAAAATACAAAATTTCATCGTAGACGGGCATCTCCATGACAGCGATCGTTTTTGCAGTTCTCGCGATAGGACACGTTCGTCGGACGCGCGCGAAAAATCGATTTCAGACCGATCCGAAACTTTCAATCAACGGTATATTCTTCTATTTTTTAATACAATCGTAAATTTTGCATGGAATGGGATTTGTTCTATATAGTTTTGCTCTTCTTATGAACCATGCGCGGGAAAACGAAGTTCCAAAGGGATCACTAAAGTTTCTGAGATCTCTTGAGTGACCACTGCTATAAAAAAACTAGTCAGCACGTATTTTCTTGAGAATTCTCGAATATTTGTGTATTTTTTGACGAATCGTGTTCATTTTTTTTCATGTTTTCCGAACAATTTTTGTTTAAAAAATGAAAATTATTCCATAAAGGGCGCAGAAAGACTTAATAGCACTTTTTTTGTACTTCAGAAACTTCCAGCTGAATTTTAAAGGTGTTTTCTATTTCCTGTTCGCACACGTCATGAGAAGGCGAAAACTGCCACGTTGAAACTTCTCATTTCTCGTTTTTCTTTTCATAACACAAGGCTTTAACTCACGTCATCATTTCATTTCCCTTTTATTTAACAACTTTGTAGGAAGAACTTCACCGATAGCTCGAAAAAAAGTTTACAATTCGTTTCTTTTTTTAAATATTGTCTCTTGTGCAGAGCCAGTGGAAAAGCCACTGTTCATTATTCATAAATTTTTATCATAAGCTCTGAACTGACAAAAACTTTTTCGAAACAAAGTAGAAAATTCAGTTTTGGATACAACAGAAAATAAAAAAATGATAACTATTTTTTGCTTTTCACGATAAAATCCAGAGCTCCGCGAGGTACAGAGCCTACCGTGCCAGCTTGTCCTGATTTTTTTTTCTGCCAAAAAGAACGTATATTAAATTTGATCAAATTTGACCCCACCCCGCTTCAAGACCTTCGTTTTTTACTGAATTTTCAGCAGTTAAGTTTGTATCCACGGTAGCTTTTTCTCTGCTGTTTTATTTGCTTTAAAGCCTCAAGGGCCTAATTGCCTTCTTGTAGCTCGTTTCATAAATTAGAGACGTGACCTGGCGACAGCTCGCAGAGATTTTACATCGATTGCTCCGTAACACTTTATGAAATCCCATGAAATACCGTCTTTTTTTTTAAAAGTCCTATCAAAAGCTTTATTCGTTTTTTTTTCTCAGATCTATTCATAGTGCGGAATATCACGAAAAAAACGTTTAAAACTCATTCTTTGAAATTGAAATCAATCCTTTCTTTTTCAGTTAATCAAAGCTCAACTTCAAAATTGTTTCGTTTTTTATTCCGGGTCTTTTTTTGCAAGAAATATATTTTCAATTTTAGGCAAAGATGATTGATCCGTTGTCTTTGGGCGTCGCCCTAGCAATACTTGCAGCAGGAGTTATGGTTTTTGTGTATTTCTTTTCTAACAAAGAAGAAGGAGACTTTGAGAAGGTTTTTTAAAATTTTTTTTTGCGTCTTTTAGCTTTCAATATTTTAATAAAAACTCGTAATTCAGGCCTTTGATGTGAATGCGCGGAAGTTGTTTACTGACAACCAGAAAGATAAACCTCGACAAAAAACAAAAATGCCCAAGAAAAAGGTTTTTTTTTCAAACTTAATTTTTGTTTCTCTGTACTATACTATCCGCACTGATCACTCGGCGTATCCTCAAAAATAGCTAACGGAGTGAACTTTCAAACTCAATCAGGATTTACACGCGGTCAATCAATAAATAGCATGCAGAGACTAACTTTCTGCTATTTCCGTACTCTTTGTGTGCACTCCGATACTATCCCTCTGCCCTCTAGATTTGAGAGTGCTGACAAAGCTTTAGAAGTATGCAGACGAAGTGCACTCCGATAGCACTCTTACCGCGTATCCTATTTAATGACTGACGAAGAGGATACCTCGATTGACCCTTGCGTAAGAAATCTGCAGGAACTTTTTGAGTTTAACACGGAAAATAGGAATATTTGCATCGTGATCATCTTAAAATTCTTCATTTAACTGTTGACGTTCACGGATACGGTCTCAGGTAACACGAGAGGCGAAGAACGAGTTAATTTTGAAAGAAGAAGAAACGGGCCTCAACGAAGAATCTGATGGCGCCATTTCCGGGGACAGCCACGAAGAGCCAGTTTTTGTCTCACATCTCGCCGAAGTATTTTTCTTTTTCTTTTTTTCTTTCATTTAAACCTTATAGGTTGCTGAAAACGCTACCACAGTTGTTCACGAGTCTGCCGAAGAAGGTTGTTTTCAAAAAAATTAGATTATACTTTTTTAAAATGTAATTCCTAGAAAAGTTAAGGTTTGTTTTATCGAAATTTTCTCGCGGACTTGTTTCTGGATTTGAATGTTCCGTGCAAAAAAATTTGGCTTGATTTTCTCGGTTTTAATGAGGTTTTTGTGGTTTCCATTGCGTGTTTGTTGTAAACTAGTGTGAAAAACATAAATTTTTTTAAAAGTTGGTAGAAATCAATGTAAGAAGTAATTTTTGAAGTTTTCTGATACTACACTAGAAGCGCAATGGACAGGCCATGATCTTTTCAATACCGGCCAAAGGATTTTTCAGAGAATCCTGCTGAGTCATCGCTGAAAAAAAAAAAAATGAAAAAAAGCGTCATTCGTTTTTCAGGAATTTTCAAAGTTTCATGTTTCTCATCGATTCATTCAGCTGCTTCTGGTGCTCAAAAAAGCAAAAAGAACAAGAAGCCGCGCGGAAAGAGGGAGACCGAAGGTAGCTTGACGGCGAATGTTGCTAGCAACGGCTCTGCCGATGGAAAAGAAGTGAAAATAGCTTTTTAATTTTTTTAATTTTTAATTTTTCAAATCAAATATCAGAAGTCTGAGAGTCCGCTGCCGTCCACTCCAACTCCAAATTTGGAAAAAATCACCGAGAAGAAGAAGCAGAAAAAAAAGCGTTGGTTTTTCTTTTTCGCTCACAGAAGCATAACATTTTTCTTTTATATTGTGTAAATTTTTTTGTGAGTAAAAGAAAATTTTTATCGCTAGGGAGGTTGTTCAAGATGAGCAAAATTTTTTATGCCTAGATGTGAGATTTAGTATTCTTCTTGATTATTGTGACTCTTTCCCTTCCCTTGGAGAACGGAAAAGGTGATTTTAGCAGTTTTCATAACGTTAGTAGTTTATTTTTGAAGTCCGTCACGACGACTATTTTTTACTGAAAAGTAGATTATCGTATATATCAAGCTTTATAAAAAAATCTCTCATAGGAACACTTCTTGACGTGCCAGAAAAAAATTCTTAAAGTCTGCCTTCATTGTCAGTCCCATGAATTCGATTCACAACGAAACAGTTTGAAGATAACTTAATATTCCATTGTTTTCAACAATCTTTAAAACTAAGTATGATCCACTACCAGAAGGTCAAACAAAATTTTTTTTTTTCAGCGATAAAAATCTCGGAACTGGACAGCAACAAGGTGTTGACACGGCTAGCGAATGTCGACGACGTCGAGCCTGAATACATCAGTTTCTTGGCTTCGTATTTTCAAGAGACCGGCGCTAACGTATTCCCGCCTTCAGTATTGAATACGACTCCTTTTCTTAGGTAACCAACCTGCAGAAGGAGCTTAGTTCCGCAGTGGCCGCCCGAGAAGATCAGCAACGTCGTCTCGAACTTCTCACTTCTGCCAAGGCCTCCGCCGACAAGCAAGCTTTTGAACAACAGTATGTCGCTCTCATTTCCTCTCTGAGATGGAAACTTCGGCGATAAAGAAATCAGCAGTTTCTTTTCCTCAATGTTTCTCAATTTTTATTTGTTACTTTGAATTCAATTCCATGGTGTTTAGCGGAACCTTCAAGTTTTTTTTTTACAGATATTCAGTCAAGGCATGGCAAATTTTTGATTGATTCGAACTTCTCTTTCATCGTTCTATTAGAAAAATCTATTTCAGACGCCTCCTGAAAGACCTCAACATTCAGCTTCAACAAGCGGCTCAGGCTGAGAATTCTATGCGAGCACAGCTTAGTTCTCTTAGTCAAGTATAATGAAAACCGATTTTCTGCAATGGTAACATTATTTTTAGTTGCATTCTGAAAATGGATCTTTGAAAAAGTCACTCTCTATCGTTTCTGCGGAACAAGATGCCTCTAAATCCGAAGTTGAACGTCTCCGACAGGTTGATTTAATTTTCGCTTTTTCTTCGAAGATATTTTGTTCAAAAAATGAGTTCGCAAAAAATTGTTCAAATGCGAGCTGCGAGAAAAATGTTGCGAATGCGGAGTTATAAAGGAGAAATTTTTTGCTCAATTTTCCATGAACATAAGAAGTTCCTGTTGGCGGTTCTGTAGAAAATTTTATAAATAATTAGAGGATGTATGGAGGTTAGCCGCATTTTTTCGTTTTTTTTTGTTTTGTGCTGGACAAGGTTTGGTTACTTCAAGGAGTGTGAACCTGTATCAAACGAAGTTTTGATTTTTTTTTTTGCTTTTCAATGCATTTTTGTATTTAATGACATAAGTTTTTGCAGGAGAAGGCCAACGTGGCCGCGAAGTTGGCGGCTCTGGAGGCCGAACTTGCTCTTCAGAGAAAAACGAACCAATCACTTGTCGTGGAACTCAACCAGACGGCTTCCTTAAAGGTTTTTTTTTGAATCAAAACGATTCTTTCTTCTATTTGAATTCGGCGCTTATACTAACTTCGGAAGAAATGAGTACAAATCATAACTCTGCGAATCATGGAAGTTGTGAATGATCCGATCTCCTTTCTTACATCTTTGATGTTGAAAGCAATCATTAAACTTCGCAATTTTGAAGTACTGATCAAATTCATTGTGTTTGTGAACCAATTTGTGAGTCTTTGGCGAATTAATTTCAAAAATAAAACTCCAGTAATTCTCCATTTTTCGAAGTATGTCACGTATACTCTTTTCTCTCAATATTCACGTATACTCTTTTCTCTCAATATTGAGTTTTTAAACTAGAGTGAAGAGCAAAGAACATTTTCAAAATTTTGAAACTTTTGAAATTTCTTAACGCCAAAAAGTCGAACTTTAATGCTTCTTTTTCATCTTCATCCTCGATCAAAAAAAGTTCGTTTCAAGGAGAACTTGGTGGAGCAGTCGCAGCTTCTGGCTCAGCTGGAGCAGTTCGAGGCGGCCGCGCAACTCGTCACCAGCGACCTCGAGAGGAAGGATCTGCAGCTGAAGACTCTCGTTGCCGAGCATCAGGAGCTCCTCAGCAACTTCTCGGCGGCTCAGGAACTCTGGCAACAGGTCAAACAGCCTCGGTTCCTCTTCTTTCCAATTCCGAGAAGCAATTTTCTCTCTAATTTCTTGCCTATTTCCATATTCACTTCTTTAAAAAGTTAGTTACGCGTTTAGAGGCGCTTTTAGAAAGTATGTGGAAATTACTACCCAGCCTGCGAACGCTAAACACTATCAACCGTATCTGATCTGACTATTTATGGAATTTTAGGTGGTATAGTCTGTGTGCCACGACATGAAATTTCACCGAACGACATTCCGATGTTCCGCTGCGAGCGTTCGCGAAGCGTCTTTTGAATCTAGGACACGCTTTCGATTGATGTTTATTGCTGTGGGAGTACATGAGAGTAGAGTACCTTAATAAAAGTAAACAAAAAATTTAAGAGCGCGACAAAGGTTCGCAAAGGCGCGCAGCGACACAGCGGAACGTCGTTTCGTGAGATTCCAAGTCGTGGTATATACACAGGCTATATGAAAAATAATTTAGCGAATTTTTAAAGGCCGACTTTTCTGTTTTTTTGGATATCGTTAGGGAACTTTCCGACGGGAAAGTTTCCGATGAATCGTTTTCCGACTTTTTTTCCATTACATTTTTCAGTTTATTGAAATTCTATTCCCATTTTTTCTCTTTTTATTTTTTTTAAATCATGAATTAACTACTTATTTCATATAGAACGATTAAAAACGAAGAGTTTATCGAAAAAAAGTCGGAATAGGATTAGACAGAAAGTTCGCAGTCGACAAATTCCCCAGAATGAATCGAAAATGCGCCATTCGAAATTTCGTTGATTTATATTTGATATAACCGTATTGCAACGTGTGCAAAAGGTATATTTTCGCTTTTAAGTTTACTTCAATTTTTCTGCAATATTTTTTTGCGAAAATTTAAAACTTCCATTCTCTGAAAATATGAAAGCTTCTCGAAAGTCCTTATCAAAACGATTCAAAAATCGAAGTTCTTTTGCACAGAGGAGCTCAGAGATCAAGGATCAACTCTATTTTCTCAAATTTATAGGACTCTTCGTTGTCTATGTCTTATGTTTGTAGTGCTTGGAAGTATCAGAGAAGTCATTCTTTCTATTTTTTGTAAGTTTGATTTTTCGTTGAAGCGGACTACTTCAAAAAAGAAAAAGGTCGAAAACATGTTTTTAACTGCTCCAAGACAAGTCTTCAAGATTTTCTCGGGTTCAAAGAATTGCTCAAACTCGTTGGGTTCCTACAAACTGCATGACTGGATAACCGAACTACGAAAATAGTCGAGACAAGCTAGCACTAGAGTTTCATAAATTCATTTTCAGTTTTCTAAATCAAAGCTCGTGAAGACACATGAATAGGCATAAAACGTCGCTCCGCGTATAAATTATAGTGTTGCATTCTGTTGATCCTAATTAGAAAAAATAGTATCCGGGAGAAGCGCAATGTAACTTTAATTCACAGCCGTTATATGTTGCGCCACTTCCTGAGTGAAATCGACGTTTGTTTTTTCGGCAATCGTCAGATATTCTTCAAAGTAAAAGAAAAAAAGGAGGTTTTTTTCAGTCCATGCAGTGCATGCTAATCGATTTCTAGGGGTTGTGTGCGCCATTGGGAAAAATGACGAAATCTTTTTCATTACACTTTTTCTTTCCATTATTCCAGTTTATCGTTTCTATTTTTTCTCCTATTTTTGGGTGATTTTTAGTAGTAATTTTGAACTATTTAGAAGTTTCATTATTTCTAGTTTTTCTCTTTCGAACCTCAGCTATTGATAGGAATACACACGCCCTTGGTGGAGTTGAAATAAAAAAAAAGTCTAGGAGAACAAAAGGATTTGGCTAACCTAAGGTACTTTAAAGTGAAAAATCATACTTATTTATTTTTTCGCACACTTTTATGACATGAAAGATTTTTTTTGGAATTTTGGTTTGAAACTCAGGCTCTTCATTAAATCATTAGCGGAAGGCCCACTTACTTTGTAAAAACCTAAACGTTCGCTTACTCGAGCTGTGCAAAGAAAAGAGCGCTTGATCGGTTTCGCGAGTTGTTAATATCGAACTGAGCAGGATGTCGCACAGGATTGCAAAAGTGTTTACTTTTCGGCACTTTGTGTTTTATATTGCATTTGTATGATGCATTCCTCAGAGCAGGTCTTGTGATAAGCACCGCCTCTTTTTCTTCTCTCCTCCTATCTTCTCAGTTTTTGTTTTAATGAACAAAAACCTCTGCACTTGCACTTCGTTTCAACCTCTGTCTCTAGTCTCGGCAGGCCGTTTCAAAAGACTTCTGCAACCGGTTTTCTATCTGCAAGTGATTTCAGAAGGAGACGAGTCTCACGATGAACTGCCACTCGCTGCAGACGCTCGTTGAGCAGCTGAAGGAAGAAGTGGCCAAGTTCGAAGTCTAGTATGTTGTTTTCGAGGTCATGTGTCGATTCTCCTCTGATTGCAGCAAGAAGGAGCAGCAGGAGCACCAGGATCGTCTCATCGCGAAAGAAAATGAACTCGAGGAGAAGCGCCAAAAGCTTAGTCAGGCCGAAATCATCGTTTCCGGAGAGGACAGTGCCAAAGTGTTAGTGATTTTTTGAACTTTCTAAATTTTAAAGCTTTAAACTTCAAAAAGTCATCATCCTATTTTATTTTAAGAGGAGGAATTATGAATAATTTTTCTTAATGAATTCTCTAAAACTTAATTTCTTAATTTTTATAAAAGATTCAAACCATCAGCTTTTCGCTTTCCTTTCATGTTTTCATGCGTTTTACTGCTAATTATTTCGTTTCAGCGCAGAACTGGAAGTGGCGAATCGAGAGTTGCGAAAAACGATCGAAGAACTGACGGCTCAGCTCGAGGAATCGCGTCGAAATGAGAAGGCAGGGTAAGAAACTGAATTTCTACGTTTTGTGTTATTGTGTGTGTGTGTGTGTGTGTGTGTGTGTTAGAAGCGAGAGGATCCCGAGAAAGAAAGGAGACAGAACGGAGTGTTTTTTAGTGTTTGTCGTGTTGAACTCTGTGTTTAATGATGCCTCCGCTTTTTTTTTTTGCGTCGGTGCCGTCTTTATCTTTGAGCGTCACTCTGCAGAGTGCGCATGTTATTGCTGTTGTTGGGTGATTTTCGTCTGAAGCAATCGATCAACCGCCTGCCATGTCTTGTCGGCTTCTGTACTCGACAACTCTTTTAGTTGCGACGAAGAGAAGGAGAACGAGCCTCGACAATACATTTTCACCTACGGCGACGAAGACGGACCGACGCCGAAGCAAAGCACGCAGTTCGCCTCGTCGCTCAACGGCTGGACCCCTCAAACCATGAGCCTAGCCTCCGATGGCCGTTACGTCATCTCCTACGATGCTCCCTCCGGCAGCCATGATCAGATCTTGTTCAAATTCATTGTCGACGGCGTCTGGTTGACGAGTTCAAAGTATCCTCAACGTTCCGACGACGGCGTTGTCAACAATTTCATCTTCCCCCATTGAACTGGTCCAATAGTGTTTAATAGAATTGTTACTTTTCTTTTTATTTTTGGGATTCTGAAAATGAAGCTGCGGGAATTGCACCGAATTTGAAATGAACGTTCAAAAAAGCACGTTTTTTCCTCAATTTTTTAATGAAAAGGACAAGAAAATGAACTTGGGCCAAAGGCTTGAACAGATATGACAACTTCAAAAAGAAAAAAAAAATTAAAGTTGGCTCATTTTTCTTCATTATTTGAGTGTCTTGAATTAGTTAGCTTAATTTCAAATTCCTTTTCACACGACTTATCGCTTCATTTTGTTTCAGTTTGTTTAATATTGGCTGTGAGACAAAAGACGATATTTTCATTGCTCGGAATGGCATTATGTTGTACTTTGTAAATATAAATATATTCAATCCTCTTGTCAATGAGTAAAAACGGTGGTTGTGTGATTCGAAAATTTTGTTTTTTCAAGTCAATTTTTACTTTCAAAAACCGGTCCTCTCGAACTAAGGTATCCAGAAGGAAAAAAGGAAGAAGTGTTTGAACTCGTTTCTTGTTGTGGTGGTGGTCGAAAGCAGTGTCTGTGCTCTTTCATTCTCTTTTCACTTTTGAGAGATTTTCCTCGAGATAAATCACGTTCGCATGTTTTCACTAACAATTGAATGAACAGAGGCCGTTTGCATGTATACGATCGGAAAGTTGGCTCCCGAATAGAAATTCATTGATGTCAACCATCATTTTACGTTACTAGCGAGAAGGAGAGTTTCTAAATAACGGGAAGAATCCAAATTTTGAAAGTGTAAACCCACTAACGGCATCACGTTTATACACTGTGACTGTTCATACATAAAGTCTCGGAATCGCCCAGATTATATAAATCGAATTTTTTTTTGCAGAGAGGAGGTTGTTCAATTGGAGAAGTCGCACACGCTGAACTCTGCACCAAGTGCACATGGAGAAGACACGGAACGCATGCGAAAAGAAATCACCCAGCTGCAGTCGAAAGTGGAGGTTTAATCTGAGCAACTTTTGTATGAACAGTTTTCTAAGTAGCTTTTTCTTTTCAGTTCGTATGGAAAATAAGTTCAAAAAGCTATTCAGTTTAAAATAATTTTGGCAGGAACTTCGCGCTCGTAACTTCAAAATCCTCGAGAACGTAGCTTCTCCCGATAAGGAAGTGCCAAAAGAATCGCCTTCGACCTCGGTTTGTCGTTTTGTTCCCTTCTAAGGCTATTTTCATAATTGGAGGAAAGAATTCTTGATAACAGGAAAAAAAACAAGGTCTTTCCTCTATTAGATATTTTTTCAGATTTCATTGTGATACGAAGTTGGCTTTTTCATAATTCAATAATGATCATTTAAAAGCTCTTTAATTTTAGAAATTACAAATCTCCAAGTTTTCAGAACAGTTTTGGTGACGACCGCCGATTGCTCATTGAAACTATTGGAGAAATCACGAAAAAACCATTGGACATCGACGTAAATTCGAAGGTATGGGCCGTGTCTTGAAGCCTGTGTAAAAGATTTGCCCAGGATCTTTCGAAATGGCTCAGAGAAGTCTCTTCCTCTCTGAATAACGCTCAAAACATTCCAGCCAAGGTGAAGCTGCTTCCTCAACTATTAATCAAAAGCTCTTTTTTTTGAGAAAGCACGAAAAGGACCCACTGAAGAAGGAGGTGTCGAGGTTTATCGTCAAGCGCTAGCCAAATTGGTATAATGCGGTCTTTTGGGCTGTAAGCACAACGTTGGTGGTTTCAGACTTCAGAATTGGTTCGGATTGAAAAGTTGGCGTGCGCCCGTGAGGCCGAATTCGAAAAGAGCATTGCTGCTTTGCAGTCCAAGCTGGAGAAAGCGGTAATTTTTTTATCAAAAAAATAATATATTTAAAGTTGACTTTTTCATCAATGTCACGCACGGATCTGTTCGGAAAATTCAGAAAACCCTTCCTCATGACTTTCGTAAGAAAAAAAAAATCACCCTTTTTATATACCTTTTCCAAGAACAGCGACAATTTTCATCGAGAAAAACTACGCCTTTCAATGAGCAAAGATTGGAGACTTCTTTCTCTTTTTTTTTTTGAAAGGTATCACGAAAAAATGGGTAGTTTTAATTGCAAAAAGTAGGCGCTATGCGTGAAGCACTCCTAAACAGTCTTGGAATATTTCTAGCTTGCTTTAAATGGAACTTCCCTGTGGAATAACTTTCTGCGGCTTAAGTTTTTAAAACCTCTGGAAATCGCAAAAGTTTTTTTTTGGATTTGATTAGTTCAAGAACTCTACTGTGAATATCAGAAAGAAAAATGTAGATACTCATTTTCACTCTTGTTCTTGAACGAGTCTCACCAATTTAACCCATTGCAAGCCGCTGAAATGCATGCTAATTGTTTCGAGTCTCACCATCTGTCCGACAGTCTTTTACAATGTAATTTGTGTTTTTCACTGGGATTTGTTGCTGCACAGGATCGCGTAGCTTTGGTTTCGAAGCGAGTTTTCGTCGAGATGAAGCAGTGCGTCGATCTTCGAAAGGTTTTTTTTTGTCCTTTTGTGCGAGTCTTTGTCCGGAATGCTTTACTTACTCTTTTTTTCCTATAAACCTATCTCATCTGAAGTCTTATGTTGATTTTTGTTTACATGGGGGTTTTCGGAGCTATGAGATTGTGCTAAAATAGCTTATATGTACTGTTCTAGAGAAAGTTTTTTGTTGATATTTGAAGTTTTGTGCCATCCTCCACCGTGAGATACCACCAGATACTAAACCTTCTCATTCTTTTCAAACGGTGTTAATTTGATTGAGAGCATACAAATGATAGTAACGGCATTCGGCCACTCTCAATTACGTCAAAAGTTTTGAAATGGAGCGAGCAAGTTATTTGGCCCAAGCTATTTTTATAGTGCTGTAGGAAAGACTTCCGATTTCCAACTATTCTTTTCTTGATACCTTTTCGACGTATGATTAAGATTCGAGAGATACTTTTTCGCACTGTCCATGTTTCTTTGGTAAATTTTAGCAAATTGATTCTCTACGCGACTCGCTCACGACGCCAACGACTTCGTTTTTCGAAGGCTCTCGGTCGCCACCCCAAGCCGGCGTCGTCAGAAGCGACGAATCTGACTGGGAACTTGTTTACAACTGAAAAGTCGAATAGAAGAGCCCTCTTCCTCACACCTGGTGAGCTCATAATCTCCTCCTTTCCATCTCTAGACTCACCCGTTTGGGAGTTTTTCCTGTCAGACGCGAACTCAGTTTGTAGTCCTTTGGGTTTCTTTCCTCAAGCAGCAGATGACCGCTTTCCAAGCATGGCTACTTGTGCACAGTTGTAGCCGACTTTTTCTTTTTTTCTTTCATGTTTCCTCTGTAATCTTCAAATGGTGGATGGTGCAAGCCAGATGAGTGTACCTGTCTAAACCAATTTCACTTTATATTCTTTCTTCCGAAATTTTTGAAACTTTGTTACTGAAGCGGCTCAGTAGAACCGGCTACGTTTGTGTCATATAAATATTTTCAACCCAATACTTTCACTTTAATTAATTTTCAGTTTGTTTGAACGGTTGTTAACAACCGTTTGGGAGCAAATTTGTTCTTGGATTTAGGCTGAGTTTTTTTTATTACCGTAGAACATAATGAAAAATATATTCCAGTTAAATCGCTTTTTTTTCAGTGATACTTCACGCGGAGCCACTGCAACTCTTTCCTGTCGACAACCATTTTTTTTTACTTCTTTAATATGCATTTCCTTATAATTTTTTTTGTTTAATGATAACCACCTTTCATAATTGTAAGATCTTTCATTTTTTTTTCCCTTATTTAGAAGTATTCTCCCCGATCATAACTTTATTGGTATGCGATTTCTTGTCTTCTTGTTTGTTTCACAAGAGCTTTTAGGCTTTTTGAACAGTGCTATGTTTAATTACTAGTCCGATTGGATCCCTGTGAATTAGGATGTGATGACCGCTGGGAGCGCTCTGAGCGACTTTCCCTCTGAACACAAATCTTACGGTCCTGCTCTACTTGCTTCTGAGCATTTGTTTGTTGCTGCGTTTTACTCGGTGAATTGAATAAACTTCTATGTGGTATTTTTCGAAAAGAAATGAAACAAGTTCGACATAGAAGGCAACAAGTGCAAGTGATGCAGATGACGTCAGTCTGTGGCGCAGCGATGGAACCCGTTTTGGCGAGGAGGCCAAGTCTTGGGTCTATCGCCATCTCCCGATCGATTTCTTGTGCGGATCGACGACGTTCTGCTCGTCGACGTCTTCTTCATGTTTTTTGGCGTCGTGGTTGTGGGGCACGTCGTCGCCGTCCTGTTATTCCGGCGCATTGTGTTTCCTTTCCACTGCCCTCGGATCGCCAAAATATTTACTCTCAGTGTCCCAAGGGCCTGTTTCTCCTTGTAGTTGTTTCTAGTCTAAAAAAAGAAAATTTAACCCTGTCGTCTCACGATTTAACTTTTTTTTCTAACGCTAAGATCACTTTTTCAAAAACTCCGTTTTGCGAATTCTTTTACGCCTCTAACAGTACTTCTTGGTTTTCGATCATTTTGTTGCAGAGGAATATACTTGATATTTTTTAAAAAACGTGAGAAGAAATTCAAAACACGAATTTTCCTTGAAGTTGCAAAAAAGTAAATTTTCCTCCGAAAGGGATTCATTGTATCCGCTGAGGTGATATTTAAAGGAAGTACAAGTTAAAAGGCCAAATTAAAATTTTTTTTCAAGTAATTTTTTTCCGCATTGAAACAATATTTTCAGAGAACTATATACTTGAACCTCTAGTTTTTGGGTTCGCTGCATAGTTTCAAAGATTTTTGAATTTTTCTCTTTCTCGTATCTCACAGGGATTATCTAACTTCTCAATTTTATTTTTCCGAAATTGTCAATTTTACAAATGCTTTTGATTCTTAAGATTCCGACTGGCAGCCGACGAATAAATATACAGAAGGTTTGGGTTGATGAGCGCCAACGTGCGGACCGACTGCTTCTTCAATCTCACAACCCCTGAGCGAATTGATCTTTTTCGAGTTTGTCATTCATTTTTTCACCCATCTCACTCAGGCTTGTGCATCCGACTAAGCCTGGCCGGTCCGAGCTTCAGGTCTCAAATTTCGCGAAATAGATTACGCAGGCCTGGCTCCGAAAAAATTATTGAATCCAATCAAAATCAAAAATTATTATTATCTCATTTCATCACGTCGACTAGTCGGTCTCATTGCCGCTCTCTCATGGGATAATATTCCGACGCCCGTCAGCCCCGGACAAGCTGGGCGCCGCACTGTTCCAACATGGTGAAGCAGTTTATTCGCTGGTACTACCAACGGGCCCACATTATTTCCTAACAGTAGCTGTCACGCCGGAACTTATTGGACAACGATTGTGGACCGTAACCCGCGCCGACGACTAACTCTTCAATTATACCATGATTCAGCAGAGATTTTCTTCATCTTACTCTGAAGACTGAATAAATTAAATTGAATCAAAACCATTTTCATTCTAACTCGAAATTTTGACCTCGCTGAGGCCGGGCTGGGTTGGGCCTAGAAAATGAACGAGGCATATAGGTTCACTTCCTTGCGAGAACTTTTTTTCTCTAAAATATTTTTGCGATGATTCAGTTGAGGTTTTTTTTTATTTAATAATGCCATCAAGGCAGCAGTAAACAAATAATTTTTCTTTTCATCAAGTTTTCTTTGAGAATTCAATCGAAGAAAATATGGATTTTATGTAAGTAATAAGAACCTTCTCCCCAAGTTTAGCCAAACGGAAATCCTACCAGGTGTTCCGCGTTGAACTGAAGACTTTGAGAGTTTCTTGCGTTTACTTGCAAGTTTGAAAATGACGTTAACTGTTTGCCAGTGAAATGATAATAATAAATGACAAGCTGAAAACGGAAAACTGCCTTTTTTGTTTCTTTCTAAGCTATACTCGAAATGGAGAAAAGGATTGCAGCGACGTCAGTCTCTGCGAGTCGAGAATGTCTTCCGTTCTTTCTTCGGCTGGATGATGCTTCCAGTCGCTCTGATGGGCGCCACCTGCACCGGCGTCTTCATTTTCAACACCTACCAGGTCAGCGCCAATATTCACTCTTCGGTTCGCGGAATATGGTTTTACATATGAGATCAAAATCGCATCTTATTTGTTTCTATTAGGTCGTTTACTAAGTTTCTTTCTTTTTTCGGTTGAAAGTTACTTGGTGTATAACTTTTCAATTTTGGATTCAAACAGCAAACAATTTCTCCCCCGTCATCCTCAGCTATCTGTTAACATGTCTGTTAATTTTGGAGTTCTTGACTTCAAAACGAGCAATGATATACTTAAAAAAGGGCAACTAACTCGATTTCAACCCCTCTTAGAAAAATTTTTTTTGTTTCTTCTAAAAAAATTTATGATTCAATGTTTTGTAGTTGATGACAACGAGGGAGGATGGAAGTACAGATAGAGTAGGCAAGCTGACTTTTTAAACAAAAAACCAGCCTAAAAATCTTTTTTCTTTAAAAGTTTCGGCCAGTGATCAATGACAATGACATGGTCGCTGAACATTTAGACGCTTTTCTCATCAACGGCTTTGAGGATGATTTTGATTTTTCGTGGTTAGTTAGTACATACATGGTCTGTATCAGTCACGTTTTCTTCAGAAGGTCTAAACGTTTGATGCCGTCAGAGAGCCTCTAGAAGTTAATCAAGCTATCATTTTAGTTGATTACCGTTTCTCAAAATTTTAGGCCGGAAAAACTCAGTTGAACCACTTCTGCTTTGACACATGGCTGCAGTGACCTTTGTTGTACTTGTTTTTTTATTAACTTGAGAGATAGCAAAAGAACAGAAAATTTGAGAGTGGATAGAAACCACTGCCCCCGTGCTATAAACATTTTTTGATGAAAAAAGCCTGTAAAATTAAATCCTCGAGTTTCACGGTAGCTGCCGGTTGCTAACGTTATGCCTATATTTTTTTTCAAAACCCCAAACCTGATAGATAATTACGAATGTACTTCGGGGGAAATCAAACGAAAACAGGACGCGCATTATTTCAACAGTGTTGGCCAATCATAAATTTGTATGGTCTGGCTTTTGAATAAATAACTCATTTCTCAAATTTTTTGGAAGCTAACGAAAACTTTCACGAGCAACCACACGACCTCAGTTTACGTTTTATGTAACTCGTTCGAATGATAAAATTGAAAAGGTAAGATAAAAAATAAGTTCGCAAAACTTTCCAAAAATCGGGATTTTTCGAGTTCGGACAAAGTTCTGTATCTTTTTTCTGCATAGTGTTATAGAAATATAGTTAGTTTTAATCTGAACTTCAGATTGTGTAGTAGTAAATACTATATAAAAGCAAAATTGTGAGAAGTGCTTTTTCTGGTTGAAAACTTTTTAAAAAAAGTCCTTCAAAAAAAGAAAGAAACTTAGTAAACAACCTAATATTTCTACTTTTTATTCATCAAAGATTCTGTTGAAAAAAGTCCATTTTATTCTCTTTTGAAAACTTTTTTATCAACAGAAAAATTCCAGCCAATTTTAGAAGGAATTGATTTTTCTCGTCAGGGAATTGGGATTGAAACAAAAGTCGGGCGCATTTTTTGAACTCCTTTTGAGAGAACATATACTCCGGCGCAAAGGAAAAACGGTCTTTGACCTGCAAAAATGGCTTTTCCTCGAACTCTAAAAAAGTTTGTAGGTTGTAAAGTGAATATTCGGATCACAATGAAAAGTTCTGTCAGAAATTCGTTTTCAAATTCCTAAAGGCAACTTTTACTATCCATATGCATTTAGGATCAGATTATCAATCTGTACTTTTCAGTTGCTGAGGTTTTAAAAAAACTTTTAAAAAGAAGAGTAGTCGTTTGAATTTCGGAAGATTGTGATTTCAGGCGATCAAGGCACGACGCGTCAGTCGCAAATGCTACATTCTGCTGCTGAACCGCGCGATCGGAGACTTACTCACGTGTTTCGTCGCCCTCATCATCGCTGGCTACGTCCTTCTTTGGCACGACATCAAGTCCACACTTGCCTTCAAACTCTCCTTTCTCAGGGAAAACAGAAGATTTGAAAAGTTCGTTTCAGCCGCGACATGGTCGTGCTCATGGATTCTTTTTTCATCGGCTCTTTCTGGTCCGCCATGATCTCTTACACGGCTCTTTCCGTTCTGAAGGTTCTATTTTTTTGAAAATGATCATTCAAATCTGAGAAATTCTTAAACGAAATCCAAAATCAAAAAAACCGTTTTATATAAAAAAGACCGTTTGAAGGAACGCCTTGGTAAACGGGCTATCAAAAAAATCATAAATAACGGAAACTTGTTAGTAAATCATTGAATCGATTTTTTTTTTCTGTAAGGGATCAGGGCGATATTTTTCCTGGGTCTCATTTTATTGATTCTTAAAAATAGTCAAGAGGAGAACCAAAAAGGTCTTTCTTCCTCTACCTTGCTACGGCTGATCATGAAAAGGTTAATAGTTTAACTGTATGGAAAACTATCGAGAAGAATTTCGATACACAGCTGTTTTACCAGAGCCATTCGAAATTTTTTGCAGTTATTCGCCGTTTGGCGGCCGTTCCACTACCGGAAATGGTTCACGATGAAGCGTTGTGTGTACCTCATGATAGTGAGGTGAGGTGCGACTTCCTGTCGGAGCCCAACCTCAGTGCGGTCTTTGCAGTTGGATCGTTTTTGCCGTGATGGTCAGCTACGCGCTCTTCATGTCGGCCCTCGTCAAGATTCCGGCCCTCAACGCCTGGTCCGGCTGCAAGCAGGAAACCTGTCTGAGACTCATGTATAGGTACGAGTTTCCACTCTCTTTGTCCTCTTTTTTGTTTTTACTTCTTTTTTGAATACTATATTTTATTAGTATTAGTTTCCATTTTAAAGTAATATAATTACTCAAAAAAGCATTGCTTTTTGAAGTTTCATTCATTTTTCTTCTTCTTTTTTTTTTATTGAAGAAATTTTCTTTCAGTAAAATTAGCGATTTTTCTGCTTCTAGTTTTTCTAAAACTTGAATAGCTGGACATTATAGTATGTTCAGATTTTGAATGTCAAGAAGCTAACTCCGCCCCTACTGAGACGGTAGCTTTTCGCGTCGATGTTTTACCGCGCGGGACTAGTTTTGATCTTTTTTGATCTAAAAGATAGAAAAAGAAGTCAAAAATGCAGCCTTATTCAAGGGCCATCGTCATCTGTAAATAAAACATTGACGCGAAAGATATTGTAGCCTTGGTGGTTGAGTTGGCTGCTTGACATTCAAAATCTGAACAGACTATATGAAAAATTTAAAACAACTGGAAAATTTATTGAAATATGAGTTGTTATTATTTTTTTTTTCATTTGATTTGGTGGTTTGAACTTTTGAGTAGAATCATCTACGTAAAACGCTTTAACAATGAAGCTGAATCACCCTCAAGAATTTTTGAATTTTTGGCGTGAAATGAGGAAGATTAAATAAGATGGTTTCACACCAGTAAACACGACAAAATTTGAAAACTATAATTTGATTTTTTTCTTTTTTTCCCATTTTTCAATTTTTCATTTACTATGGGGTTTTTCTCACGATTCTATCTTGAAACTATTAGACCTTCGCTTCTGTTCACAAAAGAAAATACGTTTCCAGCTGAGGAAATTAGGAAAGAGATCTTCAGTGCGTCGAAAGAAGGGAACGCGCGTAAGTCGTTGTCGGTCGGTGACAAGAGAAAAGGGGCTGGCCAGTCTGTCTCTTGGGCGTTGCGCTGTGAAGAGCTTTAGATCCAACTCTGAGAATTCGTGCGGATGAACAAGTCTGAGCGATGTTAAGACAGTTGAACATTATTGTTCACAAACCTTAGGTATTATTAAGGCGCTGTCCGATTTTTACTACTAATGGAATGTTGGCAAACAAAATACGAATATATAAAAAAATTTCATTCATATCGGTACTGATCACGGATTTTAAAAAGAATCCGGATATCTTTCAACGTTTTCAGCTTATCAAATAAAAAAAACTAGTCAAACTTATCAAGCTACTTTTTCAGAAGCCGCAACTTCTTGACGTCGAGTGTTTATGCATTCACGCTTATTGTTTTCATCGTAACAGGTATTGCTCAGGTCATAAATAAGAGATACTTCGGAACTCAATTTTTAGTCATTTTCATCCGAAGGGCGCAGAGTTTCAGCAACTCTTTCAAAAAGAAGTTGGAAGCTCAAGAATCAGGGAATACAGGAGTGGTTTGCAGGGACAGCGAGGCCGATGGAGGCCGAATCCGCCGCGTCCGCTTTCCGCTCTGGAAACTCGCGATCAACGTCGCAACTTTCGCCTTCCTCAACATCTTCTACGTTATTTGGTGAGTTGCTCTTCTCGGACTTTTCGAATTAATTCTTTTCTCAAAATCTACTCCAGCTTCCTTCAAATTTGTATCCGCTTGAAATTCAATTTGATGTTTCGATTAAAAAAAATCACCAGATTGTAAGGAAAAATGATTCGAAATGCACTTCGAACGTCTTGGGCTTAGAACGCGTAGCGGTTTAAAGAATGTGAGAAATAAACTCTCATCTGCAGAAATACGACTAGGAAGGCCAGGGTTAGTATTCTGAATGAGATGAGGTTCACTAAATATCATGATGGTCCGAAAAAAAAGAATGTTCCACAAAATATATATGAAAAGGGTCACAATTATCCAAAAAAGGACCCTCAAGAGATTGAGCCCCCTATTGAATAGAACTTCCTTCTATGCTCAGAAAAAAACAACTCAACTTTTCTAAAAAAAAAAACGTCAAGTTTAATTTGAAAACTTTCAAAAAAAAAAAATGCTGATTACTTATCATGGCATAAGCAAAACTCATGATTTTCAAAAGCCCCTCAAAACCCGAAATTTTTTATTAAACGCTCAATCATTCAAAATAAGAATACGTTGATCATTTTTAGTCTAAATATAATGAGTGCCTGCTGATAAATGAATATACGATTTGAGGTGTGTGGGGCTGTTGATAAACCGAGACCAGTGCTTTTTCCAACGAAACTACGCGGAGATGATGCGAATTCTGTCGTTCGTACGGACGACGCTGGTCCTTCGCACAATTGTCGACCCAGTCCTTTCTTTTGTCACCGACTACCAGGTGAACAATCGAAAAATCATCCTCTATCAAAAAAACCTATCCGAAAATGATAAAAAAGCTTTCCAAAGCTAACTTGAGAATGATTTTCGCAACTTGACGGGTAACTTGCAGCTGCGCCGTGGACTTCTCAACATGCTGGGCATACACCGGAGAGTCGGAGACATGTCCTCGCGGAACACCTTCCAGCGGTCCAACTACAGCAACTCGAGCGAAGGACCGAACTCTGTGATCGATCGTTCAACTCGAAGCCACACCACCACCACTGTCGCCAGCTCTTTGCCCAACTCTTCGGTCAAGCTTCCTTCCGAAAGAATATAACCTCACTTGGCATTGAATCATTGGTATATTTCCATCACTTTCCTTAGTTTATATTTAAAAATATTACTGCGAGACGAGTTACTACTTCGGAGAAAAAAAGTCGCATTTTTACCTCTGTCATTTTCAATCGGAAAAAAATTGATAAAAACCATTAGTAATTTATAAAAGGTTCAACTTGAAATAATCGGCGACTCCGAAACGCAGCCAAATGGAACTGAAAGAGGTATAGTTTAAAAAAACGCTGTTTTTATTTTGGGTAAATCATTTTTCTTCTTTTTTTTGCAGTCATTTTGTTACGTTTTTGATTTGATGTAGCCACCGGAATCTCATTTTACAGCTGATTTTCCGTATGAGCTTTGCGAACATTGAAAAAAATCAATAAAAAAATTTTTAGTTTATTATCAGAGATTTTCTGATTTTTGAGTACTTTTTTTATCCAATTAGATCCAAATGAAGTTAATGATCCAAAAACTAAAATTTAAATTTTCGGCGCGGTCTACTTTCCCAAAAATTCTTGGAGCGAGGAAAAAGTATAATCAAACCTAGAGTAACAAAAAAATTATTTTAAAAAAATAGAAAAAAACCCTTTGAACGACTTTTTTTCATTTTTCAATTTTCGAGCCTCGTTAGGGCTTAAATGTATCGGGTCGATACCATTCCTGTTTTCTGGTAACTATCTATCAGTTCTTATTATTACTTCTCTGTAACTTTTTTTGCAAACGGGTGTTCTTCATTTTTATTTTCAATAAACATATCTGAAAAGTGTCAACAAACTGAACTCAGAAGAAGCTCTTTGAAAAAAATCACAGAAATCGCTAATATTATACTATTAGATTTTTCAGAAATGAATTTCGAATTTCCCTTTTATAAAGATGAACGATATCACCTATCAATGAAATTATGTTTAGTTTGAAAAATTGATTATAAATAGAGAACCTTGGAATTATTTGCGATTCGGCCAGTCGCCGTGGATACCAGACAAGGTTGTATCGTTTTTCGGCTCACAAATGGCCGCTTCACCTATAATTAGCTATGCGATTGTTTACGCAGTAGAATGGACGAGACCTGTGGGCCGTCGGCACCAGCCGGCACCTCTCCGTTCAAATCGAAGAGCCGTTCCGCCGGTTTTCATGCTGGTGAGGAAGAACGAAACATCCTTCAGTTGTGATCAGGATTTCGAAGCCTTAAAATCAGCGGAATTAAAAAAAATGATTTGAAAAGACGTTTACGTGTTTCTTGTTGGATTCTCTCATACGAGTAATAAGTTGATGGAAACAATTTGGAAATTGGTTCTGAAGCGCCTATGAAAGACCCATGAATCCAACAAAAATCAGCTGACGAGATATTGTTCTTTGGAAGGATCATTTCAAGAAGTCAATTTTAGTTTTCATGGAACCTTTCAAAATGGTTGCAGGTTTTTGATTCTTCTTTGATAATATTCTAGCTCCACAAATTCTCAGAATAAAAAGTTGGGACGAAAAATGCAAAAAGGGCAGAAATAAATTCACACAGAAGTATGAAAAATTGCAAATGACGAGAAAGTCCCTTTCCAAAAAAGAAAGAAATGCAGCGTATCGAAGACAAAGGTATTTGCTTGAGGAACGTGCTCCGAGCACCTATAAGCTCGTTATTGGTTAGTAAATCGTGCTACCGGCAGGGCCAACTTAGATAATGCCTGTACTCGGCGGTTTATTAGCTATCGAGGTGGAGAACGACGTGTCGGCGTCGAGATTTACCCAAATAAGTCCTCTATCGTACTTGACTAGAGTTTTGTCCCGAAGACAAAAACATATATCTTCTATTTGAACTGGCGCTTGGTCTTCACATTGCGCTTCAAGCTGATTCTTTTTTGAGAATCGTTGTTTCTTCCAAAAACAAGCTTCTTTTAGAGATATATTCAAGCTTCATGTCGAATTATCTGAGTACTACAAAGTCGCATTTTTCTTATTGTGTTCGAGTTTTGAACTCAAACAACCCTCTTGTTGCACTCAAAAAATCAAAAAATTCTCTGAAGGTCAATAAACAAAAATTATTTCTGTAATAAAGTGGTAAACTTTTGAATATAACCCTATTCGAATTTATAACCCGTAAATAATTGATCTTTAATCAGAAATTTCTAAAAATGCCAAGTTTTTCATCGACTTCCTTCTTAATTCTGGTTTTTTTTAATTCTGAGAGATCACCAAACTTTCTTCGAAAGTTTGTTACGTCCAAATAATTTAATCGATTGCTACAAAAGCTCTGAGAATGGATCCGGTGAGCTTGAAAGAGTCTAGAAATGGTCGAGAGGGATTCAAATGGCCCACAGCTGCCAGCTGCTCCCTCTCCCACAGGACAACAAATCCTCGCGTGCCAAACCCAACGCTTCTCTTTCACATAGCCGAACTGGTCACTTTCCCAGCAGCAGACCATTTCCCGCTGCTCACTTCCTCCCTTCATCCGAAACTTTTCAGCTGCTCATCTTCTCTTGTCTTTGTACTTCCAACAATGTTAAATCTCGTTATATACAATTGATGTGTTGTTGAAAGAACAAATAAGGCGTCCAATCTACGTCAGTTTTGCGATAAAAACCGTTATCAAGGTCGTCGGCTGCGTTTTGACCATTCCTTCAAAAATAATTCAAAACGGATTAGCAGTTTTGTGTTCATCTGAAAAGTTTTATTGCAACTAGTATCAAAAAAAAAATCATCCAACAGAGAAATTTGAAAGCACTGTATTAATAATAAAAATGGGAGCAAAGCAAAAACCGCTCACTTTATCCACGGGAAACAGTTTGACACGGTCACATGGTTTTTTCGATTTGGAAAATCTAGGCTAGGCTATATTTTCTGTCAATGATGCTAACCAATTCAGATTGAGTAAACTTTCTTCCATATTAAATCCACGCTCAACTTTTTACTTTGAGTTAGCTTTTTTAATCCTGTTTCAAACATTTTCTCGAGTATCCAGCGTTGTCAGTGTTGTCTGGATTAATGTCCCATATCAAATGTCTCGTTTCCCAACGCTTGCCTCAAGAACTCGGACTGTTGTTGTTGTTCGCCATTGCTGTCGCTTATCAGCGTGTGACTCTCCTCCAGCCTTTTTGGTTTGAATTGACGAGTTGTTCTCCTCTCATAGTACTATCTGCCATCCTTAGCCATCTTCCTTTATAGTTTCACTTTTCTTTGAACTCATGTAAAAAGAAAAGAGGTCAAATTTTGAATTGGCACAGAAACGTCGGCCCGACCTTCGGCGAGGCGTGAAAATCAGTTGTCAGAAACTCGTCAAAGGTATTTTGCCTATTTCCGAGGCACGGCCTCGTCGTTTCGAAACCAATTCAACCTGAACCTTTCTGAGGACTTTATAGTTCCAGTCAGTTTCTTATACTCATCTGTTTTCAAGTTTGCTTTTTTGACGTTCTCCTTGTAAGCTTCTCACATTCCATCTTCCTACTTTGATATCGAGGTAACACTGGATTTTCGTGTACAATCACGGTCCGTAAACGCAATACCTAAACCAATTCACAACTTAGAGGCTGAGATAGTATTCAGAAGTCTTTCAAGAAGCCTCAAAGTTTGTGAAATGGTGATATTACAGAAGTTTTAAATCGGATGATTTTCGTTTTATAGTAACTGATGGGCAACTTTTATTTTGAAGAAATCAGAGCAATTACTTTTGAAAATTCTAATAAGATTTTTTCCATTCATCGCGAATAAAAATTTGAATTCTACCTGCGCGGCGCCACAACCGCAAGCCGTAAAAAACTGGCCGAAGGTAAAGAGCGGCAGGTCTTCGTGGAAAAAAACGTCTATTGCGCATTCGCTTTTTTGGTAACAATGCGTCAGGTGTGGCGGCAAAGAAAAACCAGACTAGAAGGGCAGTCTAAGGATGAGCTTCTGCCAATCTGTCGATGCTGCGTTTTTTTTCTTGATTCTTCTCGACTATATTCTGATATAACGCTACAATGTTGAAAAAAGGCGCATTAGTGAAGAACACGATGTTTTTTCAATAAATATCAACAGTAAAAGCCTAGGAATTTTTTTGATCTTCAAAATTAAATTCAGCCTGTGGTTCCATTCTACATGGAGGCCATTTTATTTTGAGATTAAGAGTTTTTCAAAATTTCGCCGGAACAAATTTTCCGTTTTCTAAGTCTAAATCGAGACCCTGAAAATTTAACGGGCAAATTACTAAACTTTGAGTGAAAAGTCTTCAAATTATTCCATTCTTGATATATTTTTTCTTCGCTGTAGATATAACAACATCACCAGATATTGTTTGATATTTCGTTAGAAAGTAAAATAAAAGGCGCATTATGCAGTGACTAGCTATATTGAGGTTCATTCTACAATGTGAAGAAAAGAATCGATGTTTTTCTCGCTTCTTTTAAGCAAAATTATTCTTTTTTCTCGAAAGTAAACCGTCCATCAACTCGAAATTTTGCGATTCCGATTAGAAAATCTTTTTATTTCTCGAGTTGAACGTGGGAAATGATTTGAATGCGAGAGAGGTGGTGCCGTGAGCGAATTTCGCGGAATGGGCACTCAGAGCAAACACGGATTCAAACGAAACTCAGGCTGAGCCGTTTCCCGGCGGGTGCTCCTTTGAACGCCGCCACGTCTTCACACTCGCTGATTACACACCCTTTTTTATCATCTATTTGAATTTATTTCTTTTCAAATACGGTTCTCCCAAGGTTCATTGTTCAAAAAAGATGTTGGAGGTTCGATTCTCATGGAGAGCATACCTCATCCTTTTTCGATAATTATGACTTTTGAAAAGCTTTCTTTCCGAGATTTTTTTGACGTCTACATTTCATTTCCTGGAATCAAATAATAAAACTTAAATATTTACCTAAATCCTTTCAATTCACTAAAAAAACCTTACTTCCCATAGTAAACTCAAAAATTAGAAGTACGAATTTGGAAAAAAAAATACTACAAGTTCCTGTTTTTTGGTTAAAATTCGAATGAAGGGCTAGTAGATAGATAAGATACTTCATACCTTCTTAAAACTAAGAAATCCCCTACTCATACTGTGCTTGTCGGAGCTGTTGGACGGCGAAAATTCAAATCCTCATACGCGTTTCCGCCGGAGGACCAGGTGGCCTTTGCTTTTTCCGACCGGCTCAGTTTTTGCGGCAAAAGAAACGGAAAAAAAGTCCGCGGACCTGGGGATGGGTCACAGTTTTGAAATGAATACGGAGAGTCTTTTCTACTGCTTTCCAAGTTCAGTAAGACTAAACTTTCCCGAACCATGGTCCCAGAGAAAAACACTAAAAAAAAGCTTAAGGCGATCCAAAACCAAGCCCTTCCAAATATTTTTTAAAGCGATGGCGCTTGCTCAATCTACTGTAGGCCATGATTTTGCCTAACTTTGCGAGAAAACTTAGTAATAATTCGCTTTTTGCACAGATTTTGTAGCACCAAAGTTCTTCTGAGCCTTATTACCGTAATAAGTGATCTACACCAGCTGGTTATTTGAGATCACTTTTTTTTTATTGGGAAAGATATCAGCAGCTGAGTTTGCGTTTTCATTATTTGAAACAAATATTTCAAAAAGTAGGCAGTTCACAAAAGCACGGAGGAGGGCCGCCTGAAAGACCTGTCACCAGTGATTCACGTGCGACGGGGTGTCAGTTCGAAAGCAGAAGAGCCACACGTGTAGCTTCTTCATCCTTGATTTATCCCACTTCTCTTTGATTGCTCCGTCATTTCTTTATTTCTCACTCTTCCAGTAAACATTAATTTTAATGAATGCTACCGCAGAATTTTTTTTCGGCGTTTGTATATTTTTGAATCCTGAGATTTTGCCCCGGACGAAATTAAATAAAGACGGCTGACAACCGTAAATTTTTTCTCGAAATTCTTTCTAAGGCTTTCTTAACGTTCTCTTCGGTTTTTTCAAACCACCCAGATTTCTCAGGCACTCGACTTATATGATTCACTTGATCAAAAAACTTCCATTTTTTTTGCTTCTGTACAAAATTTCATTTTTCAAAACAAATCAAATATAAATGAAAATAGTCCTTTATTTCGAAGGACAAACTCTGTGCAAAAAATTTTCTTGGGAAACGCGACAAGAGAAACTCAGACCGAAAGAGTACAGTACTTCCTACTGACTTTGAAAAGCAGAAGGTTGTTTCGAAAAGAAAAGAGAATGTCGTGCCGGTGCGCGCCGAGCACTTATTCATTACCCGTCGGCATTTCCCTGTTTTGAATATTCTTTTTACTTCGAAGTCAGGCGTGGGAATCCCTTTTCGAATTTGAAACTATGCCATTTCCAAAGTCATATATATCTTTAAATAAAGTAAGACGTAATTTTGTTCTGCAGATATGAAACTTAAATTTCACTTTGGTCGGTATAAAGATGAAGTTCTTGTTTTATTCTTGTTAATTTAAAAGAACTTCGGTATAAAAACTTCATTTCAGAAACTTTGGTTATCGGCATTTTGATAAAGTATCTACTTCTTCTTCTTCTTTCTCTTTGTTCTTCTACCTAGGCCTTCGATACGCTTGAGCGGCGTCGGCGTCTCAAGTCGATCAAAAAAGCCCTATCCTGATATCAGTGATAATCAGTGGACTGGCTCTAGTGATACAACTGTTCTTGTGAGTCACAGCTAGGGTTTGTGAAGCCGTGGTTTCCGCATACCATCATTTCTTAAACTCATTAGTTCAAGGCGCGGCGGGGTCGAACTTGCGACCCTATGAACCGTAGTCAGGCACACAGCCTGTTGCGTTACGGCGCACCGTGCACTGTTGAAAAAATATCATTTCGGGTAAAAGCCTCAGCGCTCCTTTTTAAGCGTTCAAAAAAAGTTTATTTTTTTTTTTTGCTGCTTTTAGCATTCCTTCTGTAGAGCGGTCACCGAGAAACAAGACGAGAAAATAAAAACTTATAATATAGTTAGAAATATTTTTATTCTTTTTCCCTTTCAAACCCCCGCAATGATACATTTTATTTGTTGACCAGGTGAGATCTGAATCTTGGCAGCCTTGCATTCAAATAGAAGTTTGGACGAGTAGCAACCGGTTGGTGGAATTGGCAGTTGCGGTCGGCGAGCCCTTGGAGCAGTGTGCCATTGAAGAGGAAGACCGGTTCTACGACGTCTTCCCCTTTTTTCTCTTCTATCAGTTCCTTTCTTCTAGAGGGTCCCTACATCATTTATTTTTCTTTTCTCGTTCTGATCTGAATGCGGTCTTCAGCCTTTTACGTTTCTGTTGCGCAACAAAACCCGATTGCGCAAAACCACGTTCCCAAGACTTTGACCCTTTTGTTTTTGCTTCCATTTTCCGACCGAAAAAACGTTCAAAACTAGGCTTATTTCAGGCATGCTGAAAAAGTCGGTTGGTTCGGTCGGCTAGAAGGGTTTTTTATAGCGGTTATTTTCAGAAATTACAAAGTTTTTATTTGAACATCCTTGAAAATTATTGAATCTTCTCATTTGAAACTTTTCATGATACAAAGAATTGAAGAATTGTCATTATAAAAAAACCTCAGAACCGACCGGCTTTTCCAGAATACACTTGCGAGCACCAAGTTCGAAATGACCTCAAAGAAATTTTTTGAGTTGCATCTATCCTTCGAAGGAAACAATACCGACACTAGCGGTTGACCTCCAGCACTTCTTTGAGCTCCCAAGATTTGAATCGCGGCGCAACCGAATGGCGTTCCCAGACACGTTAGTCATTCCCAGACGGCGCCGTTTCATTACTTTTTTTGAAGCTTCTCCTCTATCACGCGCGTACAGAAGTTGGTGTAGTTGACGCACAGTTTACATAACCGCGTTTATTCCGAGTTGTTATTCCATATGTCGGGTCGTATGGCCTCTCAACACAAGTCTCTTCGTTTATTACTGGAACGCTTCTTATCTTCTCCATTCGATTTAACCAACTTTCTTTATTGAAAAAAAAAAACTATGATTGTTGAAATGGATCAACAAAAATAAATGAAAGAGAGCAACAAAAAACCGCAACGTCTGATATCTTGAATCCTCATAGTCTCTGACTTTCATCAACTCGTGCCAAAACTCAATCCAAAATTAAAACTGAAAATCAAGTCCAATTTTACTTCACTCTCTGAATCTCCATATTAGGCTGATACTCTTCACTTTTTGATGAACTCTTATTTAAAATAAATTTTTGAATTTCATTCTTTCATTCATCTCATCCCTCTGAAAAGTTAACGGGTTGATATATCTTACAATCACTTTTCTACTCTTCCTATACTCAATGCCGTGTTCAATTTGATTCCGCGAAATGCAAAATACCCGTTAGAGAAAGGAAAAGATCACTAAATTTTGGAGAGTCAGAGATCATTTTGCATTTCGCGGAATCAAACTGAACACGGCACAAAGCCAATTATTATCCCTATTTTCTATTTTTAGATCAAAGTGAGCTTTGTATGATTTATTTAAATTTTCCCAGTCTTTAAAGGGAACAGCACGTGCCATTCCGCTCGAGCGGCGAGCGGAGAGAAAACGAAAGCGACAGGTTTTTGCCGTCATTCTACGCGTTCTCCTGACCGATTTCCCTTTTTCACGTGTGCCGAAATTCAAAACAAATCATTTAATTGTGGAAAAAACGTGTAGTCCAAGGCCAGATGTTTCAAAAAATTTTTTTCCTTTTCTCTTTCTATAAAGCTAGAATCTTTTAAACTTGCGAAAACAGTTTCGAATCCTTTAAACGAGAAGTCCTTGAGTTTCATGCCCAAAATCGTCCTTCAGAAGTCTGAAAGTTTGAACCTTGCTGAGGTTCCAAACGGCCGCCGCTCACAACGACCTCAGCCCTATCGGCGGACGATCGCTTCTCCTCTTCGGCCCTGACTTCATCTATCAACTTCTACACCAACTTTTTCTTTTCAGATCAATCTCTTTCTATTTTGATCTCTGACGCTGATTTTCAAAGTACCTTGGTTTTTTTTCTTGGAGAACTTTGTCAAGGTAGAGGTCAGACTTCTCGCAAAAGCTCGGTGATTACGTAACTAACCCGAATCTCGAAGGAAGGTCGAGGTCATTTGGTCTTTGAGCTTCATCCCAAGGCCGCCAGTTTATTGAACCTTCACACTCTCCTACCCAAGAAGTTTCCGATTTCTTACTTTTCTGTACCGGAATGAAACAAAAGATAAATCGAACATCCCCTCGATATATCTAGCAACTAGTACCTCACTTTTTTGATTCAATAACTTTTTATCAAAAACGAAGATATAAACAAAAAGACTCAATTAAGTCTGTGCTGCCTTTTTTTGAAGAAGTCAAATCAGTTTCGTTTCAGCTAGCACGTTTGAATTCGCCCTTCGAAGTACCTCCCCATCCAGCACTTTTTGCTTGGACTTTTTTTTTTCGCAGTTTCACCTTGAGGTTTCGAAGAAGGTCCGCTTTTTTCGATGGGCGCGACAAAACGACCCTCCTCTCCAGTAGGTTTTGTCCATTTGAACCCTAATTTTCAAAATTTCTTGTTGGAGTCTAATCTCAAAAGGGCAGAAACTCGCGCACGTGTAACCGCAGCTGAAAATTTTACAATGAGTTGACCCCAAGAGCCACTTTTCGTCGCTTAGTTGTCATTTACAATAGGCAGGCTGGTTGGAGGTCAGCTGCCTCTTCTTTCCTCACTTCTTTTCTAAAGCTTTTCCTTGAAAAACTTTAAGAAGTTCGCGCCTTCGACATGTGAAAATGTTTTATTTACTAGGCAAACTAATTGGGGCGGAATTCAGGATTTGAGATACTTTTGAGAAACTTTTATATAAGTTCAGCGTCCCCTTTGTGCTCTTTCTGACATAATTGTTTTTTTGTTGATTATAATTCATTCCCATAGTCATTTTTCATCCGCAATATTTTTATCCTTCGTTTTTTTTTTCAAACTGCTGGAAAGATCGCCGCAGATTCCGGGGCGTGAGCGGTTTGGGAGTTCTTCTTCTTCTCAACCAATTTCTACCGTTTGATTCTGCTACTTCTAAAAATTTAGATGAGTATTTATTTAGTTTAGATAAGTCTGAACAGCTTGGATTTTGCTGAAAGAAAATTAAGATTCTCTCATACAGTAGCGTTCACTTTGTTCTACAAGTATGAAAAAGTAGCTAGCCTGATAACGAACGTTTTTTGGCCTCTCTGATAACCAAACTGTCACTTGAAGACTGAAAACGTAATGTTTACTGCGTTTTTCTCTTGTTCAAAAATGGAAGCGACTGGGTTGTACGGTAATTGTGGGAGGCAAGTCTGCTAACGAGATCTCAGCTGAAATCTGAGGTCCGCATCTGATTTACATGACAATCCGTCACGTCGTTCCCACACCGCTCAGCCCGTCCTTATCTCCTTTCAATCGCTCAGCCATTTTCCATGAAACTTCGATGCTTCATCCTTTTTCGTCATCTCCAACTCCAAAATGAAATCCTTCTGTCCAGCATTCAACTTTTTCTTTCTCATTTCTCATGAGTTAATTTCGGGTTTAATCCACGAAGTACCCACTCCAAACTTTGAACTAAAGACTTAAGTTATTTATTCAGGCTCCGAAAAGATCTTCATCCTATTTTCTCATGGTTAAGTGGGGTTCAAAACTTGTAGATCTCGAAGCGATGACTTAAAGAAAAACAATTGATTTTTCATTTTTTCGCTCTTCGAGTTTTCAGAACTTTCTAGAAAATGTGTGCGACGACAAAAGCAATTTCGTTGCTTAATCCTAAAAATGTTCAAATTAAACTTCTGTCGCGAGAAAATAATTAGGAATTTATTGTAAGAAAACAAGAAGAATTTTTCGCCGCAACTGGATTATTTGAATTGTGCTCTGGACATTACAACTGACGGTAGTAGATAATGGGATGTCGGCAAAGTGTAACCCCGCGCAGATTCAAAAAAGTGCTCGGCGAGCCGGCCTGAGCACACACTTGGCATCTCATATCCCGTCGTTTTCGGGTCATCTTCTGTGTCTGCGTCTCTACTCTCTCGCGTGACAATGTCAAATAAGCCATCTCGGTATATGCAAGATATTTCAAACGCGCAGAGAATTCGATCAGAAAATTCTCCTTTTGAATCAAGATTGAACATTCGAGGCTTCGAATTGCATATTCTATGTGAATGGAAGGCTCAAAGGGAGCTCTTGGAACCAGTTTTTTTGAGGTTTGACTTTCGCTCATTTCAAAAACCCGCGCAACTAATCAAAAAGTAATGATGCGACGTTGGATTTGACCCAAATGCGGCTCTCTCAGTGCATTGTTGCCCTTTTCTCCAATCACGGATCTCAAGTTATCTTTTAAGATCTTGTAGCCTCAAACAACTCGGAGACTTTTTGAAAATTGCAAGTCAAAGCGATGTAGATGGCTCAAAAAAAAAAGTTTTTTGAAATATTATTTGTTCCAAATGCCTTGTTGGTCAGAACGCAGGGAATTTCAAATAACCGAGTGTATTCGGAGATTTCCGCGGATACCCTCGCCTTTGTCCTTATGAGTCTTTATAGACGGCCGCCGAAATCCATTTTCGATTCCTTTGATGTTGCAAAAGCCTCAGTTAGTCTTTCCTTCAAGTTTTGCATTCTTTTTTCATGTCCTCTCTAACACAGAAGTGTTTTTTGCATACTTTCGGAGCAGAAACTTTTTTTGAACTATCAGTGAATTATGGAAATTTCGAAGTACTTTTCTTCTGATGGACACTGTCTTACCTGTAGCAAGTCGGTCGACATATGGAGTCTTGGTGATGAGCGACTTGTCCCCCAGATGCGTAGCCTTCCTCTTAATTAGGCCCGTTGCAACCTGCAAATACGGATCGTCCTAAGAAAATTACCGTCCTTTCGTTTTGCAGGAAACAAGATGAATGAGTTAGGACTCGAAAACTTCAATTTTTTAAACTTTTTCTTTTTTTCTCTCTGAATTTTCTCACTAGTCAGATCTCTCAATCTTTTCGGTATCATGTTTTTAAATATCTCCTAAAAAGCCATGTTTTTAGCTCATTTAATGATATTCCTTCGTTTGCAAATAACTATAGAAAAATAATAAGTGCTCTGAATGAAGACTTTGAATCAAGTTAAAAATACACATTTGTCCGGAATCTGAACCTTGACTAGACGCATTCAATTTCTAACTCTTCTTATAAAAAAAAATGTCTTTAAGAACTTCATTCATAAAAAATTTTCACAGGTGACTTTTTTTTTACAGAAGATAAGCTTTTTTTTTTAACTTTTTCTTCACAACTAGATAAAAGTGCAAAAATTAAAAAAAACGCTTTATGGGGGTTGATGACGGGGGTCTGCTCTCGCTCAAGTTGAGACGTTGCGCAACCGGCGGCAACTGTCCCCAGCTTTTGGCCTTTTTTTTCTGCTTTTTCTCAGTTCATATTTCAGCGAGCAGCTGTATCTATGTATTGGAGACTGTTTACACGTGTCTTTCCGAGCTTCCCTTCTCTTCGGTAGGATAAACAAAAACCGTACTCTGTGCCTCTCTTCGAAATGGACGTTTTCTGGAATATCTCTTAACGAACGTAAGAATACCACGCTTTGAAATTTCACTAGAGAATTCCCAGTTCCAGGGAAGTAAATGTGTGATTCCTCGAATAGCAAAGACTCAATACTAACACGGTTATACAGAATTTCATTTGAAATAAGCGGAAATCTTTAATAACTTCTAGGTTGAAGTTTCTTGATCTCAATGTGCCAAGCCGTGTTATCTGCACTAATGTTCCCAACTCTTTTTGTTTACTGACTCTCCGACAGCGACGTAAGCGCCACAGTTAGCCAAACTCGGACTTCTTCAAAGGCATTTGGAAGGCGTTCGAAGAGCTCTTTGCCTTCCGTTTATTTGCCTTTCTTGTCGAGACCCATAAACCGTCGCCGTCAACCAATTATGCACAGGACGGAGCAAACCGCCAAAATTGGGATGTATGCGTGCATTGCGGAGCTCATTAATCGCGCAACGGCGCCTCTCCAGAGGCAGACAGCCTCAGAATTCAAACGTGACCCCGGCACAGACCTTATAATCGACCCGTCGAGGACAGTCTCCACGAATTTCGTGCCGACAATCGTGCTTTTACAGCCCAACTTGGACTCGCCGCCACCTTGTAAAAGGTTTCTACACTCGTCTTTTAGACTCCCGAAGCTTGAAAACAACGATGAAAATCCAAATATATACGCGATTCAACAGCTTCAAGATAATTGTTTCCTTGAATTCTTGGGAAAATTAAAGGTTTTTAGAGAGCTGTACAAAAAATTTTTTTGATCGACAGGTATAATTTTTTATATAGAAAAGAGAAAATGAGCTTTTCAATAATACCAAATTTGAGCTTTCCTGACTAGAAGGAACAGAATTCAACAAGAAAAAGTGCAATTCCAATGTCTATTTACGCAGGACTTTGTTACCTTAAACATTTTGCTACCAAATGGATGATAAAACGATCGTTTTTAATGATAATCAGCTGACCCTATTTTAACGACAAACATCTTTTTTTTTCCTCGGAAATATGCTAGTAGACTTGTCAAGACAATGCTGCTTTTTGGGGTGGAGCGCGAAGAATTCAAAAAGGGCGGATGGTGCTCCTTGGCGGGACGTCAGCTGTCGCGCTAGTCCGGCTCAGCTTCTTATGATCGATTGCATAACGGTGTGCCACCGTCTGCGGCTTTTCTCAGTTTCTACTAGGTTCAAGCTTAATTGTACCATAACGAAAATCTTTCCGTTTCATTGAAACTATGAGTTAAATATGAAAATAATGTTTACTTTCCTTTTTTTAAACCTATTTTTAAACGATTATTCCAAAAGAAACAGACCCAATGAGAAACTCGAAACGAGGTCTGATCGGTCCTTATTGTTTCTGCCGCAAGACAGGTGTGAACTCGCATAGGAATGCTCCCTTTCCGACGCCGCCGAACGTCTTCGAAATCGCGAGATTAGAGCCACCTGTCCTTTCTCCTCTTTTCCCTTTCTCGAGAATCCATGCATTCCTTTTTGCAACACAATCTCTTCCTGTCTGTGTGTACCCATTAAAACTGGTTTATTTCCAACTTTGAAAAAACAATTAGAACTTCATAACCCTCTTCTTTTTTTAACGAGCTTCATCTTCGATTTCTTTAGCAAACGTTCCATTCTAAAAGTTTTCCACAAGTTTTTTTTTTAAACGAAGCGTCGAGGCGTGGGAAAATTTCTTGTGTTTGTCTTATCATGTTAGTCGCCGGTAATTTTTCCATGCTTCAAATGGGGGATCATAACTCTCTGCGACTTTCCATCCAAATTTAGTTGCGAGCGTTCTCTAAGTTTAAAAAGAATAACCAGCTAGAAAGAGCAGGAAGACTGGATTTTGAGCCATTCCTGAATGCATCGGACCGCAGCGAGGCCGCCACCTGCCGTCCGCCCTGGACCAGTTCAAAAACCGGTGTTTAATGCTGGCACTACTAGCCCCGATGTCATGTCTGGCAAATGACATGAGAAATTGTTGTTGAATTTTGACATAGCGTCTGCTCGGCATTAAATTTGACTCGACTCAATCGCGATTTACGAGTTTAATTTTTCGACCTTATTTTCTCTGGAAATAAAATACAGCCATGAAAAATTCGAGGTTTAATTCGAGAGATCAAGCCAGACCGTTTCAAGTCGTGACAAGATTTCAATTTAGAAAAATTTTTGACCGCTTTACAATGTTTCATGCAGATATAACTTTTTATCGCTTTTTGGGGGTTCTAAAAGGAAAATATTAGGATTAATAGCAATGAATAGATGTAGATATATTGGTATACGATCGCTTTATTGCAAGCCTGAACTAACTGCTCTACCCTCTAAAGTTTTCCAGACACCGTAATCAGAAGTCTACCCAAAACTGAATTTCTTGGATTGTGACCGCATTAGATTTCTGTCTTTTTGAGAAGAACATCGTGTTTTTTTTTTTACGAAAACTAACAGTGCTAAGCGAAAATTTCTATATTTTTGAGAATTGGGAAAATTTTTCCATATAGTTCGGAAACGTGAAGAGAGCCTGGTAGCAGATCAGACCGCGGTTTTTTTTTCAAACTGTATCGTTTTGCGTGTCCTTTGGCGGCAAAGTAGAACAATAGAAAGAGTTGTCCCCAATACACGCTGATAATGGCAGCTATTGTTTCGAACGGTAGCCAGGTTCTGTTCGGTTTGGCGGCTCTTTTCTCATTCTCAGGAGCCTCGTAGAGTCGCCCAGGTCACGACGACCCACTGCGCCGCCCTTGTTTGGTAGACCTACCTGAGTGCTCTCGATCGATGCCTCCGTCTAGGTTACCGTTCCGATCAGTTGTATTTATAGTAATAGTTATGCGAATTATTTCTATTTCTTCATTATACTCAATCTTCATAGCTTTTTACTAATTATCTTGCAGGATAAAACTTTTTATTTTCCTCAAATAGACCCTCCAATTCCATACTAACTAAATCTGAGAGAAGTCAGCCTTTTTTTTTTGAATAGTCATTCAGATGAGCGACACAGTTCTCAAATTTTTTTTTTGTTTCTAGTATGCATTTCAGAACTGTATCCTTTTGCGCATCTGTCCATCGTTGCTTTAAACCTATATGCCTTTTCACTTCCCGAACTAAGGTTTCCAGGTGACCGCAACGAGAAGTTTACCACGACTTGGCCTAAATGTCACGGCTCGTAACCACATGACGGATTTATGTGTGTTTGAACGAGGACAGTTTCCCTTTTTCTCGCCTTTTCAACCCCAAACGACACGGTGCTAAGCGAAAAATGCAACATTTGATGATGATTTTTCGAGCGAAGTGAGGCCACAGCCTATTGGAAGTGCTCAGAAGAGCGGGTGGATAGGCCGTCGAAAGGACTCTCGAGTTTGTGCTGGGCATTATCCTGCGGTGGCCTCGCCAGGTCAGAGCCTCTTGCTCAACGGACGGTAATCCGCGTGCCTCTACCAATATCCAATAATGGCCACCCACCGACTTCTTTTTTCCAGTCTCTTCGATCACAAGCCTCGAATTCTTCGTTGTGAATTTTTCTTTTTCTCGGCTGAAGCTCACAGAAACTCGGAAAATCTCAGGAAAATTCTCCTCGAATTTTATTTCCTGTAACTGAGCTATTTGAACCGTTTTTTTTTCTTTCTTTTTGTCGATAATTGATGCTAATATATCCTTTGTAAAAGAGTTGTACCATCAAATTTCGTTGATTTTTTGCGTTTTCCATGAAATTTTCTATCTCTAGTTTCAGTTTTACAGGTACCTCTGGCTTGGCGAATCTTTGGATCGACCCGCGGGTCCTGCCAAAATGTTTCCATCGCGCAATCAGCTCGCCTGCGCTCCTGTACGACGTAAAAGTATGTTGAAAAATTTCCGAAACACTTCTCTTTCTTTCTAAAAATCACTGGTTACATCTTCATATAGCTCTCTATCTTTTCACAAGCTGAATTCAATAATGGAAAAGGGTTTCCGCTTTTATTAAATTATTTTTTCTTCATCAAACACCAATGAAAGATTTTCTCAAGAAGTCTCTTTGAATAGACTAGTTTCTGACCATATCCGGCACATGTCAAGTTTAAAGTGTTGATTGACTTTTTGGCACTCGACACGGTTTGATGGATTGAATGAGGGTTACGTCACAGTCAGTGTGTGAGCGGAGTACAAACAAGAAAATAGATCTTTTCTCCATCGCATAATCGTCACCTTATAATCTCCTAATTCTTTTCTCAAATGATCCTCATTAAAGTGATTTTCCTGTAAACTATGTTTAACTCAAGATTTTCGATATGGAGGAGAAAGAAACGTCGGATGTCAGAAAGATCTTTTTTTCAGACTGTTTCGAAGAAAATTCGGTGTTTCGAAAAAACTCGGTCAACTGAATTTGAAAAAATAATATTTTCTGAACAGAATCAAAGGGAATTTTCTAGGCTTTTTCAGAGGAGAGTTTTAAAGTATTTTAAAAATGAATAGGAAATATAGAAACTGAGGCTTAGTTTGGTCTATTAGTTCCAAAACCGTTTTAAAACAAAAAAATGTGGAAATTTCTAGTTATGAAAAAATATTTATTTGTTTTAAGAATAATGTGTGAAAGTTTTTCTTTTTGCAAAAATTGATTCAAATTTAAACTGCTCACCGGAGCCGACGACACAGAAACTGCTGGCCTTGGATCTCCATTGGCGATAAGCGGAAGTAACATTCTCACGCAGACTGCACATAAAACCTAACCGTTTTGCCTTGAAGACCTGAAATTTGCGCACAAATGATCAGAGCATAAAGTGAGACACTTTGCAGAGAAACTTTCAACGATGACTTGAAATTTAGAAAGATAGCAGATAAAAATAAAAATTTTTTTGAAAAAAACGTTTCATTAAAAATTTTGAAAAGATTATTGATAAATGATGATTATGAATAAAGAAACATTAGTATTTATCCAGAGTTATGCACAAAGAAAGTAACATGATGCTGGAGCTATTAATATAATTTTTTTAAAGATCTTCAAAAATTTTTTTGAGGGAAAAATAAGAATTAGTTCCGCTAATTTCTCAGACGCGCGAGAAACGGGGTAATTTTTCTGCGAGTCCTCCTTAAGAGGTCACTAGCAAGTCTAAGAGGTAACTCTAGCGGTCCTCTTTTCCTTCAGTGATCACTCAAAGAAGCCGGCCAATTATTCTTTAAACAAATTAAACCCTTTTTTCCCTCGCTTCCTTTTTTACTCGCTTTTTGTTCGGTTATTGTAATTAAACTTTCAGTAAAATATAGATATAGAGAAAATAGCATCGAAGCATTTACGGTTACGGCCGCGAAGATGGGATTTCTTACCAAACGTCACTTTGAACCAAAAAAAATTTTTTTTTTTCGAAATTTACTTTTTGTGCTTTTTGAAAATGCTTTTTGTCATGTGAAAATCTGCTCATTATCCGCTAAATAGAGTCAACACTAAACGATAAAACAAAACTTTAGATTGGCATGACGAGATCCTGTAGTTTCACATTAGACGAGGCATATTGGCACCTTTTGAAGTGTGAATATGCGCTCTGGGCAAGCGGATTCGGGTTTCGCGGCATCTTTTCGCTTGCGTCACACAGTCTTGATCGTTTTGCACACTATGCAAGAGAACTGCTCGAAGCCCCTGGCATCCCTTCCCAATCTATTGAGTGACAATGTCACTTGGGGGTTGTACCGGGAAAAAATATAAAAGCTCCATAAGCTGACATTCTCATTTCATTCTTTTCCTTTTTTCCGTTTTTCTGCAAGCATACTTCGCTTTGTCCTTTTTTGTGTTCCCTACCTGTAATGTCTCAATGAAGCTTCAGATAATCTTTTGAGTATATTTTCATCCTTTATGTGGAAAATTTTAATGGATCTCGAATCCGTCTCGAATAAGCTTACTGTTGAATTCTTCGATTTCTAAGAAATAAAAACAATGCTTTCTGCATTGTGCACTGGCCTATAGCTGTCATGGGTTTTTGAAAATTTTTTATCTCTCAACAATTTTTAAAGTTTTTTTTTTTATTCAAAATCGTCTTAGATTTTTCCCCGCATTTAGTTCGTCTTTTAGTTTGACAGGACTTTTTTGATCTAATGCTCGCGGCCACGTTTGATCTATACTGTGCTCTTTGAATATTCTTTAATCGAACAATTTTATAGAACTATACTCTTGCAATTTTTCTTTTCCATCGTTTTAAACCCCTTTATTTAAGAACATCACTAGTTAGAATTTTTTTAATTGCATCATCGATAATGCTGTAATATTTTTGGTTTAAAAGATACCGCATTTTTTTTCTCTCACTTCAATTAAATATTTGTTCAATTCGAAGTTTGAACTTTTTTTCAAATTTAGATAACGCTTGAAAAGCGGCGGATAATAGAAAGAGTCATTCATCACGCTATCGGCGTTCGTAATCTAACCTCGATTTTCCTGAGGGGGACATTGAACCGCGAGAAAACTCCTCATTGAAGGTGTTCTTAAGAAATTGTCAACTTGTCACCAGGCGGCCGATATTCATCGAAATGCACCGTGACAAATTGACCTCCGGTGCCCTTCACCGTATCCGTCGGGTGGCACGAATTCAAATTGGCGTTAACTCACCTCTTTTTGAAGGTCCTTTCCCGCTTCCCATTATTCTCTTTATTGTTTTCGCGATAAATTACTGCCAAATTTGACCCATTCAAAATTTAAAGAATTTTTTCATTGCTTTTTTTGGAGCTTGATTTAAATACAAGTATGTTGATAATTATAATATAAAAAGTAATGAATTCCAAGATGGGCTATTTATTTCAAAAAGTATAGGGTTTTTTATTGACAAAAAAGTCCATTTCGAAATAAGTTCCACGCGAGGGCCGCTCTAACACGGGATTTTCACATTTACGTTTTTTTGAAAATATTTCTAATCAGCTATTAAAATAAGTTTCTCAAATTCTAACTTTCTTTTCTTAATTCAGGTTGCTCTATGAACTTTTTCTCTAAAGCTTCAAAAAACTCTTTGCAATGAATTTAAGAAAATCTTTACCTAAGTAAAGACATTTTTACGCTTCAAACAACCATCAAAAGTTCTGCCTGCTAGTTTTTTTTTCGGTGTAGGGGAGTGTCCTCATCTTGAGAGTTGGCGAAGGCGGGGTCCTGTAGTCCTAACGATTCATAATCATGCGGCTGTGTAGGTATTGGCCACCTGGCGCACGCTGGAACCCTCATCTTTTTTGAATACCAACGAGGTGTACGGTAACCGGCTCTTTCTCGGAACAAACAGACATTTTCTGGTCGGGACTGCGCCGTCTGTCCTCAGTCCGTTGTTTTGCGGTTGCGCCATCGCCTTGCCGAGCTCGGGTCAACCTACCTGCGCCGCCGTCATCGGCTCTCAGGTCCCGCACCGCCAATTTTTAATTTTTTTTTGAACAGAATACTTATAGGCATTGTCTTCGGTGTATTTCAAGCTTTATTCAAACTCTTTCAACCTGTATTTCTACCTTTTTCACATAATTTTTTTGTTCATCAAATTAATCTGATAATATAATTTTGCAACTACTTTCACTTTTGAAAACTTTCAAGTCTTGCCTTTCGTCCAGCTCTTATGAATTTTACTTGATGAAGTAATTGACTGAGAAAATTGTTTGCATTGTTGCACAACAACAGGGGAGACTAGGAACCTTTTTGAGCGTCGACCCTGTTTGGCTGAATCCTTTGTTTCCAATTATTTATAAATATTTTTTTTATTCATTGCGAACTTTTCAGAGATGTCGGAAGAATTTCTATCGGGGGATTCTGATTCTCGCGATTCTGGGGTCAGTGACATGGACATCACCGACATGCCCACGAGCTTCGCTTGCACCAGCCAGGAGCAGAAATCCTGTTTTAACGTGAGTTTTGTCAAGAGATTGTGTTGGAAAAGGACGTTCTGCAGATTGACATCGAGATGGATGGGATGGATCTCGGCGAGGAAGAGGAGAATCAACTGATAATCGAGGAGTTTAGCGGCAGAAAAAGTTCGACAAGAACTGCTCGGGCTCTGTCCGACGTGACTTCTTCCTACAACAACCGTCAGAACACGTGAGTGTTCCAGCTTGTTTGCCGCTGCTTTCTTTGATGTTTGACAGGCTCGAAAAAGTCCTAATTAAGATTGAGACGCCATAAGTGTCAATGCGATGATAGTTGGTGGTCGGTCTAAAAACTTCCCAGGGCCGTTAGGATAGCTTTTTTCGACTAAACTGAAGCAAGAAAAATGGCAGTTTGGCAACTTTTCAGGCTTCAACCAGCATACAATGAATCTCCGGTGTCGAGAAAAACGTTTTTGAAACCCTCAGCCACAAAATTGTGCCGCAAAAGAACATTTGGCGGCGTTGAGAATTCTTTCAAACGGATTCGAGCAGAGAGTATCGATGAAAATGAAGAGGTTTGTTACGTCGTTTAGAGAATAAAAATCGTGTAGATTGTCATTCATTTTTCCTTCTTCTTCGGAACTACGAGAGTAATTGCTGAAACCGGATGTTTTTTGTCTCATTTCATATGTCCACTGTCAAAATATGTTCTAAATGTGTGGGATGTGCCTCGGGAATGTAATAGTTGGTGTTCCAGCTGCAGCCGACGTGTTCGACGGTTGGCCGAAGATCTTCTTCTTTTGGATCAACAACAATTCATCGCGTCCAGTCGCTCTCCGTTTTGGAACGCGGCGAGAGTTATGCCAGCCATGTTAGCGCCGATCTGCCTACTCTTCCTGAAATCGTACGTTCTTCCAACATTCGAACGCTTAATTTTTTTCAAATACATTTTAGTTTAATTTCATAAATTATTGGAATTTGTCTATTTTTAAAGTTTTTTTATTTGAACACTTAGACATTTCTTTTTGAGTTTTTGGGGAGCTAGGCTGATTTATACATTTTCGTGCATAAAAAAATGCTTCATGACTACACATATTTTTTTCTATGGTTGTCAAGATTTCCCAAAAAAATAAGGAATTTTTTTCTGTCAGAACTCCGAAATAACAGAATAAAAGAAAAAGAACTTTTTTTGTTTTCCTTAGATTCATAAATTTTTTTCAAATTTTTGAAATGTAAATTACTTTTTTTCGATGAACAAAAAGAAAATAACATCAAAGCCGACTTTTTTTATTCTTTTTCAAAAATAATTTGACGATGTTTTCGCTTTCAGCACTACGGCCTACGCACGATCTCGCCCAGTGATTCTCAGGCTTTTCGTCGGATTTCCGCTGAAACTCTTGTCGATCTGCTCCATTCTCTGACGGAACTTGAGTTTTCCTCCCGCTACGTCATAATCGACTGCCGCTACTCTTATGAGTATTTTGGAGGCCACATTCGAGTGAGAAATCAAGAAAAGGATATTCTGTCGCTCATGCTATATGATCTCAAATAGTTATTTCGGAACACTCTCAAACATCAACGTCTTAATTTTCCAGCAACTAAAATCCGATTCTTTTCAGTTACCAAAATAATGAGAAACATTTGATAGTGAGGAGGAATTGGGCCGTTTGCAGAGTGCTCTCAACGTTTGCGACCCTACGGACTGCACTCGAATCTTCTACGAATCTGAAAACCAAGGCCGAATCCCGATTTTTTACTGCGAGTACAGTCAGAAGCGCGGACCCACTATGTACTCTTCACAGAAAAAAAGCTAGATTTGAAATTGATTGGTGTAGGGCTTACGCTTTGCGGACACTCGATCGCCAGAGAAACTTGCTGAGTTATCCCCACTGCGACTATAAGGAGATGTACGTCCTCGACAAAGGCTACAAGAACTTCTACGAGTTCACACAAGCTCGTCAGATTTCTGTGAGTTGGGATGACAGAATAACGACCACAAAAGCTGATTTTAACTCTATTTATTAATTCCGATTTAAAAAAAATAGTTTTCATTTTCAGTCGTTGTGCTCGCCGATGGGGTACACTCGTATGGACGACGTACGCTTCACGGAAGAACTGAAGCAGTACGGCTTCCACAAGAAAAATTCACACGTCACGGCCGCGTCTGCCTTCAAAAACAGGTATGTACTTTGAAAATTAATCCTTCATTGTGAACGAAAAAAAAAATTAATAAAACTTCTTCAAAACCTACTCAACTGTAGACCAGCCTATTATTTAATCGACAAAAAAAAAGGAAAACGAAAGCTTAGGCGAACCAGAAACAAGGTACTTTCCATTGCAGAGAAGTTCGTGACTTTTCACTATTCTGTCGGTAATCATCTTTGAAACGAGTCATGTTTAAATGAACTGCTCATTTGTTAATTTGTTGGGGATATTTGAAAGAAGCTTTCTAAATAATTTAATCATCAAAGATTATTTCTCAAATTTGAAAAATCCTACTGAATACCTTAAAAATTTGAACCATATAAGCAAACATATTTTTGCATTCAAGACATCTTTTTCTCAAATGCGAAAGTTTTCTCTGAACCTTGTAGCAAAGCGATTAAATCTATTCAATTCTGATTATTCTGGTTTTTTTTCTGGTCTTTTTCTGGCCTTTTTGGTTTTTTTTTCTGGTCTCAGTTTTTCTTACTGCATGAGAGTTTCGAAAAGAAAATAATATCCTTTCTTTCATTTCGTTAGTTTTTTTCACCCGAAAAAAAAACTCAGTCACAATCATGCAAAAAGGAAACATAAATGGGATGAGTTTTTTTCATTGACTTCTTGCATGTCTAAAGAAACGCACGCTACTACTGAAAACTAAAAAAAAAAAAGAAGGAAGAAAGCCTTATTATCGAAGGTTCTGAATGGCCACAACTGCTAAGGCGTGCTCATTTTCAGAAAAAGCAAAACTTCCGCAAAACTCGCATTTAAGGTTTTGGTTTCAGCTCGCGAGCGAAAGGACTTCTGCGACAACGGTCGGCGGAGAGCCCTTCGGCGGCGCTGACGTCACAACGTAGCTCCAGACGACCTCTGTTCGGGGAGCGACTGTCGCCGATTCCTTCGCAGGCCGGTGAATCCTCGGCTTCACGAACACCCTCGCCAGTAGCCGCGCCACCGGCTCTCTTGTCCTTCTCCTAACCACACAATGTGGTGACGTTTATCGCTTGGTTGTTAGCCTTTAGATGCTGTCTTATTCTCTATAGGCATCTTCACAAAAGTTTTAATCAATATGAATAGCTTGCTCCAAAGAGAAACAACTTTTTGCTTTAAACTTCATCCATGTGATTTTCTATAATAATTTAACATGATTATTTAAAAAAAAAAAGTCCGCAACTAACACTATCATAATAACTATTTATCAAGCATGTCCCCCAAAGACCTTCTCGAAAATCTTTCAAAACCAACAAAAAACTACTAAGTCTCTTCCCTTCATCTTTCAAGTTTCTGTTTCATAATTGATACAATCTCTTCTTGTTCTTTTTGACGATTGTAAAACACTCTTGTGAAAATCTTTTTTCCTGTACTATTGTACCACTGTTCATCGAATATTTTGCTTTGAAGTTTGATTACTCGATGCTGAAAGCCCCGTGATCACTGAAAGAAACCGGTATGGGGGTTACCATTGTACTTATTTTCTCACTGGGAGGGTCTCGATTGCTTCTTATGTCCTACTGATGACTTTCTTGTGATACTTGTAGTATTTTCCGCCCCTGTACCTAGTTTTTATTATCGTGCAACGATTACTTTCCATCTGCACTTGCGAACTTTAGTTTTTATTATTACTCCCTAAGAAAAGTCCTTGTAGTTTTGAACAGCTTGTGCCATTTTGAACATAGCTTCTTGTGCCAAAACTCCTTATCTTTAGCATGTATTTGACTGTCAGCCGTGCGCTTTTGTATGTTGTTTAACAAGATAGCCTCGATTGTACTATGAGCAACATCCCCTGTTTGTCACTTTCTTTTTCTTTTGTATATATTTATTTCATTCAGTTTTTCAAAAAGTAGCAATTACAAGCTAAAGAAAATAAATTTCGAATTATTGACAAACAGCAAAGTTGTTCAAAGCAAATAAGGACGCACGACTTTTTTTGGGAGTTCGGTTCAATTATACTTTCTTGGTCTTTCAAGCTGATTTTTAGTTCCATTCCTTCGCTTTTTTTCACTCACAGTTTGTCTATAGATTTTTATTATTTTTCTATATTTATATGTTGTATTTTATAGTATATTTCTGGAAATCATTTAGAAGAGGTTATCTTTACATGTGTTTTCCTAAAGCGTGGTCCTTCGCAACTGCATTTTTTTTTTTGATTTTCCTTTAATTTTGATTTTGAGTGAATCAGAGGGAAGTATTGAAATCTAATGCGCAGGTCCATGACGTTTCACGTTTTTTTTTTTGAAGATATTTCTTATATAACTAACGAAAAAAACCATAATACATTATTAACAAAGGAACTAACATTAATAAAAGATTTACTTTTTTTTGAAGCCGTAAAGACTATACAAACAAATACCTTTGAGCCAAACTAAACATTGTGAAAAACATGGATAGGCTAAACCATTCATGTATCGGAAAGAGTGAGGTTAGTAAGCCTTCCGGAGAGGCCAAATCGCAACAAGCGATAGGAATCTGGCGACCTGCATTCTAAAACACCCGCGGCGTCCAATCATCAACCCATTCCTCCAGATTTATGCGATTTTTCTTTTTTCCGTTAGAGCGAATTTCAGTTCTAGATGAAATAGTTGTTTTTTTTTTTCTTCGCTGATGTCGTCTCTCTCATTTGGATGAAAGCCTCCTGGGGCTAGTCAAAGAGCATTAGCTCTGACTGATAATATTCCGAAACACGGATGAAAAAGAAAAAGAATTATGAATTTTCGAACAGAAAAACTACACGTTTATTTTTCTCTTCAGAAAGATTAAAAGATTTTTCATCTGTGAAATACTGTTCAAGTTTGATTTCACATTCACTTAATAGTTTCTGAAGAACTTGGCATGAATTTATAGTTCAGCCTCAGGTGATATTCTTCATAGGAAAAGAGGTATGGCTTTCCCCAGGACCTGTGGAAGATATTTTTGTGGGAGAAGCCGGCCACTCGACGCCCTAATGCACGACGTTCTCAAGCAGGCTCATGAAATGGAGTGGCTATAGCCAAAAAAATAATACGGTGAGAAACGGTTCCGCGGCTTTCTTTTTTCCTCTGTCTCTTAAACTGTGGACCAGTTGGAGTTCCTAAATATTACACTAAATTTACTACATTTGACTCACAATTCCTTTTGGAATTGTTGTGTTCACGTTTTGTGTACGCAACTATTCTTTGCTTATTTTTGCTTGCCGATTAGATATTTGCTTTGAGTTCATTTTATTATGTTTAATGTAAATTGGAAGTAAAAAGATTACAAACCGAGTCTCACTCTACTGATGGGGAAGTTGCAATTGAAACGAGAGATTGTTTGCTCGTCTGAACGTCTAGGAAAAGTCGGACAGAGGTTACCTAAGAGCTGTCCGCTGCCGACCGGTTTCCGGCCACTCGGTTTGAATTTCGGCCGCCGAAATTAATTCACACTCGTCTTTCGGCTGTCTTTCCCAACCGCTTGGTCTCACTTGCTTTCAATTTTTCGTTTTGTTCTTTTTCAGTCTTGCCATACTGAAACGTACATTTACTTTTTGTTATCGTTTTTTTTATTATCCTTTATATGATATAATGAAACTTACCTAGTTTCCAGAGTTCACGATCTGGTCGAAGTTCTACAAATAAAAACAGGCGACAACTTGATTCAAATTCAAATTTTATCCCCGCTATAAATTACATATATCGCCATTCAAACTTGTCAAGGAAAATCTAATTTTTTGGTGAAAGTATACTGGAACTCTCCGAAAATTTATCTAATCCATCAGAGAGTATTTTGGTCGATTTTCAGAAAGTTCCAAAGTTCCAACCTAAAGATAAGATATTTCTTTGTCACATTTTTCTTTTTAATTCAATCTATTTCAGTTTATTATGATTTTATTTTCAACTCGAAATAAACGAAAGATATGCTATTTTCCCTTCTTGAAATAAAAAAACTATCATCCAAAATTTGTCAGTAAGCTGTGGAAGTTCAATTGAAACGGAAGCCTCCGCGGTCGAAAATTCCCTATCAATTTTTTTTCGAGGAGTTTTTTTTCCGAAAAACACGACTAGAGCAGCCTTTTTCGGCCTCTTGCGTGGGAACTACTAAGAAGGTGAACTCCTCGAAGATGGCCCGATTAACAGTCGAAGCTTATTTGCTCGAGTCTTTGTTGCCTGGAGGTCGACTCCCGATTCTCAAACTATCATCTTCTTCTACGCAAATCTGGCCTAAGGCATGAAAATCTCAATTTTACGTGAGCTTGGAACTTGAATTCCTTGGGACCTGTTTTTCTACTGCTTTCTTCTACCTTTCTTAATAAGAACTTTGATGCTTTTTGAAATAGTTCTGAAGACGAAGGATTCTAGAAAACTTTTTTGTGGAATCCATCACAGCAAAATTTCTCACATTAACAAAGAAATTTTCGCATTTTCCATTATCATTTTTATAGGTGTTTCAAAAATCACAATGTACGTATAGTCTGTGTGCCACGACTTGAAATTTCATCGAACGACATTCCGCTGTTCCGCTGCGCGCCTTTGCAAGCTTTAACTTTTCATTTTATTTAAGAACTCGACCAACACGTGTTCCTGGTGAAACAGTCCATCTATCAGAAATGAGCACCAATTCAAAGTGAGATCGAGGCTCGCAAAGACGCTTTGCGACGCAGCGGAACAGCGGAATGTCGTTCGGTGATATTTGAAGTTGTGGCACGCAGACTATATCAAAAAAACAAATAAGTTGTTTAGATATAAAATTTGCTTCAAAAAAAGTGAGTAGAATTTTTGAAAAATGACTATTCCTCCACATCATATCAATATTTTTTAGAGAGCGATATAAACTCTTTTGTAAACCGGAAAATTTCAGTACAAATATAATTATATAGAAAGCGCCCTATCCATAAATTTCTTCACTGAGTTTTCTTTCTCTACAATCTGAAACATTTCAAACCAAAATAGCATTTTTTGTCATAATTTGCGTAATTTGCGGACTTTGAAGCTCCATAACACGGAAACAAGATCTATTGCGAGAAATTTTTTTACTTGTTCCGCAATGAGGAGGTCCTAAAATACACTTCAGCTAAGTTTCAGCAAAAGTTCAACCGAGGGCTAAAAAACGTTCCCTGGTAAGGCGAATCTTCCCAAAATTCCAAAATTCGATTTTGATCTGCATGGAAATAATAGTCTGAACTCGAGTCCAGATAAAGAACACTTAACCGAAAACGAGAAGTCGGTCGAGTTGTCGAATAGGCTCAGGGGTCAACAATAACAGACACGTAGTAGAGCGCGTAAGCGGAAAGTCTTAAGTGGGAAAAGTGCTTAACAGGACTCCTCACACACTTGACATTCTTCGAAATGCCCTTACTCGGCCTCTGGCCTTCTGTTCGGCTTCCTTCTCCATAAGATATAATTTTTTTTTTTCAATTCGCGCGATATTTCGGGGTCGCCTGGACAAAAGAGACGAAACGCGAGGAGCCACACCTTGTCCGAAATGTATCCATTTGCTCGCTTGTTTATTTATCCTCTTCGACTACTGATTTCTTTCTCTTTTCGTTCTCTCAAACCCGTTCTTTCTAATCTCGATTAGTTTTTTTCAGTTGCATGTGATTTAAAAAAAAAACACTTTTTAATATTTAACAAACTAGAAAAAAATGCGTGTGCTGTTCATGCAGATCTGGCTGGAAATTCTGAGCGTCATTGGACTTTTCCTTTTTAAAAAAACCTATTTCTTAAAAATCCTATTATGAGAAACACTCATGAGAAAAAAACGTGGTAAAAAAACGTCTGTTCAAGACGACCGGTCATATTACGGTCGTTTAGAAATTTTTTTCTTTGTTAATAAAATAGAATTTTTGAAAATCGTGTTTTTGATGTCATACTAATTATTGATTATTAATTAAAATAGGCAGCTATATTAGCGTCACTTTCAACGTATCGGGTGTACTGCGTACAAAACAGTTTATCTCCCAATTCGATTCTGATGCCGTGTTCAAAGTAATTTCCGCGAAATGCAAAATACCCGTTAGAGAAAGGAAAAGATCACTAAATTTTGGAGAGTCAGAGATCATTTTGCATTTCGCGGAAATTACTTTGAACACGGCATGAGTTCTAGTGCCGCTGCGGCGAAAAATTTGCGAAGTTTGACCGGGCATGCATATATATATATATATATATATATATATATATATATATATATATATATATATATATATATATATATTTATATATATGCGGTGCATGCCCGGTCAAAGTAATTTCACAAAGTTCGAATCAGTCGTCAAAGTATGAAAAAGATAACTAAATTTTGAAGAGAAAAATGCAAAACATTTTGTATGAAAAATAGTATTTCATAATATTTGCACGCATTTTTCAAGGATAAACGTTTAAATTTAAAAAATTAAGGAACTAAGACTTTGAAAAAACTCATAATCATAAGAAATATGTACTCTAAAACGGTTAACACCTTAATACTGTCAAAACTCCCTTTTCAAACTTTAAAAAGTTGCAAGAAAAAATAGTCACTATGAAAAACCCTGCGAACCAATCCGATCGACTTTTCCGAAAACTCAAATTCTTCTAAGTAGTGTGTTCTCTGTATTGTAAACAGCAGGGGCAGAAATTTTCCGAGGCTGAAGTTTACTTGAGCCATTCGCATTTTTTATCAGTCGCGATTAATCGATTATTAATAATCCGCAAAAATGTGAATCGTGAAAAAAAAAAAATTTTTGCGAGTTGCAACGCTTAAAAGCTCCTTTTGCGTTTAATCCGACAGGCAAACCAACGATCCATTTACAGATTTCCTTTGTTTTAGTTCTCTTGTTTCTCTCAAAAATTTCACCGACGTCTTGTTCAATTTCAACTTTCTTTTTCTTTTCAAAAGTTTAAATGGTTGCGTACCGATTCCAACTTTCACACACAACCACTTTTACAATTACTTTTTCAGAGATTTGCTGAAGAATGCTTTCTGAGGTTTTCTCTTGATGCGCGAACCTTCATGCCCCAGAAGAGGGCAGTGATGCTCAACTCGAAAGCAGAATCGGCGATGACGTCGTCAACCGACTGGCAGCATCACATTTACGCTTGTTCCGACGATAATTCCTACTATGCAGCACCCGTCTTTCACAAGAACAACAACAATACAACTGAGGTAGGAATTCGGACTGCAGTGAAATGATCCAGACGCTCAGGCGCCGAAAAAATTGGCGCCGTCGCTGAGCCGCCAGTCAACCTGTCGTCCCATAAGTCAGCTTTATCTGCCGCACAAGAAGCGAAAAGAAACGTTCGTTTTCACCTTCACCTTTTCTAAAAGTTATATCCCGGTCCACTCGAGCTCAGATATTTCTAGTTTTTTTAAAAATCAGTTTACTTTGTAAATAGCAATTTCCTTATTCATTTCAAGTCAATATATTATGATATATAAGAAGTACGTATTGCTTCCTAATGGCAGTATCCTAGAAGAAGCTTTATCCGGAGACGGATCAGAAAAGCTTTGAGAGAATTACAAATTGGTTCATACAAGTTTCAGAAAAAAAGAAGAAAAAAAATTGCGTACTTTTCTGTTTTTCTTAGGGAATCATTTTTTCATTTGTAATAATAACCTGAAGTTGGGATCGGAAAGAAATATCAACTAATGAGGACCAGAATCAATACTACTCTGCCAGAATGGCGCACGGTGCCGTCTAGCCTCATGCACTTCGGTGCATAACTTGGGCCCCCCCCAGATGAGGCTGAATTACAGTTCTCGTTGGGAAAGTTCAAAAACTTGGATGCTTTATGTTAACCAACTTTTTTTTTAAAACAGCTGCAGTTTAGACAGCAATAATGCAGTACAACCTGAGAACCTCATTGTCTTCTCGCCGAATAGCATTTTATTCAGGTTTTGAAATGAATATTGTCTTTCTTGAGTGTTATGATGTACTGTCTGGAAGTGTTTCCATGTGTTTGGATTTGAATCTTGGCAAAGAAGGAAGAAAAAGTCGTGAAACGCTGCCCCTTGGAGGCGAGAGAGGCCAAGTTTTAATTGAGTTCTTGTGCCGAGCGAAGAAGGACGAAAATGGAGAGAAAAAGGCGCAAAAAACGGCTAACGAGCCGGGATGAATGAATAAATTCCTTATGCCGCCCGTCTTCTCTTCTGGTCTAATTAGGTGTTCCTCCTTTGAGTTTCCATCTTCCAGAAGAGGGCGAACGACGCAAAACTTTTGTTTTCGCCATGCCGTCCGTCTAACTTTGAGCTTCGCTCTGTTTGGCAAAATTCCATGCTTCTTCATTTCTCTTCCGTTTCCTTGAATCAAGTCTCCTGTGTTTTTTTTTTCTGACTCTAGCATTTCAGCTTTTACTTCCAAGGGGAGGAGCTGATTGTTGTCTTTGGACATGCGAAAGTTTTGGGGTCGCTTCTCAATTTTAACCGGAGGATTAATGTTTTTAAAAAACGAAAATCATTTTAATTCAGTTTTCATTTTGTTATTAAAATCTGCATTCCACTTCCATTTCGTTTTCTTGAAAGCCATGGCTGTCGAGACTTGATCTGACGTCTGCCTACTGTAATTATTCGTCGAATTACTCCGCATGAGAATTTGTCGTTGGGTCTCACACTTCTCCACTTCTTTTTTCCATTGAAACCCATATGTTCTTGTCGCATTTCACATCGCCTCACACCTTTTTTCAGTTTTTTGATCGCGGAAAAGCCCTTCTCTCAATTTTTCTTTTCTAGATTTTTGACGAGCTGAGAAAGTTCAAAGAGGATGTTTTACTTACTAGGGAACTGCTCGGGTACGCGTATCAAGTTGAAAATTCGGTGGTTCGTAGACTTGGGTAAGAGCATGTGGGTTTCTACTTGATACGCGTACCCGAGCCCGAGTAATTCCCTAGTTAGGAGACAAATCATAGAAGGTTAAATTTCTAAAAAAAAAGCTTTCATCGAATACTCTGGGCGACAAAAACTTAGTTTGAATGTTCGCTACTTCATATACTCATACAGTGCTAGTCAGTGACTCCACCCAACATAATTGCCGATATCGCAGCGGGCCGCACGCGATATAGCCAAGGCTTCTCGCTGCGATCTCGTCAACATGTCGTTGCGACCTCGTCAAAGTCTCGCTGCCATATCGCTCCCTCTCAAAAATATGAAATTTGAAAAAAAAATTTTTTGCTTTATTTTTGACTTTTATGATGAAATCAATCAAATTCAAGAAAAAAAAATTTTTGAAGAAAAATTTTTCAGAGACCGATATAGCGCAAGACGTTTGCGAGGTCGCAGCGAGAGGCGAGCGATATCGCTCGCGGCTCCCCCGTGGTATAGCGTTACTCTCGCTGCGATATAGTCCACAAAATTGGGTGTCGTGTCGATTTTCGTGTTTAAGTTTTCTCGGCAACAGCCATTTCCAATTAAACGCGTATATGGTTGAAAAAATAGTCCAATACTTGAGATTATATTTGGAGCAACATTGGCACATTTGAGTAGGCATGAAATTTCGTTCAAATTAAATGACTGTCTGCACCTCTCAGAGGCTCATGCGATTCCGTTTCCTTGTTTTTCACGCTAAAAGTTTTGAAGTCGAAAAGGTAAAGGTTTTAAAAAAAAGTTCCACGAGAAAAATTGTTCAAATCGTACAAAGTTATTCTATTAAGCATGCAGAGAATACAGAGGTTTTTTCAGCTCTTTCAGAACGCTTTTATTGAAAACACTTCTGCATTTTCGGACACGCAGCCTTCCACTTTTCGTAACAAGAGATTATTATGAAAAAAGAATGAATGAAAAGGATTATGTGGTGGGACCTGTTGTGGCACATGTGTGTCGCGTGCTGGACTGCGTTGAAAAATGAGACGCTGGGTTGTTTTATTCCGTGTTGAATCGCCATAACCCATTTGAAATGAGTCCCATTAAACGCCATCAGATGGGAATTTAGTGCGATATTACGACGAGCAAGAATTCTTCTTTTTCTACTCTTTTCGTTTTGGCAGCGTGCCTCCGGTTTTTTCTTTATATATTCTCGATTAAAGCAGGCAGTCGTTTGTTCGGCAGAACTTTAGCATCAAAAATGTTGGTTCTGAAAATCTCTCAGCGTGAACTTTCTTCGCACTGTCCAAGTTCCTCTTTGCAACGTATTCTTCCACGGCTCGCGGAGGCGTCGAAAGCTCAAAAAAAAGGTTGATAAGTTCTGACAAAGCGGCGGTGGATGAAAACGCCGTCGACATGTGGCAACAGATGTTGACGGATCACCGTTGTCGTCGGAGCCTGGAAGGAGTCGGGCCACCGACGTTCCAAGTCGGTCGTCCACTTTTCAACTCAATTCCTTCGTTTATTGTTCCTAAGTTTGAGTCATAGCTGCATTGGACATGTAAACCTGCGTAGCTCTTTTTATATCGTAATTAGAAGGTCCAAAAATTAGTCGAAATGCTCGAATGTGCTCGGAACAAGTATCTGCTGATGTGTTCTACCATGTTAACGATGAACAAAAGATAGTATTTGTTTCCTTCGCTAGTCCTTGTTTAATACTACTTTAATGTTTTACTTGAAAATTTTCATCCAAGTCAGAAAATTCTTGAGAAAGAAAACGAGTCTGGAAAGTGAGTAGGAAGAGAAAGTTTTAGTGGCCCCGCTCTGGCGGCTTAATTAGTCACAGGGCGATTTCGTGTAGCTCATTAAGTTGGCCGAGCAATCCGTTTTAATAAGAAATATCATCCTTTCGGATCTCATACGTCTCATTCGCCAGTTTTTTTTTTTACTAAAATCAACTTTATTCTCGAGAAATTGAATTGAAAGACGGTTCGCTCTTTTTTGGAACCAATAAATATTTTTTATGGTTTTGAATTTCAGCACCCTTCCCCATTTTTCACAAAAAGCTTTGAAATAAAGGTCCTTAAAACTTGAAAAAAATGAATTTATCTTTATTAAAAGCTGAAAATGAATTAAAAAGCCAAAAAAATATAATTGTGAAAAATTTGATTGAAATGAGGTGTCTTCTTCAGTTTCCTTTTTTTGGATATATATTTTTTTGATCAATTTAGCTCATGATTGAAGTAAGCATTTGAAAAATTCATTTTACTATTCATCTTTTTCAAGGAAAAAAACGTTTCTGCAAATCAGTATAGTATGAAAACCTACAAGTTGAAACGCTAGTCAAAAAGGCTGAATACAATAAAAAAACATACAAAGTTTTCTTTGGCGTAAAATTATTTGTCACCTTTCCTAAGGTTTTTAAATGGTGTGCTGGCCCATGTTTTTTTTTTCGGGAGTCCACAAGTTCTTCTGAGAGTTTCCATGCGAGTTTTGGTGCAGAGAGTTTGGTTTTCCATCACGGAAGAGATTGGAAGGTGTCAAAGCTCCTCAGAACCGTTGATTGGAGTCAGAAAGAAGGCAAAAGAAAGGATGAGCAGATGAGAGCGTGACAACGTGCAGCACTTGTCGCCATTAATCACTGGCTCGCGTGTTCCGACCGTGTCTTTTCCAACCTTTTTATCTCCAGATACCTTGCAGCTCTGCGATTTCCACTTTTTTTTCACATCCATCTGATTTTCTTACTTTCTGTTCGCTTAAGTTATAACACAGTTTTGTCAGCTAACAAGGGCTGCATGAACTTTTTTCAAAATCATTGTTCAAAGGCTTGAATGACATTCGAAAGTGTTTCGTGCTATTAATAGTAAGTGTTTTTCTTTGGATCTGTTGATCTGCCAGCAGTGGGCGTAACTTGATTTTCAGTCAAGAAGCACTTGGCCGACTGTTAGCCAATCTGCTCGCCCTTCGGTTCATACCAGTTCGCTTCCGTAGCTCTTATCGTTCGGATGCTGTCTTTTCCGACAATTCATTGTTGTGTCATACGTATTTATTAGGAGTTTTTTCTCTCTCAATATAATATAATTTAAATTTATGGATCCAGAGCAGACGCAGGAGTGCGATATCGAAAAGTTAGAAAAGTAGTTTGAAGTTTTTTGAGGCTTCCAATCTATAAAAAAAAATCTTTCGTTCTTCTAGTCTTTTTGGATGTAGCGCTATTTATGGTCATCACGCAAAATAAAAGTCTGCATGACTATTCGCCTTCTTTTTTCTACAAATGTTTTGTGATGCATGTCGCCGCTTCTGAAGAAATGTTTACGTAAAATGCGTTACGGAGAGCAGAAGCTGCACAATCTAGACGAGAGAGATTATGCTTGACGTAAACTTTTTATGCCACAAATGGCTATTTTGTTATTTCCTTCTATGTTTTGTCGCTTCTTTCGTTTCTAAAAAGTTTCTCACTTTTTCAGTTTTTCACCGAAGTTTGAAAGTCGAGAATATCGTCTCTAGAATGAATTTTCTGAGTTACGCTTCAGTCTTTAGCTTGCGGAACAATAAAATAGAAAACTGCCTTTACAGTGGTTTTTTCTCGGAAAAGGAGAATGTACATCGGAATATAAAAACCTGATACATATTCAATTAGAAAACTAAATCTCAATTGATCAAAACAACAGGTTTCAGATCTTCTTTTTTCGAGAGAAACCATTAAAAAAGTTGAACTTTTTTGAATATTTTGTTTGGAACTTTTGATTGATACAGTGAAGCTATCTTTGACTTTATTGAACCTCATCATTATATTCACTTCAGAAATGTTTGAAGAAAACAGAAAAAGTAAAAAATTTTTTAAACCTGTTTTACTGCCATCAGAAGTCATCATGAAATTCTTTCAATCTGATCCTTTTTTGCACCGCTGCTTGTTTTTCGGTCGAGCTCGCATTCACTAGTAACGGTTGCCTTTTTCGATCATAAAGAACTCTGAGTGTGAGCTAGACCAAAAATGGTGCGCCGGTGAACGATTGAACTGATTTTAGTTCTGGTGAGTTGATTATTTCGGGTTGGATGCGACGTTCAAAAGCCGCCCGAAACGGGCCTCCGGTGACAGAAAAGGCGCGCTCTGTCCACTTGATACACTCGTGTTTGCGTGCAAACTTGGTTTGTCTCCGGTTGGATCCGCTGCGAATCACTTCCGTTCTCTCACTCGTTTTTCCTTTTTGCAGTACCGAAATCAGAAACTCGCCCGATAACCAACTTCTTCTAATTTCAGATATCGGTCTTCCAAGTGCTGTCGTAGAAAGCAGCTCTAAGATTAAAAAAACTTCCATGTTTTCCTACTAGTTTTCTTCCCAATTTCTGTTTTAGTAGCTTCTGTTTGATAAGTTTCCAAGTCGTGTTCTTCCACCCGCGTTGCATCTCTGCCGATTTCCCGATGTCGCTCAGTTGCAGGAAACCACATCCCAGAACTTGCACTAACATGTTCGGCTAGAATGAAAACGGAACATTGCAACGGGGATGCGCCTTGGAATCCGGCCAAGAGGTCAAAAATCGAAAGAAACCCTCAATTCAGACTTCCTCGCTTTTTTTTTACAAGAGGTGCTACAAGCACCAAGAAACTTCAATTCGAAGCCTTGGCCTCTCTTTTGCTTTTTTTTCTCAAAAGAAGAGTACGACTTGTTCAAAAATAATTTTTCACAGTATTCTATTCCGAAGGGGCGGATAGATGTAACCTAAATTTCTTCTTGCAGAAATTTTTTTATATTTTTTTGACAAAAGTCATTAAAAGTTTAAAGACATCGAGATTTTGCAAGATAACGAAATGGCTATTCGTCTAGAGAAACTTTCAGAAACTCACCTTTTCCTCTTTACACATTACTGTTTAAAATGATTTATCTCTAAAAATTTTGAAAAGTCTTAACAGGTGTAGTCAGGAATCAAGAAAAGATTGGAATGTACTAAAGGACATAAAAATTGAGTTATGATGTTCCGATTTGCAGACGTTTCCTGTGCCGGCTCTCTTTCTTGGAAACCTTTCTTTGCGCTCTCTCAATACTTCTTACTGTTTCACTCTTCTCTGTTCTGCTCTTATGGTTATGGGTACTCGACGGCTACAAAACTTTCAGCGAAGGTCCCTGACAGCCGTATTTCTTTCCGCAAAAAAAAGTTTTCAGGTCGTCCACTCTATCCGCGACCCTTCGAGAATTCCTCCGTGGCCGTCGATCGCTCGGCCGTCCACCATCAGGACGTCGTCTGCACGTCTCGAGAGTGTGTACAGATCGCCGGATTCCTCTCTGACAACCTTAATTCCAAGGTGAACCAATCCTAAAAAAATACATGTGTCCCCGCCGCGAATAAAATCAAGGGGTTTAATACATTTTGGTAGTGAAAAACCAAGGCTTTGAAATCTCCAGCCGTCTAACACAAGGGCGTATATCATATACGGTATATGTCACTAGAGCCAGTCCACTGATTATCTCTGACGTAGGCGAATCGAGAAAGGGTATCACGAGACCCTCTGAGGTATATCGCAGACTCTGAAGTCTCACTATGGTACCTCGAGTATACCTCTGAGGATTTTGAGCAAAATGAGAGGGACTTGAGGGAGACTCTCAAGGACCTCTGATATGGCTCAGCTATGGCTAAAAGGTATGCCGGAGGTCTCACGATGGACATATTATGGGGTTTCCACAATCTATTTTGAGAGGTATCTTTGTGGAAAAATTATGGTACCTTCTCTATTCGTCTGTGGATATCAGGATAGGACCTTGTCTCATTGACTTGAGGCGCTGACGCCGCTCAAGCGGTACAAGGAAGAAGAAGCTCTTGTTGGGTTTTAATATCAAAAACTTGTGAAAAACTAAAAAAAGAACTTGTTTCAAACATAAGCGCCTTTTCTTTTGATTCGAATTGATGTTAAGGTGGATCCGTGTGATGATTTTTACGAGTTTGCGTGTGGAAACTACGGGTTGAATAGAAACTTACCGGCGAACAAGCCGCTGAGGCACACGATCAGCGACGTCCAGAGTCGCCTGAACAAGCAAGTCAAAACCATCCTCCAGGTTTCCAATAATCTTTCTCGTATCGCATTTTTCAATTTCAGACTCCTATTTCTTCGACTGATTCAACGTGGGACAAGTTAGCCAAAGGATACTACCAGAAATGTCTCGACGAAGGTCTGACTCTCAAAGTTTATGCTTTGTTGGGATCGCTCTTGTTTGATTTTTTTTTCAATTTTGTTGGGAAATTGATAAAATTAGAAGTGAACTTGAAAGAAGTTTTTGTACTGCCATCTTTTCGAGCTTTAGACAAGTTAAGAGGAACAAAACCTTAATTAAAGTATTTTTTCTTGAACAATTCTTTTTTTTTGGTGAAACTGCAAGTATTTAAAAATGGATCTCATCTAATTTTTGACTAGTAAAATACGAGAAAAATTGAAAAGAAAATTTCAGAAGAACTGGAACGGAACGGACTGCAAGCAATGAAAGAAATAGTGGACCGGATCGGCGGATGGCCTACCTTGCAAGGTTGCAAGTTTCAATATTTTTAGGCTGTAGTTTTCTCGGTAATAAACTTTTACTCAATGAAAGCGCTAGCGGTTCAAACCTTATGTGGACGAGAAAACTCGCAGGAGACAGCTGGAAGGAGTGGCGCCATTCTTGGGAGGAGCAACTCGCGTTGGTCCTCAACCGTACGGGCGTCAACGCCGTCATTCTGGAGATGGCGGTGACTCACGACCCATCCAACAGTACCAAGAGTGTAATTGAGGTGGGTCCGAAGCTCCTCCTGAAAAGATTTTTCCTTTTTTGCAGCTGGACCAGCCGAAATGGGGAGCCGGATCTCGCTATCCTTACCTCAGTGGCACCGACGATCCCATGCTCAAAAACTACACGACCCTTATGAAACTCACGGCAATCGCTATGGGTGAGAATCCATCGTTTTTTTTTTCAACTAAACTAATTCTATCCCATATAAGCTGAAACTGTTCCAAGATTTTCTCTTTTTTTTTTTGCTTCGTTGCTCATGAAAAAACCTCGTGCTCGTAAAGTCAAGTCTCCTGTTTGAGGCGCGGATCCGGTTACGGCAGAAAGAGACATGACGGAAGCTATGGAGTTTGAGCTGAAGTTGGTGAATTTCTCGGCCGACGACATGATTCGCCGCGATCCAGAGCGTGGCAACAACCGTCAGCAGATGTGGCAGCTCAAGTCTTTGTTCCCTTTCGTCAGTAGATTCCTATTCCGACTTTTCATTTCTTCCGTTCATCTGCACATTTTGCATATTTAGATCGATTTTGAAAAGTACCTGAGTACGGTGTTCAAAGAACTGGTCGAGGTGTCGCCAAATCACACGGTGATTGTCCGAGAAATTGACTATTTCACAGGAATCCAGGTGCTCGTCTTTTCAGACCTCCTTCCAACCGAAGATTCATTTTCAGCACGTCCTGCAGTCAACTCCGAAAAGAGTTCTCGCCAACTACATTTCGTGGCGACTCGTCCAAGGTGCGCTTTATTTTCATCAAACATGAGCAGTACTATTTACAGCAACTGTGTTTTGTAAAATTGAAAAATAAACTTTACTAATGATTTTTTTTTAGGATTCTCGCCTTTTCTGCCGCCGACGGCTCGCGAGCCTTTCTATCAGTTCAAAGCCAATCAGACGGGGATGTTTAACAGTCCGCCTCCAGATCGGTAATTCCATGGTTCTCTTCAGAAAGCTGAGTGTAGGGATGATATGAGTGGCCTCTGGGTTTTTTTATCCCCGGTTGAACTTTTGACGAAACTTGTTACGAAAACAATTACCTCATAAGCTTTTGACTCTTTTCTTGATCATTCCAAGAAGAAAAAGCCGTTTAAGATTTTTTTTTTTCGTAGAGAAAATGAAGATTTTCATGTTGAGTATTTAAAAAAAACCGGCTTTTTCGCAGTTGGGAGGACTGCGTGACGTTGTCGGTCATCATGATGGACATGCCTGTGGGACGACTTTTCGTTCAGAACTTTTTCGAGAAGGAACGCGCCATGAAAAAGGTCCGTTTGGCGGGATTTCATCATAATCACGAAGAATCCAGATGACTGAACTGACGTCATATCTCAAGGCGGAGTTCATCAAGCAGCTAAATCATCTAGATTGGATGGACGACGTCACCAGGGATCGAGCCATTTCAAAAGTTTACTCTTGCCACTTTTTCACTCAAGAGTTTTTCTTTCTGGAAGTACTTTAAGAAAACTCTTAGTATGAGATGATACGGACAGTAGGACAATAAATCATCTGAATACTGAATTGAATTTAAAAAACTCACTCGCTTTTGTTTGCAAGAAAACTATTTCGTCTCAACTTTTCTGATTTCTGTAGAAAGGACCATTTTGATTTGTTTTTCAGAAGTTTGAATATTTTCAAAATCCCCGTTTACCATCTCGAAGCCACCTCTAAAAAAAAAAGACACAAAAAAGTTTTTAGGCCTTCGTTCTGTTTCAGATTTTTCTTAGGAAAGTGTAATCTTTCAAATGATAGATTGTTCGCTGTATTTTCTTTCCTTTTAACGCTTCTCTTTCTATTCCCTGACAGTTATAAGATTCCTTCAAATCAGTGATTTATGAATCTGAGAGGTTTTTTTTTTCGAAAGTTCGATTTGCTCACTGGGAATCTTTTTTTTAAGAGTTCACATGAACAGCTTTAGCCGCACTTTGGCACTTATCACACAAAGAACGAACAAAGAAGGTGACGTTTATTTGTGCCGTCGAGACCCACGTGCTGCAATTCTCTAGAGCAGACAAAATATCGTGGAGAGTTGCGAAATTTCTCTTGACAAAAAGCTGAAGAGGAAGTTGAGCAGAAGAATACACAAAGAACAACTGTTTGGAGAATATTAGAACAATACCAGAGATCTCATGGTCCAAACTTTTTTTTTTGATAAATAAGATTTTATTTGATGATCGAAGTGACATTTTTTCTGCTGAATAGGAAATTGAAACATTTTTTTCAAGTATGAAATCGAAATTTTTTCTCTTAAAACTCCTTTTTCTCATTCTTTTGTAAAATTACGACACAAGTAACTTTAATTAAATTTCTTTAATTTTCCGTCACAACGGAACACGATGGTTCCGTGTTTTTTGAATGAATCAGCAAGGCATTTGATGTAGACTCCGTTAAAATTAAGTCATACTTTTTGCAATAAAGAAACTTTCACTGAGATTTGGATGATTTTAGGCAAATATGATCGAGTACAAAAGTGGGTTTCCACAAGTTCTGTTCAACGACACGTGGATGGAAAAGAACTGGGGTCTAGTAAGTCCGGCGTTGAGACTTTTTGGAATACAGAAGTTATTCAGGCGATTCTCCCGCGAGAGTATCTTCTGCAACTAACGATTAGGGTGAAACTCGTCCGATTCACAGAAGAGCTGCTTCGTCTGGATTTGCCTCTGGACAGGTATCGTAACAAAAGGAATCATTTCGACTGACCTTCTCGGAAGGAGTATCACAAAACATTTGGATTTCAGGTCGATGTGGTTCCAAAGCCCTGCCCAAGTCGACGCCTACTACGCTCCTAACAACAACGAAATGAGTTAGTTTGAAGCAGGCTTGTGCGTCAGGCCGGGAGGGCTTCGGGACTTCATTTTTGAAAGAAGCTTGCGCGGGCTCGGACCAGGCCGGGCTTCAGAAAAATCTTTAATTTTATTCGAAAAAATTTTCACTCGCTGAATTATAGTTTCTAATAACCCTATGAGGAAAAATAAGAAAAAACCCTCACTTTTCTCGTTAAAAAATCGAACAATCGACATGAAGGATAAGTGAGCTTTTTGGGCCGGGCCTGTCATTTTTGCCTGAGGCCTCCCTAAGGCCGGGGCCCGACATGTTGACGGGCCGGCCCTCCTACAAGCCTGGTTTGAAGTAATTGGGATTTTTCGCGCTAAAGAATAGAAGTTCCGAGCAAGATGAACAGTAGTAAAGTCAACAAAGAGGTAGAAATGTTTGTTTCCGATTTACTGTTGATTTTTCTGAACTCAGAGCGTTTTAAAAGTTTGCGCTGGTGGGAGTGGTATCATGAAATAATAAAAACCTTTTTTTTTCAAGCAAGGAGAAACGGACCCTTTATTATGCTTTGACGTTCCTAAAACATGTATAAAAGAAAGGTCTGTTGAGTTTTTGAAGGTTTCTCGAGTTGTTCAAAAGCGGAAAGAAAGCTGTTGAACTACAACAGTCCAACTTTTCTTTTTTCTTTCAGTTTTCCCGGCGGGGATCATGCAGTTTCCATTCTTGACCCTGGGTGTTCCCAACTACATAACGTATGGGATGGTAGGGGCAGTCATCGGTCACGAGGTTTCTCACGCTTTCGACGACCAGGGTTCCGTTGTTACAATAATCAGACGATGAACAGCTTTTTCAGGCGGACAGTACGACGAGATCGGAAACTTGAACGATTGGTGGGACGCCGAAACTGCAGAAAAGTTTGCGGAGAAAACGAGGTATCATTTGCTAGACGAGTAGAAAAAAGGCTTCCATTATGCCTTCTGAATAAATTTCTATCTAAACCTTCAGATGCTTTGTGAGACAGTATGGAGCTGTTCTAGTTGAAGAAGCCGACATTCATCTTAATGGACAACTCAGTCTTGGGGAGAACATTGCGGACAACGGTGGCGTGAAAACGGCATTTTACGTGAGTTTTTTTTTCAAATACGTCTCACCTATCGAAATTCAGGCGTACAACTCTTGGAGAAGGAACACAACTGTGCGCGAGCCGGCACTTCCAGGATTCCAAAACTTCACCAGCGAGCAAATGTTCTTCCTAGCATACGCAAATGTAAGAAAGAGTTCAGTTAAAAAAAAACATTAACTTTTTCTTTTCTAGAACTGGTGCTCCGTAGTTCGCCCTAAGCATTACATTCAAATTATAATGACCGACGTCCACGCGCCATCGAAATATCGAGCAATGATCCCTTTACAGAATAGGGACGAATTTGCCAAAGCCTTTAAATGTCCTCTTGGTAGTCCGATGAACCCAGAGAAGAAGTGCCAGGTTTGGTGATCCGCCATATCTCCGAGCACTTGTTAGCAAAAACTGTGGAGAGACCAGTGACTTTGCTAGTTCTTCCTTCGTCGAAATCATTTTTTTTTATCCAAGTAGAAACTCCAGAAATCGTTGTTGGTCTCTCTGCAGCTATATTGGCCAAATCACTTTATACGGTACCCTCTCAACTTGAGACAAATTAAACTTGCCATATCTTCAAGAAAAAAACTAGAAAGTTTCCATAGTTTCATCTTTCTGTCCACTTAGCATGTCTTTGCCCCTAGCAACAAAAATTACAAACCCAATAGGTTGAGACTCTGGAAACTTTCATACCTGTGTAGAGTTTAGCTCCCTTCCTTCCTTGCCAAATGTACGACTTTATTCATCATCAGGCTTACCTTTCCTTATCGCAGCCGAACCTTTACAGATTAAACTAGTAGCGTACATCCATCAAGTCACGAAACATGCTTTACTTACTTCCCTTCCTTTAAAAGATTTCAGTCGTGCTATATATTATTGATCTCTGTAGAAAGTGATTGTGATTTTATTAAAAAGAAAAAACTTAGTTTAAAAAAGCCTAACTTTGTGTTCAACTAACAAAATGACATGGAATGATATACACAGGGAATCAATATTCAACAAGTTTGAACCGTATGTGGACACAATGAGATCGAAGACTTTTTTTACAATAAACCAAGATTGCTCAACTTGCTTCGAAGCTTGGATATCTCGGATTGCAGCTGCCGCTCTCGTTGTCGAAGAAACTTGTTACGCTCTACGGTAAGTTGTAACTCCCTAAATATTCAACGTGAAAGCAACTTTCAATCTCTCGAGTATATTAGTTCATCAAATACTTCTACACGGGCTGCCTTCACAGAGTTAAATAAAACGAAGTAAGGGATCAAAAATAAAAATTAAATATAATACGTTGATGTGAAAAGGTGGATAATCGCTGTTCAAAATACACATTTTTTCAATCATCAGAGAAGATTCTCTGCTGAATCATGGGATAATAGAAGGGTCTTTTTCAAAATTATTTTAGAGATTGTTTTTTTTATCCAGTAAAACATGTAAAAAATTTTTAGTGTCTCATCTCTAATTCCGCGTTGAGAGCTATTTTCACGCGCTCAGCGAAAGTTTTTCTGGTTCAAAGGCTCGAAACGCAGTGGATTCTCACAGCGTGATGGTTAATTTCACCTTTTCTGGCAAACGTCCAACATCCTATTCCTTTCAAAATTTTTTTACTGCCAGATAGGCGGAGTCGACAAATCACACTGTGGGAATTCGCCGCGTTTACCTGCGATTAGGTTCGTGCTTTTGAACGCGAAAATCTTTTGTTTCCCGTTTCAAATTTGAACTTAACATAAAAAAAAAAACTTTTTGAATAAATTTGATCAAGTTAATCGAAATACTCCCAAGCAGGGGTAAAAAAATAACCTTCTCTTTATCATCGTCTCACTTCTTTTCTTCTCACGGTAACGTAATGCCGCCTCCCTATTAAGAGCTCTTCTACGATCGGTTTCACAGTCTACCGAGGGCTGGAAAGAGATATTAGTTTAAAAATAAAAAAAATTTTATTACCTTCATTTTGACTCCTCGTTTTTTGAAACTGACTTTTTCATCTGAATAATAGTCGGCTGGGCTTGAAGACCCGAATTTCGCATTATCGCGAAGCAGACTAAGTGGATTCTTTCCAAATGAAACTTTTTTCTCGTCCGATTTGGAGTCATCTGTCGGTATCCATGTCAAAGGACCGGAATAGCTCAAATCATCTTCGAAGTCTGGCTTGACTTCTAACGGATGTGTTGAATCTTCATCAAGTTCTTGTTTTACTTGTTCTGGAAAACCCTAAAAATTCTTTCGTTCGAATAGCATGAAGAGGTTCGGATTAAAATAAAAGGTAGGACATAGACAAGGTTATTGTCGTGTTCAAAGTAATTTCGGCATAACAAAAAGGACCTTACTCTCTGAAACTGTTATTTTTTCATTCTCTGACAGTTATTTCTATTTCGCTGAAATCACTCTGAACGCTGTATGAAGTTTTAGGCAAAAATCGGTAAATGTCCTTTCAGAATCAACTGAGATGATGTAAATGATAACTCACAGAATATTCATCGGTAGAGTCTTCTTTCAAGCTCTCAACACTCTCCATGGGCGACTCTATGCTGGCGTCTTCTTGATATTCCTTCCAAAGACTACTCGCTTGAAGCTCTTCGCCTTCTTCCGATAAATATTTTGTCCAAGCCTTAAAATAATTATTATGACTAAACCCTGGACGGAAAGATGAACCTCCCAATTTACACTATTACAAGCGCGATCAATATCCAATTCCAACGGGTTCAGTTCAGGCGAAACAGGAGGGGCCAAACAAGCCATTTCGTTAGAGTCCAACTCGAAAGACTGAAACTACCTCTTCATTTACAAATAATGAACAATGTTCAAAAATCTTCAGCCTACTAGTTAAAACAAATTTCGAAATCATCGAGTTCATCATGCTCAGATATCTTCTTTGTACAACATGGAGAACGAAGCGATCGCGCCTCTTCATGATTAGCATGATTTTCATCACAGCAATCGAACTCGAGATAAAGCCTATTTTTTCATTTAACTACGGTAAATTCACTTACCGGGAAGTCGGGACTGTTATCCATCCATGAGAGCGGGCGCTCTTTTTCGACTTCACGAACTTGTCTGTTGAAACTAGGAGATGCGACGCAAGAATATGAAGCGTTCCAGCGGTCAAGATCAAGCAACTCCAGCTCGTGTATGACATCGTCTTCATTGGTAACTCCCAGGAACGGATCATGATTAATACTGGTACTATAAAAAAGTAATCATGAAAAATTGAGCAGTTACTTGAAACCTTCTTTGCCTGAGAGAATCACTACATAGTGGCGCGTTGATGGAGGCAAAGCTCTGACAATTGCTCACAGGTGTGATTGGTTTAGGGGGAGCCCGAGAATTTTCTCGCCATAGAGGGCAAGCCCCTATTACTTGTGCACTTAAGGTTGTTATTCGGCTCACGCGTGGCAGCATCGCGAGCGCTTGTCTTCTTCTCCCAGAGACGTTTCTCAAAGAAAATCATCATTTCTGCAAAGTCGGAAAGTGGCAATGTTGAATTTAGTGTTGTGATGATCAGAAAGATTTTATCTTTTTTATTCAATTTTTCAAAGAAGCACGGCAGAAATTGGAAAGGAAAACAGCTTTTTCATTTACATTCGAAAAAATTATTTTGACACAGCTTTGATTACTTTCTGCCAATTCACATCAGCGTAATGGTCTGCTTAAAGGTGCTAAAATCGAGAAATAATTTTGAAGAAGTGGAAATCGTAGCGAAATTCAAAATTTTAACCCATTAACTTTCAAAAAACGTTACAGCTATGCAAAATCAAGCGCAGTTGGCGGAAAAATTTATTTGAACTTTAGCAATGGGTTCCCAACATTTTTTCAAATTCGTTAAACCGTGATAAAAATTATAAAAAATATTTTAAAAAAAGCTTTGAACTCACTTTTCTCTGTTTCTAGCAGTTTAATATTCTCGAACTGTGTGATCGTTGACCGGACGAAAACAGAAAAAAAAGACGGCAAGTGAACGAAGCGTGAAGAAATGACAGTGAAAGTAGCGGGTATGACGAAATCGCGTCCTCCTTCTGGCGCCGCCCAGCTGTGGGAGGAGCCAGAGACTTTCAATGTTTCACGCACGCAGAACCCTATGCGCCTTTAAAATACTCGGAAATAATGCCGCGTTCAAATTAATTCCGGAAAAAGAAGAAAAGACAGAAAAGCAAAAAAAAAGATTTCGGAGAGCTACAAAAATTTTTTAATTTCGAAAAACTACTTTGAATACGGCATAATAGAACTGACCTGTATGTAAAAACCTTAAAACGTTTTCTTCTCTCTTTGGTATAGTAAATGAAAATTTATTCACACTAATGTAGTAAAACCGTATGAACAATATGATTTAAAAAAAATTCACGAGGTGATTAAAAGAAAAGAAAACCCATAAGGAAATATAAAAGAATATTTTTGATAGTTTAATGAGGAAAGTTGAAGCAATTATTTTGAAACTTCACATGAATATCTTATTGAAATGATCAAACATTTATAAAATTTAATTTAAAACTTTTTCAGTAAACGATATGTATTGTGAAGCCGTGTTCAAAGTAGTTCCCGCGAAATTCAAAAATATTTCTGACTCTCAAAAATTTATTTAGCCTTTCGACTCTTTGACGTCATGACTGCTATTTTGCATTTCACGAAATCACTTTGAACCCGACATAAAAGTTTCTCTTCGGAAGAATATAGACTATATATTATTAATATGGTGGTATGAAAAAAACACCAGCGAAAATTCAAACGGCGACTTTTCCGATTTTTTTCATATCGCTAGGGAACTTTCCGACGGCCACCTTTCCGACGAATTTTTTCCGACTTTTTTTCTCGATAAATCTTCGTTTTAAATATTCCTGTATAAAGTAGGTAGTTGGTTGATGATTAAAACACAAAGAAATAGGAAAGAAAATGTTAATAGATGTTTTAAAAACCGAAAAAAGATAAGGGAAAAAAGTCGGAAAGGGATCCGTCGGAAAAGTGGCCGTCGGAAAGTTCTCTAGCGATATGAAAAAATCGGAAAAGTCGCCGTTTGAATTTTTGCTGGTGTTTTTTTCAAACCACCATTAATATAGTATGTTATTGCACTCATTGAAAAAAGACAGCACAGAACTTTAAGCAGAGTGATCGGAATACCAAAAAAGGTAGCTCAGATTTATACATACAACATCAATTATTAGTGATCTATTAAAAACATCAATCTTCGTGTTCGCGCTCGTCAATCAAAAGAGGAGCCTGTTCGCCAAAATTGCTTCTTCTCATAGTTTTAATATCGTGGATGCATCTTGGCAGAATAGAGAGGACAGCCAATCCATTCTGAAAAAAGCAAGAAGTACTTTTCTGTTGAGCTCGTTGAACACTATTTTATAAAAGAAAAAAATATTTTAGGTTGTTTACTATGTTCTTATAAAATTTAAAAGAAGAAACTATCAGGCAGAGGGGGAATTAGATATTCTTCACCTCATAATTTTTGTGATTCAAAAGAGAAATGTTTCAATGTTGAATTATAGTGAAAACCGAAAACCTTCTTTCGATTTTATCTCCCTACCAAAACATGCGTTAGAGAGCATTCTAACTAGGAAAAAAAACGTCAGAAAGTTATTGTAGATTATCAGAAAGCCCGAACTTGTGGGAGTGTAAACAATACTTCCCACGTTAGCACCTTGTTAACACTTCTCTTTTGAAAGCGAGAACGAGGTGTGCGTTGAGTGACCATAACGTGACCATTTTCACACCAAATTATGCAAATTATAGATATGAAAAAGATAGGTCAAAGCAAATGTAAAACAGGCTTTAATTCCTGTGAGCATTTAGTTCGTGTAACATAAAAACTGCGAAAAGTACATTATTGAGTTCGAGATCTTAGCCTTTCCTCTATCGTTTTCCTTTTTTGTCTAATCGTCTTCAATTTTACAAATGATTTTCTTTTTTTCCAAACAATTTTTTTACCGATAAACTAAAAAAATGATGTATCAACTTTGAAAATTGAGAACGTAGTAGAAACATTTCTTCACCAAATGTTCAAAAAAACCTTTTACAAGCGATAATAGGCAAAAAGATTTTTTTATTAAAAAAATATTTCAGAATGAAAGAGATCAACTTTAACTCACCAAAATCATAAAGACGTAGAAAACCGCCTTCCAGCCAAGCTCGTCTTGGACGAGAGGGATGAAAAATTGTCCTACGGCACTTCCCAAAGATCCGGTACCATCCAACAAGCCGGAAACCGTGGACATCGCCTGAATTGAACTTCATTTCCTCTGTGAACAGTTCTAATTCTATTAAAAATATTAAAAATGTGAAATTGAGAGGCTAACGAAACGAGAAACATTTAAAAGTATGTTTCTATGATCAACTAATCAATCATATAGGTGTTATTTTTAACCGAGTTCTAGAAATAAGCACTTATAAATGAGGGAAAAAGTTCAAACCTAATTTTTTTTAATTCGAAAAATTTTCCCTTTCAATAACAAATTAGTAAAAAGATCAATGTAAAAAAGACCAAATCAATATTAGAATTAAAAAAAGGTTTGACAGACCTTTGAGTTCCCAGCGAGAGCCGGCTGAGAGCCCAAGTCAATGGAAATAGACCCAACGATCAAATTGTAAGGACCTGAGACGGTCACACCGACTGTCGTCATCACCAAGGCGTTCCAAAACATGAAGGGCCCTGAAAAAGAAGGAAAGCTGACCCAGGTCGAATCCTTCCTACCGACGTGCGCATACAGAAACAGCGAGCTTATAGAGCACATCAGCATCGCGACTATCAAAGGAGTGCGACAGCCCATTTTATCCTATTTCACAATTCATCGCTATTGTTAATAGCATTTCGAAAAAGAACCGTAATATAGCCGCCGAGAACACTGCCAATGATGCCCCCTATGTCGTACCAAATACTTAGTTGGTCGGCCTGAACTTTGGGTAATTTTCATATGGTGATTGCGAGACAGGTGAGAAACCTGAGATTCCTCCCAATTGTAGGCGTCCGTTAAATAGAGCGGAAGCCAGAAGAAAAAGGCATAGTTGACCAATTTCAAGCAAGCATTGCAAACACAGTACTGTAAAAAGTTCCGTTTCACACATTAACTAGGTGACGTTTTTAGCCCCAGATCGAACTTTTGATGAAACTTGCCTGAAGAGTACTTTAGAGCCTCCTGATTCTACAAAAATAAAATAAAATTTTCGCATCATGTCTAGTTTTTAGTTAAAACGCTTCAAAAGCTTAAAAAGTGCTTTTTCTTCATGACTTGCGTATTTTAAAATTTTCGAAGCTCCATTCGAAAAAAAAGATCTATTGCGAAAACTTTTTTCTCTTGTTCTGGAATCAGTAGGTCCTAATGTACACGGTCATTTTTGTATAAGTTAAAAGCCTATTTACAAAAATCGAAATAAGATTAGTTTATGAGCAAAACTCCATTATGATAATTCAAAAAAAAATTTTTTCATAGGGAATGTATTTTTCACGAACAATTTGTTCTACAACATTTCAAAATTAGTTTTAACAGTCACGTTTAAAAAAAAAAGTAAAAATGTAGACTCACGGCGAAAACTCCAGGCAGTAGCCACGCTCGGAACAGACTGATAGGTTCTTCGTGAGATTCGGCAGAGGATATCCTCAAAAGATTTCTTTGCTTCTCGAGTGATTCCAAGCCCGACCTCTGAGATCTGCCTTCCTCTGAGCTCAAACTCTCGTAGCCAACTTCATTTGGTCGAGAATCGATAGAGGACAGAACGACTACCCCTCCAAGAAATATCATAACTGAGTTGAAGAAAAAGGTATACTGAATTGAAAAATTGGAACACTCAAATCTAATGTAAAAACCTCGTAACCGAACGGAAGAAATATGGCGGTGAACATGGAACCGAAAATGTTGCCCACAGGTTGGCAAGACGCCCAGACGCCCATTACAAAGCCTCTGTTTCCTTTTCCAAACCAATTGGCCTGGAATACGTCACTCAGAAAGGAACTGAAGGGCACTGACCATGATAGCGACTTCGCTAGGCCAGCCACAGGCCTGAACGAGACCAAAAGCGACATAAGTAAACGAGTAGAAAGACACCGAGTAAAAGTCAAACCACTTCGGGAACGATCCAAATAGAGTCAACTGAATATCGTCAAAAGCAATGCCGGTTCTCGAAGCTTGCCCACAATGAAATAAATTCCAGTTCGAAAATTTGTGGTCCTACGTAGGTCAATGTAAAAAAAAAACGAATGAAAAATAATTTTTTCAATTGTTAGACTGCTAATTTACGGAATTTTATGTTTTTTTTTCTCGTTTTCTTTTCAGATGAAAATTCTAGTGAAACAAAAAATAATGAAACTGAGCCAAAACTGACAGTTATTGCGGAGCCGAACATTCCTGCGGCAATGACCCACTTCGGATTGAGCCGATCTCCGAGCCAGCCCCAGAAAAAGAGGGCCTAGAAATTTTGTGTGTAGAACAAGCAGGCGATGCTGACCAACCGAGGCATAAGCTGCCATGAACATTGCGTCGAGGGAACCGAGAAACGCCTTCGCCTCTCCTTCGCTCGAAAACAGCGGCTGCATCCAAATAGCGTATCTATTCAGAATCAGACTCACCGCATGAGTCCTGTTGTCTAGCCAATCAGCCTTGATCGACGACTTCACCCCACTCAACGATTTTCGACTTGCATGATACAACCCATAACTGAGAAAAAAATTTTTATTTTGAAAACAAGACGAGGGACTGAATAACCAGTATTCTAACTATTTTATTCAACAAACGCCTTGACTCATACGACAGCATTTTTGTATCTGTGATAGTTTGGAAGCAAGAAATCACGATAGCCTTTTTTTTTTAGAATACTCATGATGTTCTTATCGAAAATTATTCTTTCTGTTGTTCGTTTTTTTTCTTCTCTCTATAAAAATTGATGTGTACACCCATCACAAATCTCATAAACCATAGGAATGAAAACACAAAAATTTAATCGAAAACTCTAAACTAACCTGACAAACGTAACAAGAAAAACGACAACTTTTTTTCCTGCACTCATCTGAAAGCCAAAATGTAAAGCATAATAGTAAGAATCACCAATCAAACGTTATCGATAGTCGTGATAAGGAGCTCGAAACAGAGTCTCACCGACAAAAGTACTTTTCGAATTAACAAAATTGTTTTCGCGTATTTCAGTTAGAAACAGTTTATCGGCAGAGATGAAGAAAAAATAAAAACAGTGATAATAAAAAGACAAAAATGATAAAAATCATTTGGAATGTATCACTTGATGTATTTGTCCATGAACTTTTTGTGAAACTCTGATCGGATAGCGTCGTTTATGAAAGTGACATCCTTTTTGCGCTCTTCTAGCCCTGTAAAAAGAAAACTTATATTATCTTTGATGTGTATATCCGTCCTATTATTGTTCTACAGTCTATGCTCCAATCGATTCTCACAACAGAGGTGCTCAGAAAAGTTTCCTTTTCCGACCTTGCGATCGTTGTGGCTCGTCCTACTACTCTTATTTCACTTGCTCATCTGAAAATAATCTCAAAACTCCTGAGGTGAGACGTCATGTTCCTTGTTTATAACACCGTACTTAAAAAAGTACTAATATAATTAATGTTTAGAATTCACTTCCGGGTGTATTTTTGAACTCTTTTTTTCTTTTTTCAATTTTTATATTACCCTGTTTTTGGCCCTTGAACCGTATTATTATTTGCATTGATTAAATAAATGTTGATAACGAAAAAAAAATTACAGATAATTTCGTTTTTCAACGGTTCACCTGACAACCTATGTTTTTTTTGAATAGTTTCCGACATCTTTCAGAAATAAGTGGGCAGAATACTTTCAGATACACTAGTTCAGCATCCAAAAAGCCTCAAATTTACGTTCAAAAAAATTGTTTCTCACAGAAAATTCAAAATTTTCGCTCATAGAACTGCATTATACTTTCAAAGGTCTTTTTTCAGAAATTGAGAAGCTATCTAGATTGGAAATTGAGCAAAGATCGAATGGAAAATGTGAAAACTATATTCCTTGTTTTTGAACCGGAATTAAATTCCTTCCTAGTGAAGATAAAACATTGTCGAAGAGGTCTTTTAAAAATTTTTTTCAACTTTCAGCATCAAATTGATCGTTGAAGAAGTATGAAAATAAGAAACGTATCCGCCGTAACTTTAATTATAAGTAGTAAATGTGCACGAATTCAGCTCTTAAACGACGAAAACGTTTTTTGCACAAGATATCCGCAATTCTATTGGTCTTCGTGATTCTCCGGAGTCTCACCTTTTGCGCAGTTGCGGAACACGACATCATCGTCCCACCGTCGTTTCACCTTGAAACCGTCGACAGAAGAGTTCGCCGTTGCGACCGGAGCGTCGTTGAGCAAAGGGTTTCCCGCCAAAATGTTGGACATTCGCTCACGTTCCTGCAAAACTCAGTGTTTTCTTTCCTAATCGCACAATGCATCCGAGCCTCTTCTTCCTTCTGCTGCTCCTCTCGTTTGGCCTTCTCCTCAGCTCTTTCCTTTTTGATTTTCTCCAATTCTGCCATAAGCGCAGCTGTGTCGTCGTCATCGGAGTCGTCATCATCAGAGTCGACCTGTGATTTTGTTGGGACGTTAGAAAAAAGACTCGAACCTCATCGATGGCCTCGTCGGCGTCGACGGCGGCACTCTCAGCGATTTCGTCCATCCGCGGCCTCTTGCTGCTCGAAGATCCTTGAGCGCTGTCGCGAGCTCGTCTTTCGCGCACTGCGTTTCTTTCTTTGTCTTCAAGTTCGCGGCGAAGATCCTGCAACAATAAACTTTGAAAATTTAAACCGATTTTTCCCCCCATTTCGAGAAAGATTGACTTTTTGATGGCTCAAACTAAACATTATATCGAGTCTTGTGTTTGCTACAAAAGGTTAAGATAAAGAAAGCTTCGAATTATTAAGAAATAAAGTCAAGATAACTAGTTGATTTTGATATGAACCACCTTCTTGCGAATATCATCTTCAGTTCCTTGACCGGTTTGGCGGTATTTCAGTTTTGTATGAGAAGGCATATCCTTGGATGAGTACTGCGCAGAGAGTTTGGAAAGGTCGCCTTCTCCGCGAGCAGTACCTCCACGGGCTGGGTGAAACGTGGGACGATGTGCCGACGTCATTCTGAATTCTGATTTATATTTAAAAAATCAAAGAGAACCTAGCAGGATCACAAACTAAAATGTTTTTCAGAGTAAATTTCAAGAAGAGATTTGTCAAAAGCATAAGAAAGGACAAAAGTAGCCGCGATTTAAGTACTCCATTCAGTCAAATGCTATCTAATTTCTCAGTTAACCAACGGAGTATATCCTATGTAAGAAACTAGAACAAAAAAAAAGAAAACGATGTGTTTATATGAGAAACGAAACAGATGTGAACACAAAAAAGTTTGGCGTTTTCAAATTTGACTTTGCAAAGTGATACCGCGAAAATTAAAGAAAGAAAATGAAAATAACAAACTATTTGTAGAGTCAGAGATGATTTTAAACTAAACTAGTTAACTAAAAGAAAATTATAATTTTCTTATTGAACGCGGCATTACGATTTATAAAATTTCCAACAGAAAAAAAAAACTATTTCTGATGCCGTGTTCAAAGTGATTCCGCGAAATTCAAAATAGCCGTCAGAGAAAGAGAAAGATAACTAAATTTTGGAGGGTCAGAGACCATTTTGCATTTCGCGGAAATTACTTTGAACACGGCATGATGCAGCTGGAGCGAGGAATGTACGCTCTGAGTAAAATGCGCGAGAATGTGGGCGGCAGACAGACTAGAACAATTAGACATAACTAGAGCCGAGAGAGACCCAGACAACGGCTCCGCGCTAGACTCGGAGGGAGATGGGAATCGAACCGGTGGTGCGGTGCAACACAAGTGCTCTCAGATAATATGAATTTTTTTGAGGAGTTTGTTCATAGTAAATTGGCTAAATTACTATAGAAATTATTGAGTAGTTACTACCTTGTTAAAAATAAAAGCTGAAAAAAATTAAATTAAATGTGCTTCACATCCGTCGAAAAAAGTTTTGTTTACTTTTTTCTTACTAGCTTTTTTTGAATTTTTTTGAAAATAACTAGCAGGAAATCCGTCATGTTTGTTGTTTGAAAACGTATGTACTTTTTTTGTTATCGAGTTTTTTTCAAAATTGAATCTGTGAGCTATTTTTTGTCAATTTATCATGTTGTTTTTGTGTTATTTCCGCCTGTATTCATTTCTTTTTCATTGTAATCATTGGTTTTCCCATCATTCTGTCGAATATTGCGACTTTTGCTATAGATAGGTGGCAAAAGCCGAGTTTTCAAAGTATTTTTTCGAAGCGTTGGGAATTAGATTAAAGAAGTCACTTAAGAGCACGGCAGCCCGACATGTTTTGCACGTCTCGCGAAATCCTTTCATCGCGCCACAAAAAAAAATTGAATTTCTTCACTAGGTTTAATTTCGCGTCGTTAAATATCCTTTAGTGAACGGTTTGTACTAGCCAACTATATAACTAACCAACTAAATAACTGGTAAGCTTTTTTTAAAAAAAGTTTTCAGCGAATTTATTTTTGTTTTTTTCCCTCATGAATATGTTTTTTTAAATAAATTAAAAATGTTTAGTTCATTGAAAAACTATCTTTTTTTTTTTGAATGAGCGAGAAATTGACTCAAAAAGGCGATGATTTATTTTCAGTGTTAAATTGGCAAAGCCTTTCAACGTGAGAAATGATCCTAAAGAGTCACGGACGTCAAAAAAGTTGGCTAGTCTACGCGCGTTTACAAAAGACATTGTGAATATGTGGATGACGTGCTTTCGAAATTGCAAAAGTTACATTTATATCTTTAATATTTTTGTATAATGTTTTCATTTTCAGTTCCAACTTCCAAGGCGCTTTTCTGAACCATTTTCTACTGAGAATTAGATAGTACAGAGAATCTAAGAGATGCTAAATGCTAATGGCGTGTTCATCGGACGAAACGAAAATCGTTCCGAAGCGCAAGAAAAGTTTTGCAAAACAAAAATTATTTCTGTTTTGGAGCAACTTTGGTGCGCAAATGAACACGCGTTTTGAAAAATGTTCTGTTTCTCCGATGATTACTTTTTCAGAACTTTTTTTGATTGAAAATTCCTGGAGAAACCACGTGAACAAAATTTTTCTTTTTTTTTTCGAATTATTTGCAATAAAACCCGGAATGGGCCTCAAGTTTTTTTCCCCAAAATTAAATTTCTTCTATGGTTCAAAGCCGAATCGTATTTTTCCTGTTCTTAGGCGCTTTCTTCTCAGTGAGCTATGTTTTTCAGTAATAAGCCGGCGAGTGAACATCCTGGAGATAACCGCCCAAGATAGGGGTTTGCTAAGAACAAGAAGCCGAAGAATATTGAAAAGAAGGTAGAAAAAAAGAAGGTATCTTTGATTATTTGGAAGTTTTTTTCAGAACTCCCTGACAGTTGGACAAGACTGAGATGATAGGAGGGCATAGCCTCACGGGAGCTCCTCACCAGGTTCCGCCGCCGCGTACGCAGGTACTTCCTTTCTTTTTCCTTCGTTGGTATGAAGCGGAATAAAAATATCCAGTTTGAATAAAACCTGTTAACGGCGCTTTCAGAGGATTTTTAGCTGAGAATAACTCGCGATAAAGCAAGATCGCTGGCGCGCGAGAAGAGAGCGGCATGTTTGCGAGTACGTAAATGTACCGCCAGCGATCTCGTTTTTTTTTTATCGTGCCGGACTAGGCAGCTATTTTTAGTGTAGTTTCGCTCATTCGGCAGTCATTTTCCGGAAAAAAAGTGATTGATTTTTGAAATAAATAAGCCAGGGATAAATCAACTGTAAAAATATTATCCAGATTTTTCAGTTCCACTTTGATTCGAGTGATTTTTCAGGGAGCTGCAACTGGTGGACAGCAACTCTCGGCGACAGCCAATCAATTCGTTGATAAGATCGACCCCTTTAGCAAAAGAGGCACCAGCCGGAGAAGGTTTGTTTTTGTTCAACTTTTTGACGACCGTTCGTTTCCTTCATTCTTATATAAAGTTTCTCGCGAGCTTTCTTTTTCATTTTTCTGCTTTCAATGAGAGTCCGTCTTTTCAGCGACTTTTTTCATCGATACATAAGGAGGAATAGGTTTAAGTTGTTTTTTTAAATTTTGTAAATATCTGAAAAAAAGATTTTCGACATCTAATTCAAGCCGAAATTTCTTATTTTTTTCTTTCAAAGATCAATAAAGCATTACGAAACTAACATTTAAAAAATTTCCAAGGGATCACGAAAGCTATTTGTTTTCAGACGCATAGTGAACAGCAGTCGTTACCATGCCGAAAATGAACCAGAGCTCACTCAGCTCTCCTTGATTAAAGGTCTTTTTCTTTGAGACATTGTCTTCAAACATATTTTAAGACACACCGGCAGCCGATCAACCCAACTTGGTTGTACAAAAACTGGGACAATGTCAGAAGATTTTCGACTTTTACGACCCTGTGGCTCAACTGAAGAGCAAAGAAATCAAGCGAGCTGCCTTGAATGAACTCATTGACCACATCACGACTACCAAGGGCGCTATTGTCGAGGGAATTTATCCGGAGGTCAGCTTCTAATTCTCTTTTTTTGTTTAAAGGATAATGTTCAGGTAATCAAGATGGTTTCAAAGAACATTTTCCGTGTCCTCCCTCCTTCTGACAACTGTGAATTTGACCCTGAGGAAGACGAACCCACTCTCGAAGTTTCCTGGCCACACCTGCAGGTATAAAAGTTTTTATTGATTCGTTTGTTGATTGTTAGGAAGTCGAAAGTGGATTTACTTTCACAAAAGAATCAGCCATAGATAGCTCATCTTACAGGAGAGGTAGTTTTAATAGGAAACGGAGAGACGCAAACACTCAAAAACTGTCAAATCGCGGAGGGCGTACTATGAATTTCAGATAGTCTAGATTGAGCTTTTTTGCGTCTTGCTCAGAACATATTCTCTTTTCATTTGTATACCTGAAGAATTTTTGAGCAAAGTTTGAGCCGAATCCAGTTTGACATAAGCAAGGCTCAACAGGGTAGGATTTTCTAGAAGTTGACAGTGAATATGAACTGTAGAATTTTCAAACGAGTTTTTGCATCCGACTAACGAGTTTAGTTTGTATCACAATTTTTTATCATTTACGAGAACATTTTTTAATATATATCACGAAAAAGTACAAAAATGCAAATTGCAAGTTGGTCTACGAGCTGTTCCTGCGTTTTCTTGAATCTCCGGATTTCCAAGCGTCAGTTGGAAAAAAGTACATTGACCAAAAGTTCGTCCTAAATGTGAGTTTTTTTTTCTTTACTCGAAAATGATGGTTCACTTTAGCTGTTGGATCTTTTTGACTCCGAAGACCCAAGAGAAAGAGATTTCCTGAAAACCGTTCTTCATAGGTTACCTCTGCTCACATTTTTTCGATTATTTTTCTTTTCTAGAATCTACGGCAAATTTCTCGGTCTGCGCGCTTTTATCAGGAAACAGATCAACAACATGTTCCTCTCGTTCGTTTTCGTTCCGAATTCTTGCGAAATTTCTCATGTTTAGTTTTGTGTACGAAACGAATTCTTTCAACGGAGTCGGTGAACTGTTAGAAATCCTGGGAAGGTGATCGTTCGCATATGAAATATAAAAACGGCCGATTTCAGTATCATTAACGGGTTTGCTCTGCCTCTGAAACAAGAGCATAAAGTATTCCTCGTCAAAGTGCTTTTGCCGCTTCACAAACCAAAGAGTCTGTCCCTCTACCATGCTCAGGTTTGTTTGTTTCGATATGGAAATTAAGAACAAAAATAATGAATATTACCTTCAGAAAATTTGTTTGAATTCATTGTTTCCCAAGTGGGCAGGTAAAACTGATTTGCGATCAGCAATCAACATAGTTTCTGGATTTACATTCCGCAGAACAACTAGACTTTGAAAAGCTCAATTTCCGCCGCTCTTTGTATGTTTTTTTTCAGAGTAGGGATTCCAAGTCACAGTTCTTATGTCATTTGCGGTGTTATTGAATGATGACGATTCCCAAAAAAGTTCATCGCCGCAGATCAATCCTAAAAAATCTCGAAAAAATTTTCTTTGCTTTTGCAACGAAGAATTTCAACCTTGTATGAGCTTTCTCGAAGTTTTATTTCAAATACCGATTCACTCCAACCATTATCTGCCGTTTTGGATATTCAATCCATTTTCTATCAGAGAAAAAAAAAGGATTATATGATTGGCCTTCGGTTCATAACACACCTTCCAGCTGGCTTACTGTGTCGTGCAGTTCATCGAGAAAGATTCTTCGCTCACTCCGCAAGTTTTCGATGCCCTCTTGAAGTTCTGGCCGAGGACCTGCAGCAGCAAGGTTAATTCAGTTTTCGGAAATAAAAAGCGGAAGAAGATATTTTCAGGAGGTGATGTTCCTCGGAGAAGTCGAGGAGATCCTCGACATCATCGAGCCCGAGCAGTTCAAGAAGATCATTGATCCGCTGTTCAGACAGTTGGCCAAATGTGTCAGCAGCCCGCATTTTCAGGTGAAGCTGTTTTTAAAGTCTTTTTCTGGCCTTTTTCCTGTTTTTGTCCATATGTAGTGCTCCAAAAGCCGAAATGATGCCCAAATATTTTGATTAATGTATCCAAAGTTCAAAACTGTACGTAATCCTTTTTGAAAAAAACGAAGTATGCGAAAGATAGAAAAAAATATCAAAACAGTTTTAATAAAAAGTTTGGAAAACTGAAGTTATTAAAAATGTTCAGAAAAAAAACGTATTCGTTGAAAATCCGGAGATCAATTTTTTTAAATTGTTTTATTGCAGGTAGCCGAACGAGCTTTGTACTTCTGGAACAACGAGTACATATTGTCTCTGATTGAGGACACGAGCTCTCTGGTAAATTCGCTCATTCGGACAGAAGTTGATAGTTTGGGTTTGAGGTCATGCCGATCATGTTTCCCGCCTTGTATCGGATCTCCAAAGAACACTGGAACCAGACAATTGTGGCGTTGGTTTACAACGTCCTGAAAACATTTATGGAGATGAACGGGAAACTTTTCGATGAGCTCACATCTACGTACAAAAGCGAGAGACAAAAGTGCTTTTTTTTCCGCTTCATTTTTCTTACAAAGTCTTGTCTGCTTTTCAAAGTTGTGTATAGCAGCGACAAGTCCTTATCGATCGGTTCTCTACGAAATTTCCCACTATTGAAGAGTGTTAAGTTAAACTTGGAACCATGTGTACTCTTTCGTTCACGTGAAAAGTTTCTGTTACTTAAAATTAGCTCTATCACTGTTCCCCCAGCACAAAGAAACAACTATTTTCGTGAGATTTTATGAGGAAAACCATTTTTTTTTTCTTTTTTTTTTGATTTGAGGAATATATGCTCATCTTCTACATTGAACAGTTTTTGATACAGTTTTTTGAAAATACCAGTGCGCGAAATGAAAAAATTGCATTCCATGCAAGTATCTGCACATGAAAAAACTAATACTCCTCCGTATCGATTTCTTCAATGTTTAGAAGAATTTAATTAAGAGAGAGAAAGCGTGAGAAGGATCGCGACGAGCTTTGGAAGAAACTGGAGCAACTGGAGCTGAATCCTCCTTCGGATGGAAAAGAAGTTCAGCCGCCGATTTTCCCGCCGCAGCCGCTGCAGCAGTACTTGCAGGTTGGACTTTTTTCCAAGGCCATTTCCACCTTCTCGCAGAGCCATCGCCCAGTGACGATCCAGACGGGCACGAATGCTGGCGAGAAATCTCCCTCCACGGGCAAAAAGTCTTCGACAGGCAGCAATAACGCTGGTACCAGTCCCTCTGGCAAAAAGTTTGTCTTTTTTTCAACGTCTCTCTTTATACTTGACAATGTTCAGGTGATCACAATGACGAGCCTGTGACGTTTGTGATAAAGCGCGTTTTGATCTACATAAAAGGCGCATAGCAGGATGCATATTAGCCCCTCCATGCGTCAAATCACCTTTCCACTTTCATTTTACGTTTCATTTCATTTATAGTAATGGACACTTCTCGGATTCTCGCCGCGCAATCGATTGCAATATATTTTTTTTTGGTGGTATGAAAAAAAGAGCAGCGAAAGTTCGAACAGCGACTTTTCCGCTTTTTTCATATCGTTAGGGAACTTTCCGACAGAGAAGTTTCCGACTTAATTTTTACGCGATAAATTCTTCGTTTTGAATCTTCCTATATAAAGCAGATAGTTGGTTTATGATTGAAATACGAAAAAAATTTTTAGTAGACATTTTATAAATCAAAAATAAGGTAAGAAAGTCGGAAAGGGATTCGTCGGAAAGTTCCCTAGCGATGCGAAAAATAGGAGAAGTCGCTGTTCAAAAATTCTGTTTTTTTTTCTCCGTATTTGATTTTTTCCTGCTTTCTTCTTCCGCAATTCGCAATTTCAGTGACTGAAGCTTTATTATTACTATCATTTTGTTCCAAATGGACACCTTTGATACGATTGGTAGTTTTTCTTTCCAAGTACGGCAGAAACAATAGTTTTAAAGAAATAATTTGGCTCTCTTTCTGCTTTCGATGTTGTATATTCCTATTTTCTGTCCGCAACGCTTGTAAATGTGCTTTGTTTTCGAATTGGCTCTCATTGATGAAGGTATAACGTTTTAACTTTTTTGATGTTCTGTTAATGACAAATCGTTACAGCTAATTTTTTTTTTCGAAACTTTTCACATTTAGGAAACGGCTTTTACTTGCTCTTTTACTTGGAAGTTTGCGCAATACCGCTAAAACTCGTTCAGATGTATCCATTTTTTCGGTCCTTTTTTTCCCCACTCCCGGTCTTCCTTATCGTCTTTGCTCATCTCATGTCGAAGCTCTTTGCAAATTTAGTGCGACTTTTCGGTTGCTTCCATTTGAGCCATTTTGTAGGCCAGAGTGCTCGAAATACACCAGACGGACTGTAATGTCTTTTGAGAATAGTTGGTATTTATTCTTGAAAGTTCTTGTAATTATTATTGTCTTCAAATCAAATTTTTGTTGATCGGCGTTGGCCACTCGTTTTTCATTAATTCTTTCGTAAATAATAAATATAGTTTGCCACTCGTTCTTCTTTCTTTGCATGAATCAAAGGACAGATTGGTATTTTTCTCCTATACCTTTTGGAAAGAAAAAAAAAACTCGATTCCTCATATGAACACTGAGTTTTTACAGGTTTTGCGGGCTTTTTTTTTCAAATTCAATAGTTCTAGTTAGTTTGGAAACCGGAGATTTTTATTGAAACATGGACAACAGATATAAGGAGGTATAAAACGTGTTTTTGGCTGTCGAAAGCAATACATTTTGTGCCAGAGAGATTCTTACGATGATGCGGATCGCGGCGGCAGACATAAATCGTATCGAAAGGTATGCACATTTTGATGATTATGTACTCTATTCGAAAAAAAACTGGCCACGACGTTTGCAGGCGCACCGATGTGTATCAGATTCCACTCGGAAAAATTCATCGCAAATCCTAGCACTCATGTTTAATAATAGTTTTCGAGCTTTTGCTTATTTTTTTTTGAATATGAATGTCATGACATGTCAGTAGAGATTCAAAGTTCTACAGCTTGAAAGGTACAGAGTTACCCTCGAGTGGAAATATAAAATATAAGCTCGTTTTTTTATTTAAAAACTGTTTAAACTGTTTATTGCATCTTCAATGTAAGAATACATGTGCAATCGACTTTTCATTGATTTCAACTGTGTTTAAACGGCGGCAGGAGCTGTGGCTTAGGCAGAGAAGTTGTGAATTTCGCTCGTAGGACATCAGGTACAAGAGAGGTCGTAGGAAGAAGTACGGTGCCGGCTTTCCAAAGGCCGATGGCAGAGATTGAGCCTTTTCGCTGCATGCAGCTCCCCATTTTATCTACCCCGGAGGGATGAAAGGGTTGGTCGACCTCGGGGGGACTCGAACCTACGACCTTGCGGACGTTAGAAATGAGTCATGCCAGCTGAGCTATGCCGCCACCTTTGGAATGAAAAAAATAAATCGTTTCGGACTGGAAATGAGGCAGCGTTTCTCACCCTTTCTTCATTTTGCCGCTCTTCTTTTCTGTTCAGTAGCACTGAGGCCGTATGCAATAAAATGGAAAATGATTGTTTGCCATTTTCCTGAAAATCGAAAATGACTACGATTAGTCTTTTTCAGACTGAAATTGCTTCTGACCTATCCTAATATTTTTATTAACACTTATCACATCAGATAAAGCCGAAATAAATGATATCTTAGCGAGGCTTTTCTATTTTAATGCCGTGTTCAAAGTGATTGCCGCGAAAGGCAAAATGGTCTCAGACTCTCCAAAATTTAGTTGTTTTTTTTTTCTGACGGCTATTTTTAATTCCACCGAATCACTTTGAACACGGCGTCATGAAGATGGCGGATAATTATTTTCCACTTTATTGCATACTGGTCTACAATCTCCAAACGTCAATGCTTTTTTTGAATCTCGAAAAGCCTCCAAAAAAAAAGTTAAACTGAACTTTTCTACTAACATTTATATTTTGAAAGCTCAAGGCGAAAAGTTCATAATCGTTGTAAACTTTCATATAAGAAGGCCAACTGTGATTATTTTTGCGTTTTCTTGAGTTGTTTTATCCGAGTTTTTGCCTAACTAGGGAACGTTTTTTACCCCCCCGTTGAACTTTTGCTGAAACTTTGCTGAAGTGTACTTTAGGATCTCCTAACTGCAGAACAAGAATAAATTTCTCGCAATAGATCTCGTTTTCGAGTTAGGACACTTCAAAAGCCCAAAATAGCGCTTTTTTGGCCTAATTTGCGTATTTTGTATACTTTGAAGCCTTATAACTCGGAAAAAGATCTATTGCGAGAAAATTTTTAAAAGTAAAAAAAGTTCCCTGGTAAGAGCTCTTCTTCCAGCATTCCCGCCACCGGAAAAGAAGCACAAGTCGTAGCCGTTCGCCGCGATCTGTTCACGTCAATCCCATGTTCAGGTCAGAGACTTCAGCTCGCCCATAGTTTTGTTCGTGATTTTTCAACGATGACCCCCAAACCTTGACTTTTATGCCGAAATTAAAGCGAAAAAAGTTGTACAGTATTTCGAAATACTTGAAGTAAAACCCAAGTGCTCAATAATCGGTTCTAGTAATGTTATATCGACCTTGAAAAAGGTAATAAGCGGCGAAATGAAACAAGAAAAAAAGATAAATTTTTCGATTTTGAATCTTATTTTTAATTTTGGGATTCCTGCATTTTTTTCATTCAGAAATCCTCCGTTTAAGTGAAGCTGATTAATGGTCGGTAATTTTTCATACTGTTATTTTTCAAATAATACTGCTCTATCGTATTCATATTGCTCATTTTCGCCCTCTTTTTTCCTAATCATTTATCTTCCTTTGACTAGGAAACTTTTTTTACCCCCCGGTTGAACTTTTGCTGAAACTTTGCTGAAGTGTACTTTAAGATCTCCTAACTGCAGAACAAGAATAAATTTCTCGCAATAAATACATGTCGTTCCGAGTTAAGACACTCCAAAAGCTTGAAATAGCGCTTTTTTTGGCATAATTTGTGTGTTTTGCGGACTTTGAAGCTTTATAACTCGAAAACAAGACCTATTACAGGAAATTTTTTTTGTTCTGCAATGAGGAGATCCTAAAGTACAATTCAACAAAGTTTCATCAAAAGTTCGTGGGTAAAAAACCTTCTCTAGTGTGTAGGGAATTTTCAACTTTTCGGGTCTCTTTTACTCAAAATGTTCCATTCTGCACCATTTATATTCATGTTTGAGCGAAATGAAACAAGTTAGTGCAATGTTTGTTCGAAATGCTTCTCAGACTGTTTTCTCAAAGTTTTTTTTTTCTGAATTTTGCACTGTAGCTATTTTTATTGACGATCAAACTTTGTGAGAAAACGGCTTTGCAGTCTAGGGACGCCGGTTTCGCAGTCGCTTGGACCGTCGGCGTCAAAGTTGTTGGAGACGAACAAGTACCTGGAGGCGGAATTGGCTCGGCTCCGAAGAGATCACAGCTGTCTTCAGGGACGCACGCAGTTGCTCGAGAACGATCTCAGGTGCTTCAATATCTTCGTCCTCCCTCTATGCCCAATTTTTCGGATCTGTTTGGAAGTTTGAAAGCTTGCTGCTAATGATAAGGATTGAAATTTTACGAACGTTTGCTTACTTATTATTCTGACCATTTATTTCTTTCGACCCTCGTGCTCTGTAAAGAAGAAAAATGTATTATAGTCTGTTTAGATTTTGAATTACAAGTCGTCTCTCAAGCTGCAGCCCTAATAGCGCGGAAAAAAACCGATCAAAGAGCGAGCCATCCACAGAGCGTTTTCGAAAGACGTCATTGTACTTCACATCCAAAATATGAGCAGACTATAGGAAATGCTTTTAAGACGTTGGATTCCCAGAGTGGCAGCACGATACGTCATTCATATCCCACTTTTATACTTTTTTTTTTCGTTCTCGAAACTATACAGTAAAAGTAGAGGGTTCAAATTTAATTATAAAGTTTTCAAAATTTATTTTTCCTGTGTGGACCAGCAAAGTCGTAGTAGTAGGAATTTATTATTAGCAAGAAAGAAACAAAAGAAGCTCCGTATTGAAAGTAACAATGAGGTTTTTTGTATAGTGCTGAGGGGGATAGATCCCGGAAGTTGTGAAATGTTCTAGAATGAAGGTGAAGTTTACATTCCAAGGTTTTAAGGAAAGCCGTTTAGAAAGCAATAGAAAATTAAACAACAATGTGGAGCCCTCTAGAAAGGTATGAAACAATTGAGGAACTTGTCGAACTTTCTAGAAAGAACTTTTTAAACATTGCCCACTTTGTGTGTGATAATCCGATCCAAATCTTTTCACATAAACTCTGCCGATTGAAGATAAATCGCTGAAAATTGGTTTTTAGAACACAGTCATTTTTCGAACCTTTGTTTATTGGTGAGGAAATTTTTCAAACTGTGAGAAAGAGTGTTTTCAGAAACGCCTTGACGTCGGCCCAGACAGCGGAAAATCGCTGCGAGGTACTTCTGGCTGACAAGAAAAAAGGGCTAGATGCAATGTGCCAAGCTAGAAATGTTAGTTTTGTTTCTATCTACACTAATGACTTAAAATAGTGCATTTTTGGCCTAATTTGCGTATTTTGCGGTTTTTGAGGTTCATAAATCGAAAACGAGATCTATTGCGAGAGAATTTTTCTTGTTCTGCAATCAGGAGGTTCTAACATACACTTCAGCACACTTTTATCAAAAGTTCAACCGGCTGGTAAAAAACGTTCCCTAGTGAGTAGGGAATTATCATGATGTAAAAAGAAGTTTTCAACCAGTTTGTAGATTTATTTTCAATTGAAAATTTTTTTATTATACATAAAAAAACTTCGAAATTTTTGAGTTCATTAGAGAACGCTTGGGGTTAATAGTTCCTTTTTTGATACTTTTGTACATTTGAGAAGATACAAAACATAATTATTTTCCATTTTTTTTTCAGGCCATCTCGAATTATGAAACCACAATACGCAAGATCCGACAGGAAAATTCAGTCATTTCTGCTGAACGAGATGAAATGAGAAAAGTTTGGAATTGAGCGGAATGAGAAATGAATAAAGCTTAACAGGAATTTGAAAGAGCAGATCAACGGGGCAAATTGGAACGCGATCAACTCGAGTTCCTTTCCAACCGGAACACGCAACTGTCGCGCAAATGCGAACAGCTCGTCGAGAAGAACCGTCAGGCGCAAGAGGAGTGAGTGAAGGCAGAGTGGTGTTTGGCGCAGTTGGTTGCGGTCTTGAACAGCATCGGAGCGGTGAAATGTTCGGTCCCCGCGCGCGATGCAACCAGCACTCTTCGCCGCGCTTCTATAGTGCGGCAAGATTTATCGGTTGCTAGAATGAAAAAGGGAAGTTCGAAGACCGACAGGATATGTTCATTTGTCCTTTCGGTTCAAAACTATCACCACAATTATATTTATAATTTTGAAAATTCATGTTTTCAATAGAATGGAATTGGCGAGGCAATCAACGCAGACTATGAAACGAGATGTTGAAAGGATGAGAACGGACGTCGAATTGAGCAAAATGGAGTCTTCGTACGTTTGCTTTTTGAGATATTCCGAGTTAAACAGCTTTCGAAAAGGAAATCCGAAAAATCGTTAGTCGATATCTGATATGAATTGCAGATCCGCATTGAAATTTTGTAATTTTTCAACACTTTTTGCCCCCAAAATCTTCGCGTTTCTGCCAAAATAAAAACAATGAAAACTATACCGAGTTTCGAAATACTTAGAAACCCAAGTGCTCAATAATCGCCTTCAATTTATATCGTGTTAGAAAGTGTGATAAGCGGCGAGATAAAAAGAGAATTTTTTTTTGATTGAATCCTGCTTCGTAAAAGGAAACTCAATAACTCCTTTTTTTCTTCAAATACGATCCAAGTTTCTGTCAGCCGTTATCTGACCGAAATCGACATGCTGCGGGATAAAGAAGGGACATGGAAGATGGAAAAGTTGGAGTTCGAGCGATTGTTGTCGGCCAAAGACGCGACGCTGAGCGCGGAGCGACGTCGTATGGGAGCAGCACTTCAGGAGGAGCGGGACAAGGTCGAAAGACTTGAGACACGTCTCCGCAGCGACCGACCTGTCGTCCAAGGAGAACTCGCCACGGTTCAGCTCCTCCTCTCTTTCCTTCCAACTTGAGTTACTTAGGAAGCCGTTTTTCGAGCTCTTGAGTTGGTTAAAGACGAATTCGGCACTCAAATGAAGCATCTTTTCGCGCAGGTACTTTTTTCTAAATTTCATTCATTGTGGAAAGAGTTTTTATTGGAAAACACAGCTAGTGAAAAAAGGATCAATATAAAAGGTTGCAGGAGACAACATCTAAATTCAACCAGTGCATTATTATTACAACCTCTTTGCGGTTTCAACCGTTTTCTCCCAGTTTCCTACTTTTGGGTCCCATATCATTTTTTTTTTCGAATACTTGCCAATTTGCATTTCATGTCATATGCGTTTGAGAACTTTGAACGTTTGAGAACTCTGAGCAGTAGAAGAAGACAGTTGTTCCCGAGAAATTAATCGAGTATTCAATATTTGGACTCAGATCGACGACGTGAAGGTGAAGACGACGAGTTTTGACAGGCCAGCCAATGCACGAGAAACGCAGAACAGCGGGTCGACGGAGCTGCCGTACTACCTCGGCATGTCTCCTGTTCTGACGCGACCAGATCGGACCAACAGCGCTCCTCCCATCGACTGTCCCTTCACCTTGCTTCGGTCGACCTTCGGCATCGCTGTGCCGACTTCTAAAGAATCCGAAAATAAATACGCTTCTCATGTTGTCGTTCCGGAGCCTGGTGCTCCAATCTTTCCTTCTTTGACGGAACTCCAAACAAAGCTATCTCAAAATGAACCTGATGTTGTTGATCTGACAAGCGACGGCGAGGAGAGCGAAAGCATAGTTGGTCGCTTTTTTTTCTGTCTGAATATCCCTTTTTTATTCTAGATTCTCGTGGAATGTATTGATGAAACAGGCGAGCCAGTCGATCTTAAAAAGTCCCACGTGGAACCCTCGGTGAGTCAAGTTTTACTTGAAAAAAAGTAGCCTCATTTGTTCAATGTCATAATTTTAATCAACACTTTGAGTTGATATGAGTTTCATAGTAAATAGTCCTATAATCAAAATATTGAGGCGATTTCTTACGTTGACGTTTTTTCTGTATTTATTGATATTACTCACCTTGGTAACGCGAATCGGACGTTTCAGGGCATTTCTAGGGACCTTTTTAGCGTCAGGCATTTCTAAGTGATTCCTAGAAATGCTCAGAAACGTCCGGTTTTCGTTACCGAGGTGGGAGTATTTATGTGAACAAACTGAAAGCAAAAAAAACTATATGGACTTTTTATATACAGCTCCAAATTTTTTTGAAAGTGGATTTATTCCAACCTATTTGAAAAAAAAAAATTTAATCCTTTTATTTTTTTTTTAAAATAAAGTTTGAAACCATAAAAAAATGAATGATTATCTGAAAAAAAGTAACTAAACAGGACATTTTATAGAACTTGACCGTAGACACAGAAATTTTCGTGTACAAGTTACGCGAGAGACATTTTCATTTAGACGAAGAGGAAAGCAGAAGACGATTCGGAAGACCTGGACGAAGAGCGACCGAAAAAATTAACCCGATCGGAGGGTGGGTCTGACCGATTTCCCGCTGAGGTACGTACTCGCATCATCACATTCCAATTTTTTTCGATGAGCTTTTTTTAAATAAAACTGTAAGTTGATTTCAAACTATAGATTTCGTGCAATATCGAGTATTTTTTTGGATTTTTTTAATCTATTGTATGAGGCTTCCAAAAGCTCTTTTCAGGCTGAGCTTCTGGGAGAAGATGAACTTCTCGCCATCGGCCACGGAGGGGGCTCTGTCGACTTTGAAAACCTCAAAGCTCTTGAAGAGGAACTACTTAAATAATATCTTATTACTCACATCACTTATTTCCTGACAGTATACTGTTTTCATGTTTTTTGTGGGTTTTCTCATAATAAAACGCCATCTTTGTTGATTATATTTTGTTCACGTGCTTGCCAGATGTTTAGTCTTTATTTGATTTTTCTTTTCAAAGTTTCTCTCATAGGAATTTACAAATTTGTGAAATTTATTTTGTACATGCTGTCAAAAACTTTGAGACTTTGAGCAGCTTTTTTTCCAATACTGTTTTCAAAAATAATTTCGTGATTATGAAATACGTGTGGCTATTACTGTTATGTTTATCATCTTATCCGGTTGAAAAAAAAAACCAATTTTCGAGTTCTCTTTCAACTCTGTTTAAATACACTGCGCAATTTTGAATGCATAAAAAATTTTCACGGTTACGTGAACAGATAGTGCAAAAAAAGTGGGAAGGTTTTATTCATTTCATCTTCTCGGTTCTCCGCCGAAATGCTCATTTTCAGGTGTGTGTGATTCATTTTCGTTGCAGTTGAGAGCCCAGCTGACTTTTCAGTGGAAACACGGTGAAATGGACGGCGCCCGAGGGACAGAACATCGTTAAAGTGATTAACAAGTCTCCGAGCCGCTTTGCCATCAAGATCAAGAGCTCCGACGTCGAGACTTATACGTATGTCTTTTTTCCGATTCCTCTCCACGAAACTGATTCTCAGGACCTGTCCCGTCTACGATATCATCGAAGCCGACCACACTCTTAACCTGGTAGTTGTTCGCAAAAAAGCGCCCATGAAGGACGACAAAATCTCCATCAGTTATTTGGAAGTTGGTCTATATAAAAACACGTTTAATCCAGTTGAAATGTTTTATTTTCCATTCCAATAACGTTGCTAATGACGTTTTCTGATAAAGACCTTGGAACAGATTACGAGAAAAATTACAGATTTTTCTACAGCAGTTTTTGTCCCCGGTAAATGGACTATGAAGGGTTTTGTTTTCGTTATCATAAAGATGGTTGATGAATTTATTTCTCATTAAAATTTCCGATATTAAAACATATATGAAAATTTGAAAAAGCCTTGAGGAGGTAATTATTGTCATGTTTTCGTGTTTTTTTGGCAAAAGATGCGCAGGGGGTATAATTATTTGAATAAAGGATAATATGCATTAGACCTAATGAATGACTTTGAAAAGCTTGTGGAAAGCTCAAAGATTTAACTTCATATGCAAATGGAAACACATTTACTGAAACCTTCAGTGCGAAGCTGACGATACGGACGCCGCCGCGGTCTTCAAAAAACCGAACTTGACTCCAAACGTCTACATTGTGACCATGAAATGCATCACAACGTCTACCGAACGCTGACTTTCCCATCCTTATAAAGTTTCGCCTTTTTTTCCTTTCTATTTGTGAAAATTAAATTTATTTTTAGGAATGACTTGAATGGAAATTTTTTTAAAGGGAAAGGAAAAACTTTGTTTTTTTCATTGTTACCATATATATATATATATTTTTTTTTAAATCAATTTTCATCAATTTTTTTGTGGAAAGGGCGTGTTAAGAAGTTTGCGGGGCAATCAAATCAGAAAAGACGATCAATCGATTCGCGAGTCAACATTTGGTCGTTTTAGTCTGATAGTGCTTGGTATTATTACAGGCCTTTTATAATTTGGTAACTCGAAGTTACAGCTCCTTTTTAATTATTTTCATAGTGATGTTGGTTAATTTTTTTTCTTTTTTGAAAACGGCTTTGCGCATCCTTGAATCTTCCTTGGAAAATCATCCTTAAATCAAGCAGCCTTGAATCTGTTGTCTCCACACGGCTCGCTCTGTAAAACGAAAATTCTTTGCCCAACTGATTATGCTCCACATTTTGGAATGATTGGTTTATAATTCTCTTGAATCCTTGTTGAATAGCTCAGTAGAAGTCAACAGGAATAACACTCACAAAGACTACGAGAACGAAATTCCCATCAAGAAACAGACTTGACATGAAAAAAAAATGAAAGGTGCTCAGAGTTTACCTCAGTTTTCTTTCAGAAGGGAAAAAAAGGTTTCTTTATACTGCCTTTTTTAGCGTCATTTCATCTTGTATTATATAATTTGTAATGTCTTTCACTTTTCTTAACCCTTTCGAGTCTTTTCATTCCTAGCGGAATTCAAAGCTTGTAAAAGATGCTTTTCTGCTTCCTTTCAAGAAAAAAATAAGCGAAAAATTTGAATGTTAATTTTTTTCGATATCTTGTATAATGGTCGTTTCAACCTTAAAAAAATTTTTTTGAATTTTTTTAAATATTCATGACGTGATATTCTTTTCAGATGATTTTCGATTGTCCCAGTACAAGCTCCGTGACCAAGTTTGTTTTTTTTTTCTTGGAAAAAAGGCTATAGAAAGCACAGAGACTGAAATTTTTCAGCCAGTACGAGTTGAATTTTTCAACGACCAGCGGAAGAAGTTGGAACGATGAGATGAGAGAAAATAAGAGAAACCCGACTCTGGTTCATCCGATTTCTGTGAGACCTCTTTCAAATATGCAGCCGGCTTTTCCGAAGAACGTGGCACCGTCCGTTTGCGGCGTTTGCAACATGGCCGCAAGCGGTTATCACTACGATGTCGGTATTCTTTTTCCTATGGTTTCTGAACGCTTCCCGCCTTCCTTTTTGATAACCTTGCGCCTTTCTTCTCCTTGTTTTAGAAGTCGAGAAATTCAGGTGCCTTCTTGCAACGGATGCAAGACATTTTTTCGAAGGACTATCATTGCGAAGCGAGTGTACGAGTGTAAAAATTCGGGCAACTGCTATGATGTGACAGAAAAAAGTAGATAGAAGCGTTAAAAATTCCCTGTAAGCTAAAGTTCAGAAAAGGTCAAGTGCCGATTATGTCGTTTCAACAAGTGCGTCGAGATCGGCATGAACGAAAATGGTTGGTTGAATATGTAGGATAATAAAAAAATTAAAAAAAGAATTGTCCAGCCATCCAAGTGCGAGATCCGTCCGAAGACGGCAAACTTTTCTTCATAAAAAGAAGGAACGATGGCAATGACGTCTCGATTCCCAAGGTATCGGAAATAACAGACATGTTTCTGAATTGGCTAATCGAATATTCAGATACAAGTTCTTTCCGTAGAGCGCTCGATAGAAAGGATGATTGAGCAATTAATGTATCTTGAATTGAAACTCGACATTTTTCGCCGGTCTTCCTTCAACCCTGACCCAATGGCTTCTCAGTCGCTGGCAGCCACCCTGAAGACTAGCTCCTGCTTGTCTCTGGGAGACAAGTACGAGGTCAGAGTCACAATTTCTCGTACCCGAGTAACCTCCAACTGCCTTTCAGCCAATACAAACTGAAATCGGCGATGATAATCGTTACAAGTGCGTACGTTCCATAAACTTTGAAAGCTGAGATGATTACAGGAGAAAAAAACAATGGCCTTTCTTTGACTTGCTGACAACTGTGGAATATGCGAAATCGTTCATGTTCTTGCACAGACTAGATGAGCAAGACCAGGTGGGTTGAAGGGGGCGCAGCTCGGGACTCCACAGTGTTCCAAAACAGACGAGTGCAGGCGAAAGAAATGGTCTTCAAAAAGTGGTGAAAACGCGAGTTCCTTCTAACGCAACGCTGTGTGGTGCGGGTCAACCCTCAAAAAAAGTCAAAAAAATTTGATTCACTTTTTAATACGGTTTTTTTCTAGTTTTTTTGCGTATTTTTTTTATAATTTGGATTTTTTCACATTTTATTTTATCTAGAAACGTGTTTATCGCGTTTTACAAAGATTTGAAGTGATTTTCGATTGTTTCTGTCACATAAATTCCCATTAAAACGACATTTTGATGATAAATTAATTCACACAAGATATTTAATTTCGTTTTTTTTTGTCTCAGCATCTTCAAAAAGACTTTCTCAAGAAAAAGCATCTTGAGATTTTTTTCAGAACTTTTTTTGAGACAGTATTTGACGAGTTTATTATTGAAAATGTCATTTTGGTGATAAATTTTTTCGCATAAGCTTTTCAAATTTTATTTGACGAACGTTCCTCGGAAACGACATAATGAGGGATAGTTTAAAATTTGCAAAAGCTATTCCGTCTCTTTTTCCATTTAATTAGATTTTTTATCATTTAATACACTTCTAAGTCCTTCAAAAACTTGCAAAATCCTAGAAAAAAATCATTAGATGGTCTTTTTCTAACCACTCAATCTACGAAACTCGACTCTGAACTCCGCGCCTCTATTGCAATAAACCATGCCACTGTTGAGGTCAGTCACGCCTACTGACCACAGCTGCCGCCCGCTTGGGAACACTGTGGACCATTTCCCTCTCGTTTCAGGTCGTTCTTCTCAAGTATGTGGCCTTGATTTGTCTGAACCTCATGCAGGGGTTTTTCTCTTACAATTTGAAGTCGGACAAAGTCATTTATCCAGACATGACTTTTGCTGGTCCTCTCAATTGGTTTTCAAAGTGCAAAATAGTCTCTCAGTCTTCATGTCTTGAAGGGAAGACCAGAGAGTGAGCAGCTACCGCAAGGAGATGCAGAAGCTGACGATCGTCATGATGAGAAACGTGGTCGACAAGGAGGAATACGTACTTCTGAAGGCTATCATGCTTTGCAATCCCGGTATGAAGTTGAAATGATTTTTTTTCCTGTGTGGCATCTGAAAAGACAGTTCTCCCACTTTTTGATAGTCAAACGGAAAAATGAATCAATCGCTTTTCCATTTGACTATCAAACATTGGAAAAAAAAAATTTATTTACGGCTTTCTAGAAATTTTTCTGTAGCCTTTTTTGAAATTACGTATTTCCTGCATTTAGTGGACTAATAATAGATTTTTCTGCGAATAATCATCAATATAGTCTGTTCATATTTTTAATGTCAAGTGCAATGACGTCATTCAAAAACACTCTGTGGATGGCTCGCTCTCTGATTGGTTTATCGCCCCATTGTGGGCGGAGCTTGAGCGACGACTTGACATTCAAAATCTGAACAGACTATATCGATATCATTTTTTTCACTTCAATATCTTCTTTTTTCAATCAATTTTTTAAAAGCTGAAATTTTTCATTTTTTTTTTATAAAGAAACCTTTTTAGGAAAGATGAACTACTTCCGAATATCATTCGAAGAAAATTTGAGTGTTTCAGCGGTCCTAGAGCTCTCGACTGGAGCGCAGGAGCTGCTGAAGCAAGAGCGTCAAAAGTACTCAAAGACGCTTTTCTCCTATTGCTTGAAGAAGCATGGACGCTCGGCCGGTCCATCGCGTTTCATGACCCTTCTCGCATTTTCTGACGTCCTAGAACACCAACAGAAGCACTTGAAAGATCGACACGTGCTCCAATGTCTTCGAGGTCGGCCCTACGCCATCAACAAACTCACCATGGAAATTATGCAATGATCTCTTTTCTTCTTTTCTTTTTTTCACGGAAAACTTTTTTTTAACCTGTACAATTCTGGTGGTATGAAAAAAACACCAGCGAAAATTCAAATGGCGATTTTCCAATTTTTTCATATCGCTAGGGAACTTTCCGACGGCCACCTTTCCGACGGATCCCTTTCCGACTTTTTTCCCTTAAGTTTTTTGGTTTATAAAACGTCTATAAACGTTTTTTTTTCCTGTTTCATTGTGTTTTAATCATGAACCAACTACCTACTTTATATAGGAAGATTTAAAACGAAGATTTTATCAAGAAAAAAGCGGAAAAAGATTCGTCGGAAAGGTGGCCGTCGGAAAGTTCCCTAGCGATATGAAAAAAATCGGAAAAGTCGCCGTTTGAGTTTTCGCTTTTGTTTTTTGATACCACCACAATTCTCTATATTCAAGATTTTTTTTTAAACTTCGTTCCTTTGAAAACTTCTGATCGAGATTTTTCTCACAATTTTCCAAAATTCAAAGAACTTTTTTCAATCTTTTTAAACCTATGAAGCTATCTTGTGCATTATTATTTTGTAAACCGTGTCATCTTCTTGAACAGTAAATTTTTATTATATGCTTTTTTATGTGAAAATCTAGTGTGCAGAAATACCTACATAGTCGGAACATACAAGCGACGAGGCTGAGGACGTTGAAAATTTATACGAGCTGGTCAGAAAAGAAAAAAAATGTCATGGTTTCCACAGATCATTTTCTAGTTACAGTAATGAGGTAAGATAAGCATTTTTCAAGCCAAAGACCAGCACTTTTTGCTCAAATCTTATCTGGCAGGGCAAGTTCAACTTGCGAAACGTTCAGATGATGAGGACCTAGAAAGTGGCCTCAAACTGACACTTTGGAAGTTGTTTGAGAGTTATATAGTGCTAAAGTCTCAGTCCGACTTGAGCGAGAGCCAGAAGCTGAGGTCTCGGAAGGACTGTTGGAGCTGTTGCTCAAAGAGCTCCAAGGGATGAGCGTTGCGACGGTCGCTGCTCACGTGAGCCACGATCCGATGCGGCTCGATGACGTAACAGACGGCGTAGTCCTGAGGATCGCCGACGCCGAACGCCGCCATGAAGCCGTCCGGGAAACGCGTCTGAAGCCGCGCGCGCTATCTTTTCCGAAGAGAACTTTCTGTCTACCTGACTCGACAGTAGGGTGAAACGGAAGAGACTTTGGTAGAGCGGATCGTCGAACAACATCGGTCTTTTGCCTCCATTCTTACGAGAAAAATATTCCAGAGCGTGCAGGTGCGTGTCTATTCCTTTGCCGGCTTTGCACTGAAACCAGATTTGAAGTGTGAAACAAAAAAAAAGCTCACACCTGTCCCACGACTTGTGATTGCCTGACGAGGGCTTTCCGAAGCAATTGGCTCTTTTCACTCTTAATATTTTGCGTGGTGTGCAATTCAAAGTCCCTTACAGTTGATGAATCTCCGTCGACTGAAGAGAGGAAGGCCGTCAGTTCTTTGGTCATACTTCTTCCATTTTCTGTTCTTCCGTAGCGAAAGTTCTGGACGCTCAGCGACTCATATGCACACGCTAACCTTTTTTTCAGCCTGGAATCTCAAATTTGGCCGTATAACAAAACTTAATACTTGCCTGAAAAACGTCAGCTGGAGAGCTACTTGCAAGAAACTGTCAGGAGAGACTTTCAGGGACTTTATGTGGTTTTTTCCAAAATCGTTAAACTCTAGCCGGTTGGCTTCGAATCCCGAGCACATTCTGAAGTTCGTTTCCAGACCATTGATTTTCGAGCAAGCTAAGCTAAAAACAAACTTTTCGCATTCTGCGACCGTCTCGCGAAGAACAGTCTCCGAACTTTGAGGCACTTTAAATTTCAAAGGAAAACCCTTGGTTTCCTGGGAAAATTAGTTGGTTTCATTTTAAAGTCTGCAATATCTTTCTCACCATAGTTTTTCCCAAAGGCTTAATTTTCTTCAGGTTTTTGTCAATGTAGTTTATGATGCGTTCGACGACGACGTGTATAGCGGTGCCATCAGCTGTGGAGTGCTCAAAGGCCATTCCAGTGTTCCCGTTGGCACCAACGAAGAACTGCAATATATTTTCTGGCGAGAGTCAAGAAGCGACTCCCACCTGCAGAGACTGGTCGTACCAACGGTTGAAGCGGTTGACCGAGCCTCCGACGAGGGCCTGGATCAGCTGGTCGGAGGCCGAGTTGGAGGGCGTCCTCGCGTCCGGACTATCTATGCAAATCACGAACTGCGCGTTTTTGATCATCTCCAGGGACTGAGCGTTCTTCGCATCTGGATGTTAATTAGATAAAATCCTCCTCCTTGTAGAACCCCACCTTTCATCATATCCGTCCAAAACTGCGCGGCAACGTCACGTTTCGCAGCGGTCGCCACAGAAACTGGCACTATCGTCTGCTCCGAACGTCGGCTTGCGATAGCTTTCATCTGTGCAAAGAGTTCCTCAGCGGAAACGACTTGTCCAGCTTTCCGGATGTCGACAACGTATGGCTGGGATGATGATTGTAAAAAAAAACTTGCTACGTCAAGGATCACCTCATTCTCAAACATTACTATAATGTGCTCGTCAGCCGTTCGGTTGAACTTTTTTTTGAAAATACGGTCAATGTCAACGCCAGGCTCTCTAGAGTGCTCCAGTTCAAACGTCTTTCTTGACAACAATGAGTTACCGATAACCGTCGTAGAGCCACTTGAACTGCGCTGCGCACATCTTCGTGGCGCCCACACCTCTGGCGATCGCTTCAGACTCTTCCAAGCTGCAAAAACGTCCAGCTCGACTATTCTTTTCCGGTCTCACCACTGATCCCTGACGAGCATGGCTCCTCTGGCAAAGAGGGTGGCCAGGGCAACTTGCTCATCGAGTGAACGGACGACGCGCGGAGGGAGGGCCACGACAGACGTGGTTAATATGAGCAACGAGCTGCGTTCTCTCAGGAACTCTCCGTCCATCCAAGGTCTGCTGCTCTAAAGTCCTCTGGGCGGTTTCTTTGAAGAGTGAGAATAATATAGAACCCAATTAGCTTTCGACTTGGCAATGTCGACAACGTTTTGGTGGAGGTGCTTGAAGTTCTGGCGAAAGTCCTCGACAGCTTTCTTTGTGGCCTCATGCGCACTGAGCGACAATTAGGCACCTAATAGAAAAATGAAGCTTACTATTTGTTTATTTTCGAAAACTGTTCCGTGTACTCGAGTACACGAGTGAGAGTCTCCTCCAGTTCGGGAACTGGTAGAACTGGCAAACTGCATTGGCATTGTCCCTACAAAGTTCAGCTCGTGAATGGTTTTTCAAACGAGATTACACCTCATTCAGAAAATATATTTCAACAGGTTTTCTCGAATGATTGAAATTGTCAAAAAAACGATTCAAAACATAAAGAGTAGTTAAATGTCTCAAAAATAATTCATGAATTTTATTACTTGAGAGCTATTTTCTATATTAGATGAATATAATTTTATAGATTTTTTTCAATTCATTTCGAAATTAGTCGCTTCTTATAAGGACTTGATGAATAATACTTGAGAAGAACCCACTGCAAGCCGGGTAGAGTTCAAAATCTGGGAAGCAGCAGACAGACGAGAAAAAGCCTTGAACATTTTTCAGAAGACTTTGATGGGAAAGGAAACTTGTGACGCCTTCTTATACTCCGAACGAAACGCTCACGCCTTCTTTTTTTTCGTACCACATTTTATCAAAATTCCACCCTTTTATTTCATTACTTCTTTGCACAAATTTTCAATTATACAGATTCAATGATGTTTCAGTAGGTCATACTGTTCTTTTTCAAATAATTTATTTGTTATTACACAAAATTACGTTATTTAAATTGTGAAAACGAGTATTTGAGAACAAGTGAAAAGAAGAAAGTTACACTGAGTCGCAAATATTTTTGAACCATTGGAAGGATTAAAACTCCGAGTATCGTTCACATGAGATGATGAAAAGGTTAACAGATGCTGAAAGTGTTCTCCATGACGCCGAAGACGTGTTGCGAGTTGACGGGGATGACCTTCTGGTCAAACTGAGGCCTACTGTATTCCTCGCACTCAAACTTCCCCTCCGACAGTCTTTCAGCAACTCTGAAAACGATTCACCAACTATTTCCAGTCAGGAAAAACTGACAGATGGGCTCTCTGGTTGCTGGCGGGGGCGACATAGACGAGGTTTGAGAAACTTCCGAGGTCCGGGATCTCTGCCAAGGTTTTTTGAAGCAAAAGTACTGCCATTTCCTGAACAAGTCGATTGAGGTGGAACTCTTTCAATTTTATGAAAATACCTCGCTGTCTGCATATACTGGTTCTACAGTCAGTGTCTTGTTGGACGTTTCCCTGACGTTGCAAAATCCAACCATCTTATTCGAAGCGTCGTAAATCGCCTGAAAAGCTTGAATAGAAATGTAAAAAACTGAAATAGACGTTGAAATGAGATCCGTTGGCCGTCAGCCAGCTCTTGACGAAGTCCCACCTATCAACGGGAGTGACTTTCTCGTCGTAAGTACGGATGTCCTCCAGTACTTCGGTACTTATCTTCTGTAAACGTTTATTGGTTCTGTCATTAGAAGTGTGCGAGTTACCTTGTAAAAGTAAGCTTGTTGAGGTAGAAAGCTCAGCGCCAGATTTGAAACGGGCATCGAGAAAACCAGATTTTTTCCCTCGCCAAATTTGTTCACTCCTCTTTTTGCATACCACTGGCTCATATCCGGCACTGAAATTTTACTTATTTTTCTTCTCCAAAAATGATGTTTCCTTGATTTTCCCTCAACTTCACTTTAGTTGTAACACTTTGAACAGACTTTTGGGGTCATGTCGTTCATCATTTTCCTTTATCAATACGTCAACCTTTTTTTAGTGACGTTCATGTCACGTTCGAGAACCGCGAAACATCTAAAGGTCAGAACGACTTTTTGTCTTTTTCAGAGTGATTCTTGGAACCAAAATCGTAGGAGGAAAAATACTTTCGAAAATATTCAGAACACGAAATATTCGAGAATGGGATGAAAAAGAATGTACCTCCGAGCAAGAAAAGGTTGTGTCCTTGGGAAAGCTGGCGGCACGTCTCAAAGGTCTTGTTGACGAGTCCGAGTCCGCGGTACTCGGGTCGAGTCCAAACCCACCCCAACGCAAAAAGCGGCTCTTGCGACTCTCGGAGCCGCATTTCGCCAGTGCACATGTGTTGACCAGCTTCTTTTTTTCTAAAAAACTAAGGTGATGAGAGTTTTCTCCCCACAAAAATAATTTTCAAGGTTCGTATCTGAAAAGCGAACTGCCAATGAAATGCAGAGAGAAGCACATTCAAAAATCCATTTTTAGAGGGTTACTTGACTCTAAAAGTCAAGAGAAACGACCTCCAGAATTTTTGGGCAGAATTTTTGAGTTCAGGCTCATTTTTTTTTTTTCGAAAACTGACGCGATTTGAACTTTCGAACACTTGAGATTTATTACCATCTTGAAAATGACCGTTTTTTTGAAGTACCTGAATCAACAAGGGCGACAAAGTAGTATTCTTCAAAGTTTTCGAATTTGCTGTCGTCGTTCTGTTGGAAACAGTAGTTTTCATTGGATGATGTCTGACAAAACAAAATTTGCACAGCTGTCAGATATTTGAAGCTTACAGTTTCCCAGAATTCGTTCCAGAACTCTTTAGGCGGGTTTATCATCATTTCATATGAACTGGAAACACTGGCCTGAAATGAACTTGATTAAAACTCTGATAGGAGAAGGGGCTTACCATTTCAGAGGTTGGGGATGGCTTAACCACGGAGTTGTTGGTTTTCATGACTGTCCGGAGAAGTCGGCGGCTTGAGAAGTTGGTGGCGCTTTTGGCGATGAGCTTCGCGGATCCGTTCATTTCTGTCTGTTACTCGAATTTTCAGGCAATTTAAAGGGCAGAAAAAAGCGAGTAAAAAACAGTAACTGACTACGTGTTTTGACGCCTCCCCTGCTGGTCACGCCGTCTTTCAGGGTCACCCTTGGAACAACTTTTACGGTGATAAGGCCCGAGTTTGACTATTTCTTGATCCGACTGTTCGGCCTGTCATCCGGAAAAAAAAAATGAGAAGCAAGCGGTAGCATGCCTGATTAAAGTCTGTCTGAAGCGTTTAATCTGCTTTAAAAGGAATATTAATAAATTAGAAAGTTTGTTTGTTTGTAAAAAAAAACCATTTTTAAAATTTGAAATTGGTTATTAGATTTCTGAACTGGTCATCAATTTTGTTCTCAGAAAGTCTGGCGGCTCGATGGAAGAGTGGGGCTTCAAGCATCGCGAAAAAGAGAGTACTCGTCGACGAGAAGCTTACTTCCTCGCGTTTTCCGAGAAGATCCGACCAATGCTGAAAAGTTCTGTGCTCTACGTCACCGGTGGCTTCAGGACCGTAAAAAGGAAGAATATATTTTACTTTTACTTTTACTGACTAGGGCACTATCTCCATTCGGGAAAGAGTTGAGAATCGGGACTATGTGGGTGGGTAGGCCTAGGTAAGAGTTCTCGAAATTAAAAATAAAATTTTGTGACCATGGTTCGAATGCGTTTTTGCCGGCTCATAACGTCATGAGGCGAGAAGGTACCATAATGTGTCCACAAAGATACGTCTCAAAATGGATCGTGAAGACCCCATAATGTGTCCATCGTGAGACCTCCGGCATACCTTTCAGCTATATCTGAGCCATTTCGGAGGTGCTTCAGAGTCTCCCACAAGTCTATCTCATTTTGCTCAAAATCCTCAGAGGTATACTCGAGGTACCATAGTGAGACTTCAGACCCTGCGATATACCTCAGAGGGTCTCGCGATACCCTTTCTCGATTCGCCTATGACGATTTTCACATTTTTGTGAGGCTTTTTGTGAGATTTTGAAATATTCACATCAGAACTTGCAGAAAACTATTTCTACTATTTTCCTCATGTCAGGTTTTCTTCTAGTGATGAGGAGGACCTTATCAAACCTTTTTTGTTGAAAGACAGGCATTCAACAGGACATTTATCAAAGTTCATCAAAATATCAAAGTTAAGCTCATTTCGAGAAAAATTCGGAATGGACTCTTTGCTTTGACAAACGTTCTCCTGAACATTTATTTTCGCATTTGCGTGTATTTTCCATTTCATGCTGGGAAAAGCTGTAGTGGGTCCTAAAGGAAGTTTGAGATTCAGAGGGCCTTTTAGGGAGTGTATTAGGACCTCCTAAGGGTTGAAACTTCAAAGACTCCTTATAGGAGGACCTTCAGTATACCCGTAAGGGTTTTTTTCTCTCCCTATTGGATCCAATTCTGCTTTTCCCAGTATGTATGTGAACAAATATTTTTTAACGAAAGTGCGAGTTAGTTCCGTTCTGGGTATGCACCAAAGACGCCACAAATTACAAAACTGTGGTGACACTCATGTTTAAGACAGTGTTACGGCGGCCGGTCAATACTGCGCCATCAGTTTGAGAGCCAGGACATTTTTTAAACTTTTTTCTTTTTCGCAATTTTTGAAGGACTTATTTCTCAAGGTTACGAGATAAGTGACGACACAAAAAGTGCACAAGTTTTAATTTTATTACTGAAAAACCTTGCTTGACTACCGTAATACGACCGGCCGCCTTGAACATGCGGGGTCGGGGCTTCGTCAAAAGGACGCCGTGGTACTCGTACTACGTACAATATATTTATTATAGGTCATTTTGAGCGGATTCTCCCTTATTTCTCCGAGTTTCAAGTGAATTTCGAGAATTTTTTTCACCTTTTTGAATCCGCTTAAAAAAACAGGAAAATAATTAAGACGAAGCCTCATGTTTGTGGAAGGCACACTTGGGAGCAAAACTACGGTATATTCCCGAGATCATCAAACTTACAATCGACGTATAGATTATATCCTCATCAATAGGTCTTCGTATGTGTTCAGCAGGAAGTCATACCTTACTAAAAAAAAAAGTTTTATCAGTCGCTGTTCCGAGTCGGAACACCTTAACAAAGATTGAAAGTCGACAGTCACCTTGTTTCGTTGTCCTTGAAAAAGGTGCAATCGTCATGAAAAAAAAACGCCTGACGTATTGATAACCGAAAAATGAACGGCGTCCACTTGTATGATAGTGCGATTGAACGTCACTTACCGGTTTCATAAAATTCGAAACTACTCACGATGCGATGGAAAAAATCGACGAGTTCACTTTTTATTTAGACATAATCAGACGAAAAAAAATTATTGCAAGTTTTACTCTGCCAAAGTGATTAAGAGTCTTAGAAAATAGCGATTGCGTTTCAAAAGCAACGTTGATGTCATATAATGACAGTAAGATTTCTCAAAAACGGCCAGAGAAAACGGAGTTAGTTCAGTTTTACTTTCCTCAAAGTTTGAGAAGAAAGGAAAATCAAACGTCGACACACTGATAATAATCCAAGTGTAGTTATAATGAGAAAAACTATTGTGATGGTTATAACATCTATAAAATAATACTCAACAAAAGAAAGGTTGCGCGAATACGGATCCAACTGCGGCAGTTTTCCGAAACTGAACAAAGATTTTGGACTTTTCTCGAAGGCAAGATAACCGACCGAGCCGCATACTCGACGTATTTGACGACAAGATCTGAGGGCCTCAGCGGCTGGTTTCTTAGAAGCTGGGCAAGTCGCGCAGATTTCGCCTTGTACCTGAGTTTCGAGTGTGAACTTTGAAACTCCCAATTATATGAGGATTCTTCCACTAATGTCAATTGTAGGCTATCAAAAAAAAAAAAAAAATTCAGTCACGTTTGATACACACTCTGTAAGACACAAAGAGCTCGAGGGGGCAAAAAAGCACGAACATTGGGTCGGAAACGATCCGATGAAGGGAACGGCGTAGCGTTTCTTGGTCAGAAAGCATTGTTTTTGGAAGAACGAGAGCCGATCCGTGTCTCTCTAGCATTCTGGCGTTCCTTGTTTGGTCGAAAGCCAAAGGAACCTAGGAAATGCCAAAAGTTGAATAATTCACTTTAAAAATATGTCATACAGGAACTGTTTTTTTAGAAGTTTAACGAACCACAACGGCCGGCTTTCCCAAATGAGCCACCTCTGTGATGCTGCCAAGACCGCCGTGCGTCAAGAACGCCGTCAGACGGGAGTCAGCTGGAAATCGCGACAATTCCTTCCACATCCATCTGTTCTCTAGCAAACCTAACAGAGCAGTTTGTGGGATCCAAGAAGAAAAATGGATATTCTCGACGTTTCCAGCCCATGAAACGTTTTGTTGCTCATATTTCCAAATGAAAGTGACGTCAGGCATCGATGAAAAGGCGTGCAAAAGACAAGTTCTGCAGAAAGCTGGTTTTGGCTTTGTTTTGGCTTTGAATAGCTCTCACCGATAACTCAGAGGCATGAGGTCTGACCGAGCCATTGAGCCGAATGAGACAAGAACTGTTTTTGAACGCTCTTTCAGCACTTTAATCCATTCCTTCAACAACGCTTTTACTTTTTCTTAACACTGTAAAAAACCTCTGATAACTTGATCCGTTCAATTTTTTCGAAATCAACAGTGAGGCCTCCAACTGCAATAGATTTGTGAAGAACTGGGCGGGGAAAGTCGAGAATCGGATTAGAGTTGGTCAGGAAGAAAGCCGCCTCTGCAACGAGTTTCTAAAAATAAAACTGAGGAAAAAAGTTGCAGCTGGATTGACCTTCCAGTGGGAGACGTTTGATCGGAGCCACTTGCGACAGGACTCCGTCTCGCGGTCGTGAGTTCTCTCGTGCTCTCTTGGATGCAGTACGCCTCTGATCAAACTGTCCAGACGCTCAAACAGAGTCATTTTCTCTCCGTTCACATGGTACAAGCCTGGAAAGAGTGTCATTTTCATCATCGAACATCTTGACTGAAAGTTACGCGAATGGTTCAAACTTTTTCAACTGTTGTTTTCTAGTAGAACAATTATTTTTAAAACCTTTCGAGTTAAAAACAAAAAAAGAACCAGGCGAAGAGCTGTAGGGAATAGATTCTCCTATGGCAGAGTTTGCGGCGTCGTAGACTGTTTGGGAAGAAGCCAAGACGGTAACGGGGATCTTCAAATGCTCAAACAAACCTAACCAAAAAAGCTTGTCAAAGCCTATCTCCCCTTACCCAGAGAGCAGACCGTCACGACTTCCGTTATTGCCACGTCAAACTTTGATAGTTTCAGCTTTCTAATTCCATCCTTCTCGATCAAACCTTCTGCAATATAAACCATATTGATGCTTCCAAGCTATGAAAAACCTCTGCAAAGCTTCGCAGTGACATCGGAAAATGAAGATATCAACTGAAAAAATCCCATAAACGACCGTCAGAAAATTCAAAACTTTTTTTGTTGACCAAACGTCTGTGTGAAGCGTCCACATGTTGAGAAGCAGTGATTTGATCCCTTCACCAGAAAATAGCGGCTGAATTTCCTTATTATGGGGATTAAATTTTAATTCAACAAGTCTTTGAATAAGACATTGTTTTCGTAAAGTAGTTCTACAGATCAAGAATCAGGAAATACAATATGTTCATTTTACCTTTAAAAGCACAACTGTGTTCATAAACTTTCATAAATTTTCTCAAAACGGAAAGTGGAGCTAACCGGATGAGTTTCGATGATCTCGGCATCCTTGGAAAAACTGGAGGCATGAAGGTCGGGATCGACTAGAGGGGACAAGATAGTCTGAGTCTTGTTCCTTTATTTTCACGATATTAACAGACGCAAAAACAAAATTCGCACCCAAAATGTCCTTCAGGCGGAGAAATCACGTGCAAACGCAAATTCTTATTTTCAGCTCTTGAACTATATTTACAAACTCTATTTATTTGAATCGTGTGAATTAACTTCAAATCTGCTTGGAGAGGAATATTAATAAAGTGAGTTCGTTTGTATAGCTGATACACGGCTGGGTTGAGCCATCTAGAAAAGGGTCCTGCCACGAAAAGAGACGAGACAGTGCCCTGGTTGGTGGAGAGTGCAGACAGGCAAAGCCTTTTTTGCGTCTCAAGCTAGCCGTGAATGGTCTATAAAAAGACCATTTTTTAAGTTTAAAAAAAAGTAAAATAAGAGTACAGAAGAAGCCGACCACGTGATGGCCGGCGTCTGTCAAAGAGTTGGCTATGGCTCCCATGAACTTGCAGTGACTGGTACCGATCGTTGGCGAGTAGATGAGGACTTTGTAGGCTAGCGCCATCGGCAAAAACACCAACGCCCCAATTTTCATCTCGAGTTCTGCAGGTGGAGCTTTTTCTTTGCTTTTCATTAAAAAATCGACGCTCAGTCTGTTCCGAACAGCTTAAAATCGATGTTGAGCATTAGGGAATACGAATTCGAAACGGTTTGCTGCCGTCTACTGTAGGAATAGTGGAAGTAAATGCAGAAAAAAAAGAACAGGGGTGGGCACCGTAAATCGTACCAAAACGGTAGGGTTCCCTTGAGCTATTCCATGCACGACCGCAGAGTTCCAAGCCAGAAAATGCCTATAAATAGGTATGACGAGCAAAAGCGCAAGACGAATCTAGTGATTCAAGGTGTTTATAAGAGGCCTGAAAAACCGGTCCGTCAGCACCGTAACGACCCGTATAGTACAAGCCCATTCTTTTGCACTTTTGTGATTGTCTTCCTTTTTTTCTCTTCACGTGTTCCCAGGTAATGTTCCCAAAAAAGATTTGAATTCGCTCCATGAATGAAAGACATCGTTTTTTTTTTCTGGATGAGATTGCGCAGAATTAGAAACGAGTAGCTGAAAGTTTCCGATCCAAATCATCTTTTTGTAGCAACTTGATGTTATCCAATTTCCTTGAAGTATTTTTAAATGCCGCAAAAAAGTTCCCTCATCAGTTTTTTGAACTTTAAAACATTTTAAAAGAGGTCTGTCTTGAAACTTTTTTCAAATTTAATAATCGAGCTTACTATATTTTTTTCGAAGAGAAATGTAAATTTTCGTTGATGAATTTATTTCCAGTGCTGCAGAAATAGAAATAAAACTAAAAGTTGAAAAATTCGCGACAAGTTGCCGTTTGAATCGAATGAAGCGCCTTCTGTTTCAAGCTGAAATGATGGTTTTTCCAAAATTTTTTTGTTTGATCAACCAGTGGTAGGAGCTCTAGTAGTAGTGCTCGCAGCAGTCGATCCTCCGGCAGCCGTCGTCGTGGCTCCCGAAGAAGCGCCGGCAGCGGCGGTAGTACTGGAGCCGGAAGCCGGGGTTCTCGTGGTAGCTGCAGCACATCCTTCCTGAACCATGAGGACAGACTCCTTGTCTGAACCGTCGAGTTCTCACCGCGTGAGGGTACCTCGCCTGGCACCTCTGGATGCAGGCGTCGGCCGCGCCAGGCTTGGCTCTCCGACATCCGCGAACGCATTCGATGTAGTTGCGGAGGGCTGGCGAATAGGCCGTCACCGATTCTGAGCCGCGAGAGAGTTTCAGAAGCAGAGAGAAAACTCGATTTGATCCAAAATTTGAAATAATACTGAATAGAAAGAAGGATTCAATCGAAAGCGATTTTCTGATTCAGTTCAGACGTTTCTTAAATCTTGAATTTCATGTACCCTCCTAACAAGATTCTCACTTTGAAAACGCTTTGAATATTCCTTTTTCTCGCTAAAATTTCATAGAAAACTCACGAAATTGGATGCGTTCCAGCAGACCTTGTTCTAGGTCGTCGGTTTGGTCTGAAAAACGAACACATATACTACAACTGGAGGCAGAGCTACCATCTTGGATGTTGGCAGGAAAGGCCTGGGTCGCGCATACGGCCACCAAACAGAGCATGAACACGTTGAGAGCCATCTGGAACCACTGGCCAAAACAAACGACTGTCCCTTAAGTAGCAACTGCTATCAGTTTCAAAGGCGCGAAAACAGGTGCAAGTTCCGGGTCGGAGGTTCCTTGAGTCGGGGTATTTCCCAACCGAAGATCTCCACGGCAAAGCCTGTCACATCGGGAAAATAGAAATCCTCAAATTAGTGTTTTATTCACGAACAATGCACTGGTACGTAAGGCGCAATCTACTACTTAATTTTCAAAAAAAAAAAGATCCAGACATGTTTCATTGCTTGTACTTTTTATTTGTGACTTGTCTGCCGAGTCGCTGAAAACAACAGTTCACGAGGCGCAGTTGATGACCGTGTTTCCCGTTTATGATTTCTAAACCACTATTATTTTGCTGGAGCAGATGGAGAGGAATGTTTTCACTTTACGACGTCACTCGCCGGAAGACCGGCGATTGATATAGAACGATGAAAACGGACTGCTCAACTTTGGCTTGGTTCTGAAATTGTTCAGTTGCATGCTTTTTCTTGTAAGACGCTGATAATTTTTGAATTTTTATAAGAGTCCGCTTAGATTTTTAAAGCATGGAAAAATTGAATAAAATTATTGAAGCGAAGCGCCTTTTTCAGTTATTTTATACCATCAATGCTTTTTGTGTCTTTCAAAATTTGTGCAAAGATTTTTGAGCAGAAAATGGTTTATTTGACTCGAACCTCGTTTATACTTGTTAATGAATTCTTTGAGAGTTGTTAAAATCTATTGATAAAAGTTGTTGAATTCCAATGCCGTCACGATAGTCAATTCCTCGAGTTTAACGCGTTGATAATAAAAGTTTGAATTTGAAGAAATCCACTTTTAAAAGCCAATTTTTTATGATTCGTTGCAAACTATCAGCTGAGCGCTCATATATTTTCCTAAAAAAAAAGTTATCGAAAGCTCCATTATCTTCATTCGAGTTATTTCGGCAACGCAAGTACAATTCTTGAGCGATGAACTTTATTTTTTGCTGCACGGCTTTGTAGTTTGGTCCAAACACGGTATAGAAAGCACTTGGAAAAAAAAGCTTTATTTTACATCAATATTCAACGAATTCTATGGGCAATTCGAACAGGAATGCCTATGTTCGGCTTGAGTATAACTTCAGGACACGGATCGTTATCAAAGAAAGGAACGTCGGAAGTGATGCTGTACTTGCGGAAGAACCACGAGAGCACAGTCTTTTCCTCCATCATGGCAAACTTTTGACCTGAAAAACTCCGTCTCAATCAAAAGAAGAACAACTTGAAACCTATGCAGTTTCGGGGTCCAGCACTGAATGGAACATCCAAGAAAGAACTTCTACCTTGCACGTTTTGCTCCGAAAAGTTTTCGGGGTCGAAAACGTCAGGATTCGGCCAGAACTAAAGTCAAGTTTAAATATCTGCGAAAAGAAGGCGACTAACCAAAGGGTTTCTATGAAGAACCATTGGCACGACGACGAGAGTGGTTCCTTTCGGGAGGACGCACTCCTCTAAAATTCTCCTTTTGAAAGGGGACTTTTTCAGAACCATTACGTATTTTTGTGTCATTCACAACACGTCTCGCAAATAAGGGCACTGGAGGGAACATTCTGAGCGACTCTTTGATACACTTTTCCAAGTACTTCATCTGCTTCAAATCCTCGTTGGTGCAATCGCGGTCACTGTTTCCTAGACGAAACGACTTTTTTTCTAGGTTTGAAAAAAGACGCGGCTCACCAAAAATCAAATCGACCTCTTGGTGTATTTTTCTCTGAATTTCGGGATCGTGAGCCACGCCCCACAGAGTCCATCCCATGGAAGAAGAAGTCGTGTCATGGCCTGAACATTTTGAGCACAAACTTTTTTCGCAAGAATGACTGAACGACCTTCAAACATAAAGGTGTCGACTTCTTCGCGAACGTCTTCAAAATCCATTTCGCCCATTTGCCGCAGCTCCAGAAGCAAGTCCAGAAATGCCTGAATGTTAACTATTCTCTTTAGAAACAGTTATGTTTCGAACCCGTGCGAAAATATAAGTATAGACTCACTTTTTTAGAGTTGCCCTTGTCCGCATTGCCTCCTGTGGAACAAAGCTCTTCCCACTTTTCATTGATGACTCGGCTCGTGAACTCGGTCACAATCTTCAGGTTCCGGTCGTATTCGAATCCGTAGCCGCTCAGATACCTATACCCTTTTTGTTTGCAAGCCAAATTTTCAGTTTCCAAGTCGGTGATATATAGCTTGATTCATCGAAAAAAGGGCTTGATTCAATAAGAAAAGAGACAGTTTACATTGTGGGTGGAGATCACAGACAGGCTACGTCTTTTTTGAGTCCAAAGCTAGCCGTGAACTTGGCTATCATGAAAAGATGTTGAATCGGTAAAAAACCCTATTTTCTTTCTTTCATCTTTTCATAATGTGATTTCAGCTCAAAATGAGGTGAGAGCGAACAGTTTATAAATTTTCCCAGGTAAAGCTTTTTGTTCTCCGTCGAAACGAACCAAATAGCCTTGAGCTTCATCCAGGGCATCCGCTGCCAGACGAAGGTGATCTCGTTGAGCCTCTGTACGGAACGCACGTACTGGTGCTCGTGGTTGTTCTGGGCGTCGACCGTGCAGCCCATCGACGTCTCGCAGATGATGTCCAAAGCCGCGCGTTTCAGGTACGGGAACAGATCTACCTGCTCGCCTTTGTCTGCCAGTGGAGACAGCTGTTCCATCAGAGTCTGCAAGCTTGAAAAGCATCTTCAACCAAAAAGTTGTCGTTCGGTTCGAAACAGTTTTTTGTGGCATAAAACTGATAATATTTTTTAATTGAAAAGTCAAAAAAAAAAATTCAATTCGATGAATTTTTCTTCAAAAGAAAAAAACATTTGTTTTCTCTCGTTTGTTTCTTTGTTGAAACTTGTGTTGATGAATTCAAAAACTGACTTTTGCTTGGTAGTCGTGTACAGAAATAAAGTCGTTGAGTACTTTGAAATGGAAAGCCGGAGTCAACAGCTTCCTTCGCCTTTGCCATTTCTCGCCTAAACTTTTGCTTGGTTTCTTGTCAGATTCAGATTGCACCTGTAGAAGTGAGTAGGCCGGTACCCAGCCATGGGAAAAGGATACTGTATTCGTCTGCTTTTGTGATGAGATCGTTCGACTCGAGTACTTCCTGTCATCCATCAAGACTTTTTGAAAAAGAAATGAACCAACTTTGGCGTATTCTGGACGGACAACGCAAAGCATAGCTTTCGGGCCGATCCAAAGGGCCAGGATCCCGTTTCCTTTCTCCGAGTACTCTTTTCCGAGGGCCAGCAACTGCTTCGACAAGTCTGAACAACAGCTGATAACATGTCGAAATCGGTCAAATTGCCTGCGATATTCCACTTGAACATCCATGCCGAACCAATAAGAGGCAGCGCTAGTGGACCATCAAAACGGGCCATCAGCCTGAAATTTTCCCATTTTTTCCTAGCGAAATACAAATTTATTACTTTGAAAACACTTTTCTCCAAAATACTCACCTGTAGAGATGTAAACGATCCTTCACAGCCTCATAAATAGATTTGTAATAGTATAAAATGAACAAAACAAAGATGGCGACGATCAGCGGACCGCCAATCATGACTCTCTTCTTGGCTGAAAGATGGTTCGGTACTGCAAGGAAGGAATGATTGGATGAAATGGGCATGTGACCGTTTGATTAAAAAATAAAAGACAAGAGCCGAAAACAAATGGCTCTGGAGGAATCAAGTGAGACTGTCTTAAAAGAGCAACGAGAAAGGACCCCTCTCGTTCAGACTAGACTACACTGATCATTGACTGTTTGTGAAGCCGTTATCACTGGGTTATCGCGCATCCATGTGTTGGTTTCTCAATGCTTCGGAACAGGTGGAAACAAAGCAATCCTAAGTAGACTATTAGCCATGTCAGAGTGTTCGGAAAAAGGACGATGAGGTGCAAAATTTGAAAGAAAATGTTTTTGTTCCCTTCACACCTTCTATCAAGTACTAGACCCCCTATCCCAGTTGATTTACGGAAAATAAAGAACGCATGTTCATGAAGGAAGCTAGAGAAACTATAATTTTTTATCGATTTTCAGGGTGAAGAGCTTATTTGTGTGAGAAAAAAATATGTACAACAGCTCTAAATAAATTTCCGAATGATTATCAAACTTTTTTTTTCGTTCGAAGAAACGAATGGTTTCCGTAGCTTCTAGGCATCATTAGACGGAATTCCACATTACCTGCTCAAAACTTGCAGCCGCACCATTTCCGTCGGCTGCAGCCTTCTCCGGGGAACGTGATGAGGTCGAATTCCAGAGACGTCTTGTCCAACGGCAGTGTCCACTTGTACAAAAACAAAAAAAAAATTCTTTTTTTTTCTCTTAGAGAAGTACACAACCTCGGTTTTCGCCGCAAATATTTAGACGGAAAACATCCAGAACTACGAGAGGATTGGAAAAAGAAAGGGCATCCGTCTCAACTGGAATAGTCACCTTGTTTTTTTCGTTTTCAGAAATTGCTGTAGACATCTGTATACTGGGGGTAAAAGGTCATTTCATATTTCTTATTTAGAAAAATGAATCTCGATAGAAAAACGTGATATAACCAAACTTTGGTCGCATCAACCAACTAGAATTAGAGAGTGAAATAATCACAATTTCATGGACAGTTGTCTCCTAAAAAAACTTGTTATGGGCGCTCAAAACATTGCAAAAGAAGGTTGTTTTCGTATTTTGTACCCTACAAGTGCACTTGAAGTCATCTTTTCTGCGGCTGTGGATATTTGCAGCAAGTTTTGTCATCCTGCGGTCATCTATAAAAACTCGATCGAGCTACTTTCTCCACTCGTTTCGAAGCTCTAGCCTTTTTGCAAACTCTCCGAGCGTCCTGTTCGGAAAGTCGAATCAATATTGCCTTTGAGTTTAATTTTATCTAAAGTCTGATTGTGATACTGAAAACCGGACGTCAGTCATTTAACTTGAATCATTGAAACTTTTCCGAATTTTTCCAAAAAGGCGTTATTCATTTTACACAATGTAGTTGAGAAAACTGCGAGAGCTGTTCAGAAATGGTGTTCGAACGAATTCCGGCGGAAAAGGTGGACTCGACCGTGTTGGGCGACTCTCTCAAACTACCCTGCGGCAGAGTCGCCAAAAACAGATTTTTAAAGGTGTGTTATCCCCATAGAAAAACAAATCAGTTTTCAATGAACACATTGAAAAGAATGTTGCAGTCGGCAATGACGGAGAAGATCTTCACCTGGACCGACCATCCGAACACCCGCGGACATCCCACTCAGAGGATCATCAGTATGTACGAAAAGTGGGGAGCTGGAGGCTTCGGAGTCGTTGTCACTGGAAACATTGTCTGCCACCCGGTATTTTCTGGAAACTCTTTGCTCAAAGTTTGCTTTTCGAGACAATGCTGGAAGCTGCGGGAAACGCCGTCGTGACCAAGGAAAACGCAAACAGCCGTCTGATGGACCTTCATCGCAAATGGACCACCGGAATAAAAGCCTACGGATCACTGGCTGTCGCCCAAATCACTATGGTCATTCGACTAGATTTCTGTTAAAAGTGGGCCAGAGTTTAGGGAGGTCGCCAGACGCCCTATGCAATAGACCCTGAGCCTTACTCGGCTTCGGACGTGCAGCTCATCGACGCAATGGGCATCAACAAGTTTGGGAAGCCGAAAAGTCTCACTGTAGAGCAAATCAAAAACGACATCGTCCCTCGATTCGTGTACGCAGCCAAGTTTTTGAAAGAAACAGGTTGGGAAAACCAACGCAAAAATCGGAATTCAGACCCTTTTCTAGGCTGGGACGGCGTTCAAATCGCTGCAGCCCACGGATACCTTCTTTCGCAGTTCATCTCTCCAACCACCAATAAAAGAACTGACCAATACGGCGGACCCATCGAAAACAGAATGCGAATCGTCCTCGAAGTCTACGAAGCAATAAGGTGCGTTACCTCTAGTTGTATGAAAAAATTGGATGAGACTGAAAAGTTTAGAAAAGAAATTCCAAAAGTCTACTGGATTCATCGTTGGAGTAAAAATAAACTCGGTCGAGTTCCAAAACGAAGGATTGAAGACGGAGGATGCCGTTACTTCTGCGGCTTTACTCGATGTTTGACATCAGATTTCCAAACTGGTCATCATTTTTCTTCAGAAAGCCGGTTTCGACTTTGTCGAGGTATCTGGCGGCTCGATGGAAGACTGGGGCTTCAAGCATCGCGAAAAAGAGAGTACTCGTCGACGAGAAGCTTACTTCCTCGAGTTTTCCGAGAAGATCCGACCAATGCTGAAAAGTTCTGTGCTCTACGTCACCGGTGGCTTCAGGACCGTGAAAGGAATGGTCGACGCAGTCAACAGCGGCGCCACTCAAGGCATCGGACTGGCGCGTCCGTCGGCTGCAGAGCCAGGTTCGGAAAAACGTTTCAAGTATTACAAAAAAAGTTCAAATTTTAAATCTTTAACGTTTTTTTTTGTCCTTTCGAAAAAACGACGCGAATTTCAATTTCAAAAGTTTTGGTAAATTTAAGAAATAAAGAAATAAACTTGACAACGCCTCGAAAAAAAAAATGATCAACCAGTGTTTGAAAATGCGGACCAAACCCAAATTATATAATATTTCTCCAAACCACTTTCTCAATTGGGTTTTTTTGTTTCTTCTGTGACAGGGATAGTGATAAATTACCTATTAATATTATTCAGACTTGCCGAACAAGATTCTCTCGCACGAGGCCTACTCGGCGCCTGACAGCAAGTTCCCGCAGAACGAGCACGTCGTGAGTCTGCTGGCCGCCTCGAGCCAACTCTGGCACATGGGAAGTCATTCGCTGGCACAAGTCCACGAGTAACTGAGAGTTGTCAATGACGAGCCTGAGATTGAGTTTCAGCCCCACGGCGGACCTTCCCGACTTCTCAGTGCCTGAAGAAGCTGCCAAATACCAGAAGGACCTCGGCGCCTACTTCGGCGACTACATCGCCAAAGTTCAGAGAGACGAGCCCGTCTATGGAACTTTCAACTATGTTCCTTACCTAACCGCATAGTTAGACTTCTTCTTCAACTTCCATTACTTTTTTCTGATCATAATGTGAATAAAAACCACAACTTGTTCTAGTATTGAAAACCTTGAAATCCGTCCAAAAAGGGCATTTCAAGAAGAAGAAGAAGACTTTTTTGTCGTCTAGTTTGTGTCGAATCAGCCCGCCTCCCTGCAGTTGTTTTCGGAAACGTTCAATAGGTCGCGAAAACTTGTTTGGCCGGCAAGCTTTTCAAACAAATGATGGTCGGTCGCACAACTCTCGCATGTCCTCTAAAAAACAAAGATTCTCGACGAGAAAAAAAAACCTTAGACTGGAGACTTTTGAATGAAAGATTATGATAGACACTTTTGTGAAATTTTCATTCTAACAAACTTACTGTGAAAAGCTTGCTGATTTTTCAGCGCATCTCAAACTGTTGGTTTTTTCATTTTTCTGTCACCAAAACCCCCGGTTTTTTTTTGATTCTGGGCTTTTTTTTATCCAAAAGGTCAGGAAAAAATATCAAAACTCATATAAAAAACTGAAAAAATTCTCTCTAATTTTAGCTGCTTTTTTCTCCATTATATGAACTATTTATATCAAGTAAACTCTTCGAAATTGGTCTAAACCGCGTCTAGGAAGAGCGTTTAGAAAGAAACAATCAAGAGTTGGAATATACACTTTCTCTCGTGTAAATCCTTATCAAATCACGAACAGTCAGTTCTGTTCCCATTTTCGCTCTTTAATGGGAATTAGCGCGATCGGATCTCAGGTATGGATCCCTTCGGTTCGCCTCCCCGACACAGAAACAATTGAAGATGAGGTGCAGGGCTGCGACTCTCTTCGTCCTTTCTTCGCTGTACCTCGAGCTTCAAGCCTGTATTCCCACCCAGAATGTCGACGACGGAGGTTCGATCTGCCTTTTCACCGCTTTTTTCACCTTCCGTTCTAACGCTTCTTTTCCAAAGAGCTGTTATGAAAACAAAAAAAAAATTATTCGATGAAATCAAATTCTTCAAAACTTTCGAAAAGCGCACTCCAGAAACAGTATATTTGAAGATCTTAAATCTGAATCATATTTAAAAATGAGAATAAAGTAAAATATTGATCGAAAAGAGGTTTATTGAATTATGATAACTTTAGAATATTTTCTCTTTCTTTTTATTTCGAATCGGTGTTTGTGAACTGACAGAATTATTCAGTCTGTTGAAAAACATAGTGATCAAACATTTTTCAATTAACATGGGAGGTCATTTTGCTTTGCGTTTGGGAATTTCCTGAAATTCGGCCAAAACACTTCTTGATGTACCAGAAAAAGAAGCAAAGCAAATGGCCTTTCTTATGATGCAAATTATATTGTGTTAGTTTTCTCTTATAGAGGATTTGATGAGCTCGTAAGTAAACTTGTCAAGTTTACCAAAAAAAATCACTTCAGATTTGCTAGAAAAACAATTTTTTTGTAAACGTCGTTCTTAAATTTCTCGAAAGAAAGATAAAAAACACGAAGCTGCGTGTATTTCGCTGGGGCACCTCACACTAAAGTCTCAACAGGCAAAAAAACGGAAGATCTACCAATTTTTTTTTGTAAAGTATGAAAAAAAAAGTTGTTTATATTTAGATTCTCATTCCAAGTTGCTTTCAGGCGAAAATATGTCTTCACCTGGTCAGTTAACTTTGAAGAGTTTCAAAATTCCCTTCACCGCTAGCTTGTCACAAAAAGTTTATGAGCTACTTTGAAAATATGTAGCTTTTTTCGTTCATTTCTTAGAAGAGTGTTTCGCTCATTCTTTGAGCATACACTCAAGCCAGAGGTGAATCCCGAAAATCTTCGGATATCTGATGAAAAACTTTGCATGCTGCGAATAGCAACAGAGGGTATCTGACAACGGAGCAGAAACTCCAAGAAAAAGAGGTCTCTTTTAACGAATTGTTTACTATTTGAACAAAACCTGATGAAAGCATTGAAAATATTTTCTATAACCTTTCTCTTTCCTGACCTTTCTTTCAAAAAATATTATCCGGTCAAAAACAATAAACACCGGCTGTCCGACCGTAGTTAGATGAAAAAAAAGAGTCACTTTGAAAAATGTGTAATGCGCTCCATATCGTTTGACCGCCTCATGGAGTATCAAGTCACACAGTTCGATTTTCACAGCTTTCTTGTCAGATACTCACTGATGGACTTGAAATCAATTTTGATACTAACACAAAAGCTTGGCGGTACCTTCGCGAAAGCCAGAACTAACAGCCGGGAAAAAACGGTGGCTTTTGAGTCGGGCAGGCGAATGGCTTGGGTGGATCCGGCGCTGCGACAACTGCTAGCTCTGCTACCACTGCTTCCACGAGCGCAACGTCTAGTGATTCTGCAACAAGTACGACGTCTCCGAGTTCATTAACATCTATAACAGCGGTCCAAACAACACCTAGTACTCCAGCTATGACAACGACACCCTCAACAACTACAACGTCCACTACATTTCCGATAACGGCGGCTTCTCGTAAGTTGTTTAAAAGATTTGATCAAGATTGTGATTGGTTCAGCATGTACGGCCTGCACTAACATTTATTCTACTACCTGCTTGAGCAACGATCCCACCGAAAAGTGTGCCTCTTACAACGATGCCGCCGTTGCCTACGAGCTCATCCCTATACCTTTCACAGCCGGTAGATGCACGTGAGTTCAACCATAACCGGAACTAATCATTAATTTTTTTTTTTCTCAGAATGGGACTGGCTTGTCCTCTCGGGACAGCCCTTTTCGTCACTCCTAAAGCGACGGGAAATAGGATCCTTTTTGGAGGCGCTATCATACTGACGTGCGAGGAAGATGTGGGCGTCTGGGTGCTCGGCGTCGCTCCCGTTGGATTTGATATCACCGGACTTACCTGTCTGAATATCATACCTTGAAGAAATCGCCAAGTCGTTATTACATTGTCAAACTTACTTGTCAGACCTTTTTCAAAAACATGTTTCGTCAAAAGTAATCTGTAGATGTCAGAACATTTCCACATTACTCTCATTTTGTCTTGTTGTAGAACTATTGGACCCTTTTAGTTCAATCCTTTTAGTTCAATCTTGATCCATCCGTACAAATTTTATTCAAAGGTAGAGGCCAGCTTTAACTTTTTAATAACCAATTTTGATGCAATTTTATTTATTAAGGCGGGTTTATGCTGCAAAAAGGTTTTCAAAAACATTTCATGAATATGATAAAAGTTGTCAATGTTTTCAATGAACACTCAAAAGTCTTTATTATAACAGTGAAAAGAAAATTTTCAAAGAGAAGCGACAGTTGGGATTGATCAGTGATTAGTAAAAAGAATGCGAAAAGATTATCGCTTTAGTATTTGGTAATTATTTTTCAAAAATAAGGTGAGTTTTCGCTTTTTTCAAATTCCCAAAAAGCTCAAATCAGAAACTGAGCCTTGCGAATATAAAAAAAGCTTAGAAAAATTCCTTTCAGAATGTTCTACTAAAATCCACCTGAAGTGGACCCGCTTAGAAAGGATCAATACGAAACGGGAAGGATTCTCGCCGCTCGGGAAAAATTAAAGCAAAACTTAAAATGTCAAATCATCTAAAGATTCGCTCGACTCGGAATCCAACACTAAGAGCCTTTCAGAGTGCGACTACACCGTTTCAAGTCAGGGACACATGAATGAATCGGAAAGTCCTATGGTCGTTTTTTTTAATCAGGCGAAAAAAAGATGAAAAACAAAGTTGTATTTATTTGGCGAGGGGCAATAAAACATACCGTGCCTGGTTTTTGACCCAAGTTTGCGACTCGTGCGCAATCTGGTGACTTGGGAAGCGACACCCACCGTCACTTCTCCAATACCCGTTCCTCCACGGCTTCTTCTCTTCCCATCTTCCCGCTTTATCACCGTCTCACCTTTTCATCGCTTTTTGTAAGTTTTATAGTTACGATGAACAACTTTTTCGAGAATGAATATTTCTAACAGCGTAAGTTTGAAATAATGTGAGGATTTTTTTAAAAATATTAACTTGAAGATAGTTTGAAGAGGATAAATCATCTCAAGATTTTTCACGAGATTCAGAAAGTTATGTTAAAAACCATTATTGTGAAATGTTTCAAGTTTATTTCAAGTTTACCAACGGAATGCACCTTTCAAAACCATGAACAGGTTCTAATTTCGCAAGAAAGTTTGTAAACGTTGATCCTCGGGATGAGTTTTTCTGAAACTTGATTTTTCACTTTGTTTCATCCATTATGATAAATACGACATAGGAACGTTCAAATTGCAGGAAAAAATTAGATTACGAAATAAAATCAACAATTTGTTTGATTAAATAAGTACCTGATTCCGAAACGCTCAAAAATTTATCTTTTTATCGCTGAATTTCAAAAAAAAAAAATCTTAACTAACTAGGGAACTACTCGGACTCGGGTACGCGTTTCGAGTTGAAACTTTGGTGGCTCATAGACCCGGGTAAGAGTACTTGAAAACAAGAGAGATTATCTGCTAAACCCCATAGGCTTTTGAGAAAAAGCTTCTTGAAAATGAACAGTTTAGGCTTGAAAATTATCAAATTTTTGCTTTCCTCCTTCTTTTGACTGAAAAAATCTGGAAATGTCCATGCCTAATTTTCACATTTTCTACTAATTTTTTCTCAGTTCTCTATCGGGTTTAGCAGATATTCTCTCTTGTTTTCAAGTATTCTGACTTGGGTCTATAAATCACTAAAGTTTGAACTCGATCCGCAAATACGAGTTCGAGTAGTTCCTAGTAAGTAAAGTTACTTTCCTAATCAAGAAATCTCAAAACAAAAAAATTCTCTAACCATGTTCAGGGGCGAGTTCAACAAGTTTCCTCAATACCAGTTTTATATCGTTCATCGAAATTATCGCCATTACTCGTTTACTATAAATTCGCCTTGTTTTTGCAAATGCGTTACTTTTTTTCAAAGCAATTCGTTTTTTGAATGCAAAGTTTAGTAACGTGATGATTTTTTCTTTTGATAAATAATCCCTAAAGAGTAAACTAGGTCAAGATCACCAACTTTTTTTAAATAGAATTTTAGCGAAAGTCTAACTCTGTCCAAAAAAAAAAAATTTATGACAAGATTGATTATTTAATTTAACAGAACATTCATATTCTGATCTTCCAATTTTTTACATTAAAAACATCTTACATTTCTTACTATACAGAACTTCGTTCTATGCGAAGGCAAATTATAACCGTTCATGTTTCTATTCAAAGTTAGTCATTTATTTTTGTAGGAAAGTTTTTTTGATACTTTCTATTTTGTTTTTTTCTTTCGAAAAGACTTTGGAAACAATTATGTTAAAAAAATACGATTTTTACTTGAACCCCCTTTGATCTAATAATAATGATAATAATAGGTTCATTTTAAATCATTGACTCGATACTTCTACCTGAGAAATTAAGTCTTTTTATTAAATTCTTTTTATAAACAAGGTGAATTAAAGAGTTAACTTTCTGAATTAAATTTTCTTTTGCAACCAAATAATCATGGTAGGGCGCATGCATGCGCAGCTCGAAGAGCTAAATAGACAAAATCCGGGCAAACAAATTAGAAAACCGAAAGATGAATGTGGACGTGAGTCTTCAGACATTTTTACCGTAACCGAGTAGTGGAGCATGACGGAACGGGGCCTGGAGCTCCGTTGAGCTTCTTATCATCGCCTGATACCGGGTCCAGCATTCAGAGACTAATCTTCTCATTGTCAGCAGATTGCATCAAATTCGGTGCTCTCGACGAATTGCCCTCGCTGACAAAAGAGCCCTATCGGCGTCGCTGCAATCAGCTCAGGCGTCACAGGATGACTATTGGAGAACGAACAAAGAGGTCGGCTCGGTATATAAGGTCGGCTCCCACCGTTCCTAGCACCTCTCACAGCTTCCTCATACTCCTTCCCGGATGTTTCCAATCTTTCTAAACTCACTAACGCCTTCACTCAAGATTCGCTCTCTATTCACATTTCCAATAGACCTTTTAGGGTTTTCCTTCTCAAATATTATACTATATTTAATATAAGCCTAGGAAAACTATAGAGACCTCTATCTCTTTTTTTTTAAAGCCCTTTTTCGCTACTCGTGAAAAAACCTTATTCAAATGTTCTCACCAGCCAGCTTTGAACTCTAGGAAAATTGTTCGCTTTTGGCTCAAACTGTGACACTTTTTAAAAGTTCTGGCATCTTGCAGATTTGTACTTCATGAAACTGTGTTTTAGATTTCCTCAACTTAAGCTGTCTATATTTTGATGATTTCCGAGAACTTTGATCAAATCAAATATCTTCGGAAGAGATTCAAAAATCCCCCGATTTACCTTTGCTTGTAAATAAGCTAAATTCGGTAATATTTCTTCGAGAGGGAAGTTCTATGAGTTCTCGAGACACTGGAAACTTCAAGATCACGGATATTATCAGCGGAAATGACTTTCAACTTTCGTAGACAATATTTTAGGAGAAAACACGTATAACGATAACAGATGAAATAGACTCTAGCTTTCCATTGTCTTTCCTACTGATAACCCGACTGATAAGAAGCTCGCATAAATTACCCCGACGATGGCCCAAAGAGCCACTTTTTTGTGAAAGGCAACTGTTTCCACGAAACGACGACAGCAGAATTGGCTGATCGTATCGTTAAGGGTCGTGCGCTCGTTTACCATCGCTGATTTACGACTCGACGCGTTTCCTCCTTGTTGGGACAGTTCGCCTTTCTTCAGGCGACGGCGTCATTATCTCAGCAGCTTCTTTTTTCGCTGTATTTCACCACGCCTTTCCCTTTTCTCGAGCAATCTTCAGTTTCCAGACGCTTTTCGACGCATACTTTTTGAGAATATTTCTCATCGATAACGATGGAGAGAGGGTGAGACTGAAAAATCAAAGAATTTTTTTCACCGCTGTTCATTCTCAACTAGTTTTATTGGGGCTTGAGGAAGGTTTTCGGAAGACGTCTGCTTCCATTAACAACGTCAATGGTGTTCCTGAGACGGGTTCCGTAGGGTTATGTGCTCCAAAGACAATTGCTTGCTTTTTTCGCTATTGCATCCATGGGAAACGATCTGCTCGACTCTCTCGAAACGATTCGTCACACGCGCCAATAATTCCCACGCCGCCAGCTTTGCGTTTTTCTTGCTGCATTTGCCATATCCGCTTACCTCCGGTAGTTATCCCCAAGAAAGGCTAAGCATATCCGCGAATTATTCATGGCCTGCCTGGCCGCGTGACGTCACTCTCACGTCGTCTATAAATTGACCGCCTTCTGAGAAGCTTGCAAAAATGAGACGCCGTTGCAGCTTCGACCAGTCGCTACCGAGCAAGATGCCCGCCTACAAGAACGAGAACGAAAGTGGATTCCTGTCGTCAGATGCCGGCAGCGAACACTCTGACGATTCCGAGAAGCAGGTAAACAATTTTCTTCTTCTTCCCAAGTTTTGAGTAACCACTGTTATTCTGTGAACTTTCAGCTTGCGAAATGCGACAAGACGAAAGATCACTTGGAAACGATGTGCAACGCCTACAGCACCATCATCACACACTTGGGTTGGGCGGATCCGTAGGACTGAACTGAAAAAAACGTTTCAGGAGAAGACACCCAGCGCCAGGGACTCATGAAGACTCCTGAACGTGCCGCCAAAGCCATGATGTTCTTCACCAAGGGATACGAACAACAGCTCGATGGTACGTGGCAATTTTTTCAACAAATCTTTCAATATTGAAACAAATCAAAAGTGTAAGGATGCTAAAGATTTGAAAAAAAAAATACTTGAAATGAAATGCGCACCACTTTTTCAGACTAAATGTATAAATAGATCACACTAACTCAAAAAAAAATCTTTCAAAACGTACTAAAATACGAAGCTTCAGGTTTAAAAAAAAACATTTACAGAAATCCTCAACGACGCGGTTTTCGACGAAGACCACGACGAGATGGTGATCGTGCGCGACATCGAAATGTTCTCGCTTTGCGAGCACCACTTGGTCCCGTTCCTCGGAAAGGTGAAACGAAAAGTTGTCCTGAAGAGAAAACTGACCTTGCTTTCTTCAGGTTCACATCGGCTACCTGCCCAACAAAAAAGTGCTCGGCCTCTCCAAACTCGCCCGCATCGTTGAGATGTTCAGCCGCAGACTGCAAGGTATTGACTTGTTTCGTGACTTGAGGAGAACTGAATCTTTTCTTCTCAGTGCAAGAACGCCTGACGAAGCAAATCGCCACGGCCATGGTCCAGGCCGTGCAGCCCGCCGGAGTTGCTGTCGTCATCGAAGCCAGGTAGAGCCCATTTCTGAATTCTTCAAAATGAAATCATCAAGTTGACCTCGATATCTTGAGACCTATTCATGATACTTGGCGTTCATGCATGGTCGTGTTGGGCTTCAAAAAGCACAAAAACTAAAATTTTCTGTATGTCGAAGAGTCATATTTTCTGCTGTAAAACTCTTCAAAAGTTCGATTGGAACTTTCTAAGCTCTCTTCTAAAGATTACGTTTTCAGCCACATGTGCATGGTAATGCGAGGAGTGCAGAAGATCAACGCAACCACTACGACTTCGTGCATGCTCGGCGTCTTCCGGTACGTTTCCGCAGGCTAAAAAGATTCGTTAAAAGGGAATTGCTTGACAACAATATTTTCGGAAGCTCTCCCACGAGTAAACGTGAGAATGTAAGCTTTCAATCACAAAGTATTATTCTTGATTGAAAAAACTTGTGAATTTATTACAGGGATGACCCGAAAACCCGCGAAGAGTTCCTCAACCTCATCAACAAACGATAATTTCAATTTATTGATTGCTGTTGTCTCAATCAATATTCCAATCGTCTTTTGACAAGTCGTTAAATATAGACGCGTTTCATGCGGGCACCTCCTTTCGAAATGTACACCCTCTGGCTGCTTTTTGCGCCGCCACGTCGTTGTAATAAAAATATTGTGAGTTTCGTCTCATGGTTGCACGAAATTAAATATTCATTACCAAGATTGCAAAAAAATGGAATGCTCTTGAAGTGAAAAAATTATCACGGAATACTCAAAGCGCCACATGTGAAAATCAACCAAGTGAACTTATTAGGAAAAAAAAAGTTAATAAGTTAGCTGCGTTTCTCATGCAATAAGGACTATGTCTTACAGTCAAAGTAAACGGATTGAACAGCAAAAAAAAACCCTTTGAAAACGTATCACATTCGTAAAGAACCAGCGGAAAACAATCCAGAAACCTTTTATAAAGTGAATCATTGACTTAGATAGACAATAGCTTTTTTAAAGTCTACCGAAACGTCGAAATAAAACTCTGCTTGTGAAAATGACATTTGACATGGAAAGAACACTCAATATCAGTCTCGTAGCGCCCCTGAACAACCCTCTCTCCATAAACTGACTTACCCATCTGACCGTAAAAAATAAAGCAAAATTGTTCGCAAAAGTTATCTATAAACACAATCCAGCTGTATTAAACAAACTATTAGTCGAAAAGAATTTCATTCAGAGACTCCAGGTCCATTTCGCGACAGGACTCCATCAAATTTATGCTCTGTTGATAGAACATGTAGTTCTGAGTGACGTACCTTCAAATTTTTCGAAATTAGGTAATGTGAGGGGAGGAAAAACTTGCCCAAGTTTGAGCGGATCGTGCGGAGTCACTCCCAACGCCGTCAGTTGCTCCTTCAGGTTCACTTTGAAGTTTTCATGCACGCGTTCAAAAAGCGCCTGAAATCAAGAACAAAAACCTAGACGTATTCTGAGATCGGGAAAACAAAAAAGGATTCGTAGAGCAGTTCCTGCACCCAACACAATTGCCTATATCGCAGCGGGCCGAGGCAGTATAGCCAAGGCTTCTTGCTGTGATCTCATCAACATGTCGCTGCGACCTCGTCAAGGTCTCGCTGCCATATTGCTCCTTTTCAAAAAAATTTTGAATTAAAAAAACCTTTTTTTTTTTTATTCCTGATTTTTATGATGAAATGAATCAAATTGAAGAAAAAAACATTTTTGAAAAAATTTTTCTTAAGAAAGCGATATAGCGCAAGACGTTTGCGAGGTCGCAACGAAAGGCGAGCGATATTGCTCGCGGCTCTCCCGCGGCATCGCATTATTATCGCTGCGATATTGTCCACAGTATTGGATGTGATTGCTGCATTTCGTGAGAAATTTTTCAGGTCTGAACCTTCGCCCCCTAGTTATTTTGAAGTTTAGTTATTCTTTACAAAAACAATCAGAGAACATTTTTCAAAAAATCGCTTTCAATTTCCTGAAAACAATTTTTTTTTCCCGGTTTTTTTGGTGAATTTCCATTTTTTTTTCTTGGTGGTTTAGCTGTGCAAGCTTTTTTTTTCTGAAGATTTCGGAAAAATCAAAAAAATCAGCTGTCAAATTTTTAAAGAATTAGAAACAACGAAAAAAAGGTTTATGGAAAATTGTTTTCAGAGTAAAGGTGGAAAAATTCCAGTTTTGGTTGGGAACAATGAAAATTTCAACGGCTCTATTTTCTAGCTTCATCTGTGCAACACCTCGAAAGTCTTACTCGAATCTCCTTTGGCGGCATGATTCCGACCAGACCATTGTGGAACTTGGTCATGTGTTTGCAGATCTGCTGGAACTCTGGAGAAGGCACTGTTCCCTTGACTTCCCACTACAAACTTCTACATAAGCCTTTCCGGGGGCCGACACGGAAACCACCATTCCCAAACAGTTGGATGTGTAGTGGTCGATGACGCTCACCAGCTTCGACGTTATTTCTCCAACATGGTCGGCGTAGTCGGTTTCCACCTGGAAAACACCTTTCCCTATCATCTTATGAAGCCTTTCAACTTGTTTGAAATGTCTCAGAAGGTTCTTTCGATCGTCTCTCAGCGCTGCGTCCATCTCGGCAGCCACTACCGGTATGAACTTGGTGACCAGTTGGAGAGAACGAGCAGCAAGTGCTGGAAAGACTTTTTCCCTTTCTTCCTATCTGCTACACCAACCCAAATTTCGGACGGAAATCGTCCGGAGGCCGACGAGCTGCAGAGCTCCAGCACCCAGGATCAGTTGACAGCTTCGACTAAAATGATTTATTTTTTCATTCAAAAAAACTTTGAAAAATAATTGAAGGGCGAGTCTCGAAAACTGAGAAGACTTGCCGAAAATTCGGGTTTTTATACTGAAAAATTTTTTTTTGAGAAAATGAGGTGAAAGAAGTAAAAAATTTGTCTTAAGAAACCACACGAAAAACTAGAAAAGAACATAGTTAACTGAGCCCTGAAGTTTTCGTTGAAAAAAGGTATTTGTACAAAATCGAGAATGGAGCTTAATGTTGTGGAGAGTAACAAAAAAAGATAAGTTATAATACGAACCTATTGAACATTCTTGAGCAGTTCAATGGTCCGTGACAACCAATCTTGAATGAAAGATGGCATGCTTGAAGTGGCTTCGCAGTAGTCTCCGAGTAGCCGCAACATGATCAAACACGACCTGGAACGAGAAAAGTTCGAATGAAACTCCAGAATAAAGCGAAAAGATAGACGAATCAAATAAATCTAACACAGCCGTAACCATTTGAAAAATTGAGTACATTTAAATTGTATAATAGTCAGCTTGTGCAGCTCTTGAACGCAATATGAGTCAAGTAAAGCGCGAAAATCTGAAAAAACTTAAAACCAAATATATTTATTTTAAAAACGTTAAAAAAAGTTTCGCTTGTTTTTTTCTCGTCCAACGAGCTATTTGCAGGCCTCCGAACTGATTCTCCCAAACCAGACGTTTTTCTTTGTTATTATTTTTTTTTAATTTTTAGACGCCCCTGATTATAAAGTGTTCAAAAAATGTACCCGACCACAACGAAAGGCTCGCCGTCGATAGTGAGAGTTTGAGCGGGAATGGCTTGAGAATCGAGAGTCGCCGAGCTGGAAGCACGTGACGACATCGCAGAGAAAGAAACGCCTTCTGGCGGGACTCGTAGACGAGCCGCCGTCCAGGCCTCGGACAGCGCCGTCTGCATCGTCGGAGTCACTTCGGCCGCCTTCCACATCTCCGTGTCCAACGCTTTTCTGTATTGTTCTCCCCTATGATAAGTTTCAACCTAGAAGCTGTACCCCATGGCCGACTTTCGCGAGACGTGGAACTTGTCGATGTAGTCGACGGAGATCTTGCTGGCCGCTCTGGATAGGTGACCACCTCTCGCAGACTGAAACCAGTGATTCGACACCAACACGAAAAAGAAGCGAAGCTTTTGAAAACAGCTTTTCTACTTTTAAAAAACTACAAAAAAGACGCTCTATTCGAAAATTGAAAAAAATTGAAAAGGTGAAAAAACGAAATAAGTTACCAACGCTAGTCCACTCTCCCCAAAAAATGAGTTTGAGACTCGCCTGAGTAGAGTACCAGCCTTGTGAATCGCACTTGTTCTGGTACTCGCGGACCAAGTGCAGGACATCGGCCAGCTCACTAGGAGACGTTGATTCCGTGACTGCCGCGTTCTGAACTCGACCAGTTGAAATTGGAAATTAGCAGCAGTTTGAACCTTTGCACGAGCAATGAGAAGCCGCGAAATTCTCTGCTGTGCACACTGATGACCATATTCGGCCATGAGTGGCAGGATCTGGAAGCCTCGAATCACTGGGAACTCTCGAATGACTTGTTATAAGAGAGAGAAAAAGTGTGATCTTAGGTGAACTGTTTTTCTCAAAGCTCGAACACCCTTGCCGTAATATCAAACGAAAAAGTTGGGCTTTTCAGTCAGAGGTTTTTTTTCCAGGTTTCTCTCCGTGAGCTTTGTTTTCTGTCTCAAATACTAGAGCTTCAATTTTTTTAATTAATATTCGTAGACGAAGAGACCAAAACAGACGCAATCAATTCAGGAAACAACCAACCAATCGCAAGTAAGACTCAGATCGCACGTCGATCGACATGAGGACTGTGGCCGAGGCCGAAGAAGCCGGAATCGTGAAGGAACTCGAGGCGCCGCTCAAACTTCTGCCAGCTCTTTCTTCTTGGCTCTGTTAAGAAATATAAATCATAATCGGGAAGCTATTTACGTTTGAGAAATAGGACGAAAATGAAGCAAGACGGTCAAAAAAAGGCTATAAATTCTAATCTCATACACACAAAATGATAGAAAAGGGAAGTTGCACCCTAGAACGGTCAATGGTTGCTTGTTTGTGGCGCCGCCATTGAAATTGAAAGGCTAATAAATAAGAATTAATCGAGATAAATCTTTACAGAACCTCTTCTTCGTCACTGATAGTTTCTTCAGATGGAGTCTTGTTGGGCACAGGAATCGCCAGTTCGTCGAAGGATCGCTGCGACGTTTCTTTGGCACTTTTCCCTCTGCCCGACTCCTGCGGATGCGCCCTGTCAGCAACTTCGAGCAGTAACTCTTGCAAAGCCTGTAATGATTCTTTCCTATCCATCCCCCTATTCAGCATCGGAAAATGAAAAGATCGTAAGAACCGAGTCTCTGGTCGTTTCTAAAAGCTGTAATGTCCTGAAACCTTCCCAAAGAAACTACAAAACTGTTGTTGCGATACAACGCCTTTGAAAGGTACACCTGAAGGCGTTTGCAGAAGTCGAACATCTCCTCCATGACGAGTCGAACGGTGGTAAGGTAGTCGAAGTGTTTCAGTCTCCGCACCGGATCTCCCAACTGTCTGCAGAGAGGTTTCTGATAAAGAGAGCCCTTGAAAATGAGATCTTACGTGAGACTCGGGTCGAACTGCGACAGATCCAAGCCGCTGCTTATGATTTGGTTCTGTAGAAAGCGATTCTGGGCTGATTCAAAAGTAGCGCACCTTCACAACTTGGCGCATTATGTTTTTAACGCCTTCTTGGACTTCTTCTCGCAATACTCCGATGAAAGCATACTTTCGCATGCGCATCAAACCCAAAAGGACAGCCGTGAGCTCTCCCTGGAACTTCGAATCTTGGAACAAGTTCAAAAATTGCTCGGAGAATAGTTTGCATTGTCGTAAAGTTAGATTGAGCAAAAGATGCGACACAAACAACATTTTTCGGAAAAATTATGTTACACAAGTTTAATAGGTTTTTTTCCCGAAACTTTTGTGTGAAGAAAATAAAAAAGGTATGCTGAGAATCGCCTCGACTCTGTGCTCTTCGGCCACATTTCTGAACGGCTTTACATATTTCTGACAGCAGAAGCCAAGGCACCGTGAGGCCTGGAAAGCCGAACAAGAAATACCTCGGACTGAATCAAGGTGTCGGCGTCCGGTTTGACGCCAAACTCTCTCTGGATGATGCTCGCGAACTCTTCGTGCATCATCCGCCCAATCATGTCGTAGAGCTCTCGGAGTTGCGACGACAGATGGCTGAAGTCACTGTTATGAGGAGCATGACGACCGGGGAGTACCGGAAGCAGGTGACGCCATTGAGTTCGCCGGAAAGGACGTCGAGACTCGTCTCAATGCACTCGATGGCCTTCGGAAAGTCGCCCTGCGACAACATCATCTGCACTGTCGATTGCGCTTCTCGGAGGCAGGCGATGTCCTGAGCACTTTATTACCGACAAAGATCATTTAGAGTCGTCTCAACATTTTTTTGGATTCTCAAGTCAATCGTTGAGCTTTACCATATATTTTTTTTCTCAAAATAAAAAATCCTTCATCGGAACAAACTTCAAAGAATCAAATAAATTTTCAATCAATCGAATTATTTTTTTGTTCTTGCAGTCAGATGTAACCGACTAGGCGGTGAGCAAGAACTTTTAAAGCTATAACGAACAGCCGCCTTTGATTTGGTGTTTAGTTCCCCGAAATTATCGGTTTTTGAAGTTTAGGCATTTTATACAGTGACAGTGGAGTTTTAGCGGTGTTGATTTTCGTTAAAAATTTTTCCGTATTCTTAATTTTTACAGAAAGAAAAAAGAGATAGTGTACAAGGTTGTTAACTTTCTTTTTTTTTTAAATTTCTTTCTAGTTGAGATCATGGCTCAAACTCACGTTGAGTTTAGCGAGAAGTTTGCGTTTTCTTTCCGTCACTTGGAACATTCTGACTATTTTCTTCGATCTCTCGCAAATCAGGTCGTCGACTTCTTTCAAGTCGCCTCTGTAGAAGGGAATATGTTGGAGTCAAAAAAACGTTTTGATACCGACCTAACCGACTTGACACTTTCCATGGCTCGTGCCAGTTGCTCCTGAAGGCCGCTGTAGGACCGCACCACCTGCATCACATTTTTAACAGTAGACATAGATTATTCTGTCAACTTTGTAAGTGACAAATTGCCAAAACTATCAAAACTGTCATAAGACAAAGTTTCTCTCCGTTTTATGTTGACTGATGCGATATATGAATTTTTACATTCAAAAGAAAGGAAAAGTATCGGCCAAAGAAAGTGAGAAAAAAAAGTTCCGAGTTCAGAAGAAGTCATACCCAAAAAAATCCGTAAACAAAGAAATCGGCTAACTCGGAACGGAAACTAAACTAATTTTCCGAATCTCTTTTCAGGAAATAAAAGAATTTCATCTAAAACTATGGATCATCAAAAAAGATGAAAAGAGAGCACCTTCCAGAAAGAATCGGTTTTGGAGACGAGTTTCGAGGCCAGCCGACCGTCGACGACGTCGTGCATCAGTTCCAGACGACAGTGCAGAGAATCGTAGTCGCGGAACGTGCCTGGCTTCTGAAAGCGGTTCGATTGCAAAAGTCGAGAGCCGTCGAACACCTTGGCGCCACTCAGATCCGTCGGCGTGGCAGGAACCAAAGTCCTTCCAGATATCGTTTCTCTCAGAACATCGACGCCTCCAGATGGCGGAACGGTGAAAATCGAAGAGAAAGTTCCCGCATCGGAAAGGGCAAAACGAGGATCGATGAAAATCTGCAATAAAGAAAAAGATATCCTGTTAATTTTTTGTCATTATTTTCAGTAATCATTTTACATGTAGTACGAAAGAAAAAGCATTCATTCTAGAAAAAACGGGAGTCCCATCTTAGCTCTCAACTTTCATCGGTTCAATTTTGAGAAGAAAATCATGAAAATTCTTCTTTTTTTTTTAGAATTACTTTTTTTAACTGTGACCTCACTTTTCCTATTTCGAAAAATTGATTTCTTACTTGAAGCTTTAAAATGATGGAATAAATGCTGCTTGGAAAAAATAATTTCACAGAACGATATGTTAACGAGAAGCGAAAAAGAGCTGCAAAAAAAAAAACGAACGCAAAACAAGATTGTATAACAACACCTGACACGAGCAGTTAAAGCTAATATGCTCGCAGGTCTCAAACCTACTATTTGAATATGAGATCCGGTCGTTTCTCCGTCATTTCCTCTATCCTACTATGTTTTTGGATCAGAAGGGTGAAATCCGAGTTCGCTTCACCGCTAGTCGAAAAATTCGCATCAGACTTCATATATTTTCATGTGTATATATTAAGTCTGATGTGTATTAATATGTTTTCAGATGAAAATAAAGTGTATGTCATTCATGCACTGGTATTGACATGCAAAATATATCATTCTAATCTCAATTCTAAAACTTCTACAACATGGAATTCGTGTATTTTTGTATTGTGGTGACTTCTGAAGCTAGATTTTATGCTTAGAATTTGTGATTATTTTTTCATCCCTTTCATTCTTTTAGTAGGTTTTCGCGCTCAAGTTGTGTCTTGTGATCAAATTACGATTCTTGGAAGTTGCGAACCATGGGCAAGTCATCAGCATCTTGTTTTTCGTCGCCGGTGCTTTCTCGACTAAGTCTAAGCGCTCTTCTTACTGTCCGATAGCGTCGGTAGGCCTGGCAAACCGAAAAGTTCGAAGAGATATCCTGAAGGAGAACCGTACCTCGCCGGTTGTTGTACTGTAGTCGTGAAAAGCATTGGGTCCAACGACGGGTACCTTTTTCGAAGGCAAAACAGTCGTTTGCGGAACGAAAGCGTCGCCCCAGTGGCGAGTGAAGAAGGTGTTGGTCTCCGTGCGGGAGCGATGCGGATCCGCAAGTACTGCCGACAGGTTCTGCGTGAAGCTGCAAACTTTCTGTTCAACTCAGGCCTCGGAAAAAATAATTTTTTGAAAAATCGAATTTTTTTATTTCCGTGCCGTCTTGCTTTATATTGGGAATAGCAACATTCGTTTTTGAACTTAAGCTCACTTCAACTGATTCTCGAACTACCGTGGATTATTATAATTTTTCACGCAGAAAAAAATTTTCTCAAAATCTCCGTTAAGCCTATTCCTGAGTTCGTTAACCTCCTTTTGAACGCTTCTTCTTCTTTTTTTCTCTTAAATTTTCAAATGACTCTTAAAGTTTTATCATTTTCTCGCACCTCTTTCCTGTCTTAATTTGAACGCTGCGTCAGTTTTGACTCAATCTCGATGAAAAACAACAGCTAATTACTTAACCTCAAACGTAGACATAAACGAAGAACGGGCGTGGTGACCCGCTCGCTAAATTCTTACGATTTCTGTTTTTTTCGTTTCTCTTTTCAGTATTCTCATCTCTTTCTTTGATTCGCTTCAATTAACTGATACTAAATCTTTCTCACACAGCAATTTTATCAACTTTGAATAATTTTCAATGTTTCCGTAGATTTTTTCGATAAGATACAACTACAAAGTTGAAAAAAATTAGAGAGAACCAACTTTTAAAATTTTGAAATTTCAGAAATGCGCATCGTACCCTCAAAGGACAATGAGCAAAATTATGAACTACAAAATATTAACAATAAGTGAGTTTATTTTATCAATCTTCACTGCCAATGTTTCAAAGTTCAGAAGAAAGCATGCTGATCAATTCTAAAAAACCTAATTTTAATACTGGGAATAAATTTTTTTCCCGCAACTTCGAATTACTTTCAATCATCCATCAAGGAAGCATAGTTATGTGCATGATCACTTTTCGAATATCGAAAAATGTCTCAATGTTTATAAAAGTCAGAAACTCTCTCCATTGAGCGCACTCTTTCGTATCACTCGCTTTACTTCCTTGAGTTAGTGATTTCGGGTTGACCTCAAGGCTGAACCACTGATCGGCGTTGGGCAAAGGGCGCAAAAAAAGTCTTCAAGAGTTTACAGCAGTAACGACTCTTCAGAAATTGGAATCAATCTCTCATGTATGCGGCCAAGGCCAGTGTAACAAAACTGGTAAACCGCAAATTTTCGACCATTCCGTTAAAGGGACATCGACAACAACCAGCCATTTGGAAAATACCACAAGACTGGATACACCAATTTGAACGAATTACATTTGAAAACTCGAAAAAAAAGTGGACTTCAAACTTTCTTTTTTTCTATTACACCCAATCAGTTTCCATGATTTTCGAAACTCACGACAACCTAGACTCTATTAATTTCTAATAAAATGTAGTCTCCTGTTTTTCTCTCAAAAGTTCTTGATGAAAATTAACCATCTTGTCATGTCAAAAAAACTGCACCAATGTTTCGAATTTGGTCGAACACAGCAGGAGACGTCGAAATGAGAACCAGTCGAGAGAAATCAACGTTATCACTCCTTTTCTGGCCTCTCGCGCACAGTAATGCTCTCTCCAAGTTCTTTGACTTGCATCCCGCCCCCGTACGGTAAAAGAAAAAAAGGTTGGGCCACCACAAAAATCATTCAATAATTCGAATTAACGCGTCCGTCGTTGTCCATTTTTCGCTTATTTTGATTCGAGCCCTTAGTCGGTTTTTAGCGTTCTTGCCGGACTCATATTCAGTTAATCTTATGTTACATATAGTTTAAAGCCAATAGTTTAAAACTCAAATATCCATAAACCTATTCATAAACTATACGTATAAAGACTTTCGATTTCGTTGTTTTTAAATTACCTTTTTTTGAAAAAGTTTTTCAAAGAAACGTAGTACAAAAAATCCAGCGCGTGATTTTTCTCAATTAAATTAGGAACGAAACAAGAATTGCGCTCTTCACTTTATCGCGCACCGTAATTACTTGTATTTTCAGGTCGGCATTATGTCCTTTGACGTTGCGAAAAATTATTGACGAGACCATATGTTTTGCCCAAAAGATGGCCAATCACTCAACTTCCTGTTTTGCCCCACTTAAAATACTGTCGAATCGACGAAGTTCCTAATTTTCTATCAGTTTTATTAGCAACCAAAATGAGCTGTTTACTCTCTTTCGTGGTCATCTTTTTTCACCTTTTATACCATCTAAGCTGCGAGAACCTCAACAATACTTTTTTCTATCCAGCTCATTTTTTTTTAGAAACAAAATGGGTGCAGTGGAGGTCGACCCCCAGGATGAGAAGCCTCGGTCCTGCTCAGACGCCATGTTCGGCAAGACGGCTCGCAAATGGGCCTTCATTTTCATCGTCACTTTCCTCGCATGTCTCACTATCAAGGATCTCTATCAACTGGTAAAAATAATGGTCAAGAAAAACTTGATAAATAACAAAATGTTTTGAAGCTCTGCAAAAGTAAGAGATACAATATCTGTTTTGAGTTTTATTTTCAGTTAGGAGACTCAGAAAATTATAAAAGTTCATTCAAAAATTTATTGATGTACTGGAAATCGAACCTGCATTGATACCATATGCAAAAAGGTTAGACCTGAAATTTTAAAGTTTGAAACTTTCCACTCACAAAAAAGAGCGAGTTAATAGAAGATATTCTTTTCCATCCATTTTTCCCATTTTCAGAACCAAAATTTTGAATAGAGTGTGACAATTAAATTTAAAAATACTTTTTTTATTCTAAAATAATCTTTTAAATAAGAGAAAGCTTCATACAAAAAAAATAAAACCGTCATTCAAAAAATTAAGGTTTCTGAATACTTCGACTATCCGAAAGAATCCGAAATCAACATAATGTTCAACGATTCGATGACTATGCCCAACGTCACGTTCTGTATGTCTCGGACGCAAGCTTGGAGTCACTTCAAGATCAACGAATCTGCCCCAGCCGACGAGTGGGACGCGATTGTCGAGGTGCGTGACGAGGTGTCAGGACTGTGGAAAGCCGAATTTCAGGAAGAACTCGCCAACATGACAACTCACGACGATTTCATGTCGAAGCCTTGGGATTTCCGCCTAGTGATGGAGGCCTACGACATGATCGCCACGTACAACAGTCTAGAGAGGGAGACGACGGCTCACGGTTCTGCTCGTTCAATTCATGTTTTCCGCGTGTCGCCGAGACTTGCCGCAAAAAGGAAGACTTTCAAAGTTTGTAGTCGCTCAGCTATCGATCCAAAAAGAAAATGTACAGAAATGGCACGATGTATTGAAAAGCAGAGGAGTTACCTTCGAGGAATTCACTCAGAAGGCCGGCACGGAGGTATTGCGGAGGTCGATGCAGCGGTTCCAAAGAACTTCTTTCAAAGAAGACTTAGTCATCAAGACTAAGCTGAGGACATCGTGGATTTCGATGATGCAGATCTGCTTCCAGCCCATGTTTGATGGGGACAACTTCTACTCAATCGAAGACCAGGTGGGGGAAAAAAAGAAACTTTCTATAAAAAAAAAGCTTTTCTCAGGGTAACTTCTTCACGATGATGCTCTCTCACAACGCAGACAACCTCGATGGAAAGAGTGTCGACTGTATGTCTGTTGACTTCCACGGCCGACCATCTTCTCTGAACCGATTCATGGAAGGCAAAGGACGTGTTCGTGATGGCTTTGCGGATGAGGTGAACAATAATCAAAGATTTCCTCCAGATTTTCAGTTTTCAGGTCTGCGCGGGACAGCGACATGAGTTGACAGTCGAAGTGGAATCCTACTACCAAATGCTCGAGAACGACGAACCAGGAACGGCTTGCCAAGAGGTTGAGGAAGACGAAGACACGGAGTTCGACTGCAGATCTCGGTGCCGGATGCAAATGATCAGAGTTAGAAGATCACGTGAGACATCCCTTGAACAAACTTTCAGGACATTTGCAACTGCACTGGACACTCGCTGAGTTATCTGGCCAACAATGACCTGGGAAAGTATCCTCTCTGTGACTACACTCAATGTGTTCTTGAGTAATAGGAGTCCTCACCTTTAACAGAAAAAATATAAAGTGTTCAGTGTCCAAAAGGGAAACTTCTCCGACGAAGAATGCTCAAAGAACTGTTATCGCGATTGTAAGCAATACCGCTTCAAGGTAAACCACGCTGTGAAAGGACGTATGGTCCGACCAGGTGTGCAAATTCAAAATTCAACATTCAATGTTTTTATTGACAACAGATCTGACACTGGTGGAACTAAGCTGGGGCTCTTTCGAGTACTTGACGATGGAGCAGCATTGGAAGTACACAATTGCCTCGTTCATCGCCAGTTTAGGAGGCGCAATGGGAATGTGGCTTGGCTTGTCCATCTTGTCCCTTGTTCAGGTGTTTCCAGTCTTTGAATACTATTTTATGGCTTTTTGCAGGGAGGCACGTATCTCTATTCCTACATTACCAACCGCGTCGTCAAAGAAAAGATTTTGAAGAAAGGACCATCGGTCGCAGATATGAAAGGAAAGCGAATGGACAGCAAGGTGGGAGAAGTTCTTGCACATGCACTGCCGTTTCAGTTCTTCTTTTCCCTTCGTAATCAACTTAATAGTATCTCTCCTTTCGGCATGGCATGAGTTTGACTTCCGCCTGTGTTGTTATAGGATTCGGACTTTGAAATCGACTTGGGACAGGAAAACAAGAAGATATCGCTGTCCTTGTCGGCTAATCCCTTCGGAAACTTGTTCAACGGAGAGCCGGAGGGCGAGCGTCCTTCTTCGCGAAAAACCTCGTCGGCCGTCAAGGCAAGGCTTCTGGCATCGCGAGATTCTCCTACGCTTTAACTAACACTAACACTGAACGAATAAGTTCAATAGCCTTATAGTTTTCAAATTGAACTGGGATTGCATGAGTGATGCGGAGTAGCACGCTGCAGATTGCTTTAACCTTTCACGGCTCGCGCGCGGAAAATATTAGTAAAGCTGCGGGAGTTTTAGTTGTAACCTTACCGCAACGTTTTGGGCCATTCCATGTTTGACAACCACGCTCAGTAAATAGGAATACCAAATATTCCGGAGAAGCCTTATTGATTTGAAAAAAAAAATTCAAGAATTTTATTCAAAAAAATAAGTAAGTTAGTTTAAAAAAACTGCACGGAAGGTTAAGTGGCAAAATACATTCTTTATCTCTTTTAACATAAAATTAAGAAAGGTTTTAAAGATTTTCCTAGGGTGTTCAGTAGAATAAACTGAACTGGAAAACGGAAGATTTCCAACTTCACAATGGCCTTGTCACTTTCTGCACATTCACTAATTTTTTTCGTTCATCAACAAGCTTAAAAATGAGAAATCTCGATTTAAAAAAAAACGTCTTTGCAGGATTCCTTCAGTCAAAATCCCAACGGCGCCTCGACAGTTCGTATTAATTGAGAAAAGATTTCGAACAAACAAAGTCCCAGAATAATATTACCGGTCAAAAAAGCTCTAGCCACTTCACTTACTTCTCCGTCACTTATTTGTTCCTCTTCTAAAATTAATTCTCAATAAAACCTCACTCAAATGTAAAAACAAGTGTCTGCACGAGTATTCGAATTGTTGTGGTTGAATAAAAAAGCAATGAAGAAACCTGGAAAGAGTGAAGCTCCTCTTGAGAGATGCAGTCGAACTTTTGTGTGAGGTCGGTTCCTGCCAAATTTTCTCGTTCTCGCCTTCGTATCGAAAAGCTGAAACAAGGTGTCTAAATGTGTTCATTCTCTTACGTGAACTCGGTTAAAAAAGGATGGTCAAGCACGTTTTCCTTGCAGTTTCGCAAACCTTTCTTTACTTGAAAAACTTTCTTTCTCAATTCTGAATAAACCAGCTTCATTATTTATATTTAGGCGAAATCAGTTATAGGTAAATTCGCGAATGTAAAAATAAAAAAAGTTCTTTAGTACGATGGCTTGAGTATATTTGAAAAAAAAGATATCTTCTGTCAATTTTTCAACTACATCTACATTACCTCGATGGTAACATGAAAAACATTTTCAAAAAGACCAAACTAAAAAAATTATTTTGCTGTATCACAAGATTTATTGTTTATGCTTTTTAAATCAACTCTTTTCGTAAAAATATCCGAATTCCTCCCAATATTCCCATGTTTCTTCTTTCACACGACGCTTGAATAAGAAAGAGGTTTTATTCTTGAAAGAAAAACTGACGAGAAAGGTGACACCGTCTGATGTGAGCTTCAAAGTCGACGTCGCAGACGCCTTCGATGGGCAACTTGAGACAGACGCCGTTGTCGCCATATCTGCAGCAAATCATGAAAAATAAAAAGATAAACATTTTTTGAACTTTTTCCGGACGTAAAAATCAGAAAAAAAAACTTCATATTGGCTTTTCGCAGAAAAATATGACAACAATCCGTTAGTTTCCTACATTTTAACTCTCTACATATTCATGGCTCGCTTTTTTCCCTTTGTGGCAACTGAATTTTTTAGAAAACTTCCGCACTAAACCAGTTCATATCTAACTTTTCTCTTACTCAAATGATTTGAAATGCGATGAAATAGCTGCACGAACCGACAGAGGAAGCTGCCGCCTTCTTGAACGGAATGGCAGGCGCGCAAGTGCTGGGAGAACTGAGCGCTCGACGAGAATTCGACGCTGGGCTGGCAGAAGTCGCACTCCCTGGAAAGACACGATAACGAAACGAATTTCAAATGTGTAGTGTTTGAATTGAGGGAAAAACCTCGGATATCCTGGGTCGCCAGCGACTTTGCTACGATCGTCGGCTGAACTCGCCATTCGTTCGACGGTTTCTCTCTTCTTCATTTCAGCATATTTCAATGTGGACTTCTAGAAAGAATCGTTTACATTCGCGTGCAGAAGGAAGTTTGATAATATGGTTATCAAATGAGATAAAGTAAAGAACAACTGGAAAAGAACGATAAAATGAACATTGAAATCAAAAATTTCACTCAAAAAGTAAAAGTATCCCGATTCATTTTCGGATCTAGTTAAAAATCATGATAATCTGGGTTAATTCTTAGTTTCCAGGAATGGAACGAGAAGAAACCAATACTAATAAAATAATCTAACAAATTCACTTCTGAAAAATATTTTGGAATTTTGCTCAAAACCTCGTTGACGATCAAGACAATAAAAAAAACAGGAAACTTTCAACCTGGAAATTTTGATCTTATAGAAACGACACCGCCTAGTTCGTTTTGCTTATTATGAAATTTTACAGACTTCTATTTCCGAGACCGTCAAAGATGAGCTGAAAAAAAGTTCACAAAACTTACAAATTTGAAGATAAAAAAATTGAGGCACGAAAAAAAAAAATTAGTTTTCCTTTTCCGACTTCTTTTTTTCCCAATAAACTCTTCGTTTCGAATCTCGCTATATAGGTAGTCAAGTGATGATTAAAAGACGAAGAAAGAGGAAAACAATGATAATGGACCTTTTATAAGCCGAAAAATATAAGAGAAAGAACCGGAAAGGAATCAGTCGGAAAAGCCGCCGTTCGAAAATTCGTGTTTTTCACTCTCTGACGGCTACTTTGAAGTTCGCGGAATTACTTTGAACACGGCATTTAGTACCGACCCGACTTCCATTATGCAAAAGACCGAATAGAGACAAATAACCGTTCTCTGTACTCCAAACAGTTTCCAAAAAGACAAGGAACGAACAAAAGCATTGGCCATAAAAATTTATTTATAACACAAAAGATTCTTCCGAAAATGTTCACATGATAATTATATTGGTTATTAAATAAGCCTATCAGACAAAAAAATCAGAAGACTTAAACTCGTTAATTTGTGTTAAAAATCAAAAAAATTGTAGAAAAAGGGAAATGAACCTGTATGAACTGGAAAAACCACATTAGCGGTTGTTTTTCAAGAAATTCTCGTGAAAAATTTATACTACTTAAAATTGCAATTCTAGTATACTTCTTTGGTTTTCACAGCTCCTGTTCGAGAAAAAAAATGTTATAGGTAGAATTTTTTGAGCAAATTTCCTTAATTAAGACAAAAAATTCAGAAAATTTATAAAAGCTCTTTGCGACAGTTTCAGAGATACTCGATGAAAAACTAAAAAGAAGAAAATCAGAAACACAATGAAATCGTGAAGGCTGAAAGAAAAAAAAACAGCACCAAACAGATCTAGGATCTAGCTAATACAAAGTGTGAAGCCAAGCTTCGATGAGAAGAAAATAAAACGGAGATAAAAGCCCGTATCACAAAAAAAAAGCACTAAGCTAACCTAATTAACGAGATATAAAAAAGTATACATGTCAATGACGTGAACGGATAAAACGGTAAACGAGGAAGCCGCCGAGGGAAATCGCAGCCAAACCAATTCCCACGTAGAGCACTTCCGTGAAAACTGTATTGCTACAAAAAAACAATTGATTCACAGATTTTATAAAGGTCTTAAAACTTAAAACTAATATTTTAACATCTTTTTGATCTTTTTCATGAGTACTTTTTGTGTTAGATTCCTGGTACAGAGCAGTGAATATTTAGAGAGCGAAATAAAAAGAACTTGAAATCGCGTTAAAAGCTAATTTGACGAGCGCAGCAAAACAATTTTTCTGATCCAACGGCTAAAGCCGAAACGCAGCGGATTCGCATAGCGTGATTAGACGGCTCTTTCTTCTTTGCGAATGTTCACTATGAATTTACTTCGAAAAAATTTTCTTACCCAATGGGCAAAGCCAACCAATCACACTGTGGGAATCTACCGCGTTTCCTTGCGATTCGGCTCGTGCTTCTAAACGAGAAAAACTTTTTTACCGCGCGCGTCATTAGCTTTGAACTCGGCATGAGAATGGTCAAGATTTTGTAGAACTTCATAAAAATAAAAAAGAATTTAGTTTTTTTATTTTTTTGCTTTTCTGCAAAAAAAGGAATCCGAAATTGTTATCTCCTAGATTTCGCAGGTGCAATGATAAAAACAGACTTTCTTGGGTCCAAAAGGCTGAACGGCCTTCGCGGGGTCCTTGGCACGTCGTCAATTATCGAGTGCATCGAAGGGGCATAACTCGTGAAACTTCGGCCGTCCTCGTCTTCGTCCAAAACTGAGCCGTTTGCCGTCCGCACTTTCTTTTCTCGTACCCTACAGACCATTTTCATCAAAAATAGACGTAAATCGAAAGACTTGACGCTATGATTATTCAGGGAAAACTATTTCACAAATAAAATCAAATTTTATACTAAAAATGAAACAAATCAAATTCCAAAAAAAAGTAAAATCTCTTGATAACTTACTTCGCTTTGAATATGTGTAGCTCTCTAAAACTCTACAAAAAAATTGTATTAATAAAAGAAAAAAAAAAAATTAGAGAATAATGCTGAAGCATTTATAAACTAAAAAAGAGGGGGCTTTCCACCAAAACAAAAAAACTTTTTATGGTTATCAAAATGATTATAAGCACTCAAAAAGAGTAAAGGTGAAACCTCTCAACAACAGTTCCGACGCCATGGTGATCAGCCTTGTTTTTCGAATCGGACCCTCCTTCTACAAAAAAAAAAATAAGCAAACTCGAACAGAAACATGGGGAAAGTTAACCTGAAAGGCTGCTCCCTATGATATTCAACTTTTTTTGCGTCGCGATTCCTGGAGTGAAAGAATTGGAAGAAGCTGCTGAGTCCTGAGATGTCTTGCTTTTCTTGGACTTAACAGAATGCTGAAATTGACTTTCAGAAAACGCAGTTCAAGTCATAATACCACTTTGTAGGCTTCGCGATCAATCAACATTTTCGCGAATCTGCCAAGATTCATGCTTCTAAACAATTCCACGGCCTCGTCGTGAGTTTTATGAGTCAAATCGATCCCGTTGATCTACACACACAAGTTACATTTTGATCGGGTCTTGAAAAACTAACAGAGAGAATTTTGTCACCGGCTCGGACGACGCCAAATGCCGGCGATTGTGGATTCACTAAAGAAACAAAAATTCCCGCATCCTCTGGAAAATGAGGATTGTCCACGCCTCCGATGATATTGAAACCAAAGCCTTAAAACGAATAAAAATGACAAAATTTACCAAAAAATACCCTCTGTTGTTTTCTGAATCTCAACCAAAGAAAGGACGTCCTTGCACGAAGATTTGTCCTTTTTCGATCTGTTGGTTCCGCCGACCACGGTCCTTCCTGTGGTTCCAGCCGGAGGAACGTCGGCAAGCAGAGCAGCATCTTCTCCAAAGGATATATCGCGTTCTTCATCAGCTTCGTACGGACGACTGTATTTTAAAGCTGAACTCATAACTTTCAGCAAACACTATTTACAAAAGTTCAAACAGGCAATCATGTAAAGCTAAAAATTGCGAGGCTCACTTCCATATTTAAGAAGAGTTTTTTCGAAATTCGAAATTCTGTAACGAAAACCGGACTTCCTGAGTATTTCTAGTAATCAGTAAGGACTGCTGACGAAGTTCAACTGATCTCTAGAAAGACGAGGAAGCGCCCGGTCTGCGTTACCGAAGTCCGAGGACTCCGCAGTTTCTGCTAGCACTTCAAAACCTTTCGAACTTCTAACGTAGAAAGAGCGACTAGAATATAAATATGCATCTTCAAACGAACTTTTTTGAGGTCTTGAAGCTTTGAAACTAGGTAAATTTCAATTTTTTTTTTAGCCTTCTCCCCACTGTAAACAAAAATAAGCAACTCTATTCTCGGGCAAAACTGAGAAGCCCCTCGAAATCTTTCAAAAAAAAAAAAAGACCTTGTAAGGTCCCCAAAAGATTTTTTTAAATTTCATTTTCGCATCTTTTTCACACCCTTTGAAATAAAGAATGCTGGGAAGCAACTAAAAAGATTTGAGGAGATTCAAAAAAAGCTTTAAAGTTTCCTTTTATTCCAGGACCTATTAGATGAACCTTCTTAGCTCCCTCTCAGGCCCTACTGAGGATCCTGAGAGGGAGCTAAAGAACTTTACAGTTTTACCTATGTACGTGTCATCATTTTTTCAGTTCTTCCTATTAACACAACTTTCCTCATCCGAGCCAACGATGAATTTGTTTTTATAGCACATCACGCCGATATTTCCATCCTTTTATAGAGTACTTAATAGTTCAAACATACGTTCTGCGGGAGTTACTGCATGAATGTCTCCGGCGGCGCGATGCAGTGCTCGTGGTTCTAGCCCCGCAGTTCTGGTAAATATCGTGTCCTCCGCTTGAATGGGGGATACCATCATCTCAAAAATTGAAATTTTTATATAGAATCCATGGTAAACTGAATTTTCCAATAATAGAAAGAGGATCAACAGCGTTCAAAATTCAAAATTATTGAGTAAAGAACTTGGACCATCTTTTATGACCTCATGTACTTCTATTCCTGCTTTATGTTCAATAACTGACAAAAGATCCCTAAGATAATAAAGATCCAGAAAAAATGAAAGCAATGCACGCTGTTTGGGGCGGTGAAGATGGAAAATTTTGTCGAACCTGGCGTCATTTTGAACCAGAAATTTTTTTAATTTTACTCTGAACGCGGCATCAGTTGGATTGAATGAAACGGAATGCTTTCTCCGGTGTAACGGAAAAACTCCGCTGTTACGGATAATGAATAAATTATATGGGAAAAAGTTTGGGAAATCCCTGAGATGAGGAAAAAACAAGATACAATCAGGTTAAAACCACAACTTAAACGATATATATATATATATGTATAACTCGTAAAAAAAGTTTATTGAAGTAAGAAGTAATTAAGAGATAGCAATGAGATCAAAACAAAACATTGAAAAAAACGGTTGCAGAAAATCTTTCAATTACAAGGAAAGATCAGCTGACCGCGATTGTTTTATTCAAGAAATGAACCCATACAGCCTGTGACTGAGAGCGGTTGTCCGAGTTTCGACAGTTTCAGGCATGAATCATATCCCCATCCTCTTCCGCGGCGACGTCGCTTGTCTGAAACTTGGCGTGGCCTCGAAGCATTTCGAAAATCTTCTGCTTGATCCAGTCTTTGTTGTGAGGAACATACTGCGCCGATTCCTGAATTTTGAAAACATCGATCAAGGAGAAAAGTGAAAAAAACAAACCCTGTTGAAAACGAGAACCGACAGATCCGTGAGTTTGTCCACAAACTCATACAACTGGGAGATATCGTATGTGATTTTCGGTTGCAATGGGCTTTTCTTCTTGAGGAACTCCTCGAAAATTTTGCAGACACCTTTACAAATTTCAATATAGTTATAAATTACAGGTCGAATGGAACTTGCCTTCAAGACAATCTCCAAGAGTTTCGTAATCTGTCCAGGTTCTCGAATCGACGCGCGTCGTGGGCTGAATGAGCAATATGGTATGAGTTGCAGACATTTCTGTAATTTCTTTAAGATCTCCAAACAACAAAAAAAGAAAAAAAAACTTTATGTGGGTAGTGTTCAAAGAATGAGGGTGTTCAAAGTGATTCCTTACAGGCGGAGTCAAACGGATTATTAGAGCACACTAACCCTTTCTTAATGAAAATTTTAAACTCTGAGTTTCGACTTCACGAATTCCCTTCGAACACGTCAAAATCAACTGATAAAACTATGCTGTAATCAAAGGGATTTCCGCGAAGATCAATTCCATCTCTGATTCTTCTGATTTGAGTTGTCTTTCTCACTATTTTTCGGTCATTTTGAGTTTCGCGAAATCACTTTGAAAAGGGCATTGTAAATGGAACTCCAGTTGAAAAATTAAAATTTGAGAAAAAATCGCCGCGTTATCCCCGCGCACGCGCCAAATTTTTGCGAGTGTTTTTTGCAAGAGAGTCGCACTTATGTGGGCGGTGCATGCTTCCTTCGTAAAAAATGTTTAAGTTCAGTTTTAAAAACTTAATTGTTTTCAAGTAGTTATAATAGTGGCTGGCTGAAATTTAAGGGAAGTTGTTTTGCAATCTAGAATTGAAGAAAATAATATGAAGACCAGTACACAATAAATCGATTTTTGAATCAGTTCGAATGTTCTCTTTATATCTTTATTTTTTTTCGTTTTTATCATTCTTAGTTTAATTTTTTTTTTCGTTTCGGCACTTATAAGACTTTTTTCAAATTTATGTCGTGAAGGTATATATAGGATAAAGATGTCCGCCCATCTGGCAAGGGCATCGTTTCTCTCGACCAGAATCTCCACACGTCAGGCTTCTTCTCATGCACAGTTTGTTTTTCTTCCGTATCGAGATTCTTCAGTTTTTTTTCAAATTTATGACTTTCAAGCGACCAACATGCCGTTTGGAGAACTATCAACAAGCTTGGAAGCGAAGGAAAATGGGACAACATCAACAACAAGCCGAAGCTTTTTTTGTTTGGACAAGCAAAAAAAGACACATACGCCGCATACGGCGCTATCGTGAGTTATAAAATTTAGGCTAATAAATTATCATATTCTTCATTCGTTGCAATTTTTTTTTTAAATTTTTGCAACACTTTCTTTAAAAAAATAGCGTGAATGAGAATTAGTTTTTTCAATATTATAGAGGTTTCGGTTTCAAACTTATATTCGAACATCAAAAAAATTTTACGTTTACGAATTCCTCATAAAAAAATTTGATCATTTTTTTAAAAAAATTTCAAGGCGAAATGGAGGTTCCTTCACTTATCGAGACATTAATATTCTTGTTACCCCGATAGATTATGAAAAAAAAATAAGCAAGAAGGAGTAATTTCTTTAAAATTTTCTTGGATTCATACGGAAGGCCCAACGTTGACCGGCAGCCATAAAGTTTTGATGAACTTGTTTTGAACGGGTTTTTAAAATGACTTTTATCATTCAAGTTTCGGAGATAGCTAATTGAAAATTTTAATAAGTTTTTTTAATAATTGGTTTTGAATGTAAGTGATAGAAAAGAAGTGAAATAGTTTTTTTTAAGAATCGAAGCACGGACTTTTTCCAATCCACTCCTTATGGTCCTTACATGAAAGTCATTTGGAGGTTGGCGCTCTTGCTTGGAACAGTTCAGGTACCGTTTTTTTTCATTTGAACTTCACGTGGCACTATTTTAAAATTTTCACCTTTTCTTCCCAATTTTTTTTTTGCTGCTTCTTGGGAGTTTCTTTTTCTGTCTTGTATCTTGCTGATTACTGATCAGAATATTCATAAGTTGAAATATGATTTTTAGAAGGCTTCGTTTTATTGATTGAGAGGAGACTGTGCTTGAACCGCTAAATAGAAGTCCAAAAATACAGTAAAGTTTTTTAGCGTTGGAGTTTTTATTAAATTTGGCTAAAGCGTACTTCCAGGACCTCCTGATTGAGAAAGAAAGAAGAAATTTTTGTTTTCCGTTTTATAAACGAGTTATGGTAATCAAAAAGTCGGAAACTCTGAACAAAAATCTACGAAAAAAACATCTCAGCTTGACTTTAAGCCAAAAGATGAGAAATTTTCTTATTGTTCGGTCTTGAAGCACACCTGACCCAATGCTGTTTAACCTTTGTACACATTCATTTAGTCTTCAGAGATGACTCTCTGCTGAATCATAAAATAATTGAAGAGTTATTTGTCGGTTTGCGAAACTTTTTTTTTTCAAGTTCGGTCCGTAAATCATCTCGTTGCTTCTCCCAGTAGTAGTAAACGAGTTTTGAGCGTTCCGGAGGTCAACTTCTTCTCCATGTAGGAACAGTTCGACGGCCAGCTTGACCAGGATTGGCGGGCGTCGGATTGAATCTAAGGGGAGAGCAAAAAAAGAGACCAACCACTCGGGAGGTAGAAATCAGTTTTGAAAAAAAGTTCAACCGGTGCTTAAAGACTTTTTTTAAATCTTCTATGAATTAATAAATGCAGAAGCGTCGTTAAACTCAGTTCTCACAAACAAAAGTAAATTTAAATAAAGTTAATTGTTAACGATCAATTAAAAGAAAAGAGAGCTAGGAATCTTTTGTAAAAATGGCACGCTCTCGAGATTGAAACATGAAACTAAAAAATGAACATAAAAGTTAATATTTACCGAGAAAAAAATCCACTACAATTTTTTTCCTTCTTGTAACAGTGGCTATTTTGTGTGGAGAAGGAAAATTGATTTTTTTAATTTTTTTTCTCAATTTTTAGGCTGGCGTCATTCTTTACGAGTGGCTTGTTCCGGAGCAGAAACGCCTACAGTACAAACATCGCCACCATGGACATCATGGAGAACACCATTGAAGAATTTTTGTAGTAACTACGGTAATTAGCCAATAGATAAGATTATTTCATTATTTTTTGTTCACTTCAATTCAAAATTTTACATTTGACAAGGGATTCATGAGACTCCGAAGAAGTACATGATCATTCATGTATATGATAATCGCGCCGCGAAAATCGAGCCGCCATTTCTACAGGGCGAGACGAACAGAGAAAAAGAAGTAGTGTAAAAATGGAGGCTCGATTTTCGCGGCGTGGTTATCATATACCCGATTATTCATAAAAACTACTTGAAAAACAATTTCAAAAATTCAAAAATTTAGGAAAGGCTCTCGTTCGCTATGATAAAGTTTCAGCTTTTTTCTAATTCAAATAAGGATTCCTGGAGAAAAAAACATTTTTTTATTCATTTTTCTTTCAAAGTTCAAATATGACCTCAAAAAGAAAAATTAATTATTTTTTTCCATTGAATCAGAACTTCTGTAATTGTAACAGGAACAAAAATGATTGTGAATGAATAATTCAAACGATGATCTTGAAAATCAGTTTTTTTCTGATGCAAAACTTGAAGATCTTTAGTTAATGAAAAGTAAAAGTTGAAACCAAATGTTTTCCCTTATGAATCTGCTTACAATTTTGCATTAGCGGGCCGTCGATGGTCGTTCATGCGACCTCATAAAAGCTTTGAATGTCCGGTGAGCTGAAGCTCTTCATCAAATTTGAAATACACGATAGTCTCGATAATTTTTATTAGAATCAAAACAAAAATCGGGGCTTGGCTGAAGGAAGACGGGAGCAAAGTTCTTTCCGGGGACCAATCCGGGAAGACGCATTTGCTTGGTGGATCAAGGCGGTAGAATTGAAATAAGTGAGTTTGGATTAATGTAGAAAGATGTCGACGGGGCTTCGACCAGACAATAGGGAGCGCCCTAAGATAATCGGGAGATGTACAATGCGGCGTGGAGGTTTGGGCACTGGCGAGGTTTAGCAGAATCCGCACGTCTTGCGGCAGTTTGCTGTCAAATGCGCCCATTTGGAGTCACCACAGAAGTGCGACAGAACCTCGCAGTGACCATCTGAAAATTCAGCTGTTCAAATGATTTTCCTCTTTAATATTCTTGGAATCAAAAATAGGCGCAGACTTGCTCTGCGCCATTTGGGTTTGGGCTGAGTTGGATTAAATCTTATTTTCTTTTATTTCTCGCTATTAGTAGGACAGACCTTCGGAGTCTTCGCACTTCTCAGCAGAAACGAGAACGACGGCAAACACGAGGGCCAGAAGGACGTAGAGGCCGAAAATCTACAAGCAGGCAATACAATTTTGTTGTAAACTGTCCAAAAGTGTAAATAAAGGTGTTGATCTAGAATGATTCAATCATTTACTTGCACACAATCTTTTTAAAACAAAAAATGACTAGCGAACCTTGATGGAAGACATTATCGGATGAATTGGAAGACTGACGATGTCAATTGTGAAAATAATGCTCGATTTGAAGCATTTATACGGTCCGTAGAACAAAGGTGCGGGCAGGTGAGACGACAATTCTCATCGTTTTCTCTCAAATGCTCTTCCTCCTGTGTTTGACTAATTTCGGCCTTCAAGAGATCGCAAAAAAAGCTGACGTGGCTCTCCAAATTTTTAATTTACCTTTAAATATGATAATATTGAAAAATATTATGAAGAAGAGGTCTCTCAATTCTATTGGAGGGAGTCATTTTTTGATATCTCAAGTTTTTGATTTGATGCACCCGAATTCGCAGTCTCTCGCGAAAATTTTATTTCCAAAGATAACACACATGATTTGATGTATCAAACTAGTTGTTTATCAGAGTATTATATGACCAAGTACCATACGAACTCTTCTAAATTGAGCTGGGTATTTTTTCAGAACAGAAAAGGTTTGACGAGAAGTGTTAATACCAGCAGAAGCGAATGATAGTAGGCTAAAAATTGATTTTTACCGAAAAAAGGAATGCAATACCTCCAAGAGCAGAACCGACCGCGAAACGAACTTTGGCGCTCCCATTGTCTGCATCTCCACGGAAGGCGATGTTAACGGTGGTGCCATATCCTTCTGCGTTTGCCCCCGTTTGGTTTCCTGTCACTCTGAAAGCTCTAAAAATACCCCTTTCTCGCAGGAATTCAGTATTTTCACCGAGTTTAATCCAGAGTCAGGAAATTTACTGTGCTTCTGAAGCTAACAGATGGCTGTTTTTCTCAACACTGACTGATTTCGATTAGGTTTGCACACTCACAGAATACTCATGGCCGTTTTCCCGGTATCGGTGTAGACGTTCACAGCCAGTTGCTCATCTTTAGTCACCAAAACTGACTCTACGAAAGTTTGATAGGAAAGCGAAGCGTTGCTATCTACGAGCCATAAGAATTCGGAAAGTAGTATTACTATTACTGAATGTAACGTTGGTGGCCGAGTATGCGGATGGGTCGAGAAAAGACGGCGTGAAAACGTACCCCGAGCGCCCTTCCATCACTTCATAATACCCCGCTGAAGCATGGTGTAGAATTGATTGGAGGTTGAGGCTCACTTGGCTCATTAGAAACCACGCTGAAGTTCAGAGAGCAGCCGACGACTTCGAAACTGAAAAGACCGGCTGGGAAGTGTTGAGGGAAGCAGTTGTCGTCTGTCGTTTCTGGGCTGCAATCGAAGGATGTGTGGTATTATTTCTTCTGTTTTAGGTCAAACTTATAGACGAGCAATATTTTTGAAGAGTTCGACGGCGTCGAAGAAAGGCCTGTGACGACGCAAGAAACGTTTCCCTTGAGTGTTTTTTGGCTCATTGGACAGAAGTTTCGCTCACCATTTCCGTGTAACGGAGACCTGTCAGGTAGAGATTGCTCGTTGACGGCGAGAAAATCGTCACGGCCGTTTTCACGTCCAAAGACTCTACTGCACCGTTTAGGCCAGACGGCAACACCGTATAGGAACGATATTGATCAAAAGACTGAATATCTGAAGATATCCGTTGCTTTTGCCTATTTTTCAAGCTTACTTGAGTACTCTAGTGCGATGATGTATGAATGAAATGAGACTGGCGACAAGCCAACAATCGTTAAAGTACTCGTCTTCGAAATCAACGGATTGGAAGATGTGTACGAGGAAAGCCTGAATTATGTTTTTGAGAGTGTCATGGAGCTGAAAAAGCTTCAAGGCCGACATTCTTTTTGCTCAGGTTGTTCAAAAAATAAATCTCGGGTTTTAATCATTTGAAGTTAGTAATTCGCACTTGTAGACCAAAAGACGGGAGGGCTATGCCTAGAGACCGCAGAGCCACACCCCTTTTTGCGATGGTGAAATGCACTGGTTTTTTAGTGTTTGATGTTTTCGTAAAAGCACAATACTGAAGCAAACACAGAGAAAATTGGGAGAAACATAGAGAAAACCTTCCTCTTCAATCTGGTATACTTTTCTCCCGATTTTCGTAGCGTTTTAGCGGAGTGTCGTACAAAAAACCAAAACGACTTTTTTTCTTCGGGTTTTTAACCTAGTTCCATGTCGTTGGCGCCTTTTTTTATTTTCGAATTCGATTCTTAAGTGAAAAACAAATCTTTTAAAACAAAAAAATTAAAATTTTTACGGTGCCTAATCTTCGTGAGGCCGCGCAAAGTTGAAAATGTTGTACTCAGTTTCGAGAGCGTGTAAGTAAAAAATTTTTATTTTAACTTGTGGTTTAAATTATAACTTTATTAGTATACAACTTATTCCGAAAACTTTGTTTTCTGAGAAAAAATAGACAGTGAAAATTTCGAAATTCATTTTAGCATGGTCAGATGTCGTTGGCGCCTTTTTTTATTTCTTAAATATTAGCGTATCTCAATTTTCAATCAATTAAAAAAATAAAATAAAAATTTCCACGGTGCCTAAAAGTTTAATTAGTGTTAGTTTGAAGCCAACGTTAAAATAAGAAAAAAACACCGAAAACGGAAGCATTTTGAACTGAATCTCTATGAAAAAATTATTTTTAGGTGGTCCGAACACACGTGACTAATAATTGTTCAACTATCATAACTTTTTGGACAAGATTGTCGGTAAATGCTGTACTTTGAGGTGAAGGGCTGTATAGCGCGAACGCCTCCCATCTCCGAGAGATGTACGTGGAGCAGCGCAAGTGCGCCTGCATACAGTTTTGATATCTCGAGTTCGATCCTCGCAGCGGCCATTTTTTTTATTTTCCATGAAAAAATAGCTTTTCTCTTCAAACTTGTGGTTTTATACTGTTTTAATAACTAATTATGACTTTGAAAAACCGAACTAAACTACTGAAAAAAATTTAAATCCGATATGAAAAACAAAAATGAACGACTAAAAAGTGTATAATCTAAACTTTCAGTACTAAATTTCGCGACTTTTTTCACTACTGTTTTGACCATAACTTTTTTTTTTCTTAACCTTTTTCAACTAAACTGTTTTGAATAGTAAATTAGAGCAGCTATCCAACCATAGTAATATTGAAGTTCGAAAATTTTTTTGAAAATTTGGTTGCGGTCCCTAGCTATGCCTTATCATTCCGAAAGTCGATAGCTTGAAAAGATTTCAAAAGACGGTTTAGAGTACATTCGAAAGCTGGCGGCTCACTACAAATAACGATATATATCTGAAAAAAGAAACCTGCGTGAAAAAGAATCAGATATATTTTGTCCTTCGAAGACGAAGAAGCTGTCGAATGGCTCTGCGAGGCCGGTCTGGGCAATCGCCAAGGCGACCTGGAAAGCATTTGGGGCATTTCCTTGATTCAAGTAGTACCTTCCCGTCAGAAAAGCTCGAGGAAACAGTCTGCGGCTGAAGGCGAAGAGAGTTTGCGTCGAGAAAGACGCCCTGTCGGTTGGGATGTACCTTCCAAACTTTTTCAACCTGTGCAACTAAAAGAGAAATAAAAGAAAAAGTTTGAAGATCGTACCTGTGAACCAGTGGAGTTGCAGAAGAGCTTTAGATCCGCCAGAAGAACCCGTATTTATCACAATTCGTCCTTCTCCTGTGCTCGCGTAGAACTGGTAGTTGACTGTCTCTGTACTAACTTTTCATTTTCTGAAGCTTCTGAAGCTTTTTCTAACGAATCGATCTGCTTGGTGTAGTTTTGAGCGTCAATTAAAATAATTTGATCGCGGTCCATCAATCGGTGAGTCACATTTATCATCAGAAAAGAAGGACCTCTCACCAAGAACTGAAAGAGCCGAAAAGTGAGTACAAATCGAACAGCTCACCCGGTAAGTGCAGCTGAAGTTTGCTGGGACAGCAACGGCTTCTGAAGAGTTTGCGGGAAGAGTCACTGTGTTGTTCGGCTGCATTACGTTCGCGTCTAGTTGGGTACATGCTGAACACGTAACTAATGGCTTTTGAGCAAGGTTGACTTGCAAATAGTTGAAAAAATCTTACTGAAAGCAGTAGAAGCTTGTACGCTTTTGAAGATAACGGCTATTGAAATTAGTTGAATGTTGGATATCATTGAAAAGGGATTCGCTTTTCTTCTGCAAACTTTTTTGAACGACTTGAAATTAGCTTTTTTGAATAAAATAAACCCAAACTGAAAGGAAACTTCGCAAAAAAAAGAAAGCGATACTAAAAACTCTGAGCAGCAGTTCGAAAACGCCATACAGGACGCAGCTGCCATTGATAGCAGGAAAATGATAATAAGAGCCGAGTCTCTCTGTTATTTTCATTCATTCCAAGACACAAAGCGGTTACGAGTTAATTCGTTACTTCGACAATTTTCATTTTAAAAAAATTTCGAATTTTTTTCTAAAAGTAAATTATGAGTCGGGAATCTCGATTAAAGCCTAAAATCTGTACTTAACTTTGATACTTTGATGATCCATGTTCGCGAGGTGTTGTTCAGCGTGGACCACACGTTTTCCATACGGCCCGGTCTTGCGCAGCGGTCATCCGGTGTATGCCTGGTTGACTGATGTTCTTGCGGAAGTGGTCCGTAGCAGACACACTTCTGAGCCAGAATGTGTCTGTGGAAAGTTAGATCGAGGCTGCTGATTTCTCTTCTGAATTTCGGAATTCAAATGAAGACGTTAGGGGCTGCATCTTGGAGCCACGGGAAACCAGACGAGATTTCTGATTTCTAAGAAAACAGACATCCGGAACGTCTGTTTCAAGAGACCGTCGCGCATTAGTCGAAAGGAACTTGACCCATGTCCAACCTTATCGTCGCCTAATTTCTTTCCAGCTTTCTGACCTACTTCTCGATAGTCTATCTTCCCTCTCGACGGCACTAAATGCCTCGGCTTCATCTCTTCGTTTGCTCTGTCTACGCCCTTTTCTTTCCTGTCTTCGCCTGCATACCTACACAAAACGTCGAAAGTCGGTTCAAGTTCTTTACAAAAACTTCTTTGCAGTAGTATTCCAATGGAAATCAGCGTTATTAGGTTTCCATACTTTGAGACTAGACATTTTTCACCAACTCGAATCGGAAAGGATCAGGCTTTGAAAAAGATGGCTGTTTGAGGCTCAGCTTTGTAAAAAATACTTTTTAGAGATTCCCGACGTTTCAATTGATTACGACGAAGGTAAGCGGTAGCGCCGTGCTTCCATTTGCCGAATAATTTGCAGCTATTTTGTTCGCTATTAAAAATAGTAGAAAACCAGAAAAGTTGAAAAGAAGTTTCGGATTTTGAGTAAAGGTAGCTGCAGTGAAAGTGAGGAGCCGGCGATTGGACCAACAAAAGTTATGAACATACATTATGGTTGAACTGAACTGAAATGAGAAAATCTTCAAACTAAACTTTCAGTAGGAGTACAACTGGTTTGGATTTCAATAGTTTCAATTTTCGCGTATTTTTCAAAACGTCTAATTATTGATTTCCGTCTGTTGCTAACTGAATTTGCAGATCGGTTTTCGCAGCCATAACCAAGAAGAAATACTTTGTTTTGACAGTAAACTTTTATGCAAAAAATATTGGGCATTCAAAAGTTTCATTATCGTTTCTGCTATAGTTTTTCCAAATGGTCATGAATTTTTCAAAATAGCTGAAAAAATAAACTCACAAGGGCTGTGTGCGCGGTGAACATCGAGTTATGAATTGAGGCTTTCATGGTAGATAGACCTAGGGGAGAGTGCTACAAAACGAAAGAGAAAATCTTCACCACGCTCCCAGTTACTGGCTGAGCACTTCGAGCGCGGACATATACGTGGCGGCAAAACTTTGACGAGCTTTTCCTCGGTACCCTATGGCGCTTAGCAGATTTTCTCTTTCGTTTTGGAGCACTCTTCCCTAGGTCCATCCACCATATAAGCCTCAATTCATAACTCGATGTTCACCGCGCACATAGCCCTTGTCAGCCTATTTCCTTATCAACAGCATTTCATTGAGTTTTTATCTAACAAAGCTTTTCATATATTTTCCCTCACTAACACATGCTTTTTCTAGCTGTGAATATGAGTTATCTTTCGGTCAGAGTAATCGTTTTGAACTTTTCAGCAACGACAACGACCGTGCCAACGACGACGACAGAGCCGCCAAATCGTGAGATTCTTGTCTAGATTCAATCACTGAAGAGTCCAGCTTGCACAAACTGCCCAAGCGTCTACCAGCCGAGCTGCCTCGGCGGCGCCGTCTCTGACGTCTGCGCCAGTTTCGTCGACGCCGGCGTCTCATACGTCCAAGCCCTCACAGGAATAACCACCACTTGCACGTCAGTTGATTCTTGTTCCTTTCTCTTTAAGTATTCAGAGGGACAAGGGGCTCTTTTTTAATAAATAAATAATTCGTCTAGTTTTTTTCTCGCGAATCAGTGTTTTGAAGGCTGGTGATGACTTGTCCCATTGGGTCTTTCGTCCAGTACAAAGTTCCGATCGTGGGAACGATTCTCCCGTGGGCAGGAGTCGTCGTTTCTTCGTGCGACGAATCTGTCGGCACCTGGATGCTCGGAGTGCCGCCCCTCACTGCCGAATTCGCCGATATCACCTGTAAATTTGGAACTCCCTGAGAAGGTGCAAGATCTTTCTTTATGGTTTCAACTTGCTTTGTACATTATTTGCACTTTTTTCATTTTTCTTTTCCCAACACAGAAACCGGGTTCTGTATTTTATGATTTTTGCTTTAAATTGCATTAGAAAGTTGAATAAATTTCATAAAGCAAAGTGTTTAATGGATGGAATTTTTCTTGCAGATGAAAGCTCTCATGACAGTGTTGCATTCCTCGTTGTTCCAGTTCTCAAACCACTTGTCATGGGACAAATCAGGAGCAGTCTGTAAAGATCGGCCATTTTTATTTTCCAAAGTTTCCGGGGAAGGTTTATCAAAGCAAACCTCAACACAGAACTCCTTATTCGGATTGTCTGGCTGCTTGGGCGCCCAGTTGAAGTAGTCGGACTTGGTTCCGTCCGTCCAAACCCAGTCGTTGTTGACCTTGTGCATTCCAATCCAACACAGGTCTTTCGGGTTTCCTTCTTTCACGCCAGTCTTCGCCATATCTGAAGACATTCACTTAACTTCCCGACACTCCAATCGAAAACTGACTAGCGACGAACGTGTTCTCAGCCTCTGTGTGGATTGAAGTCAAGTGACCATGCTGACCGACGCAGAACGCCTCGGCATCGTCCCATTTCATGCCAAAGAACGTCTAGGATATGTCCACGGTTTCGATGTCAATCAATCAACCATTCTTGTTGTTTTATTCGTTGATGTAATCGATTAGGCGGTTGAAAAAAGCTCTCAAAAAACATCGGAAAATCGCCTTAAGCAAAAAAGCAGTCCAGAAGTGTAGTCAAAAGATGAGTTGAGAGCATTTCTTACGATCCTTCGAATCGTTTTTATGCGCGTATTCCTTTAAGTTGCGTCTCAGAAAATAGCTAAAGGCGCAGCTTGAGCCCGGAGACTCTGCTTCAGATGGAAGCCTCGATATGAAAACAGTCCTTTTGAGTGAAAATTTCACAAGGAATTTTTTTTTGAGTTGCTATTTTCCAGAAAAAAAAGGATAGTAGGCAAAAAATCCAATTTTTTTGTTTTTTTTTGGGCTTCCAATAGCCAATATGCTTCCCAACTTCTTTCTAGTGAGGATTCGTCGATCCACTGAAATGGTTTCGCAAATCAAAAAATGTGTATATTTCTTGATATACTGCAGATTCGTGAAAAACCTCGGCGGCTTTGGATAAAATTATCCAGAAAGTTCATTTCGAGAACAGACCTTGTAGCACATGTCGGTGATGGGGAAGTAAGTCCATTCGATTTCGCAAGAAGGAACGCAGGTCCTCTGAGTGCAAGGCGGCGGAGTGGGACACGTCGTGGCTGAGACTCGGTAAGACCAGTACTCGAGAGGTCAGAACTCACGGACAGGCGTCGTTTGAGGCGGACAAGTGGAGATTAGGAGAGGAGGCGTGACACAGACGTAAGGACGGTAGACTGTGCATCCCAACGTCGACCAAGATCCGTCGGAAACTTGCTGAGTGGCGCAATCGCTGCCGTCTTGGGGCTGTGCTGAAAAATTCGCCCGTTTTAAAGTCGCCTGCCTTTTTACATCATTCTCAATATACTTGAGAATTCACAACTTTCTAAATATACTGTGAACTCACATGGTCCCCAGTTGGAGTAGGCAAAGTTGGATCCGTCAGTCCATTGCCACTGTCCAGGAGTCGCCAGATCGTTGGCGCCGATCCAGAAATCAGTGTAGTTCGACTTTTGGAAAGCTTGCGCAGCATTAGCTGAACGGAAGGTAGCTCTCAGCAAAAGGAGATGAATTACCGTTGATCAGGGCGTTTTCCTGACCATTTGTGACGGAGGCTAGGTGACCGCCGAGGTTGGAGCATTGCTCGTCGGCAAACTCAAACTCAGCCGGTGCAGTGAAGTACTGATAGCATCTGCAAGATTTGTTTTTCAAAACATGTCACGCACTAAATTGCCTTCCTTAATAATAAGAGCTGTGGCAAAATAAATGAAAAAGTCTGTGTGCCACGACTTGAAATTTCACCGAACGACATTCCGCTGTTCCTCTGCGTGCGTTCGCGAAGCGTCTTTCGAATCTAGGTCACGTTTTCTATTGATTGTTATTGCTGTGGGAGCACATAAAAGTAGAGTACCTTAATGAAAGGAAAAAAAAAAATTAAAAGCGCGACCGAGGTTCGCAAAGGAGCGCAGCGGCACAGCGGAATGTCGTTTCGTGAAATTCCAAGTCGTGGTACACAGGCTATAGAAATCACATGTGAAAAAAATATGATTAAGAAAAAAACTGAATTTTAAAAAAATGTTTGACTGGGAGAAGGAAAAACGTTTCCAATAAATTTAATAAGATGATAATTATTTTTCAATCTTTGTTTTGAGAAGTTTGACGCAAGTTTTAAAACTGAATGACCAAATCTAACTCTGAAAAACTGAAATCTTAGTGATAACTGCTAATACGACAAGTGGAAAACCTGTTGAACTGCTCGTTATAAATACCGCCGGTGTTACAATGCTGAGCCACGGCTCCTGCCACGAGTGCGACCAAAACGACGAGCTTCATGTCGGCCAAAAGTGGAGTCTTCGAAGAACGTTATCAGCGTCCCATGTGCTTCTCTGTTATCAGCACGCTTGTCTTTCATGGTTCTTATCCTAAACTCCGTTAAATGGAATGACATCCTCTGAACTCTCAAAAACCAAATAGAACCAGTAGACTGGCAGTAGTTCTAAAATGTATCTTTCCTGCGATCTCCGATTAAATTTGAAGATAAAGTCAAACTTATGATGGGAAAGTTTCGTTGCGATAGAAATTCGCTAGAGCGGAAATAAAGTAAAAAACTCTCGAAAAACATGCTTTTAGATCTTAACTTTCAACTCAAATCCATCCTCTACATTTTTGCTAAACCAGAAAGTTTGAGTCCGTTCATTTTGAAGAAGAAAAAAAAAGAAATGTATCAAAGGATGGTGTTGGATGTTGTAATGAGAGCGTTGTGGTCGACCACTTGTCGCTGGCGAAAAAAAAGAAATTCTTCCATTCGAAGGGTGGCAGGTGTAAGAGACCGAATCGCGGCAAAGGAGCCGCGATGCTGCAACTGTCGGTGACAAGCGCCATCACCTCGTCGCCGCTCCAGCTCCCTTGTTTTCTCATTTCCGTCATTGATTTTTCCGCCATTCTTTTAATAACCAACACGCTTTTTATACATCAATCGATAAATCTTTATTTATGTCTTTATTTTAGATGACTTTGTAATCCTCTAACGATCTTCTTAAGCTCGTAAAGCCACGAAAACTGTATTTATTAATTGGTCTCAAGAAAATGTCCACGGCCTTCACGATTAGCGGAAAAGTTTGTGAATAGAAGAGGCTCAGGCGTCTTTGTAGTAATTTTTACAACGTGGATAAATTAGGAGAGCATGCACTAAATTTCGGCGAGCGGATACTAAACTCGTTTTTGATTTGTAATAATATCTTGTATGATTCATTAGAATTTATATATATTTTTCGATCAAAGTTAAACAAATATTAAAAAAACTGACTTTAATGATACCTGATAATTAATATCTTGTTCAGAAGAAAAAAATAAAAGTTTATCAGAAAAATTGAATTTCAACATTTTTAGTGAAAAAAGTAAGCTTGGGCTCTACTCTCCCATCAACTTTTACGACGATCTGCCGAGATGTTTCTTCAAAGCATCATGTTTTCAGAGAGACCAGCAACCGAGCAAGCTTTGTTCGAACTTCGAAACCTTTTTTTTGTGAAATTGAAAGCATCAAGTCCCACATCTGACCTTTGTTTCATCCAAGGGTGAAAACAAAACATTTCAAAGATAATTATTTAGAACATTAGCAGCAAAAATTTTCTGATATTTCTAAAAATAAATATAAATCCTCGTAATCTCAACTTCATTGCGAACTACACAAATTAATTGGTTCCTCTTCTACTCGCTGTTCTATACAAGAATAAAAAAATTGAAACGATTCGAGTCGGAAGAATCATTCGGAAACTGTGGTCCTAACTCGGAAATGTAAAAATAAATGATCAACAAGCCATATTTTCAGAGAGGCACGGTAGCGTTTGAATGACCTCTTTTCTGAAAAAGCTCGTCGAGCACCGTTCCAAATCTCCACAAAAACGGGCGGCCCCTGCCAATGCACACAACTACTCGCCGCCTTACGTGAGTATTTTCTCTAATAAACTTTCGGAGGGTAAATAAAGAAGTTTAAAATTAAAAAAGTATAGTTTAGCAAATTTATTCTGCGCGGCCAATCAAACGGCCAATCATTCGGTGGCGATTCGCTGCGATTTCGACATGAGCCATTTGAAGCGCGAAAGAAGGCCAGTTCGGCTGTAGAGAAAGTTTTTACTTCAGATGAGTAAATCATATGTTAAGATTTTCAAAGCGTTTCTAAAGTTTGAATCTTTCTCTTAAAATCTCTAATATTACCTCCTTTTCACATGAAACTTCGAAATCACCGCTTCTAAGATTTAACAAACCTTGCAAAATGACAAGCGAGGTTATACTCACCAACTCGCATCCTGATGGTTTTTTTTCTTTGCGTGTAGGACTTCCAGAAAATTCCCGTCGCGATTGCTCGTTTCTGAAATACTTTTTAGTCCTGATCCAACCTTTTTCAAAAAAACTGCGCATAAATTCTACAGGAAATCAAGATTCATCAGATTTCACTCATATGTTTTATTCTATGAGCATTACCCATTTAAAAAAAGAAGTTAAACATTCTCAAGAAAAAAGAAGCATCATCATTTCGATTATTGCCCTGCGAATATCTTGCACAGGCGAATCGGGAGAGCACCATAATGTGTCCACAAACAGAAATCTCAAAATGGAAGACCCCATAATATGTCCATCGTGAGAACTCCAGCATACCTTTTTAGCTCTCCCTAAGTCATACCGGAGGTCCTTGAGAGTCTACCTCAAGTCTAGCTCATTTTGCTCGAAATTCTCAGAGGTATACTCGAGACACCATCGTTTGACTTCAGACCCATACCTGAGGGAGTATCGTGATGCCCTTTCTCGATTTGCCGATGACCGTAATAATTTTTTTTAACTGTGGAAAAGAAAAAAACCTATTCGTGAAAAATTATGCTCTCAAACTTTTCCTTCTTCAAATAAAAACAGACTCTTTCGGATAGCAACGTTTTCCAGTAAAGAAAACACATTGAGATTGAACTATGAAATGAAATTCAAACCGAAATCCGTAGTTCAAAGCAGAGGTGGAGGATGGCTGCCCACTGGCCCTGCCTGCCAAGCCATAAACGCCCAAAAGCAGAAATGACTTTTTCAATAGTAAGTCAATGACTCATTTCTATCACTTGGCCCAATGGCTTGGCTTGGCCGCCAAGCCATGGGCTGCCTTCCCAATCCTCCACCTCTGGTTCAAAGTTAACTTCCTTTTTGTAGAAAGCGTTTCTCACGTTCATTCTCATCAAGATTTCCTTACTCTGTCGGATAGCGCAACTTTCCAAGAGATTCGTCTTTTCATTATCATTAGGAGGCGCTTCCATGGCAACGCAGCTTATTCTTACTAAGAACAGAAAAGGCGATTTCCTTAGTCTCGAGTTTTGATCATCCAAAGTGATGAGATGGTTCCAAGGACGCCCCGTTTCCTTCGCAACGGAGCCGGCCAGCCCCTCCGCCTCTTCATTCCAACTTCCAAAATCAGCGGGCATCGGAACCGGTTCAGTAAATATTCTATATTCCTCTTGTAAGAATATAGATATTCATTCAACCGGTCCCTAGCTCTGCGACTTTTTCTCCCCGTCTCCGGTAAAAAACATGGAAAGAAATAAACCAACGTCCTGTCAGGAGTTGGAGACCCGATCCTTTCGTCTTTTTCGCGCTTGCCGAGACATCTTTCGACAGTTCCTTCGAAATCGGCGGAGTATCTGAAATCTCTTGACAGCTGAAGAGTCCAAAGAAAAAAGAAAAAAAACGGTCGACAGGACGAGTCGCTCTGAACTTGACGCGTGATGTTAGCGATTTGCGCTCGTGGCACGATGACGAAACGTTTAGGGTCTAAAGAAAACCACAAAATTCTTCTGGAATGGCAAAAAAATTTGGAAAGACACATTTCACATGATAATAAGTTCGATCATGAGCATCAACGTACCCGCTTCTTCTATTTATTATTTATAGAAACCTATGAAAATTCTTTCCTGTCGCGATGAAAGGAGCTTCATAAGGAAGATCAAAGCCAACTTTACAAATCGTGGCTTAAGTATGATTGGAATTATACCAACACTACGAACGTTCAAAAAATTAAAAAATTACTGTGAAAAGTTTTGAATCATAACTTTTTTTTACGGATTCTGTTAAAAACTGATCGGAAACAGCAAAAATAATACATTCTTCGGGCCTCAACCGAGACAACTGAGCTGAGGACTACAAACCATGGTTGTTGTCGCAGTAACGCGCCAGACCGACGCTGCCGCTTGCCGCGTCGAAACAGAACAGATTGCCAGTTATGGCCGACGCGTCCTCATTCGCTAGCCGAGCAAGTGTAACCTACAGAGACTATATTTTCATGAATATACAGATATTACCTTCACAGGGTGGCCAACGGCAAACTCCAGGTCGTCAAAGTCAATTTTGTTGAGCGAAGGCCGATAAAAAATATTTTCACTCTCGAAAAACACTCGAGAAAAAAATTAAAGAAACGAAGAAAACTTGTCTGTTTGTCGCTGTTCATGTCGTTTGACATAATCAATCATACTGCCTGGCACAAACTGATACGGAGAAGAAGCTGAGAAAAACTCGAAACTTATGAAATGAAAGAAAAATTACAGAAATACATACAAATATTTTGCTTTACTTGCAACACGACGATCCCTCCGCTGTTCGGGTCTACCGAAAACAGCTCGCAAATTTTGGTGGACTCATCCCCTTTCAGTTTTAACTGTAACTATGAGACCGTTTAAACAAAAGTTTATATAAAAACTACCTCTACTTTCTCTCCAATCAGACTTTGCAATGGATCAATCGGAAACGCATTTTTATCCGGGACCTCTTTCCCTTTGCGCGCTGGACTCATCGCTGCTAATAGAAATGAAAAAGTTCAACTCAACCTTACGCAAATCATTGGAATATCTCGAAACAAAGTATTTGTCAGGCTTACGCGCCAACTGTGGCACCGGTGTGTTACTTGCCCCTGCCGCCGTCCCCACTTCCGAGTCGGACCTCGCCTTTGCCGACTAGAGCCAGTTCTGGCCAGAGCAACCGTTTGGGCAGCAACCATTCTAATGTTAGTTGTACTTCGTTTTCAAGCTCTCAAATGAGTCCAGGAATCGATAGGGATACACAGTTGGAACACGGAGCCGCGAGACAACGAAGAACCTTTTTTCTTGCCAAAACTATCGCCGCTAGAGGAGCCACTTGTTTCTTCTGATGGGCCTGGACCGTTGATGCGCGCCCGTTCGCACTCTCCTAGGAAACCCAAGCCCAACTCCGTTATGGGTTCACCGAAAATGAAAAGGTTCGAAACAACCATAAAGGATGAATCTCACCTGTTTGAAGCAAGTCGAAATCGCCGCAGAAGAAGCATCGAGCCGTGATAAACCAGCTGGACTACCTCAACTCACAATGTCACATGGAAGGCTGCTCGGTTTCTATCGTCGTGCACGTGAGTTCAGAATCGAAGGTTCTACTAATCGACTTCTGCAGTCCACGCGCTTCTTGATCTGTCGACATCAGTTGTGTCACGCCTCAGACTATTTCAAGGATTTGTTGCAGAGTAAATATGGAAGTGAAGACTTTTACGTGAGTTGATCCCGTTGTCTATTTGAACATGGTTTAAAAAAAAACAGAGCATTTCAAAAACTGCAAAGCGATACCAAAATTGAATTTCTTTTTTTTCTGATTTTACTACGGCCATGAAACCGATCAGGTGACAGTGTCGAGCATGTCGGAACCGACGCCGTCGACGCAGTTCCGCTGGTTCGTAGAGTCGTCGATCCCCTGTCCTGCTCTCAAGGACATTTCCGGTTAGTTTTCCAAGACCGGAAAACTTCCAATTTCTCGCATGTACAAAGAAATCTATCAGAGAAACTAATTCATTATCAATTTGTAATGTTGGTCATGAAGATCGAGTGCTTTCTTCTTCCGCATAGCCATGTGTATTTTTTTCTCCTTGGTTTTCCAATGTTTCATCAGCACCAACAGCTGCGTTTTACGCTGCCTCTTTTTTTCTTAATTATCGCACTCTGTTGGAGGAAATTCTGCTTTGTTGGGATGATAAGTGTTCTTTCGTTTCGGGGGAAAAGCGGCTTGTGAAGGATTATTGACTCATTGGTTCAGATGAGACGCTGGAGACGTGCATGCGGCTTTCCAGACGATTCGATGCCAAAGGACTCGAAATGCGCTGCACAAAATTCATCGTAGAAAATGTTGGTGAAAACTCAGTCAGCTTTCTTTATCAGCAAAATGTGATTTTCGTAACTGAACTCAAATAGAGCCTCACGTTACAAAAATTATTTTACAGTTTTTTTTCTGGCTTGAGTTTTTCTTTTACCTTTTTTTGGTTTTTTTTTATCGATTTCACTTTTTAATAAAAAAAAAAACTTTTTTTTCTCAATAAGAAATATTTCGACAATGTAATGAATCTGCGGTCGATAATATCCATTTGCTGAAAAAAAAATTATTTTAGGCTTGTTCTCGACAGCCGATCGTCGCACTCTGTTGGCTGAATTGGGCGCTAAAACACAAGTTCGATGCCCAGGTATTCCTCTAGAACGAATAAAGTTTTCGACTACCAGAGATGAACAGTGAACGCAAGAAAATCAGAAATTTTTAAAATCCTCGCGAGTAAGGTATAACACATGTTAGAAAACTGGTTTTTGTTTCAATACACTAACCCATAAAATCCCAACTCTTGAAAAAAGAAGACGTTCATTCAATAGATTACTATGAGAACTGTCTAGACTCAAGCTTCTTGTTTGCCTTCCGTGGCTCGGCTGTCGCTGACCGCCTTGGAGCAACACCGACACATGTTGACGGAGAAGATCTTTTCCGATCTCCTGGCCGCTAAACTTCGCGGCACCTACGACAAGGTATTCGCAGATCACTGTGCTCGACCAGAATGATTAGGCCGTGCAAGTCTTCCGCGCAATCCATCGAATGGACCACTTCTCGGTCGAAGTCGACCGGTGTCCGCGGTGCGGCAGGACCCGCGACGGTATGCGAGTCAAGGTCAACGCCGATCCCTGCAGGTCTCCTTCAAATTCCACGACGTACAATCAAAAAGCTTATTCGAAAGTCAAAAAGTTACTTCACAATGAAATGAAAATTTAGGAAAAAGTTCAAAGTAGAAGCGTTTCAATGTAAATAGGCAACTGAAGAAAGGAAATAATACTGCATCTTAGTATTTGTCTTATCCATAATGCATAAATGTAGTTCTGCAAAAACTTTCTCGAGAAAATCCAATATCCGAATAGACGCAGAAAGCTTAGATGAAAAATCAAAACCTTGAAATTACACAGGAAGCAAATCGGATGCGACCGATGTCACCGCGAAAGCTGCGAGATCGAAAACAAGGCCGGGGATGACCTGCAGGTCCGTTTTCCAAGCTTTTTCTGTCTTAGAGACGACTCTAGGCCTTCTACCAATGTCCGCACGGCCTTGTTCCTCTCAACTCTACCACCGACGAGTGTCATTGCCAGATTCCCAACCTCGCTCATCACTTAGGTTTTTATCCCTTCTAATGCATGTCGTTTTTATTTTCTTTGCATTCAGGATCTCGATATTACTTCCGTTCTGAAAATGGCACCATTTTGAACCCTCCGCCTCTTTCGCCGCACACAAGCCGCACGTTAGAGCGGCGATCTCGGGTCAAAAACGAACGATTGAACTCGTTTTCTTTGTTTTTACGAAAAAAAAAATTGCAATGATAAATATTTACAATGACATTTTTTCTAGTTCTTACAGAATCCCGCTGGCTCCGGTCGACAAAAAGAAAAAGACTTACAATATATATATCAAGAAAAAACTTCACAATTTGAAAAAAACTCAGAAATCACAGTTTCAAATGGTTTTTGTAGGTTTATAGGTTTTTGGACGAAATTCAATCGAAAAAATTTTCGATCTGGGGCAAAATTGAAAAGAATATTACTGTAGGAAATCGTTTTTTATTGGTCCAAAAAAAAGCTCCGCAAAGCTTTGACCCTGCGGAGGACACCTCAGAACGACCCGGAACAAGTTATAAGCGGCAAACAAGCCGAGATATGGATCGACGGGAGCAGCGGCAGTCGGCCGTCGTCGTCCGCCTCGAGATGTTGGTCGTTTCTCTGCAGCCTGAAGAATCCGTCCGCAGGGCCGAGATAGTTTCCTTTGGTTCTTCGGTCATCCTGTCCATCGCCTTTTTCTACATCTTCACCATGCTCAACGCCTTTACCACGGTGAGCAACTGCGGTTGAAATAACCTTGAGATGAAAAATACGAAATCTTGATACTCCACAGACAAACATCGCGCTGCTGGACAAATCATCGGGGTGCTTCGAGAAGAAAATCAGTAAATACTACGGTCAACCAAAAAAGGTTATTTCCTTATGAGTTATTTTTGAATGTGTTCACTAGCTGTGGGAACGTTTCTCTCGGGCAGTAAGTCTCTGCTCGCCACGGCTGCACTCCGTCGAGCTCGGCGCGTTCGCCAACACCGACGAGTTCAAAGTACCATTACTTGCCCCATGTAAGGCATGTTTCCTATTCGACCTCTACGTTTTGATCAGGACACAGCAGAGGACTGCGTCGTGCTGTCGCTGGGAATCGGAAAAGACGTGAAGGCAGAGCGGAGAATGCGCGATCGGATGTCTCAGTGCGTCTTCATTGGAGCTGACCCTGTCAACGAGTCTAACGCCGACCTCTTCTCACAGGTAATTTTTATTTTATGGAAAAAAGTGTAAAAAGGAAAAAAATTCCGAAAATCAAAAATCCGTAAAAAGAAAAAGTTCAGAAGAAAGAAAAAAACACTGAGAGAAATGACAATACAATATGTTCATTCCGAAATATTTTTAATTTTTCAGAACCACAAAAAGAAAATTTCAACCTAAAGCCAAACTAATTTGCTGCTTCTGATATCTTAAAAGGGACAAAATTGTAGGTTGGAAAGTTTTACAACGTCGCAGTCGGACATAAAAACGGTAGTTTTCGATCATATGTCCTAGAAGGTGAATATAAAAGGCACAAGTTATGAAGTCTTCAAGATTCAGATGTTTATCGCTACCAAGAAGTCGCGTACATGGACCTAGCCACTTTCATCAAACTCAACGTGAGATCTTTCAAGTTAACGTTTCTTGCTGCGACCTCGTCAAAGTCTCGCTGCCATATCGCTCGTTCTCATAAATTTGAGATTTAAGAAACCGTTCTTCTGCTTCACTTTTGACTTTTATGATGAAATGAATCAAATTAAAGCAGAATTTCTCAGAGAGTGATATAGCGCAATACGTTTGCTAGATCTCAGCGAGGCGAGAGATATAGCTCGCGGCTCCCCGCGGTATAACGCTACTCTAGCTGCAATGTAGTTCATAAGATTGAGTGCGAAAAGATAATAAAACTATTGAAAAAAGGAGAAAATTCCATATTGGTTTCAAGTTGCGCGCTTTTATATCACTTCCTCCAAAAATATTTTCATTATGAACCTAAATTTTTTTGTTTTCTATTTCCAAAACACGACATGAAGCATATTTTTTTAAAGGTGAATCGAAAAATTGTCGATCAAATGATGATGGATGTGGAGCATGCCGAATACCCAGTGCTACCATTTTTGGAGAAAGGCGGAGAACTCAGTCAGCGCGACATTGCTGTTTGCCAAGTCCATCTTCTTCGCTAACTTTTATAACTCATGATATTCAGATAAACATTGAAATTCATCGGCCTACTTCCGAAGACCTTCAAGCTTTCGTCGGTTTTCTTCGACGTAACTCCTTATCACAGCAATGGATTTTCATCAATTCGGAAATTCATCCCTTTTTCAAGCACATCAGGTTGAGGGCATTTCCGGACTTCTGACTTTTTTCCGGTATTCAGGCTTTTCATGATCAATGGACAGAACAAGGAGTGTAGGCGACGATTCTGGGAAAATTGAACTTTTCTGAAAAAAAATAGAACGCAATTTTCACTGGTATCAAAAAATAAAAACAGTGATCATAACAATATAAGAAGGTGAGTATCAAATGAAACAAGATCAAGTTAGGCGTCCAACCAACACACAGCCTTCTCTTCAACAATAAAAGTGAAAATATGCAGTTTCTCAAGAAAATTGCTCTCCAACTACTGAATAAAAGAGTCGGTCAAAAATTTCTCACTCCTCTTGGAATCGTAGAACATTTTATAAGCTTTTCCAATTTCCTCGGTCGTAACCTGAAGAAATTGAACCTCTTTGGTCTACTTATATGATTGGTTGTGATTTTATTCACAACAGTCATCCACAACTTTTCCATCTTTGTTACTCTCACGGTTCACTTCAATATGAATGATTAGTATAGTCGTCTTGAAAGGCAAGGAAGGCGGAGAAGTGGGCGGGCCGCGTAGACTTGAACTCGTGCCAAGAACCGCTTACGCACACGCCACGCGTCCCGCCTTTTCTCTGCCTCCCTCGCCTTTCAAGTCGGGAAGAATTGATTATGCCCAAGTTTAAAACCCGTCAGAAAGTTCAAAAAACTAATAAACATAGCCTTCATGATAGCAATACTTTCATGATTGTATGCCCGAGTGAAAAACCCTGAGCAGGATATTTCTGGGTTTCCTTGAGAATAATTTTCTCACAATGTTTGTTTTTTGGTTATTCTTTTTTATGCGGTTTCAGTTCTTTGCTGAATCCAAAGAAAAACTACCTTTTCTGAAATAAGTGAGAAAAAAACTTACGGATTCCTTGCGAGATCTTTGCCTGAGAACTTCAGCCACGGATATTAGCTGGATGCAGTATCTCATCGAAGTCGAATTAGCCAACTTGGTCAACAGCTCTAGCGCCTTCGAATCAATCCTCAACCAACCTCATGGTCACTGAACACTTGAAAAACAAACTTGACGCCTTCTTCATCGGCGCGAATCCGTAGAATGCGGGAGATCTCTTCGGAAGTGTAGCCTTCTGCCTGAATAATGAGCATTCTGTCCAACAAATCGGATGGCATCCCATGGGCCGATTCGATGTCCGTCCCGCGCACTTTTGAGATAAGTCTGGAAGATTATTTTGGAATACTGTCTGCAAACGTTCTTCAACCTGTTTGTGGCCATAATGAGTAGCGGACTGAGTTCTCCTTCGATGGCGCGGTTCAGAAAGGAGAAACACTCGATGTCGAGCATGTGGGCTTCGTCGATGAAAAGGACGCCGGGAACGAATCGAGCCTTTCCTTCTTCTCTCCATTCCAGCACCTTTCAAAGAGTTGTTCGAGTTTCAAGACCGCAATACCAACCTTCTTGTTGATTTGATCTCTGACCTCGGCCTTGATCTCCCCCGTGTCTCCGGAGAACAAAGCGACGTATCCCTGAGTCCGCGAGTTGATCACGTCCACGTCGTGCAGACACACTGTGTGCACTGTTTCTCTTCAAACCCTCACAATTATTTCCCATACACGGGATATTTCTCCGTTTCTTTGGCTAAATTTAATGCCCCCTTGTTGAGTTACATGAAGATTTTCATTTGATGTCTTTTGTGAATTAATAGCTCCGGATTATGAGAAATAGTTCTGAACCAACCTTCGTTTCTGGATTTCTCCATCTGGACACTGCACGAACTTGACCTGAGGTCCCATCGCATCGTAGTCGTGAGATCTAGTGAAAGCCCGACCAATACGAGTCACACGACCTGAAAATATGCTACAATTACCAAGTGATAACTCAAGAGATGAAGAATCCAAAGCAAAATTTTGGACGCTCAGAATGACCTTCTTGAGAACGCGAAAAAAAACTGAAAAAGATTTAATTCAATTATTTTTGCCCAATTAGCGTGAATTTATGAAAATTTTTGAAGTTTTTCTTTTCCTTTTTTTCATTTGGTGTGCTTTCAAAGCTTCATACTCACATGAGGTTCTCCGTAAAAAAAATCGCAGATTTGATGAAATCGTGCACCTTTGCCAAAAAATTTGCTTGATATTCCTTGAAAAATTGAGACTATAAAAAAACCTGAAGCCTTGTCGACCTGGACGACGTCTCCAGCGACGATGTGCTCGCGGATGCAGGCGTCGACCATTTTGCTACCGAGGTCGTAGATCGTCTCCATGTCTGTGGTCCGCATCGTCAAACGACCAACCTTGGGACCGACTCCGCTTGCGGGACGATCGATCTCCAATGCCACAACTTCGCCTTCGAGCACCTGCCATTTTCATTCTGAATCTATCCTAATCCGAAAAATTATTCTACTTCCGTCTCTTCTTTAATTTGAATTCCAATGGCGCGACGGAAGGCCTGAGTCAGTGATTCTGTCTTGTTGATCTCGGTGGAGAAAACCTTCAAAAAAATTTTGCTCTTTATTCTCGGAGAAATATTGAAATGATCCAAAAGAAAAGTCAGCATAAAAGATGGACCTCTGAGGCAGTTATGGAAACGAAAGGAGTATCACTTCCAAGAGCCTTAGAAATCGCCATGGCGATTGCCGTCTTTCCGGTCCCCGGTTCTCCGGTGATCAGCAGAGCTCTTCCGGCAATCTTCCCCTCCTGGAATCGCCGCATTTCACAGAACCAGCCTCTAAACATACCTGAATCATTTTCACAATGAATCCAGCTGCTTGGCGCGCAGCCAATTGGCCGACCATCCCATCCGCAGTCTGTGCAGGTTCCAGGCGATCATTCAAGCCCAGACCGCGAATATGTGAATGAACTCCAATACGCTCGACCTCAAAGATGGGAAAAATAAATTGGAAAACACGCAAAAACTCACTTTCACAGCATCTTTTATAACCAACCCATCGATTGTAGCCATTTTCAAACAGAAAAAAATTTAATTAGATTGTCGATTTTTTAATTTCCGTTTCCACGAACTGTAAAATATGCAAATTTTAGTGATTTATCGAAATATAATTAATGAGAAACTAGGAAAACGAAAGCATAATTGTTACCCCGTTTCAAGCTTTTTTTTGGAGTAGAAGTGGTTAACTTTGCATTTGTGAGAGCGCTCATTTTTTGAAAAAAACATATTAACATTTATAAGTTATCGGAAAAACAGTATTATCATATTTCATTATCTGATTATTTTTAATACTTGTTCCGAATTCTGTATACATTTTCGAAGCAAAATATATTTTTAATTCGAGTTTATTAGCTTTTTAAGGATAATTAAAAGATCAAATAGAGAAACCCAAAGCCAATTTCTCAAGGTCAATCAAGAAAACTGCTAGTTCCATTGAAAGAATCGGCAGAACAAAACCAAAAAGATAAGAGAAAAGGAAATTTGAAAAATAACTCAGGCACTGGTGCGCGCACGCGCAGGGGGTACTGATTCTTTTTTCGCCTTTTTCACTGAAATACGGTTTTGAAATAGATTTTTTATATTTTTGTGATACTACCTTGTGTCCCTGCTCACGTTTTAAAGTTGTTCCGAGCACTTTCGAACAAATTTATGAAAAAGAATTGCCAAGTGAAACTTTGATATTTAAATTTTTGGGCAATCTAATTGTTATAAACTGGTGCAGAGCAATGTTAAGAGATGAACAGACATGAAAAATATTAAATTTATAACTTTTCAATTAGTTAAAAAGCTAAAAAACAAAAGAGACACCCCGCGCGTGCGCGCAGCAGGCGGCGCGCATGCGCACTTTTGGCAACAAACACGCGCCGTCAGTGCCTGAGAAATTTGGCGACCCCGCTGCAGAGACATTGCGCTCCATGGAACGCTTCAAATAGCGACTTTTGGCGGGAGCTTGAAAATCCGCTGCATTTTCTTTGGTTTATGGCGTGTTCATTGGAAAAACGGAACATCTCGGACCTTAGAAACGCGAACGGGACGCGAATCGGACGTGTCGCGGCATTTCTAGTGACAACTTTAGTAACCTCAACGCTCTTAAATGATCCTTTGCATCGCCCAGAATTCTTTCTGCAGAAACGTCGGAGCACGTCCGTTTCGCGTTACCAATTTCCGAGATGCTTCAAAACGAAAAATCGTGTTAATCGGCGCACCAAATTTGTTTCAAAAAGTACTATTTTTTGTTTTGAAGCCATTTTCGCGTTTCGGAACAATTTTCGTTTTGTCCGATGAACATGCCAATATCCTTTTCCAGCATTTCACGGCGTTTTTTTCGGTACGACAGTCGAAACGTTCCGTAAATTATGGTAGTTATGGTGTAAACACACCGGGACGCATTATCGCATACTCCAAAAAAATGTTTTTTTCATATTTTTAAGTTTGGAATATTAAGCTAATGGCTTCCGAACATTATGAAATCTTCTCTATTTGAAGAATATGAAGTTGAAAAAAACATTTGAACATCATATAAAAATGTATAGCAGCGATCATAAAAGGTAAAAACTCTAATTTGCGGATAACGAAAGAAAAAAACAGAAAAATATTGTTCTGGTAGGTTGCCTCGCGTCCGAAAAAATCAATAAAAAAATATGAAAAAAACTTCAGAATAAACAAAAAAATTTGAGAAGAGCCCCGTAAAAAAAGAATAATTTTTTTATACCTTGGAAATTCCGTTTCAGAAAAATCGAATAATGGATAGAAGTCAAAAAGTTTAAAAACATTGGAGAGCAAAATGTTTAATATAGTTCGAAAAAAACCATCAAAAAAACTAGAAAAAAATTATGTAATTTGAATTAATTATAAAAATAAAAACTTTAAACTGCCATGTCCAATTCAATTTGACTCCAAAATACACGAAACCGGTTTAAAACTACGTGAAAGTAACTGGATAATGACAATAACCATACAAAAAACGTCAAAAATTTTATCAATAATTTAAAAAGTTAATTGAAAGCGCATTTTTCTCTGAATCCTTCAGTAAATCTATGGTTAGTGAGTCTGTTCATAAGAAAACGGATCCTGCACAGAAAAAAACTACTGCTGCCGTATGATTTACGGCGCCCGCCCTTGATCTTTTTTTTCTTCATTTTCTTTCACTGCCAAGAACGCCGTGATTTGTCTCACTTTTCTGCGTTTCCCTGTCAGAGAGATTTGAGCCGGAGAGCGGCCAATGCAATAACTTTTCAAAAAAGGAATCTCAGTCCATAAACGTGGTTCGGCACAAAAAAAAATGTAAGATTAGGTAAAAAAAAAAAAGATATGAAATTCCCATCTATACACTCTTCAACCAATCAATACGTTTTTCTGTGTTTTGTCCTAGTTATAGCTACATGCTGGATACCATCATCTCAGATAAAAATCAGTCGAATTCGGTAATTAGAAATATCGGCTTGTCCTTTTGTCGGACGCGTGCGTTACAGTTCGCCTTTTGGGCTTTCTTTACTCCGATTAAATGACGAAATCCAATAGAATGCAAGATTATATCAGAGAAATTGTCCACAGAAATCTCGAAAATCAGACTTCTCGATGCAGGCGCAGCCTATTGAAAAGACGCGACCGACAAAAATAAGAAGAATCAAAAAAGCGTGAGAAGAAGTTTTGCCGGCATTTCTGAATGACACTGTCGTTGTTAGTGTCCACAGCACTTCACCTTATCTGCCCGTTGGCCTCCATAATGTTGGTGGCGGCGTGCACAAGAAGTTCGACCGACACGTCGCAATTCAATCGCCGCAGCAAAATGACGACATCGGATCAGAACTCAAAACAACCGGCGGCTTGCTCTGACAGCAAGTTTTTCTTTTAAAATCAGAGACTGGACTAAGGTGGAGATTTTTTTCTTCGTTATGTTTTAAAATTTTCACTGAAGCTAGAGGGTCAATACCGAATAGCAAAACAGAACAATCGAGTGTTTATGAAAGTGAACAGAAACTATAGTTTCAAAACTACGGGGAAATGAAGCCGCACATCACGAGAAGACGATCCGCGTGGAGCTCCATGGATCAGAGATTTCGGCCATTAACAGCAACTTATCGGAGGTGTGCTACTCTCTGACCTCATAGTCCGCAGAAAAAGATTTCTTTCACCAAAAAACTTCACAGGCTTGCAACAAGAAGTATTACGAGAAAAAAGCAAAGCAATCACCAAAGCACATTGACATAACTCAGGAAGGTTGGAGACTGTTGTTTGCTCGGAAATGAGTTTACTTCAATCAGACGAAGACGGCAAGACTACTGGTCGCTCGACAGCCCCCACACAAGGCTCTGGCGACGATCCAACGAGAAAAACAAAGAAAAATTCGTTCCGCGAGAATGTCCCTGCCAAAAAGATGCCGGCCGTAGTGGTGTCGCCGCAGAAGCGCTCAAAAACGAGCGAGGATACCACCACAGTAAGCTGTTTTTTCCCGATTTCCTATGCTTATTTCAAAAAAATTCATTTAAAAAATCATTAAAATGTTTTGAAGTTGTTGTAATGAGCGGTTTTTTTTCTATATACCTTGTCGTAAGGGGGAATAGACCCAGAAACGTCAGACTTTTCCAAACCGTGACGGATGAACTTCAGCTCTAAAAATCGATTAAAAATCCATTCTAAACGATTTACTCTTTTGGCCTTCAAAAAAAGGTTTTCCGCTTTTTCGTTACGCTTTTAAAAGATTCTCGGCAGCTTTTGCAGTTCTACAAAACATTTAATTGTGTGACTGCAGCCCTCATCAAATCATAAGAAGCATCCCTCCTTGAATCAGAAGAAACAGAATTTGTCGCATCCGAAGAAGCAGCCCTCGTCGCGGAATCACACACGAACAGATTGGACGCGAGAAGCTATAACCCAGGCAAGCTCTTTCTCGTTTCTTCTCTAGCAGGACTTGTTTCAGACCGAGTCCGAGATTGGCCCTTCAAATCCATAGAACTTCTTCCTTCCAATTTCAACTTTTTTTTTCTCCATTATAAACATTCACCGACTTATCTGACAAACTTGAAAACATTTCAGACTTAAAGAGCTCTTAAAAGAAATCAAGTTCCTCAATCTTTAGCCGTTTTTGCTCCGAATTAAGTGTTGCAATGTTTAGCGGTGCCGAAAATTTAATGATTATTTAGAGATAAAGCAATTGATTAAGAATTGTGCGCTGATAACGAGTGCTGAGAAGAAATCATCTCGACATTCCTTCACAATTCCTTGGTTTTAGTTTTCCGAAAATTATTTCAAACTTTCTTTTTCGATTCGTTTGTTAGCAAAAGGCAAAAAATTGAGAATTTCTCACTTACTGCACAGATGTGTGAAGCTGAGAAAACGTTTTTTTCCTATGAAAATTTTTGGTTTTTCTCTTAAGTACCTCTGAAATATTGAACCATAATCTGTGATATGAATGGACGTTAATTCCATAGATCTCTTTGTCAGAAGTAGGGGATGAAGGCCCTTTTGGTGCTACTGGCGCTGTGGGCGACTGTGGAGGCGGAGATGGTCCGTATCCCGTTGCAACGGATCGAATCGATGCGTGAGCGGCTCATAAAGAAGGTTAACTTCCCTTGAGCGCTTCTTTTGAAGGATCACGAGTATTCGTTTCAAAAACAAGCATCTGATGAACTTTAATCCACATGAAAGTTAAGGGCGAGTGGCGAAAAATCGAAGAAAATCGCTCCTCTAAGCTTTTCACTGGCAGTCAGATTGGATACGACTACACCGATGTGAGATCTTCAGCGTCAGGATTGTTTCAGATTCCGAATTTCAGACAGAGTACATCGGTCTCGTGAATATCGGCACGCCAGCGCAGACTTTTCGCGTGATTTTGGATACGGGTTCGGCCGATTTGTGGATTCCAGACAGCAGTTGCGGTGGTTAGTCTCTTGATTTATTAAAACATCGTTAACTTTTGATGTCCTCCGACGAGAAGAATATTTTCCCTTGAATATCCAGAACTTTCCGAGGATAGTATATAAAAGAGTGTTTGTCCGATTTTCACGAACTTCTGTGTGAAATAACCTCTCTGTGTTCCTAAAATCTGAAGTTTATTGGCTAGTTGATGATGATTGAAGGAATTCCCGGATGCCAGGACTACTGCAATCACATGCCGCCGGTCGACTGTCCGTCATTCTGCAACGCGACGGCCTGTTGTCCCTATTCCCTCTTGTACAAGGGCCCAGCCGTCCGAGCACAGCAGGATCCTTGTGGTCAATCTTTCACTTTGGGATTGTCTTCTTTTTCTTAACAGCAAAGCAAATGATAACTCGTCTTTTAGATTCCAAAAACAGGTTCCAAAGCAGCAAATCGTCGACGTATGTCAAAGACGGAACTTCTTTTTCAATTCAATACGGCACCGGCTCGGCCATCGGCTTCCTCGGCAAGGACCTCATTTGCGTGAGTTTTTCTACAATTACTCGGATGAAATTGAGAAGGTAGGATCGCCTTCGATACCATTCGCAACAGCCTCATGCCTTTTGCCCTGTTTTTGCCTATGAAAAAACCTCCAAATTTTTGCAGAATGCTATCAAAAGCAATGCTTCGTTGTAAAAAAAATTTGAAATCCGCAACTTTTCTCAGTTTTCTAAATGATCTCATACTCCATAATTCACATACGTTCTATTTCTGAAATTTAATTGTAATTCTAAATATTTTTATATTCCTTTGAGAACATATTCAAAGATTATCTTTTCATGTTTTTAGCTAGGAAACTCGTCCGTGTGCAACACCCAACAGTTTGGACAGGCCACCAAGATTGCTGACTTCTTCGCCAATCAGCCTCTCGACGGTTCGCCCCTAAGCGTCTCATCAACAAGAAAAGTTCAGGAATCTTCGGAATGGGCTGGCCGACGTTGTCTGTTACCAAGACGACTCCATTGCTTTTCAACCTCATGCCTAAGCTTGACCAGCCGATATTCACCGTATACCTAGACGAGTGAGTTGAGACTTTTCTCCCCAAACAGTTCCTTTAGACGTGGTCCTTCGGCCCAAGGAGCTCCAGCCAGTTTGTTCACCTACGGCGCCTTCGACTCGGTCAATTGCAACAGCCAGATTTCCTATGTGCCACTTTCAGCGCAGACCTACTGGCAATTCCCAATCCAAGGGTGATCTCAAGCTCATTTTTGATCGACTAAGGCGTTTCAGTGTCTCCGCTGGAACATTCACCAGACAGAAGACTTATCAAGTAACGAGCAAAAGTGGATCAAATGATTGAGCTTATTTGAAGGTCATTTCCGACACTGGTACATCTCTCATCGGGGCTCCTCAAGACGTCAGCGATGGAATAGCCCAAGCTCTAGGCGCCACCTACGACCCATGGATGGGCGCAGTGAGATGAGACCGATGAAACTATTTGAATTTTCTCTCCCAGTACAAACTTCCTTGCGGATCCACTCCGGCCGACATACTTCTGACAATCAACGGAAACACGTTCAAAATTAACTACAAGCAATACTTTGTAAATTGGCATTATGGGGCAGAAATACTTTTCCTAGTCCAGATAATGCTCGGAAACGAATGTGTCGTTGGAATATTCCCAATGAGCTCTGGAGGGTTCGGGCCTTCGTGGATTCTCGGAGATCCTTGGATCAGAGCTTACTGCAATGTTTACGACATGAAGAACGCGCGCATCGGATTCGCTCAGGCCAAACACTCCCAGTGAGTAGAGTAATTGAGTTATAAACAATTTTCTTCTTTTATGAGTTTTGCAAACCGAAAAAGCAATAACAATAACAAAATGAGATAACAATAAAACTGCAAAGACGCCCACTATCTTGACTCCAGCCAATTGGTTATCAACACGTGAATATTTCCAGGGGACAGTTGTTGGTTTTTTCCCTAAAAGAACAAGTTGAGAAAAAGAAAACTCAGACATCCACTGACCTTGGCAAACCGTTCGACAGCATTGAAATGGGGATCTATGTCGGATACACGGCTGCTGTTAAGGTCCTCGCTGGTTTCAATAACTTCCCATGGCTTTCTGTGAATTTGAATTTCTTAAAAATGAACATTCGACGACGAACAAAGAAGTTAATTGCGGAGGAACTTTGAAAAGTCCAGTTGATGGAACGCCGTGCAAAAGATTGTTCGCGACTTGGGCCAAGTTCTTGTCCCGGCTCTGAATTCAATTTCGCAATCACCTGGAAGGTTGAAGAAACAACAAACTCTGATGAGTACAGAAAGTTCTGAGCGAACTTCGGAGCCAACGGCATTGGAAACGTCTGGATCGTCGAGTTCTGGGTGGAAAAGTCCACCACTAGAGCCTTCCTCGGCGGATTCGTCTTCTTCGACCAGCGTCAACAACTTTGGATGCGCCTTAATTCCAGCCCTAACGCCTTTAACCGGGCAATTACAAAATGAAAACTTGGTCTTGACTTCGAATAAATTTGAGCTCTGACCTAGAATAAATTTGAACTCTAAAAAAGTTACATAAGATTTGAAAGATCAAAATAATGAAAGAAAACACAAGTTTTGCAATAGTTAGAAGAAAATCGAAGAAACATACGATGAACAAGGAGCGAACATGTGAAGTGAAACAAAGGGCTGATTTCTCATCTATCACCGTGCAAATCGCGAGAATTCGCTTGACAAATGCAGCCACCCTTGACAAAGGAACCTGAATCACAAATAATGTCAAAAACCTGAAGAGAAATCGAAAGTTTACCATTTTCCGTCTCTCACTCAGCATTATGTCCAGAGTTTTTGTCGCAATCGTCACAACTTTCAGCCTTTGCTCTGAAATGAAAATGGTTTCTTTTTTTAGGCCATGCTCACCGAATTTTTTCTCGAATGGAATGTGATTCAGTAGGCGATAAACGATTCGATAGAATTTGGAAGGGTCGACGTTGAGAATTTGGCCTTCGCCAGACAGCAACACGAAGACGGTGTGCACGCAATGCAGCTGGTCTATGAGCCGGAGACTCTCAAATTCACTATTATGGACAATAAAAAAAAATCAGCACAACTGAAAAACTTGAATATGATAAAAAAATTATATAAACTGCAAAAACTTGGATATAATATAAATACACTTATTCATTTTATGTGTTGAAGAACTAATTATGGTTTTCTGAATTATTTTTGTAGGCAGCGAAAAAGAAAATAAAGGCGAAAATATGCAATAGTTGTCTGACTAGACGACGGATAAACGTATTCTCGTTTCCTCGAACTTCAAAATAGGTAAAACGAATTTCAAATTAGGTAAAAATAGGTAAATAGGTAAAAAAAAAAGGCAAAATAGGTAAAAAAAAAAATAGGTAAAAAAAGGTAAAATTTCAAAAATTGTTATAACTAAGGTTACGCTCCGAACACCTTGACAAGAAAGAATTCTCGATTTTCCCAAATAGTCGAAACCTTATTTGACAACAGGTTCCCCATTGTGTGAACGATATCTTCGAAGAACTCGATATTCAACAGATGCGCGAACTTGCTCAAACCTTAAAGATTTCTCTCCCAACACATCCTTTTCAAATATAACCTTCTAGAACAGGCTCCAAGAGAGCGACATTCGGCATACGTTTCAGAATGGAAAAATAAGTTTGGAAAATAAACTTCATCGCCTCAGTCGCCTGATAAGGATCAAGAAATTTGCGCAAACGAGATGAACCTTACATTTTTCAGCTTGTTTGAAATAGACTCTTCCGCCTCCACCTCTTTCAAATCGGCTTCCAGCTTTTCCAGTTGTTTCTTGTACTGAATCGAGGCATATAACCAAGCTTGCACCAAAAAATCACCTTCCGAGCCGTCTTATTGGCTTTTTCCTTCTTCAGCTGATATTTCCTGGCTATCAAACGATCCTTCCCAGATTTTTTGTCTTCGTTTTTTGTTTCCTATATGACTTTCCTCTGAGGAAATTCCAATTCAACACGTACGCGGATGTTAGCAGTCAGAAAAGTAGAAATAAGAAGAGGCGGGACATTGCCTTTCTTCTTCGTCACTAGTGTGGAAATCGAACGAGCGGCAAACAATGTCATCTTGAAAATACTTGAAAACCAGTGATGAGTCGCACCAAACCTTTCAAACTGAGATCTTCCTTGAAAAGCTTTTCTAATCCAGCACAAACAGCGTTGACTACCTGAACACTTGAAAATAACGAAGATTCTAGGGGGAAAAACCGTAGGGATTTTCGACAAAGAAAGTCGAACCAAAGTGGAAGTTATGTTAGTAGCATAATTGAAGTGAGGAGCCGATATTGCCAACCTTTCCAAAGCCTGAAAATGTCTCGACTCACCCTGGAAAAACTTTGAGAAAACCTTTATACTCAAAAAACCAATCTTGTAAGTGAAAGTTGCCTCTTGAACTTTTCGGTCTTTCGCACAAAGTTCTGGAAAATGCTTGAATACAGAGGAAACTTTCTCTAAAATCAAACTTGAAGCAAGTTTTTCGCAGAGCTGCAAGAACTTGAGATAATATCGCAAGAGAGATTCTTCGTAGGCTTGCAACTTCCGCGTCTCTTTTTTCTGCTTCTGGGACTTTTCTTCTTCGGTCCACTGACGGATTGCGTAACCAGGAATTATATCGACAAGGACCTGCACATGATAAGTCAGAGTTTCTTTCAGTGCTATTATCTCTACTGATATATTTTTTTAGGCATAATTAATTCTCGAATAAACATTTTGTCGAAACGAAACCTGAAGCAAACTGGCCATGGAGAGCTTCTGAATGGATTCTCGGATGAGTGGATGCACACCTTCGCCTTCACAGAACTTCAGCAAATCACGCAATCGACCAACCTGTGATTCAAGTTTCGATAATACCTTTGAAGTACTTACATTTTCGTGAGGATTGGTCAATATCATATTAGAATGAGAAGCAATCGAAATTTTATGCTCATCTAATAATTCTTTGCGTTTCGAAATCAATTCTGCAGCAGAGAGGCTTGTGAAATCCTGCAAAAAAAAAAAACAAACAAACAAATCAATAGAAAAAACCGTTGAATACCTCAAATTTAGTTGTTTTCTCTTCTTCTAACTCTTCTAGGGATTGTGGTATCTGCTGCTCATAATCATCTTCCTCTTCTTCCTTCACCGTTTTCTCTTTTGTCGGTCGGATCAATCTTCCATCCTTAGATAGAAAAAAGTTAAAAATTCAAAACTGAACTCTAACCAACCGATAATTTAATCGGTAGCAGCTCTTCTTGATCATCTTGCAACGTATCTTTGAATCGACGCTTTTTCACATCAACTTCTTCATCATCCTTGTCAAAATTTCCTAGACAGTTAAAGGCTACTTATTTACATGATCAGTTGATACTTCTGCCGGCTCTTTTCTTAGTAGGCACAGACGTTTGCCACTCGTACTCGTCGTCCAACATATCCAAGGGTAATGATTCATCTTCGTCATGGTAATGAAACTCTCGATCAGCTTTCCAATCTTCTTCAATCTTAACATATACTTTTATGGTCAGATTTGCGGATGTGCAAAACATTGAAAATTCGCTGATGTGACTCTTTCGATTTTTTGGCTTTGATATTTTTCAACTGGTTTTGAACATCTCTCGAAATCTTCCCCTTCTTTCCCAGTGAATTCAGCTTTCTCACAGTCTTCCTCGTTTTTGAAGTTTTCATCATCTTAAGCTTCTCTTCTCGAGGTGCCGAAGCCAACCCCATTTTCTGAAAAAAAAAAATGGGTACATCTATTCAATTAGAACTAACAACAAAAAAATACCGAAAGTTCAACAAAATAAAAACATATTAATGAAAGCATTTAAAAATTTTGCGAAGAACTGGACTTTTTTTGTGGTGATTGAAAAAAACTAATGATTTTTTTGGTGCGCTGATGAACTCGCTTTTTTTCGTTTTTGAAACATGTTCCGCTTATCTGATGCACACGCAATAAGAAAAAAACATAAAAAAATAAAATTTTCTCTGCTAATGTGATAATACGTCAAAAATGTTGCAAGAAATAAGATTTAAAAAAACCAAGAGCGTATATAAAAAAAGGAGAGTCTCTTCGCTTCAAGACCAGTTGAACGAAAAAAATTCCTTGCGAGAATCTTCCGCCAACTTGCCGCGATATTTTTGACGCAATCCGCGATTCTAAAGTGTTTATTGTCCTTAAATTTTTTTTAAAGTTTCATCCATGGAGTAATTAATCTAAGAAACACTGTTTGAAACAATTATGCATTAAAAATATCGTGAAAATGTTATAGGTTCCTCTTTTTTAATTAATCTTCTGTTTGTTTTCCGCGGAGCGCAATCATAAGAAGAGCTCTCAGCACTGCGCTGTTTCTGCCATTCTTTTTCCGCTCTGAAATGTTTTCTAAATTTTTTTTTGTTATATTATGTAAGAAGATGTGATTTTTCAGCTATTGTAATGTTAAGTTTGCAAACACATTTGTTCCAGTTCTTATCATCTGTAGAAACAGTTATCGTTCTAAATAACGTCTTGCTCCATTTCATCCAATTTCAGAAAAATGATTTAAATTTTACAAAATTGTTGTTTTTGCATCATGCATTTTTTCGAAACGAGAAAATTTATAATCTGTTCACATTCATTCTAACGTTCTTCCGATTTCCTGGTAAATTCGGTTTGTATTCTTTTGAATGATGCAATTCCTCTTTTTGTAAATGATGAAATTTTTTCAGTTTTTTGATTCCGCGAAATTCCGAATAGCCATCAGATAGTGAAAAAGATAACTAAAATTTGAATTGTCACGAATATTTTTGAAATTCGCGAAATCACATTGAAAACGGCATTAAGTCACTATTTCAGCCATGCTTTCTGCAAGAAGTTTCCTGTCTACCGCACGCACTATTGCTCGATCTTCGCTCTTCAGAAATAAGCAAGTTTTTTGAAAGGAATTTTATTTTTGAATGATTTCACGCTAGGAAGGACGTACCATAGTTAGTGTTAGCCTTCTAGGATTCATGAGGTTCATTTTGATAAATAATGAGAAGTCTTTCAAGATCTGATGGAGTGCGAGGGCATGTTATTGGTATCGACTTGGGAACGACGAATAGCTGCGTTAGTGTTATGGAGGGCAAAACCGCAAAAGTAGGAAAAATTAATTCTTATGAATGTAACTATTTTAATTTTTTGAGGTTATTGAGAATGCGGAAGGAGTTAGAACTACACCTTCAACCGTTGCATTCACCGCGGATGGTGAGCGCCTGGTCGGCGCACCTGCAAAAAGACAAGCCGTTACAAATTCTTCCAACACACTATTCGCCACTAAGAGATTGATCGGCAGAAGATTCGACGATGCCGAAGTGCAAAAAGATCTGTATGTTTTCATTTTTGCTCAATTAACTTTTTATCTTATCTATATATTTTTCAAGGAAGGTCGTTCCATACAAAATCGCAAAGGCTAGCAACGGAGATGCCTGGGTCGAAGCACAGGGAAAATTGTATTCTCCTTCCCAGGTAGTGCTAATCTGCCGCTTAATTTTCTTAAAAAAATTTTTTTATAAATTAAGTCCTAGTTTCAAAGCCCAAGTTTTTCCGTCAAATTTTTTTTTGATTCAGTTTTTCGTGGATTTCCATTATATTTTCATAAATGTTGCAATTCCGCTTTTTATGAAAGATTTAATTTGCAATCTTCTTTTTCTGATCTGAAAATAATATATTACTGAATGAACCAGATAATTTTTTTGGCACATAAAAAAATTCCCAAAAAAATATACTGGAATTTCTCAACATTTTTTTTTGTGTAAAAAAACGAGAAAAAAACCGTTTACAATTATTTTTTTCGTGAAAATTTTTTTATCCACTTTTTGAACTGAGCTCAAATTTCATATACTATTCGTAAGTTTGATACATTTTAGATTGATGAACCTTATTTTGTAGATTGGAGCTTTCGTTCTCATGAAAATGAAAGAAACCGCTGAAAGCTATCTCGGGACAACGGTTCATAACGCTGTCATCACAGTTCCCGCCTATTTCAACGACTCCCAAAGACAGGCTACTAAGGACGCCGGCCAAATCGCAGGACTCAACGTTCTGAGAGTTATCAATGAGCCCACTGCGGCTGCCCTAGCTTATGGTTTGGACAAGGCTGAAGACAAAATGTTCGTTTAATTTAAATGTTATTTTTCTCTTATCTTTTTTTTAAAGAATTGCGGTTTACGATCTTGGTGGCGGAACTTTTGATATTTCAATTTTGGAAATCCAAAAAGGAGTTTTCGAAGTTAAGTCGACTAATGGTGACACCTTCCTTGGAGGAGAAGATTTCGACCACACTCTTGTTCATCACCTCGTGGCTGAGTTTAAGAAAGAACAGGGGATCGATCTTACCAAGGTGGTCATTGATTTTTTTTTTCTTGAAATCATTAAAAAATTTTCAGGATCCTCAAGCCATGCAAAGACTTCGCGAAGCGGCTGAGAAAGCAAAGTGCGAACTTTCATCGACCACACAAACAGATATCAACTTGCCATACATTACCATGGACAAGTCGGGTCCCAAGCATTTGAACATCAAACTCACTCGCGCCAAACTCGAACAAATTGTCGGAGATTTGATTAAACGCACAGTTGAGCCGTGCCGAAAGGCGCTTCACGACGCCGAGGTTCAAATAAGCTTCTTTACTGATATTTATTATATTATTTTTTTATAGGTCAAGTCCTCCGAAATTGGTGACGTTCTGTTGGTTGGTGGAATGTCGCGTATGCCGAAAGTGCAAAGTACCGTGCAAGAAATCTTTGGAAAGGTCCCTTCGAAAGCTGTAAACCCTGACGAAGCTGTCGCCATGGGAGCTGCCATCCAAGGAGCCGTTCTTGCTGGTGACGTCACCGACGTGCTTCTTCTCGACGTGACGCCCTTGTCTCTTGGTATCGAGACTCTTGGCGGTGTTATGACCAAGTTGATCACCCGCAACACCACTATTCCCACTAAAAAGAGCCAAGTAATAAAATTTGACTTTTTAAAAGTAGATATTTATATTTCAAGGTGTTTTCTACGGCAGCTGATGGACAAACGCAAGTTCAAATCAAGGTATTCCAAGGAGAGCGCGAAATGGCATCCAACAATAAGCTCTTGGGACAATTCTCTCTTGTTTGCAGTGTTTTAAATTCGAAATATTCATTTAAATTGATTTAGGTCGGTATTCCACCTGCGCCAAGAGGAGTTCCTCAAGTTGAAGTCACATTCGATATTGATGCCAACGGAATTGTGAATGTGTCGGCTCGAGATCGTGGAACCGGCAAAGAACAGCAAAGTTTGTATTCTTACAGTTTTTTTAAAGTCAAATAACTGGTTAAAAAAAAGTCGGCATTGGCTGAAGTAAATTATAAAAAAAAGGAAGTTGAATGAATGAATAAACAAACAAAGGTTAGGAAAAAATAACTGAAAGAGTGTACATCTGAAGTTATCAAACGAATAATTGATCAAGAAAAAGCAATGCGGTAAATTGTTTTATTTTTTTCAGACTCAAAAATAATTATACTTGTTCCCAAATTATACAAGAGCCTCTCAAGGGAGAGTAAACATTTTGTAAATCATTCTGGGATATTTTCATTCTTTAGTAAACAGTATACGATTTCATTGCAGAAGGTCTCTGATGTGACTATTGAAAAGTTCATGATTTTCAGAGCATCACTGTGAAGCTAACTTTTATCAAAAGTAACTCTCCGTTCCAACTTTTAAGCTTGAACTTTTTGAAACGGCGTTTGGCGAATTTCCTTGTTTTCAATTTTATTATAAATCGGCCAGATTTCATGAACAGTTGATTGCAGTTCCAACTAGGTTTCCCTATATTCAAAACGCAAAAAAAAATTTTAAAGATTTTTCCAAGTCATCTAAATTTTTTTCAGTTGTCATCCAATCTTCTGGAGGACTTTCCAAAGACCAGATTGAGAACATGATTCGTGAAGCTGAGAAGAACGCCGCGGAAGACGCCAAGAAGAAAGAAATGGTAGAGATTGTCAATCAGGCAGAGGGTATCATCCACGACACGGAATCCAAAATGAACGAATATGCTGATCAACTACCGAAGGATGAGGTTTTTTTTTCGATTTCTCACAACTTTTTTTCTAAAATTATTTTCAGTCTGAAGCTCTGCGTAAGAAACTAGATGAGACTAAGAAATTGCTGGAAAACAAGGAAAATGAGACTACTGAGGCAATTAAAGAAGCTACGAACTCTCTACAGCAGCAATCTTTGAAGTTGTTTGAGGTGCTTTCACTAGTTTCGTTCATTTTCGATACATGCCGTTTCAGGCTGCCTACAAGAACATGGCTGCGAAGAACTCTGGCGGGAACACGGATGCACAAGAAGCGAAGACAGCCGAAGAGCCGAAGAAAGATCAAAATTAAATCTTTTTTTTTAGTTTTGTGCTCAGTTGAATAAGGGCAAACCTTTCGAAGAGCTCAGACTTCACCTAATTTTGTCTCAATCGAAAACTTATCCTTTTAATGTCATCGTGCTTTCTGGTTCCTGGCCCACAGTTTAGAATTTTTTTTTTTGTTTTTTTCAGTAGCTCAGATAGTTTTAGCATAGATTTTCTGTTAATTGTTGTAGTTTGTTTCCCAATGATATCTCATTGACAACGGTTTCCATTTGTTTTGTTTTTTGCTGTTATTGTTGTGCTTTTCGATGTACGTTTTATTGAGTTTCGCTTCTGACCGAGGTCGTTTTCTTTTCGTCTGTCTTCGTTATAATGATGTGTAAACATAATTTGGATGCTCAAAACCAATTCTTCACAGAGCGGCTTCGTGTTTACACTTTTATCAATTAGATTTTGACTCTACCCTGATCGGAAAGGAATTTTTTATTGTCATGTGTTTGAAATTTCTAATAAACTTGAAGTTATAATTTTCATGTTGCGTTTCTTTATGTGTTATTCTTTAAAAATATTGTTGATTAATTTAAAAACAGATTTTTTTAATTGAATTTTGATGTGCACATTCAATTTGATAAACAATAGAGGTGAGAACTTTTTGTAATATGACTTTTTGAAAAAAACAAATTGAAATTAGACGCTGAAAAATTCTCTTCCTATCCAACTGAACAGCATAGTTATTCAAAAGAGCTTAGAGATTTTTGAAAATTTGCAACACCAGTCCTGCAAAACGTTCTATAAGCTTTTGAAAAAGAATCTCGAAAAAACTTCGTTCACCAGACTCTGGTGCTTTCCGACAATTTCGAGATTTTTTCCAAGTACCAGATATTCTTTAAGATTCAGACTTTCATTTAATGGAAGAAGAGTGCGCCGGTTAATTTCGAAAATTGATAACCGTCACGTGGAACGACCTGGGTTGTACCCTTTTCCTTTAACCTACCTCCTTTTTTCGTTATATGTTCAGAAACGAGTTATTTCCATCTAACAACAAATTAATCAGAAAACGTTTCGCTTTCGATCATAGAAATTTAACTACAGCTGTTTTTATTACTGTCATAAAGATATCGCACGTGATAAAAGTTTAAACAACAGGTTATGGAGAATGAAAGACGCGATATCAGGCAACTTTTCTGCGATAGAGTATGTACCGCATTCCCGTTTTGTTTAACTAACTTTTCATAACTTTTTTTGATGCTGAACTTCTCAGTATCCGAAATATAATGTGCGATACGGTTTTTTAATCCTCACAAACGTCGTTTTTCTCCGATTTGCTGTGTTTTTTATCGTATGCCATTTAACTTTTGAAAGTTTGTCCCTCACTTTTTCCTGACATTAAAACCTTTCAAGTTGGGCGGAAACTAAGTATTACAGATGGCCCAAAAAGAAAAGGGACCTGTTTCTGTGCTTTTGGGCGCTCAATGGGGAGATGAAGGCAAAGGAAAGATCATCGACTACCTGATCGAGAACTACAATGTTAGTTCTGTTTTTGTTTCGAGAATCAGCTTTCCTTCAAGGTGGCCGTCACGGCGCGTTGCCAGGGCGGAAATAACGCTGGTCATACCGTCGTTGCCAATGGACGGAAGTACGACTTCCACATTCTGCCCAGTGGAATCATCAGTCCCAAGGTTCAGAGAAAACTATGAATACGAAGTTGCTGGTATGAAAAAAATGCCAGCGAAAATTTGAACGACGACTTTTCCGATTTTTTCATACCGCTAGGGAAATTTCCGACAAATCCCTTTTCGACGTTTTTTCTCGATAATATTTTTGTTTTGAATGTTCCTATATGAAGTAGGTAGTTTATTCATGATTAAAAACAAAAAAAGAAATAATAAATCAAGTTTCAATAGATGGTTTATAAGAAATGCATTAGATTAGAAGTTCAAGTATCCAGCACCGATAAGTTTACATTTGAAAAATTTATTTTTTTGTCTTTCGACTTTTTGGATTTATTTAAATCTATTTAATTACCTTTTTTTTCTCAGGAGCCCTTTTTTTCTGAAAAAAGTATCAGAACTGCTTCGACATAATTTTTTTGATTTCTCTTGGTTGAATTTGTGTTTAACCTTTTTAACCCTCTCCGCGAGAGGGATTGAAATGTCTGTTTGTGACAAAAAAATTTTTAATTTTTTTACTTGAGTAAAGTTGGGGATAGAACGGGGCTTCAACAATGACTGAAAAATAAAAATTAAAAATTTAGGAGTAGTAGAAAATAGAATCATTTTTTTGAGCGTTTGTTTTTTTCGAAGAGAAAGCCCTTGAAAATGGAAGTACTCAGTGCTTCAACATCATCGGAAATGGCGTCGTGGTCAATCTCGACGCTTTCTTTTCCGAACTCGCACACAACGGAGTTACAGATGAGCCTGGCTGGGAAAAGCGGTTTCTTGAACATGCTTCCAACTGAAATCCAACTTTTTATTCAGAATTCTGATTTCGAGTGAGGCTCACATCGTTTTCGGCGTCCACGCGCAAGTTGACGGACGTCAGGAAGACGCTCTTTCTACTAAAAAGTTCATTACGTGCAGAATCTCATAAATCGAGACTTTTTTTTTCAGCAAAATAGGCACAACGAACAGAGGAATAGGCCCCACTTACAGCTCTAAATGCTTCCGCAACGGAATTCGCATGGCCGATTTGATGGCCGATTTCGAGGAATTCTCTGAGAAGTGATTGGCTTCTCATTTTTATCGAACTCGAGTTCCTAAGGTACCGACGGCTAGTCGAGCACTACAAGAAGCAGTTCCCCAGCATTGACATTGACGTCGAAGCCGAACTCGCCAAGTTCAAAGTTTCTTGTTCCATTTGCCAAAGGTTGAGCTTTTTGAGTTGAGGTGCACCGCGAAAAACTGGCCGATTTGAAGCTGGTCGGCGACACGGTTGGATTCATCCATCAGAGGCGGAACGAAGGAAAGGCGGTTCTGATCGAAGGAGCCAACGGAGCTCTTCTGGACATTGATTTCGGTGAGTGAAGTTTCGAGCTTCTGATCCCTCGGATCTTTCCAGGCACCTATCCTTTCGTGACGTCATCCAACGCGACTGTCGGCGGTGCTTGCACAGGACTCGGCGTCCCTCCGACCGCCATTTCTCACGTATTTCTTCCTCTCAGACTCTTATCAGGCCTCTATGCAGGTCATCGGTGTGGTGAAGGCGTATCAAACGCGTGTCGGAACTGGGCCTTTCCCCACGGAGCAGCTCAATGAGATTGGAGATAAGCTGCAGCAAATTGGCAAGGAGGTCGGAGTGACTACCGGTAGAAAGAGAAGGTCAGTGTCTGTGGGGGGAAGATTCATGTCTTCCAGTGAATAAAAATACATGGTGCCTATTGTGAGAACGTCCTTGTGCACACATTGTGATTTCTCATCCTTCCAGATGCGGTTGGCTGGATCTTTTCTTGTTGCGGAGATCGGCTCAAATCAACGGTTACACGACCATCGCCTTGACCAAGCTCGATATCCTTGACACCTTTCCGGTACCTATATTTTGTTTCGAAGATATCTTTTTCGTTCAGAAGCTCCTTGTCGCTGTGGGCTACAAACTCAACGGAGAGCAGCTTTCCGCTCCTCCCGGTCCTTTCATCCGTTCTAACGATGATTTCATTTTTCATTTAAGCGCAAGCCAATGCTTGGGAACAAGTTGAAGTGGAGTACAAGGAGTTCGAAGGCTGGCAGTCGAGCACAGTCGGTGTGAGAAAGTTCGAGGACCTTCCTGAGAAGTGCCGTACCTACGTCGAGTTTATCGAAAACTTCATCGAGGTTTGTACTTTATCTAATTTTATCGAAAGGATGGTCAAGCAAGGATATTTTGGGAAAGAGTTTCGTTATCAATTGCAGGTGCCGATCCGATGGATTGGAGTTGGAGCTGAGCGCGAATCGCTCATTGTGAGAAACTAGTGTTTTGGTTTTTCTTTCCGGTGTTCTCAGGATAATTTTTTAGATACAAGATATTTTTCCCCTTTGTTCTCATGACAGTTTTGAGTCGAGTTTTTTCTTTTCGGATTTTCTCCATTTGATCCCGTTTTCCGTGTGTCGGCGACGGTTTCTTCTCTATATTCATAATATACATCAAATTCTGTTTCTTGTTTATGTTTCATTATAAGCTAGAATAAATTTTTGTGGTTATTTTTCTTCGAATTTTTTTTGAATCTGTTTGCGTCCGACAATTCCTTATCATGCAGTTTGCAGAGAATACAATTGAGTAAAAGTTGATTTAAAAAAACAAAAAAATAAAAAAATTGAATTTTTTTCACTTCTTTTTTTCGAAGTTGTCGTTACGATCTGAGAATCAAGCTCCGAAATAAATGATTATCGCAATTTTTCAAATACTTTTTGTACGAATTTTCAGAAGCTTCGCGATATGGAAGAGAACTCGGTCGAAGAAAGATTTCCAGTATTTGATCCTTCTCACAATGTGTTGGAATCTTCTTTAAATTCTTCGGTAACTTTTGATTTTAATGTGATAAGCCTTCACAGTTAGAAGAAGTCAGGAATGTTATAGCTCTAGAATAGGAAAAAAAATTGCACCATTAAACTTTGGAGAATTAATGAGAAGTTGAAAAATGTTCGAGGTGCGGCTGGTTTTGCTCGTAAGTATCTGAAAAAAAAAACAAGACAACCCGAAAGATACTAAAAAAAAAATAGAATCCAGGATGGAGGAATTTGAGATGAGTTTTGAAGTTCATTCATTTATTTACGTTCGTCCCACGTAATACTGGCAAGAAAAAGAGAAGATAACGGCTGCACTGGATAATCAGAAGTTGCACTTGTCAGGACGCATCCGAGGACGCGAGGGAGTCTCGACCAGACACGAGCGCATCCTTTGATTCTTCCGTCCTCACCAGTCCCAGTCGCCGGTATTCAATCAATTATTAATTGTTATTTTAGGGTTAAACCGACCAGGCGGTGAGCAAGAGCTTTTGAAGCTATAACGAACAACCGCCTTGGGCGGTCTAGAAGTCCTAATGTGTAGTTGATCTAGCTGAAAGCATGTTTTACGGTCCTTCGCCTCGTTCTTTTCGGCTCTTTTCTCTTTCTAGTTCAGATTGTTTAATAACTTCTATGTTGGTTGTAGTAGCTTGAGTCCGGAAGCTGAGCTCTAGGTTGAAGCCCTGAATTAAGAAAAAGAGCGATCACGTAGAGTGAAGGCTTTGCGCGTAGTTCTATCATTTAAAACTTCTTCCAAAACTTTCCAGATGCGAGAATTCCTTGGCTCCGGTCTTGAACGGAAACCTGAATCTGTCGTATCAACAGCTCACGCACATTTCTCGCAAATTCAAGCAAGCCTATGAAAAAGTTTGTAATTACACGTTTGATAACTTCTATTTTGGTTATAAAAACTGGTTTTTCCAACAAAACACTTTTCACTTTTTTCATAGAGTGTCTCAATGTTTTTGATATTGAGTAGCAGCAAAATTTATTGGCAAATATTTTTAATTAAGTACATTTTTGAATGTAGGTCAGCCATTTGGACATCAGCCATAATGAGTTCAGCGCTCTATCGCAGATGGACATGTTCAAATCGTGCACATCGGTTGGTTTTGCTTTGATTTTTTTTTAAAGGAAATATGAAAAAGAAGTACTTCCAAAATGAATGCAAATATGATAGAAGAAAATATACAGACGAAATGTTGCGGTAGGTATAGTTTTTTCTCGCACGATATAATCTCTAGAAAAGTCATCGACTTGTTTTTCTTGCAGATTTGCGCTTCCTACAACAACTTCCACAAAATTCCCCCGTTGCGTTCGGTTCACAACCACATAACTTCGCTCGAAATATCGCACAATCAATTGGTCAATATCGTCGAGTTGCAAAGTTTGACACAACTCAGAGTTCTCGACCTTTCGTTTAATAGGATTTCGGTATTCGATAAATGCTTCTTTTTACATCATTCAGTTGAAGGAAATGCCGTTCATTTCTTTGAAGCGTCTCGAACAAATCAATTTGTCGCATAATCAGCTCACCGATGTGCCTAACCTCTCTCAATGCGACTCTTTGAAATCTGTTGACTTCTCACATAACAACATCGCCAGCATTATGGTTCGCCTCCCAGTAATATTTTGTTACCAAGGCTTTTTGTAGAATATCCAGTCGACGATCCCGAAAAATCATCTTGCTAGGCTCTCCATATCGTCAAACTCCTTGAGAGACTTTTCTGAGCTCCTTCTTCTGCTGCCGTTCTGCCATTTACAAGACTTCAAGATTGGTTCGTTTTGAACAGCTTCATTCGATTGACTGCTTTTTCATGAAGAGGGGAATCCTTGTCTGGAATCTGCTATGCGGAGTCCTGGCTTCAATTATCGCTCCTACATCTACTCTTGCTGTCCGGAGTCCCTAGAAGTCATCGACGACGAAAAGTTGACCGAGTCTGAGAAAATATCCGGTAATTACAACCTAGAAAATCAAAAGAAAAGAACTGCATTCGAAAATTAGGATTTTCTCGTCCTACTTTATTGAATACCTTGAATGAATGTCAGGTGAATGGCTCTATGCTTTGGGAAAAGTAAGGGCGTTCCACGCGGGTCAACACGATTTGCTGTGCGATTACTTGCTGTCGAACGTGCCGCTGGAGACGACAGGCCGTCGATCGGCGAGCGTCAGAACCTCCTGCCAGAAGGTTGAACTCGATGAACGATCCTCAAGTGATATCACCAGGCTTTGCTCAAACAAAAAGAGTCGGAGAGTCGCGACGCCTTCATCGTGGAGGAGTTCGACGCGAGCTCGACCGCAGAGTCGCTCTGTTCTCCCTACAGCCGTTGGGAGCGCAGCATCGCGAGGAACAGTCTCATGGTGCGGTTTACCACGGAGATCTCTTTAAATATTCCGAACGCTCATAACTTATTTAGTCCTCAAAAATCTTGCTCCATCTTTGTGTAATATTTTTTCTCATTCCAGGACTCGACAAGAGACAGAAGATTCAGCTTTGGCAAAGAAAATGTCCCTCTCGATCAGAGAAACGTCTGTTCTCAGTCTCTCGAAGTCGAACTCCGAAAAGCACAAGTGATGCGATCCAACCAGTCTTCAAATCTCAACACCGGAAGAATTACGCCAGGTTATTTTTCCCTGCCAAGTTATAGCCATTTTATATAGTGTTGCCGCCGCTGACTTGAAAATCTTTACATATTCAGAAGATGGGCGAAATAGTGAAAATGAGTGCTCCTATTTGTTTCTATTTTCTTTTTTCAAGAGGATGCTGAGCCTTCTTAGAAAAGAAAAAGATTTCCTGAATATCATCGACCAAATTTAAGCAACCAAAAAACTATTGTGACCTTTGATGATTAAACATAGCGAAGAGTTTTTTGGATTACTTCAAGTTTCACAAGCTATTTCTTCTTCTTAAATCAAGTTAGTACGAATTGTTCTCTTCTTTTCTTTGAAACGGTTTCTCAAAAAATGGTTTTTTTAAATGTGTCTAACGGCATCTATGAAAAATCTAAAAGCTACCCGGACCATCCATTTTAAAATACGTTTACGATGAATTATCAATTGGATCACAAGAAACCATCCTCGGGTCATTTCTTCATTTCATTAACTTCAGACCTTGACGGTCTCTCCCACGCTGTTCGGCTGAGGATGGACCGCCTTTCCAGCTCGAAAAATGAAGATCTAAGCGAATCCCAAAACAAGAGCCTTCCTTGGCGAAGAGTCATTTCCCCAGTGAGCAGAAATTCTTCTCCTGGCCAACCATTGTTCAAAGGTCCGACTTCCTTCTGCAAGAACTCATCTTTTTTGGCTTACAGGAGAATTTTCGACGAACGAACGGAAAATTCTGACAAGGTCCAGTTCCTCGGAATCGACTTCCACTGTCGTCCTTTCTTCTGTCAGGTTTCGGAGAGAGTAATCTGTTAAAATTCGTTCAGTTTTGTCGCTTAGTAGTTTTTATAATGACTTCAAAGTACCATGAGAGAGATTTGCACAACTGGAAAATCGTTGAATTTTTTCATGATAAAATTTTTGAGGTATGTTAATTTTCATGCAGAAAATCTTTTAATAAAGAGACTTCGAAAAAAAAAACAAAAACTTGGCTTTTCATATAACTTCTCTTTTCAAAATATTGCTTCTTAGTTTTGAAAGAATTTTTTGAAAAGGTAAAAACCGAGTAGAGCAAAAAGAATGTGTTGTTTTCTTGAACTTCTCGAAGGTTTCAGAACTTCTGAGATCGTTGCTGAGGTTGGAGGGAATGACCACCAGGCGTTGACTAGTGAACAGCTGGATTTCGAAGTGGTCAGTTTGACTTTTCTCTTATTACTGCGCGCTCAAAACAAACAATCAAATCCATAAGTTGAATGGAAAAACAATTTTCCGTGATGCGAAAAGAATCGTTTCAGTTCTTTTCGCGTCTTTTGCCCAACATTTCTAATTTATCAGTTTAACGATTACTAAACCTTTTTACCATATCAAAATAGCCAAAATCGGCATTTCAAAAGTTCTCATCGTTCGAAGGATTTCAGGACGAGAAACTTGTGCCGAAAGTTTTCGATCTGTCCTTGGTTCAGAGGCCGGAGACTTCTCATAGCACGAACACTCTCTGCGGATCTTCCTCGGAGCTCGTGGTAAGGTCGTCAACAGTATTGGTCATAGACAATTCCTCCAGAAGTTACAAGAACGAGTCGAAAAGCTCGAAGCGCATGTCTCTCTTCTCGCCGAGCAAAACGAAAATCTCACTGCGACCAATTCTCAACTAACCATGGTTCTCGAGGAGTTGGTCGTTAAGTTTCAGGTGCTTTTTCTACGAAACTGCTCACAAAAATCGAATTTTTTATGACCCGAATTTATTGGAAGTTACATAGAAAAATAAAGAGTTTATAGAAGGGCGCAAATAATTTTTACACTGGAGCTAGTTCATTATTCTCTCTCTCTCTCACTTTCATAAGAGGCTTTAGGATAAGAGCCTAACGGAGTCGATAAGAAAGATGGTTCCGACGCCGGTTATCTACCAGGCTGAGCGAGTCAAAGAGGACGAGGCGATCCTCCACTGGGACCTGCGCTCGATCGACGGTGGGTCAGCCAGTTCCATCTGTCGACCTCCTTCCAGGCTTCGAAGTCTACGTCGACGGATCGATGTGTGGCGTCGTCAAAGGCAAAGACAACTCGGCGAAACTGACGTCTCTCGACCCTCAAAAGTCGTCCTTCATTCAGATTCGGGTCCGTTTTATTTTTTCTTCAATCCGAATTGATCTCAAGGATCCTACCAAAAATGATATTTCTTCAGGCAATTGGTTTGAACGGACAGTTGGGTGAACTCTCCAATCGATTTGTTCTCCCCCGTCTAGAAAACATTTGAAATATCCTATTTGTTTCGCCAGATCTCTAAATTACTTTTCGTGTACGAATGACCTCATCTCACAAACTAAAAAACAGCGAGATTCACTTTTTTTTCTGAACTAATTGCTCACTTGTTATATTTTTTTTTTTTCAAGCAATAAAATTTATTTGCTCTTATATTAGATCGTTCCAAACTGCGGTGCTTCTTTTGTTTTTTTTTTTAATTTAAAGTTTGAAGAATCAGCATTTTTCGAGATTCTCTAGGTTCTCTAGGTAGTTATCTCAGAAAACTTAAAAACTTTTGATTTTAACTCGCTTTAGTCGGTGCAAGTTGTGTTTTCTGTCTTTGAAATGGCTCAGACGTATCTCGAACAAAACGGCGGGTAAGTGCGCTCCACCGAGAAGTATTTAGCTGAACTTGGTTTCTTCCCTATGGTCAGGCTTGTGCGAGGGCTGGCCCGTCACCCTCTCTGCTATCAAGTTTTTTTACGACAAAAATTACGGTTTTGCTCATTTTTCACTTATAGTTTAACAAAAAATATGATTTCAGAAGTAAAAGTCACATTTTGGTGAAAATTTTTTAAATGAAGTTTTAAATTTCTTTTGAAGCCCGGCCCGAGCCCACGCGGGCTTTTTTCCTGAAAATGAGGCCCAAAGCCCGGCCTGACGCACAAGCCTGCCCAGGGTTCAGCTTTTCGCCGTATTAGATCTCATAAGTTTTCCTCGAATTATACCAAACGCCATCTAGTTTTATTTTGATGCATACTGTTTTCTGATAATCCAAATTAATTCTGGATTCTTTCAATTTCCCTATTAGGATCACGTTACAGTGTTGAATTATGGATGAAGAACTTCTCTCGGGTATGAATATGTGAAAAGATCCTACTTGGGGAAGACAAAAGTTGTGTTTCTCACATTTTGTTTTGTAAAAGTTTTTTCTGTGTTTCTTGGAATCAACGTTTTCTGAAATATAGTCCTCGAGACATGGGCGATGCCGGAGACTATTCGCCGTCATCAATCCGTGCGACATTCGACTTGCTGCCAGATGCCGCCGACGCCGAGGAAGAGGCTATAGAAAAAGTCGATCTCGAGGACTCCAACATTTTCCTTAACCGTCCGAAAGCCCAGTAATCTAGTTAAATCTTGTACTGATACTGAACGCAGATTCCAGAAGTCTAAGAACTGTGTCACTGCCGCAACCTTCAGATTCTGGCCAACTCGTCGATTCCGTGAGTGTTGTTTTTTCTTTCCTCGAACAGGATCGTATAAGAAGATTTCTTTTCTTTTCCTCTCTACTCGGCTTTTTAGTTGTCCTTTCTCAACAAAATGTCTGTGATTTCCTGCTTCTGTCTGAAGACAGGCTCTTTGTGAAAACAAAGATAATTTAGCATGTCTCAGACTTTGTGTTCTCATTCGACGGGTGCAAAACTTTCGCAGGCGGCAGCGGCGTCCACCGTTTCCTTGGCGGCGAAAGATGTATGTCGCTGAGAGAGAAGAAAAAAATTTGTTTTTTGGAGTCTGCTGCAAAACCGAAGAAAGTTTCGCAATACTATAAGAAGCAGAACGAGCTCATTGAGAATTTCAAGAACGACAGCGAGCAAATCGAGGTTCCATTAGGTTGATAGATTATGTTGTATGAAGAACTTCAGCAGTTCAAAAGGACCAGGAGGAGGACGACGAGCAATAACGAAGAAGAAGTACGGGCGGCGCCAATAGTGCGACATCCTGTTAGTTCCAGTTGTTGAATGAAAGAAAGATCTCGATTTGTTTAAACTGACTCTATTCGTTTCTGAAATAGATGACGACAAGCTTCTTTCCTTTTCATCTTCTTTTTTCAAGGAAGAAGCCGACGAACCCGAAGTTGTTGTTGTAGATCGCACTTCCCTTCTTGACGTACGAGTAAGTCTGTCTTGCCTTTTCCTCTTAAAGTTATGTTTACTTACGGCATACGGTAAAAAGATAAGTAGTTGATTAGAAGAATAGAATGGAGTAAAGTTATCAGTGAAGGGAGTTAGTCCACCAAACGAGTGGACTTTGACCTGGAGTAAGACAGTAATCAAAGCACTCGTATGTGTTTCGTTGATAGCGGTTACTGAGGACCATTAGGTTTGACTTGTAGAGAGTCAGAGGAAACGTCAAAATATATTTACGATGTCAATTTTTCCACTACGGGAATAGTTTTTGAAAAAAAGCCTTCAAAAACTGAACGTACGAAATTGAAGAGGATTTCGCAGAGAATTAGTGAAGAAATAATTGCGATTTAGTACATGTATATCGTGTATTTTCTGATCTTGCAATTTTAGAACAAGAATAGAAATTCTCGCAATAGATCTGGTTATTGAGTTAAGACGCTTCGAAAGCTTGAGATAGCGCTTTTTGGAATAAGTTGCGCATTTTGACAAGTTTGAAGCTACATAAATCGAAAACAAAATCTATTGCGAGAAAATGTATTCCATGTTCTGGGATCAGGAGGTCCGGAAGTACACTTCAACCAACTTTTATCGAAACTTCAACCGGGGGATGAAAAACGCTCCCTAGTAAGACGATCCGAACATAAAGTGAAGCTAGGAAATCTTCAAATGAATTTTTTTTGCTGATTTGGAGGAGGGAGGATTTGAAGATATCCATCAGATGACAAATAGAGATAGAAGAAGAGAATGTTTCAGTGCTATATCCAGGGCTCAGAAAATGTTCAATCGCAGCTATTTTGAGTTATTAGTTGGAATAACAGTAATATTAAACGAATTTATTGAAAAAAAGAGAAACTATAAAATCGATTCTAATAATTTTTTTAAATTTTTTTATAATTTTTTTCATAAAAAAATTTCTATGCATCCCAAAAATTTACAGCTTTTCCTGAACTTCCTGTAAAAACTAACGACAAACAATGTACACCACAATTTTAGTATCTACTTTAAATGAAAAGAAGATATTAAAAACTTCAGGCTTCGAAGTCTGGAGAAACCGACGACGCCAAAGGGAATGATGCCAAGTTGGTTGATCCATGATTTCGAAACGAACAGAATTCGCAGAGACGCGAAATCTTCGGCGGCAAGACTTGCCATGGTCACCCTGGCCGTCAACGTGAGTCTGATGCTGGCGAAGGCGGCCGCCGCGTGGATGTCCGGCTCCATCTCGATAATCTCGTCGATGGTCGACTCCCTCGTCGACATCACTTCAGGAGTCGTCATCTCCATCTCGGAGTACATGATTCGCAAACGGGACCCCTACCTCTACCCCCGCGGCAGAACTCGTCTTGAGCCGCTCTCTCTGGTTCTTTTTTCTTCTTTAATTCCTTTTTGTATACTAAGTAATTACTGAATGGACTCTTTTGGGTTGTCTCGAAGCTGACCAGATTGCTTTTTGATGTATTCTGAAAATGCCATTGAAACTTTGAGCTCTTTTTCTTTTGCAACCTGTAGTCAATCCATCCTGACTTGGAAGACGAGGGAGGCGGAGAAGTGGGCGCAGTTCTTGGCGCGAGTTCAACTCAAGAGCTTCCGACTATTTAAAAAGCTCGGTCGCTCTTCAGTTTGTATCTATTCTTCCATTTTTAATGCAATAAGGAAAACTGAATCAATGAAGAATAAAAAAAATTAATGGAAAGAGCGATAAACGAGTTCTCCAAGTAGCCGCTGGCAATTGAATTGAACTCGTGCCAAGAACCGCATACGCACACGCTACGCGTCCCATCTTTTTCTGTGCCTTCCAAGTCGAGAAAAACTGACTATAGGGAGTTTCGCAGGTTGAAAGTTTCAATTTCTTTGTAAGTTAAAGTCTCGAAAAGTTCATTTCCTTATACAGATATTTTCAAAAAAAAATTCTTTTGCAGAAAGCCTAAGAAATTGTTTAATCAGAAAATGAATCCTGATTTAAAAAAAAATGTGAAGAAGCTGTCTTATGTTTCAGATTCTCATCAGTGTTATCATGGGTATGGCGAGTGTGCAACTGATCATTTCTTCCGTTAGTCGGATTCACAACGCTGTCCTCTTTCACGTCTACGGTTGGTTGGAAAAACAACACTTGGATGTGGTTTTCGCCCAGCAAAACTCACTGAACGAATGTTCAATGATCAATTAACACTGAATCGTACTGAAAACAGTTCAAAGGCTCTCTAAATGAAAACATCAGAAAAGTTTAGATGGAAGTAATCCTCGAACAAGACTCCTTTGAGATCTACCAAAGGGCAGTTTCAAAAAATGACACTCTCATGTACAGAAGATCGCATTTTTTCGTACCAAACTGAGAATCAAGAATAAAGAAAAAAGGTGTGAAAAGAAAGGAGAAAGAAAAAGTTTCTTTGTTTTATTTCAATAAAAAAAATAACTCATAATTTTTTATTATCACTAATTGGACAAAAAAGTTTGTTGCAGGAGAAGGCCACGAGCCGGGACTTGAGCTGCCTTGGACCTCCGTGGCGATAATGGTGTCGACGGTAGTCGTGAAACTGTTTCTTTTCCTGGTGTGCAAAAGGTGGGATTGGCCGGCTGCCAGAGGCTCAATTCGGCTGTCAGGTACAAAGATCCGTCGGTGAGCGTCCTCGCCATGGACCATCGCAACGACTGCATTTCCAATTCCGTGGCACTTCTTTGCTCTTGGCTCGGCACTCGGTTCGTCTTTCCTGTCAGACATTTCCGAAAGGGCTAAGGAGCCGTTTCAAAAAGATTTTTTGAAGTCATAATAATAATAACAGTTTAGTTTATTCACTGCCATTATTTAACAGAAAAAAAAAAATTAACGGAATAATAATACACGGAAATTAGTCAACCCCAACGAGTTGACAGGTGCCCGGAAATATGACAAATTTATAGCAGACAAGATGGAATCTTCTCATGAAAAGCTTCAATCGAAAGATTATTAAATTTCTTACGAAACGTTTAGTTATTTTATTTATGACTCGGGGCTTCCAGTAGAGGGCTGCTGTTGAAAATAAGAAGCTCTTTGCAGATACTCGTACTACTTTGACCCCACAGGCGCCATTCTTGTGTCGCTGTATATTCTGTACACGTGGGTTCAGACAGGCTGGGAACATTTGGCCAAGCTCAGTGGGAGAACTGCGGAGCCGGAGTTCATAAACCGTATCATCAAAGTGAGGAATGTCTTTACATCTTGAGTTTGGTTTGATCGCGATGGGAATAATTTCTATATTTTCTATTTATAGCATATCCAGCTCATTAGAAACTTTTGTGGAAATCGAACTTTAACTTTCGATTCATTACTGAACTTGACTCAGCGAGGTTCATGCCCTGATAAAAAAAGTATGGAAAACTGTTCTACGTTCGGAATTTATCAATGCTTTTTTCATATTTTTTTTTCAAAGTTCATAGTCAATTTTAGGATGACGGTCTTGACACGCAAAAAGTGAAATAATTACGACTTTTGACGTCGATAGAGAAGTTAAATTTGGAAGTCTTAAGGTTTGTCTTGACCACGATCCACGGATCTCTCACATCGACACAGTGTACGTCTACCATTTCGGCAGCAAGTTCCTGGTCGAGGTTCCGTTTCTCGGAGAGCTCCTTTCTGAAGACACATGCAGGTGCACATCGTGCTCGACGAGAACATGCGACTGAAGGTGGCGCACGACATCAGCGAGGCGCTGCAGAGCAACATCGAAAGCCTTCCAGAAGTGGAGCGGGCCTTCGTCCACACCGACTACGACTACCAACACCATCCCAACGACGAGCACAAGGCCGTTTGACAGCTTCTTTCGGCCTCAGTTCAGAAGACGTGTGCTGACAGAATTTCCCAGAGCGGTTTGAGAAATATCAGATTTTCTATTAAATAATCACATTCAAGTTTTCGCACTTATTATTTTCTTACTTTTTTCATCCAAAGTTTTCTCAAAAAACGTGTAGATCAGAATCTCGAAACTTGTGCCAAGTACTCCTTTTTTGAACAAAGTATTGTAATAGATTTATTGATAAATGAATAAGTTCTCTGTTCTGTAGCGTAAACTGGAGCAAATATATCAAGAACATCTGCTTTGCACCATCTCACATATTTAAATAACTTAGATAATTTAAAAGAAAACGCGGTTTGAACCAGAAAAAGCAAATTGAAAATATTTTGAAAGATAAACGGGCTGGTGTTGGCGGAGGCAATTTTTTCGCTGGGGAAGGCGGTTTTTCTGTCGTTTGAAAAATTCAACAAGAAACGGACGACGTCGTTTGACCGGCTTACTTGCCGGTGCTCAAATAGCAAAGGTTGCCGGCTCCGCAAGTGAATCCGGTGGGACAGAGGCCGCTGACGCAGGAGCCGAGAACGGCGCCGGAGCCAAGAGGACAGCAGTAGTTGTTGGTGTTGCAGAGGTAGCCAACGGGACACTGCTGGTTCACGCACTCGCCTGAAGGTCAGCGATTTCCAGACCAGTTTTTTTTTTGATAGCGAAAGCTGGAAGAAGGACACTGACCAGTGGCGTTTCCGGACTGGCAACGGCAGCAGAAGTTGTTGGAAGAGCAGAAGTAGCCCTGGCCGCAGAGACCGCCCAAGCAGGCAGCAACTGCCGGACCTCCGGAGCAAGCGGCTGAAAATTCACCCTTCAAATGATGTTTTTCCCGGCTAGGTTAATTATCAACTTCCTTCAGCAGAACCGGTCAGAAATATTTTCCAATTTTTTCTTCGTTTCAATTTTTTTGTTCGGTCGCCTCTTGAACGTATACATCTTAGTACTAGAATTCATTGAAACTCATGTTTTCTCAATTAGATTTTGAAAAATACACCTTATTTACGATCGGAATCCAGTCATTTAGAATGTTTGTCCTGAAGCATTGAATGAACCTATTATTAAGCCATTCCAATTGATCTGGTTTTGAACTGGTAAGGCAGAAAGTTTCAGAAGCATCTGTTGATTTTTTTCCCCTAAGACGGCTTCATTAACGGCCTCATCTCATCAGTAAAGAAAAAAATCAAAAAAAAAAATCATTGGAGGATGATTTAAACAGATTCTGAGTTTTGGGGAAAACCACGTTAAAAATAGGCTCAATTAGGAAAGAAGACTACTGAACTGTCCCCATTTACGTCGAAGCCGCGCAGCCAAGCGGTCAACCTTTCTAAGAATCGACAAACATTACAGGGCGCTAAGGAGAAACGACCAAAATGATTGAGTTCACTCTTTCCTCGTTTCCGTTGTTTGTGGCTGTGTCCCTCGAGCTTCGCAAACATGACGTAGCAATGTGGACTCTACTTCGCATAATCGAAACCCTCAGGCGTTCCTCGACGCTTTTTCTTCGAAGCTAGTTACCTATCTATCAGTATATATTTTTCTGATATCTCAGAAAAAACAAGTTCAAAGTTATTTTTCAAAGAACAAGAAGCCTTTCCATGAAGATTTCAGTATATTCAAGCGCATATCTCAAGATTTGCGGAGAACGAGATATGTTTAACAAAAAACCAGATTTCGTATTTTCAAAACGCTCTCAATTTTTTTAGATCCAATTTTCTGTCCAAATTAACATTACAACTGAAAAAATTTTGAGTTTGCAGCTCGCTGAATTTTGAAAAAATCCAAATCTCAAAAACGCAGAACAAAAAATTCTCGAAAAGCATCTAGGCCGTGTAGAATTTTTTTTTTCCCACCAGCCTAGTGGTATTCAAAAAAAGGATACTCACTGGCAAGGTTGTTGCCTGAAGGACAGCAGCATCCCTGGACGCAGACTGCGGAAACGGAGTACTGCTGGCACTGCTGGGAGTTGGAGCAGGACGAGTAGCAGTTGGCGGGACAGCCGAACTGTCTCTTGGCACGCGACACTGTCTCGTTGGCGCTGCGGATTTCAGGACCTGCTGAGGCTCAGGAATGAGGCTTTTCTTGAGTGGTCCGCTCACCTTCAGGACTGTCTTCCGCTTGCAGGACCCAAAAGCAGGCGAGCGGTAGGACAACTAGCACTGAGAACGCGAATCGCTTCATCGTTACCGACCTCGGACGCTGAAACTCTTCAAGCTGTACCCCGAATGGCTCTTCTCATTTGTATTTAGAGATTTGAAGCGAAACAATTGAAAGAAAATTGTTGATAATGAGGAAGAACGCCCCTCTGTACGAATGATTTTCAATTAAGAAATGACCAGAACTTGAAGCTCACGTATCTGAAGAACGACAAGGATCGATTAACTTTTTTTTTTCAGTTTTCCAAAGCGAACAAACAATCACGGAAATTCACCAGATAATGGAAAGCTAGCGATGAAAGGATGATATCAAGATAAAAAAAACTTAATTGATGATTTGACTGAAATACGAAACTTGAAAAACAAAGATGTTTGAAGGAAGAGCTTGTTTGCGAAAATGAAGGAGAGCGGCGGCGTAGAAAGACGACCGAGGATGTACAGAAGTGCAGGGAATGAGAGGCGTGGCGGCTGGTGCTGGCGGTGCTGGTAGGCCGCTGGTCGGTGTTAGCTCTGCTCTTCGCCGCCTATCACGAAACGGACTCTCAGAGCCGCCTGCCCTATCTCCGGCCGCCGACTAAGCTGTCCGAGTGGACCGTGTTGCGACTGCTCTCAAACAGTCGAAGCTCCTTCGCCCCGAGCACACAACCGCTGGTCAGTTATCAGACGGATCTGTTGGCTCACGCCGTGCCATTGTCCTCAAACACCGGAAAAACTGCATGTTACAGAGATAGTTCCTATAAATGGATACGGTACGCTTGAAGAAGTTTTCTGAAGTCTTAGAAGACGTTCGGCGTATTACATATAGAAGATAGTGTCGAGAAGCACTGTTTCTTCATAAATATTCAAATATTCTTAGTAAGTCTGATTTTTAGAGTAAATCAATGATAATATCGAAGAAAGTTCAGTTCTCCTGCTTTTTTATCATGAGAATATGAACTGTTGTGAGTAGAGAGAAGCAAGGCCGATTTCCGAAAAAGACGGGTAAAATAACCGCTTCGCGACCGCATCGCCCGCGACGTTTTGTGAACTTATTACTTTGGATAGAGAAAACGGTCAGACGAATTCCGGTCGAAACTATTGGCAAGCAAAAATCAAAGCTCGAAAAAAGATATACCGGAAATTCTTTCTTTTTCTTTTTGACATTATCGTCTCTTTGAGACTTGTTAAAATAGTTCAATTTTCGATTCAGAGTTTACATTTTAATTCGATTAACATTGAAGCGATGACCTGAAATGAAATAATGAGAGGGAGAAAGAAAGAAAAACCTAGAGCAGATCAAAAAGTGTATAATTTGTGTAAAAAGCGGCGGCTAGAGGTCGGAGGGCGACAATGGTCTTAAACACTTAAGATGGCGGAGAGGACGGTAAAGCGAAAGTGGCGGTCAACGTCTCTTTATAGCCCGAGGAAGGACAGGCTCCACCTGAAATAGAGAGGGCTCGCGGAGATTCCGGTTTGTGAGGACGACGGCTTGGCCTCTCCAGACGGCATGCCCAAGGTTCAGGTCGTAAGCCGGAAAACGTGTGCTTTTCAAAGCCAAATAAACGTGTCGAGGACTTTTCTCGATTTTCCAGCGGTTTCTTATGGAAACTTGGTTTTTTGATTTTTTCATCAGTATGAAAACTTCAAGCCTCGGTCTCAACTCGGCGTGCAGCGGAGACCACACCCTAGTCGGCTAAATTTTTTCTCCTCTGGCCATAGGTCGGTTCTTGACCGTTTCCTGTTCATCAAACCGCTTCTTCCCATTATTAATTGCTATTCTTTCTTCTCGTATTATTTCTTCGCCTTTTCGTCTTTTTTCTTGTTTACATATTTCTCATTCAAATCCTAGATTTTGCTTCAAAAAATAAAACAAAATAACTTCTCGAAGAAGCCCTCTAAGTCGTCAATTTTGTAACCCTGCAAAGGCTGGGCGTTAATTTATCAAAAGTCTCTATCCCTAATAAAATTTATCCAATTCTGTTGCTTAACTTCAAGATTTTCTTTCGAAAAAATGCTTTCTTACATCAATTAATTTTCGGTAGTTCGTAATGATTACGGTTTTAGAGTCAAAGTTGAATGAAAATAAGATTTCAAACTTTTGTTTTACTTCAGAAGAGGTACTAAAATTCCAACAAGGGAGGTCGATTTACTTTTCGGTGGAAAAATGCCTGAAAATCGGACAGAACACTCCTTGATGAAACAGAAGAAGATTCTGAAAGTCAACCTGCACAACTAATTATTTTTGAGGAATGAGGGCTAAAAGCCCCAAAACAACCTATTTTAAAAGTTTTGATTGTTGTCTTTGTCCTTTCTCAAAAGCTGGGAAGGTTTGCAAAAAAGCTTCAAATCTAACATAGAGGTTTGTTAAAAAAATTTTTTTGATGTTGTACCAAATCCTGAAAAAAAACTTTGAATGTTCAATTTCTTTTGTTTTTTGATTGAGACTTTGAGAGACAATTTTTTACATACTTTGTAAGAGTTGTTCAGGTTAAGTTTCAGGGTGTCTTCACCGAACACCGAGGTTTTTTCTGTCTAACTTTTGAGAATTCTGAGTTTTCGAGCGAAATTATCTTTCATGTTGAGGAGGTGACTATACAGGAGTCGCGTAAGAACATCCGGAACTGGCAGAAGTGCAAAGATAAGTCCCCGGCACAATGCGCCTTTCGCTTGTTTCTAAGCACCCAAAACATGTTTGCACTCTGCGAGACGTGTTCGACTGTGGAATGAGGAAAGAGCTCCCCACTTGTCCATGTTCATTTCCTTTTTTCGTCTTTCCAATCTCCGTCTCAATAACTTCTGACTAATCCTGCAATGCCACCTGCATCATTCAAAGTAGATAGCGACGAAATTCGTACTGGTGCCGCGTCATGAGAAAACATCACGTGCAATTAGAAGATTCAAGTCGGACTAATTGAGTAAAAAACACTTTTTTCCGCCGGTAGAGGGAAAACAAAAAAGTTTTTTAGATGAATAAGCTAGAACGATTTCAATTAAATTGACGTCTCACGTCCTTTGCTCCTTTCTTTCACTTCAGGAAAAGAGAACGATGTCCAACGATTTACAAAATGTTGATTAAGCATTTTGAATCGAAATTGAAAGTTTTCGTTTAAAATTGAGTTTGAGATTTTCTTATTTTGGAAGTTTTTTTTTGGTTGATTTCATGATAAGAATCTGAAAGTTTATAAGTGCTCTGGATCTTTGTAGTTCTACGAATAGAAAATAAAAAAATTTGGAAAAATAATGAAGAAAACTCTGACCTGGAGAATAATTTAATCCAAGGCACATATGCGAAGGAACTAAGACAAAAGAATTACATAACGAAAGAATTTTGAGTGGCTTCTTCTGGAGGAAACATGGAAGCTTCGGTCGCCATCACTACTTGCTGCATGCGGTGCGTTTTCGGCTCGTTTGAGATTTTCCTCCTGTCTGAAACAAACTTTTCTGGAACTATATTTTTCAAGAAAAAACCTCTATTCTTGAAGTACGAACGTGCCTTGGCAACTATAAGAACCAGAAGCAAAAGGGAAAATAATATAAGCCTGAAGGTTGAGTTTTTATCAAAAGAAACCAGAGGACCTACAAGCCGAAGCTGTACCAGTTGAAGGAATGACAGCACGTCCAGGAACAACACTCCATTCCTTTTGGACACGCGAAAGAGGCCGATTTTGGCGTCGAGCCATCCAGGAAAGTAATCTTAACATGATAGTTTTTTCAAATACTTTTTGTAGTTTTTTGTCTTTTTTCTTTATTTTACTAGCCTAGATCGACATCTGCAAATAAGACTTGAGTCCCAAGAAAGCCGCAAAATTCAACGACTTACATTGAAGAAGTTGACTTCATTTGGAATGATGAAAGTACAAGAAACTGGGGTCGTGTCGTTCAGGTGCTGCTGGAGCGTGTCTGGAGACCAAAAGTAGGTCCGATAGGCATACCTAAAGTTGCTGAGAATAGTCAGACCAACATTTCTGTTTCAATGCGGCGTTCTAGCTCATTTTTCTACTTTGAAATCTTACGTGTAGGGGGCGTTGACGTCGAGAATGACTTGTCGGGTCGAAGGAGGCCAGTTCATCGGTCGAAAAGCCTCGGAGGCCAGAAAATGGCCCTAGAAACTACTCACAGACTTCATACGAACACGAGAAAAATTATGAGACGGGGGCGGTTTCAAAAAGGATTAACGCTTTGTCAATCGAACGGAGCCGAGGAAGACCTTGTCGAATTGTCGTCCTCCGCCTTTGTCAGTACTTTTCTTTATTTCGTTGGGCTACTTTTGCTGCTATTATATTGTTATGAATATTCGATTTCTTGTTTCTAATAAAAGCTTTCAAAGCTTTTATATAAAGAGAATTTTTTTGAAAAATTCTATCGGTTATGTGATCAATTCATTATTATGGAAAAAAAGGAAAACAATTTTTTTATTAATTTATGAAAATTTTTTTTTGCACATTGAGAAAAATTATCAAATTTTTATAAAAAAATGAAAAAAATTTAAAGATCGAATAGAAAAATATCTGCTCTAATTTGAGCCAATCTTTTGTATCCAAAATAAAAGAAAATTGAAATCCGAGCTGTGAGGTGCTGTAGACGTGTATGAATGAAGTTATGAAGCGGGTTTGGAACAACTCGGTCAGAAGGCGTTCCGGAAATTGCTAGTATATTGCTTCTGAGCGGAATATAACTAACAAATTTTGTGATATGATGAGAGGAATCGCACTAGGTTGTCCGAATATGAATTTGTGACTCGGCGATGACTTCTTCGTTTCCCGTACTTCTCGGAACTTCGTAGAGAACTTTGTGGTTGCGGCGTTTTGCTGCAATAAAAGCTCGATTAGAAAATTGAATCGGAAGTTCATTTATCGGATTCGCCACAGCATAAAACAGTCTGAAGAGTGTCCGCTCTAATTTTCTTCACATTCAGGGTCATCAAACAACGAAAAAAAAACCTAAAATTAAGATTGCCTGCGAGAGAAAGGAGAGCGCAGATAAGCCCGCCTGTTTTAAGTAGTTGAGAACGAAGTATAGTTCGTTTTTAATTTTCTTCTTATCCCTTCCCTGGAGAAAAAAAAACGATTTTTGACATTCCCGCAGGTTTTTCAGAAGCCCTCATTAAAAAAAAAGAAGTTTCATTAACAAAATTATGAAAGTCTCTATAATATTTTCGAATATTTTGATGGCAAACCTTGTCTTTTTTTGAAACCGAGAACGACGTTACACACGAGCAACAAGACTAGTGAAAGACTGATCACGACTACTCTGAAATCATCGACATTGTATTTATAGCCTATTGTGCGCCAGCTATCCACTAAGAATAACTGCCGAGATAAACGCGAGACACTGGCGCACAGCGTTCTAAAGCGGGGTTCCCGCCCCTTTCCTGAAAAGCATGCGGACGTTGCATGAGTGGGCGTGGCTAACAATCGTCTTTTCCGCGTCGTAATTAAGAGTCCGGATTTTTTGATTGTTTGAAGGCTAGCATTTTTTTTTCCTGACATTTATAGTTTCCAAATGTTGCTAGTCATTTCCTATAACTCTCTTAAAATTTCGCAGTTTATTTTCTTGTGGTTTGATTGGTTCAAAGGACTACATAATTGATCTGTTCACGAAAGTCGAAATTTTTAACTCAGGTTTGATTTTGTATTCTTTTTTTCCTGTTTAAGTAATTGAAAACTGATAATGTGATCGATTCCTGGAGTTGGAATTTCGATTTTCGGTTTTGTCTCTTGGATACAGTATTTTCTTTTATAAACAACGTTTCGACACATTAACGAGCTATGGACACTTTAAAAACTTTCTAATACGTTTAAAAACATTAATTAAAAATTTACGTGCATAGAAACAAAAAAAATACTTCAAAAAACAATCGAAAAAAGTTAATAGCATGTAAATTAAAGAAAAAAAAGCACCTTGATTTTGATTGACAACGCTCCAAGTTACGCGCTCCATTGAGAATAGTGTGCGCCTCTTTTTTCGTGAACCCCGTTTTAGAACGCTGTGGGCGGTACATTGACGAGCTCGCAAACATCTCGCATTTTTTCTCGCGCCGGTTTCGCATTTGTTTGGGCGCGAGCTCGCATTTTTCTAGGCGCGAGCTCGCATTTCTCTCGCAATTTGAAAATTTCCGAAATGCAAGATAAATGCGAGATGGCGCCGAGAAAAATGCGAGGTCGCGCCGAGATAAATGCGGGATCGCGCCTAGAAAAAAGCGACATTTTTGCGAGTTAGTCAATGTACCGCCACCGAGCTCGCATTTATCTCGTCAGTTATTCTTAGTGTGTGTATGCGCCTTTAATATAGCAGATGAGCAGAATAGGGCGCGTGCAAATAGACAGGCCGAGTTCAAAGGGAGCCTTCCGGGATGTTCTGTGGTTTGGAGGAAGATGAAAATCGACAAGCTGGCGTGAAAATTAGCCTATAGGTTTTTTTTTTGATCGATTGCTTTATAGCGATAAAATCCTTTAATGAGTCTATGAAATTCGGAGAGCGACTGGAAAATGAGATTTAGCTGAGGGCGACGTTGAACTGACATGACAATATTGAAGAAGACGTCGTCACTGCAACACTCGAGGCCGCAGCAATCGCTGCCGCCGTCGCAGCCAAAGTAGATTTTCTCGAGCCGTGAGCCATTCACAAACTCCACCTGCACTACAATCTACTCTTTGAAAGTCCTTTCTCTAACGTTTGGAAAAGAAGAGTCATTCGTTGAAAATGAGCAAGTCCACGCGTTGTTGTTCTCGAACTCTGTTGTGTTGTAGTCTTCAAATGTCCAGAAGTACCGAACTTGACCAAATCTAAACACTTGAGGTGAAGTCCAGTACTGTGGAGCTGGCCGTCCGAAGCTCACTCGAAAAACGCCGAGGAGTTTTCGATTCTGTATGTGCCATTCTCCAAAACCGGATCATCTGAGACCAACTCCACAGAAGTGAGACTTTCGTTGGCTAGAGCAGACAGAAAGTCTCTGAGGAATTCCTCGGAACCTCCTGCTGTTTCTCTTAATCAGATATATTTTGTATTTTGAAGTATGCCAAGTTTCATTGGAAAATTTCTGTGATTTTATAGTCTGTCGAATTCCCGTCGTTATAACGACGATTCGAAAATTAGCCAGTACTTTCGTTATCTTTCCTTTCGCGCACGTCCTAGCAACGTGTCTTCATCTTAACGAACCGGGAAAAAGTTTGAACATATTCCTTTGAAAGAAAAAGAAACACTCAAGTTGAGGTCAGATCACTCACGTGGTCTTTTTCAAATTTCAGTTTCACTCTATTTTGACGTCGTTTGATCCAGCGACAATTGCATTAAATTTGATTGCCAAACACACTTAATCTGAAGAGAAGGAGTTCTGACGTAGGCGGGCACGGCGCCGAATGACGCCATTCTGGTGAGCAGCGTACAGAAGACGACGACGCAAAGCATCTCAGGCTCGAATCATTTCTCGGCAGAACAGGTGAGAAGTTGCTGCGTGAACCTCCGAAGCCATGGCAACCGCCGAAGTTTCTTGGGGACCGTTCCTTTCTCACTCCCATGCAAAACTTTCTAGAGAAAAAAACATGACTGAAAGGTTGCATGTCCTTTTCTTGAGTAAAAGCCGATGATTCATCTCTCATTCCTCTTTCGCCTGCTGGGCGACGCTTTCAAAGGCGCGAAATTTATGTTCGGTAGATTTTCGTGAGCAGAATCCTCCGAATTTCCTGCTTCTTTTCTTGTGGTATAACCCTATATGATTGGTTGTAATTTGATTCACAACATTTCGTATTGGGATCGGTGTGAATTTGGCTTTTTCTCATTTGAAAAACACGACAAAAATATTTTCAAGTTATTAAATTGGGGCCTGAGAAGGTACAGCAAGCGATTAGTACGAATAGATTGTTGGCTTTTCGCATGAGACGAAAGAAAAACTACCTTTCTCTAATATCTTCGCCACAGAAAAATTGACGATCCTGTTTCAAAATTTCTTTGGGATCCGATTGAACTTAAATTTAACTTTGACTGTACCTTACGCACATGGTTCATTTGGAAAAAATATTTTCGTGTTTCACGAATCACTTGAAGGGCAAAAAAAAGAGGTTTCCTGAACATATTGAAAGTTAACAATATCCTATAATCCTAAAGAATCACATTCTTGGGAAAGAAAATTATGAGTTGTGATAAAAACTATTAATTAATTTTTACAAGGAAGTTTTCTCACAGACGAATCGAGAAGGTACCATAATGTGTCCAAAAAGGTACCTCTCAAAATGGATTGTGAAGACCCCATAATGTGTCCATCGTGAGACCTCCGGCATACCTTTTAGCTATAACTGAGCCACCTCGGAGGTACTTCAGAGTCTCCTTCAAGTCTATCTCATTTTGCTCGATTTCCTCAGAGGTATACTAGAGGTACTCGCAGGGTCTGAAGTCTCCCGATGGTACGTACCATCGTGAGACTTCAGACCCTGCGATATACCTCAAAGGGGCTCGCGATACCCTTTCTCGATTCGCCTATGCTTAAATTGATTATAACTTCAAGTTAGAATTTATGAGCTTTGAAATACTTCTTGTGAGTCACTGAGCTGACAGAGTAAAACATTTTTTATTTCAATGTTCGAAAAAAATTTCGAATTTAACAAGAAAAAAAAAATTAACTCTAAAGAGAAACATTTTGTGTGTAGTTTGAACCTTGCTCGAAATTCGCTCGAAATTACTCTAAAGGTTTAGATGATGATCTCTCATGAAGGTTCTCTGTGCAAGCTCCAATTTTTGGACACATGAGTTTTTGAAATCGCAAAACCAGGCCTTTTTGTGCTGAACGCGGAAAATTATATCTCCAAAAAAAAACTTGCGCATATAACCACTATAAGTGAATTTTTGAATATATTTTCAAAGTTTTTGGAAAATTCAAACCTCACACTGAAAGACCATACTAATGGATATCCTGAGTTGGAATGTAATTTTTCCTGAGCGCGATTTCGAGCAAATTTTCGAAACTTTAACTTTTTAACCGATAATCTAGAAATTGTTTTGAGTTACCCTTAGCCATTCGTCTGTAAACTCACTTAAAAGAGAACGTGAAGCTTACTGAAGTTGCCTCTTCGTGGATAGAAGTTCGATAGTCACTGATAATAAGGAAATGGGTTTTAAAAACGAAAGATGAGCTAAGTTGTGACAACGTGGACGTGATGAACCGACATTTCTGGGCCAATTGTGAAGACAGGAACAATCGGTGGGACCGGCTCTGGAGTACAGAAAGCTACTGTCGGAGCTCCTGTATTTAACTTCTTGAGTGAGAAAAAAAAGTATCCTTTACTTTTATTGAAGCGACACCCTTTCATGCACTTTATCGAGCAGATGCAAATGAGCAATAGAACAAACACGCTAAGTCTAAAAAAAAATTTGCAAAAAGTTGCAAAATCCTTTTTTCTAGACTCACATGATATAAAGGGTGGTGTTGTTCTGACAACAATCGAGTCCGCAACATTCTGAGCCTCTCGGGCACCCGAAAACAACGTTCTGCGGATGTGTGCCGTTTGAGAATGTCACCTGATCAAAATTCCGAAACTTCTTATAAAAAAAACTCTTATCATAATTGCTGATAAAAGCCATTCTTCAAGTTTTTGAACTGACTGAGAGCTCCTCATTCACCGGAAGTCCTTCAAAAAAAACTAATTTTTTATTTGGTGACCATTCCGGGTGAGTAAAACTAACGTGCAGACAGTCCAGACCTTTTCATATAATGGCCCTAAATATTCGACATATTTCTCCTTTTTCATCTACATGTCCGAAGAAAAAATGAAAAATCTTTAGAAGAAATAGCAGTGTCGACAGAGAAACTGTGAACCAACATTTCTGAAGTCTTCATCGCTCTCCTCAATTCGATACTCGCAGACAAGCGGATATCCAGATGAGGCCGGGTAGTAGGTATGGCCCCAGTAATAAGGACGAGAAGAGTAACTGAATAAGTGGAACCAATTTTAAAAGATAACTTACAATATCGGAGTTGAAGGTACAAGGATGATGTGAGTGCCCCCATAGCCAGAAGAGAAGTAGGTAGAAGACGAAGAATGGAAAACTGAAGTCCGGAAACCCGTGTTGAAAGAGCTAGAGCCTGTAGACAGTCCGCCAGACCTGCAGAAAAAAATCTTAGGAAATATTTAGCTCTATGGAAAAAAAAAGTAAAAATTCGAAACGTAAATTTATTATCAAATATGTTCCATTTTTTTTTCCTTTTCGAAGAAAAAAAAGGTGCTGAGACATCACTACTACCTGAAAGATGTGCTGGAGGACGAGGTACGACTGGAAGAAGACGATCGCGAGCCGGAAGAAGATAAGCGGGCGCCTGAAGAGCCTCGACTTCCACCTTTAGCGGTGACGCCGCTGCAAAGAAGCAGCAGAAGCCCACCGATAAGCATCCGTCGAATAAAACAAGTCAAACATTCTTTCCGGTCCGTCACCTTGGATACGCGCTGAAAAAAAAACAACTTTTCGCACCTGCCATTCAAAACTTTTCCAATAATTAAAAAGGCAAAAGGATAAATTGTATTTTTTGTTCAAAAAAAAAGCCGAAGATAAGGACGTTTTTCGTGGTTTCAAAGGGGTATTCTCCATTTTTTAACCGTTCGGATCAATAGGCTATTTATTCCTTACTCCGAAATTGCGAGCCCTAAAGCGGGCGCGAGTTGAAGAATTCTTATTTCCGAAAATAAAAATGCGTGTCCGTGGAAGTTTCGTCCGCACTCTACAAGGAGCGTGCACGGTGCGAGCACTGATTTTGCACTTTTTTGTTGCACGGTGCATGTTGTCGTTTTGCACCTCGCAGTTTTGGGTCTTTTTCAGTGCGCATGAGGTGCAACACCGCACGGTGCTGAGACTCCGAATCAGAAAATTGGGTATTCGAAATCCTGTCAATTCAGTCCATTTCTATCAGTTCTACATGTTATTTATACTTTTTTTTCGTTTTAGTGATGATTTTTTTCGTTAGAAAAGTCGGATGATCAAGAAAGAAAAGGCCTAAATTGAGTAGCAAAGCATGTTTAGTTTTGTTGTCCAGAGTTTCAGCACCGTGCGGTGTTGCACCACACCCGCACTAAAAAAGACCCAAAATTGCGAGGTGCAAAACGACAACATGCACCGTACAACAAAAAAGTGCAAAATCCGTGCTCGCACCGTGCACGCTTCTTGTAGAGTAGAGCATTATAAACACAGTGAGAACAAATTAGGAGCCCTCAAAATAAGATTCCACAGAAATGAATGGCTTGAAATCAACAAGGAAGGTCATTTTTCTTCGCCATAGACGAATCGGGGTCAGGTAATAAAAGTAAACCGGGCATATACCTCAAAACGGATCAGGATGGTATAATAATATGTTCATCGTCGTACCTCCGGTATATACTTCAGCACTATCGAAGCTCTACCGGAACTCTGCCAGAATGGCGCACGGTGCGGTCTAGCCTTGAGCACTTCGGCGCGTAACTTGGGCCTGCACCGTGCAATATCGGTGATTTTTTGGTGCCGCACTGGGGCAGCACGCTAAAAGCCCTGTTTCGACACCTATGCACCCGTGTGGCACCAAAAAATCACCGATATTGCACGGTGCAAGCCCAAGTTACGCACCGAAGTGCTCAAGGCTAGACCGCACCGTGCGCCATTCTGGCAGAGAAGTGCTGAGTGTTATATCGCAAGTCTGTCGCATTTTTCTATTATTTTACAAGGTATTACCGCACCATCGTTAGGCTTCAGACCCTTCGAACGACCACTATCGCGATACCCTTGCAACACAGTGTTTCAAAACGGGCGAGCGCAGGCGAAAACAATGGTCGTCTCAATGGAGCGAAAACGCGAGTTCCTTCTAACGCAACGCGGTGCGGCGCGTGTCAACCTCTCAAAATTTAATTCAATTTAAATATAGTTTTTTCTCTTTTTCTCGCATATTTTTTTAGATTTTTGAATCGTTCTACTTTCTGTTGGGTAATATAACCGTGTTGGATGCGTTTGAAAGGTACTCGAGGTAATTATTGATCGAGAAGGTCCCGAAATTTCGACTAAAATGACATTTTGACGAGTAACTTTTTTTGCAGAAGCTACTTGGTTCATGTTTTTGTTTTAAAATGCTCAGAATGAGATTTTTAAAATAAACGCCCAGAGCTTTTTTTTCAAAATTTTTTTTTCGACGTTTTACAAAACATATGTTGTCTAAAATGACTTTTTGAGTTATAAATTTTTGTGCCGAAGCGAATTGATTCTTTTTTTCGTTTCAGAATATCCAGAATGCGTTTTGTGAGGGAACCGTCATCGGTTTTTTCCTTCAAAAAATTTTTTAGGACTTCACGCGACGAATTGTCCTGGAAAAAGGCATTTCGTGTGATAAATCTTTTGGCAAAAGCGATTCCGTTCATATTCAATTTTCAATAGGTTCATTGTGCGTTGAAATATATTAAAAACTACTATATAAGTTCAAGAAGGCCTTGAAAAACACTATTCAACGCTATGTTTTCATCCAGTAAATGCACAAAAATCGGCTCCTAATGTCGCGCCACTATTGCGATCAGCCGCGCCCCCATTGCATACAGCCACGCCCTATGACCACATCTGCCGCCTGTTTGGGAACACTGTGTGCAAGTTTCGTGTGTGGCGATCGGGAGTTTTTTGAAAATTTCCCAGAGCACTCATTGTCGTGCCAGATGAAGATCATGAAGATCTCAAAAAGCACATTTTATTTGACGCGCCACTTGCCCAAAGTGTTTCTTCTTCTGGGATGTAAAGGAGTGTTGTGGCGAAATTTCAGGGAATTCCCAACCGAAAAGTAGAATGACCCTCTTTGTAAGGATCCCACTTTCTGCAGTTGTTGTTTTTCATTTTTTCGGTCTTCTTCAAACATCTTCTCGAGTAAAAACTTTCATTGTTAGGTTCAATTAGCCCGAAGGCCCAAATTTTTTTTATGAGATCACGGCGACGTCACGTCTTCATGAAGCTCACTTAGGATTTTTCAAAGTCAAATTTCGCTTGGAATTTTATTTTGTTTTTCTATGAATATAGATAAAGTCTCCTCACACCACCACATCGACGATTTTTTGCTTGCAAAAATCGTTTTAAGACGTTTCTTACTAGTTTAAACCAGAAATAAAAAAATAACTATCACCCTGGGCCTACGTTATCGACGTCGCTCTAAAAAAACTGAATAACTTAATTTTAGTTTTTTTATCATAAATACACTTCGAAATTGAACAATCGAGAAATTTTTCGACAAAAATTCACAATATCACGTTTTAGAAAAAAATGCATGTGCGGCACTTTTTGCTTTTTTTCTTTATCATATTCATCAACATATACTTGAATTTATATGTGAAAAATAAAAAAATAAACCTGGCGGCCCATAAAAAAAGACGAAACTTTTGAAGTGACACTAAACTTTGAAGCCTGAATGCAAAAAAATTTTTCAGCGACATGTTATATATGTTTTCTTCAAGAAAAATTCTCAGTATCTTGTAAAACAGCAAAAAAAGCAATTTGGAAAAATTACTAAATTAAATATTAAAAAAATTACGAAAGCCGAAACTTTTCACTTTAATCGTAGAACCAAGAATACGGAAAGCTTAAATTTTTGATATGTTGTTAAGCGTTCAAAAAACTATCGAATTGAAAAAATTAAAATGATTTTGGCGGTCCATGAAAAAAGCTTGAAAAACCTCGCAAGAAAGCGATTTTTTATAGAAATCGTGCGAGTGTGCGTCGGTGTGTATGCAAAAATTTTTTTTTTCTTATGACAATTGTATAAAAAATTTATTTCAACACATTCAGCTCAGTTTTAACAACCTTTCAGATCAGAAAACCGATTAAAAAGCGGTGCAGAAGAGGGCAAAATGAATTTGAAAGAAAGAGTGTGGTAGCGGGTGAACCGTGAGATTGAGCCTCCAGTTTAACGCCGCGCGCTCTAGTTTTTTCGTCATAACTTTTTTCTTAGTGGACTTTTTTTCAATAACTAAAAGGATTATGAAATTGACAGTCTCCTCTATCAAATAGTAAAATAATATTTTTAGTCATGTTGAAAAAATGGCTTAAAAGCTTAAATTTCGAATTTTCTTCTGTTCAAATGTCAAGTTTTTTTTCCGACCAAATTCATTTTTTTGCTTACTTTTTCACTACAAACACACGCCGTCACTGCCTGAGAAGTTGCCAAACATTACGGTCAGGGATGGCGGGAAGCAGGCTTGTGCGAGGGCCGGCCCGTCAGCCTCTCGCCGGCCCAGCCCAAAAAGCATTTTTTTTTTCTAGTCGAAAAAAAAAGTTTTTTACGACAAAAGTCACGTTTTCGCTTATTTTTTCATTTAGAGTTTCTGGGCAATTCTAATGATCACTTAAGAGCCTTGAGGCTGCTAGAGTAGCCACTAGAAATTCCCCGACACGTCCGATTCGCATCCCGTTCGCGTTACCAAGGTCCGAGAGCCTGACGGCAGGCTTGTGCGTCTTCTCTTCAAACTTGTGTTTTTATACTGTTTTAATAACTTATTATGGCTTTGAAAAACCTAACTAAACTACTAAAAAAATTTAAATCCGATATGAAAAACAAAATGAACGACCAAAAGTGTAAAATCTAAACTTTCAGTACTAAATTTCGCGACTTTTTTCACTACTGTTTTGACCATAACTTTTTTTGTTCTTAACTTTTTTCGAGAAACTAAACTGTTTTGAATAGTAAATTAGAGCAGCTATCCAACCATAGTAATATTGAAGTTCGAAAGTTTTTTTGAAAATTTGGTTGCGGTCCCTATCTTTGGGGCTCATTTTCAGGAAAAAGCCCGCGTGGGCTCGGGCCGGGCCGATGTTCAAAAAAAATTTAAAATTTCATTTAAAAAATTTTCACCGAAATGTGACTTTTACTTCTGAAATCATAGTTTTTGTTAAACTTCAAGAGAAAAAATGAGCAAAAACGTAATTCGTAATTTTTGTCGTAAAAAACTTGATATCCGACTATAGTCTGTTCAGATTTTGAATGTCAAGTCGTCGCTCAAGCTCCCCCATAATGGTGCGATAAACCAATCAGAGGACGACCCATCCACAGAGCATTTTCGAATGACGTCATTCTACTTGAAATTCAAAATCTGAACAGACTATAGAAAAAATTGCGCGATTCGGGGCGGGCCATTTTTTCTTGAGGCCCGCTAAGGCCGGGCCGGGCTGGGCTTACGAAGTGGACGGGGGGCCGGGAGGGTGACGGGCCGGCCCTCGCACAAGCTTGCCTGACGGCAAGTACTTCTTCGAAGTCAAATTGTGTGCGATGGAGCATACAAAGACGAGATCTCAAATTGATTTTTTCTCATTAGTCCGAATTTTTATTTTGAATTACTCGGGCCGCGGTAACGAAAACCGGACGTTTCTGAGAAATTCCAGGGATTTCTTAAGAGTGCTGACGCTACTAAATTGGTCGCTAGAAATGCCCGATACGTCCGGCTCGCGCTATTCCTATACCAAGGTCAGAGTAGCTAGCTAGTAGCTCATTCTCCTCAACTTGTAACAGCGTGACAGGACTGAAACTCTTTTTGCGTTCAGTGAAGTCATAGAAACATCACTATATTCATAGTTTGCTCTGCGCGAGACCATCACGTTTAAAAAAAACAGAAAAAAAGACAGCAACAAACAAGTCTTGGGTGCTCAAATTTGATCCAATTAGGCGAAAATCTGGCGCGGAATGGGCTATACTTGATATAGCACAAAAGTCAAAAAAACGGTCTATAGCATTCATTGTGACCAGTGGACGATATTTCCTTGAAAAATTGTTTTTTTATCTTTGCTTTTGAGTCCAAGATAACAATTTAAAAACTTATAAGTTTTAACATTTATAATTTTCCTTCAATTTATACGTTTCTATCTACTTTTTTCTACAGCGATCTATATATCTCACACGTTTATATATCTTTCAGCCCCATCTATGGAATTACATGATCTTCCGCTAGAAATCGTCGCAGAAATATTATCAAAGGTGAAAATAGTTTCCTTCTCTTTTCAATGAAATTTTCGGTTTTAAAATGAGAATTTTCAGTTATCTTCCAAAGAGTCATTCAATTCGCGTGAAGTGTGTAAACGATTTCATTCAGCTTTTCTTAGCTTTCAAAGCAAGTATAAATATTTCAAAATTCACAGCGTCCAAATTGGGCGTCGCAATGATGTTAATCAGGTTGATTTTTTCAAGAAATCGATAAAAATATTTTTCGCAGATCATCATCAAGAAAAAATTCAATTCAACAGCAACTCTCGTTGACGCGGCTTTAGCATTGTCAATCATGAAGAATAGCAAAGTTGATACAATACAGGTATCATCATCTGTTCTCCTATGATGTTCGAAAGTAATTCAGGTTGACGTCGATGACGAACTTTGTGAGCTGCTGGATTCTTGGGCGCTGAGACGCTCCAAAATGATTGTTAATAAACTAATCATCAGAGATATTCTGGCAGTCTCCATCGAGAGATTGTGGCGATTCGTAGAGGTCCTCGTCTCGAAGTTTAGTCGTGGAGTCCAGATTTCTTTCGATGTCAAAGACATCTGGCCAGTTTTTAGCAACATTTACTTCGACAATGTTTAGACCATATCTCAATTTTCCAAAAAAAAAAAAAGAAAATCTTTAGGTTGTTGAAGTTCGAGTACGAGGCGCTACTGTTCAGAACGGCAATGTTCTTAGCCGAATCGGCAACAATTTAAAAACCTTATATTTCGAAAAACTTTGTCCTTTGGCTACTAACACAATTATAAACGTCATATCGGTTAGTTTCATGAAATTGATTTCTTAATCACAAGAGGTGGGCGGCTGGATTCCAGAGAATTGAAGAGTGGGTTGTTTTTATCAATTCAACTACTTTGGGCGCCTTTCAACAAAAACTTCAAGCTACTATTTCTTCCATAACCGAGCTTAATCTTAACAGGTTTTTTTACAGGTATAATTCACATAAAATGACTTTTTCAGATACATTGTTCACGGATTACAGAGTTTAACTTTGCTAGTAATTGTCAAACGAATCGGTTCTGATGTAATTATAAAGTTGAAAATGTGACAAAAAATTATCTAATCGATATAAATTGTTTTTATTCTGAAGCAACAACTGTTGTGCGATGATTAAGCCGTTTAACAATGACGTATGAGCACGCGGCGAAGATGAGAAAAATGAAGCCAACCGTTGCAAAATAACCCGAATAAATCAAAAACTAAAAGCTAGCTTATCTCTAGTTGAATAAGTTTGCCAAATTTACCTGTTGCCGGATATTGAATTGAAAAATGTAGTGGTTTACTACGACGAAAGTAAGAATCGACTGTAAAAAGACTGCGGCGAAAGTGTTTATGCCGAAGATCAAGCCGTGATTGAGTGCTGATAGCTGGGTCGATATGTGAAAACTTAAATTGTGCGATTTCTTCAGAATTCATCGTCAAACTACCTTGCTAAAGTTATGAGAAGATGATAAATCGAAGTGATTGCTATATATCCTACATAGGCGCCGATTATGTAGTTTGTAGAAGCAACATAGAGCAAAATAGCCGATATCGCGAACGAAGAAAGAGATAAAATCTTCTCTTCTCCGTGTTTCCAAAAATTTCCGAAATATTGAGCAGCGAATGAAAGCAATACACCTAAAAAATTGAGTGTTATTTGAATCAAAGCTTTTAAAAATGTCAAATTTCGAACCGATGAAAGTGTTGCAAAACTCGACGATGCCGTTTTCGACTTTGCCAGCATCCGGCTGCATTTCCAGCCACAACGGCTGCATGTAGTTGTAAACTTGATACATTCCACAACTGGCCAAAGCCCACCAAACCGACCATTTTAGCACTTGAGAACTACGGGAGTAGGTTTTGACTTGTAGAAGCGTATTCATCATATAATTCCGAAGACCGCTGTCCATTTTGCTCCGTTCGATTTGAGCGCGCCTAAACTCTAGATTTATTAGGAAGGACCGGATATATTACGAAGGTTGCTCTGCGTTTTCTGGCTCTTGGGAGTTCAGAAGCATCATGGCTACATGTGTCTGCCGCTCTGTTCTTCTGGATTCTACACGCGGAAGAAATATGGCTATTACTGTGACTGTACTGACCGCTGCGAAAGATATCTTAACAAGGTCAATTTTTTTAACTGATCACAGATCAAACTTGATTCAAGAGAAGATATGAGCCAATCTGAGTCGAGATGAGGATTTGTCCTGTAGCGAATGCGAACAACTTGCCAAGTAGTGCTGCTGATCGAATGTAGGAGGTCACCTAAGGTTAAAATTCTTTTTAAAAAATACATGCTGTGAAATAAACCTTATGATAGTTTTTCTCCTCCACTACTGCGTACATATAGCAGTAATATGCGATTTCGGAAGCCGAGGAGATCCCTTTTTTTTCCAATTTTTCATCATGATATGAGCATATTGAGAATACCGAACAAAATTTGCATAAGTTGCATTTGAAATACGCCTTTGCCCCACACGAGAAGTGCCCATGTCATGGCTAGAGAGAACGCTTCAAGTATTATGATCGGTTTGTATCGGAGTATATCTGTTAGGAAGAAAATAGGAATCTAGAAGTGAGCTTTCATTAGATTTATGTAAATAAAAAATGTACCAAGGCAATCATGTAGGAATATGTCCAAAATGGATATACTTGAGAATAGACAACTTCAGGAGTCAACTTCTTTTCTGTTACCAAGTAAGGTGTAAGGAATGGCGTGGCTGGGCGTAGTTCTTTCACGATCCCGTACATGCATATCAACAATGTGGTAGCTTTCCAGTGCATTACCTCTGAAATTTGAAAATTTTGAAAAAAGATTCGCAAGAGTTTCGTACGTAAAGCGTGAGTGCACCAACTTATTTTCAAAAACAAGATAAAAAGTGCACCCAGCAGCATAGCTTCAAAGTGTACTATGATCCTGATATATATAGTGTACACAGCAGCGGAAACGAGATACCGACAACATCAAATTGGATATAATAATTTTCATTTTTCCATCGGTGAGTGTTGTTTTCGCCTCACATTTCTAAAACTTCTTCTTTACAAACTAAACGCCACAAGAGGAAATTTTGAGCGAGAAAAAAACGCTTCCAATGATTTCACAGTTCATTTTAAAAAAATAGATAATTTTTCGATTTTTAGATCATGTTGTGTTCAAAGCTGATTCGAAAATTTTTCTTTCTTATTCGGCGATAAAACAAATTTGAAAGAAGAATGGTACTAGTGGCGTGTTCTTCGTAGAAACGGAACATGCTTCAAAACGAAAAATCGTGTTCATCGGCGGGCTAAAGTTGCTCCAAAACAGTACTAATTTCTGTTTTGGAGCAATTTTTTTGTGTTTCGAAGCAATTTCGGTTGGGTTTGATGAACACGCGATATATAGGAATTTGTCGAAATGGCAGAGCCGTTCGATCGGGAGTTCGCCTCGTTTTGGCTCGATCTTTTTGAACGAGAAAAACTTTTTCGCTATCTACGCGTGTTTAATTAGCTTTGAACGTTAGATGATAGGTGGATTCCTCAAGTATTTAAAGTCTTTTTATTCATAATAAATAAGCAATCTATATCACTGCTTCCCTTTTCAGCTTCAAAAGATTTTTTCGTTTATAGGCCATTCACAGCGTTCTAAAGCGGGGTTCCCGCCCCTTTCCTGAAAAGCATGCGGACGTTGCATGAGTGGGCGTGGCTAACAATCGTCTTTTCCGCGTCGTAATTAAGAGTCCGGATTTTTTTGATTGTTTTGAAGGCTAGCATTTTTTTTTCCTGACATTTATAGTTTCCAAATGTTGCTAGTCATTTTCCTATAACTCTCTTAAAATTTCGCAGTTTATTTTCTTGTGGTTTGATTAGTTCAAAGGACTACATAATTGATCTGTTCACGAAAGTCGAAATTTTTAACTCAGGTTTGATTTTGTATTCTTTTTTTTCCTGTTTAAGTAATTGAAAACTGATAATGTGATCGATTCCTGGAGTTGAAATTTCGATTTTCGGTTTTGCCTCTTAGGTACAGACCAATTAAACCTTTTTGGATTTTTTTCGTCAAGTCGAAATTTTTCTCTTTTGCGCGGACACTGACAGCTTTTTTTTTCTTGGTTATTAGTTGGAAACTGATATTTTGATCGATTCTTGGAGTTGGAATTTCGATTTTCGGTTTTGTCTCTTGGATACAGTATTTTCTTTTATAAACAACGTTTCGACACATTAACGAGCTATGGACACTTTAAAAACTTTCTAATACGTTTAAAAACATTAATTAAAAATTTACGTGCATAGAAACAAAAAGTACTTCAAAAAACAATCGAAAAAAGTTAATAGCATGTAAATTAAAGAAAAAAAAGCACCTTGATTTTGATTGACAACGCTCCAAGTTACGCGCTCCATTGAGAATAGTGTGCGCCTCTTTTTGCGTGAACCCCGTTTTAGAACGCTGTGCATTCCGCGCCAGCTTGTCACGTTTTTCTTTCCGCCAAAAGGTCAGGTCAAATTTAACCAACTTTCGCTTCAAGACCTTTTTTTCTTGCCGTTATAAAAGCAGAAATTTGATCTAATTCGGTATACGGTCTTTTTGGCGGGAAGGAAAACGTGACAAGCTGGCGCGGAATAGGCTATAGCCTAAATATATATATTCGAAAGTTAAAAAATCATTTCGACAGTGTAAATTTTCGGCGGGGAAACATGCACAAGCAACACTATATTCGACAACTTTTTTCTGAGCACGCCGTATATAGCTCTGAAAACGCCTGTGGCGACCGGTCGAATTACGCATAATACGGTAGGATAGACTTTTCGCGTCCGGTTTGTGTTACCAAGATCTGATATAGTTTTTGTAGATTTTTCACGTGATGCAAACCAAAGCCGAAGGCTAGCTTTGTTAATTATTAAAGGCATGGGGGCAGTAAAAAATGGGGTTTCAGGTGAAAGCAGTATCTTGTATAGTTTTTCTTTGCGAATCGAATGGTGTACTCAAAAAAATTAAAGATGTGACAACTTTAGAAGAAAAACGCGATTTTACTTTCCCGCCTTCATTTTTGAAAAAAGCTTTGGATCGGTATGCAGACAAATGTTCACAGTAGCCGTGCACGCGATGTTGCGGACGTCTCATTAGACTCGCATTTTGTGAGAAATAACCGGCTATCTGCTTCAAATTAAGGGCTTCTTCTCTGTAAAATCGATTAAGAAAACAGAAAACACACATTAATAATATAGAAAACACAAATAATCGCTTTCCCAATCGAAACCTGTGTAAAATCATCATTTTTCACCAGGAAAGCATTTTTGCGATTAAAGTGTGAAAATTATACATTAATAGAAAGCTTTTGTGACAAAAAGAACTTTGGTGACAACAGAAAAAATTGAAAATTGAAAGAAACGAAGAAAAAAGCGAAAATCCGGAAGATGGCGAAGCCTGTTTCCCATAGAGCAACTTTACTGCAAAGCGCCCTTTTCGCGGGAACTCAAGCTTTTCTCTCTCCGACTTTGAATTATTTTTTCTCCGAAACTAGGAACTTCTGTACATTTCCAAGTTCACCGTTCGACCTTTTTTTACTGCCCCTATGCCTTTAAAGGCCTTTAAAGGCATAGGGGCAGTTAAAAACGGTGTTTCAGTTCAAAGCAGTACACAGCGTTCCCAAACGAGCGGCAGCTGTGGTCAGTAGGCGTGGCTGACTGCAACAGCGGCACGGTTTATTGCAATAGGGGTAAGAGTAGGTAAGAGTACTCGGAATCAAGAATTAAATTCTGCTAAACCCCACAGGCGGCTGAGGAAAAGCTCGTCGAAATTTTCCCAGCGCGTATATGGCCGCGCTCGGAGCCTTCGGCTAGCAGGTGGCGGCGTGGTGTAGTGGGTTGTGGTCTTGTGCACTATCAATATTGGGACCATGGTTCGAATCCTTTTGGCGGAAATCGTTTTTGCCGGCTCATAACTTTATGCCTTTCTCATTTTTGGGATATTTTTTTCAAGTTTACATCAAAATTTGTAGAAAACTTTTAATAATTTTCTCATGCCTCATTCCGCGCAATTTTCTGTTGAAATCTTCAAAAAACGCCATATCTTCTGACACCTGAAACGCGAAACCGAACGGAAAAGTTTCATTTTTGTTTTTTTACTGTATTATTGTGTTTCCGTTTAGTACACACGTGTCCAAAAAGACAGGTAATCGCTTTTCGTGATTCGTGAATTTTCATAAAAAAATATCTTTTTTTCTTTATCGTTTGCCCATAAAGTAGAAAAAAACCATACAAAAATACAGTATTTTTGTTTTTTTATTGGGATTTTTGTGTTTTTTTATTGTAAAATTTTGAAAAAAATATCTCAAAAAAATGAGAAAGGAAGTGGAACCATGCCCTAGTGAGAGCATTTATAGAAAGAAAAACATCTGCTCTCTCGTTTTCAAACACTATATGCTTTTCGAAGTATCTTGTCTCGAACATTAAAAGTAGAACCGCACTATAATTGTGTAAAAATGTTTTTTTTTAAACTTTATTGCAGGCGGAAACTGAACCAAGATTTTTTTTCAAGATCTGTGAACAGGCAAATAATTGTAAAAGGCGCTTCTATTCAATCGATCCTGTTTCATATGTTAAGCAACAAGATTCACTGTAAGAATAGTGTTTCTCAACAATAACATGTTTGATATTGAATTCCGTGAACCAGTATGATAAAAGCTAGAGACGGTCGATATGCAAATGAAATCGATAGTGTATTTTGAGGGTCGGTTTTGTATGTGAAAAAAACGAGCTTATCAACAAAAAAAAGGGAGTTATAAAAACCAAAAACGCAAAATCAGGAAAATTTCTACTTTGTCTTGATTTGAACTTTTAGACTTGTGCTTGTTGTGTTCCAGTCGCTACTTCTTCCAAACTACTTCCGAAAGAGCCGTCGATCAAAAGTCCACGCAGTTCAGTTCTGTTGAAAGTTGCCTTTCAGAGGCTTCCAACCAGACGCCTGCGTTTAGACCACTCCTCCATGTACCCGCCGCGCATACCGTCCACCAGGTAGCTCAAAACCGAGATCCATGCCTTGGCCGCTTCTCTTTTGGTCCGAACACACTCGGTTTTGGTAAAAACCTGAAATTAAAAATTTTACGTATATTTCTTTGAATGCTCAACTGAAACTTGTTTGCGTCTAAATTTTAAAAAAAACATAGCAAGAATCTGACTTATTATCAATCAAATTCGGACCAATTTAGAGTTTGAAAATTCTGAGAAGATATCGTTCGCATTGCTGTTAAAGCTCGGAAACGAAAATAAAAAATAAAAGACTGCTTCAGGAAGAAATCAATTAGGTCAAACAAATATTCGATCTTATTGTGCTTGAAGAGAACATTTTCAATAAGTCCATGGAGCGTTGCCAAAAGTGTTGAGCCTTTATAGAAAATGAATTGAAAAAAGACCTCTGTGAGTGTCTCGCCGAGCTGGTCGAACAGCACACCGTGGCACTTGTCGCTCATGGAGACGTGCGACGCGCCGATGTCCATGCAGCGAGCTTGGACTAGCTTGGAAGGCTGCTGGAGGTCGTTGAGCAGTGAGTCTAGCAGCTCTGCTAAAACCTGCAATCCGAAATTGATTGCCAGCCACCGTGAGATTCAACCTTGGCGTGCATGTTCAACTCGCAGCACTGCTTCGAGCGGAACCCTTCTACTATTGACATTTTTTGGAACATTTCCCTCGTCGTCGGTGATTTGGTCATCAAAACTCTGATAAATAGTTCTTTTCAACCCAATCAGCTCCTAGGAAATACTTACTTGAAGACTTGAGCAAAAATAGTCCCGTTAGCTTTGATTTTTGGCCATGTTGACATTAGCTGTTGTGTTTGATATCTGAAGTTACAATTGGTAAAGGAGGCGGGAGGAATCTAACGGAGTGAGTTTTAGGGCTTCGACAAACGTCGAATTGTCGACGCTGCTGCCGTTCTCGATGGTTATGGCGGCTCGGCTGAGTCGCCGTCCCTGAGTGTTGCCCATGTCCTCCCCTCCCAGCGACAGCTTTGGTCGGAAGTACCTGAGCGATTTATTCAAATTTACAAATCAACAATTTTCGAAGATCGAAAGACTGTTGAAAAGTTTGAAAACAGTAATTCAGTGGAAAAAATTTCAGTGCACTGAACTGATTATTTTGCTCAATTGAACTCTTGATGAACGAAATTTTTTTTTGGAGCAAGTATACTTTCGAGTATTCTGTTGAAGTTTCGGAACTCATAAACTTACTTCGTTTGCAATGATGATGTGAACAGCTCTTACTTTCTTTTTACCATTTGAATTTTGATTTTCCACGTTTGAACCTATTTATGAAAAACATCTACATCCACTTCATTGCACACGGTATCTTTATTCTGAAATATTCACATTTGTATAGTAGTTATAAAAATGACTTCTGGTGGCTAAATCAGGGGAGTTGGTTGTTAAATCTTTAGAAATCGAGTAGAAACATAAACGGCTTTAAACTTCATTCCTATTCTTAAATTGTTCATTGATCAATTGTTCTACTATATATGTTTGTCGGTTTTCGGAATTCAACTCATTTTTCCTAACTCTGAAGATATTTCTCACAATTCAAAAATAATAACTGACTTAAGCTCCGCGCAATCGGTGGACAGACGGTGGAGGTTTATATTGGACGTCGTCACCTGCCGCGTCTCTCCCGACTTCTGAACGACGGAAACGCGCGGTGTGGAGCTCGTGGAGTGTGTCACCTAAACCTAGTCTATTCAAGGGGGCCATGAGTTTATACTGAATTTCAAAATCGTAGGTATTCCAAAGCTTTTCTTTGACTGTATGACTGGAGAGTTCACATCTTTTGCACTTTGATACCAGGTCTATGAATGGTCAACTGGCGTAATCTAGTGAAAAATTCACAAAAATTCACAGAAAATTCACAGAAATTCACAGAAACAGAACCTTAAAAAACCCGCTAAACTCTCAGACAGAAAAATTTGAAAAAAAGTTTTTCTTTAAAACTTATACTTCTGAAAAAAATTATTTTACAAGATCAGCCGTTAATCAAAGTTGAGTTTCCAGGGCCAACTGTATGAGCTAAGCTTTCATGGACACACGAGTGCCGAAAAAATTTGTCATCTGAATATGATGAAAAGTAGAAGCGCAAAATGTTCAGAAGGCTTGAGAAGGCAGTTGCGGCGAAAAGTCGAGAAAGGTGACGGGGACAAGTGGACAAGTGAAGAATGTTTGCGAAATGACGCTTCTCAGAGGAAAATCAGAAGCAGCCGAGAAGAAAGTCGAGACTCGGAAACCACGATGCCGTCGAATTAGAGCGCCTTTTTCCATTATTCGAACCCGAGGCTCTCTTGCATAGAAGCAAACATTGGAAGTTCCGAATGCGTCCAAATGGCTTGTCCTAACAGCTTTGGTAAGCGTTATGGGGTTTCTAAATGGACTCTTTGCTCGACACCGCGTCGTCAGCATCACATCATCCCATCATTTACTCAAAAAACAGTCATTCCAAGGGTAAGTATTGTAACTCTATTGGTTGTTACAAAAAAACGAGCCACCCAAAAAAAAAACAACATCAAAAGTCTTGAAAAATGTTTGCAAAATTGTGTATCATTCTATTTGGTTTTTTTCTAAAGTAAAGAGAGGAAAATGATGATGTAATTTTGCAGTGACAATGAGTTATCAGAATGAAGATTCCAACCCTGTTTGATAGAAACAGCCTATCTTTTCGATTTCTTTTCAGCAAAAACATGAAGCGAACGTAGTATGTTGAGTGAGACAAACGGAAAGACGTTCTGAATGGCATTTTGGGGCTTTAAGCAGGCGGAATCACCGAAAAAGGGCACGTAGGCAGGGGAATAGTTTTGGGTTCTTTCTTCACAATGCCTCATATTCTCTTGGAACTATTGTTTTAATTTTAGTATATAACCTAAATTTTTGTTCATACATTGGATTATAGTGTCCTGACGAAATTGATAAGCTTCACTTTGCATTGTGGAAGCTTTTTTTAGTTTCCTGAAAATTTTCTCCAACTATCCTGATAAAGGTTCCTTATAGTGGCACCTCCTCAAATGTTTTTGTAGGCATGTGTTTTCAGAGCTCGCCTTTTAACACAAAATCAGGTCTGCAACCAATATTTCACATTTTTGCAAGTTAGTTCTTTTAAAACTAGAAGTCTGCGCGGTTAGCCACTCTATGCAAACTTTCGGAAAACTTCAAACTGTCAGCTAGAACCTTGTCGGATACTTTTTGATGTACTTAGAAGTCAGAGAGTCGCAACCACCCACTCCTTCACTTCTGCAATGATTCTGGTCTGTCTGGGTCCTTTTTTTCTTTCATTCAGGTCAGAAAAACTCATAAATAGCACGTGAAAAAAGTACGATAGAGAGAAAGAGCACAGACAAAATTTTTTTTGGTATTGGCGAATATATCGAAGCCGAAAATGATTGCTAAGTTAATTTTGGAGAGGAAGCAAGAACCTGGCGGAAAAAGGAGGCGTCGACGCTGTGACGTGCCTTGAAGGGGTCGGCGGCAGACTGCTCGTTGCCCATCACCTGCAACTTCATCACTCATCCAAGCCCTTGTCGTTTCGTTTCCGAGGAGCTGCGAGATAAATGGACGCTCTTTTGGAATTGGCTCCGTCTGCGGGTTTCAACATCCGTCAGCACAGATTCGACGTTTTTTAAAGATAGGTTTCGAGAAGAGCTTTGAACAATTTGAATTTTCGGAAAGAAAAGGCGTTCTCAAAACAGAAGATCTTCTTGAGAAATCGAAAGTTGGAAACAATAATTTCAGACTAGCAGCAAACATCCTTTCACAAGGGAATACACACATTGTTAACGAGTTTAATAGGAAATAGAAGCAGTTTCTCCCAAATTTTCCGGGAAAAGACAAACAAATCAAAGCATTTGCACTTCACACCCGGGAATGAGATGAGCATCTCATATCCCATATCAGAGGCTCTCCACGATTGCAAAGTCAGAAAAAAAAAAACGCGGCGGAAAAGCAGCTCATTTGTGGCAAATTTCGGGTTGACTCGCATCGCGTCACGCGATTTATGCTAAATCGGGAGCCTCATTTTGCATGTTACAAACGCGGTTGACGTCGTGGCGAAAGACGTCGCCTCAGGGCGAAAGCCTCGTAACAAAACGGCTATGCAAAAGATTGGGCAAAAAGCCAAAGCCTCCTCAAAACACACGGCAAACTTTCTCAATGCACTCGAAACCTAATCAAAAAAGGATCGAATCAACCATGTAAAAAAAAGAAAACGGCTCCAAGTCTAGGCTGAAGCACTTCACACATCCTCAGAGTTTGATTATCCGAAAAAACGTTCAAAAAAAAAAGAAAACAGTTTTTTTTTGCTTCTGAGTTTTAAGCTTCCATATTCTTTCTTTTTTTTCATAATACATAGTTCCTTCCGTTTTTCTCGAGGCTTCTGAGAATTTTCGAAAAAACGTTACTGTTTTTCACAGATCCTATGAAATATCTAAAGCTGTATATACATACGTATTAGGGCAGTCCCGGCAAGTCATTTTTGAACATATAAACTTTCTGTTAACGAGCTTTGCAATGGACAAAAATAATGGGAGATGGAATAAACATACGATATTTGCTTTTCGAAACTACGATGATAATAGAACATTTAAACCATTAAGTTTGATCTCGGAGATTAAATAGTTCGTTCGCAGGCCTGACTTGATTTTCACTTTTTTAATGCAGAAACATGAAAAAGTAACTAGCCGAAATGGAATTACGGAGAAAAGATGAGTGAGGCTAGGCAAGAGGCGAGGAATTGCGATGCGAGGGTGCTCCTCCCAGTCGGAGATAATGTAAGCGGCGAGTTGGACGAATCAAGGCGACACCAGCCCACCTGGTAGCAAAGATTTTCCTATCTGTGCTCAAAAAGTTCCTGAGCTGAAAAATGAAGGTTTTCGAAGCAACCTCATTTCCTCAAAGCGTAACTAATATTCTGCGACTGCGTAGAAATTGAATAAAAATGCAATCCAATTTCTACACGTCTCAAGCTTACCAGCTTGGTTAGTTTAGTTGCTTAGAAATGAACTTTCGGTAGTTACGATTGAAGTTTGAAGAATATTCTTTGGAGAAGTCATGACGATTTCCCATAGATTTTTTTTAATCATCTCACAAACCTTTGAAAAAATAGATTGGAGATTAGTACTGAAAAACCCCTGAAAAAAATAATAAAAAAATTATTGAAGTAAAACTTTTTAATTCACTATTTGCGCGTCACTTTTCATGCACCGGGTGCAATGCGTAGAAAAACATCTAACCGCGCGGAAGCATAAAAAGCTAATTTTTTTCCTCTTTTTAAAATGTTTTCAATTAATTTTCCTTTTATTTTTTTTTCAAATCTCGTTTCAAACTTTAGGAGCCTTTAAATAAAACTTGCTGTTTTTTATTAGTATAAGTGTTCAACTTTTCCATAAATTTGAATCTCAGGCGCACTGAAAAAAAGTTATACGTCAAATTATTTACTTATAGGAAAAAAATTTAAATGGCTTCAAAAAAAGTTTGTTTATGAGATGAATATGAACAAATAAATATATTTCGTCATATTTTTCAGGCCCGTTAGACCTTCATTCCAATATGGTACGCTTTAATCTCAGTTGAAATTGGTCTACTTAACATCAAACCGTGAATAATTTTTAGGTGATCGGATGTCGGCGCCAGAGGAGCGCAGGCAACAACGTCGAGTCAAAAAGATGAAAAAGAAGATCGACGAGCTTATTTCTCTTGGAAAAGCTTCTGAAAAGGAAGTTGAAGAATTGAAAACTGCATGCGAAGGTGCCCAACCCGCAACTTCCACACCCATCGGTATTCCATGATTGGTGAAAAATTTGTATTGTTCATTGAAGCTGCGATGTCCAGAACTGCTGTTGCGATTACGAAAAAATTAACAGAAGCTCGGATAGAAAAAGTAGGAGGTCCCCAGATTTCTTTTACGCTATCTCGCCTCAACGGTCATCATATAGGAAACTGTGGTAGGAAGTTTTTTTTTCACAACTCTATGGCTGAAAGTAAACGTCTAGACATTTCTCAGCTCATCCACTACACGACCATCGGTCCGCTGATATCAAAGCCTAGATGGGCTCAAATCCGTCCAAATCGTTCGGCTCTTCAAACAGTTCTGGTCCGCGTCAACTGTCCTCACAACTATATCGTGAGCTCCGAGGGTCTTCAATCTCTTTTTTATTTTTTTCTTTCCAGGAAAGAGGAGAGACCGGTTTTCCGTTCATTGATACGTTTTTTGAGCGCGAATGGATAAAAACAGATAACGAAGTAGGGGAGAGAGACAATTTTTGGCGTAGTGTAGTATTTGTACCCGTCTCTATACAAGAACAAATCAGGGAAACAGTTTTGGTTAGTGCTCTCCAATCTCTTTCTCGGATGTTTCCTTTGTTTTCAGAAGCAAGAACGCGCCGATTTGGCTGGTCAGAAGGCGTCTTTGAGGCCAGATCTTCTGATGAGCTCCGCAGACATGGTCGACCACTTCTATCCGTTTCCTGACGGACAAGCGATTATTCCCACAAAAGAAAGGTTTTTTTCATAACAATAATCAAAACTGCTCTGTTTGGCGTTCATTTTAGTGATGAAAGGTTTGACAAAAAGGAAACAATATCTTTATGTTTTCCATTACGCGCACAAATAATATTAAAAGAAAACTAATTTTTGTATCGGCATTGTATAATCTCAATGAAGATTGGGAATAACGCAAGTAAAACTGAAAAAATAATTTGACTCGAAGCTTTAATATTTTTTTTAAATCAAGCGTCTTTTTTGCATGAACCATACAAAAAAAAAGTAATTTTCTGCTCAAGGAATTGTTAATGGCAAACAGTCTGTGAATTATCCTGAATAAAAAGGACTCCTTGTTCTATTTCAACGATTGAAGACGGAAAAAGTTGAACGATACGTTTGAAACTTTGAAGATACGCCCCGGTGACTGCGGATTCTCCTTTATTCGCTCTTGACTGCGAAATGTGCATAACTGCTGCTGGACACCACGAGCTGACGAGGATCTCAATTGTTGGATTGATTGCGATACTCTCAATTTTGTCAAGTTTTCCTGCAGATTGACGAGGGGGGTCGTGTTCTTCTTGATACCCTCGTGAAGCCTTCGAACCGTATAACGGTAATTTTGTTTCAATGCCAATTTCCGAGTATTTTTCTCTGAAGGACTACCTCACTCGTTTCTCGGGAATCACCGAGGAACTCATGCAAGGCGTCGAAGTCACCCTCGCCGATGTGCAAAAAGTTTTTTGTTATCTTGTTTGATTTTCAATTCGCAAAATTTAGGCCATAAAAGCTATCCTGCCGCCGGACGCGATTCTCGTCGGCCATTCGATGGAATTCGACCTCCGAGCTCTTCAAATGGCTCATCCGTAGGGCCAAAAAAAGTTGGCCGCCTGTAAATTTTCTTTGCAGCTATTGTATAGATGCGACTCTTGCTTTCAATATTTCCGGTGCTACAAACTCGAAAAACAGTCTGCGAAATCTGGTTTCTCTATTTCTGGACGAAGAGATCCAAGTGAGACTTGCTCTTTTTCTGTCCTAACTCTTCTGATTGGAGACCGGCGAGGGCCACTGCTCTGTTGAAGACGCTTGGGCGACTATGCGACTCATCCAGTTGAAGTTGAATAAAGGGTCAGTTTTCGTTGATTCAATAAGTCTTCAGTCTTCCGCTTCAGTTTTCTAGAAGGAAATTTTTCTCAAACTAATACTAAAATTTTTTTTTCCAAAGGCAAATTTTCGAAAGTTTTGAAAAAATTTGTTTTTGATTATGTGTTCGATAGGCTTGTATACGGGAATTCGAGGTTTGGCTGGGACTTCCAAGCTTTTCGGAAGGAGGCCTCGAGAGCAGAACATAACGAAGTGGTCAAGAAAAGAAGAAAGGTCACTGTAAGGTTTGGTCATAATTTTAGTTTTGGAAAGATTTGACTTTCGTAGCGGAAACCGGTTATGCGTCGGGTGCAAAAGAAAGACCAACATCGACTGCATCGTCGTCGACTGTCAGTGTGCAGGAAATGCGCCGGAAAGATGCGTTTTCTGCTGTGGCCAGGTGGAGAGCGTTCAAGGAGATTTCGACTGGAGGCACGTTTCAATCGAATTGAAAAAAAAATAAGATCCACTTGATTGTCGTTAGTATTCTTCTCTCACTTATATTTTGGTCAGGAAAACTTAAATATTTTTTCTAGGTAATCTAACTAGGGCATGGTCTCCGCTCGACAACGAGTTGAGAATTGGGACTTTGTGGGTGGATAGGCCTAGGTGAGAGTACTCGGAATCAAGAATTAAATTCTGCTAAACCCCACAGGCGGCTGAGGAAAAGCTCGTCGAAAATTTTTTCAGCGCGTATATGGCCGCGCTCGGAGCCTTCGGCTAGCAGGTGGCGGCGTGGTGTAGTGGGTTGTGGTCTTGTGCACTATCAATATTGGGACCATGGTTCGAATCCTTTTGGCGGAAATCGTTTTTGCCGGCTCATAACTTCATTCCTTTCTCATTTCTGGTATATTTTTTTCAAAATTTTACATCAAAACTTGTAGAAAACTTTTATTTCTACTACTTTTCTCATGCCACGTTGTTCTTCTTGTATTGAGGAGGTTATTTCAAAATATTTTTGTTGGAAGACAGACAAGCGGCAGCATAGTTATTAAAGATAAGCTCATTCCGCGCAATTTTCTGTTGGAATTTTCGAAAATCGCTAAATTTTCTGACACCTGGAACGCGAAACCGAACGGAAAAGTTACTTTTTTGTTGTTTTATTTTTATTTTGTTTCCGTTCAGTACACACGTGTCTAAAAAGACAGGTAATCGCTATTCGTGAATTGTGAATTTTCATAAAAAAATATCGTTTTTCTTAATCGTTTGCTCATAAAATAGAGGAAAAAAAAAAAAAAATTTCAGATCAGTATTTTATTTTTTGTTGGGATTTTTGTGAACTTTTATGGTAAAATTTTGAAAAAAATATCCCAAAAATGAGAGAGGAATAAAGTTATGAGTCAGCAAAACGATTTCCGCCAAAAGGATTCGAACCATGGTCCCAATATTGATAGTGCACAAGACCACAACCCACTACACCACGCCGCCAGTTGCTAGCCGAAGGCTCCGAGCGCGGCCATATCCGCGCTGGAAAAATTTCGACGAGCTTTTCCTCAGCCGCCTGTGGGGTTTCGCAGAATTTTATTTTTGATTCCGAGTACTCTCACCTAGGCCTATCCACCCACAAAGTCCCAATTCTCAACTCGTTGTCGAGCGGAGACCATGCCCTAGTAAGAGAGGTTATCTGAAATAACTTCATACTCTGATTTTTTTTTCACTTCTATTTCGAAAAAGATGCAAAAAACATAGTGAGAGGATTTTTTCATATCAATTTAGGGAATTATTAAAACAATTTATGCTTTTCTCAATCAATCTTTAAATTTTAAGCGCTTCTTTGAAAGTTGACAAATCAACAAAAACTCGTCCGCTTTCCTATTACATGCAAGACACAAAGAAGACGGCTCTCTGTGCAATTTACGACGTTCCAGAACTTTCCGTCACCGAATCAAGAACGTGGGTTTTCGATGCGAACAAATTTTTTTCGAATTATAAAAGTCTGCAATATTCGCCGAAACCATTATTTCGATGTAAGTAACATTTCTAATGAGGAAAAAGGAATTAAAAATTTCATAACAATCGAAAAAAAGATTCAACAAGTTTTGAAACAGATTGGAACCTCAAAAGTTTAAAAGACGGTACGAACTGAAGCGGTCTTTTATAAATTAGATTGCTATTTTGCGACAAAAAACACGAGCGAAAAGAAAGTCAATAAGGACAAGGCTGTGTAAAAAAAAAATAAAAAACTAGGGAACTGCTCGAGCTCGGATACGTGTATCACGTTGAGACTATGGTGGCTTACAGACTTGGGTAAGAGTACTTGGAATCAAGAGAGACCATATGTTAAACCCCATAAGTTTCTGAGAAAAAGCTTCTCGAAGAAACCCAGGATGAGTCCTGTACGCTTTTGAACCATCCTCTCTCACCGAGGTGGGGTGTCGCAGTGGTTAGAGGGTCAGTCTCATGATTGACTTTTCTGAGTAGGTCCGATTCCTGTCGAGGGCAAATCATTTATGAATTTTTTCTAAAGACGAAATTCTTTGGAAAAGTACGAAATCCGAAAAGAAGTTTCGTCAATATAGTTACTTATTTCCGAAGTGGTTCAGGAAAAATGTTGACAGACATATGACTTTCATTCAATCGCTTAATGAGAGAATAACTGAACCAAGATAAAGATAATTTCATTAATTTTTCATCATCAGGTTTTTTTGTCTTCAAGGAGGAAAAAAATCTTTAAGGAAAAAAATTTGCCCTCCACAGGAATCGAACCTACTCAAAAAAGTCACTCATGAGACTGGCCCTCTAACCACTGCGACAGTCCACCTCGGTGAGAGATGATGGTTCAAACGCGTACTCTTCTTGGATTTCTTCGAGAAGCTTCTTCTCAAAAGCCTATGCGGTTTAGCAGATAATCTCTCTTGTTTCTAAGAGCTCTTACTCAAGTCTATAAGCCACCGTAGTTTCAACTTGATACGCGTACTCGAGCCCAAGTAGTTTACTAGTAAGAGAAAAAGTCCAGAAAAGCCTCGTTGGAATCTTTTTTCCTTTTTTAAATTATCATTCTCCATCATTTCTGTTTGATTTTTTTTTTTATCATAGTCTCTTTTCTCAATTTATATAGGAACATTAACAGTCCGGATTTTTTTTTTCTCAAAAAGTAGGAAACGTCGAAATTTTTTTAAAAAAATTCTAATTTTTAATGGAAATGACATACCTGAAATGGGAAAAAATCGCTGATGGAAATTCCGCTAACTTGTAATTCGTACCGTCAGTTAAATAATAAAGTGAAGTAGATTTGAAGAAAAACAGAAAAACTTTTGAAAGCTTCTAATTTTTCTGCCTTTTGAACATAATGCGAAATGAAAAATCTAATTAGAACTCCAATGGACAGTGCAGTTCAGAGTGAAGGTTCTTCATCCGAGTATCAACCAGGACGATTTCGTCGAAGAGTTAGCTTGTGAAATCTTGACGCATCAGATGGTTTTGACTGAGCTCAACTATACCAATCGAGAGCACGAGGTTCTACTCGCGTCTTAGCAAATGATAACCTTTTCAGTTGGTTCACTGCTCTGATAAAGATTCTGAGACCACGGAAGAAGCCATTTTGAGACGCGTTTCATCCGAAATCGACACAAACGTGGAGAAGCTCGTGCGGGCGTGCGCGAAATATGCTCTCGTGATGGTTTTGTTGAGCAGCCCCACGAGTTCAATTTTGTATTTACGAATCAAACCGTGAACTGTCTCCAATTTTTTGTTGTTAATGTTGTTGTTTTTTTTTTCTGTTCATCCTTGAAAAAGATTTTTAAAAAAAGTTCATTAAATAAAAGTTCACAACAGTAACAATCAAAACAACAAAAACTTTTCAAGCGATTTTGGCTTTTTTGACTTTTTTCTTCAGTTTTTCAAGATCTAGCGGCGCAGCCTCTCTTTTCTTTGTTTCCTTCGATCGAGGCTGAAATATTCATTCAACTGGTCTCTGTCATGGTTGTTCTTTGAAAACAGTAGCAGAAATACGTTCGCCTATTCTCAATCAAAAGTCACACAATTTTAGACCATTTATTCGCACATGTATTCTCAAAATGCTCCCTTTTCACTTTTTTTTTCGATGAAATTCGAATTTACTAAAGAAAAACTGAATCTATTGAATTTGCGAGCACAGCTTTACTTTGAAAGTTCTACTATGTAAACTCTGTTCTATTTCGCGGAAAAAAAAACCTTTTCTTCTTTTTGCTGGAAGACTTTGAGCTTCTGCTGTTGCCTTTCAACGCTTTTTGCTGCTCCCGCTTCCATCTTAGCTCTAAAAGGTACAGAAAAAAGTTGATTATTATCCCAACAGTTTTTCTTCTGATTGAAGCTAAAATTTCCAAAAAAAAATTACCTTCGAGTCCATGGTGCATTATAATTTAAAAAAAACTATTTGAAGAAACTCCTCATAAGCTATTCTAAATTCACCTTTTGTTGTTGGTTTCCCGTTGACGTTCGTTCAAGAAATACTCGCCGCTCTCCAGTTGCTTGTCGATCTGAATTCGGATATGCAGTAACTTTCTACTGTCTGGGAAACCTTGCTTAGTTGAGGCGCCGGAGGGAACGGCGTGTACTCGCTCTTCTTCTTGAAACTCTTCGCCTTCTTTTTCTTCGCTTCTTTCGTAGAAGTTGAAGACTGCATCTGCAACGTTTCAACGTTGGCAATCGTCTAAGCATTGAGAAGAACTTGCGAAATCTCACCTTCTTCTTGAATTTAGGAAGAAACCGATCCCAGTTTTCATCTCTGAGCTTTTCGTCTTTTGAAAGCTCTCGCTTGATCATCAGCGATTTGATGTTGTAGATTGGATGGATATTGTTCATACAGTCCGTCACGATTTGACTGAGATTCGGAATGCCGACTTAGTTACTACGAACGAAGAAACTCACTTCACTTGCTTCAAACCGCTCAATGGGCCAACCGCGCAGACAGTTCCGCCCTGTAATTTCGCCGAAACATTGATAAACATCCCCAAAAACAACCTGTACACACACGAAACATTGGGTGAGAAGTTCGAGAGCTTTGAGAGTTGCCCCGTTGTTTCCAATCAAACGGGCTCTTCTTTTCACGAAACGTTCTTTGTTATGAACCTAAAACTATCGAATTTATGTTAGAAAAGATCGGACCTCGGTAACAAAAACCAGACGTTTCTGACCAATTCTAGGGATTACTCGAAACTGCTGACGCTACTTAAAAGTGGCCACTAAAAATTTCCCAACACGCCCGATTCGCGTTACCAATGCCTGAGGGTGTTTATCGGAACTACTGCGTGAAAAACAAAAAGTTATCAACCATAGACGAAATTTTGATGATTTCGCAGAAAATCTCGTCTTCAAGAACGCGGATTGCCTGTTCGTATGGAACACTCCGGCTCAGAAGCTTGATGACGTCACGGGCTTTTATCAAAACGTAAGGATCCCATGTTTTTCTGGTTGTTTTAACTCGCATAGTACCTGGAAAAGAATGAATTTTTGACGTTTTGAACTACTTTCCACCTTCAAGGACGTCGAGATCGGCTCTGAGAAAATGTTCCTGCATGGCTTTTTCGATTAGCGGCCAACTCTCGCGAATGTACTTTTCTCTGTACTTTGGAAAGAGGCAGGAGAATGATGATTCAGCAACGAGGCCATGTGGATTGTCTTCCTGAACCGGGAAATTTTTCTGCAGAATGAAGAGAAAAAAGGCTGACTTTATTAAACGTAGAAATGTCCCACCAATGAGGATCTTTTCGAGACCCGAAAGTCGATGCAGTGGCTTTTCTTTCGGCTCTAAATTCATCTTGTTTTCCTTAGTTCGTTCCGAGAAAGTGAAATGCAGAAATACATTTTAGAGCGGTATGTAAGAATAACGTAAGTCTCGATTAATTGTTATTCTTCCATCCAATATTATACTAAAAAGGAAAGTTTCATAAAATGACGAAAATTAAAATTTTGTGAAACAGAGCATAGATCTAGTTAGTCGAAAAAAAACCTTTTTTAATTTGACCACGAAAAAAAGCAAAATTATAGGTAGAAGTAAGCGATGCAGACATCTTTGCGCAGAAATTGGAATTTTTTGCAAAAAAAATGTCTCAATTTCTTCTGAATTTCGCACCAAATCGGTTACTTCCTATCACTAAATTTTTCTCATGCCTGAGTTAAAAATAATGGTGGGGTATTTATATGAGGATAACTTGAAAAGAGAATACCAAAAATCAAAAATAATTAAATTGACAAAACAACAAAAATTAAACAAAAAAATTATTTCGTTTTTTTTTGAAATTACGGGGTTTATTTAAAAAAATAGTTCTCTTTAAGAAGATTTTTTTAAAAATTCATTTACAGATCTTGCAAGAGTATCATCATTTTTCGAAGATTATTAAAAAAAAAAACTTTAACTAACTTTTCCCCGTCTTTTTGGTCAGCCCAGTCGGGTTCGTATTCGCTTTCCTCTCTTTTTGATCCTGTAGAGTTTTTCATCTGCTGCAAAAAAAAATTTTTTATCAAGTATTGATACGGAACGATTATGAGAGAAAACATTAAATGGCAAGGAATGTTCAACCGGCTATCCGGCATCCGAGGAAAAATATCGAAGAGCGTATTGACCGCAATTTAAGAAGTGTATGCACACGAAAAAGGTTTGAAAATAGTTTTTCCAGAGCTCCACACCAGGGTTGTGCGAGATGAGATTTTTTGAGTTTGAGACGAGAGAATTTTTTCAAAAAATTTCGGGACGAGATCGAGATGATGTGTTGTCTCGATCTTTCGAGACGAGACATTTTCTAAGACCCGTCTCGAAAAATCAAGACGAGATCGAGCGAGAAACTTTTCAGAAGTTTTCAGACAAAAGTTTTCGAAAAAGTTTTTCTTTCGTTTTGCCCCACGCTTGCTGCATTTCAGAAAAATTATCATATTATAGTCGATGTGCCACAAGTTGAAATTTCATGGAACGACACTCCGCTGTTTCGATTTGTGCGGTAGCGCGCATCTTGCGAATTTGCCAACTTCGGCTACGCTAATTTTTTTGGTTTTTAATTCTAATTTTGATCGTTTTTTTAATTGTTTTATTTCTTTTTAAATGTGTTATTATCGTTGAAAAAAAGATTGCGTTGTACAAATGTAAACGAAAGAACACAGTAAATTTCATGATCTTCCTCGAAAAGAGGGATAAAAAAAGTGTTTTTTTGTTAAAGCCATGTTTTAATGTTTTTCATCGTTTTTTCTGTTTGTCGCAGTTGTTAATGGATTTTTTCAGAAAGTGAGTGGCTTATAAAATGAAGATTGAAATCAAAAAAATTAGCGTGGCCGAGGTTGGCAAATTCGCAAAAAGCGCGCTACCGCACAAATCGAACGAAACAGCGGAGTGTCGTTCCATGAAATTTCAACTTGGGGCACATCGACTATAACGGTAAAATGTTTTTCACGAACAATTTTTCAAAATGATTTCTCAGAAAGTAACAAAAAAGTTTGGAGAATAAGATTTAATAGAAAATTTGCGAAACCACTTTGACATGTGAAAAAGTGTGAAAAGACGTGAAAAATTTCAAATTATTCCGCGAACTAGGCAAAACTGGTGTTCCGAGAGCCCTGTGAAAAAAATGGGTCTTAAAAAGATTTCTTGGGAAATGGGGGCATTTATTCGTTGACTTTCACGCGAATTAATTATACTTAAGTTAATATTATAATATAAGTTAATATTAACTTATCTATTCAAAAAATTTCATTTTTGCGCGTCGAATAAGAAGTTTTTTTTCTACTCGGACAAAACACCGAACCGTACGCCATTTCTCTCTTTTTTTTTCTTTTTTTATCACCCTCCTGATTCCTCTAAATTTCTGTTGCTTATATCTCGAAAATATCTCGTTGGAAATGAACTTTCGTCTCGATTTTTCGAGACGAGACGAGGCAATTTCAAAATCTGTGTCGGTAATTCGAGAGGAGACGAGACGAGTGAATTTAGCATCGAGACGAGCGCGAAACGAGCTCGTACGAGATCTCGTCTCGAAATTCTCGAGAAATTTCGAGACGAAATCGAGATCTCGCACAACCTTGCTCCACGCGCATGTTTGAGACAGTACTACGGCGGCCGGTGGCCGGTCCAAATTGCGCAGTCAGTTTCGGAGCCTGGAAATTTTTTGAATTATTTTTTCTTTTTTGCAATTTGTTAAGGACCTATTTCTCGAGGTTAAAAGGTCATTCACGTCACAAAAAGTACACACGATTTCATTTTATTATTGATAAACTTATCCAAACTACCGTAATACGACCGGCCATCTTAAACAGGCGTGTCCACCCAATACTATGGACTATATACCCACGAAAGGACGGAAAAAGGCTGTAAAAAGGAAACCGTTGTCATCCGTTTAGGAAAAATTAATTAATGAAAACCTTTTTGTACCCATAAGGAACGCTCAAAGGGCCTGTAAAAGGTCTTTCCGACTTTGCATATATAACAAGTGAAGAGTACTTTTCGTTGAAATTTTTAGCCTCCGGTATTTGTACAGCTTACCTCACGTGAATTAACAAGGGATTTATCATTGGGGCGCTCTTTTTCACACCTCTTTGATTTTTTTTATTTTTTTCCATCTTCTCGTACATTGGTAACGCCAAACGGATCTTCAAGGCACGCCTGTTTAAGGTGGCCGGTCGTATTACGGTAGTTTGGATAAGTTTTTCAATAATAAAATGAAATCGTGTGTACTTTTTGTGACGTAACTTACCTTGTAACCTCGAGAAATAGGTCCTAAACAAATTGCAAGAAAGAAAAAAAAATAAAAAAATTTCCTGGCTCCGAAACTGACGGCGTAATATTGACCGGCGCCGGTTTTTTTTTTTCACGTTTGCTAATTTGAAGAACTTTATTAAGGCCACCGCACTGCCTTAAACATGCGTGGTAAATTTTATAATATTTTTATATATTATTATTCCATTCCCCTATATTAATTTTTAGATTGGGAGTGTCATTTTTTTGAATTATTTCGAATATTCGACTACGATGACGGAATTAGAAAACTGTTTTACGATGAATGAATAAGCATGAACACTTTAAATGGTAATTTATTATACTGTTAATATTAAGAACGGTCAGTTTATCGTCATTTTTTTTACTTGGGTCCGTTTATCAACGTATATTCTATGTATGTCAATTAGATACAGAATCCTACATAGGTAAAACGGAAAAGCTCCTTTGAGGATCCTCAAATTATCCTGAGAGGAAGCTTAAAAAGTTCCTCTAAAACCTCCTAAAATGATGTAAAAAAGCTTTTGAGCTCCTTTTTCATAGCCTCAGAGGATCCTTTTTGAATCCCCTCGAATCTTTTTAGCTGCTTTCCAGCATCCTTTTTGTTAGAGGATGTGAAAAAGATGCAAAAAATAAATGATATTAAAAAGATCTGCTGGGACCATTTCAAGATTTTTTTTGAGAAAAGCTTTTGGAGAGCTTTTCAGTTTTGCCTGAGATGAGTTAGCCGCAGCGGGGGTTTGGCGGCGGTAGCCCCCAATTTCAAAAAGCCGAACTGAGTGACCGGTGTACCGTTAGCCGCCTAAAAAGACGTTGCCTCCCCATCACCGCGTAGAGGTGGCACTTGAAGGGGTTATTTGAATAACTGAACAAAAATGTTCAATAAACTTACTTTTTCTCGATCTTGATTTCGCGAATTTTTTTCATTTTTTTGAACTTCAAAAAAATTTTTGATTGAAGCTTTCTTCTCATGCTTTTTTTTTAAATCTTTATTTCCATCGTTCCTCCAAAAAAATAATTGAAACGAGTTTTTTTTAAAAAAAAAGTATAGCGAAAGACTGGTTTTCGAAAAAAGTTCTAATTTCTTACTGATCACTTTTTCAATGAGAAATTGAAACGAGAATCATTCACTTTTTTCTCTGTTCAGCAACATCGTTTTTGTAATGAAGAAAAATTTGGAATTTTTACAGCCAATTTTTCTCGACTTGAGAGCACATCTGTTCAGCCCGTCCGGTTGGGCACACTGTATGTTTAAATTGTGCATACACCAATAGCGGTTTTTGGGCGATATCTTCGTTAATAACGAGTTTTTTGTACGAAAAAATGAACAGATTTGAAGAAAAACGCAATTAGAACATTCAATGATACAATATAAGTTTTAACAATTAAGTTTTTGCAAACGCTAGCAAGCCTTAAAAAATGGCCTAATTTGGGGAATGTGTATTTAGTAAGTAAAAAGATTTTTTTTTCTGTAATGTTTCATCTATTAACGTCGGAAATAGCCTTGTTTATTTTAATAAACAGAAAAAATGATCGAAAATGGTCTAGTATGGCCAGCGGAGACGGCGCAGTGCAAACCGGACGGGTCCCTGTAGGTCTGAACTGCTGTGAGAGACGAAAAGCTGCTAGGGTGAAGCGTTGCGTACGCACGCGGTTTCCGGCGAAAAACGTAAGGTCAAACAAGAATCATGGAAAGACGCAGAAAAATAAGTTTATATTATTTTCATACTTTTATTCGCTCAACTCAAATTTTGCACGGCCTTATCTGGACTGGGGCTGGCGACCATCGGATATAATATCAAGCAAAAAGAAGACCGACCCCTCAGTAGAAACGAGATAAATGTCTAAATATGTAATATTTTCTAGCACCAAAAGAGTTTAAGTATCAAATTTTTTAAATTTTAACTTCAAATTTTTAATGTTTAGTAGGAAAACTTGAGTCTATGAAATCGAACGAATCTCAGTCATAAGAAGTAGACTTTATCTTTAAATTGTCTAAAATCAATAGTTTTTAGATGTTAGAATCGATTTTAATCGTTAAAAAGGTTTTTCAGAGCGCGGACATATGCTCCGACAATCTCGGATAAACACACCGGACCTCCGCGACCTGTCGAAATTGCCGTTTAAATATTTCCTTCTTCTGCTGCCCACTTTGTGGTATGTTTTTTTCCTTTTTTTAAAATTATCATTCATGGAGAATATTTTTTTCTTTTGATTGTATCTATTCTGATGGGGACACTTTCAAAAATTTTTGTTAAACCTCTATTAGTTTAAATTGAAATTATTATCAATATACGGATAACTTCAAAAAAAAGCAGTCGTTGTCTCTTTTTTTTTGAATCTTGTGGTAACAATATACTATTTTCTGAATTTAGTTCTTTTTGCAGATACACCTCTCTCCTAGACCATTGAATCAACAGAACTACAAAATGTGTTCTCGCGTACGAGGACAATAAGCGGCTTTGAAGCAACAGCCATGTCAGGATACAAAAAATCGGACTCTGCCGTTTTGCACGATTAGCCGCCACGAGCACCATCATTCCACCGCTCTTCGCCTCTCCCGATAGCCGTTCTAACCTCTGAAGCAACGTTTCATCATGTTCTCGTGAGTTTAAACATTTTTTGTAGAATTTTCCACCTTTTCCACTTCGGTTCAAAAATAACGTATTTTGGGGTTTATTTTCCCTGAAATTTGATTAAATTGAATCTCAATAAGCCTATGATTTTTTTCATGGCGTCAAGGACTAAAAAAAAGGGTGTTTCCGGTAGCAATTAGGCGAAATTGTGTCCGCAGCTATTGAGCCCAGCTCCGTTTTCTTCCTCACTTGGTCTCTCTTTGACTTCTCACGAATTCTTTTCTTTTCAGTTTTCGAAATATTTTGATACGAAAGAGACAGCGGTCAAAGGATTTCATATCGTTTCGTTTTTACGGTTGTCACTACATTTTCAGTTTTTTTTTGGATTCTAGAGTAAAAGTCAAATGAAATAAGTCCAATCTTCGTTTCACCAAGAATCGCATGTAATTATGAAAGAGAGGAGCGAGAAAAGAGGCAGCGAGGAGCTCATCCAGCTCAAAAAAGAGGCACCAACTCTATTAACGCGCATGCGCACTCTCCGAAGCTCACACTCGCCATCCGGCCGCTGATTGCACACTTCTTTTAAGTTTTCTCTCTTTTGGGAGATCTTGTAATAAAATGGTTATTCAATTTGATTCAGACGGAAGGATGAGTGGAATTTCTCTCATTCCAAGGACGAATAGATTTTTTCTGTTTTTTTTTTTAAATGAAAGAAACGATATTAAAATTGAAACTTACTTTCACCGGTTTTTTTTGTTTAAGAATGTCAAAAAATACGAAAAAAATTATTTGCCAATAAAATAGGCCTTAAATATTTTTTGAACTCTATCAGTCGAAATAAATTACCTAGTCGCTAAATATCCATTTGGTGCCCCTCCTTCTCATTTTTTCAAGCCTTTCTTGATGATGATTTCGAAGCTAGTCTATTATACGTTGCGCATTCAAAAAAGAAAGACTTCCAATTCTCAACTCATTACGCGCAAAGCCAGTTTCTTTGAATTCTTAATCTCGTTGTGTCACAAAAAAGCTATGAAAATTTTGGACAGATGCATAAATAATTCGCAGACATGCATCCAGGGCAAATTTGATATTTGTCTGGTGCTCAAAGGACTTCAGAGAGAGTTTTTGGAGCATATCTTTTCCGAGATGTTTTTGCACTTTGCACAAAAAAGGGCAATAATCGAAAGATTTTTTAGTATGGTTGCTTAAAGCACAGAGAGTGGCTTTTTTGGGCGACACAAGGTTGCCCCAGCGACATCTCGCGGCAAAAGCCTAATTCCTCGCTCATTAGGGCTCCACGCTTTTTCCTCGGACGATTGTGAGATTCTCATACGCGAAAGCGCGCTCTTTACATATCGATTCTTTTTTTTAACCAACGGTTTTTTTCGTATAAAGAAGTTTGCTGAGCATCTGCCATAACTGCTGACAACTTTCTTAAGTTTTGCCGATAGAGCTGCACTCCTTTGTTCTGCGAAGTTTTTGCACATGCAGCTAGTTCTTTGGAAAATGGCTGAGAAAGAATGAATGAGGTTCAGACAATATCCATTTTTGGAATTCTTCGTTGGAAGGATTCTCCTCAAAAAGTGGTTGTTTTTCAGTTCAGTTAAAATGCGCCATTATGGATGGCTCACAAATTAGAGATGGACCAGATTTTCTTTCCGGTTTAGGGATTTGTGCAAAATTTTCGAACATGTGAAAATTTCACGTAGACTTTTTAACAGCTGTGCAAGGAAAAATTTAGCACGCGCTGGTCACTCTAATTGTCGGACTTTCCCGCCTTTTTGAACAATGTTTCTCCTATTTATAAATCCAGGGCTATATGGCCTAACAGGAGAAGTCATTTTTAAGCGATGTTTGAAACTTACTGTAAATTCGTCAAAACTCTTCGAATTCAATACTTCACTCGAAAATGACCTTAATTGTGAGCAAATGTTTATCTTTTTTTGAATATCGTTCCGGGGAATTTTTATTCGTCATTCATCAACTAGAAAAATGTTTAACTCAACTAGTTTCAGCGAACATTCAAATATGAACAAATTATAGCCAGTGATTCTTATAAATTTTTGAAATTTGAAATTTTATTCAGTCTTCAGAGTAAGTTCTCTGCTGAATCATGGAATAATTGAAGAGTTGTTTGTCGGTTCGCGATAATGTCGTTGATCAAGCGTAGGCGCGTAGAGCATCTCGCCTCTCTTGTGCTAGTAGTAGACGATTTTCGAGCGTTTCCCACGATCACTGCTTCTCCATGTAGGAACAGTACGGCGCCCAGCTTGTCCAGGGCTGGCGGGCGTCGGATTATATCTCAGGCGAGAGCGGAAATGAAGACCGACCACTCGGGTAGTAGAAATGAGATAATTCTCTATTCTTATAAATATTATTTGAAAAAAAGTCTAGTTTTTTCAACGTTTTTATTAAAACCGTGACTCGTTTAAATTGCTCAAAATTTTCAACAAACAACTTTTGTGAAGAAAACGAACGTTTCAAGACAACTTTTTTTTCATAAAGTTGTAACTAGAAAATTAAGCCAGCTGTCTCTACCTGATTAAAAATCAGTTTCAAGTATTATATGTCGAGTTGAAAGGATTTCTGGTGGTAAGGAGGCTTAGTGGAACTTGACTTCGACTAGTAGGATGATAGGTGAAGGAAGAAGAGTGCGGCCCTGTGAGCAGGTATGATCGATGCGCTTTACCCTTTTTTGAGCTTGCAGAGGGCGCCCATTTCAGCCGCGTGCTCCGTCCGTTTTTATCGATGCATGTCTCCCAGTGTCACTTCATCCCGCCCAAAATATTCCCACGCTCATTCGTTTCCCACCAGAGACACCATGATCCACTCTTTTTCTTCCATTTGTAGCTCGGTCCTCCATGTTTTTCTCGTCTGTGATTCTCCAGAATAATGGAAAAAATAGTCTCGAACATTTGCTGAGCAACCTGTTCTGATTATATTTTACCAACGTCTATTAATAGTTACCTTAAACCACTAACTGGACTTCAAATCAGAAAGCTTGCAAGCACAAAATCCAGAGGACCTTTTCAAAAAAGAAGTGCACTACTCGAAAATTTTCTTTGCTGCGAGAAACTCCTTTCGAGTTTCTTTTTCCCCCTTTTTTTCTAAGAAATGGACCTTTCTATCGGCTCTCGAGAATCTTCTGTTCCGAATTTTTCTAACATTCCCTATTTCTCGAAAAATTAAAAATGTATATATATATATGCACAAAAATTTTTGACATTCCATTTTATAATTACGTAAAAAAATATAGTGGGTCTTACAAACATAATCTGTTTTCAGACGTTTTTCAAAAATGAAGTTTTGTGATGTGCAAAAGGGTGTATACAGTGACTTGTGAGTTCCGAGTCGACGATGAATCGACTAAATTGGCTTTTTCTGTTGCAAATTATCATACAATTTTTGGCGTTTTTTTTGTTTTGCAGCCATGAAATCACGTATTTACTCGTTTCTTCCTTCTGAGAAAAAGTTTTTTTCTCAGGAATAAAAGCCACTTATTTTTTCCAATAAATAATTGTCCGCTACCAACATGTAAAGCATTAATATTACCCCGTCCCGCGGTATAACAATTTCGCCAGTGAATCTTCCAAGAAACCTCGAATTTCTTCTTTTTTGATTGGATAATTGAATTCGCAAAATTTTCAGTTTTCGAGCAAATGAGTTTAATTTGTAGGATGTCGTTAACAAAAAAGAAAGATGAAGAGAAGGAGAAAAAATTCCTGGGTCGGTTGCAGTACAAACTCGACTACGACTTCGAAAAAAATGCGGTTTGTTTGTTTATTTTTTCTTATCAAGTTGATAAATTTTTGTGTTTAATTTTTCCTTTTTTGCTTTTTTCAACAAATTTTTGTTCATCATAATACTGTAGGTTAGATCTAATAATCCAGACTGAGCTGCTGTCGGGATTTCCGTTTCTGTGTTAATTAGCTTCCTATAAGGAGATCCTTGCTCGTAGGCTTGTTGTTGCATTTCCCTTCTCTCCGCTCTTTCTCTTTTCTTTTCTGCTTTGTGCAGAGGCGAGAAGAAATAGGGCCTCGAGCATATAAAGTACAGCAGAACAACTTTTTTACAACCTTCCCATCCCTTTCAAAATGCATTTTATGTCGTAATGAACTATGGAAAAATCCGTTAAAAAGGTACAGTATAAGAATATAGCATAATATACTTAGTTTTTTAGGTAATCGTTATAATATCTTCTAATCACATTCTTCAGAACTAGCTAGTTGAATTACCTGAAATTTATCAAAATAATTATAAAGTCATGGAAAATTTATTATTGAAAAGAAATTGTATCTATCGATTCTAACAGAAATACAAAAAAATGTTTTGACTGATTTTTTTATAGAAAGAAAGTGGTTGTTCTGAAATTTTGATGCCTTTTTCTAAATACAAAAATTTTTTTTAAACCAAAAAAATACTTTCAGACTGCCTTTTGGAGTCTAAATTCATCCACAGAAGTGCTTTTCAAGGTTTCAAAAATAACAATAAACATATTTTTGATTCATCTTAATGTAAAAAAAAATTTTTCGCATGATTTTTTTTTTGAAAAAACTTATACAACGGAACCTGAGACAGATATCCAAATTAAATGAAAAGTGCCGCACTTCAAAGAAAAAAACACAGAGCGAAATAGAAGGAAACGTTTGCAGCTGACGGTGGTGATAATCCAAGCGGAAGAGCTGCCCGCAATGGACCTCGGCGGCACTTCAGACCCCTACGTCAAGCTTTTTCTTCTCCCAGATAAGAAGAAGAAAATGCAGACGAAAGTTCAGCGCAAGTCTCTGAACCCTGTTTTCAACGAGAGCTTCACTTTCAAGGTTCGGCCAGCTTTCAGCTCCTTTGAACGCTTTGAAAGCTCTTTTTTGCAGATTCCATTCAACGAGACTTCCAGTCAGACCCTCGTGCTCAATGTTTTCGATTTTGATAGGTTCGGAAAACACGATCAGGTCTTTTTTATTTGTAATCGACCAAATGTCTCATGAGAGGCACAGATTGGACAAGTTTCGATCCCTCTGGTCTCCATTGATCTTGCCGCGACCATCGAACGAACTGACCTCATCGAAAGTCCTCCGGTATTTATTTCTTTGACCACGGAATTTCTATGACTTCACTTGCTTTATTAACTTCATTGGTTCATTGGCTACATCTATTGAACTAACGTTTTCTAACATTTCAAAACATTTCAAACATTTTTTTTTTCTTTTAGGAAAATCGATTAGGCGAAGTGTGTCTTGCACTGCGATACGTTCCTAACAAAAACAAACTTTCGGTAGTGGTAATGGAGTGTAAAAACCTCAAGAAAATGGACGTTTTGGGCTTATCAGGTGAGTTTTCTTGTTGAAGTTGGTCAAGATCTCGATTTTTTAAGATCCCTATGTGAAAATATACTTGATGATGGGCACTAAAAGGTTAGAGAAGAAAAAAACTACGATCAAAATGAAGACCTTGAACCCTTACTATAACGAGTCGTTCAGCTTCGATGTAACTCCAGAAAAAATGCAGGTCAGTTTTTTTTTTCGTTTCAAATCCAAACTTTGCAACCATAAAAAAACACGAAATACAAAATAATTTTTTTAAAAAAAGTCTAGTTTTTTTAGACTTACACCCCAATAATTTCTCTTTTCCATATATTTTAAAGGAATGGGCTTTACAGAGAGTTCATTTTCATATTACTGTTTCCGACTACGACCGAGTTGGTTCAAACGAGCGGATAGGACAGGTAAACAATTCTTTCAACTTTAATGAAGCTATAGAAAAAATACGGCAATAATTAGACGCCATAAGTCAGATATGTTTATAAAACGAAAGTAGATGAAAACCCTTCAGATAACATTACTCTGTTGTAGAAATTTTAAAAGAAGATGTAAAAATAAAAGTGATGTTTGTTAGAATTCTAAATTGCGCTCGTCATGGCATTATGCGGCATTCGGCAGTTCTGATGCTATTGGTCGTCCTTAAAGTTAACTTCTTGTGGGACGCAACTGACCGAGCAAAAGACCGACTTAACCGTAGTATCAACAGCAAGTCGAAAACTTACGAAAACACTTCTAAAGGGAAATTCAAAAAAGTGTCATCGTTTCAATAGAACGTCTCGTTGCATCTTGCTGTTGAGGTTTTGATTGGGATGAACGCTTCTGGAGCGGGTCTGAAACAGTGGAACGACATGTTGGCGACGCCTCGTCGGTCCGTCGCCCAGTGGCACACTCTGCAGCCTTTCAACGACGACTGACTTTTTTTCTCACTTATTCTTCTTCCATTCACGTATTCTCGAATAGGGCCTATATATATATATATATATCTGGGGACTAGATGTTTTAACTGTGTTCATACTGTTGAGAGTACCGAAAAAAGTTTATTTCGCCGTTTGTTTATTATTGCCATCCAAACACATCGAGTATATCGCGTTACCTTCCAAACACTTTGCTTTCAATTTGTACATTTTTCATTCTCTCAATGATATCCCAAGCCTCACTTGGCGTTCTTAAGCCACATCTCTTCCATTCCGGTGTCAAATTCAAATTATATCCGTTCATCCTAAGATGTTTCATTTATCGAAACATTTTTCATCCCTTACTTTTTATGTAATAAGTTAATAAATGTATTCAATATGCAAAGCAGATGGCAGAAACCCATAGCGGAGTTTCCAACGCTTCGTAAAGCTTTTTTCACCGATGGAATCTATTTTGGTTAAGAAAAAAAAAACGTACAGTTCAAGTATTCGTTCGCTGTTGTTTTGTTATTGGTTCGCACAACAAGAGGTTCAGGTTTGTTCCGCTCAATTCACGACACTTGAATTTTGTAGTGCTCAATTGAACACTACAAAAAAGACCCTGGCCAATTAAAAAAACGTAAAGTGTAAATCGAACTTCCAATTGAAGAAAACTGTTTCGGGAAATCTAATTGTGGAAAAGCGAAAAAATCTACCGAAGATTCTGAAGAAATAGCGCTTTCAACTCGAATAATAGTCAGTCGCTAGATCCTTTTCTCAGCTGTTCAACAAATAAAAAAATGTTTGAGTACACCTTCATAAAAACAGTTACTACGAAAGTTGGGGCCAGATCCTCAATAAGAAAATGAACTTCGCGGAAAGAGGAATTTGCTCTCGAAAGTTTCCCTTTGCCGTTCATTGGTTTTTATGGTTTTCAGGCTAGGATTTGAAAAAAAAGGAATGTCTTTCCAGATATCTGTATGAATACTACCGAAAGAGTTTGATGGTGTTCATTTGGCTGATCGTTCTCCTTAAGTTCGTAATTTCGGAACGGCGCTTCTTTCTGTCTAAGCACAGTAATTGGATAAGCCTTCACCAGAACTGGCAAAATGGCGATATCCCATGCCGAGGTAACAGTAAACACACATAGAGAGAACAAAAACAAAGTTATCCAGGAGACCATGTACGGTTCGAGGAGCACGAAAGAGTGGTCGCCTTCATGGACAGCGAGATCGAGGTGATTCCAGGGATGATGACCCATCAGCAACTGTTTTGAGGCCGACCAAATCGTTCTGCCGAATGACGGCGTTCTGACTTTTCCCTCGGACGGGGTGCGATTGGGGATGCCAGCCAAGTGGCAATGCGAAGCTCGAAAAACTCCTGAAGGTGCGTTTTCTATTTTCTTCGATGTTAATCTAGTCATTTTCCAAACATAGAAGTATATCAAATTGAATGAGTTTTGATAAGGCTCTTGTGAACGCTCAGAGTAAGAATTCTTTGAGCTTGGAAATCAAGTTGAGTTTCCTTTTAGCCGTGAACAAGGCTGAAACACCTATCAAATTTTTAGACGTAGAAGACTTTAATTTTGATAGTCGAATAAGTAATTCCAGATGTTTTCTTCAAACCCGACCCCTACTCACCGTCGTTCTTCGATCCGAAGACCTGGGAGTCTCCTCCGGGGGCTTTCCTTCACATGCACCAAGTGCCTTCTGTCAATGTCAGCCCTGCATATTCGAATTCTCGAAACGTCCGTTTCAGGACGACATCTTGTTACCGACAATTTCCGTTTTGCAATTGTACATGGATGTTCCTGGTAAAGTAAACTCGATCACCTGGTACGACGACAACGTGAGTTCACAAAAACTTAATTTTTTCATACGAAAGCTTTGTTAGAGGGATATGAAAAATCCACTTGAAATCTCACGAATTTTTAAAAAAATTAGAATGCAGAATCTTCCATAATCGTTTCAGTAAAAGTTTATTATTCTGAATTATAAGAAAAAAAAGGACCCGTGCTGTAAAGTAACATAGAATCTTCACGAAGATACTCGTCGGTTTGGAGCAACGGAAATAGGCAAAAAAAAAAGAGAGAGAGAGAGAGAGAGAGAGAGAGAGAAAAAAACGTCTTTCCGTATAAGAAGAAGAAGTGACACGTGTGCGGAAGGAAGCGTTTTTGAGAATCAAAATATAAATGAGAGGAGGGCCGAGTAAATCGGAGAAGCTCATGGAAATCTCGAGTAGTATATAAAATGTTGTTTTTGGGACACGTTTTTGCCCTAATGACGTTTTCTGCACTTTTTGGTTCTTTTAATGTTTTCATAAAACAAAAATATGTCTTACACGGGAACTGCGAAAGGTCAAGGTATTGGAATTTGATGAAACTTTGTATATAGGTACTTTCGAACACCCTGAATCTAAAGAAATTGAAAAAAATGCGCCTTTTTGGTTCTAGTTGAGTTATGGCGCCTCAAAGTTTGCACGCAAAAAACGCACTGAATGGAACTCGATTCGCTTATGGGAGGAATGTGTTGCGGCGGCTCACTCCAGCTGCCAGCAGGCGGCGTGGTGTAGTGGTTAGCGATCGAAAAAAATAACATTTTCGGTTTTATTACTTGAAAGCGTGACTCCCGGCAAGTGGGCAGAATGGAAAATTCCTTGTCCTTCCCATTTTTGGTGATTTTTCAAAAATGACGAGTTTTTCGTTAGCTAAGACATGTATTTGCTTTGTGAAAGCATTAAAAGAACCAAAAAAGTGCAGAAAACGTCATTTGGACAAAAACGTGTCCTAGAACTTTTTATATTTTACTTCGAGTCTATGTACAGTTGAGTGAAGCGGAGACCGCAAAATGATATATATCTTGCACCGGAAGATAAGGTAGAAATTCCTGTCAAACTGATTTTCCTCTTTCTTTTCTCTGATTCGATCTCTTCCAGTCTGATCAATGACTAAACCTTCTGTTTCTGTTCGAAACCTGTGATCATACTCTAGAGAGAAATCTTCAAGGCATCTGGCCGAGAGTGTCCCCAATCGCCCACGTTCCCATCTTCATCTCTCGGATTATGAACGAGATGAAGATGTTCCATGCATCAAGCGCCGCGTCTCTTTCCTGAAACTGGTCAACTTTTTGAACATAGTTGAGGAAGGAACGGACCGTTTGTGAGGGGAAGTCGCACTCCGAGATTATGGTTATCAGGCTGCTCTTGAACTCTTTCCACACGGACGAAGGGAACTGGATGCCCTTGTCGTAGTGGATGGCTCCCACGCGACGAATCCGCATAATGATATACTGAATCAATGAAACTCCGTCTTTTTTGCCTAGGAAATAAGTGAAATTTCTTGACTCATTTCCGAAACTGTTATTTGCGAAAAATTTGAGAGTGAATTTTCAGAAAGTGAAAATTAGAAGATTCTAATTGAAAATATTGTTTTGCTTATACAGTCTGGAACTGGGTTTTTGCGTTCCTCGCAAGCTTGCTAACAACAATAGTGACACAAATGATGTTCATTTTTTGGAATTAAAAAGAAGAAGTCAGTTTTTTTTTGTAGTTTTAAAATCAGAAATTTCACTGAACTTGCACGAAAAAGTATCGACTTTTAGTCGATTTAGTCAGAATCCGTGCCACGGACCGTGATCGCACGGCTACTGTAGGTATCTAGTGACTGGTAAACTGTTTTTGCGGGAGTATTGGCAACTCGTTACTTTCCTCAAGTTTCATTTGTTTTCTAACGTATAAACTCATTTCATTTTTTACGAAACCATGTAATTCAAGCACGGCCCACGGTTTGAGGAGCCGCTGCACTTTTCTCTATTTTCTCATTATTTTGTCATCTTTCCTACCAGTAATTTCATATTGTCCTTTAAGTTATAATAACATTTTCACATTTTGTAAAGTAGAAAAAAAACACCAATATATATTTTTTTTTTCAAAGACAATCAAGAGTTTTTTTTTAAACTTTCCATAGGAAAAACAAAACAAAATTCGAACGCAGATTCGAAAAAAACATAATAAAAACTACAAGGAACAGTTGCTGAATGCATGGAATACTAGAAAAGAACTTTTTTTCACCTTTTTTTCAAATTCATTCCAAATATTAAAGGAAAAAAATTGAAAACAACAAAAAAATTTTTTTTCAAACTTATCAAAGGATTTAGTTTTTAATTAAGTATTAAAATACCTACTTCATTTTTTTTCCTCATTTTTACAACGTTCCTAAATTTTTTCTCGATGTGATTTAGCGAAATTTAGCAAAATTTTAATTTCATCATCCAAGGCGAGTCTAAACGCTGGGACCCCGAGTTGCGCGCGTTCGGCGCGATTTTGCGACATGATGGGTATCTCGAAATTTTTTCAATGTGGTATTTTTTTGAAGATAATAACCTAACACATCTTTTAGAGAGGTAACTTTAACGGCAAATAACTATTGTGAGTAGGGTGACCAAAAAACCAAAGTCGCGAACACAAAAAGTACCGTATCTCAAAATCCTACAGTAACCCGAGATGGTATGTATTGAAAAAATCCCTAAAATTGCATTACCTATCGATTGATATACAACTTGCCTAGAGAAAACTTGTCAATTCTTAGATACGCAAGTGACCACCTTCCTACCGTAACCCGGTTACGGTTGGAGGAAATGGCTCAAAAAACCGTGTCCGCAATCCTGACGTCATATGATAACACTGGTTGAAATTTCATTGAAATCAAAAAATATTTTTTTTTTCTGTACCCGCTGTTTTTGAGAAAATTTCGAAAATTACAGAGACAGCGTGTTAAATGTTCACAATGGAAAAAAAGCCTCACGGTTTCCGGCTGGGCAGTGCTTGTCAGTTGGAGCAACTCCGTGATGAAGGTCGTGATTCTGTCGGCGACTTCTTGATATTTGCTGTTTGTTATGAGGTCGAAGCTCCGTCGGCACGAGCCATTCGTCAGCAACGACACCATCTCAGGCTCGTTGCTCTGAAGGCTGACTCAGCTCTCGAAACGATTGATTATCCTACTCTTTCGGCGTTGTTCGCGTTCTTGATGACGTTGAACAGCGGAGGATGTTTTCTGAGCATCGAGTACAAGACGCGAAGCCCCAACTGTCCATTCGTGGTGCATAGAGCCTGTTGCCACGAGTTGTTGAGGATTGTCAGCCGGTCGCCCAGCAGTTGTCTGCAACTAAAGCCCTAGAGCCAGAGGTTTCATTCGAAATCAATCTTTTGAAATTTATGAAAAGGGAAGAAAAATATAGTTAGCTTTGAGCTCATCGTTCCTCGAACTACCTCCTCACCCCGAATCACAGATGGTCTTTTTGCGCTTGATTGTTTGTCTCTCGGCGAAACGACTGTTGAGCCAGGATGTCGCCTTCAGAAAGATGAGACAGTTGGTGGCACTATTGACAAGAACAAGGAAATTGCTTATGTCGATAAGATAATAGTTGGTGACTCCAACCGTGACCTCCATGATGTCCAACTGAAGGATACATTTCTTGGATACAGATTCATTGGACAACAAACCGCGAATGTCAGGCTCCGGAAACAGAGAAATTTAGTGACAAGCATTATGGAAATCATCGTTTGCATATTTTCTCTGCAAAAGAAGGAAATGGAAAGAAAAGACCCAGTGGAGCACCTGGAAGCGTAGCGCTCAAGGAGGTTGTCGCTCATTTGAAAGAGCTGCCGTCGCGATCTGTTGGAGCCCCGGAGGATGAAGACAGTGAGCAGAGTAACGCACAAAATGAAGATGTTTGGTCCGATCGATATGACCACCATCCTGGACAGCAGCCGGTACATTGTGTAGGTTGGATCGAGTCGCAGCCACGTTGGTCTCAACTGATTGGGACTTTGGTAAAAACTTCTTTGGAACTCCTCACATTCACAGACATTCTGTGAAGCCGTGTACTGTAACAAGGTACGGTGTGTATCTCGAAAAACGAGGGGAAGTTGAGTAGAACGGCGCAAATCGACAAGACAAACGGCATTCTGCAAAAGGCTGCTTCAACTAGAAAACCTCTAGAGTTGCACTTTTAGATCCTCTTTTGATTATTGTAGTAAAAAAAAAGTTGAAAACAGAATATAGCTTAGATAATGATCAAAAAGAAACCTGAAGAGCCTCCTGTAAGTGGAACAATAGATGAAGGATATGCGACGTTCACTTCGGAAGGACTGAATAACCGTCGTTGACCTGAAACGAGAGGTTGAAGAGAAGTAGAATTCAGAGGAAACCTAGAGGTGCGGAACGGATCCCGAGTAGCCATGAACCGCTGCAACGTTATCGCGACGACGCACCAAATCTTAACCATTTCTTTGGGAAGAAAGAGCTTCGGGAGTCCTACCGATGCGGTGTTGGCTATCTGAGAGAAGGCGTGGAACCAGGGCGTCAGCAAGTTCAACACGTCTGTCTCGAAATCCATCGGCAGCTGCTTGACTCCGTAGTACATGAACGCGCACCACAAGAGGATAGTGTCCCAAAAAGCTAAGGCCAGCATTGAAACTGCCAGAACGACTCCTCGGTTCTGCAACCGACGTCTTCCTATTATTCCAAAGCAATCCAAGAACCACCTTGTCGAGGTTGGTCATGTGGACGCTCTTGACTCCGTGCATGTTGCCGATAGTGCCGAGTAGGACACATCCCGTCGACATGTAGCCGTTGACCACATGGGCGAAAGTTCTGCAAGTTGAGTTAGCAATTTGTTGGGTGGTAGGCCTAAGTGAGGAATGTCTGAACGGAAAAGGACCATAATTAAGGCACCACGAAGGACTTTTTTAAACTTCGCTAGGATTAAGATGCTGTTACACAAAAGTTTTAATAAATTGGAAACAAGAAAGCCGACTTCTTTGGGGAAAAGGTTAAAATCTTGGCTGCACTCTCAGTAAGAGAAGATGCGAGGCTTGCTGAGTATCTTTTGATCTTTTTTTTCCTCAATATCTTATGAAAACTAGCCAAAAAGGCTTTTTCATTCGAAAGTTTTGAATCTTGTTTCAATCATATACTAAATACGCCTGTGATGTTAACGCCCAGAAAAGAAATCCAACAACAACAAAGAAAGTTTTACAACTCTAAAAGAATATGTTATGTCCAAGGATTTGAATCCCACATCCAACTAAAACCTCTACATTCTGAGAACTTTCGAATCGCGATAGGTTTCAACGCATTCTGGCAAAAGCTGTTGGGCGAGAAACTCAGGGAAAAAGGAAGCATTTGATCTAATATTGTGTGGGTTTTGCTCCAAAAAATGCAAGTTTAACTCGATTTGAAGATGATGATCAGAAGGGAAAATCTGGTTGGGAGAAGCAGAACGCGGAAGTAAAAAAGACCAAAAACTCACTTGTAGGGATCCTCATGAACGTACTCATAGCAGTTGACTGTTTTATTTGCATCCGCCATGATTTTCATGTCGTAGTCATTTTGAACTGTAAACAGCAAAGAATTCGGCGCGTGAAAAGTAAGATAACCACGAGCATGAAATGCGAATGTGAATCAGACAAGAGAGAAAAGGTCGGAAGCGCGAAGTGAAGAAAACAGTAAAAGTGCGACGTTGGTTGATTTGAAATAGGCCTGCGTAGCTCGGAATGTAGGCATGCAATTGGTTGAGAGCACTAGGAATTGAATTAGAACATCCTCGTGGTGAGCACAAAATGGACCTCTAATGGAATAAACTATTATCGGTGGCACAGCCTACAAGCGAACAGTTTTATCATTTAATCTGAAAATTTTTGATATGGATGGTCGAAGAGCTTTAGAAAGTTTACAAGAAGGTCAAAAATCTCTAGTTCGACCGTTTTGAACTTTTGGATTATTTTCATTGATAACATTGAAAATTAATAGGTAACTTGAAAAAAAGCTTTCTCAAATAGTTACTATATTTAAGGAACTGGAATTTCATTCTTATAATACTTACCTTCTTGGGAAGAATTTTTATCATGCTTTCAAGAAGGTGTCTTGATCTTATATATGTATAGATGATTTATAAATTGGAAGCACTCACATTTTTAATGCAAGTTTTTTGTATTTTTTGCAGGAATTTTTCGCTTACAAAAGGAGTTAAGAGAGATTTGGGCGGCGACCTTTTGGATAGGTTTTGCGTCTTCCCATATTCCATTGTAAAAAAAGTTGAAAAAGTCGATAAAATTCATTCTGCTGACAGACGTGATAGATCAATAGACTCAAGATACTAATCGCAGAGCTTTTCTTTCTCGAAGTTCGTCCAATGGAGGGGAAAGACAAAAGAAGTCGCTTGCCATGGTCTTGGAAAGGCGCTCGGAGAAGTTCTGAGAACGAGGAAATAATTGGGGGAGGCGAGAAAGGTCTTCAGGCACCGTGGAAGCGACATGAATGCCGATGAACAAACACTGAGAAGTTGGTGAATAATTCAACCGGGAAAAGAGGCACTGGCGGCCAAAAACGATGAGCCGCCAGCCAATTATAGTGGAAAGAAGCCGATGCTTTCACAGGAGATGAGATGTGTTGCCAAGTGTGTGGCTGACAGCCGAGCTCTTATTGCGCTCCCGGACGTCACCCACGGATTCTTTCGGGCTGGAAGTTTCTCCTGTTCTGTGGGTGGAAACATTGAACGTGGAGAGAAGGCGGAGAGCCAAAAGAATTTGATTCGTCTGATTCGCAATGATTGAATAGTTTAGTAAACTGTCGCACTGAAAACTCAACACATTGTTTTTGCTTTTGCAAAATTTCCATCTTAGGCTACCAGTTTATCTAAAGTCGGTGCGAACGGATATTCAGAGGATTAATTAAATTTAGAACAAAATGAAGAAAAAAATCAGCAAAAAAATGAGTAAAGAAAAATATGTGCATGATAAATTACATAGTTTTTTTTGAGAGAAACCAGCGATGGAATGAGTTTGACACTCATTATTCAAGTCAGGATTTTGATGATGAAAAATTAAAATGAATTTCACTGCTTACTATTATTTTTTGCGAATTGCGTCCAAGTGAGCGAGAAGCAAACCCACGCAATTACTCTCGCAATTAGAAACTTTTGTGAAATTTCAATTTTTAAAAACATAGGAAAAGATCCGAAAGATGAGATATTGTTTTTTGATCGAGGATTTGCTTTTTCAGTTGGAAAAATGCTGTAAAATGTAAATAATCTTTTTCAAACTCAATGATATCATTCGAAGGTGTATAGTTCCCATTCGAAAAAGCGGCTTTTTTTTGCAGTTCATCTACCAAAACAAGCGTTCCAGTTAATGTGAAGGCATAAAAATGATCAATTTGGATGGCGATTTGAAAAAACAAGACGAAGCCAGAAGTTAATTGAGAATAGGAATACGAAATTAAGGTCCTGTTTTGAGGAGCTTCTCAGAAAAAAATCTATCATTTTTGAGCCTTTTGTCCCAAACGAAATCGTAGATACCTCCGAAAGCATGAAAATTTAAGAAATAGCAAAATATTAGAAATACATTGTAAATAAAATTGCTTGTTTTTTTCTTTAACTGACTCAGGAATGAGAAAGAGTTTAAGAAAAAACGTTGGCTAATTTTTTTTGTTCAGTTCGAATACCAAATTATTTATGAGGAGATTTGTCAAACAAGAAGGTTTTTAAAATCTGGGAGAACAGGTCAAAATGTATTAATATAAATTTCAGGGGAATTCCTCCAACTCAAATAATAATACAATTGGGCGTCTTTAACATTAGCAAAAAAGGTCTCTCTAGAGGTGGATGCACAAGTTAAATATTTATATTACATCTTCGTTTGAAAATTTACGGTTTTCATCTAGAAACTCGACTCAAAACTCATTTGGAGAGTTTTTTATGAACCAGAAACTGGCCACTAAGGCAAAAATAAAAAGACGAGCTTGGCATTTCAACACGACATTAAAAAAGTTTCCAAATAGATCTTTTCGAGAGCAATAAAAATTGTACAAACAGACACACGAGCCGCAGAGGATTTGGTTCTCGACATAACAAAGCAAATGAGCGTATGTGTCGTATTCCAACGTTGGATTTGACAATGCCGCTGTAAAACTAATCAAAAAAGGGAAAGCCGCACCGGAAAATAATCAAAAAAGGCGAAAGGATCTATTAGAGGAAAGACTTTTTTAGGTGCTCACCTTATACTTGAAAGTGTTTCTCAAACCAAATTCCTATGTGTAATTAGTATTCCACAATGTTTTCACTCTTGAGGCGAATGCGAGTTTTTCAGAGGATAAAGAGGTCTGCGAGGCTGCAAATCTGGGGACAAGTCCGCAAAAAGGCGAAATGTTTCGAGTAGGTCTAAAAATTTGCATTTTGAGAAGAAGTGTCCCCGGAGAAACGGCGCGGTTTTATTCGTTTATATGCCCTAAATTGGAAGCGCAAAAACGATTTGCGTGGGGACAGAAGAAAAAATGAAGACGAGAGCTGGGGTTGATTGAGTTTAGCGAGTGCTCGTCCGGCTAAACAAGCCCAACTTTTATAAAAAGTTCGAGACATGTCGATGGGTTTTTTCATCCTTACAATACAACTTGGTCGCAAAGATATTTTATCTACAGACACTCTATGGAAAAAAGTTTCTTTTTTTTTTTCGAAAACGCTTGCTCAGGTGTTAGAAAATCTAAGTTCAGTTCAAAAATTGTAAAATGGATAGTTTTCATTGTTTTTCTTTGAAGTCATGACTTCGGAGCGTTGAAATACTGTGCCAAACTGCCTTCAATAAATGAAAACAAAACTGAAGACCGAGAAAAGTGGAGATAAGGTAATATTTGAAAACTATGTAGCACCATGAGCACGAACTTAAGTTTTCTCATGATTGAAACTCGCCAAGAAGAATACAAAGGGCGGATTGATATTGAGTCGGCACATGAGAAGATCCGTTAGACGGTGGAAAATCGATCGTTGGCTGGATCTCACATTACAAGAGCCGACCTTCGCTCTGAGCTCTTCAAGAACTTCGAAATCTTTGCATTGTCTAAAAAGACGCTTTGAAGCCTAGCACAAACTCCGAGTTTCTGAATCACATCTAGGTGGTGCAAAAGCCACCAAAGACTCTGAAGAACAGAAAAATAAGAAAGGTAAATGAAAGGAGATGTAAGAGATAAATACGTCATAGAAGTCTAAGAGAAGGCGAAAATAGCCGCGAGGGGTCGGATGAAGGTGTCCCAGAGAATGCACCCAAAATGTGAAATCGAACACTCTTCGGAAATGGCCATCGTTTTTTTCGCACCTCTTCAAACGGCACAGACGACGACGTTTCCAAACTTTCTACGCCTACGGACCGAAGAAAAAGGTTCTCGGCACTCTGAAAAAAGAGTCTACCTTTTCAGCGGTATAAACGGAGGTCCGATTTAATAAAAAGCTTTGGTCTTTTTCTAACCAAAAGACATCATTTACTATCAATCATCTGTTCAAATGAAATGTACAGTATGAACGTTAAATATGATTTATAACTGAACTCAGTTATATGTGTTTATGTTTAAAAACTGCAATAACTAGAGAAAATATTCGAATGAGGAGATCAGAAATGAAAGGGAAAAAAACACAAAAAGACAGTTCAGGAGACTCTGACGGCCTATCAGTGATAGGTCTTCAAGTTCTGTCCTCCTTCATTTCACTGCCCTTTTCTGGAGTTCTAATGCGTTTGGTCACGAAGCGAACACCGTCTGCAGAGCTAATCAGAAGGCTTTTTCGAATCAAAGACTGAACATGAGAGAAATGATGGAATTGGTAGAAAAAAAAAGAAGAAAAAATAATAGATTTCGGTTCAGTTGGATCCGGACCGAATACTCCAGGAATGCGGTATCTGAGCAAACAATGTGGCGGAAGATATTGAACTTTTGGCTGGAGACGTCGTCATTAGGTGCTCTTCATTTGGACATCGAGCTGGACCACGTGCTGAGATTGTTTGCCCGCCTGGCGACGTCTCCCAATTAAATGTCCAAATGCTGACACGCCAGCAACTTGTGCGTCTCATATTTAGCACATGGGACGTCCTAATAAAGCAAAAGGCGAAAATGTTGCGGAGCCTCACGTCGTCATGTCAGAAAACGCCATCAACAGGATTCCAAAATCACCTCGCCGCAAAACTCGTTAATAACTTTTTAGAAGAAAAATGTTTTTCTGAACTACTTCGACTTCGATTTAGCCTCTTAAAAGGAGGTCACGTTAGTATCAATTTCGGAACTTTCTATAAATGTGCCCAGACTCTGTGGAGGTCTAGATGCAAACTCTTTGAGGGTCCTACTTTCTCAAACTTTTGGTCCTAAATTTACGAACTCTCAAATTATGCAATCAGAACTGAGCCGAGGCTCGCAACTATTATCGCGCAACTATGATCCGTTATGATCTCGAAACTAGAAGTTAGCGCGGGAAGGACCATCATAGATATGAATTTGATACCGTGTTCAAAATGCAAAATAGCCGCCAGAGAATGAAAAAGCAGAGCTGTGCTCTGGGCCAGCCGGGCTCGCGAAGCGGTCGAAAATTTGCCACTTTTCGAACCTTTTTTCTCGAAACTTTCCTATAATGTTTAAATAGGGAAGTGAGTGATCGAAAATATGTTATTTAGAGAAACTATGTAATCTAAATCATGAAGTGAGAGATAAAAGTTTGCAACGATTGTGGGCCGATTCGGCCACTAACCTCGGCCCAACGCACAGTTCTGTGAAAAAGATAACTAAATTTTGGAGAATCAGAGGTAATTTTTCATTTCGCGATAATGACTTTGAACACGGCATAAACTTATAAAGAATTTCGGTCATGAAAATTCATTGGATTCTGCCAAAATTTTCCTTCAAAATATTTCCGTCTTTAGGTTTCATCTCTCAAAATATCACGTTTGTGAATCGAACATATTCTCTCATGATAGACAAAAACAAAACTGTTTGCGATGGTTGGAAGTATTTCGAAATTTCACGCAAAATTACTACTTTTAATATAACCTTCTTCGCTTTTGCGGAAAAATGAGCCGAAATTCTCAAATATGAACAGCGGAGACGGCTCATAGAAAGTCGAACATGCTCCATGGCCACGAACCTGTGGTCATCCATTCAAAATTGATGATTTTGAGTAGAAAGAAAATTTCAACAATCTAGGGAGGAAAAATCAAAGTTAATGTAATCGAGCCGCTTCAAAAACACGAATTGGTTTTGAATTTGAAAGAAATGAAAGAGGCAGCTGTTGGTGTGGTTGGGTGCGTAACTCTATATTGTCGCGGATCAACTTTCAAGGCGACCAAGCCAAAGTTTAGTCGAAAAATTTTCAAAAACTCTTTTAAAGTTCCAGAATTTCGCATTGAAGTCTGAAAACTTGAAATTCTTCAGCGTTTTGGCGTTCCTTTCGCTCAGAAAACTTCATCAAAATGTTTGCCCCTCACTTCTCTCGCATTAGGAATCAACTCCTAAGCAGGAAATCGAATTGAGGCCGACTTTTCATCTTGAGTTCTCAACAAGGAAAAGAGAGTAATCTAAAGATCTAGAGTCGTTCCAAGAAATCTTAAACAAGAAGAAGTTCAGTTTTTATTAGAAACGTTTATTCTCAAAATTTTGTAAGTTTGTAAAAAAAGTGAAGGCGCAAATTTATGCAGTTGTCAGATTCTACGTGTAAATTGAGGTATTGGCCAACCCTGTTTTATCCAATTAAGATTACTGTGCGCGCATAATTGGAATAGCAAAAAAAAGCGACCAAACAAGTGGGCGGACCTTGGCGGTCCCTATTTATGCTCAATTCAATCTGACTTTTATTTAAACAAAAAAACGATTTTCTCGGTGAGCTTTTGTCATTGCTGACTCACTTCTGTCACACCAGCTATTAATTACCTCGAAATCCATTCCGCCATTTTTGAAGGTGTTTTAAATGGGATTATTGTAAAAAGTGGATCAAACATTTTAAAATCATTTAGTTTTGCTGATAAGATAAAAAAAACAAATTGAAAGGGATTTGGTTGTTGGTAGTTACAGTAGAGAGCAGGCAGAACTGAGTCGCGTCAAACAAACACAGGGCAAGGAGAAAAACGAGGAATCTGAAGTGATAACGGCTGAGGGTGCGCGAGGATCCGCAGACGCAGGCCTGTTCAGCTCAACGAGCCGCTCCAAGGGACTTACAAACCAAAACACAATTGATCGCGGCCCTTGGACTCTCTGGCAGCGGTGGCAAACGTTTTCCGATCCGTTGTACCCCGAATCGCAATCTCATACTGATCTTGTGAACCCTCACGCTTTAGCCAAGTTTTTTCCTTCCGAATTTCGAGCTCCATGAAAATGAAAACAGAAAACACAGCTCGCAAACTTGGCAGGTGATGGAGCTCACAGAGAAAAGAGCCGATGAAAAGGAGCTCAGAAAATTTTTTTTGACTTTCTGGACTCTCACGATCCAGCTTTTGAATATGTGACTCATGATTCATTTCAGAAAAAGACGGAGATACAGCTGAAAAAGATACTTCGTTCGGCCGAAGGGAAATTCCAAGTGAGTTCACTTTCTTTCGACGAAAGGAAATCGTCTTCGGGTTGGCAGATTTTAAGAAAAGATCATTTCGGCAATTGTTTGTTCTCTGTGTCGAGGTGCTCCCTTCCGTTCAACAACCTCTAGTTCGGAAAAGACTCAATTCAAGCGAAACTTTGAAAATTCGAATTAAAACATTTGATATGGCAGATTTCTTCCTCCGCCGCTTCCGACGGGATCGAAGGCGTGTTGAGCGTCGTGAATGATGAAAATCCGCTGGATGAAGAGCGCGGCTGGTTCAATCCCAACTCTAGTCCTGAAGTACGTTGAATTCTCCCGATACAAATTCTGTAAATTTTTTTCTTTTTTTTTTGGAAGATTGAAAAATATTGCTGTTTGAAAAAGATGAGGATTTATAAAAAAAAATAAGCTCTGCCATCATTTCGCGATTTTTTGTTCGCAAACGTTTTGTCTTATTCTGTAACCAATTCGCCTAAACTCGTAATTGGCTGATTTCTCTGCGCTCTCTTCCTCCTTGGCGACCCTCTCATGTTCACATGCTGTTTCCTTGCTTCTATGACTTGTCCTTTGAGAGAAAGGGACGCTGGTTGGTCAAACTGTTTCGAATCTTGACGAATGGGTCACACCTAACTTTCCTTCTATTTTGAAGGGAGGATAATCGAAATCTTCAGATCATGAAAGTGATCTGCAGTTACGTGACTTGCGGCCCGACGCAGTCCAAGTGTCTGAAACCGATTATTCCCTTCGGCCACTGTTGCCCTCTTTGTGGTTCGTTCCAGTTTCCTGAAATATTTGTTTGAATATATTCGAAGAGAGGAGCACTTTCCATGTTTCATATTTTGAAAAAATTTTTAATAAAATGGACCAGCAGATAAATTTGAAAAAGTTCGAATTAAGGCGCCAAAATCAACTTCGCGGCTCACAATGCAAAGCTAGTGGAGATAAAAGAAGCCGTCACTTTGGCGATCCGAGAGAAGACGTTGCCTTGGAACACAACCCAGCTGGTGGAGAGAACCAACGACGAACAAGAGCCGACTTCGACCTTCCAGGTGGGAAAGCCGAGTTGAGTCACGTACCCCCTCAGGTCGTGCTTCTCGTCGACGACGCCGTCGACTACGACGAAGACGATGTCGAAGATCTGGTCAACAGAGCTCTCCAGAAGCTTCGCGACCGTTCCAGTGGGTATTAATTTCTTCTTCTTTTCTCAAAAAGTGTTATCCAAGTTAACTTCAATATTGAAGGCCTTCTTCCACGCAGAATTTTTCGCATTGAAATTAGTCAAGAACGGTTTAGAATTCCCCTTTTTTGTAATTTTTCATTCTTCGTTTGTCATTTTCCATACACTGCGCTCTTTCAATTTATATGATGAAGATTCACTTTCACATATGCTGGGATTTACTTATTCTCCGACTTTCTAACAAAAGAAAACATTATTTGCTATTCTCGCGAGCCAATCTTGCTTTTTTTATTGTGGATATATACGTTTTCTCTTAAGTAACAAGCTATACTTAAAAGTTCGAGACTTCAAGAATATATATAGCACTTTTAAATTTGCAGGAAACATGATGAGCTTCATGAGCCCAACCGTTATCAGCTCCAAAACTGACAGAGCGATACGTCTGCGTAAGATCCGAAATAAAGTCAAAGCAATTGGAAAAACTTTGAGGCTCGATACTGGTCGGAGCAACGATATATTTCCTCCTCGTTTTGAGCGTGATATGCGCTCTTATGTACCGAAACGGATTCTCACTTCCGACTACGATGTAAACTTCAGAGAATCTTCTTAATTAATATATTCTGTAGAAGGTATGCGCTACCACGGGTCAAGTGGCACAGGAGAGACGACCGAGTTGAATTGGTCGCTGATGAGGTCCGTTTCTGGAATGAAGGAAGCATTCTTTGGAGTTGAGGAAGAAAGTTCTTCGACAGCGGTGGAGGAGATGCCAATAGAAACGAAAAGTGATGAGGAAACCTTGGTTGCATCCAGAGACTCGGCTAAGAAGGAAGACACAACGGAAGATCAATATGGTATACAACTGGTTGATATGCAATGAAGGCATTCAACATTCGGAACAACTTTCTTTTTCAAAAACGTTTATGTTCATGCTCAAAATATTTATTACCCGTTGTTCATAAAATTGTGAGCGGATGCATTTGTGCAGACAAGATACAACTCTACAAATTTCTCGATTTGAGAAAGAAAAATCACAGAGAAAGGATCAAAAAATAACAGTGAAGTTCATGAAGTTATACGTGCTGCCGCTGCAGAAAAATGACAGAGATAGAACACAAAAATGTTATTAAATAAATAATCTTACATGAATAAGTTTTAGAACACCGGTCATCACAGTCTGACACGTAGGAAAACTTGTAGTTTAAAAATTTGAAAAGCTATCAGGATGAGAAAAAAAACAAGCCAAACCGATCTGTTCACGTCTTTTTGGCTTTGGGAATGTCGCGGAATTGTTCGGGCACTTCTGGCAAAATGCTGTGCCACTGTCCCACCGGTTTCGGCTTCTGATAAGAATATTTGTTTGAGAATTCTAAAAAAATTATCTGCAGTACTTTCAGACTCAAAACTAACGAAACTTGAAAAAAGAAACAAAACTTTTAAAAAACTTTTCACTGAAGCATGAAAAAACTAATTTGAATATTTTTGAAAATTTTCATTTTTTTTTTTCATAACTTTAATCTAAAAAGAGTCTCTTCCCCATAACAACGTTTTTGACTTTCGGAAATGATTTCTGCAGCTTGGTCGATTTATTGGAAGAAGAAAGCGGAAGGAACCTGGCCTCGCTCAGCTTGAGCGATGACGAGAAAACAGTTCTCCCACTGAGTGCGGCCTTCGTTCGTCGGACTGTCTTTGCCGAGAATGCAGCAACCCAGCAAATCGTCTTTGCCGATCCTGAACTTCGTGGTTTACATAAGCAGGTGCAATTTTCCAATATTGGCAAACAATCTTGGAAAGATATTCAGGAATTTTTGAAGAAAATGTTTTAAAAGTTCAATAAATCTCATCTACCTTTTTTGCTTAGTTTCTCTGTTGACTGAGTTCTTCACTTATTTTCTGTCTCAATTGAAGTCAACCGTTTCTTTTTTTAAACTTGAGATTATTTTCACAAAAATAATATTTATGCCAAAGTAACGTTTTTTCTCTGATCTTAGTTTAACTTTTTGAGATTTTCTCCTCTATGGTAGGTCTTGATATGCACGAACCTGTCCCAGTCCATCACTTGGATCAACATATTAGTCTCGGCGACCTGTGCCAGCGGAATGTCGAAGTCGAGCGTTTCATGGTAGACTGGATTCAGATTCGCCCTTTTCGTCGACGATTTTCGCAACTTGACCCTTTTCCCTCTGTAGACTTGTTCAATCCGAACGTAGGGATCTTCAATGAGAATTTGTTAGAATTTCAGTCAGAGTGCCGAGTACCTGACGCGCCAGTAATGTCCATTGGCCGAAGGTTGTAAGCCTTGGCCACGATTATAGAAAGCTTCTGCTCAGTATTAGAGTACGTCAAATAAAGAAGCAAATCGCCAAAGTCATTTTTCTCCTCCAATTATGAGGTAATTGACATTTCTGTTCCTCAATTGGGATACCTGGCTGCCGACAATCTGCATAGTGTACTCGGTCCAGTTGTAGAGGTCAGACTTATCGAAGAGATCTCTCATAATCACGTTCCCCACCAAACCATGCCGCGTGAAACGGTCGAAATCGTACACAGTGAACTGGAAAGCCGAATTTTGAAACCCTTTCAAGCTACCCTCTCCAAAGTGTATCACAACTAAAAAAAACCAATCGAACTTATGTTTTTCAAAACTCAACAAAAGGCGAAAGCTAATATATTTCAAAAAACATAATTCCTGATTCCAGATCTCCTCAAGTTTAGAACAGATCGACAAAGTGAAAAATGGATTTTTTTTTTTCTAGGAAAAAGGTCTTTCAAAATACCTGAAGCATACGGTTGGCGAGGTTGTTGAAGGGAACGTCGAAGGAAAACATTTCGTTGAACTCTGGATCGAGTGTTTTTTTGCAGATTCGCGTCTTGCAGTGGTTGCGCCGCTCTGGCAGCAAGTACATCTTGACGTACGGGTCCACGGATCGTCCTTTTTCTTCCACGGGAAGGTGGTTGGCTCGCAGAACATGCAGCATCAGCACCCTGAATACTCTCAGTTTTCTTCTCGAGAAGCTCAAGTTGAAAAAAGTTTCGCCATTTTAAATAAAAAATTTTCTCGAAATAAAGAAGGGTAAACTATTCATTATTTATTGCATTGCTTTCGCGTAATTGCTATTCCCTTTTCTGGAAAATGCTTCTTTTATTAAGCAAGAGGAAAACCTGAACCCTATAACTTTGCAGAAAATAAGAAAAAAAGATGAACTTGATGAAACAAGCAACGTTTAGTCGACAGTTTTGTAACTTTCACACTCTCAAGCTCGTATCACAAAAATGAACAGATAATAAGAAACATTTTCGACTATTTTCTCTTGATTTTGCATATCAATCTAAAAAACCGAAGGATGTGTTTGCCGAAAGAAAGTCTAAAAAACGTTCCGATGGAAAGTTCTAGAAATTTGAACTTTTTTTAAATGTGGAAATATATATTTTTTTTTAAATATTTGTCCAAGCCTGTTCTCACTGAAACAAGTGGTATTCGGAATAATTTCTTTTCATACACCGCCTTTCATTTTTCGAGATGAAGTGGATTAATTAAAATTCATGAGGCTTTTTGGATCAAATGAGTATTTATGAATGTAAAATTTTTGGCGGAAGAGAAAAATCAATTTTCCACAAGGCGTTTGCCGATTTCACTTCGATCCAGAGTGTTTCAGCTTCTCTCTTTATCCTTTCAATCTATTCAGTTTCCTTTTCTTCTGCAGATTCGTTGGCTATTTGCAAAGACTTGCCTGTGGATAAAGTCGTAGCGAAGAGCGAAGGTCAGAGTTCCGCGGTAGCATTCGCCGCCGCTCTTGTCGTAGAAGCCGAGCTCATAGTGGAGAACGGAGCGCTCGTCGATGTCGTCCATCTGCTACTTTCTCGGATATTCATGGCCCAACTACTTGTTCATGCATCGGATCCCGCCCCACGTCTTTTCCTTCTCCACCTCTTTTTCTACGGAATCAACCGCACTGCATCGCTTTCTTTTGTTGTTTTAAAAGACTAGAGCAAAATCCGAGAAAAGACACACTTCGTTGTTGAGATCGCCGTCGATGCTGAACAGGAACATGGAGTTGCGTGTAGACGACGACTTGGGCTCATCGCTCAGAAGCTCGCAGCTGTCCGATCTGAACTTTCTTTTTTTCAGATAACTCATTTGACCTTTTTTTCTATTGCCGATTGACCGCTGGCTTGGGAAAACTAATTTGTACAGAAATGACAGAAGTTCGTGGCCCGTTTTGTGCGTTATCTGATTTTATTCCCATTTTCGGAGAAATCTTTCTTCACAAGTAAGTATATCAAATTATCTTCAAATTATGAAGAAGTTTGAGCAGAGCTCTTAAAAAAATTTAAACAAAAAGGTGTGAAGCTTCAAAAAAAATTTCTTGTTGATATAAAACCTGAACCAGCTCAAAAACGATAAAAACGACTATTAACAAACAATTTATTCGAAGAAAGATAATTTGAAATGTTGTTTTTTTTTGTTTCTGGAAGAAATAAAACGCCTTCTTAGTAACCGAAAACTAAAAAAATTATCCAAATTTCAAAATGGAAAAGATCTAGTAATGAGCGTACTCCAAATGTTTGTAGCGTCTGTGCCATTTTATCCGTTGGAACCTTGAAGAACCTCCAGTAAAACTACACCTACTCAAAAAAAAAGGAAAAAATTCAAGGTTTACGAGTTTCAGAGAGAAAGAAAGTATGCAAACTGCATCGTAAAACTCAAAATTTGGCCACATGCTGGCTCTTGTTTTCCACACAATGATTCCTCCCAGTGCAAGAACCTCGAAGCATTCCGCCAAGTTCCAACAACAAAAAAAGACTCACACGGGCAACGAGGCGGACACGTGGAGCATCGTTCGAAACGGTCTGTCGAAGACAAAAGTGAAAGAACAGGAAATGCAAGTGCCTCGAAAATCAAGCGGAAAAAGGCAAAGACAATGGCCGGAAGCTCGGCTTTGCCTAGTTCACCGCGCTTTCAATATTTCGGGGCTAATGAGAATGAGTGCCTCGCTCTGACTACTCTTATGGCTTTGCCTCACGAACTTGCTACAAATTCAAAAAAATAAACACATAAAAAGAAAAAAATTTTAAAAGAAAAAAAGGATACGAAACGTTAGAAATTTTTTGGGACTCAAAGAGGCAGTTAAAGCCTGAAAATATAAGTTGAAGTGCAGAGGTGGGTGTAATGTTGCGGTTGTCCCTCCAACATTTCTCGTTTTTTCAACTCTTCTTGAAATATAAAATTGGATCAGAAATCGCATATTAATTGGTAAAGACTTCAAGTCTTTACCGTAAAGTGTGAAATTTTGTTTTATATCCTAATATTCAGGGAAAAAATTTTTTGAAGATACTACATTTGGCGTTACCGAGATATCCGTTTTCAAAAATCTCAACGTTTTTGAATAAACTTTTCTTTTCATTAGAAATATATAGAAACTATTGCTGAATTTTAGTTTCGGTTTCAGAAAATGTCAAACTTTTTTTAAAAATTAGAATCTCGAGAAAAAGACGATTTTTAATAGACGGGTTCGAATAAGACATATGGAAAGAGAAAGAAAGAATCAAGTAGAGTCGAGGGTTGAAACGCAATACTGAGATATCACATCCACTCGAATGACGTCCATCGAGCGGAAAGATAAGGAGAAACTGCCAGGATTCTCCTGATGTAGAATTTAATACGGCTCTCAGTTAAATTCTATTTCGTTGGAAAGTTCTGCTACTTTCAGAGAAACCATGTGTAACATATCCTGACTACATTTTCCCGTTTAGTCGCGCTTTAGGGAGACTTCTGAAAGAAAGAGAGAAGGTGCCTCAGAAAACAGCGAGAAAAATGTCACGTTAACAACAAAATAATCAAGATTCGAGTGAAAAAGAAAAGGAAAAACGTACACAAATGCTCAAACCACTTTATGGCATAAAATAACGGAATCGCTTGAAGCAGGCAAAGAGGTGTTGGAAACTTGATCTAGAGCTTATTAATTCTAGCGAGGGTCTCGCTCAGAGCAAAAAAGGAATAGACGCGAGATTCGTGGGAACTCGGCGATTCAGTGGACGGCTGATCTTTCGGTCCGTTACAAAAGTCGGAAGATAAACGAACGTGGAAGGGGCGGCAGGACTGGTGCAAGGCGTGCTTCTGGCGGAAAGTCCGAGTGCGGAGCCGACGAAGCCGCGGTCCATCCAAGGCGGAGAGCAGCCGCCGCGACTGAGCACGCGAGCCCTGTACGTGCCGTTCATCTCTGCAAACTCTGCGATGTGTCATTCAGAGGTCATGAACATTTATCAATTTTTTAATTAAAAAATCACATATATTTTATTTGAAAATGCTCGTTCTCGTGCGTTTCAAAATGTTATGAAGTAGACCGTGGACTATATCATCCAATGAATTTCACATATTGATAAGGATAGTTTCGGTTCCCAAATTGCTTCGAGTGGTGATTTTCAATAGAAAAAAAGTTGAGCGAAATCGACAAAGTATTCTCGTCCCTATTAAAAAGAAAATTATTAACTAAAGGACAAAAATGTAGAAAGAAAAAGTTCAGCTTCGGACTATCGCTTAATTTTATCTCCTTCTCATTAAAATGTGACTATGTAAAGGAAAGTTCACTCATTAAATGTTTCCGTTTCACCGACTGTAACGTGAAGTTTTGAACAACAGCTGCAATTAAATGAATAATTTGCCCAGCTATTACATGATCCTAAAAAAAATATGAACAAGAACATCTCTTCTCTCCGATGGAAACACCCTTTCAAGCTACTGTCTACGAAGTTTGGAGATTTAATTAGCGTGTATGATGATATTTTTTTAATCAGTTTAGAATACAAATTTGAAAAATAACCGGATTATGTGTGAATTTTTTTGTAACTCAAATATGCGTTTCTCTGAGGCTTTTCGCAACATAATTCAACACTTTTTCCCATTTGGTGCAGAATATCCTTTGTATCATCTTTTGATAGACTTTTTCCAACGCATATATCTCTCAAACACGAAACTATGTCTATTATTCTGGTTCATGAAAATCTCAAAAAGCCTTATAATTGCCAAAAATGGAATTCAAAATGTGAAAAACAGAGTGAAATACAAAAACTTAAGGGTCTTTCTTTTTCTTAACAGGATATCAGTCTGAATATTTTGATGCGTTCAAAGCCTTGAAAGCCCTTCGGAATCGCATCGGAAGACTAGAAAACTAGAAAAAAATAAATTTGGAATCTTTGAAAGCTTTCGAAATCCCCTGAAAACTACTTCCCCATATCGGCGTCATTATTCTGATAAAGATGTTCATAGTTTTTTATAGGGGCGATTTTCGAGTTTATACGTCCTCTGTTGGAAAAGACGTGAAAGATTCAGATGATCGCATTTCCTCAAACGGAAGTCTGGATCACCCCCGTAGCAACATCTTTAAGGTCGACTAAAGTTGCACATTCTACCTTGGAAGCTTCTGAGGATATAGTTGATTAACCGTTAACTTAACCCAAGAATCAAAAAAAAAATCAAAAAATCCACCAAATGCTGCAAAAGGAAGAATAAAGGAAGGAATTTAGTCGCAGAGAAGAGAATCGTATCATTTGATATGTATCAAATTATTAACAAAAAAAAGCTAGATGGTGGCTATATCAGCTCCTTTTCCAGTTTTGAAAAACAGTCAACAATAAATAATATTTTTCGTTCTATCGAAACTCGAAACAGTTTTAATTCTCTGCGCTCTTTTTTGCCGTAGGGACATGATAACAGAAAATGGAAAAAGCAGATAAAAAAGAGAGCTAAAAATCAAGAGTTCTCAGAAAGTTCCTACGAGTCGTCGTCAACAAAACACATGAGAAAATTAAAGCTTCTCATTTTTGAAAAGCCATCGATAGTAGAATGTACTTTGAGACCGAGCGATGTAACCTGAACTGTCGATTTTTTTTAAAAATATGAACAAATGGTTTCGAAAATAGGGTAGAACCCCCAAAAAGCTGAAAAAAATTGTATTGGATTAGAATTTGTGAAAAATCGCGAAAAAGACCACTGTGACTAGAATAAAAAGCGATCTTCCAAATGGACTCGCAACCTTTTGAAAGCAAATTGAGTGGAGTGATTGCAAAATGTCCGTTTGGCCGCATAATAGGCTCTGCTTCCCAGTTTTCGCGACAAAATCACTGTTTGCACACGTGTTAAACTTGCCTCGCCGCTTTAGTTGTTTTTTTGAGAACGAAATTGACTTTTTTCCCAGAAAAAAAACGGGAAGATGACTGTGAAAAATAAGAATGGACACGATTCGTTGAATTATCACAAAATCAGCTGAAAATGAGCAAAGAAAGGCAGTGAGAAGAATGCCTGATATATTTTTCAGGTCTAGAAATTATTCTAACTGGAGAAAGATGTCAGTTTGTTTTCTTCTTCTTTTTAACGTTTTTGAAGCCTTTATTCCAGGAGTAAAACTTTTCCTAGAGAGCAAAGTTTGAATTAAAATAATTGAGAATAGAAGCTCTGATTGTGTTTTTTGCACACTTCAAACGCCAAACTTAAAACTTTGGTTTACGAACATATTTTCGAAAAAAAAAAAGATATTTCATATAGGACGGCACAAACTTGTTTCTGCGTAACTTCAGTGACGCCCTTAAAAAGATCTGATATTTTCTGAATTGTTGTAGCAAAAATTAAAAAAATGATTAAAAATTTAATAGCGTTTACTTTTTTTTGTAAGAGTGTTACACATTGCGAAACATTTCAATAGAAAAACTGGGACTTACAAAAAATTTTCGCAGGCCTACATCTATTTTCGAGGAAATTTGATACCTTCTGAAAGCAAAAGATGAGTTTATCAAAAAAAAAACTTTCGCAGCCACCGAAAAAAAAAAAACTAGTTTTCCCTCTTAGCCAAAAGAATTCAAAAATTTCTGGTGTTCTAGTGAAAGAGACCTTCCAAAAGGGTATACTTCAATACAAAATGACAAGATGTAGTTCAAAAACCCTTCTCAAAGATAATGAAAACCCCATTCGCTAGTTGAAAACAAGATATGAGTTAATGTATGGGGATGTGCAAACTGAAAATGGATTGCACCGAGGTAAGAAGGGAGAAAATAAAGATAAGAAGAAGAAAAGGAGAGCACAGAGAGAGACGTTGAAACACCGAAGAGCCGCGCAACGAGTAATGATGGACCGTGATTTGACTAATTACGGGGAGCACGGCCTAGAGGCAGAGATAACCTACACTGATTGTATCACTGCTGCCGAGTTTAAAGCACATGCCCATTCTGAGAGAGCCTAGTTTTTGACTGGCTCAGCTCGAAACTTGTCCAAAAGAGCTGTGACACCTAAAATCGTCATGGAAATGATTCCGTTAAAACTCTTAACCTCCACTGAAAAGAAAGATGAAAAAAAAACCGAAGCTTTGGAAGCTTGCAAAAAAATGTAACAGAAATAACTACGAATATAGTCGATCTTTCCAGACTCGAAAAGCGAGTGATCGGTAAACGTTTAGAGTTGCGTACGCGACGCGGCTCTTGGCGGGGAATTCAAACGCAATTGTGAAAAAAATGTAGAAAACAAATATTCTCTTCAAAATTGTTTTTTATAGTTTTATTTGTCCAACTAAAAATCATTTCAAAACCATGAAAAAGTAAGTTATTCAAAAAAACTATCATTGTGGAGCGTTTTTGACCTCGAGCTCCCCGCCAAAAGACGCGTATGCAACTCTTCACCTCTGCCCGTCTCGCCTTTGAAGTTGGGAAAAACTGACTTGATGTCTGAAATTTTTTCGCCAAGCCACGGTTTTTACAAAAACGCATTAAACTGTGAAGAGAATTTTAAAAAACTTCTTACATCCAAAGCTTCAAAAACTTTTTTTGAATGCAAATGAAGAAAAAGCGAAAATTTCCTACAATACGGCGATTCAGATCGTTGCTCTTTTGGGAAAGATTGCAAATGGACGCCAAAGTGCGCGGATTAGCCCTGATTGCAGGGGTTGCCTCTGGAGATGGAAAATGATGAGGAACTGCGCAAATTAACCCAATGAGAAGGGTTTCTGCGAAAACGACTCTTCTTCAGTCAATAGCTTTTTCATTTCACTTCTCGCGATTCCCCGAGAATGAATGCCACAGTCTCAACTGAATGAAACCTCGGCGAGCAAGAAGATGTTCATTGGAAATGCTCTGTTTGAAAATATTTTGAGAAGCGGTGAGGAAGGTTCAAAAAACCATTTTTTAGCCTTATAAAAACCTCATTGTTTCATTAAAAAGAGATATTTTTCGTGAATTGAAAGACAAGCTCACGCATATAAAAAACGTACTGCTGATGGAGATGTTGGAGGCGCTCGAAGGAACGCTCACACGTATTTCTGGAACGCCGGTCGGCACCCCTGAAAACATAAAATTACATGTAAAATTGCCGAAAAGTTTAACCTGCAGCCGCACTGGTCCGTCTGAAGAACGAGGACATGTTTTAGAGAAATATATTTCAAAGTTTGAGCCAAAACCGCAGTCAAAACTCAGCGGAAGGGAAAGAATGGACTGCTGATGGTTTCAGGACGCGGATCCCATGTTCGCAATTAGTGTGGATTGAAAGTTGGTAAAGTCAAAGCAAAAATATACCACTTTCTTTCTTCGAGATTCCAAATGAACAGTCCTCTGAAGAATCTTCCCTCCTATCTACTGAGTTATTTCAAGTGTTCGAAGCGTTATTTGCGAGAAAGACGACAAATCACAGAAATTCGTAAAAAAAAAAGGTAATTCTACACGAAATTTTGAAGTTTTTTTTAATTAGCTAACGCTTCTATGTTACATACAGTACCGCTCAAAAGTGTATTAAGTTTTGGTTTTTTGAGGATATCTCAGCGAGTACTTATCCGATTTATATATAACTTTCAGGGATAATGTAAAACATACTTTGAAACATATACGTTTTACAAAGACATGTCCGCAATCACTGTGACGCGTTTTAGGCATTTTTTTATTGAATTCAATTTTTTTTGTTTTTTATGCTTTTATTTTTATTTGTTTTTATTAAATTTTTTAAAAGGAATAATAATGCCATATATTTTTTTTCATGTTTTCAAACATGGGAAGAACCTCTGAAAAAAAGGATTTGACTGATAACGACAAAAGAGCCATCGTTGTGGGTCGTCAAAATGGACTGACCATGATGACGTTGGCAGGAATGTTCGGCGTGACAGAGGCGTGCATTTCTCAGTTTCTAAAGCATTGGAAAGCTCAAGATGGCTCTACTAAGAGCCAACGCACTGGAAGATCACGTTTCACTGATCGTAATTTGTAGTTATCAGTCAAATCCTTTTTTCCAGAGGTTCTTCCCATGTCTGAAAACATGAAAAAAAATATATGGCAACATTATTCCTTTTAAAAAATTTAATAAAAACAAATAAAAATAAAAGCATAAAAAACAAAAAAAATTGAATTCAATAAAAAATGCCTAAAACGCGTCACAGTGATTGCGGACATGTCTTTGTAAAACGTATATGTTTCAAAGTATATTTTACATTATCCCTGAAAGTCATATATAAATCGGATAAGTACTCGCTGAGATATCCTCAAAAAACCAAAACCTAATACACTTTTGAGCGGTACTGTATGACTATGTACTAATGAAACACCTTGAAAAAAATCAGAACCCACAACTTTCTTTTTTTGAGAATGAGTCCTACAACGATATTTTGTATAGAGCAGAAAATAGTTTTTTGAAGTGGTTTTTCTTGAAAAATATGTCAATTATATAATGTTTCTCAAGTTTTCACCGTTTATTTTTTCAGCGACCTTCTCTCAAAAGTCGAAAAATAGAGGGCTCAAGAAAAAATCGAGAAAGATTGGGAAACTTGTGGAGAAAACACTTGCCAGTGTATTTGAAGGTTTTGGAGTGGTAACGGAGGCATATTCGAACAGCGAAGTAGATGGCGAGCACGCCAAGAACGACGGCGGTGAGCGTGAGCGGCACCACCAGCGCCAGGAACGCGTCCCCCATCGGCAGCCAGCTCGCTACAAAAATTTCTCTTCGAAATATCCCGCTTACAGCAACGAAAAATTGTTCAAGTTCCGAAATTTGAATTTCGTTGAATGAGGGATGACCACCGACTTTTTGGAAAAAATACAGGTATTTGTTAACTTAAATAAAACTGCCTCACTTGTGCACGGCGTTCGTATAAAAAAGAACGTTTCGCACGCGTGAAAAACGTACTTTTTATACGATGAAACTCAAAAATTTCTCATAATTTGTGATCTCTCTCTCGCATACACCAAATAGCAGTTTTTGGGCGATATATTCGTTAATAACAAGTTTTTCGTACGAAAAAATGAACAGATTTGAAGAAAAACGCAATTAGAACATTCAATGATACAATCTAAGTTTTAACAATTACGTTTTTGCAAACGCTAGCAAGCCTTAAAAAAGGCCTAATTTGGGGAATGCGTATTTAGTGAAAAGAACTTTTTTTTCTGTAATTTTTGATCTATTATTGTCGGAAATAGCCTTGTTCATTTTAATAAACAGAAAAAATGATCGAAAACGGCCTAGTATGGCCAGCGGAGACCGCGCAGTGCAAACTGGACGGGTCCCTATAGGTCTGAACTGGTGTGAAGCAGAAACATAACAATTCCAAACATATTCGCATCGCCTATCGTGAAAATTGGATGAGGGAAAAACTAAGGTTATTCGGTTACAAAGAATAAGCGGCACGATGCACTCTAACTCTACAAAGACAAAAATATGTCATTAACGTCTCATTTCGGAGGAAAATAGTTGGACACATGACGATAAGGAAAGAAATGGGTGTTGAATCAAGATAAAGAACTCTTGATATGATAATTCTTGATCCGTCTGGGTCAAATTCGATATTAAAATAAAAATAGATTCACGCGAATATGATTTGCAACACCTTTTCAAAACTTTGATAAAGCGTGAGCTATCTCCGGAACGCCCGGGAAATGATCCCTAGAGAGTCAACCTTAGAGGCCTCCGAAGGTCCCCCTCTATAAAATACCTACCGCATAGGGGACACTCATTTTCTAGCAACGAACTGGAAAAGAAAGTCTAATCAAAGGAGGATCATATTGGTAACTTTCGAAAACTTATGTTCTAGTTTTTCTCGGTAAAAGTGTAGACATAGGCAGATACTCAAAAAAGAAGACGTACGCAAAATGGCGCGAAAAGGTGCAAATAACTGGAGCGATTCGGCATAAATATTTCATCGATACGCCGCTGCTCATTATCCGGAAAGGCGGGAAGACGGAACGGCTCCCAAAAAAGGAGAGGCAGGTGTAGGCCGCAGAGTTGCATTTGATTATTCCCTCGGTGCTTCTCATCTTTTTGCTCCGTCTTTCCTCTTTTGTGGACTACGAGTATTTGCCAACGAAGTTTTTTTTGCTCAAAAAAAATTGGAAAAATTTTTTAAGGTTATTTAATGGCAGAAAGGCCTACAGTCAAGTTTAAATCTTATGCGAACCAGTGAAGCATGGACGTTTATTGACCGGTTGCTTGATTTTGAAGCCGGTTGGAAACGAACTTTTTTTTTCTTCATTTACGAGTAGCGAAGTGTTTGGAGATACACGTTGGTTTATTGAAAAAAAAAATGTGTTTTCCTTGAAAAATTTTTTCAACTTAGTCTCATGTTGGACAAAAGCAACACGTTGAGTAGAAAAAAAGAAAAGAAAGTGAAGGAGAGAGGAAAAATGAATAAATGATGAGAAAGAAGGTAAATCGGCCGAGCTCCAAGGTTTTGGATCTTGAAAAAAAACGACAACAGGCATTTCAAGTGGAAGCGCACACATGTACATTCTCTATGAGCTCAAATCGCGTCTCACAACAAATATCAGCTTTTGGCTTCTTGCTCATGCTTGCCGCCTTCATTATTTCGGTTCTCCCAGATATCCGTTTCTTGAGCTGCGCCTAGAAATTTCGATTAAAAATATTCAAGATAGTTGATGTTGTTGGGTAGTAGGAATCGCTCAAAGGAAAAATAAGACAGGAAATCACTGGAAAATTCGGCAAGCTGCTGAAGTACTTTTTGCACGTTGTGGATAATTAGAAAAAAGATGGTGCTTGGATAATCGCAGCGGCTAATTGGACGAAAAAGTGGAAAGCAGTCGTATGGGAAACGTTCGCGGATGAATGCGACGCACAGCATTTCCTTCCTGAACGACGTCTTTGACGACACTAAATAATCCAGAGCATCTTCGTCTTTTAGCCAATCTTTTTCGCTCCTCTGAGTCAAAGGGACGTTAGTAAGGCTCAGTATTTGTGAGCAGTTAAGGAAATCATCCCAAGAGCGAAATTTTTGAGCTTAATCACTAATGGTTCTCTTCCGAAGGTGGACAGAAAGAGTTTTCTATTTCCTGATATTGAAGCGTCTTCTTTAGACAAAATCATAACAAATTTGAATTTTCAAGCGATCAAGTTGGTAGAAAAATGTAGAAAATACTTTTAAAATCTTGATAATGAAAATTCGAAATTCAATGAGGACTGAGGGCGATAGCTAAAATGGAAACTGAGGCAAGCACATCCCAATCAGAAGTTGTTTTGTTCAAAATTTATTATAAAATGTTTTTCTTTCAATGATAGCTTAGTCTGATCTAACGGAGGTTGGATTAAAAGCAGACCACGTGTGTCTAGAGACAAGAAAACAGAAATCCTGTTGGGAAAAGCGTGACGCGGAGCAATTTGGGGTGAGCGCCAAAGCCAGGAATTAACGGAATTTGCGAATTGGGTGGCGGTTGGTGAAAAATGCGTGGAAAGGTGCCACCTACGACAAAAGGCCTGATTTTCGGCCGTTGTCCACGTTTTCCTTCCATTTTGGACTTCCCAAGAGGCAAAAAATGCAAATTCCTTCCACTTGCTCCGTTTCGCTCCTTCCTCTTGTTTTTTTTTTTCGGAATTCTGGTAGCAAAGCACTTTTAAGGCTTTGATTTCAGGAAATATGGTTTTTTTAAATAGTGTCTGCGCTTCTGAAATGGCTAGATATTCTTTATGATACTCCAAATACATCAATTCGAAATATGGAGTTCATTACAACCGGATCGGAAGAAATTTTAGAGTTCAACTGCAGAAAATTAGTCTAGTTACAGTGTTGATAGGCCCATCAAAAGTAGCGGATTGCGAAATTGAAATTTTTCATTGTTCAAATGTTTTCAAGCGATTCTTTTTTTACAAGTTCGTGAGAATAAGTTGGTCTAAAATCCCACCGAGAGAAACTTCTTTTCAAAAAAAGAAGAGAAAAATAAACTATATTTGCAAAGAGACCAGAGTAGGCGGCCACGTTGGCCAGGCACCCTAAACGACTTTTATAATTCATTAACGGAACCAAAAAAAAATGAAGAAAACCAAACGCTGGAAACTTCATTACTTCCGTGAGCTATTTCTTCTTTAGCAATCCCTCAGAAATTCAGTTATCGGAGTCGCTCAAAATAGGAGTCAAATGGAATGTTTCTATTAGTTTTTCTTGAACGTCGAGCCGACTGAAAAGGCATTAATTCCGCGTGGCAAGACTACTTTGCTAGCCCCTACCCTAGGGCACCACCACTAGGCTTGGGAAACCAAGAAATCGCGTGGGCTGAAGAGGATGAAACGAAAGACAATAAACGGACGTTTAGACCCATTCAAAGCGTCTCATTTTGGCTGAACCTTTTCTCGAAGGTCTCATTTTGGGCTTCCCTTGGCTCAGGATTGCCTTCCATCATTTCCGTCTGTCCTTTGAAGAACTTCTTCCGGCCGCCTTTGTATTTCATCTCGTCTCTTTCAATTTTTCTTTTTTTTTCGTTCCGGCGTTTGCTTTCACTTTTTTGAAACAATGGCCTTTTTGACGACGTTTGAGAGCGTTTCACTGGAGAAATCTCTGTCTGCGACCTAGAAGCGAAACTTTACGAAGTGAAGATTACGATAAGTTCATTCGGGCTCTCGAACTAATCCTCATGTTAGAAAAGTATCGTGTTTTCGCTTGTTTTTCATATCAGTATGTGTAGAAAAGAAACTAGTAAAAATGCATAGAAAGAGAAACTTACTTTTTTTTCTGAAAAACGTCTTGAAAACCGTCTTTTTTATGTCTTCAGGTTAAATATGATTGTCTCATAGTTTATCTTGATAAATTCCACACTCATTAGTCCTGAAATAAATCTTTCAACATCAGCAAAAACGTATTATATAATGGGCAGAGTAATTCAGTTGATCGTCGTTTTTAAACAAAGCTCTGAAATAATAAAGAAAACGTAGGAGTGAGTAGGATCTGAGAAAGGTCGGATGCGTTTTGGTTTGATTTGAAGACCGCTTTGATATAAACAAATATCCCTTCCTTCCGGTCTGCATCTTATAAACAATAAACTTCACTATAATCCATTTTTCCCGACTTGAAAGGACGGGACTTCTCTGCGCCCTCCTCGTCTCTCGATGAAGCTCTCTTCTTGACGCGCTATTTTCGCGTTTCTCTGACCTCGCCGGTGAGGGAACAAAGAGACTAACCACGGTCAGACACGCGAAAACTGTCAAGTCGCGTCGGTGGAATAAATCTTTTCCCCAAATCTGAACCAATGAAATTCATTTTTGTCATTTGGTTGAAATCGGCTTTCTCTTTGAAAATATTTTATTTTAAGTATGTTTTCATTGAAATTTAAGAGAAAAGTTTTTTTAGATGACTGTGTATGAGAGTGCGAAAGTTTCCCAAAGTTGCAACCAGAAATATTATTTAACATAAAAGACGCTTGGCGTTCAAGAAGAAAGGGCTTCGGCGACGAGCTGTGCATGTCGCGTGAGAGCGACCAAAGTCGTCGCCGCCAACAAACGGTCGTGTCGCGTCGATGTGTCGCAGTCTTCGCTCAACGACTGTAACCGATTTTTCTTTTCCAAAAAAAGTCTCAACTCTGAATCTTGATATAGAGCATACCTTCAGAGTTTCCAGGGCGAAGACGTGATAAATATCTGCGATCTGCTTCTGAATCTGCGCAATAAGTTCTTTCGATGATGAATCTCCATCAGCACTCCAGTGGTGGATGGCAGTGGCACGTTTTTGGACAAGAGTCAGCAACAAATTGATCCTGACTCCTCTTTTTCTGATTTGATGCTCCCGCGTCTCTTCTTTTCCACCTCCAGCTCGTAGAGTTTCGTCGATCGATGTCTTCTCCTTCTGAATTTCATTCATTTCATTTATTCAGACATCAGAGAATTTTAAATTAAGATTTCTGAATTAAGTCGTTGTTTTTTAAATTCTCCTAGTCCAAATCTGCGACACAGGATACCGAAAACCCGAAATCTAAGGAATTGTAATTTAGTCATCGGAAAACTGACCCTACTACGGCAAAACGCAGACAAGCATGCACTCAAAGACCTCATCGACACGATAAGAAATGATTCTTTTTCAAATAAAAATGAAACGTGTTTTAAATATTTGGAAAGAGTTTAAAAAATTGCGTTGTTTGTGAAATGAGGTCAGAAAAACTCGAACCTGATGAAGATGAAGAAACTCACTTTCAATTTTTTATTTTCAACCTTTTTTTGATTTAATATGTTTTTTTCTAGAAAGAATTAGATATGAGAGAAGAGAAATAAAAACAAAAAGTTAATATTTTCAGGAAACCCGCAGAGAATCGTTTTTTGTTTTATTTCGTACAGTCTCTGCATTCAAATTACAGAAAAAAGGACAAGCTCAACTCAATGAAGCTACCATACATACGTAGTGAGATAAGAATACACTATGAAAGTTTGATGAGACGTTCCCAGTAATAATAGAACGAGAACATAAGTTTTCATATAATTTACATGAAACATTGTTTGAAAAAGGAACAAGCTGTAACCGTGATATAAACAAATCTAGAGGGTATTTGAAGCTATTAGCACTGAAAAAAGTCCTATACAGTATACCTTCACTGGATAAAAACCAAAAAAAAACAAGAGAGGAATTTCACAGTCATGCAAATAAAATCACGTCATCAGTTAGCCACGTGAAGAAGATCAGAAAAAAAAAGCCATTGCTCAACTTTGCATTTGTCAAGCTTCAACCCAAGTCGTCTGCTAAACATGTCTTACGCCAAAAGCTTCTACGCCGAGGCCAAGTCTGATGTGGAAAGCGTCGCATCTCCCGCGCAGAAGCCGTCGACTACTCAGGGCGAAGTGAATCTTTCGCCGGCACAACTTCAAGAAGCGATCCGCTTCTATCGTCAGCTTAATCAAGGACAGCTGTCGGCTCCGCAGCTCCAGGAGTGCGAAGAGCCTGAGCGCACGCGTAAGTCGTCAATTAACAAAGAATTTCACCTCTTGAAAACTTCTGCAGCTGTCAACTCTTCGTACGTCGATCAGTCAGGAGTTCCACAGTCGTACAACGTCGGTTATACAATGACTCCGCAGAAGCCTCGGAATCCTCTGCAACAAAACTTTGCTCCTTTCAATCCACAGGAGCTCATGGCCCAGCTTCAAGCTATGTCTTTCCAGAAGAACGATGCGTAACGTTTTACATTCACAAGCATTACAGAGTTTTGAACAACAGATCCTCGGTCCCGCAAAAGTCGACGCAGGAAAAACCTGCTGAAGAGCCTCCACTTCCTGCTTCACAGGAAAAGCAGATTCAGCGCGGCTTCGAGAAAGAAACACGATATGTCCAGCCAGAGCGTCCGCGCATTGCCGTAAGCGTATTTAGAACGTCTCATAAACCGTTTTGTTTGGTACGGTAACGAGGAGTCCGGCTACATGTTCGACTGCTCCAAGGAAAAGGACAAGGCTCGTAGCCACGAATATAGTGCTCATGCCTCCATTTCCTCATCCAATACTAACGCGGTCAATCGATAGTTTTTATAATAGAAATTCTAAATGGCATCGTTTAAGAAAGATTTCGATGGTGCTTATAACAAAACTGCGCCGATAGCAGAATCGTCTCTTTCCCAGGGACCGCCCTATCGTCAAATTAATCCATCCAGCACTCACGAGCCCCGAAGCGGTGCTTCTTACAAGAAGATGGTTTGCTTTTAATTCAATTCTAGGTAACTATTTATTGTTTATCAGACTTCTGAGTACATTGGCATGCCAAATGAAAACGTTTTCTTCATGGACGTGCAGAAAAACCCTTCTTATGGAGTTACCTATGTGACGAACACTGTCGCCCCTTCTGCGAATTCGATTCATCAAGAAGGTTGTTTTCAGCCTGAAAAGCAGAACGCCTAATATTTTCCAGTCAAAGGTGAACATTCTACCGAGCAGGCTCCCATTTCTTCGATACCGCAAACTCCTCAGTCGCGCTTTCGCGGGCTGATTCGCGATATTTCCTCATCTGAAGCTCCTGTGGCCCCGATAATAATTCAACACGTCGAATCGGTCACTTCGTTGTTTCGAAAATGAGCCAAATGCGACTTTCAGAGCCCTGCGGATACTTATGCAACTAATAACTACGGCGCCTTCCGCTCCGCAATGCAAGACGTTCCCTCCGAGTATCAAATGCACCAACTCAACGACCTAACCTCTTGTATTGAACCCTATTGAAGCTCAAGATCTCGGCTTTTCTTTAAATAAAATTTTTATTAAAGTTTTTTGATTTTTATGACTTTGAAAATGAAGAAATCTACAATTAAACTTCAAAAAAACACATGACAAACTGGATAGTTACCAGTTTCATGGAAGCTTCATGTTCAGAAGCTTGGGAAATTTTCAGTGAGAAACGCGACTGCGACACTAATAAGATTTTATAGTGAATCGGGAGATCGGGAAGGGCGTGAGTATTATATTATATTTTATATAATGGAAAATATAAGTTGGTTCAGGGCCCGGGCTTCAGGCCCTTTTTGAGAAAAAAAAAAGTCTGCGCGGGCTTGGGCCAGACCAGCTTCGAAAAATTTTCCCTCAAGAGTGCTAACGCTATTGAAGTGGTCACTAGTCTGGTAAAACAGAAAAGTTCCTCGGAGGATCCTTGAAGGATCCTGAGAGGGGGCTAAAAAAGTTCCTTTAAAAGTTTCTGAAATGATGTGAGAAAGCTTTTAAGCTCCATTTTTATAGCCTCATCGAATCCTTTTTAAATCCGACCAAATATTTTTAGTTGCTTTTTTATTGAAGGATGTGTAACAGACGTAAAAATGGAATAAAATGAAATACAAAAATCTGCTGGTGACCTTTAGAAGGTCTTTTCATGAGAAAAGCTTTGAGGAGCTTTTTAACTTTGCCCTAGTAGAAATGCCCCGACACGTTCGCGTCCGTTTCGCGTTACCGAAGTCCGCGCAGGCTTGTCCGATTGCCGGCTTATAAACTATGATTCGAAAAGTAAAAATAATTTTTCGGTGAAAACTTTTTCAAAATGAAATCTAAGATTTTTTTTTTGAATCCCGGGCCGCCCGGCCTGATGCACCTGCCTTCTTCTCACAAAAGACGCCTAAAATCGCAGCAACTTTTTCTCTGACACAAACTACTTCGTCGTTATCTAGCTGCGTGAAAACGACGAAGTTTCGAAATAGAATAGGTTAGAGAAAGATTCGGGCCGATCTTTATGCGCCCCATGTCAGAGCTTTCTCGGTAACTGAAACCGGGCGCGCTCCGGTCGTTTCTGAGCAAAATGCAATTCTAGGGACTTAAGAGTGCTCGTCTCCGCTAAAGTGGTCACTAGAAGTGCTCAGGAACGTTCAGGGCGCGTTACCCAGATCTGAGATGCTTGAGGCACCTTTTTGCATACTAGTCATACAATTTCGCAATCTACTTACGTAAAAATATGACTTGTAGCTTCCAGAAAGAAGTCACGTTCCGCCTTTTCGCCGGCGTGTTTATTCTCAGCGGTCCACGTTTCGCAACTTGCCAAAATTTGGTTTTATATATTTATTTTCGTTGCGGGTTCATTCCTGCTCTCCCTCTTTTTCATGTGCGACAAAGAAGCTAGCAGTTCGAGGTGAAATTATTTAACTACTCAAAAAAATTTTTTTAGAATTTCTTTTTTTTCAGATCAGAATACAAGGAGGACTCGAAAATGGAGAAGTTGGCCAAAGCGGAAAACAGAATTTTTGCTAATTTCGGCATCAAGTTTCTTTCACGATTTATACCGGTTTGCTCTTCTCGGCTTTTCTTTTTTTTAAATATTCATCAACTTGATGGTGCTTCGAAGAAAAAACTATATTTAAATTCAGAAAGCAAGGAAAAATCAGTTTTTTTTTCTACTCAAACGACAGTAAAAATATTTCAAAAGTTATATTACATTTCAAAAAAGGAAATCTTCTTGAAAAGTTCTCGTAAGAGTTTTCCTGAACTTTCAATTACCTTTTTGCTATTTCGGATGAAAAAAACTACTTCGCGTTAAATCGCAAACCGCTACTCCCTGACGTCATCCCTATGACATCATCTTCATTTGCAAAATTCGCACACGCAGCCATATCATTTTATTCATTTTTTACGTTCCAATTTATAAAAATTAGATTCGACGTGAAAACTTTTCCGGTCACATGAGAAACAGAAAGATATCACACTTGAAAATCCCCTTTTGATTGGAAAAACTTTTTTTCATTCTTCTATTTTTCTTACTTTTTTTAGAAACCTTCTAAAGGTTTGGAATAATCCGAGGCGTCGAGGCCCACGCTTACGCAGAGAATGCTTTTTTAAAATTTTTTCTTTTTTTTTTCACAGATTTTTTCGCTACGCGTATCAAGTTTGCAAATCGTTTGGAGCTACCTGATAGTGTTATTAGTGACCACGTTTTGAAACTAAATGCTTTTTATGTCAAGTATTCATTTATTTGACGAATTTCTCACTGGCTCAGTTTTTTCGAAGCGAGCCACAGTCGGCTTCGCGCTATGCGCGCTCCGCTTCCGTGTGAAGCCTTAAAACTAAGCCTATTTTCTTAAGTAATGCATGAACCTGTAGGCGCAGTTTTGATGCAAAGGCGCTATTCAGGCTCTTCCCATTCTTCAATTTTTTCAATTTCAATTTCAATTCAATTCAATTTATTCAGTCTTCAGAGTAAGATGAAGAAAATCTCTGCTGAATCATGGTATAATCGAAGAGTTAGTCGTCGGCGCGGGTTACGGTCCACAATCTTTGTCCAATAAGTCCCGGAGTGACAGCTAGCGTTGGGGAATAATGTGGGCCCGTTGGTAGTACCAGCGAATAAACTGCTTCACCATGTTGGAACAGTACAGCGCCCAGCTTGTCCAGGGCTGACGGGCGTCGGAATATTATCCCATGAGATAGCGGCAAAGAGTCCACAATCTTTGTCCAATACGTCCCGGAGTGACAGCTAGCGTTGGGAAATAATGTGGGCCCGTTGGTAGTACCAGCGAATAAACTGCTTCACCATGTTGGAACAGTACAGCGCCCAGCTTGTCCAGGGCTGACGGGCGTCGGAATATTATCCCATGAGATAGCGGCAAAGAGTCCACAATCTTAGAAAAAAAAGAGAAAAGAAGAGAAAAAGAAAATGTCTCTAGTTTGAACCCAAGCTAGAACCTTCAGTCAAACAGAGAGCATAGAGAAATCGGAAAAAATCCAGTTCAATGTGGATTTTCGGATCATTTCAATGGAGCAGTGGATTCTAGTCACTGAAAACGCTAAAGTGGACCAGTCGACGTGATGAAATGAGATAATAAGAATCTGCTGAATCACGTTCACGTGAAAGAAATAAATATATAGCCAAATATTTCGATTACGCTTATTTCTAGTGTTACGAATGGTTTCATGAAATGACGTCAGGGAGTAGCGGTTTGCGATTTAACGAAAATTAAAACTAATTTAAAGCCGCAGAAAAGAAGAAAAATATTTTGCGAGGAAAAAGCAAAACAGCTGAAAACGATGTTTCTTGTCATTCTGTGTAATTTTGCGAAATAAATCGAGACTTTTTGTGTTTTGATGTAATTTTTTCAGGTGTCTTTCAAAAATTCGGTCGTGTATACTGTGTCAGTGAAACCAGAAGAGATGGAGCGAAAAATCGAGCCAGTAGTTCTGGTACACGGTTTTGGGGCCGGCGTCGCTCTTTGGGGTGCGGCCATCAAACATCTTTCTAAAAATCATACTGTCCACGCCTTCGATTTATTAGGTTTGTCCTCGGGCCAGTCGAGCTTAATTCGGAGTTTCAGGTTTCGGCAGGTCATCCAGACCGACATTCAGTAAAGACGCTTCAACGGCTGAAGCCGAGCTAGTTCAATCCATCGAAGATTGGCGTCAAGAGATGGAGATTGAGAAAATGTTTCTAGTGGCCCACTCCTTCGGTGAGGGCTCTTCGAATTTTACATTTTTTCTCAACTTTCGAATGAGAGGTTTTCATTTTCACGAAATAATTTTCAGCGAATACCTATGTTAATCGAATCAGGTGGATCTAGAAAAGTTTAAAGTTAGTTAAGAAGTTTAGTAGAATGAACTCATTTTGAGACTTTAGTTCTTCCGTTTGCATCACCTTTTAAAAAAAACTAGGCCTTTGTAACAGAAAAAAAATAAGTTTAACTTCAAAACTGTATGAAATTTTTTGAGTAGAACTTGAAAAAAAAAAGAAATTTTTTTCTGAAAAATCATTCTATTAAAAAATATTTTCCTTTTCAAACAAAAAAAAACAAAATCACTATTTTTTTCTGTGCATACTTTCTTCGGTTCCGTTAAATCGCCAACCGCTACTCCCTGAAGTCACTTTATGAACACATTTCGAAAAAAAGAGAAGTACGAGAGTAGAAATATTTGTTATAAACATTATTTAATTTACGTGAAAAAAATTAAAAGAAGCCCTAAACGAAAAACAATACTGTGAACTCCTTCTGAAGGTTTTTTTTAAAAAGAAGTATAAGGAAAACAATTAAAATAAAAAACTTTAAAATGAAAACAGGATTATAAGATGTGATATATGTCTTCCTTCTGTTTTTTATGTGACTTTGAATGTTTAACTCGGGCAAAACTGAAAAGCTCCCCAAAAGCTTTTCTCAAAAAAAGACCTTGAAAGGGTCCCCAGCAGATCTTTTTTACATCATTTCAATTCTTTTTTGCGTCTTTTTCACATCCTCTGACAAAAAGGATGCTGGAAAGCAACTAAAAAGATCCGAGAGGATTCAAAAAGGATCCTCTGAGGCTATGAAAAAGGTGCTCAAAAGCTTTTTTACATCATTTTAGGAGCTTTTAGAGGAAGCTTTTTATCTCCCTTTCAGGATCCTTTGAGGATCCTTAAAGGAACTTTTCAGTTTTACCTATGAAACGTCAAATTTTAATAACTATATTGCTGTGTGTGCGATGATGTTAGGTCAAGATGACGTCACGGAGTAGCGGTTTTCGATTCAACTGGAAGTGACTTTCTTTCCGAAGCTTGCAATTTTTTTGTACTGAAAAATTTATTTTTTTTTCTTTTTTCAAAAACTGGGAGAGTTTAATCAAACATACTTTCGATATTTTTAAATTCAAACAAAAAAAGAAAAAAATAACTGTTGGTTTACATATTTGTTCGCTTTTTTTCTTCTTTTATAAAAAGGAAGACAGCAAGTTCATATGAATGTAAAAGCTTCACAGTATAGGACGAGGATGAGCAAACAAAAAGTCTTGAATGTTTGTGCTGGATTTTCAGAAATGATCAGGCATGTGGTACAAAAAATGGATCAAAATTAGAATTCCCAAAAAAGTTAGAATTCTCAAAAAAAAAAAAAGTTCAATTAAAAAGAAATAAGAGCCGTACGCATGGGTAACTGCATGAGAAGCTCAAGCAAAAAGCAATTCACGAGAAATATCTTCATGCTTATCACTAACGGTTTTCGCGCTCCATAAAATGTAACTTTAAAAGGCTTCCCGCATCAGTTTCTCACGAAATTTTATATGGGCTCTTTTGAAAACCAAACAGAGTGCATCTTCTGAGCTTGACTGTTATCACCGTGCAAAAAACGAAAAAATGAACCGCGAAATTCGAACTGTTCAGGTGGCTATCTGGCTTCGGCTTACGCGATCAAGTATCCGCAACGCGTGAAACATCTTATTCTGGCAGATCCGTGGGGATTCTCCGAAAAAACTACAGACTTTGAGCAAAAAGTGCTGTATGAAACTGGATTTTCTTGTTATAACTACTTATTTTTAGTTGCGACGCAGAACTCGTTTCTTGATTTCATTGCTGTCAAACTTCAATCCTTTGGCAGTTCTACGTCTTTCCGGGCCATATGGTAAGAGAACGGTGACAGGTCGGTTTCATTTAAACTTATGATTTTCAAGGTCCTCAACTCATGAAGAAAGTCCGGCCGGACTTGCAATACCGGTACCCTAGCGAGAATCCAGACGACATTTACGAGTATATTTACCGATGTAACGCTAGAAAACCTACTGGAGAAGCAGCTTTCAAAAGCATGATTTTGCCTTTCGCATGGGCCAGAAACCCCATGATAAGAAGGTAAGGTTTAATCTTTTCATTATTACTATTTTCGGATCCATTAAAGTTTATTACATTTACAGAGATGTATCACTTAGATTGATAGTAATCGATTGTACTAAAATACTTTTTCATCGTTTTGACTTTTTTTCAAACTTTTCTGCACAATCATTGCCATGAAACATGAGGTTGTGTGTAAAACATGAGGTTGTAAAATTTACGGTCCGTGAATGTGATGTCGTGAATGGATGGGCCCAGAACCTGAATCTTCTCCAGGAAGACTCTATTCTTGATTTTTAATGTTGAACAGAAAAGGAAATAAAGCCGTTCTTCTCTAGTGAAGTTTCATTCTGAGAACTTGAACTATGCATTTAAGGTACCTTTCTTTCTGCCCTTGCTTACGTCTGTACAAAAAGCTCAAAAAATGATGCTTAACGCGAGGTACCACGGCGCAGAATGCAAAGCACTGATTTGCAAAACGCAAGCAGATCTTTTTCGCAGTAATCTGTCTTGTGCACTGCATTTACATGATTACAGAAAAGTTAAATTAATCTAAGTCTGTAATCTACCAACTTCAAATTCTCATGCATATCTCATCTGTTTTCCAAACGAAGGAAAAACGAGAAGTTGCAGATTTCAAGAAGTCGACGAGTCCGTACCTGTGACTTTCATTCACGGTGCTAATAGCTGGATCGACCCTTCGCCAGCACATGAAATTCTCAAACAGAGACAGGCTGGATATGTCGATGTGCAGGTTCAGTTTATTCCCATGGATTTCAGTTGAGGTGTATCTCAGATAATGGAGCACGCCGGTCACCATGTTTACGCCGATGACACGCTGCGCTTCGTTCAAATTGTTCGCGACGCCATTGATCAGAAGAAACCGCAAAATTTTACTGGCCCTTCTCTCGGCAATCCCCTTTACTCGTGAATGTAAATATTTAAAGCACGATCAAGACTAATAAATCTAGAGTTTTTAATTATCTTGCAATAAAGTTCGAAGAAAAGTTTGGCAAAAATTTCGCCAGGAAAAGTTTAGATTCAAAAAATAGACTTGAGCTAAAAGTTATCGCTCAAATCAGAAGTGGAAGACGGTTAAAACCGCTCTTCCATAAAATTCCACTAGATAGAAATGACTCTTTCAAAAAGTCGGTATGGCCGTTTGTTTGGCAAAACGATTAATCTCTGCGATTTTTGAAGGCAGTCGTTCATGACGGGACGTTCAACGATTTGCAAGTCCTTCCTGAATCGATTTCCAACTTTGCTTTGCTTCATTGACGAACATCGTTTTTCGAGCCTTTATGATCTTGAAGTTTTTTTAATCAATTTCTGATATTTTCCTTAACTCGATAAGAATTCCGCAAACGTTCTATTAGGGCTTAAAATTGGTTTAAAAAAACCAGAGAATCACTGCTTAATTATATTTCAAACTTTTTTTAATCCAAAAAAAGATTTAAAAAAATAGATTGGCATTAAAAAAAGGTAGCGGGCCACGTACATGACTCAGATGCAATGGGTGATTTGAAATTATGGCTAATTTATACAGTTGAGCTGAAATTCTCTGGGCTGCCTTTTCATCTGTCTTTTAATCACGCAATCATCACAAAAAAAAATGATCATTTTATCAGGTCAGTCTCTTTTTTTTCATATATGTATTTCGAACTCGAAGATCCCTTGGTCGGGATAGAAGAAACTGACAAATAAAAAACTCAGATCAAACTGATAAAAGTTCGCAAAAAGTTTCTTATCACCGCGCTCGCAAATATAAACAATGCAATCGATTTGTGGCGACCACAGATAAAAATTCAATGGCTGGTTTTCGATTTCGAGTGAAAAACCTCGTATAATACCATAATCCATTGTTTTGACCCTGTTTCCTGCAGTTCTCGCAGTTTTTTAAGTGTTCTTGTCTCAGAGCGATTTTACTGTTCCGAGGACATGGAAAGCGTCAAGTTAAACACTGGAGCCGAGCTGCCGCTTCTTGGCCTCGGAACGTGGCAGGTCGGTTATTCCTAGCCTGTTCCAGGATTCAACACACTTCCTGAACCGACAAATCGAGCTGCTTCAAATAAAAGGCTGGACGGATTAAGTTCTGAGCTATATAAAGGAGACTATATAAAGGAATCTTGTCTTAGAATTTTTATTTACAGGCCAAAGACGCAACGGAGCTGACGGTGGCTTTGCGAACTGCTCTCGACAACGGCTATCGCTTGATAGGTTTGCCAGAGCCGTTTCCCGTCAAACTTTCGGATTAACAGACACGGCCTTCCTCTACCAGAACGAATCTGTAATTGGTCAAGTGCTCCACGAATACATTTCCAGCGGCAAGATCAAGCGTGAGGAGCTTTTCATTACTTCTAAGGTTCTTTTTCACGGCCGAGACTTCTTTGATTCTATACTTTCAGCTGACCTTCACGGCTCACGCCCCAGAAGACGTCGAGAAGTGCGTGGAACAGCAACTGTCAGCCCTTCAGCTCGACTACATTGACCTCTACCTTATCCACACTCCTTGTCCCTTCCAGGTTCGGCTCCATGTGAAACTGAATGTAGAAAACTACGGAGTAATGATTATAGCGCCAAGAGGGAAGCTTCCTACCGGAAATTAAAGACGGACAGTTTGTCCCAGTGCTGATCCCTCATATCGAAACTTGGAAAGCTCTCGAAAAGCTTTTCCATGCCGGAAAACTACGGGTTTGTAGTTGATTTCTCTAAACGCATACGTAATAAACCCATAAGTTCTATCTGGACTCGAACTTGCGCAAAAAATGATTCGAAGCGTTTTCAGGCCCTCGGTGTCTCCAACTTCAACGGACGACAGTTACAAGAATTATACGACGCAGTTGAGGTGAAGCCATCGAATCAACAAGTGATTTTGTACCCCGTCAGAAAGAGCTAACCATTCGTTTTGAGGTTGAATGCCATATTTACTGGCCTCAAAAGGAACTTCACGATCTGTGCAAGAAGCTTAATGTCTCGTTCACTGCTTATGCTCCTCTCGGATCTCCTGGAAGAAAGGTTTTTTTTTGTTTTGATACTTCTATATAATTACAATATAATATTTGAGCTATTATGGAGTCTTTAGATGTAGTTTGTCACGCTGTTTGCCAATCCTTGCTCGTAAGTTCCTTCGGAAGTCTGAGAAAGAAGTTTGAATACAACTTATCCTATTGAACTTTTTCTTGGGAGATGACCTTGAATGTTAATTGCTAAAAAATATTTATCTTGGCTAAAAAACCTTTTTGCAAGAAAATAGTTTGTTTCCTTGAATGCTTGTGTGATCTCCACCTATAATCAAAAAAGAAGATCAATCGGTGAGATTGAATATTAAAATATGTTTAATTTGGAGCGGCTGTGATTCTTCTCAAATACCTCATCAACAGCTTTTAAAACCATCATTCATTACGGGACTCTAGTCTCATATAGAAAATTAGTCGGAAAAAGATGGTCGAAAACTGAAGAGCTTGAAGATTTGAAAACTATTTCAAAGTTGACAAAGAGAAAAGAGGAATGGTTTCTAGGCAGCCCGACCTGATGGAGTCTGGCCGGAAGGAGACCCTCTAGTAGACCCAGTTGTCGTTTCACTCGCCTCTCATTACCACAAGACGCCGGCTCAGATCTTGCTACGGCATCTCATTCAACGAGGAATTTCAGTCATTCCGAAGAGCGTCAATCCAGACAGGTAGGTTTCCGTGTGAACACAGCGACTTGCGCCGTTCAGAGTCATCGAGAACATCTCCGTCTTCGACTTCAAACTGACAGATGAAGACATTCACAAGCTCGACGCCGTCGAAACTCGTGTACGACTTTTCGTCGCCGACTTGTGAGCTTGTTCTTTCTGTTATATGTTATAGCCATCTTTTTAGTCTTTCAAAACATCCCTACTTCCCTCACGACGACTTGAGCTCTTCTTCGATCAAGCCCAAACCGACCATTCATTGAGAAAATAGTTATGAAAAATTAACGTTTAAAACTCGTTCATTTTGGTTTATTATATCAATTATAACTCAAATTATACTTGATTTATGGAGATTTTTTTCTGAGTTTTCCGAGTTTCAAAACTTCTATTTCCATTTTTCAATAAATAGTGTGAATGTGGACGAAATAGTGAAAAACGAAGTTAAAAAAAGAGATGATTGTATCTGTAGTTTTAGTACTATCTCAATGCTTGTCGGGAAACTCTCCGCTGTATCGAATGGAGATTGTAATAGTTTCAATCTCTTTCAAAGTACAGCAGAAACTTTGAGAAATAGTGTCTGCAATATAATTTTTTTAAAAAATAACTGTCTTCTCATTTTCTCTTGGAGTTCACTTCTTTTTAACGGGAAGATCAAAAAAACATTATCCTCCTTCAATGTTTTTACTTCGCCTTTTTTCTTACTAGGGAACTACTCGGACTCGGGACAATTATCGAGTTGAAACCTCTATGGCTTATAGATAGGGACCGCAAAGCCACGCCCCTTTTCGCGATAGAAAAAGTGGCTTTTTTTTGGTTTGCAACTTTCATTTTGTTGTAGTTGCAAAATATGTGGAACTGGCTAATAAACTTTGACACACATGTACAGAAAAGCTTCCTCTTTCGTTTGAAAAATATTTCACGCTTTTTTGATGCGTTCGCGCGGAATGTCGTACAAAAACGTGAATGGAACTAAAAAATTTTGTCGTTTTTTGCTTTTTTATGTGTTTTCAGGTCGAACGCACTCTTTCTTTTTTTATATAATGATTTCGATTCAAGTAACGGTTATTTTAAAACAATAAAATGAAAAATTCGTCTTTGCCAAACATTTTTAGGGAGTGCCGAAAGTCATAATTCAAAAATACCGTTAATAAGCGAATATAATCGAGTTTTTTTGTTTTTTTCAAAATTTAGACCATGGGCTTACTTAAATTTTTTTCTCCACAGCATCTGCGCTTGAAAAAAAGTTGTTTGATACACAAAAAAATGCTCTTGAAACTAGATAATAAAATTAGCGGCGTTTATCACACAAAAAAAGCGGTCGAACGCAGGTTTTTTTAAACGATTATATACATTTATTAGTGAAAAAAATCTTTCAATTAAAAAGAATAAAAATAAAAAAATTCGTCTTTGCCAAAAAAATTTACGGGGCTGTTTTTAAGGCAGCGATCGTTAAACGAGGAAAAAAAGCACTAAAAAAACAGTTTTTTTCGAAGTGAATTTTTCACGAAAAGTTTGAGTGAAGATTTGCGAACATATTCTGATAAAAAAATAGCTGAATTACTTCAAGTTTTTTTATTTTTTTGAAATAGGCAATCTTTGCTATTCAAACGGCTCAAGGGTATGGCGGATGGAGGCTCCCCTCGCTAGACCTGACAGCTTGGCGCAGCGCGTGCGCTGCGAACTTTCATTTTGAGGTCGCGAGTTCGATGCCCGCAAGCGTCAGTTTTTTTGTTTTCTGGAAAATACCGACTTTTTCGGCAAACTAGCTGATGAGCATCATTTTAGCACTCTATTATGATTTGTTACATCATAATAGACCAGTATCAAAACTTGTTATAGAAGAAAAATCGAGAAAAATGTCAAAAATGGATAATACCAAAATTTCAGTACTAAAAAAATGGTGCGCGGCGCGCCATATTTTTCCTCATAACTTTTTTCATCCTCAATCTTTTTCGAAAAACTAAACGGTTCTGAGTTGTGAATCGAAACAGCTATCAAACCATACAAAGCTCAATGCTGAAAAAATTTTTTTGAAAATTCGTCTGCGGTCCCTACTTATAGACCTAGTTTGGAACTCTGAGAAACGAGAGAGATTATCTGCTCAACCAGATAGACTACTGAGAAAAAGCTTCTCGAAAAAAAAAGATTCCTGAACCCGGCTGGACCTTTCGCTCAAACCGAAAGGGCCTGGCGCAGTGGCTAGACGACCAGTCTCACGTTTGAATTTTTGGGTAAGTCCGATTCCCGTCGAGTGCATACCACTTTTGCATCTAAAGACAAAAAAGATCATAAAATGAAGAAGTTTGACAATAGTTTGAGTATTTATTAATTTAATTTTCCATTTTTGGAAGAATTCCGAAAGAAAAATTCTACGGGATGTGGAAAAAAAAAGTTGACATGCATCGCAGTTGTACTGAAAGGGAAATTTTTTTATTCGTTTGTTTTTGGAAAAAAAGGGTGATTGTAAAAATTTTTCTTGCAATTTTACGGCTCTCAAAAATTTTAATTTGTCATAAGAAAAATGCCAAAAAAAGATGCCCTCGACAGGAATCGAAAAAAAATTTTTAAAATTGCGCGATCTCGAGTTGACCGCGTTCCCCGAAAAGCTCTTCAATTAGTTTACCCAAAACTCGAGCTGGTGGTTATTTTTTACATACTCACAGGACCATGATGCGTCGCATAAGAGACACGCCCATTAGGGGGTTAGTAAAGCTCAAAAAATTGAAAAATGGCCATTTTTCGAGTTTCTAAAATTTTTTTTATGGTGGAAAAACGTTACAACTTGTTTGAGACAATTTGGTCTACCAGAAAAAATTAGCTTTTAACGCTATTTTTTACTATAACCCTGAAAGTAAGCGAAGCTCCTCAAAACCCGGCGCTGTTAGCACGCAAAGCATAGATTTGAAGAGAATGCTCAAACACCGAAAAATTGGAAGTTAAGGAAGTTTGCATACTTCAAACTACGACGTTTTTGCTAATTCATGATATTCTTTACTTTCCGAGTGTACTATTTCTTAAATCCACAATCTTAGAATAGATGAAATGAAGGTGGAGAACAAAACAAATTTAATTTACAAAAACGCCTTAAAAATTTTCAGAGATAAAATGAGAGGGTGTCATTACATTGCCCTCAATGTTTCGAAAAAGGTCTTTTGACAAGCTTCAGAACAACAAGACCAGTTGAAAATATCAAAGTTAAGGCATTCGTTCCAAATTCATTATTCACTTTGCTGCTCTGTTAAAAGCGTGATTCTGTTCAGTTTTGGCCCCTTCGTGAGCTTAGAAAGATCTTTTCTTCGGTCACCGACACAATTTGTACCGATGGACAAACGGAGTGCGAGGTGTTGCTTGATGAGGTGGAGTGATGAAAGAGAGGACCGCCGCGTCCTTGGTTGCGGAACTCGCGAGATGGCGATCAGACGACGCTGATCAACTCTCGCAGCCGCGGGTCGTCTGGTGGAATGCGCAACCGCGGCTCGCCGAGCCCGCAGTAAAGTACCTGTCCGGCCAGCTCCTCGGCCTATCCATTCACTTTATTATTATTCTCCGGTACCGTAGAAGTGTTGATCGTCTTTTAGTAGTCTTGCGCAAGGTTATCCTCACTTTTGTGCGTTCATGTATCTATATCGCCATTCGCGCAAGATATTTTATTTCACGTCCTTATATTCTCAACCGATGTTGTTTTCTCCTCTTTATCGAACGAGCAGAAATGGATAAAAAAGTTACTTTTGTTTTTATGGCTTTATGGCAGTTCGTTGTTCATAGCAAGGTCTACGTAACTTCCACGGAAAATTTTCGAATCGCTTATTTTTTGTGTGAGGATATGTACCAGACGCATTCACTTCGTCACATCATACTTTCAAGTGTTAAGAATAATATTTTCTTGTTCTTTCGCAAGTTCTGATCCTTCAAATATTTCAGAACGGATCTTGTTTTTGGTTCTTTACCAATTCAAAAATATTTATAATCATGATTCTAGCACAGCTTGAAGAAAGGCAGCGAATGAATTCGGACATGAGAGTCTGAGCGTTTTTGGCAAGAATGGAGCCAATGGACGGGAAGTATTTACCGAGTTGTCAATCAAACGGACTGGCAAGCCGGCTTGTTACCAACCTTATTGCTTTTCTTACCGTATCGCCGCGTTTCTAGATTTCCTCACTCTTCTTTAGATAAAACTTGTACGATAAAACCGTCGTACTAACGCAATTGATCTAACTGCTCGCCCAGATAAACCTAAATTTTCGAACCAAAATTGAGCCAGCGATTCATATGGTAGAGTCCTGCAACGATTAGAGTTGCGTAACAAGGCGCCAGTGATGGATCACTCGATTCACGTCATTATATCTCCGCCTGTTCCTTTTTTTTTCTAAACACATTTTCGAAGGTCAGTTATCTGGACGAGTTCGTTTCAAAGTCTGAACGACTTGAGGACATCGGAATAAATATTAGATTCCATTAGTAAACGCAGTTTTTGAAGAGTCTGACTTGGCTTTCAAGTTGCGCAGAGCCTGTCCGTTTTTGCGCCGGTTCTCGTTTCTATCACAATAAAGACTAACTTCTGTTGAAAGTTTCCTTTGCTCACTCATAGTTCCTATACCAAATTAAGCTCCCCTAAGGTATTTAAAGGATCCTTTTTTAGTTGTTTCAAAGGCTGAAAAGGTTTCAGTTCATATTCTTTTCGTTGAAACTTTTTTCTAAAAGCTCCATATCATCCTTCTACCACAAAATTTCAAGAACCGAACTCAAAGTTTTAGAGTCAGGTCTAAGATATGAAAAAGGTTAACGGTCTGCATATCATGAAAGAACCTTGTAATAATCCTAAAAATGTTTGTTTTGTGTTCAAACAGGTTACACAAAAAAATTCTAGGTCAAAGCTATGCCATCAGCCTTTCCAAAATTTTTCTCCATTGAAATTATCAATTATTTGGACAATATAAACCCTACTGCAAACGTATCAATGCACGAACAATGAAAAAAAAACAACTAAATTTCAAATTGAAGCTTTTTAGGAAATAGACATCAGCGCGGAAGTTTCCTCTTAATAGAAAAGTTGTCGCCCAACACAGTACCCGCGTAAGACAAACAATGGGGACCTGGCGCGGATCGGGACAGCTTACCACGTTGAATATCCTTCCGGATGCACTTGGCTCCCACGACGCCGTCGCTTTTTGCCTCCTGAAGCGGAGTCTACCGTAGCCGGACGAATACTGCTTCAATCCAATTCCCAGGAGCCGCCGATAGAATCTTATTATGGGTTGCTCTATTCGCGAGCACGGCTCCTTTCCTGGCAGAGAAGAGGCTCCCAGATTTTCCGTCTTCACACCAGATATTATCTCGCCGACCAGCCAATTATTGTTTCAAGCGGATCATTCAGATTCATCCTGAGATCTTCTTCGGTTTAAATCTCGAAATGGCGAGAAACACTTTCATTTTGTGGGAATATTACTGTTTCAGATGATAACTCCAACTTATTGCTAAATCATTTCTTTTCATCGCTTGATAGAGTTGTCTGTTAGAGGTGTTTCTTGACGCAAGAATCTTAAGGGGACAAGATTTCAATCGAAAACAATGTATATATCTAGTGACTAGTGATTAGTAATTAAGTTTAGAAAAAACTATGTCGACTAAATTCTAACAAGAAAGTCTTAAGACGTCGAGATTCAAAATGATCAATTTACATAAGGAGTTAGTTAATTTCATGATCAAACATTTTATTCAAACATGAGCAATATTTTTTTTAACTTCAAGACATTTACCTTCTCCCACCGTTCGAAATAAATTTTCGACGCTCGGCTTCATTTTTTTTTTTCGCTCAATCAGTCATTTTGGGCCCTGCTTCGCAACATTTATGGCGATAAAACTTTTGAGATAACGGTTTTTTGTCTCTCTCCCAGAATTTTTTTGTTTTTTTTTCATTGCCTAGTTTTATCACTGTTATCGATTGCTGTACGGTTGGTGTTCATGAAAAATTAGCGCGAATGAGATGCAAAAAACATAAAGCGCAGATGTGCCATATGACACCTTGTAAACCATTTTTACGAATACCCTTTTTTCTGCCCTTCATTTAATTTTTACTAACTTTTTTCGCCATGGTCCATCTAAAACTACAAACTGAGAATTTCAAATAGAATTTATAGAATAATTTCGGATCAATAAAATAGTGGACAAATTGTGAGGACCACAGTTTCCACTCCACGTGATCACTACACTCTTTTTTCAAACCGAGACTCTACCAGCTTTTGACGATTATTACATTTTCTCTAATAAATAAGAAAACTATATCACGCTTCATTGCGAAATAATCAGAGAGAGAAAAACCCACGAAAATAACAAAGTTTCTCGAGTTGAAATCAATTGTTTTTTTTCTCAATTAAATGAGAAAAAAAAAACAAACTGAAAACGTGTGATATGCGCTCCATAGAGAGTGCATACAAAAGTTTTTGAGAAAAAAATTTTTTTGATTTTTTTGCTTTTTCTTTCTGTTGCGGTGTTCATAAAAAGAAAAATGAGCTCGTATGGAACAAAAAAAGTGTTCATTGGCGCCAAGACGCTGTTCTTAAACAGTATTTTTTTTTGTATCGGAGCCTTTTTTAGCTTATTGAAAGCGTTAACGCTTTGTGTTTTATTCAATAGACAAGCATTGAAAGACTTTCCTATCAGAATTGAAGTTTTTTTTTGAAAACTTTGAAATTTTCAGTCTACTTTTTGGAAAAAAAAAACTATTTTCAATTGCCTATTTTCAATTTTCAATACTTAGTAATATTTTTCCAACTTTCAAAAATTAGAACACTTTTTGAAAGCGATTTTTCGTTTTGTCGTTTCCTGAACGGACATAAAATTTGGAAGAAGTGGTTCAGAGCGTTTTTTCGAATTTCTTTTCCCCTTTTTTAATCGAGAGAAAGAGTTATAAATATAGGAAAATAGAGTTATCTCAACTCATCATATTATAAATACAGATTCTTTGATTTTTCGTTCAGTGCTCTTCCATTCATCATTTCCTCTTTTAGCCTATAATTGCTTAATTGTTTTCTCGGATCAAATATCTTCTCGACAGACGGTTTGATTGAGGTTCTACTGCTCAATTCGTGATTTTTTTTTTGAAAACTCCATGTGAATGTGGAGTTTTGGAACCTAATGAATTCATATGTGCAAAGTCGTCTATCATCTTGGCAGCCGGCGTCTCCTTGAATTCTTTTGTGCGCGGTGCAGCACTGACTCCATCTGCCAATGCCTACAGTATTTGTAAAAAGGTCATTCGTCGAGCTTCGGTTATGCAAATGGCGTCCTTCGCCGTCCATTGCCTCCTTTTCGGGGTTGGCGCCGAATCAAAGGACCCGAACGGTAATGCGAGCTGACAGTTTATACTTGATCCATCCACTCTATATGCCTCTCTAACCCCAACTAGGCGTACGTATAATTCACTGCAAGCGGAACTGTCGAGCAATTAACTTCGTCGTGTAGAAAATGTTACCATCCAGAAAACTAAACGAAAAACCTGAAGAATATAATTGTAAAGCGGTTTCAAATAGTCTTTGTTTTTAAAAAATCTCATTTCGCGAAAATGAAAGGATCGAAAGGATTTTCTAACGAACTAAACGAATATAGGCCTGCTAGTGTTTCTGATCTTTTAAAGACCGCGTCAGTGAGAAAGAAATTTTGAAAAGTTGGCTTGTTAGGATGTTTGTTCAAATATTTCATTTCATCAATGTTTGTGGTTTTTAACCAAAAGATGTTTGTTTTCCTTTCCCATGCTTAGCCACGAAGCAGTTCGCAAGCCTTTCTCCTCAATAAAATAGCGCTAATGACTTGACGAGTTTGAAGAGTTTCCCACATTTGGAGCCGAGATCCATCAGTGTGATAGGTTAATGAGTTCGCCGCCAAAAGGGCGGAGGCTATCGGTTCGTGCAGATAATTGCCATCGCACTGTTTTCGTGTCCACACTTCAGCCAGATTATCCACTTACTGTATCGCGTCAGTTCATTTGCATTCACGCTTCTGTTTGTGCGTTTCTGTTTGAGCCACGGAGCCAATCGTGTACCGCCCGCCGGTTTCTCCTCGTTTGTTGACCGTAACACCTTGTGTCCTTCTCGCCTTTATTTCTCTTTCTTTTCGAATCTTTCAGTCATTCCTTTTTCCAACTCTTTATGGACCCAGATTTTGTAAGTTTACTTTTTTATGATACATGAGATACCCGGTGTTCGTTCATCAACTTGTTACTTTCGTTTTCTTGTTTGCCATGTCGGATTTCAATCGAAACTGTGGAAAATTTATCGGAGTTAAGCGAGAAACTTTAGAGTCATCAGCAGAATTTTTTGTACCAAAAATCTGGAAAAATAGATTTCATGTTGAAAACTTTCCTTCATTAGCTCAATTATTCAACCTTTACGTATGTTTTGCAACCAAAACCGACATCACCACTACTTGAAAAAAAATTTTTTTCTCGGAAAACCGGTGCTTTTCCAAAATTTTAGTTGAGTAATTATGCGAGGGTTCGCTTGAATTGGCGGCGTCTCGGAGCAGCGACGACGTGCTGCAATCAATCATTCCGAATCCGTGGCCTGGCCGGCTTGTCGTCATGTACTACGTGTATATATAATGTATGCTTCTCTCCCTCTCTTCCAAAATAGAGAATCGATCGAGATTTCGTAGAAACTGGGAATGCTTTTCTAAAACTTCTTTCCTCATTTTGTGTAGTACGGTACTCGGTCCGTCGCGAGATCGTGCTAGTGTGACATCTCACTACGAAATACAGCTGAAAACCTAACTATAAAAAGTTTCCAGAATTTCTTATTAACGTTTGTCTTGTCGAGAGTTTCTTGTTTTAAAATTCGAGTTTGATACGAAGTGTAATCGAATTCTAGAGATGTGAATACGGTCGTTGGTAGACAGCAAATTTTCAAAGATAACGAAAAATTGGAGACTTTAATCAGTTATGAAACTGCGTTCGAAGGTGCCCGCTTTTTGTAATTGTGCGATGAACGTTGATTATTTATTCTTAATTTTTTTTCCGAGTATGTTCAGCATTGTTATTTTTCGATTGTTTTTACCTTAAACGTTTACTATCGGTTTATTTTTCTCATATTTCTACAAAAAAATCTCTCTTTTGGGTCCATGAGATTTCATATTTGCTATTCGATAAACCCGATATCTTCCTAGAACAAGATTTCAAAAAGGATCTTTGAAAAGTTTTGTACCCACATTCAGCTTTTGTTTCCAGATTATATTGTTTCAACTCTATCCCTCTAGTGCGATATCAAGTTTGAAAGAACAATCGCAAAAAGAAACCGTCTGATAATTCTTGACACCCTAAATGTTGCGATATTGGGTCAGTTGTACGCGCAGCTGTCAAACTCGATCAAGCTACTATCTTTATTAGTGCCCAAGTGTCATTCAAACGCAGCTCAGTCTTCATAACTGCCGTCTTTTCCGAAACTAGCATTGATTTTTTCGAGTAGAAGTTCATTATCGATTCGAAAAATGATTGATTTTATAGTTAACACGTATTACTATATCACGAAAATTGAATGAGGTCAAGCGTAAAGTATGGTTTTTCGATTTTCACAAGGGATATACCGGATTAGAGCCTTCAAACCCTTTGAGAGGGTGTCAAGTAGTCTAGATCCGTAAATTGGCGCGAAAAAAAAAGAGAAACAATATGTTAAACAGAGTGTTTTGACGGATTATCGAATAGGAATTAGGGAAGCAGCGGAGGGAAAGAGATTTTCGCGGCGATCCGTTCAGATAAGACACCAGACCGTCGTGAAAACATTTTCACGGTTGATCTGACTCCAGAATATCACAAATTTGAACTTTTTTCTGCGTTTCGAGAGGTACAAAGCAATGGAGTTCAGTTTTTTTTGTCTTCTGTCCCAATATTTCACTCAGGACGGCCAAGTTGGCGGGGCACGCTGGTCGGAACAGAAGTGTTATTGATGGGTTTTGTCAGCAGAGATGAATTGAGAGACACTTCTTGGTCAACTCTGATTTCAATTTTGAATATAGGTGATCCGAGGCTTTTGGCCATAGCCCAATCGTTATCCTGAGGTTGTTCTCCGGAATACGATATCACAAACCAGTTTCAAATAAAATGATTATTGTTTTTTGTATAGTGTGGATGTATAGTGTGCAAGTGGAGTAAGAATTGAAGTTCCTTGTCATCGGATATTTTTTGTACTTCTGCTGATGGAAACCTACGGCCTCAGCTCTTCAGACTGCAGATCTGTTTTACAAATTTTTTTCATTTCACACTTTTTCAATCATTTGCCTCTAAAAAAGGTAATCCATCTCTTCTCTGCTGAATAGTTATAAAAATATTTTTTTCAACGCTCGATCGAAGATGAAGTAAATGATATCCTTCAATCGATTGCTTGCAGACAGAAGATGTCAGAACTTTGGCAACATCCTACGCCATCGGAATGCTGGACGAATTTGACGCCTTTCAATGTTAACCCAGAAGATTCAGTGGACGTCAAAGTGGAAAAACACGATAATGTAGAGGTGGGCAGTTTTTTCTTTTCTTTTTCTTTTATTCTGTTTTTAAGTTTTGAAGTTTTCTATTTCCCATTCAATTAGCTCTGGCTTTCTACACTCTATGATGGTTTCCTCTTTTCTCGTCAATTTCACGAAAATAGCGAAGGCATAAAATTTTTATGGTTTCCCTATCGGTACTGTTCGCCGATGATTGAGGGCGGAACTTGTTCTAAGAAATCGGCGTGAGAACCGTGCGCCGAGAAGAAAGACGGAGAGAAAAGAAGGAAGCCATCAATATCAATCCTGTTCTTGCGATTGATACTGGTGATTGAGAGCGTGATACTCGCTTGATATATGCTTCTCCCGTCGCTCAGCGGCTCCGGCGGAATCGATGGCTCAGCGTTCGACTCGTTTCCCTTTCATTTCCAAGCTTCCCACTATCATTTTTTTTTTAAAAGAGCTTTTTGCCGAAGTTTGATGATTTTCGAAAAAAATTCTCTGTTATCAGATAAGGAAAACTGAATTAGTAGAGACATTTTATAAGAACGGACAAATTAAGGTTAAATTTTTTTGAAAAGTTTTCATTTCACGAATGCGAAAACTCAATAAAAAGTTATATCAGAACTTATTCATTGACTTGCAGACAAAAAGCTTGAGGGAAACCAAGGTTTCATAGCAAACAATGTATATTTAATTTCATCGGAAAATCATCGAGTAGAAATCCTGTGACTAATATTTTCAAGAAAGTTTGTTAAAACATGGAGGGCTCTGAAAATTTTGAACTAAAAAAAGAGAACAATGTACCGTCTTCGGACAAGGTTCAAAAGTTGAAGTCAAAGAAGCGCGCCAAAGGAATCTTGAAGATCTGCGGCGACGGCTCGTCGTCGTTGATTGGTCAAACGGCAGACGATGGGCGTGGCTTGGCGGCGGCACCTCGTCCGCCTCCTCGACGTGCGGTTGGCCCAGGCGCTTCGGCCTTCCGTCGGTTGGCTCCGCCCACCAGTTTGTGTTGCGAAGATTGACGTACAACATCCAAGTGTTAGAAAGCTGTCATCTTCGATATTCATCTGATATTCCAACTGGTATTCGTCTGGAGGACTGTTCGTAGAACGACGCGCGTCTGATTTTGACGACGGTTTTGGTTGACGCCGTCATCAATTGCCCTTGTCGCGTTCGATCCCGACCGCCGTTCATCTTCTTCAGCAGCCTCGACGGCGATGGCGCAAAGGGTGCGAGTTGACTGACATCCCAACATTCCCTTATAATTTATCGTTATGTTTGCTTCTGTCGGGGTATTTTCTCTCGACGAGAGAAAGGATGAGTCGGCTTGATGAGTGATGGTATGGTTGCGCCGATCAGTTGTTATTAAGTGTCATATTAGTCGAGCATCAGTCAGGCTGTCAAGAGGCGATGTCTTCCTGTCAGGTGTGCGTGATAGACCGACTAGAAACGACGTTCTTCTCTCTTTTTTCTCTAAGATATCCAAATTAGTCAAACCTATCGGAATTGATTTTCATTTAATCTCTCTTTTGCCTCGTTTCCATATTCACCATTTTTTTCAATACGTTGTTTGGCTAATAATGCCGCTTGGCAGCTGGGTGGTACTTAAGCTCATGATTTGTGGAAATGTGGCACTTTTACAACCGCCACTCCTTTCGTCGGCGGTTCGACGCCGCCTTGGTTTCTAGTGCTCGCTAATTTTAGGCAAATTGATTTGCTGGCGCTTGCGTGAGTGCCTGGGGCGGCGAGTCGGTGTTATCGGACGACGACATCGCCGTCCGTTCGTTTTCCTTTTGCATCCATCCACTCGGCTCTTGGCGGTTCCGTTGATCGTTAAATGCCACCGTAACCACTGCCATAACGAATCTTGTAGTGCTCATTTTAGTCACTGTTGTCTTTTTTTTGGTTCAGTTAGTTTTTTTTATTTACCTAGGGTACTAGTGGCTAGAAAGCGCAAAAGTGAAAAGATTTTTAAGGCCCAATAAAATCGAAAAGCAGTCTGAGGAAATGAAGGATATTCTTCGAATTGAATTTTTTCGATTGCGATAACCCATGTAATCCTCCCGCTTTTTTTTTTTTACTTTTTTCGATCAATGGTTTGCCTAGAAATTCGCAAGCTCAATTGAACTCTTCTGTTTAAAAATTTTTGAAAAAGCTATTTCATTTTTAAAAAAAAAACACGCTGGAACTTCTTTAGTTATTTTTTTCCCCTTTTTTGTCGTATGAAATCCCCGGAGACTTCAAACATACTTTTAGGCAGTTTGAATTGAGATGATGGGATTTAATGAATGTTGTTTGCAGTATGGCGATGGATACGGACCTCCGCCAGGAACTGCAGGCACCGAAGGCTATCCGACGGATCCGGCCGCGTTCTACGGCGCCATGTATTCGACGATGCCGCATCCGTCGACCAACCCCCTCATGCAGCACCACCACGAGCTCGAGGAACAGCTCAAGCGCGACAAGGAGGCCATTTACGCGTCCGTTTCGTTTCGTTTTCAGTCAGAACAATTCCTTTTCATACTCGTTCCAATTACTTGAACTTTTTTTTTCAAATTTGTTTTGTTTTGGCATAGACTCGTTTTTCTTTTTTTTGCTGTTCCTAGTTTCTTGAAAAATGTTTTTATATAACTTTTGCGCAATTTTTTTCAGATAATAGAACGCTCATTTATTGATTTTCAAGTTTTGGGGAAGCGAAAGTTTTTTAGTCAATTTTTATGGAATGTAGTTCATTTCAAAACTATTCTCTTCAGCGAGCGAAGCATTTAGAAAAAAACTTCTCAGCCTCCTATTCATTTCATTTTACAAAAAAAGTAAAAACTGTTGATACGTTTCCTTATAATTAGAGCAAAAAGTTACTCTGGCTGCTCCAAAAGGAAATATTCTTCAATATTTTCTCAGCTTATGAAATCTAATTAATATAATAACTTAGAGGCAAATAACGTCTTTCTAGATATTCTTCATACTTTTTGAGCGAAGCTCTTGCAGGCATCCGTTGTACCCGTTGTTGGTGATTCTGTTCGAGAAATGCGAGTTGGCGACGTCGACGCCGCGTGAGCAGAGCCGCGACGGCAGCTCTTCCTCGGACGTCTGCTCGTCGACTTCGTTCAAGGACGATCTCGAGGAGTTCGTCCGCCACGTCAGTCCCATCTCCACCTTCCCTTTATTTTGCAAGATTTCAGACTCGAGGCAACGCCGATAAGACCTTCTACGTGCCCAACGCCCAGCTCGATGGCCTCATGCTTCAGGCGATCCAGATGCTTCGTTTCCATCTCCTTGAACTAGAAAAGGTCCGTTTTTTAAATCAATACTTATAATCCGCTCAAGAAGAAGATGCTTTGTTTTGAAAAAATCAATGCTTTGTTTTGAAAGAGCAAAGAAATTATTCAAAAACAACCTTTTGAATGTTTTTTTTGGGTAATATAAGACGACTATTCTCAGCAAACATTTTTGAAGAAAAATTACAATTTTACAGATTATTTTTTTTAAATCAATTCAAGTTCGAATCAACTTATTTTGTTTCATTTAGTAAGGAGCAGTTCCAGTTGAATTCATGGGAGTTCTTACGGTATGGGAAATGATACGTTCATCATTAAACTCTTTATTTCATCAATGGTCTGAAAATACGTGTGTTCTGTAGAGAATAGAGACCAAGCGTTCCGAATCCTCTTTCAATGTCGTAAATTTTCTTGAATGTCGATGAGATCGGCGAAAAAATAGACGACGAACGGTTGAAATCGCCGCGGGACGCCTTCAATTTTTCCCTTTGGAGCGCCGATGGACTGCTCGACGCAGCGTGTGTCCTCATTCGACAGCGCAACCCCAGCCACAACCATTTTTTGACGTCGTTATCAGCGAAACGTGGAGAATCGCAAAAAATGGCGAATTCGGCTGGCGATAAGAGATGCCTTGTATATCGCACACAGTCGTACGACCCAGCCCTTTATCAGTTTGAACGACTGGCACGGAATGAAAAAAAAAAGTCTGGACGACTGGAAGTAAACCATTTGCACTGAAAATATCGATTCAGTTGGTCGGCTCTTCTTAGACATCGCCAATCGTTCGGTCGAGTACTGTACCAATCCTTCTTTTGTGTTTTTGCATTTTCTCTCAAGCTTCATTTAAGATTTTCATATATGAAAGTTGTCAATCATAAGTATTATAGTGTTCATTTATTTTTGATTTATCTCGAGAAATTAGAAATGTTCAGCTCAAAATGTCTATATACAGTACCTGGCAAAACGTTGCACTGTAAAAATGTTTGCACAAAATTGTAACTGAAAGTTTTTCCTCAATATTCAGAGCTTCTTGCTTATCGAGCTTTTTTTTTCAATCACACGACTATCGAAAAATTCAAATAAGCTTAATGAAAGAAATCGTGCTCTTTTTTGGTCTTTTAAATTACGTCTTTCGATTTTTTTTTTCGGTGGCTTTTACAGATGTCAGAAACTTGAAAAAAAATTTTTAAAGAGAATATTTGAGCTGAATGAACTCGAAATAACCTCTCAACGGCAATTAAATAAAAATTATTGGTTTGGTTTAGCTAATTTGATCTGACTCAACATCGGGCCTTGGGTGCTTAGAGACTTAAAATTTTGAAAAAAAAATACGATTCATTTTTTGTTCTTTTTATGTGTGTATTCAGCGACCGACTAGAAGGGAATTTTACAGGTACACGAGTTGTGTGACAACTTCTGCAATCGATACGTGACGTGCCTGAAAGGCAAAATGCCCCTGGACATTGTCGGCGACGAGCGGGCCTCGTCGTCGCAGCCGCCGGCGTCACCTTCTGGAGGCCTGTCGGCGTCGCCGTCGATGGGAGGCGGTCAGACTCCCATGAGGTTTCGAGGAATTCTCCACAGCTCCACAACCTCAGAATGTCTAGTTTCAGCCACTTCGCTCCTGCCTACGAGCCCCAGTCCGTCCCTCTGCCTGAGAACAGCGTCATGAGTCATTCAATGGAGGTCAGTTCATTCTTTCGAATTGAAAAAGTTGATATGAGGGTAGGTTAACTGAAACAAGTGTTTTTTGTCCTGTTTTAAAAACTTTCAAATTGAATATGAGGAAAATCGGAAACTGAAATATTTTTCGCGTCGGTTTAACATGATTCAAGTAAGTTTCAATACTTTCCGTATAAAATGGTTTTTAATTTCTCACTTATCCTATTCCTATTTTATTGATTCTCGAAATAGTATTTTGAAAACACCAAAAAAAATAGCAAAATTTTTTTTTGGCGGATGAAAGTAATCATTAGAAGGAAGAATTCCGTTTTGGTTTTTATATAATTGATATTCATTTTTTACTCACACTCCAATTTTGAAATACTAAGTCATCGTGAACAGGCATAACGGACGGGGAGAACAATTAAACGAAAACATGTGTTCGGAGGTGGCTGGCTCATCTTTTTGGGGAAATGTGTGGCACGAGCGCGCGGCCGCCTGACGTATGGAAGAAGTGGGATCTATCTAGCCTCGACTTGATTTATGGCTGTTATGTGCACTCGACGACGACCGCGGCCAGCGAGTAGCGACTGGAACGAGGCCGGTCATCGAGCGCCGTTCTCGGTCTTCCGGCTGCACCTAACCAAGCCGCGGCTAGAGGAAAGAAAAAATGGCTATGAATCCCGGCCTCATTCACTCAACTGATCAAAAAGAAACTTTTTGGTTTTTTTTTTTTACTTTATTTTATTTGTCCTTCCATGTCACCACGAGTTCTAATTAGACTTCAGCCATCGGATTTCGGCTAGCCAGAGCCAGTTTAAGCTAAATTTAGACTTAGATGTATATTCAGGCTCTGCGGAGCTTTGATTATTTTCTTCATAGAATTCAAGGCTAAAGTCACACGGAAAACCAGCTGGTAAGGGTGTAGTCCGAAAGGCTTTTGTTTGTTCAGGTTACGGTCATATTGAGGGTCTTATGGCGACCAGCTACACACTATTTATATACGTTTCCGTAGAGAAAATCAAAAAATGGGAACACATTTTTTGTGACCAAATCGTTTCTTTTTTTCAAGTCTTCTCGCGAATTGATGACCGACATATTATCACCTTTTCTTGCTCGAAAAACGCAACTGACACATGTCGCGGCTGTTATTTTCCTCCAACACTCCAGCCAGGCCATTCCATCGCTCTGAGGCTCGTGTTTTGTTGCAAAACGGCTCTCCGGAATTGTTGTATTGATTGATAGACTTCTCCCCGAGAGAGAGAGTTTGATGAATGCCGGCTGTCTTTTAGTGACTCCAGGAACGTTTGAGGTGTGTTTCCGAGATCTCTTAGCGCCCCACTGATTGATGTCGCCGTTTATCATAGTTGGTTGGGGGGTGCACGAGAAATCAAGTCGCAGTTTTTCATTTCAACACGTCGTAAATTTTCCTGAGGTCATAAAAGAAGGATTGTCACTGAGGTCATTCTCATTTTTTTTTTCCACAAAAATTCAACTGATTAGCATGTCTTTGGGAGTTCTCATCGAGTTTTCCCGACGTCGATGAGTACCTAATGGATTGGGAACGACGAGTGAAAAGGCAATCTGGTAAAGAGTGCTCTCGCAAATGATGATCGCAATTTTCTCGGCTCTCCGCCAATTTTTCTCTAGGAGAAGCTGTTAGGGGCGATTAATTTCCCGTTGAATCGGCGATGAGATGAATATATTTGGAACTTTGGTTATCGATTATTTTGATTTCCAATTAGATATTGAATAAGCGGGGTTCAAGGCGAGCGGAAGCTTTATTAATTCCTTTCTTGTCAACCTGGATGCTGACACCTCTGGTAGATTAACCGACGGCAGCTTCAATTTGAACAGATTCGGAAAAGTCTGAAAAATTCAAACTACATTTAAAAAAGTTATAGATTTTTTTTTTCAAGACCACATTCTCACCAGCTTTTACGCTTTTAAGCTTTTCGAAATGTTTCTTTCAAACGTTTCATTCTAGTGGTTGTATCCAGGTATGGCTACAACTTGGGTGATCCCTTATCTGCAACTATGGACGTCGTCAGTATGCCAAAAAGTGACGTTTGACAGGCAGCCGTGCGCGCGAACACTTATGCAAACGAGCCGTATTGTGCCAAACGCCTCTCCGTTCATTTTTGCCGCAAATACCTCTTAACGGCGGTACAGTTGAAACGGCGTCGGGAAGGTCTGAAGGCGTTTGGAGAGGCTTTTCAACTGTCGTAAGATTTGCATAAACACTTTCAGATTCTCTTAGTTTGTTCGGCTGTTTTTTGAGGCAAAAATCACTTGTTTGAGCTCGATATGTGGCTATAACTCAGTGAAAAGATAAGGAAAACTCAGAAGGGGAAGTTTTGTAATGAAAATTACAAACTTCGAAATAATTTTCATCAAATGGGAGAGTGAGAGAGAATGAATTGCGAAAATTACTCAGATAATGTAAGAAGCTCTTTTTTTTCTTGGACGGAATAAATAAAAAGACTTTTTGAAAAATGATATTTTTGCTGGCATATTGTTGATGAAAAATTATTTTTATCTAAAGTGTTATTAAAAAAAGACATTTGTAAGTTTCAATTTCATATAAAAAAAATTTGAATGTTTTTTTAGGGATCGTCTTTGGGATATCCTGGAGCGTCAGGAATGTCGCATGGACTGCAGCCAACCTCGCAATCGGATCACCCTTTAGCCATCAGCGGGGCGGCTCCAACGACGGCTGGAGCGCCCCAGATGCTGCCACTTGCAGCCGTCAGTAGTCCTTCAGCATGGTGAGGACCTCCATCAGAAGGACGAGACGACCTGAATGGTTTGCAGCTCTTCTTCTGGCCTTCGACACGACTCGACGCCGCTTTCCTCTGCAGACACGCCCGGCGCTGTCGGCAACTCCAATCCAGCCGGCATGGACTCCGTATCGGAAGCAGGTCTGATCCGATCCCAACTTTTTCTTTTTCACTCTTTCCTTTTTAACCCGCCTGTTAGGATCTCTTCTGCCTGATATAAAAGAAAATTAATTAACTTTTCTAGTTTGCTATTTATTATGATCTTTAAAAAAGTTTATTTCTGGAACAATCATTTGAAGGTTTATATGAGCAATAAAGAAGCTTGGCTAAACGTTTTTTTACTTTATGAAAAAAACATAATTCAGTTATTTCCATGATTTTATCGAAATCATTGTATTTGAGTAGTTTGCTTTTTATACTAATTTTTTTAAATTTTCAAACTTTTCATAACAACGAGCTCATGTTTTTGTTTTTTTGAAAAATAGATTCATCCTTTTTACATTATCAAAGTTTTTTTGAGTTAAACCAAATTTTTTTCTTTTCATTTGAAAAAAATCTAAAAAGAATAATATCATGGCAGCTTTTTACTCTGTTTCCCTTGTTTTTTCTCTTCCTACTTTGAGACCGGTGCAGGTAGCCAAACTAACCGCAAGCTCATTCAAGACTGAGTCCGGTGGAAAAAAACGTTCTGAATGCCTAGAACCGACGGCCACCTTCCTCCAGCCTTGTAGAGGTAATCTTCTCTTCCAGCTTTCCCCGACCGTTTCCTTTTCCAAAGGGTTTTTTGTGGTAGCCGAAAGAGCTACTCGTTGGTCCGATGGAGCATGAAAGATGTCTTTGTCTGTCCGTTTGCTTCTGCTGTGTCTGTCCGCCTGAACCTGGAATCCTCAGAAGTGGAGCCTGCATTTGACGTGTTCAGGCTGCGTCGTCGGCAAAAAGAAAATAATTTTGCCAGCTCCATTTCTGGTCTTCCCTTGCTTCTGTCGCGTTTTTCCGTTGGTGGTGAGGCCACAATTTCGGAATCTTCTCATTCTATTTTTTTAAAAAAATCTTTTTCATCGTACTCATCTCAAATCAAAGTTTTATTTTTTTGAAATCTACTACTTGTTTTCATGAATATTTGAGCGACCGATAATGAACACATATTTTTTCTGTCATTTTTTGCATCCTTTTCCTTATCTTGATGATCAAGATCGAAATCCACCCTTTGAAAATTTTTAGTGTCGACGCCAATTTTAAAAATTATCAAAATCTTGAGGCGGTAATGGAAACAAAAAACACAATAGATGAAGAAGCCAAAGAAGCTAAGAGTTTTGAATTGAAATGAGTGCGTAAGGATAGGTTTTGAATATGCGTACAAAAAATAAAGAGACTTCGATCTCCGAAAATTTGGTCTTACCATGCTTCCGTGCGGCTTGGCTTGAGTGTCGTCGAGTTGCAGGCAGCTTGCTTCTACCCCCTTGCTCGTCCTCGTGTGGTGGCATCATCGATGAGTGCCTGCAGTCGGCTGGCCTCATGATGGACATGCTCGATTGTCCGATGTCGATGCAATCGAACCGCGGAGAGTGTAGCACTTCGGCTGCAGGAACCATCATCTACGGCGACATGTACGGACAGCCGGCACCAGCCTACCACATGCAGATGCTCCATCACCACGACTATGTCGCACCTCCTGCCGGCCAGATCTACCAGCAGCTTGATTCGGCGCAAAGCCCATCGCACAGTCGCAGCGTCGACGAGTCGCCGTCGTCCTCCTCTTCGGCTGGCCGTCGTGGCCGCGGCGGCGACGCTGGAAAGAAGCCTGGTCGCGGGATTTTCCCTAAGACGGCTACAAACCAACTCCGCGCTTGGCTCTTCCAGAATCTCACGGTTCGTCGCTACGTGTTTATTTTTCTTACATAATTTTTTTTCACTACACATCTTCTCAAAAATCGTGCACCTCTATTCTGATCTCATTTTTTGAGTTTATGTATCACAAGAGAAGCAATTTCATTTTAAACTTTGATATTAAAAAATAACTTTCGGAGTTTTCGATTTTTTTGATATCCATAGGTTCATGAAAAAAATTAGTTAACATGAACTTTTTGGAAAAAATAATTCTGAGATAGCTATGAGCCAAAAAGTCAAAACAAATAAGTTCACGCGTTTTTGTAGGATGTAAACTCCACGTTAATATTTTTTGTTCGATTATCTCATAACTAATTGAGTTCATCAATGTTTTTGTGCCTGTCGTGCTTGTATTAATGCTGTACTTATTTCTTCACTTGCTTTGCGCGTTTTATCTCTTGTGGCACCAAAAATGGAAACGGAGAGCTGGAGGGGGAGACACTTGTGGGAGCTGGAGAAACGTTGGAGAAGGTGGCTGTCGGTTGGAAAAGTCCGACTCACCGTCCAAGTTTCTCTTGTAGGCGACGAGTTCTCCTTGTGTGGGTCAAACGAAGACGGACGCGAGTCCGTTCTGAGTGATGGTGCCAACGGCAGTGTCAACGGAGGAAGTCGAAGGAAGGTCCCTAAAGTGTTTTCCAAGGAGGCCATCACCAAATTTCGAGCGTGGTTATTCCAGAACCTCGCGGTAAGCTCTTATCAACTTTCAGAAAGCTGCATCTCTCTTTTCCAGGGCTGTGACAAAAGTGTATGAAATTAAATGAAAATCAAATTAGCTAGTCGTAAAGTTGAACTTTTAGAAAAAGCGATCAAAACTCTACCGGTTAAAATCCTTTTCATTCATCAATCTTTTCCCATGTCTTTCGAGAAAATTTTTAAAAGTTTCTTGTTCATTTTTTTGATTGTTTTCTCAATGAGAGTGTTTGCTCGGAGAATGTCTGTGTAAATTCAAGTCAACGCGAGACGCTATCGGCGATTTTGATCGGGATAGCGACGCCTCACGTTTTTAATTTTTCTTTGAGTACCGTAGGACAAGGAGTAATGTTAGGGACCTAAAACTGAAAAGCTTTCTTTGTTGACTTTTGCTGCGATGAAGAAAATTCATATTGGCTAGGTGAACAAACAAGTGCATGAACTCAAAAAAAGACAAAGTGTACAAACTTCTAAAAAAATTAAAAATTTTTTTAACATTTATTCAAATGAAAGTCGTCCGCTCCTTATTTTTTGGGAACTACTCGCGCGTTTTTTCATATGTGAATGTTATATTTAAATAACTCAAAAAAAAATCTGAGCGTTCTATACCACGATGTACTAACCAAAAAAATATTTCCAAAAAAATATCTTCAGAATAAATCGGCTTCATCAGAACAATTTCATGAATATACTTTCAATTAATTTTAATAAATATATGATTTCAAAAAGACAGTTTTCATAATTTCGATTTCTAATTTTATAGTAAATAAGTCATGTGAGTTTTTTTTTCTCTTTGGATGTTCATTTTTCTCCGTTTCCAAATGAATGAAGGCTAATGAACATTTTTCAGCATCCCTATCCTTCTGAAGAGCAAAAGAAGCAGCTTGCGCTTGATACGGGTCTGACGATACTTCAAGTGAATAACTGGTGGGTTCCTCTTAAATCTTTGTCCGACATGTTGATCCACTGAGAAGGCGTCAGATTTCTAAGCGACGCAGTGTTTGCCTTGCTGGTAGGACTCTGAAGAGATTAGCGCGATGATCTGTTGGAGCGCCTTTGTGCAGATATAACGGCCGCCAATTCCTTCTGTGCATTTATGTGTGTGTGGGCAAACAGGTTGCGTAGGATTGATGGGCTGTTGTCGGATCGCCTTTCAACCTCCATCAAATGACTGTTATTTTTGAGCCGAATTGTCTATTTTGAGGCTTTTTTCTAGAAGAAAAATTCTGCTATATTGGTAGATCCTTTCAAATCACAACGGGTTTCATAATATCCAAAGTCAGAGGTTAAATTACTAAAAAAAAATTATTCAAAAAACTGACTGAAACGAAAGCGTGAGACGTGTTTATTCCACAGATGTGAGAAGTAACTTTTTCTTTTTTAATTTGAAATAGCTTTGAGTAGTAGAAAACTGGGAACTCACTCGAAAAAGTCACTTAAAAGCGGTTTTTGCATGGAAACGTCTCTCTATCGTAGCGTCAAGGAAATCAGGATTGGAAGATTTCAAACAATTTTATCTGCGTTAGGGAGTTCATAATTGTCTCTACAGTTTTCCGTAGATCTCTCTTTCTCTCTTTTTTTCGTGCTAAGTGCCCTGCTGGCAGTGATTTTTGCCTATTGCGGACCGCGGGCAATTGAGCACGGCGTACTGTAATGGGAGACCAGATTGACTGGCAAGCTGGTTATTAAGAAGCTCGGATGAGCGGCCAATCTTCAGCTCCTGTCACACAAAACGTGTCGCTTAACGACCCATTTACGGACCACTGTTTAGGGATTGGTGTTTTTTTATTCAGGTTGAGGAGGATCATCGACGGAAGTAAATTGCGGGTTGTTGCGTTTTCGGAGTGACAGTTTCGCTTTTGATTATATGCATAGGGCGATCCACGCGCGTGTCTCAACTACCTTTGTCCGGCGCCGATTCTTTGTCTTTCAGCCAGCCGGAGCCTTTCTCCCCATCCTTCTTTCGATTTTCGATTTCGAGGGTGTTTTATCAAATTCATCCGATCCTCTCAAAAACCTCAAAACATTAAAGAACATTTCTCCGAACAAAGAAAAAATTCCATTCTTGTTGGTGGCTTTAATATGAATCATGAAGAAAAAGTCTGTGGCTCTGAAATAGCCTTTGTAATAGCCAATTCAGATAGAAAAGTTCTGAATTCGGCGTGTTGGGTCTTCTCATTTTTGAAAGCGATATATTTTCAAACCGGATCTGCCTGTTTCAGCGGTTTATTCAATTTTTTCGAATCGGGCTCTTACCGTCTGATGAGAACGAATTTCCCTTGATTTTTTTTTAGTATAATGATGTTTACAATTTAAAAAAAACGGATAAAAAACGTGTATTTTTCTAGTTCATTGTTTTTTTTAATTCATCATCTAACAATTAACGAATAGACAGGAATTTTCAAATCTCTATTATTTGAACTTTATTTGGCAGTATGTTCTAGCGTTTGAGAAGAGTATTACGTATTTTTTAGCTTTCACGAGTCATGCATGACAAAAGAACTCCCATCAAAGCTTTGTGTCAGCTTTTTCGGCAGCACCCGCTTGAACTGTTTGCCTTATATAAAAAAACTGGTTCTAAGACGTTGTGATAAGTATCGGAAATCAATGAGCTCTGTGGGAGTCCTATAGTTTTGTCACGCGGTTGGGTACTCCACTCTAGCTTGTTCCAGCAAGTGAGCACTTTTTCCTTGCGTCGGTTGCTAATGCGGACTCTATCGTTCTTCTTCCTCTGGCAACAGTTGTGGCGCGGGTTCCCCTGTCGATTACCGTACCTCGGCTGTGTGTGCAGCAGTGAATGCCCGCCTGAGGCGAGACACACGAGACATTCGACGACGAAAAGTCGACAAGAGAGCGTGAGGCGAGGGGCGACAGACTGAGCGACAGCCTTGGCAATGATGGATCGACGCAGCTGGCGACGTTGACAACACTGAGAAGGAAGGGTCCGAGAGAAACAGCGACGACCGATGAGGTGCTGCCACTGAGAACTGCATGGGGACCAACTATTGATGAATAGTGTTGTTGAAGGACGTGTCGGGTCCGATTGATGATTGCGGTCCGGCCCATCATTTTGTCATTATATCACGCCGCTTGATGAATCGCTGCAAGTCTGTCGAAACATCAAGAAAAAATGTTTATGGCCGACACCAGAGTGTCGCTTCTCGGATCTACCCAATAAATATGATTTATCTTGTATTTTCTGAGCGATCCGTCAGGTCAACTAATCTTTCAGTTTCAAAAGGGAAACTTGACCGCCTTGAAGAGACTGGGCCAGTGTAATGCTGAATGAAAAAGCTGAACAAAAAAATAATATATATATATATGATGTACTTTTACTAGATAGTGATTGAGATAGCTGGTCGAGGTAGGTTTTTTTTTCAAATATTTAAATTTAATTTTTATTTTCTGAAGGTTTTAAAGTCTCAGAAGCTAAATATAAAGCCGATCAGGATAAGATCTTAGTCTTTCTTAGAAAAGTACTCAAAAAGTTAGATAACTACGCAACATTATACAGATCAATTCTGTTTTTATTCACTCGTTAAAACTCAAGTTTTGGTTTGCTTGTTCAAGGCCGAAGTGCCAACGTTGTGACACGGCCACTAAACGCGACGATTTATGCGATTTTTATGAAGTTTGCACGACGCCTCGGCCAGGAATTCCTTCTGATTGCCCTGTCGCTGAGATGCCTATCTGTGCCCGACCTACCATAATAAACTTTAGCCTCCATCGAAAACTTTTTATGAGACGCGTCGTAAATTGTCGAGCCACACGTTTTACGAGGGATGACTTGGGTCTGACTTGTTAATGCGATCTCTCAATCCTTTTGGGCTTATCGTCGATCATTTGAAATTAATAAAGAGAAACCTAAAAAGTAATTGGAATTTTTCAGGTTCATTAACGCTCGAAGACGGATAGTGCAGCCAATGATCGACCAGAATAACCGAGCAGGAAGAGTTCCCAACATGAACGTCTTCAAAAACAGAAGAAGAAATCGCAGTGAACAGTCGCCTGGCCCCAGTCCTGGTTGGTGTCTACTCAAATGCGAACTTTTCATTCATTCTATTTCCTAGTCGAACGCAGTTGATTTTAAAGAGTTGGAAGAAAACAACAGAATTGGTCGGATAGTTATTCTGAGCGCACTTTTTTTTTATACGAACGTGGTAAAAAGTTCATATTTTTTTGATCAACAGATATATAATGGGGACTGAACTAGATTAATTAATAAAAAAACTGTTTTTGAATATAGAAACAAGAAAAAAATGGCGTTACTAGATTTATTACTGATTTCGAAGTAAAAAAATAAAGAGGAAACAATAATTTTTTTCCTAGCAAGAGTTGAGAAAAATAAGGTTTAAAAAGCGAACGCTGAAAAAAAGGAGGTCAATTCACTTCGCGGTTAGGAATTTTTTTCAAAAAAATTTAGTAAAATCTTCATTGATTTACCAGAAAAGGAACCTGGAAGCATCTTCCTGCAAAGCTTCCTATTTCTTGAGAAATAAGGGATCAAAGACCCAAACTAGCCTATTTTAACAGGTTTTGAGAGTTTTTTTTTAAACTTTGGGTGTCCTTTCTCAAAAACTAAGAAGAAGGCAGGCTTAGATTTTTAGGATATTTTTTTGCTAAGTCAATGTGTTTAAAAGCCGAATTTCTGGTAATTCTAACCTCAAAACAAATGACCATTCTTGTTAGAGCTCAAACAGATATTTTTAATTGTAATTTTTAACGGGAACTTGCAGACTCGGACCTGGGAGCCAACTATTCTCCAGACCCGGCGGCCGTGGCGGCGGCCGCGATGCCTTATCCTGCGACCGCCGACTTCTACAACAACATGCAGCGCAACATGTTCAGTGGCTACCCTCCTTTTAACCCGTTCGTCTTTTTTTCTCTTCAACGCTACATTTACAGCCTTTCCTGAATAACTTCTACTACCAGATACAAATTTTAACAATAATATGGGAATGAATTCAATTTCAGGCAAATGGCGCCTTTCATGCCTCCCATGATGGGATTTCCGCCGCTCTGAGGACGTGCCGTCGTTGGTAGCAGCTCTAGGACATTATCGATCGTTTCCCAACCGTGACATTTCCTTCCATGACTTTCATACATAGGCATGACGGTCCAAATTTTCTAATCTCCTCCGAAACTCCCCATTTTTTTCCATTCTAGTTTGAAATATATTGTCAGCAATGAGCTCCAGTAATCGTGTAAGTATTGTTTTTTCTTCTCTTGTTAATTTTTTTTTCAAAGTGATTTTATATGTTATAAAAGTCTCAGTATAGCGCGCCAGTGGACAAAAGAACGTGTGGTTTTTTTGAGTTTGCTCCCAGCTCCAGCGCGTTCAAACCATTTGTGTTTGGATTCGATGAAATGAAATATTTTAATAAATGACTATTCTTTTCCAAGTTTGTTTTTATTTGATTTTTGGAACAAATCGATTCAAACAACTCCTCTGGAAGTATCTGAATTGTGGATTGGGGTTTCAGATGTTCTCATGGATTTGCAAACGTTTTAAAACTTTCCAAGAAGTCCAAAACTTGCACTAAAAGACATAAAATTTTAGTTTCTTTTGCTTTTTAAAAAAAATATAAAAGATACTGAGTATTTCAAAAAAATTAATGTTTGATCAAGTTCTGTGGGGTTAATTTTGATATTTCAAAAACAAGTAGACGACGATTTGAAAAAAAATTCTCGTATGGCATATTTCTTTTATGTAACAAGACTTCAATTTTCATTTCATCAGAATTCCAACTTTCAAAGAAAGCTTTTTGTTGAGTTTCTATTTGTAATAATCAGAGTCTTTTTCACTTATTTCAAATTCAAGACCAACTAGAAGTTATACAGAAACAATTATTGGACATTCACAAACTTTTTTGACCTAGCCAATACGTTTTCACGCTATCACGTACTCAAGAATGGTTGGTTTGAAAAGCTGAAGTTTTCATTCTGATCTTTTTTCCGGCGTCATGTCTGCGCTGCAGTGGGTGCAAGGAGAGTCCTTCAACGACACTCTCGCGATCGCGGTTTTTTTCAAATTAACGATAATTATCATTCATCCAGTATTTAAAGAACCCGTACGAATTCAATTTGATTCAAAAAATAAAAACCAATTAATTTATTCGACGATCGAGTCTTCGAGAATTTTCCCAGAGTAGATAACTTTTCACTCATTTTTTGCGAGTGAACTAAAGTATATTTTGTGTATGCGAGTAAATTCAAGTATAACTATCGATTTTCTGTTGATCTGGTTGAAAATATTGTTCATTAAGAGAATTCTCAAGGCTGGTGCCTGTTAAAACATGATGGAATGGGATTGGAGGGCAAGGAAATTGAGAAATTTCACGACTTGCAGTGTGGATTAATACTCCTGGGAGAAGATGTGAAAGTTTCAATCGACCGAATCTGCACATTTACCATCCGACCGCACCTTTTCTTCCTTCTCGTCGTCGCAGTTGTGACATTCAAACGTTGCTCTCTACTTGCAGATGATCAACGTCATTTATTCAGATTGTCTGACACTCCAGTACACGGAGAAGTTCTTGCGGTCGTCGGTCCAGTTCCAACAAGATTGGCTACTCGAGCACAGGAAAATGGAGAAAGTCTTCCACATACCGATTGTGGGATCGATTCGGTACATTGTAGAACTTTTTCCGTTGTTGAGGATTTTCGGACAGAGAGAAATCAATTGATTCGCAGCTACGAATCCAAAAAGTCTGGAAGTCGAAAAAGCAAAGAAGGTGTATATTAGTCCTTTTCTGAGAAAAACCAACATTTTCAGTGAATTCGATGCCTTTATCCCGCGACGAGCTCCTGAAGTTTTCGCCTCTCATCAAAGTTCATCTTGTCCCCTTCTGGTATTTTCTAAAACTTTTAGTTTCGGTTCTTTCGAAGCTTTACAAATCTCTTTGCTGTTGTAAAAAAAGCTTTTAAATGTCTTCTTACAAAACTTTTTTTGAGGAGAGCTGTATCAGAAAAATTCATTGAAGAAACTTGAAAATGCTGGCTTATTTATATTGCCTCAGGATTAATACTAGGAATTATCTAATATTCAAAAAATCCTAACTATGTTTTGAATCATATTCGTGGAGAATTCACAAAAAGCAAACTATTGGCAGGTTCAGTCTTCGAAAAGTGCCCGGGCCGCCCGGCCGATGCACAAGACTGGGCAGGTCCTCGGATTTGGAGCGTGGAGCGCGTGTACTAGAATAAGCGCTATCTTGAGGCGAAAATGTCAAAAATGTCAAAAATTTATTTTTTTATTTTCATTCTTCTGAATACTCGTGTTAAAAGACCCGTAAATTATTTTCTCAAAAAAGTTGGGAAATATCCACATGACATGTCTTTGGACATTTTTCATTGATATAAAAATCATTATTGATTATTTTTGATTGAGAAGCATTATTGATATAGAAGTCACATCGAAACAGATTTTTCCTCTTTTCGAAGTGAAATTTTGAACTTGCGAAGCAAAAATTAAAGATAAGAATAGTATCGAAAGGGAAATTATGTTGACTATATGGTTTCATAGATTAGCACTTCTAACATGGGAGGTCATTTTAGCGTAGGGTTCAGAATTTTTTCTAAATTCGCTCAAACAATCTTTGATGGACTGGGAATCGATCCCCCATAGTCGCTATAGCGAGTATACCTGCACAAACTTTTTGTTTTGGAGCTATGATTTTTCAAAGTTTTTATCCTTAACCATGTGACGCCGTTTGGAAGGAATGTGGCCGCGCCACCAACCACTGCATGACAGCTAGGAGCGTGGTGCAGTGGCTAGCGTGTTAGCCTGCGGAGCCTATTATGAAGTTTCGAATCCTTTTGCCGCTAACTTTTTTTGCCATTATTTTTTTTAAAGAGTTCTGATGAGAATATTAGAATTTCATGAGTAAAACCTTTCCAAATAAGTTCGATAACTATTTTCTTTCTAAAATCGCTTTTTTATGGACAATAGTTATGGAAACTTTCTGAAGTTGTGGCGGACTTCACATCATCAGAGAATTTTCCCAAAAACATTTTGCTCAAAATATTTTTAGATTCCTGAAAATTTGAAAAAATCTGGATTACGATGGAAATGGGGTTTGGAAATTTTTTTTTCGATAAAACTCGGATGACAGGTAAGTTTTCATATTCTGTAAAGATGTTTCTTCAGAAGAGTAAGGCAGAAATTGGCTATTGAAATATTGAAAAGCCACTGTTATTTATCACAACCAAGACATGCGAAGATCTTCGATGAAGGTTCAGCGCTTTTCTGAAACATTTTTCGCTGATTTTCAAAAAAATAGTCTCTGATGATGTGGAGTCTGCCACAACTTTGGAAATTTTTCATAATTTTTGTCCATCAAAAAAAAAGCGATTTTAGAAAGAAAATAGCTATCGAACTTATTTGGAAAGGTTTTACTCATGAAATTTTAATATTCTTATCAGAATTCTTTAAAAGAATAATGGCAAAAAAAGTTAGCGGCAAAAGGATTTGAACCTTCATCATGGGCTCCGCAGGCTGACACGCTTGCCACTGCACCACGCTCCTAGCTGTCATGCAGTGGTTGGTGGCGCGGCCACATTCCTTCCAAACAGCGTCACATGGTTAAGGATAAAATCTTTGAAAAATCGTATCTCCAAAACAAAAAGTTTGTGCAGATAGCGACTATGGGGGATCGATTCCCAGTCCATCAAAGATTGTTTGAGCGAATTTAGAAAAAATTCTGAACCCTACGCTAAAATGACCTCCCATGTAAGGAACTTTCAACGGAGTCTGAGAAGAGTAGTTGAGTGTTCTGGTGCTGTCGATGTGTATGACGATGGCGGCGCTGTCCGTCGGACTGGGCATGCGTTTTTCGAACCCCGTCGCCACGTGGCACTACAACAACGGCGGCTTCGAGCTTCTCGTCAGCACTCTGGAGGCTCACGCCTACCAGTTTGCCAACACAGGTACGTCGATTCCAGACGAAGAAGGCTTTTTGAAATTTTTTCCTTCAAAAGTTAGCTTTAGCTATCAAGTTCAATGAGCAGTCCAGCTAATACTTTGGATGATGGTATATTTAATATTAGGCTTACTTATTTGGAAAATTTTCAAAAAAGTATGCCTCTACAATTACTAAAAAGCAAGGCAATTTCGTTTTGCGCCTAGGATTTTCTGAAAATTGGCCAGAACAACGATCGATGTATCAAGAAGCATCTTAAAAGGTTCAACCGGCCCAGCTTCTTCGCTTTTGAGAAAGGAAACTTCAAAGTCAAAGAAAACTTTTAAAACCTGTGAAAATAAGCTATTTGGGGTCTTTGAGTCCTTATTCCTAAAGAACTAGGAAAATTGCAGGCCAAAACTTTCAGAATCTATTTTTGATACATCAAAGAACATTCTGTTCCATTAAAATGATCTTCCTTGTCGGTTTTAGCTTTTTCAACACTTTTTAAATTCAAATCTCGCTTCTAAAACCAAAGTGAGGCTTTTTCAAAAGTTTTTGTGATATTTCTTTTTTTCTCACTCCAGAAAATAGTTAGTAATAGCAACCTAATATTAAAAAGTTGGCAAGCCTTGATTTCTGAAATTTCCTATTTACGAAGTTTTTTTCAAACTAGCAAGCTCACGAACTTGTTGTAGGCTTGTAGGGCAAAACTTGAGGTGTTAAGTCTCAATTTTTTTCAATGAACTTTTTCGGTCTCTATTCTCTTTCTGGTTTAGTATCACAAAACATAATCAAAGTTTCAGAAATTTCTTCCAACAGAACTTTTTCTCATTGTTGTATGTGACGAAAGTTTGTGAAGAAGATAACTCGACAATTTTTTATGTTCCTCTATACTGTATATATACTATTCACCATCATAAACTGTTGTGAGATTCAAAATATCGAGCACCAGTTTTGTAAAAAAAAAGCCTCAGTTCCGTGACAAGTTCGAAAAACTTCGAGGACGAAAAAAGCTGCTATCGAAACCAGAGGATTGTAGTGGAGATGAGGAGGTGCGAAGGGTCCCCCAACAAAGTGCTCGAGTCGTTCGGAAGGGCGACATCGCTGGCACCGCTCTTTTTCACCTCGACGTTGACCGTCGCCTCAGTGTTCGTCGTTGATCTCCTTTCTCACATCGTGAGCTTAAGCATCTCCGACGTGGTCATTTCCGTCGCGACGTACGCCATCCTTCTTCTCATTCTGTTCGAAGGCGTTCTTGGATCTTTCGCCGACGTCAAATCCCCTTCATCTGGTAATTTTCGAATTTTCGAAGTTCTCTCAAGAGGTCTTGTGCTTGGAAACTACAAGTTCCAAAAAAGCTATTCTTAGAAGCTTAAATTAAATTTTAAACCAACATACTTTCGTCTTCCAGGTGCGCATTTCATCATGTATTACAGTACGGTTCGCTACATCTATCTGTTTATCATTTATTCTTTTCTTCTTTTTGCTGTTTTGTCTTTTGAAAGGCTTCAAATATGTTGATGAACATATAATAAATAAAATTTTACTCTGGGAGAAAGACAGATGTTAAATCTAGAACAAAATGAGCATATAATCGAAGGAAAATAGAATTCTCAAGGATTTTTCGAAAGTCAACTGTGTTACCCGACCGTTTGAATCGAAATACTACGAAAAGAAGGTTATTCAACAAAATGGCACAAAAAATTATTTTGAAGCTTTTGGCGATAGCGGTGCATTATTATGTATCACAGTAAGAATTTGCATCAGATGCACGACGTTGTTTCAACATGTATAGTTTGTATTAATTAACAATTAAAGTGGGAGATCATCAAAGATGTAGGTAGATGAAGAATTTTCAACGATTTTCTTGTTGGGCTCTACGGAAAGTCTTGGGCGGCAGGGGAGGCGGCGACAAGACTTCGGTGGCGCCAGAAGACGTCGTTTCGACGGCGGAAGTCGGAGGCGTCGCTCGACTGCAAAGGGGAAAGGTCAGACTCGCTGAGAACTCGTTTCTGTCGCTTCCAAGTGCCGATCGATTCGATAATGTCTATCACTTCCGGAAGTTCTTCTCTCTTTTGTTTTCTCTTCGCAAAAATCAATGACCACTTCTTTCTACATATAGAGTTGGGAAATTTTTTTTCTTTTTTTGATGGCATTGAAAGACTCAAGTTCCTCAAATTAAATGATGGTTCAATACAAATGTAGAAACAACGACAAACCCTTTCTTCGGCGGCAAAGGTGGCGGCTGATGATTGACGTGGGATCCTCGTGGCGGCGGAAGCGCCGGAGGCAGCGGCACGGACAAGCAGACGGTCGGTGAGTGAGATTCGGAGGAAGATCTGCAAATATCCCTTGCATGAACCGTTGAAATCTTCAAAGAGAAGAAGGATATTGGGATTTCTCGGCTGCTAACCCACATCCTTACATGCCATTTACGAAAGTCTAGGTTCTCTGGAAGCCCTTTTCTTTCACTTGAGCAAGAAACAGGAGAGAAAAGACGTTATATTGTTCCAAACAAAATGAGCGTTACGCGGAAACTTTTCTCATTATTCAAATTTCTTGAGAACCAAAAGGTTCGGAAAATTCAGAAATGACGACTTTAAATTAGGAATAGGCGTAAAGCAGGTCTAAATAAAGCCGAAGTGATCCGGATGCTTTATATTTTGTTGTATTTTCTTCAATTAAGCGTTCACGTAAAGAAAGTTTTCAAAAACTTTGATTTCCGTCTCATATACCTGACTTGTTAAAAAACAATATGACAGAAAAAAAAAACGAATTAATGAGAAGCGGAATAAGATGAAAAGACCTGTCCAATGTGACCCGCAGTTGTTCTTGGTTTTCCTTGGATGAAGAGCTGGAGGGCGTCGCCACAGACGAAGTCAGTGACTTCGGAGGAAGCTGAGGCGGCGTCGAAGCCAAGTCATAAACCGTGGGAAAAGGGAACGCCGATGGAGAATTAGCTGGAAAAAAAAGATGAGGTGGGTAGAAAAAGAAACTTTCGAACCTCCATTTTGAGACGGCGTCAAAGGAGACTTCGCATGAGGCGAGAGCGCATGAGGAGACATGCTGGCTGGCGGAACGCGTCGAGGATGAAGCTTGGGGGCCGGTGCTACGGCAGAAGACGGAGTCGAAGTTGTGGTGGTCGGGCTGCTGCTGGCAGTGCTGATGTGAGGCGAAGTCTTGGCCGACGGCGCCGTGGGGGCGTTCGTCGTCGGAGGAGGAAGCGGCTGCGGCAGCTGACGAGAGGAACGAGGATGAACTGGGGGCGGTGGCTGCAGAGGTGCTGAAACAACCGAGACGCCTGAGTGTTTTGCCTTCTTCGTTTCTCGATGCGAATTCCAAAAATAGACTCGACTGACTGACGGCCACATGGAAAAATAAGGGAGAGTTATGGACAGCGGAAGTGCGACGAAAAATTCATACGAATCTCAAAGGCAACACATGTGTGTCTTTTGGACCAATCAGGCAGCGGTCAAATGAGAAATCATATTCTCGACGGGTCACGTACCGGTCGCCTCTGTGTACACTGACACGAATTTTCTATTTTGTCAAACTTCCTCCCATTTTCCCATTGTCTACTTCTCCGCCGTTCTTTCCTATTTTCATTCTGGCAATGCCAGTGGCACTGTTGTGAAATTAGATTGAGTAATACTCACCAATTTTGTTAAATTGCCCTTGATTGCGCTTCGAATCGTAGCCATGACGTTTTGAGAGTGATGCCTCGCCTGATGCAAAAGGATGATCCTCCGAGGACGTGTGCGAGTGACTTCTACAAATATTATTGGTCAGAAAGCTAAAAATTGTCGCAATATTGATGAGTTGTGAACTGCTAGAAGAGACGCTTTTCGGGACCTTTTGGTTTCCTGGGCCGGCAAAGGAGTGTTCGGAGCAGTGAGACTGTGGTGAGGTACATGGTGGCCTCCGTAGTGATTCGAACATTTCGGCGGCTTGATTCCTGGCGATTTGAGTGCCGCCAAGGGATGTTTTGGTCTCTGAAATTCTAGTTTAGCTCTGAAATTCCAATCGCTCTTTTACTAAGATCTTTTCCTGAAGAGCTTTGAACTCGAAGGACATGAAGACTTAAATTTTTACCCATCGCGTGCTTTTCCGACCTTTCCATTTCAAGAGCGAAAAACATGTGGCAGAGATTTTAAGAAAGATTATAGACGCCTGGTCTCGAAAAGAAAACGGTCTTGGCGTTGAAAAAAAAAAGACTCACAATGTCGTTAAGTGGCTTTTCCGTGTCTTTCGGCTGAATCTCCAGAGATTTCTCGTACAGGTATGTTTCTAGCGCTTCGTCGTTCTCAAAGTCACTCTTCGGGTTGATCGATTCAAAGAATTGCTGCAATTAAGGTTTTTTTTTACTTCCATCGCCATTGATTAAATTTCATAGATCATTCAAAAGTGTTTCTTGTGAAATCCTGAATCAAATATTGATGAACATCAATATCATTTTTTACTTTTAAAGTTAGGAAAATTTTTTATGAAAGCGGCAAAGTAAAACACAAATTCGTACATTGTGGTGCGCCGCATAAGAAGGAGACTGTGGCCCTGCACAGCAGAACATTCCTCAAATATTATGGTTGAAGTTGATCGGAGGAATTTCGATACGATCGTTCAGACTTTTGGAACCGAGTGGAACAAACAAAAAAAGGTAGTTGGAAGAAAATAAACGAAAAGATAAGAATAGATTTTCGATTCAGTTTTTCTGAGCGGAAAAAAGAAGAAACATAGAGAAGGCAGCATATATTGAATCACAGTTTATAGCTAAGTAAGATCAAAAGGCTACAGAAAAAAAGTTGAACGATGCGTAAAAACTAGTCGCATGTATCCACACGAGCGCCGTTCAGACACCAGAAGATGGTGTCGGTGGGCCGAGATTGGGCGGAAGTGGATCATGTGCTTGAAGGGACACGTGAAGCATCCATGACCATTGAGATTGACGACCGATCGCCGAACAAAAATAAACAGTTGAGACGATTTCTCACATTCGCTCAGCGGGTTCCAGGTCGTTTGGACAAAGTGCAGAACGAGTTGGTCGCTGTGAAGTTTGGCTTCGCGAAGAACGTCGCCTCGTTGTCGTTTCCGGCCGACCAGCGAAACTGATTGCGTCGGCGACGTCTTCTTCTCTTTCTGCCTGTTTCGCGGCGGATCCTTCTGGTTAACTCTCCAGATAGCGATAAATCGATGAGAACCAGTGTGAAGGCCTTCTGCACCCGAGTATAAAAGTTTCAATTCTTACTCACTTTTTTTACTATTTCCACAAAAATATAGTTATAGTTTGAATGGAAGATTCAAAAATTATGAAATACCATCCGTTTTTTGAGATTTCTCTCTCACTAAAAGCTTATGTGATTTTGATTCAACCAGGAAACGTTTTTTAATTTTTTTAAAGTTTTTTTTTAACGTTTTTTTTCGGTCAGATTGTGAGGATAAAGTCAAGCATTGATCTTTGGTCAGAGATGAAACAACATTTTAAGATTCAAAATTTATGAAATACCATCCGTTTCGATAAGGTGAGTCTGAGTTCAGTTGTTTGTCGACATAAGGAAATCGGTTTAAACAATTCTAGTAATTGCTTGTTTAGGAGATTGATATTGTCATGCAAATGATTGTTTTCGATAAACTTGATCAGATTCTTGATTCTTGATTATAGTAATTTTTTGATACGGAATTCAAGCAATCCAAGGTTCGATTATGCAGTTTTCTTATCTCGTACAGAAGTTAGAAAATTCGATTATTTCTAGTCTTTAAAATGTACCTTTCTATTTCGTAGCTTTTCGGTGTGGTTATTTGATAAAACTGGAGCTGTAGTTATCCATTTTCTTGTGAAACTTCTTAATGGTTTTTTTGTCATTTTTTGAAATGTTTGGAAAAAGTCTGCAGAAGCGCTGGTTTCATATTTTCAAACATACAATACATCAATCTTGGAGTCATTGGAGATAGGAATTGCTGATAAAAAAATTTTTTTTAAGGTCTTTAAAAAATAATGATTTCCATTTATAGTTAAAAGTGGACCACTACAAAAATCAAGTTAGTTACTCTGAAAGTAGAGCAGATGAAGGAATAGATTGTTCAAAAGTTTTTGAAAAAAAAGACGGTTTGTCTAAACGGCGGCCGACCAACTTTGAGGAACAACTGACAATTGCAACGAGAAGACAGCCGCGTCGAACCGGAAGTGGGGGTGCGTGCAGATTCCAAACGAAAGAGCTTCTGTGATAAAAGACATTTCATCCTTCTTACACACTCACTATTCCTTTTAGTGAAGCTGGCCGTTCCGCGGAACCACTTAATGAATCACCAAAGTGACAAGAATGACTAACTTGAATTCCAAACAACACGAAAAACTAGTTAATGAGTGGAATATGACAACCGTGAATAAGATAGTCGTGGTCCGAAAACATGTAACATGTCAAAGGAAAAAATGAAAAGAATTTGAAAATCGGTTCGGTTTTTGCAACCTTTTTTTTAAAATAAAATCCTGTCTTATCGAAACTCGATCTTCTTGAAAACTTTAAAAGTTATTTTTCAAATTATCATACACGCTATACCAGGAAATTGAAATAAGAAGCTTTGAGAAATAAATAAATGGGAAAAATTGATAATAAAATCACAGTTTATAGCTAAGTAAGATCACCCTCACGAAGGACTTCACCGGATAGTTTTAATCCTTTTTTGCTCAAATTTTTCTAAGCCATGTAAAAGGTGTTTCCTGACTGCATACACTCTCTAATTGAAGCTTCAAACTTGAGCGTCCAACGTGATGCTAAACCCAAGATCAAGTCACATTCACAGCTGGCGGATTACACGCCAAAAAGTAGCAATTAGCTGTGGCACACCTGTCCTGCTTCAGAAAGGACTGCGGATCGAGCCAGGAGCGCCTTCATTCATCGGAATTGCGTCATTTGGAGGTTGCGTCAAGCGTCTTAGGTGCTCCTGGGGCTAAACAATGCGTCGAGCAGACACCAGACTGCGCAATGGCCCAACTTTCAAGAGCCCGCTATCGCTAGTAAACGAGGTGACACCAGATTCCCGTTGCGCAAACCTAGCTCTTTTGTTATCCACCGTCTCTACACCTATTCAGACAACTTCTGTCCACATTTTCGTAAGAGCTAAAAATCAGGAATTCTCCATGAAGTAGCTTTTCTTTAAATTTACTCAAATTTTTCATCACTTACATTAAATTTGTAATTCTTTTTCGCTCAATTTTTTTTCAATCTTTGCTGGAAAAAAAAATCAGTGTTTCCATCGATGAAAACATCGAATGAAAATAAAATTTTAACTTGCAAGGAAAGTTTCGGGTATGAGACGCAGTAAAAATTTTTAAAATTCCTATATTGTTTGCTCAGAAATTCTTATTTTATTTAAGGTTGAAAAAATAAGTTCTTTCAATATATTCACTACCAAAACTCTTTATTCAAATTCGCCGGTTGACTTCCTATTTTCATAGCTTTTCATAGAAAAAAAAAAATCATATAAGGTCCAAATGAAGTTCCACAAAAATGTCTTCCATTCAGAGAGCGTAAGTGAATCTTCTTAAGAAGCGCTAAGTTAAACGAAAAATAAACGAACAATACAACTTTAGATAGGACTTACAAAAAGAAAAACTCAAAAATGAAAGAAAATAACATACCCCATTTTGTCGAACCAACAGCATGGCGTCGAATGAACTCGTTTTGGATGAAGAAGTCGTTTACCGCGATTTCTAGCAAGAAGGAATGGCAAAAAAGTAGTACGGCACAGGCCACGCCCACTCGAGTAAGGGGGAGACAAAGGTGAGAAAATCGGGGGCCGAGTAACGGTCGTGTTAATCGCTACTTTTCAGAGTCAATTTTAGCCATAGTGTCGTCGTGGTCATCGTTTTTGAAAGAAAAGAGCGCCACCTTGACGGCTCATTTTTTCGTTTCAAGCGTTTTAGTGTTATTTCAGAGACTTGGACGGCTGAAATCTCGAGAGATAGTGATTCTTGTGAAAATTTGATGGGTTGTTTAAAATCTAGCGACATGAGTAGATAAAGGCAGCAGTAAGCGATTATCTGCCAAAAATAACTGGTGCATATAAATATCAATCATCAATCAATCAATCAATATTTATTGGTTGTTTTAGTCAGATGGTATCGACTAGGCGGTGAAAAAATTGCTCTTTTGAGCGGCACTAACACCGCCTTTGGCGAAAAAGAAGTCAAAACGTGTAGTCGATTGAATTGAAAGCATGGTCTTACGGTCCTTCGCCTCGTTCTTCCACAAGTAGATCCCTCAGTTTCGCGGGTACGGGCACGGCGGGGATGGTAGGGCTCGGGCACGGACGCCGTGTACACTCTAGGGTAGCCTCGGCCGACTGAGAGAGCTACCACTTAGAGTGAAGAAAATACACGGGATGAAGAAAATACACGGAATGAAATATGAAAGTTTTAAAAGTTTTCCTTCGTAATACCAAACCACTTCAAAATTGAAAACAGTTTAGATGATAAACGTAAAAAGTACCTCAACATTCAGAAGTGAAAGGCGGTTTGGGTAGCCACAACCACCGGCAGTCGTGCAGGAATAAGGGGTTTTCGTTGAGAAAAATGAGGTTCCGAAAAAAGGAAAAAATTCGATTTCAAAAAAAAAGTAGCTTCGAGCCGAGGATATGGCTTTCATGTGATTAATAGATCTGGAGTTGAGTGAAGGTCTCTCCTGGAGAATACCGGCAAACGGTTCCATAGCGGAAGTGGAAAAGCCTCTGCTGAGAAGCCGTCAAACAAATTTTGAGCATCAACAAAGCGACAGCCTTGTGTTGAGTTGCAAGAGGCGGAGTCCTGAAGTTCCTCAGCTGGAGCACGAGACTCGTCCTCATCCCAGAGCTGAGTCTCTCTTGCCTCGGCTTTTGTTACACGATGATAAAGGACGAAAGCACGGAAGTTTTCAGAAAAGGCAGGTGCAGGCCAAGAACGACACTTTTTACCGTTACCGAGTAAAAACTCTTGCTATTTCAAATGAGTAGTTGAGGCGAAAAATTCTAATCCACAGAGAAAGTAATAAAACTTCACGAAGATGATGACGTTTCAAATAGATTCCAGAAGACCAAGTTGAAAAGCTCATTAAAGTTAAACTTTAAAGAAGAAATTTGAACTTTACTGTTTATATTGATTTAAAAAAATGTCAAAAATTAAAGAAAAAAATGTAAGCGAAAGACACTGCCGGATATGTCGCGATTGATTAGACTTCCCAGACAAAAGAGAAAACTCACACGGATAGTTGGTTCCAACTGCAGGGGATACGGCTCATTCTGGTACATCTGAATCTCGCGGATGATGTCCGAGATTCGACGGCACTTCAGAAAAGAGACAAGAACGCGCTTACTGTTGGGATCATCCTGAACATATTCAAATAATCTAATTTTTTTGCAAAGGAATTTTTGAGAATTCTTTTGCAATTGTTATATGCTCTGAAACGCCTATGGGAAGTATAAAAATGAAAAAAAGTTTGAATACGCTGGACTTCCCGGTGTTTAATTATTATCGTAGCAAACATTCTTTTTTTTTCAAATTTGCTCAACCTTAAATTAAAATTTATCTTTTTTTTTCTCAATTTTCTCCGCGTTTCTTATTGAATTATTTTTCATAACGGAGTCAAAATCAAAAAAACAAAAAATTAAAGTTTTTGATCAATGTGGGAGTGGTAAATTATTATATGATAATAAAATTCAAATCTATGTCCCAAGTAGTCGTTTGTTAAGCTATTAGATCCAAACGAAAACAAAAAAAAACCATGTTAATGGGCTCCTTCGACTTTGGCCCAGGCGACTTGACGAAAGTGCTGTTGCCGAGTTCGAAGAAGAAGATGTTGTTGAGGTAGTGGCCGAAAAAGGGAATGCACGGGGGATTTATCGTCTGCAGACGCTTCTGCATCTCCGTCCAGCGAGGTCCACAAAGAGTCACGAACCGGTTGTACGACTTCTGCTTCTCGTTGTCCAACTTCTGAAATAGAACAAGTTTTCATAACTTTGTTTTTTAAAGGCTCAAATCGAATCGAACTGAAATGAAACAGACATCCCAACACCAGCTGAGACGGTGAATGCATGCCGAGTTGAGGGCGGAGATGAAAGCGACGAGTCCGGTGAAGTTGTGCAGCTCCTCGAACACCGACATCACCTTTATTGCCAGTTTGCCGCGAATTTCGTCTTCTGAACAACCTCCAGAACACGGTTGAACATGGCGACGCGCTCCTCCAAAGACTCCGTCTCCACAATCGACCGCGAGACCCAATAGGTGAGCTGGGCTTCTTTCTGTTCGAATAACCTTCTCGAGTGAAACTAACCAAAGTGGAGTGGTTTGTGAGCTTGAGGAGCTGCGGACTGCGACGGTTCTTGTCGTGTTGCGTCCAGGCGGCGCCGACCAGCTCGATAGGTTTGATGGCTCGGTAGAGATCAAAGTGGAGGAGAGTCAGCTATAAATGATGGGAAAAAAATGGGTTTTCTCTCAAAAATTCAAACTTGTCGTCCGATTTCCAGAGGATGCAACGTCAGTAAGTCGTATACATCGACGTCGCCTTTAGTGGCCGTGTGCCAAACAGTCTGAAAGCTTTTTAATCACTTTCATCGCGCTTTTTCGAGATTATCGAAGCGAACATGTTTTAGAGCTGTCTTAGAGGTCAGAAGGCGTGATAAGGTCTGGCTACATTGTATTGAGGTTTTTAGTTGAGCCTTGGTTAGAAAAACTGAAGAATCATCCATCAAAAAAATCCTCAACTAGAGCAGAAAGACAGACCTCAGGCTTCTTGGGACTGAAAGTCCGCGATGTCGCGCCGTCGTTGGCGTACGCCGGCGGCTGGCCGTCTTCGCCGTAGACAAACGCCGTATTCACGTGACCTTCCTGCTTCTCCGTTGAATCAGTGGCAGGAGGACTTTTGAGACGTTTGTCCATGGTCGTCTGTATCAACCCGTACATCAAAATCTGTCGACGCTGCCTACCAGAATTGTTTTGCAGAACTTTTTGTGCTGCTTCGTCAGCTTTTCTCGAGGATCTATGCATTTTTGCAAGAAGTTATCCAACTTTTCTAGAAGCACCGGGTCGCAATCAAAGTCGTGCCAGTGGAACTTCACCCATTGGTTAATGACGCTCAGAACGCTGACAAAATTCTTGTTGAAGATTAATTATTTTTCATTCGTACCGAAGCTGTACAGGACGTTCGTACTCTTTGCGGAACCGCTGGAAACTCTGTTCATAAAGAGGCGAATAACTCGACGCCGAAAGACCGTGAGACTGTACGGTGTCGTAGCGTCCAGCCAGCGGACCACCGCTGAAATTTCTCAACTGGTAAAAAAAAACATTTCATAGTTGCTGTTAGTTGGCACAAGAGTAATGAAGCAATCTTTATCTTCTTCTACCGAGAAAACTTGAAATCAGGGCCAATTGTATAAATTTAAAAAAATTTTTTGCTGAATTATCGTTTTTACTTATTCATTTTATTTGTTTTCTGGTTGTCTAATTTTTAATTTGTAACCTTCTAAAAAATACTCTCTTTAGTTCTACATTGACTTCAAACCGTTGTAAATGAATGTTACTCGCTCGTCAGCATGAATATGAAAGTTTCTTTTTGTAGAGATCTATGAGATAGAAAAAAATAGTCGGTAATTTCGAGAACGCTGTTCTAAAATCACCAGCAACAAAGAGACAAAGATAGGAGATTTGAATGAGATTCAATACTCATGTGCCAACCAAATAACAAATGAAGTACCGTTTATCGTGTGAAAGTGGCAATTTACTGGGAATCGGCACGTTGAATCGCTCAATGAGTAGTTCAAAAAAGTCACTCGGAGTGCAAAACGAGCGATAAGAGATTAAAAAGGTCTGTATGTACTTGCTGTCGGTGTACCTGGTCATAGAGATATTCGATTGAGATGTGAGAAAAATGCTCACGAATGGTAGGTGAGTCGTTCTACCAATTTGAGAACTGTCCCGTTTTTGATCACCGGAATGCCGCTGCTCGAGGTGTAGTCCTCGAAAGAAATGTTTTCTTCAGAATCAGGTTCCGCGAACCTAAAAAGCCAGAAATTTCAGATTTCTTCGCAAGAGAATGTAAAATATCGTGCCGTAGCGCAACAGGTCGTGTGCCTGACTACGGTCCATAGAGTCAAAAGTTCGACCTCCGCCGCGACCCAAGCCAAGGACTTGACGGTAGTGGGAAAACATGGTTTCACGACCTCAGTTGTCGCCCAAAAGGACGGTTGTGCCACTAGAGCCAGTCCACTGATTTTCACGGATATCAGGATATGACCTTGCCTCAGCGACTTGGGACGCCGCTCAAACGGTTCAAAGGCGCAAGAATAAGAGAGAGAGTGTAAAATATCGTAAAATCATAAACTGAGGGAGTTCTTTGTACTGTTATTCGAATTATAGTACTGACTTAGACTCACCGGTATTGTTCAGGGCTGGGAATGAGCAGCGGAATGCGTTTCGCCTCCTCTTTCTCGTAATTGTCGAGTATCCGGTCAAGTACACTGAATGAGCTATGAGAATGGAGAGATGTGTAGTCAATTTCTTCCGATTTGAATGGCCCAAATCATTAAAACAAGTACTGAGGAAACGTTTTTCTTTTACCAATTTTTCGAAGCACTACTTTTTTTCAACAATCTAAAGGAACTATTGTGTGAAACTTCGCAAATTAGTCTTTGTTGTTGGGGAAATTTGGGCGATCTGAAAAATAAGCGATCTTACGTGTTAAGAGTTCAAAAATCTTTGTTTGTCATGAAAAAAGAAATAATTTCTATGCCTGAAAAATTGAGCTCGGGATTAATTTACTAAGCCGACAATTCATGAAAACTTTTCCCAGTGCAAATAAATAATTCTATCGATATTTTTGGAAGAACGGAAGATAGGAACCTTTTGGTAGTGACCATGACCAGGACGCCCATCCAGGCCCGCTTTTCCTCCGCGGATTTGCAGATGAAGTGGTAAGTCCTGGGCAGGCAAGTGTTGTCGCGCGAAGCGAGCTTGAACGAGTGCTGAATGCCTGAGGGAAACTTGACTTTTAGAGGTCGATTTCAGACGGACCTTCGGATTCCGCGGCGTCGAACACGTCGAGGAGATGAACCGGGAGCCTCTCTTTGAACTTTACCATGTTCCGATGCCTCTTGCATATAAGAAGGAGTTGGTCGAACAAGAACAGAAACCTGAATCGATGCTTAAGAAGCAGCATCGTCAAGATGTGAACCTGTCTGTTTTCCATTTTTGCTTCTTGGTTATGTCTGTCGAGTAGGTCAATGAGGGGCGAATCATTTGTAGATCTCCCTCTTAAACAGAGTAAGTGTATTTGAAAACTGACCAACATCGGAATGAAACGTAAAAATTGGTTGCATATTGAATCAACAAGCCGAATACGAAAAGAAAAACTCTTCCCAACCGCAAGAATTTGAACTTCCTCACGCACTCTCACGTTATTTTAATATATTCCACATCTCCAGTTATTTGATTAGTTTTCAGTCTCAATCTCAAAATGGAAAACTCGAGCCAGAAAGGCACCTTTGATGATTTCAGAACAAGTCTTCCCGATGGGACTACCGCTGAAGCCATCAATCGTGGACTGTATTTCGTGGAACCGTTGCACATTGTAGATTTTCTCCCCACGAGTCAGCTGCTCTCTGTAAACCCGATGAGACGTAAGGCTGGCCGGGAAAACCACAGACATGTGGGAAGTGATGATGGACTTGAGTTCGGGCAACTCGTTGCACTGCACGTCGATCGCTGTGCGGACGCTCATCAGGGCATTCTTGCAGTTGTTCAGCTCGACGCGGTCTTCGTCGTTTTTTGTGAGTCGCAGCAGTTTCTGAGCCGTGAACTCACAGGAAGACAGACACAAGCGGACACACATTTATATACTCGACGTATTGGAAGAAGTGGAGTATGGGCGTGTGGAGGAGTTGTGGAAGGACATACTGCACGGCGAGGCGGAACGAAGGACCGTCAAAAGAACTGTTGAAGCACATGTCGCCGCCCTGAACCCGAGCCATTGACAAGCATTCAGTTTACAGAGCGACTCATTGAAATTTGAAAAAAACAAGTTTTTCAAAATGCAAAGGCTGCCAAGAACATCGGTTTTAATTTTAACAGTCGTAACTTTTCTAAAGTTTTCTTTTATTATCAAGTACTGTAGCTATGCAAAGGAAGGCTATTCCCAAAACCATTTTTCTTGAATGAGAATAATTTCTTTCTGAGAAAAAACCTTGAAAAGAGATTCGCAACGTGGACTTCTCAGTAGGCTTTCGATGGTGTGACTTATGCAGGTTGTCATGGCCGCCAACTCGCCCTTCTCGTCGTCCCGCACAATGTAGGAAGTGTAGCTGGAAACGGAACTTTTTTGTTGCAAAAACGAGTTCACAACACAGAAGTGGGGGAGGAAAACGAACGCGTCGAATTCGTAGGTCTCGGCGAGGTCCCAGATGCCCATGCCTATGCAGGGAGTGTCGTTCATCTCAATCGCGTCTTCCAGGGTCCTCTCGATCTTCAGAGCCAACTCGTAGATGTCGTTGAGGTTGCCGAACAGACACTGCAGCAAGCACTGCAATCGACTCCTTCAGTTCTTCCTTTTCAGATTCCAGAAACTAGAAACTATTTAATTGAAAGAAGAGTAAATCGAAAAATCTTTCAAAAGGCTACTTTATAAACTGCCTCTTCAATGATCCTCGAAGCAGAAATAAATATAATTTTTCGGATACGCTCGTCTCTTCAAGCTAATGAAAAATAATTGCGAAAACCTTGTCCTCATCGATGAGAACGCTCTCGAGACGACGTCGGAAGACGTTGATCCGATTGAGCTCCCGGATGAAGCGCCTTTCGTCGCGCAGAAATTCGACTCCGACCTTCAGAAAAACGAAATTTCATACAAAAAATGCCTTTCCCACAGATTCATAGGTGTCCGGTGTGACGTTTGGCCCGTGGCCAACAGCCTGAGCCGTTTCGTCAACTTGTTCAGCCACGTAATCGTCAAATCTGAAACAACCTTATTGGGGAAAAAAACTTGGACCTCGGGAGTTAACAACAGGATACTCAATAACAAGCTCTGACGCTCAACAGCAAATATGGTTTCGCTAAAAGACCTCCGCAGAAATTTTTCTGCTGTTTCGGGTTAGAGATGGAAGAATAATAGCCTACAGGGAAAGTTATTCCACTATGGGTCTGGGAATTTTCTGATAATTTGCCATAACGCTCCTTGATGTACCAGAAAAAGATCCCGAAAAGCTCAATTTGCATTAATTCTTATTATTCGAGGGAGGACACTTCAAAGTCAAACTCTCAAAATCCATTCAAATGGGCTGTTTGAGGGCTTTGAGCCTCTATTTCTCGAAAACCAGGAAGTTGTGAAGGTTTAAACTTCCAGGATCTTCATTTAAAAAATCGAGGAATATTCTGAACGAGTTTCAAAAAATACCCAAAGTGAAATGACATCCCTCGTTGGACAAACTTTAGAGCAAACGAAACAAAAGTTACTAAATTTCACGTCGGGCTTTCAAATCAACTTCTTCTCAAATACCTCGTTTTGATGATTTTTCGAATTACTGTTTTTGTTTTTTCTCACCTATATAACACAATATATTGAATTTTATCAAAACATTCTAAAATGATCAGAAGTTGAAAGATTACAATAAAAAACGGCTCGCCTATTACCGTGAACTATGGAAAAAAGAAAAGAAATAGAAACACCAAAAAGATGAGAAATAAACGACATACTCCGCCAAAAAGCCGAATCCCCCCGGCGATTCAGCTTCTTCCTCATTCTTTAGCTTGATACGCAACTCCATCAAAGCCTTAAAGATCTGCGATTTTCGAAAATCGAGAAAGACCAACCCGGTCGGCACACAGAGCGACGTCGAGGTTCTGCAGAGTGATCTTCTGCTCGCTGTTTCGGATGTTCTTCACATAATTTCCAGTCAGTCGTAATATATCCTGCGTTTCAATATATATTTTTCCGTTTTATTTTTTGAAACACCTCCGTCAAGCTCTCACATGCATAGTAAATGTAACTGGCGATCCTCTCGACCTCTCTCTTTTCCTTATCTTTTTTTTCCTTCTCGCGGTAGCCGAGGACCTCCTCAAACACATCATTGACGTTATCCTATCCCAGCTTTTCTAACCCGAATGAATCCGGCCAACTTATGCTGGTTCACCAGAACTTGTTTCGGTGGCTTTTGGAACTTGGCTCGTTGTTGTTGGGCGTGCATGTTGTCCCAAGCGTCCTGAAAATTCCACAGCGTATCCCTTTCTGTTTAATTTTCTCAATATTTTTTTTAAAGTTTAACCATTTGAACTTTTGTAAAATAAACTGCGGTAGGAAAGAAATATCACCTTCATAACCGACTGGAGGCCGTTCGAGAACAACTTTCGCGCATATTTGTCGACTTCGACCACGCTCGTCGCCCTTTGTTCGGCAATCTGAGTGTAATCACCAAAATAGCCATACTTGAAAAATTTAGAGTGGAAATATGTCTTAGAAAATGGTTTTCTTTTAATCTTTCTCTGCAGTCAATACAAGCAAAAAAACCTCTTTTACGATTTGCTCGAGGAATTTTCTGATGTGCTCGACGGCGTCGAGCTCGATTGGGAGGCCGGGATGAACGATATTGCAAATCTGCAAAGCATTCCCTCAAACTTTGTACTCAAAAATACGATACTGAACCATTCAGAAGTTCCGGAGTTTTTCTTTGTCACTAAAAAAGAAGAACATTTCCTGTGTATTTTTTCCTAGGAATCATCAAAAACATATTGCGGTTCTTTCCAAAGAGGAGACTATGACGAAGAGAGTAACCTCATAGATGCGTTCGTCGAAAATGGAGGACCAGTGGCGAGCCGCGTAATGGGAATGATGACGGCTTGCCAACGAGGCGGTTTCACTATTGTAGGACGTCGTGTACAGCGACAGATTCATCGAATACTTTCCCGTTCTTTTGAGATTTCAGAATCTGATCGTCATCTAAAAATATTCTCACGTCAAAATGCATCGAGAAGAATGACAATCTCTTTGACAAAAAAGGATTTTTTTACGAAATTTTTTTTTCATGTTTTTGAAATTTTTTTTGAACACTCATGTAGATTCAGGCTGACTAAGAAGGAAAACAGAGTTAAAGTGACCGATCTATACTTTAAGATTGAAGAAATAGCCACTAGTTTAATTTCTTTAAAATTTCTGGGTAGAATCCACATCTGTTCAGCCCGTCCGGTTTGGCACACTGTATGTTTAAATTGTGCATACACCAATCGCGGTTTTCTGGGCGATATCTTCGTTAATAACGAGTTTTTGAACGAAAAAATGAACAGATTTGAAGAAAAACGCAAGTAGAACATTCAATGATACAATCTGAGTTTTAACAATCAAGTTTTTCCAAACGCTATCAAGCCTTAAAAAATGGCCTGATTTGGGGAATGCGTATTTAGTAAATAAAACGATTTTTTTTTCAGTACTTTTTTATCTATTAATGTCGGAAATAGCCTTGTTCATTTTAATAAACAGAAAAAAGGATTGAAAATGGTCTAGTATGGCCAGCGGAGACGGCGCAGTGCAAACCGGACGGGTCCCTGTAGGTCTGAACTGCTGTGAATCGCAATGGGAAAAGTTTCAGAAAAATGTAGAAAACTGTCTGAACTTCATCAGCAATTCAGAAATGAATATCTGTGTACTGCATCCCCATCCTAATTTGGGCAACAAAAAAAAACAGTTCTCAAAAATAGGATGATGTTAAATCGGGAGAACGTCAGATGAGACCGCAGTGACTAAGTGATGTGACAGATTACAACGCAACACAAAATGCATGCAGGCAGAAGAAAGTTGTCCTTGTTGCTACGCGAACCGCTATTGATTGATACCCATCTCTGAATCAAAATTTCTAGTACAGTGAGATATCTCATTAAAAAATTATTAGGATAAATTTACACTATAATCCTAGCTGAGTGATGTCCCTCTAGTCTTTTAAAAAACGAACAAAAAAAAATATTAACTTTGAAATAATAATTTACTGAAATAATCAAAAGTCCATTCTCAAATCAGTTTTAATAATAATGTTATTACATGAAGAAAAAAATTAAATAAAATAAATAAAGTTTCCGGGAAGAAAAAAACTGGAGAAGAATTACGTAGTTCTCCTAAAAAAATCTTTTTTTCTCTGTATTTTTTTGAATGAAAAAAATTTCGTGGTTTATTCTTTGTTTAACTTCTTGTTACGAAGTTTTGAGTCTGACTGTGAAAAATAAATGCTTTATACTGAAACTTGATGTTTTCATAATCGATAATGGAGAGGTAAAATTTTGATTGAATTCTCATACTGGTTTTAATGTTTTTTGAGCAATTGCGGAACAATGAAAAAAAAAGAGAAGCACCGAATGTCAAATAAATAAATAATATTATTAAATGAAAAATAAAATTTCAGAAGTTAGGCAGAGTGTATGGTGCGCTCCAACGAGGCCCCTAGGAAGTGTTAAGAAGCCTCTTCAGGGTCGTTTTTCGTTTCTTTTTAAAAATCAACTTCAATCGCTTTTTTTCCACCGAGTACTTTCAAAAAAATTTATTATCAGATAAAAACGGAGAAAAGAATGTTTCTTTTTTTATTTTTTTATGTTTGAGAGTTTATAAAGTTTCTAATGCATTAATGGGAAGTGTTTAATAACTTTTTCTGAAGTTGAAAAAAAGGGTGTAATATTATTGAGCAGATACTATGAGCTCTTGAAATAAAAATAAAAAAATTTGTGATTTTAGAACCTCGAAACACTTTGTGATTGCAAAAATAATCTCATTCTAAACTCTCTAACCTAAACGCCGTTTATTGTCAGCAGTTTTTTTTTTGCTTGAACGCCTTTTACTCGATTGCCTTGAGTATTTCTTTCATGTCGTTTAATTTTTGTTCGTTTTAAAAGAAAATGTTCTTTGAGTGGAAGGTTGTTCCTTTCATTCAAAAAGGCACTTTTATCAAGTCGTTCTTAGCGGTTTTTAAAAATTATTTTTGTCAAAAATTTCAGCGGATATGATTCTCAATTGAAAAATTCTTTTATTTTGTTGATGCAAATTCAAAAAAAAAGTTGACTGACGTTAAATTTCAGAGATTTATTTTCTAAACTTTTTTGTGAACGATTCATGTTCAAAATTTTTATTAATTAATGATTTTACAGGTAGATAAATATTTCTTGATGAGCACTCAAGCCGGTAATTCAGAGGTTTCAAAGAAACTCAAGGTGAGTAATGCTTACAAAAAGTACGTAATTTTTCTTTGAAGGCGGCGATCAAGGCGAAGTTAGAGGAGTTAGGTGTGTATGTAGATGATGAGCTCCCGGATTATATAATGGTGCTGATAGCAAACAAAAAGGACAAAGCTCACATGAAAGAAGACCTGAGCTTGTTCATAGGCAAAAATACTGCCAAGTTTGTTGATTGGTTAGTTTTCCGCATGTTTTCTTTCGAAGCTTTTGTGTATTTTCAGGCTTTTCGATTTGTTCGATCGTTTGCAAAACGCTTCCACCAAGTCTCACGACAAGGTAAGAAAAAAAAGAACTCAGTATAAACAAAAGTTTTCCCGGAAAGTTGTGATTTCATTTGCTCAAAAAATCTTTACCTACATAGATTTTAATAAATGAGGCTTTCCTGGCTTTTCAACTTGTTATTTTTTTCAGGCTTCTTCTAGTAAATCGAAAGAAGATGAATCCAGAAAAAAATCAGGAAGAACAAGAAAAAGGTGATTTTATAATCAACTTGAGTCAAAATACACTGATGTTTTAAATTTTTAGCTGAAAAGGAGCGCAGAAAACAAGAAGAGCGCCAAAAAGCCGAGAAGGAGGAAAAAGAGCGGGAGCGAGAAAGGTATGGCCTTTTTCCATTTAAGAAGTTCGGCGAGGGATGAATAACATATCCTTGAATATTTTGTAGTAAGGAAGCTTTTTTCAGAGAACGTGAGAAAGAAAAAGCTCGTACCGAGCAGAGAAGACATGAAAAAGAAAGAGAAGAGAGGCGGGAAAAAGAGCGGGAGAAAGAACGAGAACGAGAGAAACAAAAAAGAGAAGAAGAAAAGTAAGTGAGAATTGAATAATCGGGAAGAAAATGCCTAAAAGTCCTTTTGTCTGTTGAAAAGTCTCGATTTGTTTGTTCCAGAGAACGAAGAGCTCAAGCCGCTCACCACAAAAAGCGGAGAAGTCGATCCAGAACTTGGTCTGAAGACGAGTTTGATGATCGAATCCGCGACAAAAAGGTCGTCAGGGAACATGTTCCCAGGTCTCCTGTCAGAAAGGTACGCTCTGTTTGATTTGCCATCTACCGGATCGACAAAAAAATAAAAATATCAAATTTTTGGTTAGCAAAAATTATTATTTTTTTGTTTCAAAAATTCTCCTATAAAATTTCTACGCTTGACATTTGATTCGGACTCACTTAAAAAATTAAGTCAAAGCGAAAAGTTCAAAAAACGTTGGGATTCCAAGTTTCAACCGTTGTAATATACATTTTCTCCTGGTATTTGTCCTTATAAAATTATTTTTTCTGGTCCTTGCAGTAATACTGTTGATTGCACCTAATAATGTATCTGAGCAGGTGGCATCGACTGTCGTCGTGCAAAAACCCGTTTCCAAAAGTCCGGATCCGCACAAAGTTTCTTCAAAAGTTGTTGTTAAACGGAATATCCGTCCAGCAGGAGAGTAAGTCGTTCTGGCAGAGAAGACCAGATGACATCCATTTTGTTTGCAGTGAAAAGGGAGTCAAAGGTCGAGGTTCGATGTTCATGAAGGCTCTGAACGAAGCTAGCGTCAGCGCTGGATACGGCGCTCCGTCGGCGATTCGGACGTCTTCTGCCAGAAATCAGGATGACGACTACGACAGCGATCAAGATGAAGACTTGCCTGAGGAAGAAGAGCAGCCCGTACGTTTCATAAATATCTTTACCGTTGATTTCATGATAACTTCTCGCGAGTGCTTGTGTGACCAAGACTATATTATTTGATCTATTTTAGAAAATTTTTTCGGCGTGCGAAAAAAATTAGTATTTTTGTTTGTTTGGATTTAGAGCGCTTTCCATATTTTTTGTGACAAACGAAATTTTCGTGATTTTGTTATCAAAAGCGTACAGCTTTTAGTTTCAACTCTGTCGCGACAGATTCTCTTGAATTTCTGTGTTCTTTTTTTGGTGCTTCTGTTAAATCTTTCAATACGAAGTTTTTAATTATTTTCTTTTGCTATTTTGCATTAGTGAAAATTTCGCAGGAAGGTTTAAATCAAGTTTTCAAATTATTTTTTTTGTTCAAATCAGAAAAAAGCTCTGAAGAAACTGGTTAGAAAAGATAATGAGTTCCCAATAAATCGCAACAAAGTCATTTTTGGCTATCATCTCACAATAGTTAACTACAACCGATTCTTGATCGGATAATGTGACCCTAGGAGTTTAAAGGAGTAGTAATTGGATCCACTTTGCTCATCGAATTGCTATTTTTATTCATATTGTTATCTTGATGCTTTGACGTCTATTTTCAGACGGTCAAGGTGACGTCTCAGAAGCATCCAGTCCTCGTCGAGAAGAAAAAAAAGACGCCGCTGAAAAATCGCCTGACAGTCCCAGCTGACAAGCGGATTATTTTTGATGAGGAGGAGTCAGGAGCTTTTTTAGGGATTTTTCTCATTTTCCAGCTATTGCAGAGAAGATGCCGATACAGTAGTTTGCAACAATGGGAAGAACGTTGGCCCCAAAATATTTGTGACCTTAAAAGGGGCTAAAGAACAAAGAAACGGTGGTCCTCGAGTTGTGGTGGGAGACCCGAAAACTTCGCTTCTGGGCAAGAAAAGGAAGGCCACGACGACAAAAGGTTCGGTGTCATCATGGTATTGATGTTCATTCTGGTTTTTTGGATGAATCGCCGGAAGAAGCTGAGAAAGCGATTGATTCGAAAAAGTCAAAACACGACCGGATCCGGTTCGACCTGAACACGACGCCGCTCGTGGTCTGTCCATGCTTCTCCTTTTCCGCACTCATTTTTCTTTTTTTCAGCCTGAGTCGGCAGATTCTCCGACGATGCGCAAGTGGGACGGCCAGATTCAGTTAGGAGAAGAGTCTGACACCAGCGATGAAGGTCAGTTTCTTGTTTGTAAAGTTTCTTCGAAGATTTTTGTGCAAAATTTAGGACAGAAGCTCCCAAAAGTTTTTTTTTCGCCTTCTTTGAAAGTTTCGATTTACTTTCGAGAATGTGTTTTGTGAGTCAGTTTCCAATGAGAAAATAATAGAAGCGGAGATCGACGCGGTTCTGGCGTCGGCGCGGACAGTTGTGCATGACGAGGACGACGAGCCGCTTCCTCCTACACACCAACTCAGTGGCGGGCCTCATCCAGACTTTGCTCATGTTCGTTTTTCTCAAAACATTCGGAAGGGTGGGGCTTGTAATCGGGATGCGTGCAAATCTTCTGTAGGGAAGGAGCGGGAGTTCTTGGTCTGAATTTTCACAGATCCTAATATGTCATGCTACGATTTTTAGTAGGTTGTGACTTCAGATCATCCCAAATACTTACTCGCCATATCCGCCAAACGTGCCTGCCTACGTGCCGACTCCATTGAACGTTCTTCAGCACCAACAGCTTTCCAGTGGTGAAACTTCTTTTTTGTCGGTTTTAAATGTGTATTTCCAGGTTCTATAGCCGTTCTGCCAGTTCCGGTGCAAGTACATACACCAACAAGCGCCGTGGTTGCGTTTTTTTTCAGAGTTTTCGTTTGATTCTCAGGGTTCAGGCCCCTTACAAGGAAGAAAGTCGTTTTGTTGAGCGCTGTAGGTTCTGGCCGAATTGCACGAAAAGCGATTCTTGCCAATATCATCATCCCGTCAAAGCTTGCATGTATGTTCTTTTTCGGATTGTTTTCATCGTCAGCTCCGTTTCTTTATAGGAATTTTCCGAGTTGTTCATTTGGATCGCGCTGCTTGTATGTTCATCCAGCGTGTAAATTCGACAAGAACTGTACGAAAGTAAGCTATTTTAGTGCGGCTGTTTTGAAAAGGATGCTTTTTTTTTCTAATATTGTTTCATTTGCTTTCGGAAACCTTATCAAAGTTCAGAATTTTTTTCTCTTGCTAAATCCACTGATTTCCTTGAGCTTCTACTTGATTCTGAAAGTAAAAAGTGAAAGTTCTTTATCAGTTTTGAATGATACCTGAATCTTCTCGAATTTGCATCATTCGACGTTTTCTCGAACCTTCGCTCCCATCAGTGAAGATTTTCTGCTCAGGCGAGTTGCCCCTACACGCACTACGGAACCGGCGGAATCGTTCCTCAGCCGCCGTCCTCAGCCCCGCGGCTTCCTCTCACTTCCAACAAGCCTCCTGTCCATCTCACCTTAACTACCACTTTGTCAAGCATCGCAGCCAAGGTTCATCTTTCCTTCTTACTCAGAAATTGCCTTCAATAAGGGCTTTATTTTGAATCATTTTTAGATAAATTGGTTTATTGAAAAAAAAAAGATCGGGAATGATTCATATGAACTTCGGTGTGACATAACATCAAGTTTGGAAAAATTTAGATTCGTTACGAAGTAAGTAATTTCAATGTAAAACTCGACGTTTCCTCAGACTAAAGTGAGAATTGTTTTTCATTAAAACTAAACTTTTTCATCGACCATCGAGTCTTTTTTCAAACCTTGAATGGGCCAGAGTCAAGATATTCATACAAACTTTTTAACAGCTCGCAGCGATTCCGAGAGCCTTAGAATCGAAGAAAATCAAGGAGGAGTTACCGACTGTCAAACAGGAGCACAAGGAGGAGCAGGAGAACGACTTGAAAAAGGAGCCTTCGGATTCCCCGAAAATATCTTCGAGGTATTTTCTCAACATAGTTTCATTTTTCCTGGTTAAAATTCATAAAAGAAATTTCTCATAATTTATTTTCAACAATAAACAATTTTTGAAGTAGGTGAGAGAAAAATTAGAAAGAATTGAATTGTCTGAAGTTCAACATAGTTCTTATCATTTTGATCTTATCTTATGTCATAATTAGTAACTCCTCCGAGGTTTCTGACTTTCTCAAGAATTTTTTCTCCTTTTTCTTTTTCGGTCCAACATATCGTTTTTCAGCGAAGCTGGCGTGGTCGAAAACGTCCCTGCGCTGAGCAACTTCACGCCTTGTCGGTTCGGCGCCTCGTGCCACAATCCCAAATGTTCTTTCAAACATCCCAAGGTTCAAATTCCTTGCTTCACTAATTCTCTACTGACCTAATTTTATTCATCTTCGTAATTTGAGTGACATTAAAGAACGATAAATGGGTAATTATTCGGTTTTGAGCCGTCGGATAGATTTCAGGCTCTGAAAAAAAAATCAATTTTTTCTGGGAAAAAGGCTCATTCACAAAAAATTGATTATATGACGTTCCGATGTTAATTATTTAATTATTATTCTCCTTTGTCCCGCTTGAGCGGCGTCGTCGCCCCAAGTCGATGAGCCGAGGGTCTATCCTGATAATCAGTGTACTGGCTCGAGTGACATGTCCGTCCTTTTGTGTGACGGTTGTGGATTTTGAAGCCGTGGTTTCCTTACCAACATTTCTCAAACGGGTTGGGCCGACGCGGGGGTCGACCTTGTGACCCTGTGGACCGTAGGCAGACACACAACCTGTAGCGCTACGGCGCGCCCATATGTTAATTATTCAATTATTACTGTTTTTCAAGCTCTAGCTCAATTTTTTCAATGATAACTTTCCATGATAGCTGTATACCAAAATAAAAAGTCGATCATTGTATTAATTCTACCTATGGCTTACTTTAAAACACCGCTGCTAGTTTTCAAAAAATTTCAAAGTATATATCTCTTTTTCTAGAACAATCTCAAGTTGCGTCTCAGGAAAAATAACCACGATGAAGATTCACAGTGAAGATTTACAGGAATGTCGTTTCGGTTCAAACTGCAAAAACCCAGTTTGTTACTTCTATCACAAGCCGGGAACGACTGCGCCTGTTGCCGTTTCTGAGTCTGCCACGAAGTACAAGTGGAAGGCGACCGTCTGAGAATCTCCTTTTTTCGAAACAAAACAGTACATCTATATTTCATACGGTTTCAAAACTGACTATCAATATACGCTTTTTTCATATGCGTTCCGAACTTTTCTTCCCGTTCAAAATTGTCTTTTTTCCCCTTCGGTGGTGTTATTTATTCATTTTTGTTCATTTTTATACTCGGAAAAATTTATATATAGTATATTTTTGTCGTGAGGTTAATGAAAATTTATTTTGAGCTTTCTGGAATTGCAAATCAATTTTATTAACTTGATTTAACCTCTCCAAGACTTGCAGTGTCTTTATGTCACTGAGAAACAAAAATGATACCATGGTATGGTATACCACTGTGCAGTTCAAACGGAAAACAGTTTTTTCTCGAAAATTGTACATTTTTTCCGTAATGACACCTCGCCTGTTCAAATAATGACCAGGGCGGCCTTTATAAAGCGATGAGGAGGAGGAAAATTGAATTTTTATTTATTACTTGAAGTCAAAAACTTTAAATTCGTTCTCACTCTTTTATGGTTTTCTGGTTTATTTTCCCTCCACGATTCAATGATAGCGGTGAATTAAAGTGCTTGGTTGACTAATATGTTTTTTTTAAGAGTTTTATTTATTCATCTTCAAATTATGTTAGGGAACTGCGATAAGCGAAGTTTAAGTAAATTTTGAATGAAGTTGAACAAACACGCGAAATTTTAGAGAAGCCAACTTTTCTTTTTGAACTGACATTTCGTGTCAGCCTTATTTAGACAAGACAAAACACTCGTCGAAGACCGAATTGTTTGTTCAGACGTTTTCCGCCTGTTCGGAGCTCCGATCGCCCTCCACAACCTCAGAGAATATGCTGCTGCTGCTGTTGCTTCCGATGGCCTCCGGCAATTTGCTGCCGCCGATCTTCGCCCTTCCAGGTCTTCCAGTGGTCCTTCCTCAAGGACTCGTCTACAGGGCCTTGCCTCAGCCAGTGCCGTACAACCAGATCGGCGTCACTTCCTTGCCTCCAGCAGAGGTCCGGCCACCGTGTCCGATGTCGCCGCTCGCCACCTTCCTCTCTTCTGAGCAGCAGGTTTTTTTTTCCGAGTTTTAGAATCGGCATTATCTTTTAGGGATATTTGCAGAAGTTCAGATTTAAATCACAAAAGATCATCTTGAAGATGTTTTTTGTGCTAATTTAGGCCCTTCCCTTCGGAAAGCTTGCTGAAGTTCCAAAAAACAAAAGATTTTCATAAAATTACGAGGGCCAAACGCCGAATTCAGTTTTAATTTTTCTGAAACATGACAACTGGCCGATGGCAGAGATTGAGCCATGACAACATGACTCGTTAAATATTTTAAATAAAATTTCCGCACCACGGAAAGGTCTTTTTAATATGCATATTCGGCTCACGTATGTTTGAAAAATGCTACAGTGGCCGGATATTGCGCCGTCAATTTCTGAGCCAGGAAAGTTTTTTTTCGTTTTTTGATTTTTGCAACTCGTTAAGGACCTCGAGGTTGCAATATAATTCGTGTTTCAAAAAGTACACACGCTTTCAACATTTTAACGAAAAACCTATCTAAACTACCGTTGTTAGACCGGCCGCGTTGAACAAGCATGCTTCTTCAAAACAGAGATTGTGAAGTGTCAACCTAGTTCATCCATTGAAACCTCTCTTTTTGCCAAGTTTTTTTATCGTAGGATGTTTAATTCATAGAAATTTATAGGAAACTCTCCATGAACTGATCACAGAAGCTCGCGGGCAAGGAGCCGACGAACAAACTGTCAAGCAACACATTAACAAATACTTGACCGAGATTCTTTCCCCTCAAAGGTAAACTTCGAGTTCTCCGTGTCACGACCGACAATTTGTTCACAGGATGGAAGAGTTCCAACAGGCCGAGGAGCAGTTCGAGACCAACCGCAGAGGAAAGAGAAATTCCTACACGGAGAACGAAGGTACCTCTGAATTTATTTTCTCCGGAAGCTTTTTTCTAGTACAAAAATTGCTTTATCGAAGAAACTTTCGATTACAGAGAAAAAGCTTCCGCAAAAGGTTTTTGATCTGGTGGACACTTATTCGCGCGACTATCAACAATTTTACGAAGAGTCTTCGGCCACACGACAGCGACTTTCGCCTTGAGAATCTTGACAGATTGTATTTTTTCGGGTTCTCCTATTTGTATATTTTGTTAAATTATATTTTTTTTCAATAAAATTTATTTTACAATGTCTGCACATAATGCAGTTTTCTTATTCAAAAAAAAGAAAAGAAAAAAGAACAGCAAAAAGACCAAAAAACGAGTTTTATCTGACTCTAATGTAAGCATTTATCCTTACAAAAATAACATCAAACTTTTTCAATGAAAGCTGTAACATAATTTTTACTGAAAGCTTCTCGCAAGCTGAGTTGCGAATAATCGCCGCGGCGAAGAATGACGAAACGCGGGAATTTGCGGCCAGCTCCCTACTCAGACCTTGGTAACGCGAACGGGACGCGAAACGGACGTGTCGGGGCATTTCTAGTGACCACTTTAGTAGCCTCAGAACTCTTAAGTGATCCCTTGAATCGCCCAGAAACGTCCGGAGCACGTCCGTTTCGCGTTACCAATGTCCGAGTATCTAATTATCACCGTAGAGCGCACTTCGACTTTCATAGTCGCACATTTTACACGGGTCAGTCAGGGGAATCGGCAGTCAACTTTTAAAGTTATAAACCGTAAGTTTTTCGGAAAAATTTGAATTCACATTCGAAAGTTCTCTTTACTCTAGATTCAGAACTCTATCTGCTCACAATTAAAAAAATAGCTCCAATTTCAAAATAAACTTCGGTTAATCTATTTTCTTTTTTTTTGTGCCCATTAAAGAAAATGTTTTTTCACACTTAAAGTGCAACGAGGACTTATATATAACATTTTGAGATGTTTGATTAAAGATGTTGCGTACACAAGGTCGTCGAGTGTTCAGTCGGAGCCTTTCTTCACGAGGTTTATTGCAAAATTCATTTCTCCTTCTATCAGTTCTTTTTCAGAACCTTCTTCTTATTTAAAAATTGGAAGTGTTCGAGTACCTGTTGGCAGTCCGAAGAGACCTGAACATGTTCCTCGATTTTACGGTTTTTATCTTCTGTTGAGAGCTATCAAAAATTTGTTCAGAGGGGACCAAGGCTTCTCGGGAGTACCTTCCTCATTTAAAGTGGCTCATGCAGAAAGACTTGCTTCAACAAGATGTTTTCTTGTTGGGCATGCCAGGCCGTCAAAGATTGGAACTGGTTCTTCGTTATCTAGTGGGTGGTGAAAGAGAAATTACAATTTCAATCTATTATAGGAGATGAGTAAAAGAGAATTTGAATATTTGGCTATCACGAGAGATACAACAGAGGCTGACATTAAGCAGAGAAGAGAAATACGTAGCGGGACAGCTTTTTACACCGACCTGGTACGCCCGCCTCGCCCTATCCCAACTATTCGACAAACGGAGACAATTCTCCCGCTTTTGATTTAGTGTGCTGTTCGAGCTGCTCTGGGGGGTCGTATTTTAGTGATTGACGGAGTTGAGCGAGCAGAGCGAAATGTCTTGCCAATTTTGAACAATTTACTAGAAAACAGGTGAGTTAGGCTTCATTAAAGGTAGTTTACAAAAAAGTAGTTACTTTTTGTAAGGAAGACCTAAAATTAGGGCTGATAGAGAAGCGAGTTTGTGTCACTTAATACGAGTCCAAAAGATTTCTGTACACGACCTAAGTTTTTTTCCAACATCTGTAACTAGAAGTTTAAAGAGAAATGCAACTCGACGACGGAAGATTCTTGATGAAACACGACAAATACGACAATCTCTGCAAGGTGGGAGAAATCAAAATGATGATATGAGTGGGAAAAATTATTCATGTCCAGTTGGAGCTGAAAAACATTATTGCTCAATTAGTGAGACAAAGCAGAAAATCGAACTAAATTAGGTACGAACTCAATTTTCTGCAGAAGTACGACCAGAGGGCGCTCACGGAGATGGGGATGGAGCGCGTTTCCGAGGATTTCCGCGTTATCGCGTTGGGTCTTCCTGTGCCGCGATTCTCCGGCCACACTCTCGATCCGCCTTTTCGCAGCCGCTTTCAGTGCAGGCACGTCGATGAGACCTCTTTCAAGGTTTTCGCTCATCAGTTCTTTTTTTTCTTGTTCAAACTGTCTCACCGCTGGCTTGGGCCGATATTTGAAGTTTCATAAAGCTTTGATGGAAATGGTCTTGAATTGACGCCAGACTCATAGTCTATACAGTAAACTGTAATTTTTTGTAACAATGCGTAAATTCGCTTGCTGCAAATAACTCTACACGGAAATAGTTTTCTCTCTGTTAAATTTATATCGTGTTTCCTATCCCGTAGCACATAATTCAGTGTTTCCGAACGATTTTCTTTTGTCCGAAGGCCGGATTTTTCAGTCCTGCCTGGAAAACTCGCTAGAGCTGGCTCCAAATGTCAAGGAATCCGAGGTGACGGATCTGGTCTCTCTGGTTTTCGCCTACAACAGCGAGACTTCATTGTCTCGTCCGCGAGTTCCACTGACAAATTTGCAAAATGTCTTAAAGATTTGGGTTCGTCGAAACTATATCCTGCTGATGGTTTTTCATTTTTAGAACTCCAACCCCACATATTCTGCTTCTGAAGTTCTGGATATGACGTACCCAGAGACAGAAATGTTAGTGGCTAACGACAAAAACATTATGGCTGATTACAAAAAGAATTTTCGGCTGGTAAACCTTTTGTTATCGTTTTCATTCATTTATGCTCTTCTCAGTTTTCCTACGAGAAAACAAGATCTGTTTCCGAATGTAGGACATCAGAAAAGGACCCCGAGGTGCAAGAAGTCGAAATAAAGCAGCCGAGAGGCACAATGGCCTTAACGGTAGGGTTTCCTTCAAAGTAAAGTCATTTCAGTGAAATATGTCTCTATCTTTCAACTGTCAGTCACTTTCCAGCTACCGAACTTTCCTTTTTCGCCTTTCGCTGATCAATTATCGAAGAACTTCTGGATAGCCACTTCCAATCAAGAAACTCTTCTTGCTGATCTCGCCATCTCTATCTCAAACGGAGATTTTGCCCTCATTGGTGAGTAAAACATTGAAAGAGCACTACGTATTCCAATTTTTCTAAGGACCCAAAGGTTCTGGAAAGTCCACCGTGATTCAGGAGTTATCAAAGAGACTTCGCTTCGATTACGAAACGATGGTGCTGCACCAGGTTGAGCGACTTTCGTTGCTTTTTCCATTTTACGCATAGGACATGAACTCTCGGGAGCTGATCCAGCGTCGGAGCATGAAGGAGAACGGCGACACTTTCTGGGAGGACAGCCAGTTGGTTCGCGCGGCTCGTGGAGGCCTCGTTTGTGTCCTCGACGGCGTCGAAGCTGTCAGTTCTATCCTTCTTCAATTTAACCTAGATTTCAATACTTTTAGTCTTCAGTATTTGAAAAAATGACAGGAAAGGGTGAGAAATGCGGAAATGAATTTTTGCTCTCAAAGTGAAAAAAAGAATCTGATTTTTTTTTTCTCAAAACGTTTCTCGGTTTTTTTTTTTGCAGCACGCTCAAGTTCAAAAAATGGGGCTATATATATTTTTTATTACCATAACAGCTGTGCTGGAACGAATTTTTATACAATCTCTAGTTATGCTAATTAAATCGGCTTTTGCACTTCTAGGTGAGCTCTAGCGTGCTACAGTCCCTCTCACAGCTCGTGTATCATCGGAGGCTTGATCTGCCCAACGGCGAACGTCTCGTCGGCAGTGGGGAATTCGAGAAATTGCAACAGAAAGAGGAAATCAGTGCAGAAATCCTCAACTCCAAGTGATCGAACTAAATGTTTCGATAAAAACTAGATAGTTAGGGGAATATATCGGATTCCTGAAACGTTCCGTTTACTGTTCGTCGGCGAATCTCAGTCCAAGGAACACAGGTGGATAAACGAGTCCGTCCTCGCCTTGATGCCTTTTCACACCACCCCGTCGCTCACCACTGAAGAACAGCTCCAAGTTATCACCAAGTTTCAAGTCCCTTCTTCATTTTCTCATCAACATGTTCAGCTGCGCGAAATGTCCTGATACGGTTTCCATCGCAAAAGTCGTCGAATTGGTGAGAGACTTGAAGGAATCTCAAGATGCCAGTGTAGGTTCAGATGGAAAAGTTTCCGAGTTTTGTCTTTTCTCTCAGTTGCGGAGCACAGCGACTTCGCTGTCCCTCCGGCGTCTCATTCACATTGCACGTCGAAACGCTCTCCAGCCGGGAAGTCTGCGGACTTTGGTGGAGAATGCAACTCTTTACAGGTCCATATCCCTAGGAAACTGTTTTACGTTGTATTTTTGTTTTTCTGAGTTGCTATGAAGGAGGCTGAGCCACTCTTTGTGCGGCTATATTTCCGAGTCAAGTGCGGAATCTTACATTTCTAGTTCATCAAAAAAAGTTAAAAAGAAAATTCCAAGCACAAAAAAAGTAGTTCAAGGAAAAAAATTTTTATAAATTTCAGATTTCTGCCTATTATTGCCAAGAAAATGTTTGCACAGAAGCTGGATGAAGCGAACATATTTGACGATAAGAAAAAAACTTCAAATGACGGTAAGATTTTTTTCCAAGCTCCGATGAAATCAATAATCAGATAAATCATTCCTGGATCAGCTTCGGAAAGATAGGAAAGAATCGGGAGAAGAAGCTCTTGTTCCAGACGTCCTTTTCCACGAAAACGAGCAGGTTTTCGTAGTCTTTCTTTCATAAACGGAAATTTTTGAAGAACTTGGCGATTCTGGAAGATCTCGCTCGAGACATGTATCTCGGCTCGCATTTGCTGCTCATCGGAAACCAAGGAGTCGGCAAAAACAAGTTGACTGACCGGTTCCTTCACTTGCTAAACCGTCCTCGACAATACATGCAGTTGCATCGGTAGTTGATCATCTCGCGGTCTTTCCAAAGAGATTCCCAGAGATACGACCGTCCAGACTCTCACCATGCAAACTGTGGTCGAGAACGGCGTGATTCGCCACGAAGACAGTCCTTTGGTGACCGCTGCCCGCTGTGGCCAGGTCCTCGTTCTCGACGAGGCCGACAAGGCCCCGCTCCACGTCGTCGCCGTTCTCAAAAACTTGCTCAGCACTGGTGCGTTGATATGTTCTGTCTCAAGTTTGCGTACATAAATTTACTGAATTCCTTATCTTTTCGGCTCTGTTGACTGATCATTTTCCACAATATAGTTTTTGTCCAGAAATTTTTATATCTTGTCCTCCTAAAATCTATGCATGATGAATCTTTTTTTATAATAGTTATTTTTAAAATGAAAAAAAAATAATTCAGGAACCTTGGTTTTGGGAGACGGTCGCTGTATGAAGCCCGCCGGTTTCACGTCGATTGATTCGGAAAAAGTGGTTCCTATTCATCCAAACTTCAGAATAATTATGCTTGCAAACCGTCCAGGATATCCATTTCTGGGTATTTTGGGCAGTTCGAAGGCAATATATAATATCTTTTCAGGTAATAATCTTTTCGCAGTTCTAGGAGACCTTTTTGCGATCCACACTATTGACAATCCTAGCAGAAAAAGCGAAATAGATATGCTGAAGAAGTATGGACCCAGTAAGTTTCTCCGCAAAGGTTTCAACCTTCCTTTTGTTTTGAGATGTTTCTGAGAGCGTTCTGGAGAAGCTGATGTCGTCGTTCAACGAACTGCGAGCGCTCTCCGACGAAGGAGTCTTGCACTACCCGTACTCGACTCGAGAACTCGTCAATATCGTTCGACACTGCGATGTTTTTCCTCCTTCCAAACGCTTTTCATCTGAATTTTTTGAGAAATTCCCCGACGACTCTTTGGTAGAAGTGGTCCGCAACGTCTTTGACTTTGACGTCTTCAACGAAGATTCGAGTAAAACCATTGAGGAGATCTTCCAGAAGCACGGAATACCCCTAGGCTAGTGCATTTGCATAAATCTTTCTGAAAGACGTGTTGGTTGTTGGTTAAGGTGTAGAACGGGAAACAGTTATGATTGCGCAGAGGCTGCCGCTTCCTGAGAGGCGTCCCCTGGGCCACTGGTCCGTCTCCGAAAATAGTTCGGTCGCTGCCTCTTCACGACGACTTCCCTTCGTGATCTTGACTTGACTTTGCCGTGGGAAATCCTGACATTTTAGGACTTGAAACCCGTTTCAAACAAGCCTTTGAAAATGCAGAAGAGAAATTCTCGCAACGAACATTTTTCGGAACAGGTCAGTACTTTCGATTATTATTCCAACTGAAAGGAAAAATTTTAAAATCTACTTTCCTAAAATTTTTTTCTATTTAGAATTATGAACAGCGTAAAAATTTTATACCCAAATTTTATTTCACACTTTCTTGAGACTTTCCCGTTCTGGAGTTGAAAATCTGCTATTTGTTCGGTTTGGTTGTGGTTTTCGAAAATGTTTTCATTCAAACTTGTATAGGTGTGTCACTGGAGACTTCCGCTGTCCGGTGAAAGTATCGTTTCTGGCGGCGTTCGTCTCGGCGATTCCTTAATCGTTGCTGTTCTGAACCCAGCTCGACTTCTCCTTGTGCCCAACTTTCTTCAGAACGACACGGTTTCGGTTCTTCACGATTTGCTCTCAATCTTTGCAGAGAAGGTCGAAGAATGGGATCTTTCTTCGTTGATTCCCAGGGCTCCACGCACTAAATACCAGCCTTGTTTCAAGATGGCCAAATTGAACGAAAATCTTTTGGTATTGCATGAGGAAGTTGTAAGTGTGGACTAACCTATTCGAAAACATTTTCTTGTCGAGGCTAACTTTTTCATCGTCGCTGACCCCGTCTCTCGTTCTGCCGCCACTATAAATGAGTCTTGGGGTTTCGCAAACGGTTATTGCTTCTCGCTGAATCAAAGATACATTTTCATCTTCAGTATTTTCGAAAAATTCGAGTTGGCGAATGGCGCCCCAACTGGGAGAAATAGCGGTCATTTACGAAAGGTTTTCGAAATATTTGACTAATTTTCTCCATGGAATTCCGCAGGAACGGAGGCGAGATAAAAATTATAACAGCCGCTGATAAAGAGCTGAATGTGGAAACTTTGGCCTCTTCTTGCAACATTGATCGTGTCATCCCGATCGATGCTTCTCATTGGCTGATGGTGTCAAAAGTTCTTCATGTCGTTTTGTGTCTTTGAAACGGGAAAGGTGTTCAGGACGGAAAAAACAAGATTCTGACCAGAAAAAAATCTGGACTGGAAATTCTGGAAATCAGAGATTCTCTGAATCCCTGCTTGCGTCCCATCTTTGCCCGGTTGAATGGAGAAAATCTGCTTCTCGCGTCTGATGAATACTTTCTAGTGAAAGGCAGAAACCCGATGGAGCAGGTTGATGAGAAATAATATTTCTAAAAGGGAGTTGAAGCGGGCGACAGAGCTGACTGGCGTTCCTCGAGGGCCGCTGGGCGCTGTCGTCGACCCCAAAATACCGTATTACTTGTCGAAAAGAAACACGGATCCGTCCAAGGAAGCTGTTCTCGTTGGCAAGAACATTGTTCGAGTTCAACCTAAATGGAATGTTCCTGAATCCGCTCTTGCCAAAAGTTTTGTGTGTCGGCTTTTTTTCTCTTATCTTTCGATTCAGACTCGCCTTCGTCTCGGATTTCAGGTTTGTTGGAGGTTGTCGATGTAGAAAACAACACGCTTTCCTACATACCCGTACCCTGCAGTGAAGTACACAACTATCACAGGTCACTCATTTTCCCGAAAGCGGATTCACCTGGACGAACTTTCAGTGAATGGATCGGCGCTGTGTCGTCCACTGGACTAGTTCCCGTTGAGTGGAACGACCAAATGCTCCTCACGATTGATGCCAATGGAGGTCGAGATTTTCCAGTAATTGAAAAACACCTTTCGTATTTACAGGTGTCAGGTCTTTCGAAGTCACTTTGGCAAGCTTGAAAAGTTCGTTTCAAGAATGGGAGCGAATGACATCGAAGGAAGAGACCAACCTACGCGTGGAATATGAACGAGAAAATGACGCGTTCGACCCGAGTAAACTCGACGATCCGAAGATTGGAAAGTAGGAATTTCTTTTCTTCGCCTAAAATCTGTCAGGATTGACCCAAATAACGCGCCGCATCATGGAGGCAACCAGTGGATGGGCGGTACCGGAGGCTACAGTACGGCGGGTCTCGGCGGCGTCGGCGGTCCTTTCCGGTGGGCAGCTTCATGATCTCTTCTCATCCGAATGTACAGACTGGACGCTGGTCACGATGTTCATCAAATGCCTGAATCTGCAAAACAACAAGTTCCCGAACATATTCTCCAAAAGGCACGCGAAATATCCAAGGAACAATACGCGAAGAAATTGAAGGTTTTGTGCTTTTTTTTTGTTCAAAACCTAAACTTTGACGTCAGGAAATAAATATGTCGGCGCACGATGGCGCGGCCTATGAGAATATCTGGAGGAGTATCGAAAGCTACAGCCGGAAGCTCACGTCGATAATCGACCAGTTGGAGGTCTGACATCACTTCTTTCCTTCTATCATTTTTCTTAGGCTAGAAGAAAGGAGCGCGAGTGGGCGAAGCACCAAACGAGTGGCGATTTGGACGAAGGGAAACTGGTCGAAAGTGTCACTGGAGAGCAGAATATCTTCAGGTATGTCCTTGAGGGTCTTCCTTTTCAGAACAGACTTCAGGAGACGCGTCGACAACACCCCGGAGCCTGGAAGTCCGCAGGTCCAACCCAAGAAACTCGTGATGTGTTTCGACGTCTCCGGATCGATGTATCGGTTCAACGGCTACGACAAACGTCTTCAGAAGTCGCTCGAGGCGGCTTTGATGGTGATGACCGCCTTGGACGGCAAAGACGAGAAAGTTCTGGTCCGTTCGGTTTTGTTCACCAAATATCTTTTTTCACTGTTTTGCACTGTTTTGCCCGGAAAACTGTCTTTCTCACAACTTATTCACTCTTTCACTATTGATCGTTGATATGTCAGAATGGAATGTTTAGTATGAAATTATCGGGCATTCTGGCGACGCTGCAAGAGTTCCGTTCGTCCTGGAGAAAGGCAGTCCGAAAAACGACAAGCAAAGACTCGACGTATTGAGAAGCATGCTGGCCCATACGCAGGTGGGCGCGGCTCCGCAGAAACCGTTCATTTCATCCTCAGTACTGTATGAGCGGCGACAACACACTCGCGTGCTTGGAAACCGTTGTGAAAGAACTTTCGAGCAAGGACGACTACGACGAGAGCGTCGTCGTGCTCATCTCAGACGCTAATTTGGACAGGCGCGTTCTTTTTCTCCAGTACCATACTTCGAAGAATAACAAGAGACTTCAGATCAAATCTGTTTTTTGTTTTGTTTTATAAGCCTAATAATCACCTCCTGCAGCCCTTTTAATGCAATTATTTTGTTTCAAGGTACGGTATTCGACCTAGCGACCTTCATCGTCAAATAACAAGCGATCCTAAAGTCAACTGTTTCGTTATTTTTATTGGATCTTTGGATCAACAAGCAGATAGGTGAGAAAATATTTCAAAAGTTCAAAAGTTAACTTCAATCGGGACCTTTATGAGTGTAGTGTGCTCATCTATAAAGTGAAAATTTTTCAAATTTTCATTACAAACTTATTCAGATAACTTTGAATAATTCTAGCTTTTTTCAGTCTTTTGAAACACCTGCCAGCGGGTAAGGCGTTCGTCCTGAAAGATACGGTTGATCTTCCGAAAATAATGGAGACTATTTTCGCCTCTACCATCGCTCAATAAGTTTTTTTTACTTGTTTTTTTTTCTCTCAGGTTATACCAATAAAATGTTCTCGTTTTTCATAATTATTTTTTCTTTTGCTTTTTTCGATTCCAGATGCAAACCATCACAAAATGGGAAGCCCAGTCAAGGGATTCTTTGAAGATCGAAGAAATTTCTCAAAAAAAAAGGAGAGGAGTTTAATGGAAAAGGAAGGAACGTAAGTCCAAAAGAACGACTTTTTTCATTTCTGAATTGGACGGATGACTGTGTGGTGCCAAATCTGTCGGAAAACTGCCGCCTGTGATTTGAGCGTACAGGTAATGCCGTGTTCAAAGTAGTTTCGGCGATTTCAAAATAGACGCGTTATTCGTTTAAAATGATTTCGGGAAATAGGCAGAATTGGTATTCCGGGAAGGGGCACAAAAAGTCAGTCCTACAACGATATATCGTTGGATACGTATTTTTACGGTGAGTTTTACGCGCGAATTTGAAATTCCAGTAGAAAATGTCCAACTCCAAAATTTTGAGTTCCCGCGCAGAAGTTACAGTAAAAAGGCATATAACGATATATCGTTGTAGGACCCACAAGCGCCTTCCCGGAATACCAATTCTGCGTATTTCCCGAAATCATTTTAAAAGAATAACGCGTTAATTTTGAAATCGCCGAAATTACTTTGAACACGGCATAAATTGTTTTTTTCCGCTGAAGAATGTTCATTAGTTGGTTCAGTTGATCCCTTGTCTCCATACGTTCTGTCTAGCATGTCTAAACGATTATTCCAAAAGCTCCAAGGTCGGTGAGAAGGAAAAACAAGATTTGATTTCTTATTCAAGATTTGTCCTTCTTCGCACTGCTATTCGCCTATTCAGGTGCCGGAGCTCTACATAAACATATGTGAGGTTGGTATCAATTAAAAATGGGAATGAGATGTGAGAGAATATCGCGAATTCTAGTAAAGTTATGTTGCTCTGGCACATCTCTGAAACAAAACATTACATTTTAAGTTTTATAGCTGCAAAAAATGTTGCGCTCAACCGATAACGCCCTTTGCAAAGCATATATTCAAGAGTCTGCGTCAGGCCGGGAGGCCCGGGCTTCGGGTCTTCAATAAAAAAAAAAGCCTGCTCGGGCCAGGCCGGGCTTTGAGAAAATCTTTTATTTCATTAAAAAAATGTTCACAGAAAAACTTTTTTACATGTAATTCAACATGTATGTTGAATCATAGTTTCTAATAACTCAATGAGGAAAAATTTAAAAAAACGACACTTTTCTCATTAAAAAGGCGAAAAATTCGACATGAAGAAAATTCGAGCGTTTTGGGCCGGGCCGGCCACTTTTGCTTGAGGCCCTCTAAGGCCGGACCGGGCCGGGCTGGAACATAGCTGGAAGCCGATAGGCTGACGGGCCGGTCCTCTCACAAGCCTGCATATATTAAATTATTAATAATATTTTGTTTTTTTTTTTTTGAACGGTTTTTGTGAAATTGGAATTTTACTTTGATGATTAAAAGAGAAAACTAGAAAAAGAGAAATTTTCGGAAAAAAAGTACCCTATAACAATTTTTTTGCCAATAATACAAAAAAAATTTTCGATTAAAGTTGTACATAATTTCAAAAAAATGAACTTTGCGAACAGGTGGTAAAAATTTTTTTGCAGCTCATTTTTCGTGAGATTGTTTTTTTCGCTGCCTTTTTCTCAAATTATCGATTTTTTTATTCGATTTTAAGTGAAATATCGCTTCTCCTGATAAGCAGAGATTATCAAGCCCATTAAAACTTCTCTCTCAATGAATCCTATTCTGAATTAGGTCAAAAACTTTCGTTGTTTTAAAATGCTCAAACATGGGTTTTCTCCGGATAAAAGCCTTTCTTTTCGTATTCTACTATAGCGATCACTTAAGTATTAGGAAATAATATCAGTAAACTTTGGCTTCCAGGGGGAGAGATGTGTTAAGAAGATTGCATTGAACGCCGAAGTGTTGAGGACGCCTTGCCAGCACGACATCTGCCAGTACTGCTACGACCAAGCCTCTCGCAGGTTTTCAAAGGTCCCCTGCAGGAAAACCTGAGATTTCAGAGATAAAATCCTGTGTCCAGCGCCGGGATGCGCAGAGCCGCTGACAGAGGACGATGAAAATGTGTGCGATGGCTGCAAATTGCCTCTGGTCGCCGACAAAAGCGTCGTCCTGCCGTGCTGCCTGGTTTTCGAAAAGATTGTGCCAATTCTCAATTATCTGTTTCAGTCTAGAATGTGCAGAGATTGCGCAAAAAAGACTACCAACGGAAAAGAGACTTGTGAGCCTGGAAAATGCGTTTTCCGAGAACGAGGAGGCAAGAAGAAAAAAGTTGCTGAAACGGTATAGTCTAAAAAACGAAAAGAAATAGAAAATATACTCAGACTGGGGAAAAAATTGCATTATAGTCACGCTGAGATGTAAGTGAGCGTCTCAGTTTTTGGCGTGACTTCATAGTCATATATTCAATTACACAGACAAAGTCCAAACAACCTCAAAAAGGCCCCAAAAAGAAGAGCCTGAAGCTCCTTTTTGAGTTCCTAAAAAGGTGTCAAAAGTTTCTCGGAATCTCCCTTTTCCACCTTTTTCGCGCCTTATTTTTTTTAGACTCCTTAAAAGGTCCTTTTCAGAAAAAAAGATCTAGAATGAAGGCCCCTTTGAGGCCTTTTGAAGGCCTTTTTTCCAAAAGTCCTTTTTGAGACCTTTTGGACTGTGCCCGTTTATGTGGGAACTCAAAAATTTTATTAGGCTCCTCAAATCAAAGTTCCAGCCACCTTACGTTCTCCTTGCCAACTCCATGAGTTGGAGCAAGTTAAAATAAAAACTTGAATTTATAGATAGAAAAGACTTATTTTTTAAGCAATCAAAGTCTTGGAAGAATAAAACCAGCTCAAAAATTTTAGCATCTATTTTCAATGTTTCATTGAATAGAAAACAACATAATTCATACCAGACCAAGTCGACATGCATGAGTCAGCCAGGCTGCGAAGGCGAGGTCTTAAGGAACTTCCCGTCGGAAGGCGAATGCGAACACGAAGTCTGTCTGGGCTGTGTCGCCAAAATGGTCGACGGCTGTGCTCAGTCAGGTGCAGTCTCCACACCCACGTCGCAAGGAGCATGATCTCAGGAAAACCTCCCAATTGCCCCAACAAGGGCTGCCAGCTGCCGTACCGTTGCGAGTCGGTCTTGGCCTTGCGAGCGTTGTTTCCTGAAAAGAAGTCCTATTTCGCCAAGTTCGCTCTCGATGTTCACTTTTCGATGCAAGCACTCAAAGACGAGGCCATCATGGTTCGAGATTTCCAGCCCTTCTGATTTTTTTCGGCGTTTTACAGCACATCGATGCCACAAACGCCCCCAGCTCGGTTCAGCATTTTCAGATCAAGGTAGTTTTTCAGTATTCCTCTCCGCAAGATGATTTCAGACGTGTCAATGCGAAGATGAGGAGAATACGCTGACTCTCGACTTCATCCGCAGCGGCACTTTGGGCGATTTGATTCGCGAGATCCGACGTGTCTTGCGCATCATGGCAACCGACAAGGTTGATGCTCACATTCATTTAATTAATTTCGTTTCAAACGTTAAGTTCGACAAAAATGTTTTGATTACTAACAAGAGAACGTTTTTTGGACGCTGGTTGAACTTTTGATTAAACTCGACTGAAGGGCATTTAGGATTTCCTCATTGCGAAAATAAATTACAACATATTTTGTTTTCGAGCAATGAGATTTTAAATTCTCGGAAAAGGAGCTATTGCGAGAGACTTTTTTAGAAATTCAGAACTCTTAGTCACCTTATATATCATTTGGTAAACTTAGCGATCTATGTAAATGCTCTCAGATCGCGTTCAAAAATATTTTTTAATTAAAAAAGGCATTTAATATATTTTTTGACGGTTTCAGATATACGGTTACTACCGGAGAGATGACAAAGATGAAAAAAAACTGGAAGTTTCGCAAAAAACCATTCATTCTACGATGGATCAGCTTAATATCAGAGAAGTTCCTTTTCTGCTACATTGACTCGTCGATGAGCTCTTTTTCTACAGAAAAACTTTGATTCTTGTGGACACGACTGGAATCGTAAGCAATATTCAAACGAACAAACGAAAAAATTAACATTTTCTATTGAAAAAAATAATAAATTATTTATTTTTTTGATTCCAAAAAAATTGATAAAAAAACGCAAAAAAAAAAATGAAAACTAAGGCACAACTTTTCACAAATTTACCAGCATATGATGAATGAATACTTCAAAAACTTTTTTTCGATCCGATTTGAAATTCTCTGATTAGTCTCCGCAATCAACCCAGTTGACAATTATGTATCAAAAGTGCATCTCAGTGAAAAAAAATATTGAATCGCAGTTTCCATAATTATTGCACTGAGAAAAAAATACAAATATTGACAATTATTTGATATTCAAAACGAATCAAAAACTCTATATAATACGCCGCTTGTGAGAAGAGCACCATTATTGAGAAAGTGAGCAATTATAACCAATACGTTATTGAATGAAGATAGAAATCTGTGCACTAACTAATATATAATATATATAGAATGGCAATAGGAAAGTGAACACGTATTGAGATCATAGAAAAGGTTGAAATATTAAAAGAAGTTAGAAGTCGTCAACGAGGAGCTTGGCTTCCTCGTAGTTATCACGGGACTGTAACGCCTTGGTGAAGAAGATGATGGAGCAAAAAAACATCATGATGGCTGAAATGAGAGACTGACAAAGAAAGAGCTTCCGAAAGTACCTGGAACCGCCAAAAAGACTTGCTCCTTTGCGACTGTGGCGACGACGGCGCCCAAAGTGATGGAAACGCTGAGCAGCGCTGCTCCGAACACCAAATGTAAGATCATCTGTCTTCGGTTCTGTAATCAGATGTTCTTTCTTCAAGCGCAAATCTCTTTTATGAGAAATTCTTATCGTCTTTTCAAACTTACATAAGTGCCGACGGCAGTGTGCGTATGGCAAAATGGACATGTGACAAGACCTCTAGGCGATCGGAACTGTAAAAGCCTTTGAGAGGACGAGGCGTTTAAAGCTCACCAGAAAGTGTTCTTCACAGTGTGGACAAAGATACTTGGGACAGGTCACTTCGCGAGGATACCGGATTTTTGAAAGGTTAGGTCCTGAGAAGGAAATGGATATTCAGAAATATTGGCGACGCTAACCGGCAGGATATGGCGGCAATGGCTCAAAAGGAAAAGCTTGGCCTGGAGGCCAGGAGAAGTTGGAGGTTGGTTTTTCGGCAAAGCCCTCGCCGAGGATCGTCGATGGCGATTCAACATCTTTCATCGTTGATCTGTTTTCTGGAAATGAGTCTTTGTTTTTGACAGCATTTGCAAGTAGAGAGGGTAATGTCGGCTGATTCGCTAGAGAACTTTACTTACGGAGACTGGATCAAGAGCAAAGGTCAGTTGCGTGAATGCGGCTCAAAAGGACAAAGATCACGGCGTACAGTGATGAATCGATTCGAATATTTATGATAAGGCTCCGGTGCTTTTTTCTATCAAACTTTATTCACCTAACGACTCTGTTAAAAGATTCCTTATCTCGTTTCTCACTTTACTACAAGATCCTTTTTATTTGAGGCCATGCGCAGATACCAAAAACGCTCGATTTTCACAACTTTAAACACAGTTTTGGTTGGATGGAGACAGGTTTCACGCATGAAAACAAGAAGGATGACCTTGCGTAAAAAAGACATTAAACGTTTATTCGACAAAAAAACTAACGGACCGTACAACCTGATAAGAAACTTTTCCATTTCTTGCGTTTTTTTTTTCAGATAGTTTAATAGAAATCTGATCGATCTTTCTCGGTTCAGCTGAATGGAATTTCCAATTTTTCTGTTGAACTTTTTTTAATGGTCTGTTCAAAAATCCTCGCGTCAGTGTTTGTACTAAGTTATCTGCTGGCTCTTCACTAGGTTTTGAAATGGAATTTTTGAGAAGTTTCAGGGAAATAATGTGCAAAACTCAGATAAGAATCAGGAAACCCAGGAATGTGTTTGATTAAGGATTTATAAAAAAGTTTCGGATAAAATATGTATTTCATACTGAAAGGTAGGCATAAATTGGAAAGTGGCACGGCCGCGAGGGAAAGCGACCGCCGCCGCAGAACCGTTTGCACATGGTATTTTAATTCCGAGACCACTGCCTCGCGACAAAAAAATGATACAGAAAACAGAGAAATAAGTAAACTCGAGGCATACATTTTTTCTAGAAAGAACTGAGAAGGCGAAAAAATAACAATCAAAGAGCAGCCAAAAAGTCTAAGAATGTTATCGAGCCTGCAATGTTGCTTCAAACTAGGAATTTCTCTCGAAAGGGTTTTGAATATCTTCATTTGCAATCTATGCGGCTACGTTTCTAAACAACGCATATTTGAATAGGGAAGTATGTTTAGACGGTTAACAACATCAAAAAGAGAGAAAATTATCATATCAGAGGTTCGACTTCTTCGACCCAAAAGAAGGCTAACATAAACTACGGCAAAACTGATTGAATCGTCAATATCTGCAAAAAAAGAAAAAAAAATGGCGAAAAGATATTTTTTTTGAACATTTTGAAAAAAAAGATAGAAAGCGAAAAAGTTGATTTCAAAAAAAGCTTTCGAAGCGAATTTAGAAAGAAAATTTCAAGTGGAAAAATTTTGCTTCGAGCAACTTGAAAATAAAAACGCTCCAATGAATGCATGGAAAAAAAACTTGTTTTGGAAAGATTTTAGTGCATTTTCGCGGAAAAATATCGATGATAACGTATTTCTGATGAGATAAACGCTGTTTTGACTGAAGCAAGGGCTGGTTCCAAAAAAGTTGGAAAGAAAATAGTGAAATTTGAATCAAAAATAGTTTTCCCGCGAGTGTGGCCTTTCAAGTTGCATCAAAGTTCTTAAGAACTGCCCAAGATTTCGGATATGAATCATAAATCTATGCAAAATAAAGTTTGATAATCATGGAAAGGTCGAATGATTCAAAAGTTCAAAAATTAGGTATCGACGCGTGGAAAAAATTTCCAATTAAAAATTTGTTCAGTTCAATCCTAATTCTCTTTTATTTTTTGATAGCTGAGCCCGTTTGCAATAAAGTGAAAAACTGTTTCCCACGATTTTCGCAAAACTTTAAAATGACTTAAATTCGTCTATTTTTTGGAATTCGTTCTTCCATATTCGAGTCTTCTTGTAAAACATTACTACACCAGAAAAGGACAGAATTAAGGAGTTAATAGCGAGTTTCGCGCCATCTCTATTTCCAGGAAAATAGTGGAAAATCATTTTCTACTTTATTGCGGCCTTTGAAAAGGCTCTAATACAAGGAACTGAAAAGCAAATAATTTTCTTACCTGTTCATTCATGCTCAAAACTAATTTTTCATTTGAACTAGCGGGGTGTTATTGAAAGAGGAAAGCAGATGAACTAAAAACACCACATTTTCATAACTTGTAAATAATGAGAGATGAATATTTGGACGAGGTTAAGATATTGCCTTTTAGAACGTTTTTCGAATTTGAAAAGGTCGCTGACGCAGTGAAAAAAAAGGATTTTTTTTAGATTAGCGACAGTAAAAAAGATCTAAGTTCTATTATATTGATAAACTGTGGTTTGGAGACGTCGCGAAGAGGAAAAAGGAGAAGAAAGATTGATTCACGCGTTTCGGGCAACACATGACGTCATGACGGCACACCCTTCATGCCGACTGGTCAGCTTATCACTTTTTTCAGCCTTTTTCTCCATCCTATCCATTCCAAATCGTTCGATTGCACCTAGACATCGTTAGCATCAAAAAGACCTCATCCGCCTCGACTTGAAACATTTTGGCTTGCATGTACCGTCTTGACCGCTTATAGCATTTTCAAGTGTACTTTTCATTTTTTCTAAACCTCGCCTACGAAGAGAAACAAAGAGGGCGGAGAAATCTGATTGTTTCGGGTTTTGGCGAAATTATTCTACACAGATTAAAAATGATAGAATCTTGTCCCAATGGAGGAGGTTGGAAGAAAAGTTACTTACTTACTTTGAATTCTCAATCGATTCAAAACGTCCAAAGTTTCTTGTTTGCTCAAAATAGCAGATAATCAGTTTTGAAGAAGGAATAAAGAAGTTTGCAAAGTGAGCGATATTTGAAAAACTGTCATTTTTGAAGGTGAGGATTGGCGTAGAGTGTTTATTGATAAGAAACTGCGAGAGAGAAAAAAACATTAATAAAATAGAGGAAAGACGAAAACGTACCGAAAAGAGCCGAAACGTCGATCATCTCGATCGTTTCAGGTCCAATAACCTGCAAAAATTTGACATTTTTTTAAATTTCAAATGAAGTTGCGAGAAAGCAACCTTTCAGAGTAATAGGAACGATAACCAATGAATAAAAATTTTGGAGTTAAGTTTTGGCCGAGATTCTAACAAACCAGTCCTTGAATGACTCAAAAAAAGCGCCACTGTTTTTCGCGATTCCTATTGACCCTCGCCGTTTTGCCTAGCCGACAGTTGTTTTTGTCAACTCAAACAGTGTTTTCATTTTCCGTCCTTTTCAGATTACTCGCCCGGTTAACTGTCAAAACACTGCTGGAGATTCAGAGAAAACATTTTCGAGAGAAACTTGGCTGACTCATAACCTTTCATGAAACATTGCAATTGTGTCAAACACAAAAAGCGGTTTTTGACTCAGGTGTGATGAAAAAGAAGGCATTTCTGTCCAATCCTCGCCAATTTTTTTTTCCATAATATTATCGATTGAATTTCAGCTGCGTCTGAAATATAGTTACTCTGATCTGGAAAAAAAGGGTGATTTGGAAAAATAAATTATTCAGATTAATTTTTTTCAAAAAAAGAAAAATTTATGAAGAAGGGTCCAAATTAGTTTGAATGATCCATTTCTAAGTTTATATTTTCTGATGATAGGAAGACCTGTCGCTTCGTTGAAAAAAATAATATTTCACCGATCGGGGGTTCTTCCCGCAGAAAAAAATGTCAAAAAAACTGAAAAAGGCACGATTTTCAATGAAAATCAATCTTTTTCGGTTTGAAAAAAACTCAAAAGAAAGTTAGTATACAAAAAATGTTTATTTTGGCACTGGCTTTTGTTTAAAAAAAGTTTCATTCGATTTGGACCCCGGAGAAAAAAGTTAGATTTTTTTCATATTTTGGCTACAGTATTTCAAAAAAGGGGCGGAGCTTGACAAAACCTTGTTTAAAAGTTTTGTATACATTTGGAGTTGGTGCGATGAAAATATGAGCTCAAAAAAAGCAACATGAATTTTTTGTGCCCACTGTTTTTGCATTTCATCGATTCTCTCGGAGAACGTGTGATAAAACTATAAAAGTGGCGCTCCCATCAGTTCTGTAGATCCTTCTATTTCCATAAAACTTTTTTCTATGATGTGTGAGGTATAATTCAGAACGAGTAAAATGAATCAGATTGTAGATAAACGAAGTTTGATACAAAAAATGGACATGCAGAGCGAGTATTGAGACAAAAATTTTTGTCTTATCGCTATCATTTCTGTCTTTGTTGTCCGCTGTGCCTACAATTGACTCTAAAACGAAAAAAGAGCAACACAGAACACGAACGAAAATTGGAGTAATCCTTATGGATTCTTTCTTTTCTCCTTCAGAAAATCTTAAATTTAGGCTCTCTAGTATTGAACAGCCGTTATTTCGAAGACTCAGTTTTTAATATTTCATAACCAGTTTCATTCATTCATTTCATTTCAAGTGTTTATTCGCCATTCCGCAATCAGCACGACAAATACAAAAAAATAAAAACATCAAGACAATCAAATAAATCTAACAGCTGATCTGTGGAAACGGCTGGAGGAAAAGATTGTCTGAGTAGACGGTGCTAACCCCCATTTGGTATTTAAGTTTGTTAAAAAGAAACAAAAAAAGACTAGGCAAAGGCCTGAATTAGCAAAAACACGAGGAGAATAACTTTTTTGTTTTAATAAGACGAGAAAAGTATTTGAATTCTAGAAGAACTCTCAGATTTCATTGAACGGAGCAATGTAAGAACTTGAGACAGAATGCAAAAAGAAAAAAAATTGAGAAGATAATAAAATCGAAAATCCTCGAGCTATCGCTGTCCAATGGTCTCACGACGTTTGAAGCGGGAAAAAAGGATTTTCAGAACGCTGGCGCCGGGCCAAAAGCAAACGATCCCCGCAAATGTTTTCCGAGACCGCGCAGTCATCGAAGGATTAGGAAGTTGACAGAGAAATTTAATTTCTGATTAGAGAATTCGGCACTCCGTTGCCTTCCCTCACCCATAAGCCTCACAAAAAGCACCAAGGAATCAGGGAAAACAAGAGTAATGTGGAATTTATATTCAAGATTAGTTTTTCATTCAATCAAAAATGGAAATGAGACTGCCAACTTCTAGACTGAACTTTCAAATTTTTGTAAAAATTCTGTGCAGAGGAAAGAAAAAAATTTTTTTTTTTAGCGCCCAACGAGACAAGACAAGAAATGGATAGCTGAGCGAACTCTCACAAAGCGGCCGCAGTGGCTAAAAACAGAGATCCAATCAGATTAGCTGGTGTTGGAAACAGCAAAGCGCACCTGGAGTAGCCCTGAAGTAATCATCGTAAAAAAAGATCTTATTATTTTCAAGCTGTTTTCTTCTGTCAAACTTGACCCTGTTTTCAGATCTTGATTGTCTTTATAAAATTCTAGTGACCAATTTAAGGTTTCTATGCTCAGAAATTTCGGAAAAATCTTCCGATTGATCATTCGCTAAAGAGAATAATGGAATAGATTATTCAGGAGAAAAGAAATCTCCAAGCAAGACCATTTTTTTGTGGTCGAAAAATATCTATTCTGCTTAAAAGTGAAATTAATGGTTTAGGGTAAAAAAAGAGTTCATTTTGGTAAGCAAAAAAGTATAGTTCAAGATTAAAAAAATAAGAAAAAAATGGAAAGAACTTAAATTATTTGCCCTCTTACTCAATTCAATGTAAAAACAGCGTGAGACATCTGAAATAAATGGAAAGTATACAGTTCAACCAAGAGGTTTGTAGAAAAACGTAGTTGTGGGGATAAGACAGATCTGATAAGATTCGACCCCATTTGGCGCCGACCTCGCGCCGGTTTGCAACACGAACTTTCAACTTTCCGATTCGAGGAGAAGAACACATTTTAAATATCGTCGTGAAAAATTGTTGCTTTTCTCCTTCATTCAAGCACAATTCTATCTAGCTTTCTAAATGCTGACACAGTCACATCGATATTCGACTATTTATAAATTTTAATGTTTTTAAGTGAAAATTAAATTAATTTTCCGAAGAAATTGCAAAGTTTCTACTCTAATGTTTTATAATTGGAGCAAGTTCAGTTGATAAATTTCTTACTACAATAGAGTGCAACAACCAATGTAACCTAATTGGAATTAAAGAACTTCTTACTCGCTACAGTATGTTTAATTTGGAATACCTATTTTTTTCTTTTTTTCTAATGTAACTCGAAATAAAAGAATTTGATTCAGAGATTATAATCGAAATTGTGAGTGAACTGTGTTCTGAAAAACCCCCAAGATTGTTTTTGAGATGTTCAACCTAGTGATATCACTAACCCCACCATTAGCCGCGCAGAAAACTATGATTAGGTTGAGCATAGTTTTTTGCGACTAACTCGTACCTTCTTTTCTATAAAAAAAATTGAGTAGACATTACAAAGATTTTTATTGGATGAAAAAAAAAACGCAAGGAAAAGAATAGAAAAAAGGAATAAAAGCTGCAATCGATAAACGGCGTCAGCAAGGCAAACCGAAAGCATACAGTCCGAAGAATAACGAACGAAAGGCGAAGAAGAAGAAGCGCCGACGTCAACTGGACAAACTGGATGCGTCGCGTGTGAAATTCCTCCCCTCGACGCTTCCGCCGAACGTCGTCAACAACTGCCTTTCTGCACCTGGATCGTTCCAAGCAACTTTTTCGGGCTGAAAAATCACTTTCGAAGATCTCTCCGCATTTCGGCGTGAAACCATATTAATTTGGAGTTGTGTCGGTGGCTGAACTTCCGCTTGACAGTGTGAAAACTCGCTCGATTGGACCAGATCAGCGACAGGATAATCCGACTCGCAGGATAGTTCTGTGCAGAAGTTGCAGTTAGTTATAGAGAATATAAATCAACGCCAAAATGCTTTTCAAGGTGTTCCTGGCCTTTCTCGTCGCTGCCGCCGTTGGCCTGGACCTCAATGCAATTAGTAAGTCCAGTTATGACAACTTTTTTTCTTTTCTACTAGCCTGGAAAAATCTCGAAGAAATTATTTCAAAAAGTTCCTAAAAAAAAACGATCCGAAAAAATGATTGGATTTCCACTTTGATTCTCATTCCTTTTTTGAAGATCAATTTTAGAACGACAAAAAACAACTGAGCCCCCTCCGACCACTTTGGCCCCTATCAGCTACACGATAGTCGATCCTGGTGAGTTGAAAACGAGTCGGACTTCAGTTTCTCTTCGTTTTTGAAGGTCCGCAAGCCGTCAAGTGCGACGGCGCCTGCCCTACAGGATGGCTCTATTACAGCGGGAGTTGCTACAGAGTCGGTTCCTTTTCCGAATTTCAGCGGCCTTCTAGACGAGATGGGATTCAGACCTTAAAGTGGAATTCGGTTTTTAAAATTGTCAACGAGATCCTCACAATCGAGAATTGATTTTTGTATGTGGTGTTTGTTGCGAAATTAGAAATTTTGAGAAAATGTGAGAAATGAAAAAAAAAACTTTTTTACAATTAAAATTCAAGTAATGCATTATTTTCTACTGAAAATATGCGTCATAAAACCAAATATTGCGAAAAGTAGAAAAAATTTTGAGTTGCGATTAAATTATATGGAGAAATAAAAAGCTCTCAGAACACGTCTCCAATTGTTGAAAAAGTCGTTCATGTTTTCAGAAGTACAGCAGCAGCATGACATTCTCCGAAGCTCAGAACAGTTGCGTGGGTCTGGGGGCCAAACTGGCTTCCATCCAGAGTCAAGAGGAGAACGACGTCTTGCGAAGTTGGTTCGATTGGAGCGTTAGATCAAACAGATAAGACTTCTTATTTTTTCATCAGAAGCTTTTGATTCCAACAATGTCGTGACCTTGAAAGAACAAGCGTGGATCGGCTTGAAGAAGGTTTTTCCCACCTTATTTCCAAAAAAGGCGAAAGTTGTAGCAAGCAGGTGGCTGGGCTTGGACCGATGGTTCTCCGGTTGCATTTACGGAATGGGCAGCGGAGCCGACGACCAAGAATTGCGCTTTGGTAGATATTGCGATTTCAACAGATTTGACTTCAGATTTCAGTTTTTTGTCGACTCCCTGACTACCTACGACTATCAACGCGGACTTTGGAAAGAGTTCAATTGCACGCAAGACGCAGGATCCTACATTTGCGAAAAAGTGGCAGCAGCTTGAAAGTCAAACAAGCAATCATCAGGAAAATGCAATACTTTATCGAAATATGATGAAAAAAAATCAATCGCTTTGCCTGGGGTCTTTGGGCGACATCTGCAAGCGAATGGATGAGAAAAAACACCTTCAAAAAGGAGATGATACACGATCCGTGTAGGTGCCGTTTATAATAGCAAGCTGCATGAGCTGGTCCTTTTTGAGCCCGTCGTGCTCCGGCGTCAACAACGCTTCAATCTTTTCTGCTGCCGACTTCAGCTTTTCCTCGCATCTGAAATACTAGAGAAGTATGGTTATTCTCATAACTGATACTCAGTTTGCATATAAAAAAAAATTAATTAATTTTGGACAGTTTTTTTTGAATCAGTTTTGTCTTCTCAAATGTCAATACTTCTTGTAAAAACCATAACTAGTATCAGATCAACTTACTGTGCGTAGTTGACGTCCTTGGCGAGAACGAGGACGTGAAGCGGTTCTTCGAGGTGTTCCCAGCCGTTTCTGCCAATCAGACGTGCCTCTCTAACTGAGTCCTGCAGCTCAACTCTTAGATCCAACAACGGAATCAAGTCTAACTCGTACGGAGCCGCGTCCTCTGATGAGAATGGTGCAATCGAGTTGTTTCTCCAAGTTTTTGGCTGTGATGCCGCTAGGCCCAAGGATGCGGCCGATGTAATTACACCGACTGAACTTCTTTGGATGACGTCCGAAGGGAGCAACTTACGTCGCGCGACCTTCGATGAACTGTGGAGCCTCGGGGATGTAGACCTTTGTCTGGAGTATGCACTCGCCGAGCGGCTTCTCCTCGGCTGCGACCGGCGTTCTCGGGGACGCTGTCGAACGTCGTGACTTGCGACGCGGCGTTCGCAAGTTACGTTTCGCGCTTGGCGATTCTGCGTCTCCGGTCGCTACCTTTTGCGTTGGCGAGCGAGAAATCTAAATCAGTTGAAATCATTTTTGGTTTCGATTAGAAGGAGACAAGCAGAGAAATTATTCTGTTTATAGGTCAGACTTTTCCAGTCGTGGACGCACTACTTAAAAATCAAAAAAAAAAACTGGGGAAGAAGCAGGTTGAGTGTCGTGACCGTGGTTACGGGACTGCTGCTGAAAACAACTCCATGCTCGTCCAATTTCGTTTGATACAAGAATCTGGAGTGCAGATGTTTCTTTTCCCTTTTACACAAAATGATCAACCTGAGCGTACTTGAACTCGACGTTTGAATGTAGCAGCTCGCGCATCTCGACAATCAAATCGTTCAAATATCTGCAAAAGGTACATTTCGAAGAAAAAGAAAAGAACTTTACGTGGCTGGATCAGCCGGCAAATCGAAGCTCATCGGGGCCGCGAAAGCACAAGTGAGCAGGTGAATTTCTATTGCGAAAATGAAGTCCTGACATCGGTCGTCGCACGTCCAACGTCTTTTATTTTATATATGGGTCTTTTTCGGCAAAGCGAATAGAAAAATTAAGAAAGAAGTACAAAATATCAGAAGCTCCAAATTCAGACCTAACAAATTCAGGTAGAAAGTGATGTATGCACATTTATGTTCATTCGAAAAAATCCAAACATTCTTCAAAAATACAAGTTTGATATTTAAAAAGAGAAACTTTTTGGAGGATCCTAGTCGTTTTTGTTTTAAAAAAACTAAACAAAAATAAAAATAGACAATTTGAGGTACCTAAAAAAATTAACAAACGAGACGAATCTCTGAATTTAAACGCAGAAAATTCAACTTTTTTGGTTCAGTCAACCTTTTTTTTTATAAATTAATTGCGCTTCTCGAAGTAGTTTGAAAAAAGTTATCGAACCGCAACCGATGTTAAAAGGAAAATCCTTGATAAGTTTTTGTTCGAACAGTCGGTTTTTTTTTTTTCGCTTCCTCGCGTATGCCATACGACCTTCCTCGTTCTCAGGCTCCGTTCACAGACACGTCCCCACATCAAACAATGTCTGAAAGGGTTGAAAGCAATAAAAAGAAATGGGGAAACCACCCAGAGTTTTCAGACGAGCGTCCGAGATGCTGAGACCGCTCTTTCTGGTCGTTCTGCTGACGTTGCGGAGCGCCGCCGCGGCGGAAGCCTGCCGCGACATTCATCCGCACTGTTCGTTGTTTAAAGGCCTCGGCCTCTGCGCCATCGCCTCCCAGGCCGCCATCTACAAGTACAACTGCGCAGTGAGCTGCAGCTTCTGCGGCAAATCTGCAGGACCTTGCCTCGACCGTCTTCAGAGCTGTGCTTCCTACAAAAGCCAAGGTTTCTGCACTACGGACGAGCCTCTGCGAGCCGAGTACGCCTGCCCAGTCACCTGCAACCTGTGTAATTCACCTGTTTAGTGGTTTAATAAAATTGCTCATGCCGTTGTTAGCTTCGAGAGTTCTTAAAAAACCACACGTTTTTTTTTCAACGAAAAGGTGATCACGAAGTTCCATTTTCTCGGATGATCCTTTTTCTTTTTATTTCTGTCGATTTGTTACGATTACAAAAATGTGAAAAGGACGGAAGCTTGGAGAATGGCGGCCAATCTGTTTGGTTCAAATGCACGCCAATTTAGAGTCATGAGACGCCCCTCGGAAACGCGGCGCCATTTCTCAGGCCGTTTCTCTCCGAGCACATCCTTTTTCGAAACTTTGATGTGCACTTGTCTTTATCAGAGTTCGTCCCCTAGCAACCGGCATGTTCACTGTCAATTAACTCTTTAATTTCCTAGGATTGACTTATTTGCAATTCAACATTGTTGAATCAAGTTGCGTAGGCAATTTGTAGAGTTGAATAGTCATCATTCGGGAAATGTCTACTTCTAATTCAAACTGATTCTTATCTCCACCCAGCAGCTTCTTCTTTCCTATTGGAAATTACTTTATTCTGCAAATCTATACGGAAATATCAAATCACTTTTTCATCAATTCAAAATTTTGTGCCAAAATCTTTAAAATTTTATAGCTTAATTATAGAAAATATTATTTTTGAAGTCGTTATTAAATTTTAAACGCACGATTTATCGTTTTCCGTTCAAAATTATCAAATTTCAGGCAATTTTCGGGTTGAGCCAAAACCATGTGAGTCAAGAGGGTCCTATCGCGTTTCCAACCGTTTTAATTTCGATTTCCTCGATCTTGAACTATCAAAGAGATTACTGATATGGTCTCTCCCAATCTTTTTTCTACTTAGTCACACATCGATAAAGACATATCGATTGTGTGCTTTCCTAATTTCTAAAGTTTCCTCAAACAATTACAAATTTAATCCTTTTATCTTTCATACTGAACTTGAAAACGCTGGTTACCAATCGTTTAAAATCGAATTTCAGAAAATGGTCGTAGTTGGTTTTTAATTAATCAAAGAAATGGGGACTTGCCAGTCAGTTTTCGCCACCGTCGAATCGAAGGAGCAGTACAAGATTTCAAAGTTGGAAAGTACCACCTGGAGAGTGGAAACTATGAATTTCAGGAGAATAGATAAGGAGCTGGAGAAAAAGTCAGACGGTCTTTTGCAGAAAATCCTTCTTTTGGGTCCAGGAGAAAGCGGAAAAAGCACATGTCTGAAACAGATGAGGTGTTGAGGTGAAAAGAACAAGCTGGAAAAGGTTCTTACAGACTCATGATGCACATCGGCTTCACAGGACCGGAGCTGGCCGAGAAGAAGGCGCTCATCTACGTGAACATCGTCCAAGGCGCCGTCGCTGTCCTCGATTTCATGGAGATGCAAGGCCTCAAGCTGCGCAACGGCTACATAGACGTATGAATCCAGCTAGACGAGATTGGAAATTGATTGAAGGACAATGATTTTACAGGATAAAAGTCTGGTTTTCGCGCACAGAGAGACCACTGGTGAAAACCTCCCCCGCGGGGTTGTGGTGAGTTATCCGAAAAATTTACCGAGCCGACGAGTATAAACTTATCAAAAAAGTCATTAAAAAAAATTCCTTACGGACTCGAGAAAAAAGAGAATCGAAAATATTGTTTCTCTGCTATTGCATTCCACATGATTATTATTTCTCCGTTTTTGGCTATTTTTTCTCCCTTGCAAAATAAAGCAGAAAAAGATATTCACTCCGTTATTTTTTTTAAAGTTAAAATATTTCTGATGTTCGAGGTTATATGTCAAAACTGATTCATACAAAATCTTATTACTTAATTTGAAGATAATTAAAGTTCGAGATGTGCCTTTCTTGTTAAATATCCTGAAGAAAGTGATGAAGAAATGGATTGCAGGAAGCCCTGCAAAGACTTTGGACGACGGAACAGTTCCAGAAGGCCTACGAAAGTCGGGGTACCTACCATGTCCACGACAGCATAGCCTAGTCAGTTCTAATATCCCCATTGAAACCTTCTTTTCTTGAGCTTTTTCGAAAATCTCGAGCGTATTTCCGCGGATGATTATGTTCCCAACAGCACGGATATTTTGCACACAAGGGTGAGTTATCATGGATCTACGAGTAGATAAATTCAAATACGGAGATAATGAGAAAAAAAAATGGAAAGAGTTAGAAGATCTTTTCAGTCTCGATTGTTTCTGAAAAATTACACAAACATAATTGAGGTACTGGAAAAAATTTTTTTTAAAGCGATCTTTTTTGAGGCTTCCGTCAACAGAAACTCGGAGTTCGTTTTTTTTTTTCGTACATTTGTTTTATACGCAAACTGTACGAATTACCTAAAAATGTTTGGTACATCCAGACTGTTTATCAAGAATTGTTTGAGCAATTTGTTTTTTTCGAAATGACAGAGCAAAAAAAATTAACTTCTGTATAGGCAATGTTTCCCGACTTGAAAGGCGAGGGAGGCGGGGCAGAGGGCGAGACGCGTAGCGTGTGCGTTCGCGGTTCTTGGCACGTGTTCAATTCAACCGCCATCGACTCTTTGAAAAAGCCCGTTTTTTTCGCTCTTTTTCATTCCTTTTTCAATTATTTATTGATTATGTTCATGTGTGCATCAAAAAAATAGTAGAAAAACATTGAAAAAAGAGCGGTTGCCGAGTTTTTTTAAATAGTCGGCGGCAATTGAATTGAACTTGTGTCAAGAACCGCGAACGCACACGCTACGCGTCCCGCCCCTTGCCCCGCCTCCCTCGCCTTTCAAGTCGGGAAACATTGACTATATTTGAGGATGAAAAAAATCTTAAATCAATTTCTTTCAAGTTTGAAAAAAATTTCTAGACACAATACATATAAAATCACAAGCTATGAAAGGTAAAAAAATTATTGCTTTTTATGTTGTGAGTCTACTTCAAAAACTCGAGCGTGCTTATTCGTTTTTTTATGAATTTCAACTTGACGTACTTGGCCATTCCAGCTGTTTCATATGTATTTCCTTTTCTTGGGGTAACACTTGATAAGAAAAAAAGTTTGTAATTCTGATATCAATTTCTGAAATTTTTGTGATGAAATGGAAGTTTTTTTGTTTAAGTATTTTTAAACTGGTTTGAGTAGCAAGCATCGGGATTTGATATCACAAATACTTGTTTTGGTGCTGACATATGTGGTCAAAAGATCCAAGTTTTACCTTTTTCAAAAATGAACTTTGTTCTGCCAATTTACTCATATCTCATCACCCGAACAATATAAAGTCTAAAAAAAGCTTCCGCAGACTAATATACCGTAATGGTTGATAATTTATAATAATTTGTGCGTCATAAATACGTCTAGATAATTGTTTGACAAAAATAACTTTGAGAGACGGATAAAAAACTAATTCGGTGATTGAACCCTGAGAAAATATTAGGAACTTGCAAGGTTCTTCCCGTTGTGAGGCTAGAATTGAGAAGACCTCTCTGTGTTGAAAAATTTCATTGAGTTTTTGAAGCAAAAAGTATTTGCAGATACCGACAACAGGCGTTGTACAAATCAGCTTCTCACTGAAAGGCATTCGATTTGAGTTAGTTTCAACTCCGAGAATCGAAACTTGAAGATTCTCAGAGTATGCGACGTCGGCGGACAACGGTCGGAGCGGAAGAAGTGGATCCACTGTTTCGAAGGAGTCAACGCGGTTCTCTTCGTCGTCGCCGTCAGCGAATTCGACCAGGTCGTCCGAGAAGACAATCAGACGGTTTTCCGATTCATCTGCCTTCCTCAAGACTTCTTTTTTGCAGAACCGGATAGAAGAAGCGCTGAAGCTTTTCTACGAAATTGTCAACTCTCAATATTTCAAAGAGGCCTCCATGATTCTTTTTCTGAACAAGAAAGACTTGTTTGCGAAGAAAGTCCAGAGCGTTGAAGTTGCCACGTTTTTTCGCGATTTCTCAGGTAGACTTCTGGAATTTGATTGAAAAGTAGTTTGTGAGCAGGTGAAAACTCCTACGAGAACGCGATCGAATACTTTCGGAAAAAGTTCAAACGTTGTATTTTGTCTAAGACGAGAAAGCCGTGAGTCCTCATTTTTCCTGGGAAAAAAGCTCAATGGATAACTCTGGCAGTTCAGATACATACACGAGACATGCGCCATATCGAATACGGTTCAAATTGTGATCAACAGCGTGATCGACACGATCATCCAGGAAAACCTCAAGGACACTGGCATGATCTGAATGTTTTATGCATTCCAAACCATCTCCGCAAATCTACCTTTCTTTGCACTGAAAAAAAAAAATAAAATTTCATGTTTAAATTTGTAATTCTTACATAAATTCTACAATAACGTATAAGAAAAACTTTCTGTACTTCCAGGATTTTCAAACTACTTTTTTTAGTCATATGATATGTGGATTTGAAAAATCAATATACATTTTCCGGCGATCAAAAAGTCTTTCATCAAACTAATCAGTCACAAGCTGAAAAATTCTTCTCCGTGGAATAAAATCTAAAAACTACAATGGTTGCAGCGGAACAGGTCAATAAAAAAATCAATCAAAAATAAAAACCTTCCATAATATCGCGAAAAAAAGTAATGAAAATGAAAAAGTCCTGAAAAAAATGAAAGAACATTTTTTTGAGGATTTCAAAAATTATTTTGAAAAATATTAAAAATAAATCGGCATTCTCACTCATATAAGAGTAAAGTTTACAGTAAAAGTAAACTGTTTACTCGAAAATTTCAGAAGAAATCACGTGTTTTTTATTTTCACAATCGACTTCAGTTTGTTCCTCTGAAAGATTACATAAAAACTCGATTTTTCCTGATTTGAGTGAAAACTTTCACCCTCGCCGTTAAAATGAAACTTTAATTTGTAGAAGTGAGGACCAAAAAATGAAAAAAAAACCTGTAAAGTTAGTCTACTTCTCCGTTTTTTCGTGTTCTTTGTTGGCCATGGTTCTCTGCTATTTGCGAACCAAAAACTAATAGAAGGTAGGAAACGACAGATACTACGCGAACCACACAGACTAGAAATTTTATCGACTATTTTAAAAAGAGAGGCGCGTTAGTCTCAAACCTTCCCACTTCCTTCGTTTCCCTTTGGTTGTTTCTGAAATGGGGCTCCTTTTGGTAATTTTTGCTCTGCTGGTAATTTACATCGTCCACTTCTACATGAAAGTTCGCCGGTACCCCAAAGGACCATTTCCTTTGCCTCTCATCGGAAATGCTTACAATGTTTGAGCTGAACCGGTCTTTCCCTGATCTAGAGGGTTGTTCAGTTCCCGAGAAACAACATCCACCTGTACTTCGACAGCCTTTCCGAGCGGTACGGCCCATGCTTCACCGTCTGGATTCCCGTACCGGTAGTCGTCTTCACCGACTACACATATCTCAAGGAAGCTTACGTCACTCAACGTGAGAGCCTTTCATCTGAAATATCCAGTAAAAGAAAGGTAGAAAAGATTTTTTTTTTCTAGTTTTTCGTTCACAGGCAGAGTTCGAAAATTCGCAAGCAAGAAAAAGTGCCCAAAATATTAAAAATAAGATTTCTAATGCCTTGTTAGGGCTTTCTCGAAGAAAACTTTGTGAAGAGTTGAGAGAGAAGCTTAAAACAAACTTTCCGTGAACCCTTTTTGAACTTTTGAGAAGTTCGTGTTGACCGTTCAAGTATTTCCCAAAACTCCATTAGACCGTACGAAATGCCATGAAAGATCTGAACAATTCCTTTCGTATCAATCAGAAAATTTTTCCCTGCTGATAAACGTTGAAATTCTGAACCACAGAAGACAAACTTTTCAGCCGAAGCTTTTCTCGGAAGATCGCACATGTCGCCGGACACCATCCTCCAGAAGCATCTCAACACGGGAGTCTTGTTTTCTGATGGAGAAACTTGGCGAACCCAACGTCGGACTGCGCTGAAAATCTTCCGCGACTTCGGTATGGGCAAGAATCTGATGGAAGAACAGGTATAGGACAGGCAAAAAGAGGTCAAAAGGAGTTTGTAGGTTTCCCGGTCGATATCAGAAATGATGGAGCAGCTGAAGGCGATACCGGAGAAAACCGGCGTCGACATGTTTCTGCCTCTACAGCTTTGCGTCGGCAACGTCATCAACGAAACTTTACTAGGCTACCACTTCTCCTACAAAGATCCCGCCAAGTTCGAGCACATCGTCAACGTCGTCAGCCAACATCTAATCCTTTCCAGTGTATTTTTGCCTCACGTAACTCACCTACATTCAATTTTGAGGAATCTACTCTGGCGATTCTGGTGGGAGTGTTTCCTTTTTTGCGTTACTTACCCTACATCGGCTACTATGGCTATCGCAGAATCGAAGAAAACATAAAACCGGTTTTCCTTTATTTTTCAACTTTCCTCTCTTTAACTTTGAGATGACAGTTAGGATCATGAAACGCAATAACCCACTCACGAAGAAAAACGAAGAATTTGTAGCTTCACGACTTCATAGAAGACGAAGTGGCACAACATGTGAAGACTTTCAACGAAGACAGTGCCCCTGAAAACTTTGTCCACGCGTATTTGGCCGAGATGCGAAAGTCTCAAGAAGGACTCGAGTAAGTTCTCAAACAGTATATTATATTATTTCTCATCGATATTTCTTAGAGATTTGTTTCAGCATGAAAAACCTGACGGCGATCATCGTTGATTTTTGGGTGGCCGGTATGGAAACCACGTCTACGTCTCTCCGCTGGCACATTCTGTACATGATAAAGTACCCCGAAGTGCAGGTACCAATATACTTGCGAATCAAAGGGAACAGGGGCATCATAGAAACAGAAAGTTGAGATTGGGTGTTTAAGGCTTCGATGAGCAACACCAGCAAAAAATAACTTTCCATCAAAAACGAAACCACTTCTTCGAAAATAGCTAACATATTGGTAAGGTCAAAACTAAGCGGCGACTAGACCTGAGACCTAGCTCGGAGTTTACCAATAAACCCCAAATCTATGCTTCGAGAAAAAAAGAGCCTGCAGCGAAAAGTACGAGAAGAAGTTCTGAGAGTTGTCGGAAGTGACCGAATGCCTTCGATGACCGACAAACCTTCCATGCCATACACACAAGCCGTGATCCATGAGGTTCAGCGACACTCCAATATGATTCCCGCCCTTCCTCCACACAAATGTTCGCTCTATCTATTCGGCCTTCGATTATGATCTTTTCAGGCTTCGAAGACGTCAAAGTCTTCGACAAAAATATCCCTGCCGGCACTTTGGTCTTCGGTCAGATCTGGTCGATTCTGAAGCACGACGAGGCTTTCAAAGAATCTGAAACATTTAATCCCGATAGATATCTTCAAGACGATGGGAAGACTATCAACAAAGTGTTCAGAGCTTTTTTTCTTAAAATAAATCGGCTTTTCCAGATGGTTTTGGAACGAACGGTGCCTTTCAGCATCGGAAAAAGAGCCTGCGCCGGCGAAGGCCTGGCGCGCTTGGAACTGTTTCTGATTTTTGCCTCCTTGATTCAGAAATTCGAGTTTGTGGCGAATGAGCCTATCGACATGACTCCTATGTGGGGCGGAGTTCTGAACCCGAAGAGATTTACTGTTAGTCTGGTTCCAGTTCATTCTTCGGGCTCTTTGTAAAGTTTCGTACATCTATGAATAAAAATTTGAGAATTTGAAATGCTTGAACGATTAAAAGGAACTTCTCTATGCAAAAAGGACGGTGGTCCTCATTTTTCACCAAGGAATTCACATGTTAGGGACGGAGGTTTGCCAGTTTTACTAGCGAGGAACTTCAATATCTGAAAATTTTTCGGAGGCCCGCCCAATTTGCATGCGATTTGTAGGCCTTCGCTCATCTTCGGAAACGTTAGTTCCCTGGCGATCGCTTATTTTCCCTCGTTTTCAATCCACCGACTTGCGCGTCACATAATTAACCGAAACTTGTCTCTTCCAGCTCAAAAAACTCAGAGCAATAAACTTATTTCGAAGCGCGTAAATAAGCTTTAAAAAAACTAAATTTTTACGAAATTTTGATTTTTTTTTCTCTGGGATAAGCGGAGTGATTCTTTTTACTAAATTCTAGGCTTTTTCATAAGTATCTCTTACTGATGCTCCTGGTCCTAAATATTTCAAAGAACTCGCCTCAATTTCTCCAGGAAAGCGGTGAGAATAACTAACTTGTTTTGGACAAGACCAGCGCTATCATGGATCATTGAGCCGTTGTCCCATAATTATTACACTTGGAGTGGCCTTTTTTTTACTGGGTCGCTACGACTTGAAAAGGTCGCCGTTACAATTTTTCAGTTAAAACGTGTAAGGTCGCGTTAGCCTCAAGGATTGCATTTCTGTAAATTTTCCCGTCAGAATATATCCACTTCGGTTATACAAGGTCTGGCTTCTGCGAGGGCCGGTTCTTCAGCCTATCAGCCCTGTGGACATTTTATGAGCCCGACTCGGCCCGGCTTCAAGCGAAAATGGCTGTGCCGACTCAAAAAGCTCAAATTTCCTTCGAGTCGATTATTAAGATTTTTACGGCAAAGATCACGTTTTCTTTTCACTTAAAATTCACAGAAACTATGGTTTAACAAGTAAAAAGAATATTTAAACGAAATTTTTTGATGAACAAGGTTTAACCTAAAAGCCATGGAATGAAGCTGAAATGCTAATACCAATATGTATGTGAGTAAAGTTTTTTTAAAGAAGAAGAGGACAAAATTATCTCTGAATCTCCAAAATTTAGTTATCTCTTTAACTCTTCGACGACTACATTGAAATTCGTGAAATCAATTTGAAGACATTGAAAAATTTTGAATTTTTCTAAGCTCCGTGATGCTTCTCGTTCAGAGACAGCCTTTTTAAATGTATTATCATTTTTTTTCTAGAAGTCAAAGCTTTATGACAATCTCTTATGACAAATAATATAACTTTCAAGAAAAATCCATTTCCATGTACTTCCGCTATCTTCGTCCATCTATTTGTTTTCATACTTGAAATATATTTATGCCGCGGTGTTGATACCAATCTTGCTTTGAGTTATCACTTTTTCAAACGGTCCTTTTTACCCTCTTCTCAAATTCTGATTTCTTTTCTTTCCATATTAAATTTTCGGCTGACTTACTCGCAAAAAAGCTCGAACTGGATACCAATATATATTCAAAAGCAAGAAAATTCGCCAATATCATGACGACTTTCGAATTTCTGAGTCGTTTGGAGCGCAGTACAAAACACAAATGAGAATCGCTTGTCTCTCAAAAAAAAATCTTTTAGAAAGTGCCAAGCGGCTCTTGGTCAGAAAGAGATGTAACATGTGGAACGGAACGGCTGCGGATCGCGTCAACCTGTTCACGCTCATCTGGGGCCTCGGACACGCCCTCAACGAGCTGCCGACTGCTCAGCAAAACGCCTGGAACAACTGCGAGTATGTGCTCTTTATTCGTTTCTCCGTAGCATCATTGTCGTTTTACGGGGATGGATTACGCTCTCAGAGCCGTCAATGATCCAGAAGATCCCTGAAGATTCTGTCACTCAGTCTTAGCAGATTATTGATATCACCGTAGCCGTTGTTCCAATCTGTCGGCGTATAAGCTCCGTTGAGACTTGCCATCGCGCAGTTGTGAAGCCACCATCCACTGTAAATCAATCGAATAGTGATCTTCCTCTGACCTTCTGTGAAACTCGAGCAAAGTTGGATCCTTCTTTCGAAGTAGAGCAAAAAAGAGAATCCGTTCAAATTTCTTCTTTCTCAGCGGAAAAGGTTCTTGCTTCAAAAAGACAAAAAAGGTTTCAAGAGAAGATTTTTGAACACTCCAGATGAACTGATATTCAGGGTGAAAAACAAAATATAATGCAAATCGGTAGCTAAATTTCATTATCAATGACTGAAAGCTGAATTTTTTTAGTGCTAACCAAAAAAAGAAAAAAAAATTCATGTCCTAACTCTCCAAAATTAGATCAGCCTTTAAAATTTTTTTTTCTCTTTGACTAATCAAGAAAAGCAACTTCTTAAAAGTACAGGTCTTCATAGTCTTCCTAAAATTTTCCAATAAAACGCAAAAACGTAGAAAATATTTTCTGCCTACTGCCATTTTATAAACCCTTAAAAATGCCATTTTTCTTTTCTGACCTTCCAGTCTTTCCGCTAGTTGGTTCATGTGAACCTTTCCAAAGTGTTTTTTATGCATCTTTTTTTTTGGCTGCTACTCCTTTCTTCCATCCTCGGTCTCGAAAACCTCCCGAAGCAAATTCAAAAAGAATGGAAAAACGTTTCAAGGGTGCTTCAGGGACCATTCGGAAAATAATCGGCCTTTCTTTTTTCACGTAACTCATTCATAACGTGATTTCACAATGTGATTTTGAAAATGCTAAAAGATCACCCCAGCTGGAACTTTGTCACACAGTCTTTGTAAGGGTCGTTGATGCGATCGACAGTGGAAAACGGAGCACCGTTGGAACAAGTGATGTCATACCTTCAAAGTCAACAAAAAGTTTCATTCCGTTCAGAATCGAACTTGCCATCCAGTAGAGGCGTTTCCGATGATGTTTTGCCAGTTGAGATTGACTCGAAAAGGATAATTGTCCGCTTCTGCGCCGATCAGAAAAAAACGCGAAGTTTTCAGATGGACGGAACTAACTGACCAGGAACTCAAAATAGTGATTCCACCAGTATCCATCGGGATTAACGGTGCCAGGAGTTCCGTCTCCGTGCATTTCGACTCTGAGAGTCACGTTGGGATCTTTGGAAGTCAGGAGGTGGAGCGCATCGTTGCCCAGCCAATAATTGCCCGTCTTAACACAGAATACTGTTTCCAAAAACGTATTTCCTGACTTTCATTTGTGAGTGATGCAAAATATTTTGAAAAACTGTAAAGCTCACGGGAGTTAGGCCGTTGCCGAAACCGTTTTTATACTCGCTCCATGTTTTGTTCCAAAACGCCGTTGAACCGTCTGATCGTCTGAACAAAAAGAACCTTCTTTTTGAGTTTTTTTAAACTAACAATCCCACCCTTAATACTTTCAACTAGAAGCTACCGACACAAGGTTTTTATCCCAAAAATGTTCAATTTTGTAGTAAGTAAATTATATACATAATTTTGATCAAACTACATACATGAGAACTGTAATATTATTTCGGATTGTTCTCTCTTTTCTGTTCCTTTCGTTGCGTAAATATGCAAAAACAGAAGCTTTTCCTGCAAAACTCTGACTTCTGGAAAACTGTCCAGCCACCGTCGTACGTCGTCATGTCACAGTAGACGTCGTAGTTATTACCTCCCAGAAAAATCGAGTACTGTCCATCGCTAGAAAGTAACACTGATTTCTGGCTACTACTGAAAAAAAAAACTCTTTGAATCCGGCCTTGTACCAGTCCAAACAATCGCTCATCACAGCAGCTGTCTCACAGATAAAACATAACTCATCGTTGCAGTTTTCTGTGACCCACAAGCCTAGAGATAAAAATTGCTCTAAACCAGTAGAGAAAAGAAAAGTAAAACTATTCGACCTGATTTAACATCCGCACTCACGCACTTGTTCGAAGGATCCGGTTGCCCTGTGAATTTTTCAATATACAAATTCCATGAATCAAAAAAAAAAATGTCGAAATTTCGAAAACCTGATTTCCAGTTAGTATACTTGCACTCGCTACCGTCGCTCCATAGACACTTGGAGCCGTCAAAAGTTCCGCCGGTCCAGAAATTGGAACAAGAATCGCTTGCCACCTCTTAGAAGAGAAGAAATTATGAAATCTTTCTAGGAGAAGTACGGCGTAAAAGTGTCATGTCGAAAGCATTATGGACCGAGGTCAGGTGGCCGCCTCGGGAGGTGCAAAAACTCTCTGCGTCCTGCCAAGATCTAAGACTCAGAATTCATAGCAAAGAGACGGTTTGAAAAAGACAGACGATTTGGTGGCCTCGAGATGAACGCAGTGCTCCTGAGTGTTGGTGGCGTCGCCAGCCGCGCAGTCAGCACCGACCAGAAAGATTTGTGCGACCGAGCACAGAAGTGTCAGCAGTCTCTTCATGCTTACCTCGTGCAAGAAAGCGCACTTATCACCTGTGCCTTTGCTCTTTTTATAGTGGTAATAAAAGTTGAGAGAGGAACGCAAGACAACTTGAAACGAAGAGAATTGGAATAAAAACAAAATTTTCATCAGTTTCATTTTGTTTAGTATCGAACATAGTGGTTATTTTTGGTTCGAAGAAAAACTTGAAATAAAATATATTCTGTTAAATTACAAGCGGATCGAATCTGTCTCTTTCTAGCCTAGGAATTCACTCTATTTGAAAGTATTCACGACATTTTGCGCCAAACACGATATTATTCACTTTTCCCTTTTTGATAAAAACTATGAAGGTTTTTCAAAAGGAAAATGGATCTAAATCTCTCAAAATGACCAACGGAGACTTGGAAGCACGGTCTCCCCACGTAATGCTGTTTGAGATTGAAACATTAGTTTCGAACAAGAAGGACCCGACTCAAAAAGAAGGTTTCAGTGATCCGTCAAACGACACGATCGCGCATCAGGTTCTTCGGCGTCTTTTCGACGAGAACTACGACAAGAACATGGTTCCGCTCAAGACGTCGGCCACCGTCGTTTCCATTGAGTTTGGCATTCAGAACATTGCGCAGGTGTCTGAAATCTCAGCCAGTTTCACATTAGATTTGCTCTTCAGGTTTGATGACCTATCATTAGTTAGCTTTTTATCTGTTCCAGCCAAATTTGGCACGATCCGAGATTGAGATTTGAGCACCTGACGCCGTGCCTTCAGAATCTCACGCTCGGATATCAAGTTCGTTAAAATGCCAAGAAAAAGATACTTTGGGAAAACTACGAAAAATTTGCAGATGGTAGAGAAGTTGTGGTCGCCGAACGTCTGCTTCGTAAACTCGAAGAGAACAGAGATCCATTCATCGCCTACGCCCAACATTTTCCTCATGATCTATCCCAATGGAACCATCTGGGTTGGTTTTTTATTTGAATGAAAAGAGTTCTTTACAATAGCAGCACTATTTCAGCATCACATTTTTCGTTTAAAAATTAAAACTGATCTTCTGAATCGTCTTTAAGTAGGACCACAGGAAGTATTAACCAGGCCGAAAAGCTAAACGACCTGGGTTTCATTCACAACTAAGGAGTGCGCGAATGGAAGCACTTCACAACGCATCTCACAACGAGAACAAAAAAAACTTCAAAGCTTGAAATAGAGACAAGAGTAAGCAAACTATCTTCGCTATAACAGCACATTTATAAATTTGTAAAAGCCAAAAGATATCTCATAAGATGTGTCAACCTAAAGATTTTATCTTATAACCTATTGAATAACTTTCAGGTAAACTATCGACTTCAAGTCCAAAGCCCTTGTTTGGTAGACCTGGTGCTGTTTCCAATGGATGTGATGGTACGAAAAAGCCTCGAAAAAGGTTCAAAACTTCCGTCCAGAACTGCGAGCTGATAATCGAGAGCTACGCATACAACGCGGCGAAGGTCCGGTTGAACTGGCGTGAATGGGCGCCCGTTTTCTCGATTGCCAAGTCAAAACTCTCCGACTTCACTCTTTACGGACTTCAGTGGACCAAGAACAACTTCGAATATGCTGCAGGTCAATGGGATCAGGTTTAAAAATGGTTCCCGGTATATCAAATCAACTCATTTTTCTAGCTCACTGTTTCTCTGACTTTCTCACGAGCCTATGGTTTTTACATACTTCAAATGTACATACCAACATACTCTTCTGTATTTCTTTCCTTCGTTAGTTTTTGGATAGATCTGAAGGCCTTACCAGCAAGAATTACTCTCGGCGTCAGTTCTCTCATGGCTCTCACATTCCAGGTCCTCCTTATTGCTAGAAAAGTTGACCAAGAAACTTTTTTTTAGTACGGCAACGTGGCCAAAACGCTGCCAAAAGTTGGTTACGTCAAGTCGATGGACGTGTATATGGTTCTGACAACAGGGTTTTTATAGTTTACTATAACGAAAAATTGATAAAAACACTCGAAAGTGCTACTATGAACAAGTTCAATATTTTTGAGATTCATATTCCTGACAATGATAGAAGTTGCATTCGTCTGCTACCTGGACAGCGAAAACAACATTCGGCGGAAAGCAAGACAGACTGAGAAAAAACGCGAGAGACTTGCAGCCTTGCAAAAGTAAGTAGAGCCTTGCCTGATTTTTCATATAGACTATTTCAGAAAAAAAAGTTCATGAAATAAACATTTCCAGAAAAAGAGATAAGAAGAAAAACAACTACGGAGCAACGACTGTGACGAATTCCCCTGCAGTGGAGGCCGACTTGCGCAGTCACTACGATGAAGGTTTTCCGGTGAGTACCGACGGCCATTTTTTGAGACTTCCTTTGTCTCCAAGATCAACGGAGGACCCGTACATAAAACGTCGATTGGTCGACAAGCAAACCACGTCTTCGAATCGCTTCACGCGTTGGCCACCATAGGGCTTCTGACAGACGAAGAAGAAATTCCGACGAGGTGGACGGCCGAGAACGTCGACAAGTTCTGCAGGTTTCCTACGAACAAATTCAGCGTTTTCAATGCTTTTCAAACGTGTGGGCATCTTCAAAACTCAAAACTCAAAATTTGAACAATAAAACATTAGGAATAAAGACTTTTTCGAAAATATTCACACATCTTTTATTTTATTTTCTATTACAGAAAGGCGTTTCCCCTCGCCTTTTGTCTACTCAACATCATATACTGGTGCTATTACTTAATACTCAACTATCAAGCCAAGGAACGTGCCGTGGCTCAAATGCCAACTTCATGATAACTTTTTTTTCAGAAAATATGCTAACAGGTTAAACGTGCCTTATTCCTTTGTAATCAATCTTTCAAATAAATAATAAATCTTATTTTGAGCAATTAGAAACGAACCGTGACAAGAAAAATATCTCACATTACTAAAAATGCAAAACAAATAATGCGACTATAACTAGAAAAATGTCATACAAGGGCCGGAAAAGTTCAGTTTCTCTTTTTTTCTGAATTGACACCTAGAACCTTCTTGCGCTGGGCAATCATGTAAAAGTAGAGCTGGGGAAATCCTGGAAAAAATGTGATACCCTCGAGCCGATTAAATGCAAAGCAGCAGAGTTGAAATTAATTACAACCAAATATTCAGGGAATTTAGAAAAAAAACTGACCGGGAATATATGTGAGCGCAGTAATTACGAGTACCCACCAGAACGACAATGACATATTAACCTTATTTGGCATCGAAATCGAATAGAGCTGCTTCTCGTGAACCTTAATTGTGACCGTTGGAAAAAAAAAGAGAAAATGAGAACCAGTTATGGATGGAATTCAAAACAAGATACAAAAAACTTGAATAAAAAACAGCTATACTTATATAATTTTAAGAAAAACTTTCTGAAAATATAAGCCAAGGGTTGGAATACAGATTTTAAAAAAAATTGTACTTTTCGAGTTATCGAGTAGACACATAAATACCAAGATATAACCTCGTTCAACGAAGCGAAAAGTGTCAAAAGTTCTCCAGAAACTCCAACTGGATACAAAACGTAGAAGAAAGTGTATCTGAAAAGCAGGAAAGTTTTCAATTTGCTTGCAGAAACATTCCCACCTCATCCAAGTGAGGACGTAGGGAACAGCGTTGAAAAGTCCGAGAGCGTAGAAGGAATATCTGATGACTTCGGTCACTGACCAGGCCACCAGAAGCATTGGCACGCCGATACTGTGACGCGCCTTGAAAATCATTTTTGGCACCCAGAAATCGGCAATTATTGGTGAAAAGAAAAAAAAACCAGACAAAAAAAACGAACAGTGGCGCAAGAGTGTAGGATGGGCCAGACAAGGACGACGCGGCTCGTCACTTGCATTACCGTTGTTCCGATCGGAGAGCGGACAAATCCCAGCAGAGAATGGACCACCTTAAACGAGAGAGTCCATTCAAGTAGTTTTTTATTTTTGCAATAATTCGTTTTTGAGGAACTACTTTCCAAAAACGAACGAGAGAAACTGTGAATTACCTCGAGAACAGCAGCCGTCTGGAAGATTTTAACTTCAGTTTCGACCGATGTATACAGTTCAGCCCATGAAAGACCTTGAGAAATTCCGCTCAGGGATTTCACCAAAATGATAGACCATCTTCAAAATAACTAAATTAAAACAAGTAAATTCAACATAAACGAACCCAAAAACTAGAACAGCATTATAGAAAGCTAGATAATACTTGATGGCCGACATTTTGCTAAAAAGAATCCAACGAGTTTTCCCGCGCCTGTAACCAAATCACGCCATACCGCTATCAACCGTTTGAAGTGAACCTTGCCCAAAGTCATATTTCAACGCGAAAAACCCACTTCAACTACGAGTTTATGCAGGAACAAAAATCGGAAAAAAAAAGTCAACGACAATGAAAATGGGTCAGAAACTATATAACAGGAACTTCTTTCTTTTCTCTACTCTCCCGATCATATTTTTTTAAAAATAAGAAGTGAAAAACTATTTCCTCATTGAAAATAATGAAAAAGATAATAATTCACATTTTTTTATTTTTTTAAGCATGAACTTTCGTTCAAATTTACCCTAATACTTTTTTTCCTAGAAGAAAAAATCAGAAATTTGAATTTAAATTCGATTTTTTTCAAATGGAATTCGATTAAAAAAACGAAGAGAAAAAAATGTTCATTCTCGTTTATTAAAATATAAATACGAAAAAAATTGAAATTAGAGCTATCATAAATATACGATGACTGTCTCCGTTTCTAAGTGGTAACACGTTGCTGCGAGAAATTATGAAAGATTAACAGAATGAATTGTAACTTGAATAAAAAATAAACAAAATTCTTTTTGAAATTTACGAGGAGTATGCATTTTTGGTCGTTGTGTAATACGACTAACACACACGAGTCGGGCAGAGGTATCGCGATAGGCCAGTAGTCTATCAAAGGGTCTGAAGCCTAACGATGGTATATACCACGGTTATACGGTATAACCGTATTATACCTTGCAAAATTATAGAAAAATGCGATAGTCTTGAGGTATACCACTCATCAGTACCGGTAGAGCTCCGATAGGGCTGAAGTATACGGCGCCAGACTCCGTAATTACATGTGATTAAAAATAGCTATGTTTTAATTCCATTTGCAGAACACTGGTAGTATCAAAATGAAATGGAAGCTATTCATCTCTCGTAATTACCACTAAAAAGTTTCAAAAATTGGTTTAAAAGTTCAAGAGGATGTGGCTATGACTTCAAAACTTCACAGAAGAAGACTGAATTCGATTGTCACTGACGTGATCGAATGAATATGAAAGCGGCTGAATGTTTACATGCGTTATCAATAACGCGACTTGTGGCTCAGAACTCTGGGAACAGAATCAAAATTCGAAAGTATCCCTATCGCTCACTAACCTTATATACAGATAATAGGATTTGGAGAAAACATTTAAAAAAACTCTTAGCAGTATATTAAACCTTTGTTCCGAAATGTTGAAACTTCTTTGTGAGTCCCGCTATTCCATTTCACGTAGAATGAAAATAAGAGCTCTTCGGTTGATAATTCTGAGTTCGAAACTGCGATTGAAACAGGTCACGGTGCCCTTGATAACAGGAACCAAAGTGGAATAGGTGGGTGCAGAACTTTCCTCCAATAAGACAAGAATTGTTTTTGTCCTTTTCTCAAATACTCAAAGTCTTTGCAACTTTTTTCTGAAATATATGATTTCATCGGTTGGCGGTAGTAATTCGAAGAATTACTAACAATTGTGAGGAGCAATGCAGAAACTTCATATCTTTCAAAAGTTATCGAAGTTTAACATTTTCAGTGGCCATTCAATTGAATTTTGCTATCACCGAATGTCCAGAGTCGTTCCATGCCGTTCCGAAATTCATAATTTTGAGCGACTTATCAGTTCCTTCTCGCATGCTTACTAGGTACTTGGAGCTCCTGTTAAGATAGTTTTATTATTGTTTTTTTCATGTATTTTTTTGAAACTTTATGACACTCATTCCAATGATCGTTCACCGATAAAGCTTTTCCGCGTACAAACAATTGTGATGTGTACAAACAAACAGAATGTTGGTTTTTAAAAATAAGAAAAAGGCGTGGTCCAAGGCGATTATCTTCATCTTCCTTTTTTTTTTGAGAATTTCGATTTTTTCTTTTTTTTTCATCAGTTTCAACTAATTTTCTCTGATGTTCAGGGTTTTTGACAGTAAAATCCTTTTTTTGGAAATTGATTAACATGTATTTGATAAACTCCTAGACAACCGCAGAGCTCTTTCGACTTTTTTCATTGACGGAGGCCTCCTTGACGGTCGGCTTGAACCCCTGAATTACACTGATAACCGAATAATGACGCCGTTTTGGCATTGCAAAAGAATCATTGTTTGATATCACCTTTCTTCAGTCACTTTGTTTTTTTTTAATTGCTGAAATAAAAGTTTTTCTTTTTTTTTTTCAAGAAAATGAGCTACCCTGAATGATTTTTCAGATGCAGTTGCCTCTGCGCGGACGTCTTCTGTTCGTAACGTTAGTCCATTCAATTTTCTCGCAGTTTGGCGACGTTATGGCGGCCTGCCTCAACATGATGAACGTTCCGATCCGAAGTTTTTTCAACTCCAGCATGACTTCCCACTACGGTCAGCTCTCAGACGCCGAGTCAGTTTCCTTTCATTTCCTGCTCTCTTATTCCAAGTTTCTCAGCTTAGCTTTTTCAACTAAATTCGATAAAAATGTATAAAAACTTTGAAGAAATAACTTTGAAACAAAATTTACAGGTTTGAGACGTACTTTTCGGCATGCGCTTCAGCAATGTTCGTGGGTCTGGCGCTGGGATTTCTGATAATGGGTCAGCTCATGGACTCTTTAGGTCGGAAGCAGACAGTCATTGTCAGGTTTCCGCTTTTCCGTTTCCAGAGCTGAAATGCAATTTGAAGGTGTTTCCTGGGAATACTCGGCTCAGTTTGCATGTTCGCCTCGAGACTCGTCGACCGCTTCGAGCTGTACGTCGTCGGTCATCTTCTCGCTGGCGTCGTTACCGGCCTCAAAGTCGTCCTTGTCATTTACATTGCTGAGTGTAGTCCAGATAGCAAAAGAGGTTTCTGCAATTTCTATCGTCAGAAAAACGTTTTCTAGTTCTAAATATTGACACACTTTTTGGTTTTCTAGAACCACATTGCGATGAAAACTCATCAAGGTAAAAAACAATTAAGAAAAAAAAAGTTTTCATATTTTTTTTCTCAGAGTTTGTGAAACGAAATAAGTTTTTTTACTAAAAAAAGGAAACTAGTTCAAACGTTTAGAATTTTTTTCTGAGGTGAAATGCAAATTTGAGCCATTTTTTTCCAATACGAGGAGAACCGTTTATCACTCAATTTCGACTAAAAAAAATTTTTTTTCATGTTTTTTTTACAGGACTCACGGCTCTGGCAATTAATTCTGGTGGCGTTCTAATGACTTTGATCTTCACGCCCCTTTGTTTGCCCTCCATTCTTGGCTCAGAAAATCTCTGGTGGGACTTTTTCCCTCCCTGATTGATAGTGAGAAGGGTGTTAAGGATGTTGCTACCATGTATAACTGCGTTCCTCGCTGCAGCTCATTTGGCCTTTATGGTCTTTTTCCCACAGAGTCCCAAACAACTTTACATTCAAGTGCGTTGAGTGAAAGTGAAAATCTTTTTTAAAAAAATTTCAGAGAAATAACGAGCCTGCCGCTCGTGCTGCACTCAGGTTTTACTATGGTGACTCAAAAGAAGTTGAAATTGGTTGGTTTTCACAAATAAAATTATGTCTCGTCAAAAAAAAAGAAAACGCTCGGTTATTCAAATTCATCATTGTTCTTATGACGGGGAAAGAATATCATCATTGCATCAATGTGGAAAGTGAACCAGCGACCTCCACAGCAATGTGAAAGCGCACTGCCACTGCGCCACTCAAACTCCGCGTTGCGAGCGAGTAGAAACGGCATAGATCGGCGCTTCAGTATAACTACTGGAGTTTTAAATTTTTATTTTTAAAAACCTGATAGTAGTGAAACTGAAATAACATTTCAAAAAAATTCCTAATTGCAGAGGAAGCTCTGAATGAAATGAAACGCGAAAAGAAAAAAGCAGATAAGCAGTCTTTCTCTTTTCTCGAAATCCTTCAACACGATTCGCACCGGTATGAAACGTTTTTTTTTGACTCTCAAAAAAGAACAACTATTCAGATTTTCTTTTTTTCTGGTACTCGTTTGCGCTCTGATACCAGTGTTTTCGGCTGTCAACGTCAAAAGCCAATACCTCATCACTATGCTCATATCTTTCGGACTTTCTCAGTCCGACGTAGGTTCTGCGTTATGATGCTGTACAAACAGGATTTACAGGCAACGACGACCTTGATGGTCATCTCCGGAGCCTCTCTTCCGGTTGGATTCGTTGCTCCGGTTCTCATTGAAAAGTTCGGCAGACGTCCCTTGTTTGTAACTATCACCGTTCTTTGCGCTCTTGAGTGGTTCGGCTTCGCATTGGCTCAGGCTTTCAGTGACTTTGAAATTCAGGTATGGAAATACTGCTGTTCAAAAAAATATATCAAAAAAATAAAAAAAGTTTTGCTCAACTTTAGAATTAATAAATATTGAAGTTTCTATTGCAAAGAATTTATGGTTTCATAGAAACTTGTCTGAAAAAAAGAAGAGTTTTCTTAAATGTGTTTCTCAGGTTTTTATGAGCTGTGAAAACAATTTCAATGGATGTAAGTCTGTTCTATAATCTTTGGCGATCGTTCAAACGATTATTGAAAAATTTTATAAGAGTTTCAAAGCCGTTTTAGGGTTCTTTTTTTTTGTTGATTTTGACTTCCAAGACTTCTGCGCCATTAGAAACCTCAATATGGATTATTCGAGAACCGCAAACGAAGATTTTTTAAAATAATAACCCAACTGTCGGAAGAATGGAACTAACAATGCCAATAACAGACTCCTTTACAATGGATCTTGGCGGTGAGTGCGGCGATCCTGGGCCAAAGCGCTTTGAACATGGGTCTTCTCGTGATGGCACCTATTTTGATTTCTGAAGTTTGCCCTCACAACATCCGCTCAACTGTCTCTCAGGTCGCATAAGTTGGGTTCCGATACTGAACTTCTTGTTTTAGTTCACACAAGTGCCTCCAATAGTGATCGCCGCACTTGAGGTGTTCATGTTTCCGACTCTACGGGCTCACTTTGGCTTCACAATGTTCCTTTTTCTTGGATCATCTTGTGCTGCCCTCGCCTTCATCCTCCACATACAGGTTATATTCAAACCTTGAAAAAAAAAATAAATTTATTTTGGCAGATGCTGGAAACGGCCGGATTAGCGGTCGACGAAATCGTGCACCGAATTTCGGCCAACCGCAGAAGAGCTCACACGGCCATCGGATGGACGCACTACGGGAGTCTCTGGGACGAGGAGCCACCTCGCTTTTTCCCGCACTCTGAGAGCTCCAGCCTCATCTCTAAAAGCAGCAACGCTAGTTTCGTAGAAATGAACAGCCAGTACAAGTCTATTTCCAATTATCTTCCATCTAAGACCTCTTTACTGACAAGTCCTTCTTGAAAAAGTTCATATGTCTACGATTTTTTTCGCACTTTTCAAACGTTTTATGGGTTTTTTGTGCGGGTCAGTTCATGATCTTGTTTTTTTGTTCAGCTTTATTGAAAAACAGTTCTGAGTCTAAATAAAGCCATTGATTTATCTTTCATGTTCGACTACGAAATGAGGAAATCTTTTAAAAGAGAAAATTGGAATTTTTTTTTCGCAGTCTATTGGAAGGCGTTTTGATATTTTCAATAACTTCAGAGTTAGAAAACGATTACCAAAAATAACCGGGGGCGCACAAGGTGGGTCCGAGCAGGCTTATGCATCAGGTCAGGTGGCCCGGGCGTTGGGCCTCATTTTTTTGAGAATAAATTTGCGCGGGCTTGGGCCGGGCCGGGTTTCGAAAAATTCAAAACTTCATCAAAAAAATTTTTCACCGAAAAAAATTCTTTTTTTACTTTTTAAAAATCTTAGTTTCTGTTGAGCTCTGAATTTTAAAAAAAATGAGCAAAAACGAGACTTTATGCCGTGTTCAAAGTAATTTCCGCGAAATGCAAAATGGTCTCTGACCCTCCAAAATTTAGTTATCTTTCTCTTTCTCTGACGGCTATTTTGAATTTCGCGGAATCACTTTGAACACGGCATTATAAAGTCTCGTTTAGTTGTGAAGAAAACTTGATATTCGACTTGGAAAAAAAAATGAGCTTTTTTTCGGCTGGTTATTTTTTTCCTTGAGACCCCGCTAAGGCCAGGGCCTGAGGTTGAGCAGGCTTGTGCGAGCCCGCCACCCTCCCGGCCCCCCGACCATTTCGTAAGCCCGGCCTTAGCGGGACCTCAAGAAAAAAATGGCCCGCCCGGCCCGAAACGCGCAATTTTTTTAAAAGTCGGATATTAAGTTTTTACGACAAAAATTACGTTTTTTTGCTCATTTTTTTCACTTCAAGTTCAACAAAAACTATGATTTCAAAAAGTAAAAGTAACATTTCGGTGAAAATTTTTTAAATGAAATTTTAAATTTTTTTTTGAAGCCCGGCCCGAGCCCACGCGGGCTTTTCCTGTAAATAAGGCCCAAAACCCAGGCCGGGCTGCCCGGCCTAACGCACAAGCCTGGGGTCGAGTCAGATTTCGCCGTTCGGCAATTTTTCTGCGCTCCATCGCTAACGCAGTGGAAATTTTTCCATTTTCCTGTAGATTTTCAAAGTTTTGTATATATGCCGTGCTCAAAGTGATTCCGCGAAATGCAAAATGCCCGTTAGAGAAACGAAAAGATAACTAAACTTAGGAGAGTCAGAGATCATTTTGCATTTCGCGGAAATCACTTTGAACACGGCAACAATTTTGTTTTTGCTTACATGCCTCGTTCATAGTTATCTTGGTGAACTCGAAATTATCTCCGAAACTTCGAAAGTTTTTCTTTTATTTTTCACTTTCCGACGATCATTTCAAGTCTCCTGTAATTATTTTCAACACGGAATTGACTTTACCGTTTTTAACATTTTCACTAAAGTAATGCATCATCAATCACTATTATATAGAAATAATTTATAATTTAAATTTGAAATTAAAAAAGAACGAGAAGGTACTGCAATTCGCTTCTAATTTTTTTATCAATTCAAAATTCAAACGAAATTGAAATAAAAGAGTTTATTTACAGGTATGTTAAAAACCGAATGCGGTTTATTTATTTGTATTGTTATTATGTACTGCGAAGTGTGCAGAAAATCAAAGAAGAGAGACAGTAGGATTGTCATCGGAAGAGGAAGCCGTGGTTTCGCCATTTAGCGGCTAAATCGAAATTTGGTATTGTAATGATTATTGTTAGAATTTCTAAATAATTTTAGATGCTCTCAAAATATCTTTCGACGATTTGAACCCTGACGACGTTGAGAGTCGACCTGTAGAACCAGCACAGACCGCCGGTGAAGAGTTCACATTGGAGAAAAAAGCTGTTTTGACTCCGTTCGTTGTTATGTTTGAACCATAATGTGTTTATTTACTTTGAAGAGATGTCAATGAGCAAGCAGAAGCTTTCTTCACTCGAGCATTATCGTTCCTAGAGCGAGGAAAAGGTCATGGGAGAGATGGAAAAATGGCCGCCTACAAGCTCATTGAACAAACGAGTCTTCTCGGCCACACCGAATCTCAGAAATTGATTGGTGAGAGTTCTCAAAGTCTGCTTTTTGAACAGTTTCTTCCAGCGTTCGCTTACATGTTAGGCGACTATGCTCGCTGGTCGACGGAAGAGGCGAAGAAAATCTTCATGGAACTGCAGTCGACTGGCTCTCCCGATTCTCAACTAGGTAGCATCGAGTTTTTGTGAATTTCAAATCAAATGGTTGTTTAAGCGCTGGGTTTCATGCACGCGACGGGGATCGGCTTCAGTAAAACCAATCAAGCCAAAGCATTCGTTCATTATATGTTCTCTGCACTTGGCGACAACCCTCTCGCACAAATGGCCATGGTTATTTTCTCTTTTTTATCGGAAACTTTGATTTGATTTCAGGGTTTTCGATATCACGCAGGTGTGGGAGTACCGCAGAATTGCGAGACAGCTTTGTCTTATTACCAAAAAGTAAATATAAAACTGAAAATTAGTCGGGGCTATGACTTTGTTTCGAAAATCTATCTGTCTATTCGATTTTGTTTTGGATATTAATATTTGAAGGGAAGAAAAATCTCCAAAAAATATTTAGGTTGCAAAGAAAGTAGCAAGTGGAGTTAGATTCGCCACGGGATTGGCGATCCAAAGAGTTCGTTTGACTGACGAAGCGGTTCGTTGGAATAATGTTACCTCTGCTCACGGAAAGTTGGTTCAGGATCCGACTGTAACTTCTATTCCCAACACGACGCCTCTAGATCCAAACCTACTTGAGTACTACCGAATGATTGCAGAGAAAGGAGACGTCTCGGCTCAAGTTTGTTGCTACAATTAGTTTCACATCACTGTTAAGTTCAGCTGAGTCTTGGTCAAATATACCTTTCTGGAAATCGCGGTGTGCAACAGGACTACGAATTAGCTTACAAGTTGGTATTTCTTGGGGAAACCTCTTGGGAACCTGTTCTCAGGTACTTCTCGGCGGCGGGAGAAGCGGGAAACACGGCGGCGTACGCTTTTCTGGGGAAAATGTACCTTGACGGAACTTCTTCCACACCTGCCAACAACAGAACTGCTTTCCAGTTCTTCCTCAAGGCTGCCGACAAGGTTTCCAATTTTTTTTTCGTATTTTAAACGAGCTGCTAAACTCAGCTCATTCCACATGCCTTCGATTCGATAGGAAAAAAGGAACCTTGATATTGCAAACAAAATATTTTGTGAATTGAAGAAGATCGAAAATAACGCTTAAGTGAAGTCATTGAAAAACTTTCTTGATGACCAATAAAGGACGTTTCAAGGAAAATAAAAAAAAATTCGTGCATTTTGTTTTCTAATCAGTCCTTATCTCTTGTTTCATGCAGGCAAATCCGAACGGACAAGCGGGACTGGGAATCATGTACTTGCAAGGGCGTGGGGTGAAGAAAAACATCGACAAAGCTTTCAAATTGCTCACTCTGGCCGCTGAGCAAGGACACGTCGATGGACAACTTTTTCTGGGCGAAATGCATTACAGTTCGTTCTCAGCCAATAATTTGAAAAATTGACGCGGATTTCAGAAGGTATTCCTACCTCAGCTGGTTACAAACGTGACTTCAAAACGGCGCTCCGTTACTTCCAGGTGCTGCATCTTTTTTTTATCCGAGTCGTTAATCATTATAAGCAAAAAAAGTTTCTTTTTCGTGTTTAGAAAACTGAGGAAAGTAGAAAAAAAGATTTTTTCGGTCTACCATAGTTCATGTGTAGAAAAAAAGATTTTTTCGGTCTACTATAGTTCATGTGAAAGAAACAAGGAAACTTCATTCTATGATTGGACACAGATCAATTATGCCGTTCTTTCACATCGTCTAAATACAAATTATAAGAAAGTAAAAATGAAAACAATGTTTTGAAGAAGCCTATGAATAATTTCTTTCTTTCGAAACTTTTCTTTTTCCAGATGGCTTCTCAGAATGGCCATGTCCTAGGATACTACAATTTGGCTCAGATGCACGCAACAGGTATGAGTGCAAATTTCTTCACTTTTTTTGAAGTTTTCGAAATATTAATAAGTATTATGAGAGTCAAGGGGCTGGGAATGGCAAAAGAAAGTTTTCTTTGAGACTTGAAAATCGAAATTTTTGACACATGCTGGTTCTTTTTATTTCGAAAATTTGAGGAACGGGCGTCGGGCGGTCGTGCTCCCACGCGGTTGAACTTTACAAGAGCGTCGCGGAACGGGGTCGATGGGGCGAACGATTGATGGAGGCCTACTCTGCTTACAAGGTTTTTCTTTTACATTTTCATGTGCTTCTCGATATTTTCAGTTATTCTCCGCAATACGCGGAAGTATAATTAACTATATTATTAATATTACTAACTGACGGAATCTGTGAAAAACTTTCTTTTTTTAAAAACGACGTTTCTAATGACATAGACTAGAGTTCGCTTGAGGCTTTGAAGAAAATTCAGAAAAACTCTAAAATATGTTTCCTCTTTATTAGAAACCGAAGCAAAACAGTTATAATCGCAATTTTTCCGATAAGGATATTCAAACTTTCAACTCCAAAAACAAGTATACATTGTCTAGTGAGCTTTGTTTATAATGACATAGACTAGAGCTCTGAACTTTCAAAACGCATCATCAATTTATTTCAAGTTCTCCTAGCTCCTACTAACGTGTGTTTCAGGCAGGACGTCTCGACGAGGCTGCAGTCAAGTACATGTTCCTTTCGGAGTTAGGATACGAAGTGGCGCAGACTAACTTGGCGTTTATTCTGGACAGAGGTCGGACTGCTGTTTCTCACAGCGAAACTCTTCGATTTGTTCAGGAGAGGCGAAATCTCTGTTCCACACAGACCGGGAGAACAATCTCGAACGGGCCTTCCTCAACTGGCAGCGGTCGGCCAACCAGGAGTACGCGTTGGCGCGTATCAAACTCGGCGACTACTACTACTACGGCATCGGCACTGCGCCCGACCGCACTATGGTGCTTCGACGATTCCCCGGCTATCTGACTCCATTGTTTCAGGCCTTCTCCAACTACAAACTTGCGGTGGATCGTCACGCCCAGGCGCAGGCCATGTTCAATCTCGGCTACATGCACGAGGTCGGCGAAGGCATCACCCGAGTACGTCTTCTTTATTTTATACTCTCAAAAAAAGAACTGTTATGATTCAAAAAACCATGTGAACCATATCTTAACATTGAGTTTATTGTTTAATGCGGTTCTCGCAGACTTGAGGAAATTTTCCATCTCGGGCTATGGGAGAATCTTTGATTATAGTGGGAAAATTTTCCGTTTGTACCTCTTTTCGCAAAAAATCTGCATAAATTAGACGAAGCGATTCTTTTATATTGAAATCGTCAGATTTGAAAATAATTCACACGTTTTCACAATTATTTGTTTTCTTATGAGGAAGTTCACTCTTAGGCTTCACTGAACAACACATGGAAAATATTGAAGTTATTAACAAGCTGTAGCTAGGAACCGACAGGAGCTTGTGTAGATGGAACTGTTGAAAGGGTTCATAGTGAGGGTATGCCGTAATTAAACATGTCTTCTGAGATCTTTTAGATTAGAAGCTTCTCGGGGTTTCTGAAAGGACAGAGACCTTTTCCAGCTTTATTATTGATGTAGCACGAATTGAATATTTTACTTTTTTCTCAATTTCTTCTGCAGGATTTGCATTTGGCCAAGAGGTTCTACGACATGGCTATCGAGCACAGTTCTGATGCCTACGTTCCATCGAAGCTGGCTTTAGCCAAATTGAACGTCGTCTTCTTTTTGGAAGAAATCAATCAGGTACGATATAAAAGTTCTACTATTTTTTCCTTCCTTTGTTATTCCTTTTTCCAGAAAAATGGATATTTTTCAGATGCCTGTCGTGAAGTTCATCGAACAGCATCTGGGCCCTTACTGGGACATTTTTCTCATGGGAATCCTTCTCTTAGTCCCGTCGGCTATCTTTTTCTACCGACAAAGAATATTATGATGAACTTTATAATATGATGTGATTACATAATGATCTTTTCATGATATAATTTATTTTCCGTCATCACTCTCGCCACTTCTTTCCCATGTATACGAGCCGTTTCACTCTTCATTGTGAGTTCCTAGATAAGATTATTTTACTTATTGTTAATTTATTCGGGTTTCGACGTCTTATTAACTTGTATAAGTCAATTTTAATAAAATCTCGGGGTTATATTTGAATTTTCTTTTTTTTTTCACTTTTGCTGTGTTCATCGGCTGAACTATTCTAAACTTTTGATTGTGCGGAAAATGTTGTTTTACTATGATTTTTCAATTCAGATGTCTTCGTTGTTGCCCTTTACACAAATTCGAACAAACACTGTGAACTTCTTCATGAGAAGTTGCTCATTTTTAGGTTTTCTTCTCATAATTATACTTTCCAGGGAGTGGAGGAGAGCTCTGGAAAACCCTGACCTCTGTTTCGAAGTCTGGTCAAAAGAAAGGACGTCGCAATACAAGACAGCCTGTCAGACCTCTTCAAAAGTTTTATCGCATTGGATCAAGTTCGTTCGATTCTTCCGTAAAAGTTTGAGCGTTAGAATTTTCTACTTTAAAATTTTAAGTTCTTAAAATTTTCAATTTTTATCGAAAGAAATTAAAATAATTTATGGGATTTCTCCGAGTAATTGCTATGCTTGAAATTCTCGGTTTAACAGGTCCAATGAAAGTGCAATTTCCTGGCTTGAATGCTCCTCTGGGAGAGATGAGGGATCATTCGGTCATTGACTTAGCCGAACAAACTGAGGAAGAAGTCAAGGAATCCTTCGGAGCTGTTCGAAAAACTTTGGAAGAGAAAGACAGGTGTCGATTGAAGAAATGAAGTCGAGAAACGACTTTTTCAGCGGTCGGAAGAAAAGAAACCGCGAAAAGTTGCATCCTATGGAGCGCGGATTCAGCGGAACTCAACTCGTCGGCCAGAAACTCGGTCCTCCGCCGCCCTCGGATGGCGTCGACTACAGCAATTTCGAGACCTACTGTCTTGAGGTTACACTTCGAAAAGCTTTTATTTCGAAAGTGCATTTTCGGGATAATACTCTGAAAGTTCTTTCTTTCTGATTTCAAACCAGCTCTTCGAAAAAACAAACCAAGAGAAACTTTCTTTTATTAAAAGCGTTATTGATTCACAAAAAATACTCTATGGCGGTTATAAATCTTTCTTTAGTCTTGATTTTACTCCCCTTTTTAAGAATCATCCAAATTTTTAATTTTTTGCAATACATTAAAGTTTTTTCTAGTACCTGTTTGTGCAAAAAAAAAAAACACTTGTATAATTGAATATCCATTATCGTAAATCTATTTTGGAGAAAAAAAGAATGTTTCCGAAATGAGAAGTTCAGGTCAAAAGGACTTCGAACATGACGAACGTGTTTGGCCGAGTGCATACGATGTCAGCCCTTGTTGTAACGGGAAATGGAAAAGGCCTGGCTGGGTATGCGGTCGGAAAAGTGAGCAAAAATCGAGACGCTCGAAGAAAACATTCTCTCAGGCCCCCATCCACAGAACCACCACTGCCATCATCAATGGCATGAATATGGCTGCCAGGAAAATGTTCTTTGTTGAGTTACACGAAGGTCGCACCATCTTCCAGGTGAGCAGACGGAAAGTTGCAGTTAGGAGAGAAGAGAAGTTTCAAAGTGGGAAAACAATTTCACACAAAAATGACCTCCTCTGTCAGCATTAGTGGCCAAGATTTTTTCTATCCAAAATGAATTATTTCCCGCATTAAAAGAGTTTGTCTGTAGGACTTTTACGCGGAATGTCGTAACACCAGAGTTTTTGCACAACGACGGCCGCCTGGCTACGGACTGACTTGTCATCCGCGACTCATCAAAATTTGCGAAGTTTCTTCCCTCCGAATATTTCATTCTAACTGATTCCTTGTTTTTAGGCGATCGGAATCAAGGACATTTACGTCAAAGTCGAGGGATCCACGAAGAATTATTTGGCTCTAACTCATGCTTTTGTGACCGGACTTCTCAACCAAGAAACTCACCAACAGCTTGCCGAGAGAAAAGGTCGAGGAACTCTGAAAAAAAAAAAAGAAATAACGGAGACGTTTTTAGGTCTTCATGTCGTGGAGATGTCGCCGTCGCGCCATTTCTTGCCGCTAATTGTCGCTTCTCCGATTTCCACCGAGCTAAAAGTCGAAGATGAACTTGAAGCCATAGACGTCAGTTTTCTTGACCTCATGATTATTTCCTTGTTCCAACACTCTTTTTTTCTCTCATTTTTAGTTCTGGGTTAATGTAGGGATTTTCATGCGAAAAATTACTACGAAATATACTTTCACACGTCAGTTTTAAATTTTCCAAAAAAAATGCTTATTTTTTATCGTCAAATTGTGGTGCTACAGGGAAGTGAGGTAGTATGTGATCATCTCCAGAACAAGGTTGGGGTACGAAAGTTAAAACTATCAGACAGGAAAGTGTGAATCAGATTAGGATTTTATCAGACATGAAAATTTAATAGGTTTGTAAATATAGCGCGAGAGACTGTATGTGCATTATTAAGTAGTTATGCATAGAAATTTTGGTAAGATTCCTCGAAAGTAAAAAAAAAAGAGATGAAGGCGGAAAAATAACAAGGCAATTGCAGCGGTTGAATTTGGACGACTTTTATGGAGAAGGCCGATATCCTCTGCGCAAACCGAAGGAACTTCCATTTTTCGCGAATCTGGAAGGTCACTTGGAAGCGAGGTGGCGAAAGCATCCATTCAGGAATCACGAGTCGGTAAGGATCCGAGCTGGAGATGTGCCTTAAGAAAAAAGAACAGGTCATGATTCGACTGCTTTCCGACGGCGTCGTGCCGCGGTGGACGCGAGATGCGCGACGCTCTTGGGCCGCCGAGCGACACGAGCGACTGACGACCGGCGTCGAGTCGCTGCCCCTCGGCATCGGACTTTCAGACATCGTCGAGAAGAAGGAAGACTGACACTTTCCACCTTTTTGCCGGTTTTCTCATCTCATTATTCTGAGGTGTTAGATTCTGAGAAATATTTGATCTTTTCGGCTTGAAAGTTAGGTTCTAAAAACATGATTCTATTTTCGAAACAAATTACTTTCAAAATCCAACTTGGACTTTTTTCATATTTTTGTTTAAAGTCGAGAATTTTCTATTGAAAAAAATAAGAAAAAAACTTTATACATTTTTCGTTAGTAGACATCGTCATAACTCGTACACGAGCTTGGATTTTTTGGACCGTTCTGTACTTTCAAAAGCACTGTGAATGATTTATAAAAGATCATTTATTTTTGGCTGTAGCAATGCAGTGTTTCCACTGTACTTCACGAGTTTAGATTAGGAAGTTTCGCCTTTTTGTTTTTTGTTATTTCTTTTTTGTTTGAATGAAATTATTTTACGTTTTGGATATTTTTCATACAGAAATTTCAATGAATCATGATTTCAATGGCGTTCAAAACTTTCATTCACCAAATAAAAAAAGAGAGTTTAGAGAGGATCTATGCATGATAAGGATGTTTTTGTATGATTCTTCAGCCCATCCGTTGAAGGTAGCTACCGTACAAGATTTTTCGCAGGTTTTTTTCAAATCTCCTCGCTTATCGCCGAAATCTTTTTTTGAAACTAAAAAAATATATTATTAGTTCTTGGAAGGAGGATTTCTTTACCTTCTAAACAATCCATATCGAAAATCTTAATCATTTCTTCGATGCAGTTTTCATCTCCACCGCAAACGACCAATGAGGAACAATCCATTTTTCCTGAAAACTTGAAAATTTGAAAAAAGTTCTGTCGAGAAAATAGTTGGACCGAATTTCTTCTTGGTTATAAGAACTACTGATACCATAAAGGGAGGAAGTAAGGGTTTTTCAAGAATCACGTCACTTGAAAAATTTCTCCTATGGGAACTGCGAAACTTTGTAAACAGCCGCTTCTTTTAGAAAATTCTGTCCGTCTTTTGATTCAGTGATGAATTTTCCATTCTACAAAGATTCTTTTTTTTCTCTGATTTTGATCAATGAACCGGTACGATAACAAAAAAATACGTGTCTGGTAAGTTTAGAAGCTTTATAGAAAGCGCAAACCTTCTTTGTGTTCTACTGGCGCTGCAAAGACCAAACAAATTAAGATGGCGATGCAAACTATGATCTTGGCGATCATTACGGGGCCCTCGTCTGAAAACAGAAGACGTAGGTGAACAGCAAATATATAAGTCCGCCAGATAGTCCACGTCGAGAACGGAAATGGTCGTCGTGCTCGGAAAAATTCAAAAAAGATGCATATATGACGTGGGGGCGGGGCTATTCTATCACCGCTTCGAAGAGCGTTTCTCTAGTAAGCCTACCTCGAGAACCACGCCTTTGCTTGAATAAAAAAAGAAACTTCAGACAACCCAAATAATCTGAAAAGTAAGTTTTTATCTAAACTTCAACAACGTATTCGAAAGAAATTATGAAACTCCTCTGAAACCCAATTTTCCAAATCGCTCAGATTTCGGGAGGATCATATTTGCAAAAAACAATTTAATTTTCCTATTTTTCCGTCTGTGCTCTCGCGCACCATCGAAAGACAGATGTACTACCAGTTTTGTTGAGTCTATCAGGGCGCTCGCTTATTAAGAGGTTGGTATAATATGCAAATGAACTTGAGGCCTGCAAACGGCGTTACGAGTGTCATTTGCAAGTTGTTGACCGAATCCGTCTAGAACTAAAAGTAGTCAAACTAGAGAGGCAAATGATTGTTGAGCATCGAATCGCTGGGTTTGGCAGGCTAAAAGAAGTTCGACCAGGAAGAAATGACAATTTTTATTTTCTGACAGGACGGGAGAGAGATGAAACCTGTGATCTTAATGAACAGTAGAAAAGAAAAGCTCATGGTGTCTTTTCAGAGCAAGATAGCATCTCCGAAACGGCTTTTCGAAAATTTTGGCTTTGAATTTTTATTAGCAATATTCCCCCACGTCATCTGTTTGCGCAAAACCCTGCACTATACTTTGAGCTGAAGATATTTTTTCGTGTAAGTCAAAAGGCGTTTCCAGTACATTGTTTGAAAGAACTTCTGTGGATTTCGTTGAAAAGGGCGCGTCTTCGGAAAAAATATCCAGTGCTGTCTTTTTTTTTCCAAAAGCGATGAAAGTTCAAAAAAAGAACTGTAATTCCTTGGAAATTCTATCTTAAGATTGTGGAGTTTAAGAATTGACCAGAAAATGAATCTTGGTCATTTGTGAAATTGGCACGAGCAGAAAAAGATTACTTTGAAATTAGACTTTCCTCTAGAAAACAAGTGGTTGAAGATCGGAAAAAAGACTACAAAGCGTTCAGAATTGGTTCATCAAAAGAGAAAATTGTTGCCTACGAATGACGATATATTTTTTTTGAATGGTCGAAGTTTCTGAATTTTTTCATCAGAACAAAATAAAAAGAAAATGTTGGAGTTTTGGTAGAAATAGCAAGGTCAGAAGTCGACATTTTGAGTATTAAAACTAGAGAACACGTTTTTGTTTAGAAGTTCCGGACATGTATTGTTTCCTTTTCTGCGTCAAGATTCGCGTGAGATTCATCTTCAGTGGACCGTGTTCATAACTTTGAAATAATTCATTAGGGAATAATTTATGGTGTTTGGTCCGGAAACCTTGTGATTTCCAACAGATTGAGCGATAAGTTATAGTTTTTTGTTTCATCTTCTTTTTTCTGTGTCAGACGGGAGTGCACTGGAAGAAGTGCCGTAGCGAGGAAAAGCCTTGGCGAGTAGACTTTTCAGCGCGACTGTCCCACCAACACGACAGCCTTATCTAAAGGGATCCAGTTTGTTACGCAATCCTACTTGTAAGACGCGGCGGCGGCCAGTATAAAATGCAGTACAAAGCGATTGGTGATACAAGTTGGTCCGTGTCTTTTTCTGATCATTTCTTCACTCCAAGGGCTTAGAATGCGCAATTTGTGGCTCCTGCTGGTCGGCGTCGGATTCGCCCACGCCTTCTTGTTCCCTTCGTTGGGAGGTGGCGGTGGAGGCTGCGGCTGCGGCGGCGGAGGTGGAGGTCCGTTTCTTGTTTGACACTTCGAGTGAACATAAAATTTCCTTGTAAATGCCCACTTGGAAGGAATGAAATGATCTTCTTCAGGATGCGGCGGCGGCTGCGCTCCACCTCCACCTCCACCTTGCGGCGGAGGCTGCGGAGGTTCGTTTCATTAGCTTTACCGGAAAGTATTGTTCAATACCGATTTATATTTCTTACTATTTAGTTGTAAGATTGTTAAATTTTTCGAAGTATCCAAAAAAAAATAATAAACATGTAGTAGTAAGCGAAAAAATTAATGCAGAAATTGGAGAAGGCTCTTTTTTTTGTATGGACATGTTTTTTCTGGTTTCGAAATATCTAAATTTTGAAAAACTCAACGATCTCAAACAAGAATTTTCTCTTCTAGAAGGACTTAGAGTGTTTGGTTTTTTTTAAACCTCGATGGAAATTTATTAAGGACAGTTTTCTATTCCATTGAAATCTCTTTGTTTAAGCCTCTTTTGCAACTTGAGGAAAATATTGTTTTGATCATTGTGTCATTCTGGAAAAACAGCAATATAAGATTTGACCTCAACCAGATCCCTTTTCAATAATAAAAGACACAATATTTTTTCCCAATCTCTCCTTTGAATTCGAGCCGACATCAAAGTTTTGTTTTGAAAAAGTGTTCAGGAGGCGGAGGATGCGGCGGCGGCTGTGCTCCTCCACCACCTCCACCTCCATCTTGCGGCGGAGGCTGCGGAGGTTCGTTTTTTCCTTGGTACCTGTTCATCTTGAATGCATTAAATTCCAGTTTACAAATGAGATCTTTTTTTTTAAATTGTCAAAACGCTCTGTGAAGGTTTAGAAGAAGATCCCTCAAAGTGCTGTTTGCAAAAAAATCTATTTATTGATATATGAAATTTCATGGTTGATTATTTCAAGCCTGATTTCGTGTCGAAAGCTGATATTGAAAAATCCTATTCTCACTAAAAAAGTGTCCGCAAATAGTGACCATGTTGAATGATTTTCTAGACCTCTAAAATAACTTGAGCGAAATATGGGAAACTGTAAATTTCACGCAAAAATGCCGTTTCTGGTCAGTAATTGGAGGACTCTTGTGACTATTCGAAATTTGTTTTAGAAAATTGAGAAAAAGTTTTCGGTTCACATTTCTGGGACCCTAAGTTTCAAACTTTATTTTCTGAACCTTTATAGACCCTCAGCTCAATTTTCTATTTCTATTTTCAAAAAAGTAGGCGTAATCGAATCATATTGAGAAAGAATTTTTCAGGCGGCGGCGGCGGATGCGGCGGCGGTTGTGCCCCTCCACCACCTCCACCTTGCGGAGGAGGTTGCGGAGGTTCGTTTTTCCGTTCTGCTTTGTTTTCAGCTCTGTTTTCTTCCTATTTTTTGATGATAGACATAATCTGTTCTCTATAAGAAACGTGTTTCCAGGAGGTGGCGGTTGCGCTCCTCCAGCGCCATCTTGCGGAGGAGGATGTGACTCTGGTTCGTTTTAGTTTCCTGTTTAGAAAATGCGGCTTAAACTTGGAAAAAAAAAGACATTTCTCGAAAAACCTAGAGAAAACTATGCGAGAGTTTAGGCTGCGGAGGAGGAGGAGGCGGCGGCTGCGCCCCACCGCCACCTCCGCCAGCTCCTTCCTGCGGAGGAGGATGCGGTGGCGGCTGCGGAAGAAAGAAACGCGAGGCAGTCAACCTCATCTCGCACGAAGACGCCAGCAAGTGCAACAGCGAGGAACTCAGACTCATCCTCTCTCAGGTCAGTCATTGTCAATACCCGAATCTCCGAAAAGAACTTGATCAAACTTGGGAATGTTTATTAACCGTACTCTGTTATCAGAGCTGCTGTTTCAGAACATAAAAAGCACGACTTCTGAGTCGATCAAGAGCATCAAGGAGCAGCTTTCCGGAGCACAGGACTTTGTGATCGTTTGCAACGACAAGCCGACGCCGTTCACCGCGGAGGCCGACGAGTACTGTCAACACCAGAGCAACGACGTCCACTGCACTATCCTCAAGATCACCTCCACTGAGCAAAAGGTTTCGAGACGAAGAAACATTGAAGACATTTCACAAATCTTTCAATTTTTTTTATAAATTGACTAAACTTCATAAAACGGGAAATAACTATATAAATTTTCTCCTCGGTCTAGATTTTAGTTCTGGAATTCATCTTTCTCAAAACTTCATGCTATTTAATTAGTTATTAGCATCTTGATGTACAGAAAACGTTCCATTGAAGTGAAAAATTATGTTTCGGTATTTTGATTGTTTTACAATCCTAAGTAACTCGATATAATCTCGGCGTTTTCACAAAACGTTTCCGGATCTTTCATTCTAAGTAAGTTCTTATTATTTTTGGTGTCATATATGATCTCAGCGATTTTTTTTTGAAAACCCTAATTTTTTCAGAAAGTCGAAGAAGAGACGCCAAAAGATGCAGTAATCGAGAAATCGACGGAAGTCTCTGATTCGGCTGAAGTCAAGGCCGAATGAACACAATTTAGTCATAAATATTATTCAAATCGTTCGTTTATAAATGCGTTATAAAAAACCGTGAAAGAAAACAACGAAACAAAACCAAAAAAAAAACCATTGTTGAATTCAATTGTTTCAAATTAGCTATGGAACTGGATTGATCGAAGAGAAAAACAGAAGAGGTTCTGAGGGTTCTCGGAGAGGAGAAAACCACATATGGCACAAGCGGAAAAGAGCGAAAAGGGGGAGGTGACCGGTGCCATCGATTTTGTGCCCAAACACGGCTACCCCACATATTTTCTTGCGATTCAAGCATCTTCGGAGAATATGTACTTTTTTTTGAACTTTATTCTATTTTGTAGCTCAATCTTCCGAGAAAAGTTGTTTATTATGAAATTTTCTTCAAAAAAAAGTAATTAACTTGGATTTTTCTTTGTAAAAATATCGCTGTTTGTAGGTCTAATATCAAAAATTGATTTTTTTTATTAAACCGATTCGTCCTGAAAAATTTTTCTTTCTTCTTTTTAATTGTGCTTATCATCTTGAACTTTTTCAAGCTTGTAACTCTTTTTCCTAATTATTATTTCGTTTTAAATTGTACATTGAGCTCAAAACGCAATTTTATTTTATTTTCCAAATACCAACCCGCTTTTTCAGCCTTTGCGCAGGGAAAAACGGTTTGTTTACCTGCGCAACATGCCAAATTTATTTTCACCGCTGTTTCTGTTCTTTTTTTCTTTAGCTGCAATAAGAGAAACTCATTTATTCAAAAATTTAGGATCTGTAAAACTAAGATTCTGCATAAGTTGAAGGCAAAAAAAGGTTCTATCTTTGTTCTCCGCCAAATTAACTTTAGAATAAACTTTGAAAGTTCAGAGGGCACATTTTCCAATTTTTGTTAACACCATCATTTCTTACTTTCGTATCCGTTTTCAAAAGTTTTTTTGGATCAAAAGAAATATAATAGAAAAATAAAGATAAAAATTCTCTTTATTTAATGGACTAGACTTGATATTCTTGTTTTAACACATAGCGCACCATTTATGCCTAATTCTCAAACGGGAAAAACGTTTTTTAATGCTATTCGTAATGCTATTTAAAATCGTAATATAGTAAGAAGATTTTAATAAGCGAATATTATATATTCTACAATATATTCCACTTTGAATTAAAGAGTTGATTATATCGGGTTCGTTGTCAATAGTGCATACAAACTTTCAATATTCGTTTAACGGTAGATGTATATATCTACCGCATAGCTTTTTTCGGATATTCTTTTAATATCACGGCGTTCTTTTGACGATTTCCCGCCCACAAATTTCGTGATATTTGACGTCTTTGGTGCATACACAAAACGACGCTATTTCGCATTCTCATTAAATTCAAGAATAATTTTTTTTTTTTCTGCGAAAATTGGCGTTTTTTCAACACCATATGGTGCACCGGTACTTTTTTTTAGAGTATGTTGCTTTGTATTCATTGCGTAAAACACAGAAGTTTTATCGCAAGCCAGAAATAAAATCCAAACCATACCGTAAAACGATTGAAAGATTATTCTTTCGAATTTCGACCATTTTTCGGTTAAGTCTCATGGTTTTATTTGGGTTTATCTTATACCTGTCTATTTGAATCGGGTCTTCATCAATTTTTCCGCGTTCGAAATTTTTTCGAATACGGTATTTGCATGTATACTTGTGTATATTTCTTAGTTTTTGATGAGTATAATCAATTTTCAGTCTTAGGCAGAAAAATGAGAAAGCTACCCTGAGAGAGAATGAGATGGCGTTTTTTCTACGCGAAGTTATTCAAAACGGAGAATCTGCGGAGGATTCAACGGCTCTAACTGAGTCGTCAAAGGTTTCTCACGATTATGCCAGTCTCATGTACCACTGTGTGGCCCAAACAAGGAAGAATGAAATTTTGAAGATTTCAAGCAATAAAGAAGTCGAGGGCAGAGGTATGTTCGGCTTGTCGCATAATCTGAACTTTTGAGTTTTTCGAAGAGCTTTCACGAAAAGAAGAGAAGTATGTGTTGCCGACGAGTGATATCCTCGAGGCGAAGTACGTCGTCGGCGCTCCATCGCTCTTTGCTTGTGTCGCAATGGCCAAAACTATTGTGACCAGGTGTTTCAACTTCACTTTTTTTTGAATCTTCTTTCTCTTTTTCTTTTTTTGGAGAGATTCGAAGAAAAAATAGAGAAACCAGCAGAGAGATAAGCTAACGAGGAGATAGGAAAAACTAGCAAATTTTCCAGTTTTCCTAAATTTTGCATTTCGATTTTACTGCTGGCTCCAATCAAGTATGAAAGACTGAAAAACAGTATTACAAAACAAAAAAGTAGTTTTTTAATCTTTTTCTTTTGTGAAAAGCTAGTAGACGCAGAATTCGTGACCGATTCCAGAAAATTACATCTAAAAAATTTTAATTCGCAGATTTGGGCAAAAGTTGGAGAAATTAAACAATCTTCTCATCTCGGAGGACGATCCAGGAACCAGTTGTCAAAATGCAGAGGAAATCCACCGCAAATCGTCGAAAACGGTACTTGAGCATTCGTAAGCGCAGAAGACTTACATTCAAAAAAAAGTTCCTGAAATATTTGGAAGTCCGTTTTCTGTTGAAATGACGGTTTTGCAGGCGGATCAGCTGGTCGGAGCCAGTCTTTCTTGCGTTTTCGAAGTTCTTCAGGAGCTGAGCCGTCGCGACACGGATCTCTGTGTTCAGGCACTCGATTCGCTACTTTCTCTTCTACAGGTCCGGAAAACGTTTATGTATACTTTTCAACCTGCTGAGACTTGAGGAAGATATTTTTTCCTCTTTCGTTCGTTTCAGCTGGAGTATATCCAAAAACGTCTTGGGAACTAAGCAAAGATTACAAAAAGTAAAATAACAGTTCCGTTGAGTTGTGGAAATAACAACCCTTGCAAATATCACAAAGCTGTTTTTCCTGTTCAATTTTCTGAAAAGTTTATCTTGTAACTTTGAGTAGCAGTAAGTTCAATTGTGAAAAGATTTATCAATATAGTAGCGGAGAAACATTTGCAACAAAGAAAAACCAGCGTATTCTGCAGACGATGCCGATAGAAGGCCTTCGACACGAAAACAAGGCGTCGGTAGGGGCGATGGCCAAGGTTCTGAGACAGCTTCGCGAAGAAGGACCTCCCTCGGTAGTCGGACGGGCTTCTTCTTGTCTGGCGGCCCTCGCCGTCGCTTCTGGAGAGCCAGAACTGCTCTCTTCTGCCATCCAGTCTCTCGTCTGCGTCGAACGTCTTCCAGTCGCCGTCAGTTTTTCTGCTTCTAAAAACGCTATCTTGTCAAGAATTTCTTCCTTTTTATTATGTTTAAGAACCCTTTTTTTCTAAATTTTAATCTCTATTGAGTTTTGTGTTGTTTAATTTGGTCCGAGACAGCGATGAGCTCGCACAAACATGAGATCATCATCATAGTTTTTTTTTTTGATTTTTAGATGACCGAATTTCTTTTTGTTCTCAGTTCTATTTTGTCCTAAAATATATCAAACCTAAGGGCAGGTTAACTTTCTGATTAAAAATCGATCGTTTTTTTCTTTTTCCAGAGTTCTGAATCTTCCTTCGACCAGATTCAATTACCATCAAATTTACACCGGTTGCTGTTAAACATTCGTCAGAAAGTCTCTCACCGGCAAAAGTCAAGGTATCAGGAACTTTTTTTCCATTCTCATCATTTGATCATTTATGCGACGCGAAAATTCAACTGTTGTGTGCGATTTTATGTCTTTGGTTTCGTGGATGAAGAAAAGAAAAATTGACTTTTTTTTATGATGTTTTTCTTTCCATTTGGACGTAAAATTTTTTGTTTGTCTGTTGACATTTCTTAACTAAGATAGCCTTCAAGTAAAAAAGGCGGAATTTGTAGCCCAAACTGGTCGTCGACATGTCTGAAAGAGCACAAAACGACGTGTTCCTTCGACTTGCCATTGCTGCCGAACGACTCGCCGGTGGACTCCCCCGACGATGATCATCGACTGTTTTCGGCCATCGCCTGCGACGGTTTCGTCTATTTCCCTAGCCGGCTCATGTCCTTGCAGGAGTTTATGTGTACGTTTTGAACTACGTCGGTCTTTACAAACTCGGGACGGGACTCCAAGAAACGATTATCGGCCGACTCTACACTTCCAACCAGTCCCTCAAAGCAACGTTCGTTTTTGTTTCAAAGTCATGAAAATATTGAGCGATATGGAAATAATTCTTTTCCAGAATTATTTGAAAGTTTTTTTGAAATGAAGATGAATGTTAGTTATATTTGTTTTTTGTTTCATATTCATCTCCCTTTTTCTCTTATATGAAAGAATAAACGCTTATGGAAAAAAAAAGAAGGTATAAGTTATTTTTATTATATGAAAGGTGTAGGTGGAGTTCAAACTAAATTATTTTCGTTGAAATTTCGTTTAGATTTGCTCTCTAAGGCTTTTTTCCCCTTACGCAACCTTTCTTAAAACACTTTTGCAGTAAGTCTATAAATTTCTGATACTTTTAACAGAATTTTGAAAATTAAATTGAAAATATCGATAACTTGACTCAAGTTGACTTGAGGCTAGCGATTGAGCATAGCTTTGTGGATTTTTCCGCCACCTACCTCTTATTTCGATCAGACAGTGTCGATCTGATTTCAGAAAGAATTGTATGCTGACCTTCTGCAACAGCTCTTTGTATCTGCGCCGGAACCAATCGTCGTGCGTCAGCGTCATCGACGTGGACACTCTGTCGGACATCGGCGAGATCATTCTTTCCTCTGGCGGCTTCCAAAACGCGATATTCTCCGATGGATACACCTTCTTCAACGCGATCCTGGCTGCGAATTCGACTCTCTCGGTAACGGAGAACCTTTTGTCCATCTCAGCCTTTCCGCAGGTGATCCCCCTCAACGACTCTTTCGTCCCGCAGCCCGAAAACGCGGCTCGCAAGAAATATCGACTAACGGATGTTTCATTTGCCTGTTATGGCGAAGACCGACCGATCCCCTACCAGCTGCCGCAATACCTGCCATCCAAACCTACATTGTTCGATCAGTTTTGTTACTTTTGTGGGAAAAGAGGATTTTCAGCGCAGGCGGTCGACTTGCATTTGGGAAAAGAAGTAGCTTTTTTACAAGCAAGATCCGGCAAAGTCTACTACGCGGGAAATGGCAAAAGATTTGGTCTACATGTAAGTTTTCAGAACTTTATCAAAAATCTCATAGATGAGCCTTTGCAGGAGACTGGAAACGTTTGGATGGAATTGGTCCTTCCAGAGCCGGTTGTGCAGGTTTCCGTAGGGTCGGAGAACATCATGTTCCGGTCAGGAGCCGGGCACGCCTGGATCGCCGGTTCGGATGAGAAGAACCGCGTGGGACGGCTGCGTCGTCTAGCCACTGCCAATAGGTTTGCTGGGAGGCTAGGAAGAAATTTTGAGAAGAATTCCATCTTTTGACGGAATTCCAAAAAGGAAGTGGATATAGAAAAAATGAAAAGGAAAGTAGTGAAGGATCTGACACGAGTCTTCAAAGTATTTAATTAGCGTCTGCAAAAATCTAACTTTGCTTCAAAAAAAAAAAATGAAAAAGCTGTGAAGTTCATTATCACACAGTGTTTCGAAACGGGCGAGCGCAGGCGAAAACAATGGTCGTCTCAATGGAGCGAAAACGCGAGTTCCTTCTAACGCAACGCGGTGCGGCGCGTGTCAACCTCTCAAAAATTTAATTCAATTTAAATATAGTTTTTTTCTCTTTTTTTCTCGCGTATTTTTTTCTAGATTTTCGTTTCGTCTGTTGTGTAATATAACCGTGTTGGATGCCACGGCGTTCCTGAGGGGGGTGAGGGAAGGGGAGCAAGGCGTCAAAGTTTCTGAATTTACAGAAAAAATTTAGTGCGCGCTACGGATAAAATTACGTCACGTGACGTCACAATTAAACATTCAACGTTAATAACTTGTTTGTTCGATCGCCTTCGGCTGAAGTACTGTAGATTTCAAATTTCGCGCCAAAATTTTTTTGACGTCTTGCCACCCCGTTTGGGAACGCCGTGGATGCGTTTGAGAGGTACTTGAGTTAATTTTTGATCGAGAAGGTCCCGAAATTTCGACTAAAATGACATTTTGACGAGTAACTTTTTTTGCAGAAGCTACTTGGTTCATGTTTTTGTTTTAAAATGCTCAGAATGAGATTGTTAAGATGAACGCCCGTAGATTTTTCAAAGTTTTTCGACGTTTTACAAAAACATATGTTGTCTAAAAATGACTTTTTGAGTTATAAATTTTTGTGCCGAAGCTAATTGGTTTTTTTCTGTTTCAGAATATCCAGAATGCGTTTTGTGATGGAACCGTCATCGGTTTTTTTCCTTCAAAAAAATGTTTTAGGACTACACGCGACGAATTGTCCTGAAAAAAAGGCATTTCGTGTGATAAATCTTTTGGCAAAAAGCGATTCCGTTCGTATTCCATCTTCAATAGGTTCATTGTGCGTTGAAATATATTAAAACTACTATATAAGTTCAAGGAGGCCTTGAAAAAAACACTATTCAACGCTATGTTTTCATCCAGTAAATGCACAAAAATCGGCTCCTAATGTCGCGCCCCCATTGCACACAGCCACGCCCAATGACCACATCTGCCGCCTGTTTGGGAACACTGTGTATCAGGTTAAAATTTGAAAAGAGAAGTACAAAAAAAAAGCGAAATTCGAGTATTTTTTTCATACTTTGCCAGACTATATAGGAGTTCCCGCCCGTACATATACAGTTCGAGCTTTTAAAAAATCAGTCAGAAAAAAGATTTTTTTTGTAAAATATAATTTGAAAAAAAATAAAACTGTATTATTTGATCCCTATCAAATCGAAAAAGCCCCAAAGTTAAAGTAAGAAATTCCTTCGTTTTTCATTGAGATTTTTCTGTTGAGTTGGCTGAAGCTGATTCCAGAAGAAAAACAGTGAGCGTATGCTGCTCTGGTTCCATGTATGCCTACGTGACCGAGAACGGGAAAGTTTTCGTGGGCGGACGTCACACGATGCGGGTGCACGCCTCTACAGACATGCTCACCGGCCTCGAAAACGTCCACATGGTATTGGGAGAGGCTTCGAGCCGTTCAGAACTCGTTCAGGCGTCGGTTTATCTGGCTAAAACTCACGGAGCCGCGATTTCTCGCAGCGGACATCTCTACACCTGGGGACTGAACAACCTGAACCAATGTGGAAGGGAGGTTTTTCCGAGGAGTCTTTGTAACACGCTCATGATCCTTCTTCCAGCAGCCGTCTTCCGCCGTCTCTGCCACTCCACGACAGGACTCCAAGGCTCCGAAGAACATTTGCGGTCCAAGTGAACATATTTGGGTGAAGGTACTGCGTCTTCCCCGATAAGCCCTTCAGAAAGTAGTTCAGGACATGCCGTCGATGTGCGCGCAGTGCGGATTGTGTTCTTCGCGAGGGTCCGCCTGCGGACGTCTCCCGAGAGCTCAAGGGACGATTTGTCCGTGTGGCACTGGCGAGTCTACCTGTCTCAAATGCGGCTTGTGCCGTCCTTGCGGGGAGACGACCGAGCCGGTTGCTCTGGGAGTCCCGCAGCACGTCCCATTCAGCTCCGCCGTCTCTCCTTCACGGCATGCCGTGTCTCCAGGAAGAGTCACGCTCACCAAAGGAGCTCACGATGCAAAGGTTTCTTTAGGATAATATTTCCTATTTGCAAACTATATTTAGATGAAACTTGTTTATAAAAAAACTGAAATTTGTTCGAAAAAAAATTTTTTTTTACGATTACCATTCAGCATTTCAATAAACGGGTATGCTCTAGGCTAAATTAGGGACATAAAATTGATTCGGCATTAAATTTTGTAAAAAGTGCTAAACTTCTCAAATATAAAAAACTAAATTGCAAGTGCACTATATTTTTTGACCATTCGCTTTCTCGCTTTGTAGAGATTATAGAAAACTCGAAAAATTCGTACTGAAATAAACTTCTCCGAAAAGTTATACAAAAAAATTTTTTATAGTATGTCCGCTTTGATCCAATTGTGTTTTGGAGACTGCTCAATAAGATTTCGAAAACGAACGCATCATATTTAACACCCAAATCAGTAATCGACTTATGATTCCTTGAAAATGAGTGTAGTTCTTTTTACAAAGGAAGTGTCTGAGGCAAACATTGCTGATCTGTTTTAGAGTGCTGTGGTAAGTAGTCCTAGTTATAGGTACTTGAAACCAAAAATAATTTTCTGCTAAGCGCCATAGGGTAAGAAATAGCTTAAGTGAAAAATAGTAAGAAATTCGACATAAGTAAGAAATAGCCTGGTTAAAGTTTACGAAAAAAGCTCGAAAACGAAATTTTTCGGACTTCCGCTTTTAGAACAACTGCATCTTGAGAGAATATTTTGTAGGTATCATCTGTGAGTTGCGGTAACTTCCACACTGTCATTTTGGCTGCTGATAAACGGGTTTTCACGTTTGGCTCCAACTGTCATGGTCAGCTGGGAACAGGAAACAGTGCTTCGAAGAGCACGCCGCAGCTGGTATTCGACGAATGAATGCGCGTTCTACCTAAATTCTGAGCTCCAGGTGAAACTTCCTGCAGACGCGGTCATCGTGCAGGTGGCGGCCGGAGCGAATCACACGGTTCTGCGTAGTTCCGATGGATCCGTTTTCACTTTCGGTGCACACGCTAAGGGACAACTTGCTCGGTAGAGATTACAGTATTTTGATAGAGATCTTGGTATTTTTTTCTCTTTTTAGATAGTTTCACTTCGATTTCGAACCTATAGCGTAATATTGGAAAAAAACTTATTGAAAAAAAGTCCGAACGGAAAATTTTTCGAATATTCTCGAGCTTCTCAAATAATACGGTAACAGGCCGGCTGGAAAAACAGCCACGTGGTATGCGATGCCGGAACGCGTACCAGGCTACGGTCCAGGGTTTTCTGCGTTTGCCGCTTGGATCGGAGCACATGGTGACGTCACTCTGGTTCACAGCCATGCTGCTCTTCTGAACAATGACGAAGTTGTCAGTTCTCAAATTGTGGCCAGCAAGGTATTTCGTCGTGCTCACATCTGATAGCCATCTTCAGAACGACATTTTTATTTTTCCACGAGAGATTGGCAAGGACTACATCGTGATTCGTCGGAAACACAACACTTTCGAACACTACTCCATCGGCGCGGACGGTCTTTACACTTCGTTAGTCTGAAAACGTTTCGAATAATAATCTTGTCGTAGATGGGCTCTGGAGTCTCGTTTCGACTTGCTCTGGAGCTACAACGCGGCCGAGATGAGAGTCCAGGCGTTGAGTATCTACGCTCACGAATCGAAGGAGGTTCCTCTCTGCATTTTATTTTTTCTACGGCATCCCTTCAGGATCGGGCCGACGCTTTGGAGTCGCTGTCCTACTTGAATGCTCCAGAGTTCGCGGTCCCTCTCGACGCTCCGGCCTTCACGTCTTCTCTACAACTTGGCACACTTCTCCTTTCGGCTACATTTGCCGCCCACTCCATCACGAAATCCAAATTCTGGAGTGAGAAGGTCTGAGTTTCTTTCAAAAAATTAGTTTGCTAAAACGACCATCCGATTGAAAGCACAGCTGAATTTTTATTTTTCTTTCCCATAATTTTGTCAAAATGTCTCAAATGAAAAAAAGTTGAAATTTTAAATGCGAAGTAATATCAGATTTTTTTAGTTTTAACATTTAAAATGTAAATGTCTTATATTTTAAAAAGAGTAGAATAATTTGTAATGAAAAAAAAAGAAATAAAAATCAAAGAAAAGAATTGATTTTTTTCCCCTATATTTAGGAAAAGAAGGTGATTTTATTCGATTTATTTCGAAACGCGTATAAAAAGTTTTGACAAACGTAATGAGCCGTTTCGCATCCGTACCCGTCACAAAATGTCGCGCAGCTAGAAGTCTGATTTTTGATTTTGAGTCGAACGACGGCGCGAACACGGACGTGCTGCCGACGGAGGGTTACTCGGTGGCAAGTCGCTTCGACGGCGCTGGCGGCGGTTGGGGGTCTGTTCATTCTCCGACTGACAGGTCATCTTGTGCTTCTGCAGCTACTCGGCCCATTCCATCGAAGCGATACAGTTCAAAGTGTCCAAGGAAATTCGACTCGTGGGAATCGGCCTCTACGGCGGTCGAGGAGAATACATATCCAAGTGAGTCATATCCTAGAGCCTGGCCGAGAAAGTTCAACTAACCATCAAAAAAGTTGTTTCTTCCGAATTGTATATTCAACCCAGTTCCAACTATTCAATTTTAATAATCGATAACAAGAAAGTTTTCTTTTAACTTTTTAGAACGAGGATATTTGAAAAAGACACGTATCAGATTAAAGGAAAAAAGAAATGTGTGAATATCAATGTGAAAATAGCCTTTGTAGCTTAATTTCCTTTTTTTTCTAGCTCAACACCAAGGCTCTTATATCATACTTAAATTTGAAACTTCAGGTTGAAACTTTATCGTTTATTGGGAGAAGATGCTGATGAACTTTATGTGGAGCAAGTCACCGAAACTGACGAGGTTTCATATTTTTCTATTTTTTTTTTCTCCTACTTAGGGATGTCGCAGACTCTTTACGATTGCGGAGCTCACGAGACGGCAACTTTGCTCTTCACACAACCGATCATAATACAGGCAAATCAATGGCACGTCGTTAGCGCCAAGATCAGGTAGAAACGATTTTTTCAAATGCTGTTTTCGTCCCAAACACCTTTTTTTTGAGAAAAAGTTTTTTTTTCACAAAACAAGAAGAATCTGTAGTCACTGTGAGTGTCGGAAAAATGTGTCATGATGGCATTCCTAGTATTATGAGAGGACACCTGGTAGAACGGCGTGTATAAGTTGATTTTCTAGAAATTTTAAAGTTTTATCTGAACAAAAAGGCAATTTTCATTTCGAAGATCTCTTAAGAAGAGGCTCAAAAAAATATTTGCTTTTTGAAAAAAATCTGTGAACAAATTACAGATTTTAGGGATAACGTCTTTTTAGAAAAAAAAACGAATTACCAAGAGAGCTAAAACAGGCGATCACTGCTTCAAAAAAAGCATCGTTTGGTTTTTTTGTATTTGGTAAACAAGTCTTGACAAAAAAATGGTGTTATATTTAATTAAGCTAAGTGTAAATATTTTGAATCAGAGTAGTAATGAGTAAGGACAAGGAACAAAACAATGAATAAAGAAACTGAGTATATAACGCGCGGCCGTTTCTAGTCTTAAAGTGTACGGCATAGGAGGTGACTCTCATCAGCACTTTCCTTCTTGCATTAGTTCAAAAAACGAAGAAAAGGATAATTTTGCGACTATCTTAGGCGTGTAAATATTTAGAAGCCCAGTAACTTCCATTGCGGATTTTTTCTTGCAGTGGTCCTTCATCTGACTGCGGCGCTGCGGGCAAGCCAATCGTCGAATGCGAAGGCGTCTCTTTCACTTTCCGCAACTCCGTCGTCTCTAACAACGGTACCGATGTGAACGTTGGTCAGATTCCCGAGCTCTACTACAAGGTTCGTTTTGGAATTATTCTTTTTCGAAAAGTCGATGTCCTTCAGCTCAATAACTCAACGGACGAGGACCGAAACGAAGATTCTGTCAAACCATTAGATTTGTGAGTTCCATTCCGACGTTCGTGGTTTTTTAAACACGATTTCAGAAGTATTTCGCGATTATTCTCACCGTCTTGCTTGGAAGACGTCACTCCGAACGTCTTGAGTGATCTGCTCGCCGTTTTTGACTGGAGCGTGTCGAAGGTTCAGAAAGAAGGATATCAAGTTGTTGATCCAAAATTTTAGATGTTGAACGACGTTGAGGAGGACGAACAGAGGTGCTGGAAGCGGGAAAGAGCCGCGTTTTTGGCTCTTTTGGCGATGCGCTCACTCGGCCGCTACGTGCTCCGCGTCTACCCGGCCGGCTCTTCTGCCGACGTCGACGAGCCTTCTCTCGACTTCGCCAGCCGCGTCGTCCAGCTCCATTCTGTTCTGCTCTCCTTTTTCGCTACCTCCTTCCTAACTTTCGAAGAGGTTCTTTTCTGAACAAGTTAGCTCCTTCTCTTTGAAAGCCAAAAAGTACTTCTTACTATTCCGCAATGCATACGAATGACGTTCATCTCATACTTTTTTCATGTTTATTATTAACTAAAAACACGTATCTAGTGAGTACTTTTGGAAAAAAAACATGAAAATATGAGAATCTCCAGCCTCACACACGATAACGATAGTGCAGAGGAAGAGAAGTTTTACAGGAGCACAATAGACCGCTCTCCGGGACTAGCGCAAACTGGAATAAGATTTTACAGAATTATGCACAGCAACTTGTAATGAAGGAGGCCATCAAGCTGTTCGTGTCGTTGTCGCATTGCTTCCTCGGATCTCGGTTGAACTGCGGAAGTTGGATTTTCAACGTCTTTGTTTTTGAAGGTATCTGGTGAACTGCCACCTCGTGTCCGCCATGACAGCGGGTCTGCAGTCGGAGTTCCTCACCGCTGCCGTCATCGGAAGTCTTGCCAAGATGGATCTGGTAGTTCCGAGACCAGATTCTCTCCAAAGCAGTCGTTTGCAGATTGCCGAACTTCTGTTGAATGTTTCTTATGTCGAACGATATCCCATGCTCAGCATGCAGATCATCAAACACTTCGACATCGACAAGGACAATCTTACAACGCTGACTTCTTTCCAGAACGTCGTTCGCTTCCTCTACGATCGATGCTTCCAGCTTCAGCTCGTAAGATCCATATAATAATAATCAGAAACATCAGCATTTCCCAGACTAACATCCACGACACGCCTTCCTTCGCTCAGGACATTATCGTCAAAATATCCCAAGAACTTGCGATTCCAGACTTTGGCTCGGCACTCGGACCGACAGTTCACCACACATCGTCTAGGTTTCCAGTCAGCAGCAAACTTCCTTCTATTTTGGGTTCAAATAGATTCCGACGGCGGAGCGGTCAGACTAGCTGGGAGATGGCTAATGGCTCGGCGGATGCCATCGCTTTCCGAATCGATGCGGAGGGAATCAGGCTTCATGGTTTTGGCGTTTATTTGACCGCTGAGAAGGAGAAAAGAACATTTTCTGGCGAAGTTGATTTGTTCTTACTACAATGAGAATCGTGTCAAATTAGGTGTACATGTTGACTCCGGAAGCCTCGGAGAAATGGAGTTGTCTTTTCCGTGTAAACGTGGATATTGGAGCCGAGAACCAGGAATGTGGCGTTATTCGACTTCCGGAGCACGTTTTGCTCTCCCCCGGCGTGACCTACGCCGTCAAGCTTTGGATGCCTAAAAACAGCAGGACGTTCTGCGGAGAAAGTGAGCGATGTTACTTTTTTGGTCTGAAACGTTAGAAAAAATTCTCTCAAAACATTTCTAATGGAATTGTGAAGGGTACTGGTTTAACTGAAGCTTTTTCGAATAACTCGCTCTTCATAGTTTTTTTTTTTTCGAAATTATTTACAAGGGAGGTAGTTTCACTTTGCAGTTTGAATTTTCTGAAAAATTTTCCAAACGCTCTTTGTTTGCATGCTGGATTAAGATGTCACATCGCCTTTACCCGAGCAGCCTTTTATTTTTGAAACATTTTTTTTGCCTTCAAAACACTTTTTTGCGAACTCTCAGAAAAAAAAGCAACGTAAAGTGATTCCTCTCGTGAGGTGAAATTGTTCTTACATGGAAGGTCATTTTTGCGTAGGGTTTGGAATTTTCTATAAATTTGCTCAAAGGATCTTTGATGGACTGGGAATCGATCCCACATAGTCGCCATCTGCGCAAACTTTTCGTTTTGGAGATATGAATTTTCAAAGTTTTCATCCTTAAACACGTGACACTGTTCGGAAGGAATCTATCCCCGCAACCAGTCATTTCATGGCAGCTAGGAGCGTAGTGCAGTGGCTAGCGCAGTAGCCGGCGTAGCCTATGATGAAGGTTCGAACGTTTTTGAGGCTCTCGATTTTTGCCATTAATTTTTTTGACGGATCATGATGAACATGTCGAAACTTCATAAATAAAAACGTTCAAAACCTTTCGATGGCCATTTTCTTGCGAAAAATATCTTTTTCAACAAAAATTTTTTTTTGAAAAATTCTTGAAGTTGGGGCATGCTTCACATCATAAAAAATAATTTTTCTTCAAATTTATTTGCAAAAACGTTTTAGACAACGAAATTTTGGAGAAAATCACTTTTATTGAAATAAAAAGGAAATCTTCAAAAAAAAAAGTCTCTGATGAATTGATGGTCGACCAGAACTTCATGAAATTTTCAAGAAAAAATTTTTGTTGAAAAAGTTATTTTCGCAAGAAAATGGCCATCGAAAGGTTTTGAAAGTTTTTATTTATGAAGTTTCGACATGTTCATCGGATCATATCGGTCAAAAAAATTAATGGCAAAAATCGATAGCCTCAAAAACGTTCGAACCTTCATCATAGGGTACGTCGGCTACTGCGCTAGCCACTGCACCACGCTCCTAGCTGCCATGTCATTTGACTGGTTGCGGGGATAGATTCCTTCCGAACAGTGTCACGTGTTTAAGGATGAAAACTTTGAAAATTCATATCTCCAAAACGAAAAGTTTGCGCAGATGGCGACTATGTGGGATCGATTCCCAGTCCATCAAAGATCCTTTGAGCAAATTTATAGAAAATTCCAAACCCTACGCAAAAATGACCTTCCATGTTAGCTCTTCAGATTAGTTCAATATATAAATGTGGAAAAACAAAATTTCATGAATTCGAAGCTACACTGACATTGAACTCCACTCGAATTCCAATGTTATAAAAGGTAGAAGTAATAATTAGGGAAACTGAAAATTGAGATGATCTATTATTTATTCGCAGATGGAACGAACCAACTGCGTCTTTGCGACGGGACGCGTTTGTTCTTCTCAGGCTGCTCCCTCAGTCAGAATGGAACGACCGTCCAGCGAGGCCAGATCCCCTTTCTGCTCTACTCCGTGACGGAACGCAGCGTCAATTCGCAGACGACGCAAGACAAACTGCACGAGTCGTACCTGCTGCTGTTGAGGCTGTTGTCGAACAAAATAGGCACATGCGCTAACTCGGGAGCCTTGTCAGACTGTGCACGGTCTCTCGTGTCGCGCATCTCTGCCCATGTCATGGTCTTTATGGAGTTGTTCCCTCAGAAGTGCCTCGAGATAATGGCGACTCTGGAGCCTCTCATTCCTCTCGTGTCCAATCTCAACGCCCTCAACAAGGTACTACAAGAAGATATAATATCCATATCAGTGAAACAGTAGTTGTTTTTTTGAAAGTCAGGGGCTTCTTTTTCAAATAATCCAAAAAAAGAAATTTTTTTCTGAAATTATATATTTATCAGAATTGAACGCGAATTTTGTACGCTGTTTGTATGAGTGTTTGTTAAAATGAAGGAACTTGTGCTAGAAAACTATAGTCTGTCCGGATTTGGAATTTCAAGCAGCAAACTCCGCCCCCAACAACTCTTTGTGAATGGATAGCTCTCTGATTGGTTTGATCTACGCATAAGGGCGGAGTTTGAGCGATGGCTTTACATTCAAAATCTGAACAAACTATAATATAAGAGATGATTCTACGAATCCTTGACTTCCAATTTCATGGTCTTTTTTCAAAGTGTTAATGAAAAACGAAAATTGCAGGCCAGTACAATCAGCGCGTCTTTTTCGAAAGATAGTCAACTGTGTGAGAAACCTTCTATCCCGATTGTTGTGGAGAGTCCCCATCCTTACAAACCGAATTCCTTGTTTTCCATGGTAGAATTGCACTTTTGCCTTTTTTCATTTTTTTTTTTCTATTTCGGGTTGTTGGATTTGACGAACCAGTGGACTTTATGTGCATCCGTTTCTCACCGAACTGCGAAACTGTCCAGTTCGACGATCAGCTCTCTATTTATCTAGGCGTCGATCGGAACTGCTACATTCCCATCGAAAGGTGGGCTTTTCGTTCGTTTTCCAGTTTGAGAACGTCTTCACAGGTGCTATGGATCGCAGGACTGGCCGAGCTATCCAATATTCCTGCCAGGAAACTCGCTTTGGTTCGTTCTCGAGACGGCAGCTCCGGTCGAGGGTGCCACAGTCGAGCAAGTGCGTCTTTTCCTCTCTCGATATCACTCAGGAGCTTTCTCAGATGTATGGTTTCCAACTGACGGTGACAGGATACCCAGCCTCGAACAGGGACTCCGAAATGCGTGTCGAGCAGGAACTCGTTTGGCTGTCTGCCAACGCTTGCCGCATCATGACTCAGGCAATACCTTTTTTGAAGATACTCTAGGTTTTTTTTTCAGCGACCTACAACATTCACAAATTGTTTCTACCTGCAAAAAAAATTTTTTTGGTATTCTCCGAAAGTATAGGATGCTTGGCTCATTTTTGGTCTACTTGTTGTAAGAATAACGCAAGAATTTTCTGGAGAAAATCAAAAAAAAAAAAAATGAACCGAAAAATCGAATCTTTCTTTTTTCAGCTTCCTGTCAATCCGAAGAACATCGAGCACCTTTCTTTAGCGGAAGAGGACACCCGACATCTCTTCGAAAAACATGGAAGTTTGCTGAAAAAGGGCCTGAGCCTCAACCACGTGCCGACACTCAATGAGATCATCGTGAAAGGACAACCGCCACCGGCACAGTCGGCCGACCTTCAGTTCCTCCGAGAATTCCTGTCCGGTCACTGCAGTTCTGCCGCCGGCTTCTTGGCTCGTTGGCTTCCTACCGGCTCGGTTGTAGATCCGAGTCGCTGCCAGATATCTTTCTCCCATGAAGAAATGGTTGTTGGAAGGTCGACACGCATCAAGCTTTCGTGTAGAGACCAGTTTGAGCAAGAAGTCGAGTGTCCGAACATCGTAGTGGAGGTGCTGATGACGCTCTCGTCAAACTTCACAAATACCACTAGGAACATCGCTTCCGAATCGTTGCCCTCGACTCTTTTGATTCATCAGAATCCTTTCCAACCGATAATCGTTAACCACGCCAAGTACATGAACATCTGTGCGATGCCGGCCTTTGCCAACTACTCGGCAGAGGAAATTCGCCTCGGTCACATGAAAGAAGAGTTGCTCAAAGATCGCGTTACTCTGAAACACCGCGCCAAGTCCGTATTTGTCGGCTCGTGGGTTCCCTCGACCGCTGGAACTTATCGAATAGAGTGCAAAGTGGATGGATATGAAATTTCGTACACTTACAACGTCGAGGTGATTGATAAGGAGCACGTCGTCAAGGCAGAGAAGGCGTGGCGAAGAGGCGCGACGCTGACGACGGCACAATGTGTCGTCGTGCCCTTCACTTGCCACTTCAGCGGCGTCCGCATGCGAATCGGCACGACTCTCTCTTCGACGTGCGTCGGCGTTGTTCCACGAGGTGCCGTCATCGAATACATCGAGGAGAGCGAGAACGAAGACGGCAAATGGATTCGTTTGACTGATGAGACTGCTCTTCTTTATGGTCATTCTGGAACCTCAGAGCAGGTGATTTCGTGCCTAATTATTTTCAATGTTTCCTTCAAGGTATGGTGTATGGCTTATCATCGGCCTTTGCGACGCGAACTCATTCCGCTTGGGGATCCTGAAAAGTCTCAAGATCGTTTGCAAAAAGTGCGAAAGAAGCCGGAAAAATTGAGCGAATCGGAAGGCCGGTATCAAAATGTCTCTATGGATGCTAAGGAGGTACGAGTTGTATCTATTCTTGGGACTGGCTGATTTCAGACGTATAATGTGCCGGCTCATGACATCCTTCAAGTCTTCTCGCAACCTAATCCAGACCACATTATCCAAAACGAAAAGGTTGGTTGTAGTTCGCCCTCTCAGAGAATCCGATAATTTTTGTTCATACAATGTTATTTTATATTTTCTGGCAACCGTAGCTTATGGTGTGGGTGTGGCTATTTGACATTCTGACAGAAACTCCAGATATGACTAATAACCTGGAATGCTTTCTCGAATTTACTGAAAAACTCTTTTCTAGCGCCTCTTTGAGCTGTTTTTTGTTTTTTTTTTTTGCTGTCTCTCATCGATCCTTCTTTTCAATTTATCAGATTCTAGGTTTTTCTAATATTTTTGGTCGAAAAGTTCGCTAAAATTTTCTTTTGAGCCACTTTCAAAGGTCTGTGAAAACATTTCATTCAGTTTTGACATGTAGTCAGCATGAAGCTTTTTTTTTTTGACGCAAAGTTAACAGTTTGTACCAGAAGGCATTTTAATAAGTAAAAGAATACGCCTTCGAAACGCTGAATTTTCGCTCTATCAGATTTGCGGACCACGCGAGCTAGTCAGCAGCGGATGGATTAGCAATACTCACGGAGTGTGGATCAAAATTGCTGGAACTGAAAAATACGTCCTTCAAAAAGATTCTGAATCGGCTGAAGACGTGGAGAGCCCCCTTAGTTTTTCAACCAATGGAAATGAAGAGGAAGAGCGTCAGATGAAAGTGTCGTGAGTGGGAGTTCACTGTGCGCTATGTTCATATCTTGGTCCAGAACGACGCTTCCAGTTGCTCTGCCGCCCTCAGTCGCCGACTGCGCCCGAGCCGTCTTCGCCGCGTTCGTCTGGCACGAACATTTGGTCAAAGACGCCATGGCGGCAGCCGCTTATCTCAAGTTCCATCAAAACCTTCATAAGGTGAGAATCGACTTCTATCTACGTAATTATGGGCATCTGATATGCCAAATTCTTCACTTCTAAGTGTATTTAAACTGGAAATCATGAATGATGAGCAAAATGGAAATTTCAAAGTGAAAATTTTTTATTTGTGGAAAACCATCGAGCTATGAGTTTCCTGAAGCTTTGTGGAAATCTTAAAGCGAGAACTTATTGCTCGTTCGAGTTTGAGCAATGAAATATAATTGCTGAGAATGCATTCCAATGCGTAGCCGGTTTGGGTATTTAAATTGACGATAGGAAAGAAGACCCAGCGTCAGAGCAAAATTTGCCTTTTCCTAGGTCGAAATTTTTAATAAAAAGTCATTTTATCTTAAAATGCCTAAAACGCCTCTATCTGATGTAAATATTCAATATTTTTGTTTATGTGAATAAAGTTGGCTATAGAAACGAATCGAGAAAAGGTATGGCGATACTCCCTGAGGTATTCCGAAAGGTCTGAAGTCGAAAAATTATTTCACGAGTATATCTCTGAGAACTTGAAGCAAAATGGGACAGACTTGAGGTAGACTCTCAAGGACGGTATTTCTTAGAGATATCTGAACGGTTGCTGGAATTCTTACGCATATTATTACGTTTTCACGATGCAATTTGAAAGGTTGAGTTGTGGACAAATTACGGTACACTTCTGATCAGCCTGTGCAGGTCGAAATAATGCCATAAAATATCAAACTAAATTATAAGTATTCTCTTTGAAGATTTGGTTTTCCTGCGACAGCCTCGCCCCTACAAACGCCCCGGCGGCTCTGCAGCCAATCGTCAAGCTGTGGCGCGAGATTTGCAACGTCGTCGAGGCGGTCGTCGACCAGCACCTCATCATGCCCCCAGTCACCAACAAGGCTATTCTTACCGAGTCTTTCAAGGTTGTCCAAATCAGTCAATAAATCCCACAGCGCATTATTTTTTTTCATAAAGTCTAGGTATCTTTAAACTCGATCGATCATGTGTTTTCATGAGTTTCGGTTGATAATCAAAACGATTTTTTTTAAATTTCTGTCAAAGCTAGAAGATTTTTTTTAGATTTTTTAAATGTTTGAATAACCGAAAGAATTTTAAATATCAATTTCCTTATCGAGTAAGTAGGATATACTTGTTTTGGGCACAGTTTTCGCGAATTGAAAGTTGACGTGTTTTTTTTTTCATGTTTCTCTGATCTCGCCTGTTAGTGAACAGGAGACATTCGAGAATTTCTATGTCGCGGCGAACGGACTTAAAATGTGTGAATTTAAATAAAAGGCTCCAGAGTGGACATACTCACTTGGTGGAAATGATTGGAGTTCAGCCCGGAGGAGACTGCGAGCTGTGTGACGTGTCTTCAAAGTGCCGCTGGCGGTTCACCTGCGAATGGCCCACCCCGGATGTGGCGGAGACTGTCAAGGCTACGGCTACAACTCCAACGGCAAGTTCACGACCGGCTGGTCCGGCGAGTGTGGCAGCGGAGGCCGAGGCGCCTCTCCTTGGTATCTTCTGTGCAACGTTTGTCGATCGCTTTACCTCCGCAAGACGCCTGCGGGACATCATCAGGTTCATCCTTCACAGCCACAATGAGCCGTAATGGGATCTGTAGGAAAGGACTCGTCGATGGAGAGAGTTCCGAGTCTCAACGATAGGATCTGAAGCGAGGCCTGAGATCATTATGAAACAAAACGCGCTGTTTCTACTAGATTTAAACTCGAGTTTGGAAAATGGATCTAAGGTTTGCCGCTTTTCAGCTACATTTCTGAAAAAGGGTTCAGAACTCGTCGACGGCCACTTCTGGATGGACCATCAATTTGTTTCCTACGCATTCCAGTACACCTTCAACGATGCCGCGGACGAAAGCCGAGGTTATTTCTAGAAGTCTCCCACAAAAATGTTTTGTTTCCAGCCGGATACCTTGTTTGCCCGATCTTCCTACATGGCGCAATCGTTGACAAAGAATGGACATTCCTCGGATCCCGGCCCGAAACTCGGATTCCTCGGATCTTTCCCGAACATTTCTGTCAATCAAACTGCTTCGTTGTGTAGAAATAACGTGGCTCAAGACGTTCCGCCCCATGAAGTTTCAAAATTTAACATTCTGGAGTTTTATGGTTCTTCTCAGGTTCTTCAATCACCTTCAGCAGCTTTGCGGACTCTCTTTTCACAGAAAAATCCTTCCATGACCGTCCTTTTGAAGCAGTCAGTGTTGGCTTTCTGTGTCGAGCATCATGACTTGAAGAGGTCTTCATATTTCTTTTTCACTTCAGTCTTAGAAGCTTAGCGTATGAAATTCTCTTGTCGAACTATTTGGCAGTATTTGAGATTTTTTCATCTGGATACTTGAAGCAAGATTCAGTGAATGAATAGAAACGGCTCCTGTGAGCAATCGAAAAAAGAAGAGAAAAAATGCTTCAATTTTTTTAAAAATTTTTTAGAATCCGAGCGGCTTGCGTACAGAGTGTTCGTCGAGCAGTGTCTTTCGCTCACGCCTTCAGAGTCTGGAATTGGCTTCTTCGGCTCGTCTCCTCAGAGAACAGGTTTTGTCGGGACATTGCACAGGTAAAAAATTTCGACGCTCTACAGCGTCTCCGACATCATTCTACAATATCTGAGCACCCTTTCCTCCTATAACCGGCTTTCCGAGTACTGTTACTCAGCCAAGAGGTCCGCGAACGTCCTTCCTCATCCCTGGCGGCTTTGTTTCCTAGCTGGCCCTATTGCTGGTGAGTCGAAAATGGGAAACCGAAGAGTTAATACGATTGCAGGCCAAATGGTCGGCCATTTGCACGCGTTTCTCTACACGGTCTCTGTGATTCTTCAGTCTTCGGGCGTCGATGGCCGACTTCGATCTCTTTGTTTCAACGCCTGGACATTGCAGCTGACCGCACAGGAGCAAGTGAGAATTTATTTTTCGTTTAAAGTTGGAAGATTGGTTTCGAAGAAGACAGAGTTGTTTTTTTTTGTTTGGAGAAAACATATATCTCTTAAAAGCCTTTGAAAAAGTATCAGTAATATCTGAACTGCTTACGTTAATTTAAAGGATTTTTTCACGAAAATTTTTTTCGAAAATTTCAAATAAGGTTTGACACATTATATTTATTCAATACGATTCGACTTTTCGTAATTGTAAAATGTCGCGCCTGTTCCGTAGGACTTGTTGATTCTAACGTGCAACATCCTCGCGACGGTCGGCACTGTTCTGTCCGACGTGTCGATGACGGAGCCGTCGCGGATAGAGAGGGGCGGAGTCAACCTGAAGGAGATGCGCGACGTCTCCGATCTGGTGAAGATCGAGGCGAGCAGTCGTCAGGCGATGGTCGTCTGTCTCACCGACGGAAGCGCCGAAACTTTTTGGGAAAGCGGCGACGAGGTGAGTTTAGTTTCAAACGCACAGTGAAATTAAGACTTTTGAGAAACTAAGAAAGAGTTATCTTGGTTTTCCCTCTACGAAAATATTATACTGCTTATACAGGAAGTTTTTGTATCTATTGAAAGATTTTTAAAACAAGTTAAAAATTCAACACCAATCATTGACTCACTTAGAAACAAAACAAGGATTGACATTCGTCATTTAAATCCTTCGCTAAGGCGTATTGTAGAAATGTTGTCATGTATTTCTCGAAAATCACAGAAAAAGCAGGGTTTGTTTGACATTGAAAAGAGGTCATTCTGAAAGATATTGAAAATTGGAAGTATATTTGAAAACGTGTGAGAATTCAGGACAAGTCCCGTGTTAGAACACTGACTGTCACGATGGACGGCGACACGGTGACTGGTGTTTTGTTGGCCCTTTTCGTGGACAACGTCCGTGATGAAAACTACCGCGTCACCTCGGTTTCTGTTCGAGAAATTCAGAGTGACGGCACTCGCAGAGAACTCCTCACCCAGTACTTAGAGCCGGTAAACGCGAAAAACGAGAAGATGATCATTTTTTTGTTCCAGAACTTCTGTGGCTGGATCAAAACGTGCGTGGCCAACGTCAAACAAGTCCAAGTTTCTATCAAGGGAGTTAGTCCGTCTTCGAGGATACGGCAGGTATCTTAAATACAAAGCTTTACAGTACCAAAATTACTTCAAATGTTAAAAAAAAGGGTTTTTACAAAAAAAAAAGCTCCTAAAGTTACACCAGCATAACAATTATTAAACAACTTGCTAAGCATGAACTTTTTCCAAGAGAAAAAAAAAGTCGAAATCAGAGCATTTTGCGAAATAATACAAATAGAGATGTTCTTGAGGCTATCCCGAGACCAATTGTATTGAAAGAAAAGAAGAAGGTAGTGAAAAAAGTTTTCATGGAAGTAAGAATAGAAAAGCTTAACCCTCAGTTGATTTGAAAATAGTATAAAAGTCAGAAAAAACATTTTCTCAAAATGGAAGTTTGATTGTAGCTGGCCGTGTTGGGATTCGCTCCGAAGTCGTCGCAATCGCAGACTTTGCCGCCGTCGATATCGCACCACTTGTTGTTCAGCAACACGCAGCGCGACGCGTTCGCCCTTTTCCAGGCGATTTCTTCGCAGGCGTTCTGTGGCGAGTTGTCCGAGGACGAGACTTTGCGCGAGCGCGTCATCGACCTTCTCTTCAGTCGTGTCCAGCTGTACCCCTTGCAGAACTACGTCAGCACGCAAGTCGTTCAGGCAATGGAGAAGTTTCCCCCTGACTCAAGACGTCATCTTTCTGGATTCTTTTCAGAGAGGTCGATCTCCTCTGTTCGCAGGCCAAACGCAACTACTCTTACTGTTGTGGTCTCATGGGCTTGCTTGTGCGTATTTGCGATGCGCGAGGCTCTTCGGAACTTTTTTCGCAAAGAAGTTCTGTCCTCACATCCATCACACAGTTACTCACCTTTGCTCCTCTGGTAAGGAGACCCCCTGAGCTTGAATGATATTGGAACGCAGGTTGTGCAACGACAATGTCTGAATTCGATTGAGTGCGTCCTCGGGTCGTTCCAGCCGTCCAATGTAGAGGTAGAATATATGAATACCGCTTTAAAAACGACATGAAATGATTAAAAAGGTGTGATTACTCCTAGGCGCCATGATTTAGTTTAAAAAAAAAAGTAAAAAGTAAGTTAGGACAAAGAACGAGAAATGAAAATGAAAAAATATCAAAAGTCAGAAAGTAAGCAATAAAGAGGATAAGGATAAGTTTTTGATCTGTACCGCAAATTGCAATTGTGATGGGATGAGTCCAATTTTGTCATTTTCGAGATAAGAAAATTGTTTTGTAACACTTTGTTGATGTCTTTTTCATAAGACTGAAAGTCATTCCAGCAGAGGATTCTGTTTTTGACGAGATTGATTAGATCTTTAATGTCGCAATGGTTTTTTCGAGAAGAAGTTCTAGAAATCTATCATCCGTTCTATGGATTTTCTGATTTGAAGAAAATATCCGAATTATGTCCTATATTCCGGAAAACGTAGGTTTTTCGTGTGGATATTTAAAATGATGAAAGTCACCCGACAAAAAAACATTTTTCAGATTCCGCGAATACTCAGGAATATGTTGATTGTGGTGGGGAAGGTGATTCAACTGCAAGTTCGCGACAAAGCGGCGCACGAAGTCAACACCGTCTACCTTTGTGTGAGAAACTGGAGAAAGTACACTCAAATAAAGATGGATTTCAGAGCTCTGTCAAAAATGCGCCTCAAGGGTGGAGAGTGGACAGAGCGACGGAGTACGAGATTGGACAGCGAACTGCTCAGTTGATATCCAGGATTTGGTGGGTATAGGCCAAGTTCTCTCCGCATTAGCTTGCCAATGATTGGATGGCCTCGGGGAAAAAAAATAGAAAAATATCTTCATCGTACACATGACACTTCAGAAAACACCAATCCAAGAGACAAACGGCAAGAAATACAGCTTTTTTCGAAAAACACAGTACATAGACATTCTTGTTGTTTATACTTGGAGCACAAACTTTTTACAGCGAAGGAGCCTTCTCCGGCGACTGGGCGGAAGCTTTGAAAACAGAACTCGCCAATTGTCTAGTTCTCATCGTGCAAATGTCTGATTCGCTGTCGTCGACCCACGTCGAAAATCAAAACCTCTCGATTGTTGAGTCGAAATAGTGAGGAGCCTTCCCTCGTTTCTGAGCTCTCTCTTTTCAGTTTCTGGCTGGCTATATCCGCTTTGGCTTTGATAAAAAATAAAAGCTGGCTGGAGTTGTCACGGAAATGGCGATCGATGCAACAACACAAAGAAGAGGAGTCGCAGACGCTCTGCGAAAACCACGACGACGGTCACACTGTGGCTCAAGTGAGCACCTGAGGGTTTCCGAGTAACGTCTCCTTCTACAGGTCTTCTGTTTGGCGTGTGAGACGTCGTTGTGCAAGGAGTGTTTCACGGTGATGCACCTCCACAAGAAGAACCGCAGCCACGGCGTCAAGACCTTGGTTCAGTCGACGACGCAACTCGAAGTCAACGTCCATCAGGGCTGCGCTCGTCTTCGACTCTCCAACTTCATGGTTTGTCCTCACCTACAAAACGTTTCATTCTAGCTTTGTAATCATGTAGTCAAACGACGGGATATTTCTTCAAATGGATTTTTATAACTTTTGGTTAATCGTAGTATTTACGTCTAATTAAGTTTAGTTTCAGACGTTCAACTTCACTTTAATGCTTCATCGATTCCCATTTTAATTTGAACGCGAATGGAGCAAAGTTGAAGGTCAAATTTGGTTAGAGCTCTAGTTTTCTTTAGTTTATAGAAAAAGCTGAAGAGAAAGTTTTCAGCACTATTCTGGAGCAAAACTTGAATTGTTTGATTAACTCCTCAAAAAAACTAAACAAAACACTACTGTTCATAAGATATTATTGTTTTCAAAGATTCTAATTGTCTCAAGCTAAAAGAATCATAAGAAAAAACAAATGAGGCATACCTTCATTATTGTGAATAAAATTCCTATAATTCCTTTTTGGTTATTTAGGTTTTGTTCCACGGAGAGTTTCTCAACGGAATGGTGGAGATTTCGCGCGAAAACTTCTTTCCCGAGGCAACCACTTCGACGGTTCAGTCGGCACTTGCCGTTGGCCAGAGCTGCAGGTTTTGCGGCAACGCTGTCGATTCTGAGTTCCAGGTTAACAGTGCATTTCCAACTTTCCTGTGAAAATGCTTTGCTCAGAACTTGGAGGGAACTTGCAATCACGAGGACTGTCTCAGCTACGCTCAGCACGCCTGCCTCAAAACTTTGCCTTGCACTCATATGTGCGGCGGAATCAAAGGCGAAACTGAATGTTTGAATTGTCTCCATTGCAACAGCCAAGGTTAGAAGCTGTGAATCCAGGGGAAAGGACAGAATTCGCAGGCGCGAATCAAGACGGAGACGACGTTTGCGTCGTCTGCTTCACTGAACGGCTCGGAGCTGCGCCGTGCGTTCGACTTCGTTGCGGCCACTTGTTCCACTTCCATTGCATGCGTTCCGTTTTGCTGCGCCGCTGGAACGGGCCGCGCATCTTGTTCCGCTTCATTAACTGTCCTCTGTGCAATCAACAGGTTTTAATTTATCCACATTTCTGTTAAAAATTCAATAAGTTTATTTTTCTTTCTTCCATTAATTTTTAAAAATTTATACTTTCCACAAATTTTATTAAATTAATCAGTAAACTAAATTTTATCTTTCAATAAAATAACAGAAAATTTTTAGAAAATTGCAGCTCTAAACTGATAAAATTATTGAAGGTTCGTTTTTTTTGCGTTTTTTTTAATGAAACAATGTTGGAATTTTTTGAAAAGGTAAAAGGAATCGAATATCTGGGAGGAAAAATAATTTCACCTCCTAGTAGACTCAATCGTTAATTTCAGCAACTAAATACCCTTTTTGCGAATTCTATGAGTCATTTTCAGATCGACCACCCAGGGCTGGCCGATTTGATGGAGCCAGTGCTTGCGATTCGCGAAGAAGTCGTTCGCAAGGCCAAGATGCGACTCGAGTACGACGGCCTTCTGTCTTCTCCGGCACTGACGGATCCGCTCAGGTCCCTCTAGTTCCAGTTCCTCGTTCTCATCGACTTTTGTTCAGCGAATATTTCAACCAACCTGAAGAATATGCTCTCGACCGCTACATGTACGTGTTGTGCCACAAGTGCAACAAGGCTTATTTCGGAGGAGAGAGTCACTGCCAAAATGTGAGTAGCCGCTTCACGGAGCGCACATAAACTCATCTTTCAAAGAATGACGAAAAAAAGTCTCAGAAACTCTTCAAGTCGTTTCGGCTCTTTTCTTTCTTACTTTAAAAAATTGTTTTGTTTCAAATTTTAAAGCTCGGAATTTTTGGCTGAAGTCCTTTAGTTTCTTTTTTTTCGCTTACAGATAAAATGGATGTATTACACAAACGCTCACGATTTCTCAAGGTTTTTCTTAAATTACTAGTTTTTCCGATAACGAAAAACAGTGATTTTTGGTCAGAGCAAAAAAATATAGTTGTGATGAAGCCAGTCTGTTTGAAAAGTTAAATGAGAAACTTTTTTTTGGCTCAAAATATACCGTTATTTAGTTTTCCCGTTCTTTCGAGAAAAAAATATATCACAAACATTCATGACTTTTTTATCTTCGAAATAATTGACAAGGGTGATGGCGAAATCTTTCATTTAGTCATTTCGAGAAATCGTTGCTTTCAGGCACTCGACACGTCTCAGTACAATCCGGAGGAACTCATCTGCGGCGCCTGTTCCGACACGAGCGGCTTGCAGATCTGCAACCGACACGGCGCCGAGTTCCTCGAGTACAAATGCCGGTTTTGCTGTTCGATTGCAGTTTATTTCTGGTTTGTTGTGTTTACGGATAGTTGAGAATTTCATTTGAAGTTTACTAGTTTTTTTTTTTCTGTAGGTCGTAGTTATTTCAGTTATAGTAAAAAACTTTGTTATTTTTGTTGAGTTTAGATCATGTGAAATGGATTGAGCAAAAGCGTGCAGAGGCAAATCGGAGAGGTACCATAATGTGTCCACAAATATACCTCTCAAAATGAATCTTGAACATCTCATAATATATCCAACGTGAGACCTCCAGCAACCTCTCTCTTTCTCTCTGAGACATACCGTTTTTGAGAGTCTACCTCAAGTCTACCCCATTTCTTGAGAGAAAATCTATATTAAGTGATAAAATTTTAAATGTTGGTAAATTTAAAACGAAAGCGTGGTTAGAAAGATTGCTCACTCTTAAAGGAAATAATCGATTAGACAAAACTCATTATGATTCTACATTATTTTATCACTTAATATAGATTTTCTCTCAAAAAAAAAAAGTATAGACAGAGATTCCAGAATTTTTCGAATTTTTGCGAATGGTAAATACACTGCGCGTCATAGTTATGGACGCACCCCCATTTTTGCAGTTTTCAAAAGATATTTTGAACTTCCTGCAAGCAAACCTATTTTATAATGAACCTTAGCTGAAATAAATAACATTGGAAAGAGAACTACAAAAGACTCAGTCCAAAAAAATTTTAAAATTCGTCAAAATTAGTTTTTTGACCGCGTCATAATTATAGACGCACCCTGGGTCAGGGCTCATTTTTTTAGTTTTGTTGGAACTTTTCGCTTTTTCTTTTTATTTTTTTGAAGAAAAAAACTAAAATTAGTAGGAGGCCACAGCATTTTAAGTAATTTTGAATCAAGCAATTTCATTTACAAACCATGCGAAAAGCGAAAAAAAATCGAAAATTTCAGAAAAAATGGTGTCTTCTGGAAATATCAGAAAATTTATATCGGAGTTTGCGCATTAAATTTTCAAATTACTTTGTTTTGAACAATAACTGAAAATTTAAAGAGGAAAAAATGCTTCGGCGGTACGAAAAATATTTGAATCAGGTGGATTCACTGTTCATAGGAAACCTGGCGTTATTTCAACCGACCTATTTCTCGAATAAAAATTTTGCCATGAGGTTTCTTGGTGACGACAGCATACAGAAAGTATTTTGCAAATTTTGAATGTTTTTCGACCATCTGGAAGTTCTCTGTTTTCTTTTCCGGAACCGATTTCCAAAACAGAAAAAAGAGCAAAACTTTGCTCGTTTGGAGGTCCATTAACTTTCTTTATTTTTATGTTTCCAATGTATGAAAAACAGTATATGATCGAATTCACGCCAGTTTCGAGTAAAGTTAACACTTTCTTGACGGAGAAAAGAAATGGTGAGGGCAAAAATGCCCTCGATTTGCATAAATAAGAAGTTTCATTTTTCTTCTATTAACACGGAATGAACCAATACCAATAAGGATAATTAGCTGTAAACTTTTTAAGTAAACCTCAGGACATTGTTGTTACCAAAAAACCTCATGCCAAAATTTTTATTCGAGAAAGAGGTCGGTTGAAATAACGCTAGTCGTCCTATGAACTGTGAATGCACCTGATTCAAAGATATTTTTCGTACCGTAGAAGCATTTTCTTGTCTTGAAATTTTCAGTCATTGTTCAAAACAACGTCATTTGAGATGTTCATGTGCAAACTCAGATATAAATCTCCTGATAGTTTCAGAAGAGGTAGATTTTTCTGAAACTTTCGATTTTTTTCGCTTCTCGCATGGTTTGAAAATAAAATTGCTTGAATCATGTTTACTTAAAATCCTGTGGCCTTCTACTTACTTGATTGTTGATTTAAAATCAAAAAGAAAAGCGAAAGTTCCAACAAAAGTAAAAAATGAGCCCTGACCCAGGGTGCGTCTATAATTATGACGCGGTCAAAAAACTAATTTTGACGAATTTTAAAATTTTTTTGTACTGAGTCTTTTGTAGTTCTCTTTCCAATGTTAGTTATTTCAGCTAAGGTTTGTTATAAAATAGGTTTGATTGCAGGAAGTTCAACATATCTTTTGAAAACTGCAAAAATGGGGGTGCGTCTATAACTATGACGCGCAGCGTATATTGTTTTGGCGCTGAATTTTAACTATATCTTGGAAATTGAGCTTCGGGACGACACATTTCTGCGCGCAATGCCACGACGACTTCCAGCGACTGATGGCTCTTCCGAAGAGCCAACTGCCGCCGTGTCCAGTCGGTCCACGCGCGATGCCTCTCGAGGAGGGCCCATGTCCTCTGAAGATCGCCCATCCTCCGACTGGCGAAGAGTTCGCCATGGGATGTGGCATTTGCCGAAATATCAGTACTTTTTAGACACATTTTTTCCTGTATGTAGGTTATTTTTCTTTCAATTTTTCTAGTCGTTGACGGATTTTCTGATCTCTTAAATTCACTCTACGGGATTTTTTTTTAAATTTAATCTGTTTTTCTTTCATATTCCGTACAAACTTGAAGCCTTTCGCCTCAATATCTCACTTCTGCCAAAATAGTACGTTGTATACCTTTTATTATGTTTTGTTATTAAGTAGTCGAGTAAAAATTCTTTTTTTAAAAAAATTGAAAGACGTCTTCAAAAATCGTCGTTGCACACAAATTAGCATTTTTTTAAAGGTTCCAAGGCGCTAGCTTCCTTGTTCTGTTTTCGCTTGGTATTTGAACGGAAGACGCTTATTTTGAATTCGTTTCGGCTTTTTTCTATTTATGAATATTCTGAATTATATTATTGTCTCCTGTTTTCTGATCAATCTTTTCAGGCCTAATTTATCTCTTTAGGTTTATGCGGTTTTTTGGTCACTGCAACTTCAAACGAACGAACATATTTTTATTCTCAAAGTTGGTCAATGTTTTTAAGTAGACTTGATTTTTCTATAATGTGAATAGCTGTGTGGCTTCCTCAATTTCTCAGGACGTGTTGAGCGAATCATTCTCACAAAAAATCGTATGAAAAAATATAGGGGGACAGAAACAAAAAATATTAAAAGCGAGAAAAATACGATGAAAACGTCGAGATTATAGTAGAAAAAGGTGCAAAGCCCACGGCCGTCGCTGAGAAGCTCCTTGACGCCTCCGTTTTTCAGCACCCACTCTGTGGTTTGGATGAGTCTTTGGCTTGGAGTTGTTGGCTTTGACCGGATCAACTTCTGCAACCGCCGCGCCTTCTCCGTGTACCTTAAGCCATCGTGAGGATCTTCTTGCACCGCTGTATCACCTGGTGTCAGTCAGGATCTCGCGAATAGCGGACTCGATGGCCTCTGGGTCGTGCACGAACTGTCGTTTGTTGCGCAGAACACCCCAGCCGGCGCGTTGGACGGCTCTTCCGTTTCTGAAACAGGAATAGTGAGACTCGTCGAAGAGCCTCACCTCGGCTGGTCGAACATGAAAGGGACTGTTATGAGCGGAACTCCGGCACGTGCTGCCTCCATTATTCCATTGTAGCCGGCATGGGTGATGAAAGCCCGAAGCCGTTGGTGTGCTGAAGCAGAAAACCAAGTTTTTCATCTCATTTTTATTCGAATAAAATGTTTTCTCTTGGCCTTCAATGAGTTTTGAAAAGTGAGCTCTAGAAAATTAGCACGGAAAATTAGAAAACAAGTCTCTGTTGTTGGTTGACAGATCTCCATCCTAGAAACGTTAGAAGGAAAGTTTGATAGAGAAAAATAGCAATTTTCATCTCAGTTTTTTGCAGAAAAAATAATTGAGACTTTTTTTTTGAAACTCCCAGTAACGACTCTAAAAAAAACTAGAGAATGATGGAAATTCCTAACGTGCAGCTATTGAGCTTTAACGGTTAAAGGTCTCAAAAATTCACGATCAATTTAGGAGGCGTGATGAGGTCAAGAGTAAGTCTGTGGTCATGGAAGAGCAAAATATAAATGTGATAAAGTGAGCCTTTTTTATTTTTAGAGGTTTTATGAATAATTCTAATGCTTTCATTTCTAGAAGATACATACTTAGTATTTAGAAAACTTCCAAATTTAATATACACTCACACAAAACGGCAATCTGCGGGAACCAATCCGAGACGTAGACGTTGGGGAACTTTTCTGCTTCTTTTTTCGTCGCCTTGATTTTGATGAGGAAACTTCGATAACTTCTTTCAAACCTGATCGTATTTATCGATGCGCACAAGAAAATGGTAGTCGGGGAAGTTGGAAGTGATTTTCAAGAAGTTTGACATGATCCCTTTGGGTAAAATGGTCGTGTTGGCGATCGTTCCCATGGAGAAGAAAATGACTCCTTTCGATCCTTTCTCCAATTCTCCAGCCGTCGTCTGGGAGCTTAAAGTGAGTCTTAGGATAAGACAATGAAAGTACTGAGTCGAGACTGGACTGACGGTCGTCCATCCCGAGACCGCCGATGTGAACAATGTTGGGCATGGTCGGCGCCGGGAAGTCGAGAAGCTCTTCGCTGGCGACGAAGACGAAGTCCGAGTCTCTCGCGATTTTGGCCACGTCAGGGAACGAAGGCCTGAAAACTCGGTGAAAACGAAGAAGGATGAATGCAAAAACCCATAATGCTTGCGAAACATTTGGGTCAAGATGTTGATGTCTCTCCTGGTGGCATACATCTCGACGAGCTGCAGCAGAAGAGCTCGCGCTCTCTGAGAAAACGACGCTGGCTCATCCAGTTCCGAGAGAAGCGGCAGATGGCTCATCGGCGTCGGAAGACCCATCACGTACCTCACACCGACGCCCATCGTGCAACTAGATTTGATTTGGTTGCTTTTTCGAAACTACTTTTCATCGAGCTCTTTCAATTTTGAAGTCGTTAAAGATAATACACATCACTCTCAGCCTCTTTTCTTACCTTGCCACCCAAAACCGCTGTCGAATGCCTAGAATTTCAGACAGTCCCATCCCGCAAAGATTTATTTGCTCTCCAAAATATGCATCAAAGTTTTCCGCTTGTAAAGCTTTCATCAAATCAGTTCGTAAGATCATTTCTGAAAACGAAGCTTGTTCGAGTTTTCGGAGAATTCAGCCGTGAAGTCCTTTGAAACACTCACCTTCGCAAAGTGCTGTGTACGCATCTTGGTAGTCGTCGCTGTTAAAAAGACCGTCCCACCAATAATTTTCGTTGAAGAGGGAGGGAGAGTGGGCTGAAACACAGGAAGGTTCTAGCAGTCGCAAAAATAAACCTTGATGGACTTCTATGAAAGCTGCCGTGTCGAGACCATGCACAGGCCATCGTCTCGCGCGCTTCACAGTTTTAGATCCTTCGACGATCCCGAGAAAGTCAGGCTCAAGGATGATCTGAGATTCCGATAACTTGTTAGAATACTTCAGTTTATTTTCTAATTTCGATCAAAACGCACGACTTCATGGCCGGCTGCGGCCAATTCGTCAGCTATTCTTCCGTTTGATATCATGTGCGAATGAGACGTCGCCGGAGAGAAAACCAGGATTTTGTAGGCTGTCGAAGTTGAGAAAAGCAGTAACAATAAAATTGGCAGAAAATTCATCTCCTTCAAAATCTAAAACTTTATTGCTCTAAAAAATTAACTAACAAACGAAATTGATCGAAGATAGACTTTTATTATGACCAGAAGGAAATGTGGAAACGACGACGTTGGACCAAGAAGATGACTGGAAAACGATATCTAAGAGTTCATAATAGATAAGATAATCGTGTGAAAGACACCACCTTCGTGATAAAAAATAGTCGTCATCATTTACATCATTTTCTGTACCTCGCATACAATTAGCGTGTAGAATGAAGAAAGGGCAACCTTTTTTTTAAACAAATAACGAGTTGGGAATTCTGAAAACTCGCATAAATATATTCACATTGTTTGGTAAAAAATCAAAAAAATAGTTGGCTCTTCATGAAATAGTGAATAATAAACATTTACCATTGTTTTCCTGAAGCGCCTCTAAATGAAAAGTATTTCCTTTCATAGAGGTTAAAGGGAGAGTTTGGAAACTTCGAAGAAGACCTGAAAAAATTTGATTTTTAAAACTTCTCGTGAGACTATTTTGATTATGAGATAGAAAGAGGAGACAGATTAATTCAGTTCGACATTCTGAATTTTTCTGAAACTTCTTTGGAAAAATCCTGGGTGTAGCTGTTAGATTTTCTTCATCTGCAGAAGCTAAGAAGTTCTGCAGGCCGTTACTATGAGAATCTTTATATAATACACCAAAAGTTTTTGAGCAAGTTTTATAAAAATGTAGAGCGCCAAAGCAAAATCATCTCTTTTGTTATAGTAGATTTTCCATTTTTCTTCAGCTTAACACGACTTCACTTTTTCCTCTTTGAGTTTATGTAGCTTTTTAGTGATTTTTTTGCAGCTGAGAGAAAGAACTCTGAAACTTCTGTTTTCTACCGTGTAAGGTGTCGTCGTCGAAGTCAAAGTAGCCGTGTTTGCCGTCGAACGTCCCGAGATTGCGAGTGACGTCACCTGACTGAGTAAACGTGTCAACAAAAAGCTGCTCCAGAACGACCGATTCATCTCTCATCGAACTTTGATGTGAAACGGCAGGCAGAAGACGTCCCAGTCAATGGGCGGGGCTAAAGGACCGGGCTAAATTTCCGCTCAAACGTCTTTTTCTCATACTTTTGTCAGTTTTCCTGCTGATATTTTTAAATTTTAACTGACTCCAGTTGAACGAGTTGAACTTAGATTATACTGACATTTGTGTTTGAATCTCTTTTAGAAAAATAGTGTGTCCGAGGAGCACTTATTTGATTTGGCTTCTCGCGTGCTCACATAGGGTGCCGACGGGGAGTTTTTTTGGATTACACCCGAGATTTATAGAGCGCTTCCCAGTTTAACGGCCGCTTTCAAAAAGCCTAAACATTTTTCTTGCTTGTCGGTTTTTTTTCTCTGAAAGCAAGGTAGAATCTTGAAATTGATTCGTTTTGATAATTTTGAATTTTCTGCTTTTTAACTTTTTCTCATTTCAGTTTTTTACGGACTATATGAAAAAAATATTCTTTTTTTTTTTTTTGAATTAAATTGAACTCGTGAATGATCGATTGTTTGTTTGAAAGGAAATTTTCGCAGAAAAAAATAATACATTTTTTTAAAAAAAGTTAGGTCTTTTCCACTCAAGTTATCAATTATCAGAACCTCAATAGCTCCTTTTTATGGCGTTTCTAAATCTACGATTTGACGTTACCCAATTGTTCAGTAACTACCATTTAATTATTTAAAAGTTTTTCAGAAAAAAATGACATTGGAAGGAAAAGCACGCGCGGTTCGGTGGCGACGCCAAGTCTAGGATGGTAAAAAAAGGCCCAAAATGTGCAATAGCTAAGATTTTCAGGCGTTATGAATGTTTTTATGTTTTCGAATAACTTTTTCGTATTTTAACTTGATCAGCTTAGCTAAAAAAAAGTTTAAATATAACTTCCAGTATGAGGCTCTCGCAGATAAAACTCGAAGATTTCAGGATGATCGGAGCCGAATGTTGACGATGAAGTACGGAAAACATCAGATGTCGTTGATTCGCAAAAGGATGAAGGTTCTTCACAGTTTTTGGTATTGATTCGACAGCTGTTCAGGTAGAAAATTGGATCGAAGGCGAAGTGGCAAAGCTTTTCAACGGAAATGACAATAACGTGAGCAATCTAACCTATTTAGTCATATTAGAGAACGTTTATGAGAATTTGCAAATTAAAACGATTTATTTCAGGACGTTGAAGTAGATTTGGACCGAGTACAAGACTTGGACACTGTTCCCCTCAAGCGCAAATACGCGTTTGTCAGTGTTAAAGCTTTCTCAACTATGAAGAAGACAGCGTTCATCGATGACAAAACATATTCAGAATGATCTTTGCAGGACCAGCTCCAGAAGGCGCATTGCCCTGCTTCGATGGACAAAATCACTGTTTTTCTCGACGAGCTCATCGAGCAAATCAATTCTCTGTGATGTCTTCTACCTTGTATATTTGCCCTAATATAAAACATTTTCCAACGCTAGGCTTTTCAAAGTCTCACGAGCTGAACGAAAGAAAAGTCGAATTTATTGACTAACCACTCGAACTCCTAAAAGATTCTGGTTTGCGGACCTCACGAAGGCATTTTGAGCAGAAGAAGCCATAGCAGAAAGGGCCGTTGGCACTGATTCCGATTCTCTTCGAACGCCTTCCATCACGTCGCCTCTGAGATTGTTTTGTCAGAGCGAATTATGAAAATTTTTGAAATTTTTTCGAATTTCAGCAAGTTTCTCGCTGACTAAACCTCGTAAACAGCGATTCGCATTCAAAAAATTTCGTAACAAATCTCAGGCTTTTTATCACAACTTCACGCGTTTTATAAAACCGTTGACCGCAAAAAAAAAAACGAACCCTCGGTAGAAAAAAACAGCTCCCGTCAAGACGACTGTAAAAACTCCCCTGAACCGCTAAAATTATGCTTTCCATGGAGTATCAAAACTTACAGTGTGAGGAAGGTGAAAAGGTTGCTCTGGCAACAGTCCAAGCCGCAGCAGGAAGTTCCGACGCTGCACTCAAACGTCATCATGTCCGCAGCCTGCATGTCGGCGTAGACCACCTTGAGGAACAGTTTGATCAGTTCTCTTACTTCTCTTACTTTGGGATAGAGAGTTTCAAGAGTCAAATTGTAATCACAAATGAGCGTTGATTCTTCGGTGGTCCTTGGAGGATTGTAGTACCTCGCCCAGTAGTAGTTTCGGCGGTGATACCTGCTCGGATCAAAACATCTGAGGAATTACCTAATGCATCAAATATCAAGTTTCGGACAAGATAAGTGAACCAGCTCATCAGTCTAAGTTCAATATTTCCATCAAAATTTTCACTTGTCATTCAAAAGAAATGAGCCCATGTGAACTGATCTATTAAGAATTTTATTTTTCAACTTGTCAAGGGAATGTTTCCCCCACATGAAAAACGATATGATCAAGATGACGAGTGCATTGTTGCGGTCGCTATCGGCGTGAAAGTTGAGGTCAAACGCAATCGTGGAAAATAAGATTGAAAAAAAGAGTTTTTATACCTTGATCCTCAACTAAATTTCGTAACACATCGTAAAAATAGAAAAACTATGAGAAAAAATCAAAAAAAAAGTGCTCGCCTTAGACCTCAAGTTTCTCGCCGAAAAGCGTGTCGCGACAGCAAAAAGACACCCTCGTCAACTTGCCCATATCGCCTTCCAAGTAGGAAAAAATTGACTAGAACTTTACCTTATTGGCTTTAAAGGTGCACGTATTTTGAGGAAAATCTGTTCGATATCCTGTCCAATCTGTGAAAAATGCTCAGCTAGAAATGTCTTGTTGGTTTCCGAAGAAAAAAAAAGTCTCCTGATGAAAAGTTGGTTGAAATGCGAGTCTCCTTTGGGTGAGAAGCTGAAGTAAACACTGATGACTTCTCATTAGGAAAGATGTTCAGAATAACCTACGCACGAACGAATTTTCGTCATCAGACGCAACAAGAACGTGGAATTGGATAAGGGCTGCGAGAAGAAGCATAGCAAGATCAAGGCTGTGGATGAGTCTGCGAGATTGTATTTTAGGGAAGAGTACAAGTGCCGTCAAGATAACCATGGGAACAATCCTTGTCGACTCCGTTGCAACATTCCGACGTCAGACAGGAAATGAAGCTCGCGCTTTTCCATTTGTACTTGCTTTTTTGAGCTCATTCTCTAACATGGTTATGTAACGAATTTTTATTTGTGATATTTGCCATCTTTATGACATGTTTATCGGAAAAAACGAAAATTGCTTGAAAAAAAGTTAGTACTGTTTTGGAACAACTTTGGTGGGCCAATTAACAAGCTCTTGCGTTTTGAAACATGTTCCGTTTCTTCTTAGCATTTTAATTGCAAACCGGGTTTATCTCCAAACGAATGCAAATATCCAAAAATATAAAAAGAGATTTGATTTAAAACAGTTCCATTAGTGCAAATAAAAGCCCCTTCTTTTGATCTGAAAAGAATAACTTTTGCCCCCAGGCTATTTTTGATTTAAAGGCAGCACACTCACAGAAACAGAACAAACAGCCCAACCAACCAACCAAAAGATAATCCCTACCTCTTTGACTTCTCTGATACTCGTAAAGCTTTTAAGCTACTTCACCAAAAAAAGATATAAAAAAACAAAAAAATATAAGTAACAACAATAGAAAAATTACTTCAAGAATTCACTTACGAAAAAAAGGAATTAGATGTAGTTCAAAAATCTTGCTCATACTGCGATTTAATATATTTCTCTCACTTTATTTATAGCACAAGCACAGGATATCGCATCAACACTGTTAAATCAGCAAATGTTAATTGCAATTCCAAAAACTTGATTTACTGTCTCGAATGCCTAGATTGTAATAAGCAATATGTTGGAGAAACCAAACAAAAGCTTAAATCAAGGATATACCAACATCTTTATAGCATAAGAAACAACAAACTTCACACCTTTTTCTGTTCACATTTCGACAACATATCCCATGACAGACTTAACCCCCGCATAAAAGTATATATATTAGATAACATTAACAATGAAAATAATAGAATACGCCTAGATAAAAGAAACTCACTGGATTCAAACTTTACATACAGCCTTTCCTTTCGGGTTTAATGATCAAATAAGCAAATTTGGCAACATTTCTAATATAACTGATATAATGTCTAATTCTAATTCTAGTAAACAAAAACAAATCTCCTTACTTCCAAATCAAAAATTTTAAAAAAACCTAACCATAAAAAGACACAAATCCTCATCAAAAAGATAAAAAAATATCTCTAAATTAATCAACCATTCAGACATAATAAACATAACCAATAGTTGTAACACTAAAGATCTTCACACTTGTATTTTTTTGAAATTACTAAACATAGAAGATTCAGATCTCTTATAGAAACAATTAAAAAGTGACACTAACTTTAAAAAAACGCTTGCACAGAAGAAACCAAATATTTTATAAATGCCTGCTCCATTAAATTTCAACAAAAGTTTACAAGAAAAACTCCAAAAATACGCCAAACAACTTTGAAATCAATTTAAACTTTACTTATTCTGATGCACTGGAAAAAAATCCAACCTTAGTCATTTTTTTAAAAAAACTCTTAAACGATAACTTGAAACAATACAATATGCTCGGGGATAACATCATCAAAAATCAATATGAGATATAAATATCACAATCCAGTTAGCTCGAGAATCTTTAACTACAATTACTTCCTGAACAACTTGGACTCTCACAAACTTATTGATATACTCTCATCTGATTGCTCATGCCATCAATTTCCATTTCATCGCGATTCTCAACATTCCGGACACGTCATATCTGGTGATAAAGATTTAATTCAATGCCCTAAACTTAATAGAATCATTTCCGCTGGTACCAAATTTCGCTCCTACGCACATACTGATATCAATGTATACAACGCCGAATGTCTTTCTAACATTAGATCTATCATTAAAAAAAGTTAGACAACAAATTTAAACTTTATCCTTTAATCACCACAAAAAAATCAACTCCGATCTTACCTTTCTATTTGACAATCAAAGAAACATAATCATTAGAAAAAAACCAGAAATAATTCTGATTGCAAACTTCCTTACACTTCAATCAAAAAAACTCCAAGAACATTTTATTATCACTAATACTGATAAAGCTTCAGCTAACTACAGCTTCACTTGCAAAAAAACTATATTGCCAACTTCTATGTAAAAGAGATGGGTGTTACAATTAACTATGCCAATAAATCTCTTGAGCTCGACAATAGCAACAAAAACATATGAAAAATTTCGGACAAAAACTCGACTGTTATACTCGAACGCCACAAAAAAAGAAATCAATGATCTTTTTAGGCAATTTTAGAATTATGAATCAAAAATGAAAAAAATATGTTCTTCCTAAAATTTACGGAATTCCTAAATTACACAAAAAAACCCAACCAAGATTAGATTCATCTGTGGAGCATACAACAGCTCCATCAAACCTATTTCAGTCGTCCTGAAACATTTACTTTCTCATCTCAAAAAAACCACTTTCGTAACATTAATAACGTCATTGAAAAATAGAAATAATATCTGTATCAACTGGTCAATAGATAATAGTCTTAAACTAATTCATCATTTTGATAAATTCAAAAATCAGAAATAACACTTGTTTATACTCCGGCGATTTCAGCTCACTCTTTACTAACCTACCCCACTCTGAAATACTTAATTCCATCAATAACATCTTAGATATTTGTTTTAGGAACGCAGGAATTGATGTTACTGGAGTGACTTTGACCAAAACAGGAAAAAAACCTTTTTACTCTTATCCCAATAATAAAATTTATCCCAATAGTTTAACTTTCACTAAATCCCAGATTTCAAACATGGTTCACTTCGTACTGAGCAATAGTTTCGTCTCTTTCGCCGGATTCACCTTCAGACAAGTAAACGGAATACCGCAAGGCAACAACGCCTCTCCATTTATAGCAGATCTTACCTTAACGGCCATGGAATACAATTTTTATAATTAACAATAAAATCCTTTTCGACAGACGCTTTTTTTCCACGCCGCCAGATACATGGATGACATATTCATAATTTACGATAAAAAAATAAATTAAACTTATCCCTAATCACCAACACACTATACCATAACTCATTGGAACTTAACCAAACCAATACGGAAACATATAAAACCCAATTTTTGGACTTAGATTAGGGGGCGCAAAGCCCCGCCCCTTCACGCCACCAAAATGACGATTTTTTTGTTGCAAAAAAACGGTTTTTGAGGCGTTTATACTAGCTAAAGTCCCACTTTAAAAAAATTAACTGTTTCTGTTAATTTATGTAATCGACAACGCTCTACAAGACTGAATATTTTTTTAAAACTATGTATTTTTTTCAAAAAAATAAGCGAAAAAAAGTAAGATTTAACACGAAAAAACTGACAAGTTTCACAAAAATCGTCGCGTTTCAGAAAAACCAAGTGAGGAACGCTTCTAAATTTTAAGTATGTTATACATTAACACTTTCTTTATTTTTTTGAGTGAAAATGAAAAAAATCTACCGACGCGAAAAAAATATTAAAAGCTTGTAAAGTGACACCAAACTTTGAAGCTGAAATGCGAAAAAAATTTTCAGCGACATGGTATACTTTTTATTTGATTTAAAAAAACTAACAGTGTGTCCAAAAAAATAAAAAAATTCAAAATGAAAAACAATTATTGGGACAGCGAATCAAGTTATATTTGAGTTTTACCAAAACCTCCATTTTTTTCGCCTGCCTCGTTGACGCATGAGAGAATAGGATCGCGTCTATATTTTCGATTATGTTATTAAGCGTTCAAAAACTCTATCAATGAAAAAAATTATGAAAAAAATCGATCGACGCGAAAAAAATAACGGCTTTGAAAAACCTCGAAAAAAATGGCAATTTTTTTGAAATTTCGGAAGATTTCGTGCAAGTGTCCGTAGCAGTGTTTGCGTCAAACACGCCGAAGCGCCCTTTTAAATGTCGCAGGAGCCGTTTTTTTCGTAGTCAAATTGCACTTTTTTTCCTGTTTTTATTTCGAAATAACATTATTTTTTTCATTTTTTTCTTTTTCCCAAATCAAATGATAATAATTTTTTTCTAAGTAGAAAAAAAGAAAAAAATAAGCTGAAAAAAATCCCTTTGACCTTTTTTTCTAGGTAGTTTTTTTGATATTTTATCAAAAAAATTCTTATGAGGATTGTACAAAAAGATTCATACCAAAACATGAGGCTCAGTTCGGACAATCTCACAGAGCAGAAAACCGATTCAAAAACGGTCCAGAAACGCGCAAAAACATTTAAAAAGAAAGCGTGCGGCAGCGGGTAAACCGTGAGATTTTGCCTCCAGTTGTACGCCGCGCGCGCTCGTTTTTTGGCCATAACTTTTTTCTTAGTGGAGCTTTTTTCAAAAACTAAACGGATTATGAAATTGGACAGTCTCCTCTATCAAAAAATGTGAAAAACATATTTTTTGAATCGTTCTGAAGAAATGGCTTGCGGACCCTAACTTAGATATTTCAATCGATGAACAAAAAAATCTTAAGCAAATTATATAACAAAACGGATGACTATAATTTTCAAATAATCAGATACCCTCATCACGACAGTTATGTAGCTCGAAATATTGGTTTCAACACATTCACTAATGAAATTGTTAGATTCTCTAAATGCTGCGGTAGAATAGAAGACTTTATAGATAGGACTATCGATTGCATAAAAACTTTCATATTGAATCAATACAATTTAAACACCTTAATTAGAATTTTGAAAACAAAAACTTTAAATAGGACTAAATTCAAAGAAAAATCGGATTTAGTTTTGCAAAAAATACACATTTCATTATAACTATCCCTTCTTCACTCTACATTCCAAATTTCAACCTCAATTTTCTACCTTTATACTTTCAATATAGACTTCCACAAGAACATAAATTTAATCTACCTCTTCGTAACTTTTGACCTCTGCCGACAACAATCGATATCGGATATGAATGACTACATTTCCCCCTTTTTTCTCTTTTCCTTTTTCTTCCCCCTTCATTTATCAGTTTTCCCTTTTCAATTTTCCAAACTTTATTAATTTAAAACTGCGCCTAGGTATAATAGCTAAAAATCTTTTTATAAAATTTTTTTGATTTAAAAGCAAGAGGGTAAAATGCTGACGATGGGTCACCCTCTAAGCCGTCCATTTTTGGGACCCGAAACGGCTGCGCGACATAAAATATTATCATCTTTAAACCCTTTCTCCTCTAAGAAATTTCAGAAATCCTAAAACCTTTTTCATAGTAATGTCCTCCTCATATGTATTTTTCTCACCCTTCATATTGATCAAACACACTGAATTTTACTTTCACATATTCTCTAAATTCTCCTTTTTAATTCGTTTTCTGAACAGTTAGCAAACTCATGATATTCTTGTTACAATAAACATTTTATTCTACAATTTGCGCGTGGCTTATTTTGCGCCGCATGCATCTGGTGGAGCTTCAAAGAGATGTTTTTTTGTCAATTATCTAACTAAAAATCAACAGAAGTTTCGTTCACGTCGCTAAGTTCGCATCGCATTTCCAGACTGAAGCGACTCACTCGATCCACAATCTGTAAAAACAGTATTCGAATCGAAGAAAATTTTTCTTTCTTTATTTCTAAAATTGAGAATCGGTACCTTGCGAATCGGTGTCCAATATCGCTCCCCACAAACTGTTGTAACTTCTTGGCGAATGCAACTCATCGACTTTTTCCAAGATTTGCAAAGTCTTCCTCGGTCCTCATTTGCCTGGTTTGAAATAAAAAGGGACGAAATCGAAAAAAAACCGTTTCGCTTTTGAATCCATCAAAAACAGAAGGAAGGCCAGCAAGGCAGACGGAGGGGTTTCTCTCGAGCTCAAAAAATTACTTTCATTTATTGGAACGGAACTGTAGGAATTAGGTTTAATATGCACAAAGAAAAGAAAACCTTTCTCATACACGGAGCAAAGGCGGTCGCAAAGTAGTGAAGGGCGTCGCAGAAGGCGTTGACCATTTTGTCAGCCTTCAAAATTCGACCGCAGGAGGACTCTCCGACGCATTTCTCAAGCTCTTCTGTTCCCGAAACGCATTATTGAGAAGCAACCTCGGCGGTTCTACACTCTTGCAGATGAACGAGAGCTTTTCCTCTCGTAAGTTGGCTGACTTTCGTGAGGTCGACACCAATAAACGGCTGAGATTTATGAAATCGGAAAAAAAAGGTGAGAAAACTGAACTATGAAGCAGAAAGAGAGCTCGAGCACGTCGCTGCCGTTGCACTGCTCCAGGACATTGTAGTCGGATGAAATTGACGCTGAAGGGGTCACTAGAAGAAAAAACAGGCTGCTTGCGATCAGCAGGGTCATGACTTTGCGAGGAAAAAGAGCCTCGAGCGATCGATTTTTCCAAACAGCAGCTGACCATCGACTTTTGAGTTTAAATGAAGCTCATTCAGCTTTTGCATCAGACTTTGAACATAATCAAAAAAAAAAGTAATGGTTCAAAGAAAGTTCTGATCAAAAATGAGGAAAACTCTTCGGTTTTCAAAAGTAAAAAGAGACTTTTGCTAATCAGAAATGAGTCCAAATACTTAACCTGATCTAACAATTAAAGGAATACAACTATTAGAAAAAAGCTAGACGAACCTTTGTAGAAACATCTGTCCCATGTGACTGTATGTCAACAACTGCTCGGACATCAAAAAAAAAAACCTTGTAATTAATGGTTAGATTAAACAATTGCGTGGAGAAACACAGATGACCCGGAAAGAATGTGAAAAGTCGCCTGAACACACAATGGATAAACAAACAAGTCTTCCGGACTTGTATAAAAACCTAGAAGTCAACAGATCAGCAAGTCGCCAATTATCTTTGATCTATTCCAATTTGTTGAAAGTGTTTCAGAAATCAATGCGGGCTCTCTTGATTATTCTGGCAGTTCTGCCGGAAGTGGAAGCTGGATTCTTCAGGAATCTTCTAGAGGCGGTCAGACAGTTCGGAAGCGTTTTTTCGTACAGTAGGTGTTCCAGGATTCGAGGGAGCAGACCGATGTTTTCAATCAAGCCAAAAAAGAAATACAAGACAGGCGCGAAAAACTACGTGAGAAACTGAAAGTTGTAAGTTCTGCGTATGAAAAAGTTAGGAGAAGACTGCCAAACCGTAAAAATGAAATGATTTTCTATAAAAAGTTAAACATTTAATAATACTAGGGATTTCACGGTGTCGATCCAGAAGCTCGACGAAAGAGATTGCAAGCTCTGCGAAACCGCACACGACATAGAATGGAACTCAACTGGACACCAGAAAAGCAAGCCGAAATCGAAATGCTCAGAGCCGTCGAGAATCTTATCGAACCCTCACCGCCAAATTTGTTCAGAAAATTCCAAAAGTAACCGTGGACCTGACGCCTAATGGACAAGAAGACGACCTTTTCAAGTTGAATGAAAAGAAAGGAGTCTCTGAGTACATGTTCCAAGGAGACATCAATCTAGAAGAGTGAGAAAAAAATAGACTTTCAATTGAAGTTCTGAACAGGGATCAAATGTTGGTTATGGAAGAGGCCGAGGAGTCAAACAGCTCAAGATCGAAAAGACAAGTCTCTACCAGAGCACGCAAATGGCCCAACGGCATAGTTTATTACCACATCGACGCATCTATCAGTAAGGGAATAATCAACTCTTATAAATGTGAGGAACATCCAGATGCGCGAAAGAGAGCTTCAATCTCTGCAGCTCTGGACTACATCTCCTCAAGAACCTGCATAAGCTTCAGACAGGATTCGACGGCAGCCAACCGAGTCAAGGTCGTGAGCGGCGACGGCTGTTACAGCTACGTCGGCATGACTGGAGGCGAGCAGATTCTCTCGCTAGGAGACGGCTGCGAAGTGGTACCGGCAAATACTCTCTTGACAAATCGGAATGATCAATCCCAGATAGGAACAGTAGCTCATGAGTTCGCACATGCCCTCGGCGTTTGGCACACTCAGATGCGTTTTGATCGAGACACCTACGTCACCATCGACCTTTCTTCTGTCGATGTTTGTCCTTTTCTATGTATCAAATCCGAAAAGAAAGGAAATCGAAATAACCGATTTTCATATTCCCGAGTATTCTTTTTTTCAACCTTGTTTCAAGTTTAACTTAAGACGAACCAACAAGGCAATTTTGTGAAGATGACCTCCTCCAACACTGTGAATTATGTACCATATGAATACGGAAGCTTCATGCACTACAGTGCAAACTCGTTAGTTCCTTGAGTGCACTTTAGAACAGGAAAGAGCAAATCAGATTCACGTCTTCTGGTGGCAAACCATCTGTCGTTCCAAAAGATGTCGCCTACATTTTCACAATGGGAAGCCGTCAAATTTCATTTTACGACATTCAAAATCTGAATACAGCTTACTCGTGTCCTAAATGTAATGTGTCATTTTTGTATGGGCAATTGAAAAAATTCAGGTCCAAACAAGCTGAACTGTTCCAATGGTGGGTATCAGAATCCCAAGGTCTGCAATGAGTGTATATGTCCACTGGGTTACGCAGGAATTTTTTGCCTTCAAAGAGTGAGTCTAAAAATATTCAAAAAAAGCAAGATTAACATTAAAACTGATAGCCAACGGGATGCGGAGAGTCTCTGAATGCGTCGAAGACATGGACGAGCAAGACCTTCATTTTCGGAGACCCTACAAACTCAAGAAGTACTCGAGACGATTTCACCTACTGCAATCACCTCATAAATGTCCGTACAGAACAAATTAAAATGACCGAGAAAGTTTTGAAGGCTCCGACTGGAACAAAAGTCGAGGTCAAAATCACTTCGATGTATAATTCTCAGTGCAACTACGGTTGCGCTTTCAATGGAATCGAAATTAAAACAAACAGCGACCAAAAAATCGTCAATCCGAGGTTCGCCATCGCTAAACTATGAAACTAACAAGCTCTGCAGGATCTGTTGTCCGCAATACAACAATGTGATCTTCCAAAGCGCGCTAAACCCAACTCCGATAGTCTCCTACAATCGATTCTACTATACTTCCTTCACTATTGAATTTCGCTACATTTAGCAAACGTCGTCCTGCACGATGAATAAAAAAAGTGTAAATGATTTCTTTGCGTTTTTTTAATTGCGAAAAACTTAACAGTTGAAATACACAAAAATTCATTTTACACGTTGAATGACTAGAATCTTCTTGAGCAAATAGACTATCGTATTCGAAATAAGTTATATTTCAGTTCATATAAACAAATCAAACGAAAAAATATACATTTTATAAAACCGCTGAAGTTGGAGCAACACTTTCACGTTTTGAAAGAACTCGGGAGCATTGATCCGTCAGCATCTTAATACATTCTTGATTTTTTACCAAGAAATTTTCTTGGCGGTCTCAGTAATATCTCCAAAAAAGGCTTCTAAAAACTTTTTGAACACCCTTTATCATCTAAACTGATTATTAGAAAAAAATATCCACTCTTGTTTCTATCTATTTTTTTTTTCGTGTTTTAGGACGACCAACCCTCTAAATTTGAAAATTTTATTTTAACCCTAACATTCTCTGGGTTCTAAACATGACCAGGTATTCAAAAAAAGAAACCTGAGCAACAACAGAAAAGTCGAAATAGCGCTGGCTGGAATCGACCTCCCAGTGGGAGGTGCGGAGAGACCTGGCGAGTTGAGAGCACTCGCCGTCGCTCAAAGCGCGCTGGCTCGAGTCGCTCATTGTCATCACTTTAGTGACCACTACACTGTACTCTATCTGAAATTTTTCAGTCAAACAAGATTCAACTTGTATTTTTCTTGTAACATCAGAATGAAGCATAATATAAACTTTTCCCGACAGAGGACATGCGCAAAAGAGCTATTTTGGATGCCATAGATCCACTTTCAAAGTTTTTCTAACCATTTCTACTTCCCAAAAACTAAATTTGCCTAGCTCATTGTCTTTTGAGTTCGCCCTGCAATATTCCTCATCGTTTTTTTTTTCTCAGATACCCTACTTCCCAAACTTTTCTCGAACTGTGTTGTCAATTTCTCAGGAAACTCTAGTTTAAAAACAGACAAGGAGAGGATAATTTGTATAACCGGACCTGTTTGTCTATCTGCTTCTTTGCCTGGGCCATTGACCTGACGACCTGATGGGCCGACAACAAACTCGCGCAATTCGTGCAATCCAACATGATCATGACAGCGTCTGCGGCCGATGCGTACTCACTTGGGGGATAGTTCTTGAAAAAAAAGTCTTCTCTATAGTCAATAATGTAAGTTGGCGTTGCGTTTTAATAGACTTCGCTAATTTTTTAAGTTGTCATATTTTCAAAATTTTCATAAAGTGAAATTAAACGTTGAATGGCTTATCCATTTTGGTTGTCCACTAACACTCCTAGTCTCGCAAGATGTTTCTAAAAAGAAAAAAAAACACATTCAAAATTATTCTTCGTATCATTTCTACCTATCATTTCTATCTTCTTTGAAGTCATATTTCTAACCTGAACAGTACTTTTCGGCTTTTTTTTATTGTTTGCAACAGAGGTGGAGGATGGCTGCCCTCTGGCCGCCCTGCCTGCCAAGCCATAAACGCCCAAAAGGCAGAAATGACTTTTTCAAAAGTCAGCGTGGCGCGACGGTCATTTGTATGGCGATATCGCCCTAGCATCTAGAAGCGCTTGTTTTGAGCGATGTATGAAACTTTTTTTACAAAAACACAAAAACACGGAAAAATGGTGGTATGAAAAAAAGATCAGCGAAAACTCGAACGGCGATTTTTCTGATTTTTCCTATCGCTAGGGAGCTTCCGACGGAGAACTTTCCGACTAATCCTTTTCAACTTTTTTGCTAAATAAACTCTTCGTTTTGAATCCTCCCATATAAAGTAGGTAGTTGATACATGATTAAAAAACAAAAAAGTAGACAAAAAAAACGTTTTAGGAACCGAAAAATAAAAGGGAAAAAAGTCGGGAAGTGAAAAAAAAACTTTTTTATTTTCATACCACCGGAAAATTCCAGGTAGATAACTGTAAGCCTTCCACTCTTCACGAGGTGGTCTGGCGTAATAGAATTTTTCAGTCATTTGACTTTTTTGGAAACCAAGTGAATCAAGAGAAATACTTTTGCATCAATTTCATAGCATCTGAAATTTTTTTGTCGAAATAGCTCTCTAGTGAGATTGAAAAGGTAGCCTTTTGACCCGTTTCAGTGACAATTCCCTGCTGAAATAATTGTAACAGTAGATTAAGAAACGTTAACACGAAGTTGCAAAAAACAACTCAAAAATTTACAAAATTGATAATGATTAGTTCAGGGCGTTATCGCCACGTACTTGACCTAGTTGCCAAAGACCACGTGAATTAATGGCTCATTTCTATCGTTTGGCTTTTTTTGGCTTGGCTTGGCCGCCAAGCCAAGGGCTGCCTTCCCAATTCTCCACCTCTGGTTTGCAACACCTTCTTTATGACTTTTATTTAATTAAAAAAAGACCGTTTCAAAAATAAAAAGCACATAAAAAACCTATCGAAAAAAATCTTCTTCTCAATTCATTTTTTTAATCTCAAGTTATTGAAAAAAATTAGAATCAAGAACTGTTGTGTCCGCTGTAGCCCAAAGTCGAAGTTGAAGGAGCAGATTTATTCGTAGAATGAAGAAGTGTGAAAGAGGTAAAAGGGCCGCCTTATATACCCATCTCACGTAGAGATAAGAGTATTTATTAGAGAGACGTGATATTCCAACAAGAACATATTTTCCCAAAACCGTCAACAAATCCGCTTTACCTCGTGCTCGTATTCCCCTTCGATCAAATCAACATAGACGGGTTGTCCATTCATTTCGATAACCTAAATATTGCCAATTCACTCAAAATAGCAAGAAAAAAAAACTATGGAGACAATGCGTTCATCGAAAAAAGCTTCTTCTGCAGGCGAGAAACGTTCTCCTGGAGACAGAAGCCGGAAACCAACGTGAAAATCTTCGCAGGCCACCGCGAGAACGTTTCGGATGGCCTCCAACTGAATTCAAAAGTTGCAAAGGAACTCTCAAAAAGCCATACAAAGCTCGTTTTCCCGCAGTTTTTATGGCCAAATATCACCAAAGTGATTTCCTCGCCTCTTCCGATTTTTTCAAAAGACTTTTCCGACCTCGAATAACTGCATAGAGCCTCCTGTAAGTTTCCTCTTTTTTCCAAACTATCGTAATTATTACATGTTCGAGAATAATAAAGTTGGATAATAAGAAAAATAAAGTAGAAAAGTGATAAATGAAAATTGGAAGTTTCAAGATTTTATCAAAAAAAAAAATGCTAAAGATGCAGTTATTAAATTTTTTAATTCGAGATCCCTGCTATTCGTGAAAACGAAGGCTAACTCGTTGAAAAAAAACCTTTAGTTGCTTCGAATCCGCTTCCCATTGAGAAACTTGTCTAAGCTCTGAAAGAAAAGTTAAAATTAACGATCGAATGTTCAAAATTAAACTATATTTAGTCGATTTGGTGGGAAACCATCGCTTCCAGAACGATTTGGAGCTCAAAGCTGAAAATAGGGATCAAAACGAGAATGCAGCAGATTCAGATGAACCTTGTTTAGTTTTAGAAGGAGGAATAGACATGAGTTTCTCTTCACTATCTGAAAACCATAAAATTTGAAAAAAGACAGAAAAAAAGTCACCGTCGAGAGTTTCTTCAAAAAGAACACTTTCTTTCTGATTCCGACGCCGAATCGCATTCAAACTCCGTCGCAGAAAAGAGTTACGCTGAGATACTAAATTTAATTACGAATTCTGACAATTTAATACCGTTATTTCTGAACTTTCAACAATGACGCTTTTCTCATGTACGTTTCTCGCCTGTGATGAGGTCGATCTTGTGAATCTTTCTGGAAATAGAATAACATTTCAAGAAGAAAAATTATTTTCATCGATTTCCATCTCATTGTCATACTTGGACAAGTCACGAACACAATAAGTCCTGGAAGAGGAGTTGACTCACAAATGTTTTCATAATAAGCAAGAGCTGCTGACGGGGCGCCCCGCATCGCTAAGTAGATATGAAGTATAAAAGAAAGAGCCCCTATGTAGAGAAACGAATAATAAAGAATCTATTGGCGGAAGAAACTGAAAATTTATCCATATCATTATCAAGCTTCGATTGAAAGATGAGTAAATCCTTCTTTAGAATCTTGAAAGGAAAAGCTATTCGAGCTTCGCAATATTTGATTATATTATTCAATGAATACAAAAATGGAAAAGAATATGTTTTCTTTTTCATGAACCGAAAAGGAGACTTTTTTGCAGAATTCATTGATGAAACTATGAACAATTCGAACCGGATCTGCGACCAAGTCCATTCCGATTGAAAGATGTTACATGGGCGTAAGAACAACTGCGGTTGACGACTTTGGGAATCTTGTCCTCAGGCAGAATTTCATGGGAAATCTGCGTTTTGAGAACGCCTTTGACCGGCAGAGCATCTGCCGGTGGAAGGTCCTGACGTATCGTGACGATTGGACTAAAAGCAGACTAAGTTACTGTAGTGGGATAGGAAGAACCTGCTGAAGACTTTTGGTGCGGCTACGGTGAAAAAACATTGCTTTCTTTTGCTTAAATTTTCAGAAGACGCATTACTCATGTCCTGAAAAAAATATTTTCATTCAATATCATACATTTAAAATGACTAACTATGATTTAAAGTAAACAAATGATAGATCACTGAAAGGTACGGAGCCCTCTCCCAGAAAATTCACAAGAGATTTATGAGAGGTCTAATGCCTCATTAATTATTAAATTCCTTATATTATTGAATTTGTTTTGAAACACGTTTCAACTTCTGTGCAAATCTTTTCGCAAAAAATTGAAAATGTTAAAGATTCTGTAGATTATCTGGAGTTCAGTTATTTTCTTCTGCGTCGCGAAGGAGATTTTGAGAAATTCGATTCATTCAGCAAAACATTGTTGAATGTTCTCAAAAAAACGATTGAAAAAAATCCTTGCCTCATCTTCGCAAGTGTAGAGAAGATCGGTGATTTCCTGTGATTCCTTGTATTTCTTGACGATCTGCAAAGAAGTCTTTTACACTTAAACTGAAGAAGTCGCAGCACATTGAGAAGAGCGATGCTGGGAATCATACTGTGAAGATCTCCGACGCTGAGTCCGCAGATGATACAGTCGTCGCGGGTGCGCGTCCGGTGTTCTATGCAGATCTCGCAGAACGAATGGCCGCAAGCCACCATTACTGGCTAATATTCTTTTGGAAATTATTTTTTTACCCTGTCGTAGAGTTTTGCACATATCTGGCATTCCAGTTCCTTGCTCAAGTCTGGATTTTGCGGCTTGAAAGACTTAAAAACGCTGATTTTAAAAACGAAGACATCATTCGTATAAAAATTTTGGGTTTTGCAAAAATTCGAGCCCAAAACTTTCTTAAAGAGAAAAGAGAAAATAAAAATAACAAAAACATAAAAAAATAAATTTGGAGATAGCCTATTTTTTTCAATTTTTTTGTTTTAGGTATTCTCACCTGGATTGAAACAGAAGAACTTACTGAAGCATCACTGTTAGAGCTGCGGAACGTAGTATTAGATGGTCGTGGAGAAGAAAAAACTGTAGAAAAATCGACATCACTGGAAATAGGTGCACTCAGCGAAGAGACGGCCTCAGAACTGGAAGTTTTCGGGAAATCGCAGTCTAATTCGAACAAATTGAGCACTTTCGCATCACCCTCCGACATTACTTTTTATATCTGCAAAAAAGTTTTTATAAACCGCTGCCTACTTCCACTTTGAGGCTTACAACAGTCATTCGATTTACCTTAAAAACCGTATTTCAGTTTTCGTTAAATCGAAAACCGCTACTCCCTGACGTCATTTCATGACATCATTCGTAACACAAGAAATAAGCGTAATCGAAATATTTGCCTATTTATTCATTTTATTCACGTGAACATGATTCAGCTTTATAAATTGGAACGTAAAAAATGACGTCAGGGAGTAGCGGTTTGCGATTTAAAGCGAAGTCCGTATTTCTTCCCGTCAATTAAAATTACTGTTCAACGGCAGATACAAACAACCAACATAATTGCCTATATCTCAGCGGGCCGTTAGCGATATAGCCAAGGCTTCTTGCTGCGATCTCGTCTACCTTTCGCTGCGACCTCGTCAAAAACTCGCTTCCATATCGCTTCCTCTCAAAAATTTGAAATTTGAAAAGATTTTGTTTTGCTTTATTTTTGACTTTTATGATGACATCAATAAAATTAAAGAAAAACATTTTTTGAAGGAAAATTTTTCAGAGAGCGGTATAACGCAAGAAAGTTGCGAAGTCGCAGCGAGAGGCGAGCGATATTGCTCGCCTCAATTTGAAAAAAAGGCGAAAAAAAAGAAGCGAAAAGCGATTTTCCCCTCAGACACTCAAAAAAAACATTTTAAAATTTTCATAATGCGATGTCGTGCCAAGGAAAATGCAAGGCCGGCGCGACTACAGCACGGCGTTTGCGCCCCACGCGCACGGATACTGATTTTTTTTTTCGTCTTTTCCATTGAAATACGGTTTCGAAATGTATTTTTTTATGTTTTTTTAATACTACCCAGTGCTCCTGCTCACATTTTAAAGTTGTTCCGAGCACTTTCGAACAAATTTATGAAAAAAATCTGTCAAATGAAATTTCGGTATTACAAACTTTTTTGCGTTCTAATTGTTATAAACTGGAGCTGAGCAAAGATGAGCAACGAAAAGACATGAATAATATTAAATTTATAACTTTTAAATTAGTTAAAAAGCTAAAAAAAAAATTGAAGAAACACCCCCAGGATGCCAACATGCCGCGTGACCCCGCTTTTATCTCAGCAATTTTTTTTAGTGTAATTTCGTCAACTCAAAATAACTGTCAGGAAATTGAAAAAAGTTTTTTTGGAGAGTCAGAATTGATTTTGAATTTTGTGGAAACTTTGAACGCGATAAACACAGGCCTGTACAGGCGAATCGAGAAGGTACCATAATGTGTCCACAAAGGTACGGCTCAAAATGGATCGTGAAGACCCCATAATGTCCATCGTGAGACCTCCGGCATACCTTTTAGCTATAACTGAGCCACCTCGGAGGTACTTTAGAGTCTCCTTCAAGTATATCTCATTTTGCTCGATTTCCTCAGAGTTATATTCGTGGTGCCATCGTGAGACTTCAGACCCTGCGATATACCTCAGAGGGTCTCGCGATACCCTTTCTCGATTCGCCTATGAAGAATTTGAGTTTCAAAGTTTTTCGAACAAAATTTGACTCTCAGGGACTGAGTTTTCTTTTTCCGCAGTTATTCCTATAAGCCATTCCGCGCCAGCTTGTCACGTTTTTCTATCCGCCAAAAGGCCAGATCAAATTTGACCGACTTCGCTTCAGGACATTTGTTTCTTGCTGTTTTGAAAGCAGAATTTCTAAGAAAGCTGTTTTTAAGGGAACCTTTTTTCTGCTTTTCTTCAAAAACGTGACCGCCTCACTCGGAACTCCCCAAAACTACAAGAAAAAAAAAACAAAAACCACATTTCGTGAAGCGAAGTTGGTCAAATTTGATCTAACTAGGGAACTACTCGGACTCGGGTTCGCGGATCGAGTTTAAACTTCAGTGGTTTATAGACCTAAGTGAGAATACTTGAAAAAAAGAGAATATCTGCTAAACCCGATAGAGAACTGAGAAAAAATTAGTAGAAAAATGTGAAAATTAGGCCTGGACATTTCCAGATTTTTTCAGTCAAAAGAAGGAGGAAAGCAAATATTTGATGATTTTCAAGCCTAAATTTTTCATTTTCGAAAAGCTTTTTCTCAGAAGCCTATGGGGTTTAGCAGTTAATCTCTCTTGTTTCCAAGTACTCTTACCCGGGTCTATGAGCCACCAAAGTTTCAACTCGAAACGGGTACCCGAGTCCGAGTAGTTCCCTAGTAAGTTGGTATACGATCTTTTTGGCGCTAAGAAAAACGTGACAAGCTGGCGCAGAATAGGCTATATGCTGTGTTCAAAGTAGTTTCCGCGAAGGTCAAAACTATATATTTCTGACTTTTCAAAATCAAGTTCTTTCTCACTTTCTGGATAGCTATTTTAAATTTCGAGCAATCAGTTTGAATTTGGCAATTTCTCATGAGATGCAGACACGTGCCGGAACTATGACGGCGCGTATCACACGGTTACTCTGACCCCAGGCGCCAGCTATCCGCCAGAAAAAGTCATTTCGCGAGCTCGCGGCCATCAAATTTGTGGCGGTTTCCTGGCGATTCTCTGGCGACGTAACCAATAGCGCGAATTTGCTTTTATTACTGTATTTTATATTGCGATCTAAAATTTTGGGACTCGCGTTTTTTGTCTTTTTGTTTTTCTATTTGATTTTTTGCTGATTTCACGATTTTTTTCAGTGTTCGTTTCCTGTTTTGTCCAAACTAGCGCAGAAGCGATGCTTTTGTTTTGATGTAACAAGCAATTTTTTTCTTGATTTCATTTTTTTCTAAATTCAAAAAAAGCTGTCTATAGAAGTAGAAAAACTGTAGGTTGCGAAGGTCGTTCAAAGAAAGAAACGTGATTAGTTGAAAAGAAGTTTAAAAAGTCAGAAAACTATTAGAATATAAACTTTTGTTTTATTTGTGTAGAGCTCAGTAAATGTGATGCGACGGAGGGTTTCAGGTTTAAAAAACAACAGCTTGAAAGGTTGGTAAATAAGAAAATTCGAATTATTTTCTCGATTTAGTTTCGTGGATGATCAACCGCTCTAAAAGCTTAATGTTTTCATGCTGAACTTCTCTTTCCGTGAGGCTGAAAGAACGACTCCAGTTGAATTAGTAAGTGCTTTCTATTTTTTCCTCAACTGCTTCCTTCAGAAAAAAAGCATCGTCAGGAAGTCCCCGTTACGGCTGAAGGATGTTTTTTTCTTCTGACTTTGGTAAGTTTTGGATTTCATGTAAAGTACTTCATCGATATATTTTCGATCTCACCCGACGGCGTCATGATGTTCATTGCAAATGGATAACGATGCTTTGACCAAAATACGGAGAACGGGTACGACGCAAAATGTCCGCGAAATTTTCAAGTTTTTTTATATTTGTAAACTTTACACGTTCATCAACTTTATGAGCCTCAAAAATATCTTGATGCACCCAAATTATTGTATTTTTGTGTCCGTAAAAATTCAGCTTTAAAAATAAAGCTTATTTATTTTAGCCTCAAAAATATTACTCGGATTTGTCATGCTCGCGAAATTCGGCTGACGAGTAGAGTTCTCGAAGCAGTTTTTTTCGAACTTGAAAATACGTTTCGTAGTTTGCTTTGAAAAGGGGCTGATAAATTTGAAGAACCGTGTGTATCACTGCACAACAAAAATGTAATGCCTTGATCATAATTGTCTTTATTTTGTGGCCATTTGAAGTAAAGTGATAAATGGCTCAAAGTTTTCTTCACGAGTAAACAATTTTCTCTTTTCAAAAAACTTTGCATAAGAGTCTTCTATTTAATTCTCTATAAACTAATTTTAAAAACTTGAGCCATTTATTAATAATAGAGCCTTTACCACTTTACGGCCTTTTGATTATAAAACTCCTTCAAACTTTTTACATCAGAGACTCTAATATTGCTCTTTTATCCTCTGAATTTCAACCTTTTAATCGAAGTATGTGCGAAAATGACTTGAGAGGATTTGTTAAACAGCTTAATGTATCCATTAAAAAAGTTTTTGAAAGGATTTTTAACTTTGTCTCCGATATAAATTGACTGCTCGTCGATATCACTTCTTAAATGCGTTGAAGCTTCAAAATTTCTCTCTTCTTTTTGGTATTTTGAAGCAACAAATAACTCTTTGCATATTATCGAAAATTAAAAAAAATTTTAAATTTTTAACGTTTACGAGCAGTCAGCTTCAAGTTTCCTTTATTTCTTCGGATTTTTTTTGGCTCACATTTTTCTAAGATGTATTGTTTAGTAAAGTTTTTGATGTTCTGTTATTATGATCTTTTTCGAATCGAAAGATATTGTTTTAAATTAAGTTGTAAACTTTGCAAGCGTTTCCTTCTTATATCTCATTTTTCAAGTTCTCTTCATGTTTGATTTTATATGTTGATTTTATTTCCATTAAATTTTGTATTTGTGAAAATAATAAAAAGTTGATAAAATATATTTTTTTAGTATAAAAAAATAACAATATTGGAGGAAGGGAAATGATTGAAAAAAGGGGGAATCTGCGCGCTATAGATAACCCTGGCGAATTTCTGGCGCGTTTTTCGCCAGCTCGCGAAAGACGGGGCGCGCGCTGGCGAAAGATTGGCGGAAAGCTGGCGACTGGGGTCAGAGTAGTCATTTTACTTGGCGGTTTAAATTTTCTACAAATTTACTCAAAGACTCTCTAAAGGTCTAGAAGAAGATCCATCATAGTCGCAACCTTCGCAAACTGTTAGTTTTTGAGACATTGAACACAAAGTTAGACCCGTAAAATCCATCAAAGTTACAACCCGCGCCAGTTCTAGTTTTAAGCTAATTAATTTTGGAGGTCTAAAAGTTAGTTCGAAAACCCATTTTTCGCAACTTCAAAATTAATATCTCAAAAACTAGAATTTTGCGCAGGTAGCCACTATGAGGGAATTTTATCAAGGCCTTCAGAGAATGTTTGAGCATAATTGTAGAAAATTCCAAACCGCCAAGTAAAATGAACTCCCTTGTCAGTCAAAAAAACGCAACGGATGCCTTTTTTTGTTTACTTTTTTTGTTTATTTAGGCTAATAAATTCCGCCTTTTTTTCTCTTTTATGCATCTTTTTCTCATTAAGATGAATATACAGGGGTGGGGCATAAATATTGCACGGGCTTTTTCGATCATTCCAACTTTCTTTTTTGCTAATGGAATTTCTATCTGTTTTTTTTTTGTTTTCCACTTTGCGAACCGTCGCTGGTTCTTCCAGCAAGATTTTAAGTCAAGCTGCAAGCCCCGAGCTGAGTAAGACTCGTACGAGTCCAATCTGCCCGATTTCAACACGGTCAAGGAATGGACCGGCTACTCACCAGATTCGAACCCCTTGACAATTCTGCGTATTTATATTTGAAGTTGAAGGCCTGGCCAAAACTCTATTTCAACCAGAACATGCTGATGGTCTCCATCATCAAGAATGGATGAACAGATCGATCTGTACAGACTGTGTCAAAGGGTCGAATATTTTTTCGAGAGAGTCAAGGCACTCAGTGAGGCCAATAGAAGTCGGAGCGAAATTCGAATTATATGTGCTAACTTGGATACTTTGCCGCTGAAAAAGTTCAGACAATCTTGTCTGAATCCGTTTCACTTGAGAGTAACGGAATTTTAAAGGCCGCGCAATATTTATGCCCACCCCTTTAGTCTGTTCAGATTTTGAATGTCAAGCCGCTTTCTCCGGGCCCAAGTCTACAATATCTTTCGCGACAATGTTTCATCGCAGATGACGATGAACCTTTCATATAGTTGAATTTTTGACTTCTTTTTCTATCTTTTAGATCAAAAATGATCGAAAGTCAACCCGCGCGATAAAACATCGGCGAACAGGTATTGTGGCAGCAGGGGCGGAGTTAGTTGGTTAACATTTAAAATCTGAACAGACAATAGGTTTGAAACACATTTCGCTCATAAAAACACAACGGTACATATTTTTCTTATAAAAATGGTTCTTCAAGACATAAAATGAGTGCTTCAATTGATCCAAAAGAACATTCAGCTTAATCTACATGTGAAAACTTGATCCTGCATTTTTATTGCAACGCTTTTCAATTTTTAAGGTTTTTATTTTTCATAGATAAATATCAGGGTTTAACAGAAAATCGAAAAAAAAAGTGTCTGGCGCGTTCAAAGTAATTTTGTGGGTTGCGAACAATTAAGAGATGAAAGAAAATTGTTTCTCTATTATGAAAATAGAAAAAATTGAGTTTTAAAGTATAGCCATAGCCTGTTCAGATTTTGAATGTCAAGTCGTCGCTCAAGCTCCGCCCCGAATGGCGCGATAAACCAATCAGAGAGCGAGCCATTCACAGAGCGTTTTCGAAGGAAGATATTGTAATCGAAATTCAAGATCTCAACATGCTATGTTTAACTTGATTCCCCGTAATGAAGATTTCCAGAAAAAAGATAACGTTGAACTCAGGTGAAATTTCCTATCGCAGGGATGGTAAATGTTATAAATAATCTAATGAAATCTCAAGCGATATAGACGTGGAGACTGTGTGATTTGAAAATAATTTTCATGAATGAAATGAAGAGAACATTGCTCAACAGGCACATTGTGATGAGTAAATTAAAAAATTTTTAAAATTGCAATTAGCTGGCAAAAATTAAATTTCAGTCGGTCATTGAAGATTTAAAGCGAATTAAACATAAGACACAATTTAAAACCTCAAGGAAAGTCCTAGTAAGAAAACTTTAAGCTTTTGACTCAGATCGGTCTTCAGAGAGTTTAGGACTTGTTTTTCAAAGAATATACTTTTTAGCACATCTTTGGTCATCAAAATTAACATAGAAAAGTCGAATATGGCTAGCTTGGACGGGTCTGAAGAACGCATAGCGGCCATCCCGAAGGATGCGGAGTGTGAACTCGTGGAACAGCTTCTTTTGTTCGTCCGTAGGGTTGTGGACCTCAAAAAGAAAAGTAAGTCTATCGAACTTAAAATAAAAACCTCCATGTTAAACATGCAAAACGTAATTTGGTTTTGGTCAAGTTCGCCCCCGTTGTCGAAGAAAGGGAAGAGGTCGTACTCGGCGCCTTCCGCGTCGATCCAAACATCGTCGTAAAACTAGAATAAAAAAATAGAATTTTTAACGCAAGACAAACTCGCATCTCTTTTTGATGATATTCTTCAAGAAATAGATCAAATCCACGTGCACCACTGTCTTTTTAGTGTAGGCATCTAAAAGAGACATCATTTGGCAAATGTTGGTTCTTTTCTAAATGACGGACTGCCAATAAGGACATCCGCCTGAGACATGCCGGCGTTGGCGCCGACCGCAAATGGGAAGTAGAGTCCCAGTTTGGTGTAGAGCTTTTCATTAATATCTTGAATGGGGTCCGCTCCGAAAAACAGCGAACCAGGGGGCAACACCTCAAAACTTGAAATTTTCTTTTTTTCAATTCTCTATTTCAAAGTAATCAAAACTTGATTAAATACGCTGACTTTACATTTCTGAAAAAAAAGTTTCAGAACGTTTCATCAATCGCATTAAAAAAACCTTTTGTATTTTTTCTTCAGCGGCGGTGTCGTGTCCAACTCCAAGCGTAACTATAACACTCGGCTCTTGCTGAAAACTTCAATCAAAACCGGTATTGTATCAAAAAATCACTATTTTGGGAAGAATACTGCGTTTAGTCTCGTCAGAGTTGCTGAAGTCTAAAATCTTGAGAGTCGCTAATGAAGGGAGTTTTTCGCATTCTTGCACTGCCTTCCACAAGTTTCCCCACAACTGGAAGAATAAGGAGGTTATTTGGAACAGATGGGAAAAAAACCTCGGTGTGGTTGTTGCGGTATTTTGAAACGCTCTTCATCATGCACTCATTCCACTCGTTGTACATGTCCCCGAACTCTTTTTTTTCGACAACATCCTTTTTCTGTAAAAAAACGGTGTAATCGAAGAAGTTTCTTATTTTTTTAAATATATAGTGATTTTGGTTTCCCGTCTATTTGAAGATTTTTTTCGGATTCATTTATTCAACAATTCAAAAAAATTTATATATTCTTCGAAAAAAACATGTTCGAAACCCTCTGAAGGCCGATCTGAGTCAGAAGTTTGAAAATTATTTGTGGCTGTCAAGCAATCTTGGAAGATATATGATTTAATAGATAGTTTAAAAGTAGAAAATTTTGAAAGGAAATTTATCTGACATTAACGAACAAAAAAAAAAGACTCACCTTTTCTCCTGCAGAATTTTGGCCCTTGTGAAAAGAAGAGTTATCTCTAGAAACCTGAAAAGGTTCCTTATGTATTGTTCAAAACCTTGCAAGCCTCACGTTGGAAGATCTCATTTGCAACAACAGGAAGAGACAAGTTCCAGTGAGCAGCAGCAGGATCAAGAACTGCGCTCTCTGCGACATCCCTGAAATCGAGGAGGTTGCAAATATTCTCTTTTTGGCAAAACGATAATATCTTTTGCATAAAAGCGAATCAGCAGTTTCGGAGACACCGGGGAATGATGGTGATGCGCGATAAAAGACTTGCTGTAGAATTTTTGGACTGGTGACCTCTTCATTTCAGTTTTCATTCATTTGTATCTATCAATTTCTTCGAGCAGCTGAAACCCTTTGCGCATACTTCGCGTGATTTCATTTCTCTTCTGAATCGTCTAGATAGCACGTCTTTTGATCGAAATATGCAGAAAGTGTCTGCACCGATTTTTGCTTTTCAAAAAGAATCTCCTAAAATGATGCAGAGTGTGAGTCACGTCTGGGCACAATTCCATTAAATGCAATGCTACCTGAACAGTTCAGCGGATTGACCCCTGCGCGTTCAAGTTTCCAAAAGAGATTAAAGTCAAATAAGAACACATGAAGAGATGTTCGACAAATTGAAACCATTTTTTTAAAAATTTTTTTCCTAAATTTGCAACGGTTCACTTGGAGTCGAGGTACCGTAGAAAATCACAGTTCATTTTTCTTTGGGTTTGTTTACACAAAATAGAATTCACCGTTAAAGTGAAAAAAGACAGCGAAAATAGGTCTTAAAGCGATGTTGGTCGAATTGTCCATTTTGGTATACGGTCTTTTTTGCAAAAAACAACGAAACCAGCTAGCGCAGAGAGGGTTATAAAATGAAAAAATGAACAGTCGATTTGAATTGGCGTTTACGTCAAAATTGAATATTTCAATAGCAGTTCAAAAAATTCACTTAACTTTATGAAAGGGAAATTTCTGCTGTTTCTAACATACCGTTGAAAAAGAAGAAACTTCTAAATCTAATTTCTCAAATCCCATATTTATTGCCATGTTTTTAACTGCGCCGCAACACTTATACTTCCAAACTGAACACTTCAAGCCAATATTTTCTTCTTTTTTTTTAAATTGCGGTGAATTGATTATGTATGAACGACACCTTTTTTTTATTTTTTCACTCTACAAGTTGTGATCTTGGTACACTTGAAAACGAGAAGAAAGAACTAAGAAAGACGACTGAACTCTAAAGATATCTGAAATTGTAAAAAAAAAAGTGGAAAATTATTGGTCATAGGAACGATCGGGAGAGGCGGTCCATAATTCATGACTGGGAAATCGAATATATGAGAATTTCATGCGGAACAATCAGTGAAACGAAGGGTGTGGACGAAGCGTTTATCATAAGCAAATAGGAAAGGCAGCCAGGAAAGTCCTTGTCTTGTGCAAAGACCTTCCAGAGTCATCTCTAACCCGTACAATGAACTCATTTTGGGGAACAGTGACGTTCAAATAAAAGCAAGAATATAATCAATTTGCCTCAACTTGAATCAGTCTGATCTCTCTGCAGCTTATTTTTCCTCATCGACGAGGTCATGGATGCATAAAATATACAAATGTATGTGAAATTGGAAACGACGAAAAAATAAAATGAAATGGAATTTGATCTTTTCGAGTTATTTTTTTAAATTGGGATTGATAATAACCAGAAATGACCGTTTAGATAAAAATACATAAGAAATGAAACTAGGAAATTAATGGAGAAGGAGACCTCATCAAGAGGTTGTTGGGATAAAACTTTCCCAGATGGAAGTTAAACAAGAATTATTTTCACACTTGAAAGAAAAATGTAAATCTAAAGTTTCAAAGGGAAATGATCAAATAACTAACCTGATGACGAAGAACCTAGCAGGCTGTAGTCCATTGGTAGACGCAAAAGGGAAAATGAGGCTTTATTTAGGGCGGAAAGCATGGAAAAAGGACGCTCGCACGGTTAACGGAACGGTCGACGTTTAGCTGCGGACCCAGTGGCCCATCTCCTCGTGGCATCTCCCCACGAGAAGTGAAATGGGAACACGCCCCGTGGACTTTTCCCAATTAAACTGGAATTAGGTCGCCGTCCGTGATCATCAAACTTTATGCTGCAGGAAAATTCCGAAAAACACACATATGTAACTTTTTTCGAAAAAAAAGAAAGAATTTTTTGAACAATTGATTCTTCTTGAAATCACCTTAAGTTTTGAAAAAAGATAATCACCTTACGGCAAGAAATCGCTGTGCAATGCTTAGCGTAGAGTTTTTTCTGAACGGATTCAAGTTAGGTTAAGAATATGTTCTATTCGAATATTTGTTCACTTAGCAGCTCAGGTTCTCATTCGTCGACATCTATTCAATTTAAAATTAGGAAAAGAAAAATGAAAAAAAGAAGTTGAAACAAGTTATCAACATAAGAGATTACTGCAAAATAAACTATATAGGAAAAAATTCGTGTAACTAGGGCTCCAAGATGTGTTGTCAGGCGCCTTTCGAAAAATTTTCATATGAAAACGACTTTTGGATATCGTTGCCAGGTTTCCGAAAATTCTCAAAATATATGAAGCATTAGTTATTTTTTTCTATACTCCTACCGTGCATGAAATGCGGTGTTATGAGAACTTTTGAGAACGAAAGGAAAGAGGGAGTTGCAGTAGGTATTTTGGAAAAGAATTTTTCGTCAAGTTCTTGTACTATCCCCACGCCACAAATCATATACATAAAATTTCATCGCGTTCTTTCAAGCTGGGAAATACTTTTTCACACACAAAAGTAGAGTTTTAGATTTTTCCCAACATCAAATTTATGTTTTTTTTTCTTCAGTTGTTAGTCTAAACCGTTTTTTTTTCCTTTTAATCATTTTCGAGAAACTAGAGGGTAGAAAAAATGTAATCAGCGTTGAAATATCTCAATGTGAGTTGCTGGAAAGAATGATAGGAAAGGTGGCCGCAAGGTACGAAAAAGGAAAATCTGCAAAGGAGCCATATCAATGGGGCGGTCGACGTGTTTTCGCCTCGCCGCTGGTTTGTCTTGGTGTGAGTCACGTACTCTTGTAAACGCACTTTCTAATAAACTTTATTGACCGATTCACGGGTGGCATTTGCCACAGGAAGCCTGGCAGCCGCTCATGGCACACGCGTAGTACGGGTTGTTGCAGTATTGCAGATATAGGTAGCAGTCGTAGCACGTGTCGAAGCAGCCGGGGCCTGAATCACAGGGAAAATGACTAATATTTCGACGATTTTATGGTTGAAGAACTTGTTTTAGGCTTTTTTTTTCTGATTTTCCTGAAACTGATTTTGTTTACTCGTAATTAAAATCGCTCTACGAAACTTGATAGTTTCATGAAATATAAAAACAAAAAAAAATTTAAATGAGAGAAAATTAAGTTTTAATTTTATAGGCGAATCGAGAAAGGGTATCTCGACATATGCGAATGGAGAAAGGGTATCGCGAAACCCTCTGAGGTATATCGCAGGCTCTGAAGTCTATCGATGGTACCTCGAGTATTCCTCTGAGGAAATCGAGCAAAATGAGATAGACTTGAAGGAGACTCTAAAGTACCTCCGAGGTGGCTCAGTTATAGCTAAAAGGTATGCCGGAGGTCTCACGATGGACACATTATGGGGTAAGCTTCACGATCCATTTTGAGCCGTACCTTTGTGGACACATTATGTTACCTTCTCGATTCGCCTGTGTGCGAGTTAAATATTTAGCCGCGCCTGCAGTTATAAATATTTTTTTCTAATTGGGTCCTGAATCTGAGACTCTCACTCACAGCAAACGCCGCCGTTGCACATCGTTCCGTTGGGACACATCCCGTTCACGCAAACTGCAAATATTAACCTTCTAATAAAGTGGAGGGGTCGAGCAAAAAATTCTTTCGAATGGAAAGAAAATTTCTATTTCTCGTTGGCAGACCAAAGAGCTAAGATAGAAATCGGTGGATCTTGAGATTTGTGACCAGATTCAAACAACAAACTTCCGAGTGGCGAGCCCTGACAGCAATATTGGGCGTAGACATACGAAAGAGCGCAAAGCAGGAGAGAAGCAAAAAGCTTCATCGCGAATGGTTTTTAGTTTTATTTCAAGTTTTTAAACGACCGTTGACGTCATTCAGATGAATTATTGATGAGGAAAACCCTTTTTTGGTACTTTTAGAAAAACAAACAATGAACTTTGAGTCGAAATTCCCACAAAGCTGGCCAAAATATTGTACAAATCTAACTCGGGAAAAATTTTTAACTAAGCTTTTCGCTAATCGTGTTATGAAGCTCATTAAATTGTACTTTAGGACCCTCTGATTCCAGAACAAGAAGAAAATTTCTCGCAATAGATTTCGTTTTCGAGTTATGGAACTTCAAAGTCCGCAATAATACGCAAATTATGACAAAGAAGCGGTACTTTGAGCTTTTAAAGTGACCTAACTCGAGGACGAGATCTATTGCGAGAAATTTAAAAACGTCCCCTAGAGCTCCGATAGGGCTGACGTATATATGACGATGAAAATATTATTATGCCATCCTGATCCATTTTGAGGTATAATGACTTGCTTGGAATCATTGACTTCGATTTTATCTGGTGTAATAAGGCTTTATAAGAAGATTCGGGAAGAGAAGAAACAATTTCAGTCTGAAAAAGACGAATTGTAGTCCTTTTCGAGTTTCAGGAAAATTGCGGAAATCATTTTCCACTTTATTGCATACGACCTCTGACCTCGATTCGTCTATGTCACAATTTGCCGCGATTCCCATCACTGATGAACGAAATTAAGAAACTTCTCGGGACTGTTCACTGTTTTTTTTTTCATTATTAGTATCATTCATGAGATACTGAAATTTTCGAGCTGCTTTTCTTTCGTGAAGTTAATCCATGAACCGAAGATTTACCGTAAAACATAGTTCAGACAAAAGTTAACCTCTTTGGAACACAAAAAAGTTAGCCTTTGAGTTATATCAGCAGTTTTTTTCTCCGATTGTCTTGAAAAAAATCTCAATATGCTTATACGTGTATTTTATCAACTGTGATATCTATTGTATTCCCCATCCGGTGAAGTCACTCGTGAGGGTGACCTTAAACCGGTGCTAATTTATTTATTTTTTTCACCTTGTGAATGAATAAATTATTATTAAAGAAAAACAGCAAATATAACTGTCGCAACAACTTTCTATGGCTCGTGGAGATTCTCCTCAGACCTCGTGGGCGATTATAATCCGTTAAGATTTCGAATTTTATGCAGGAAATTTCGCCCCCAACCAAACTATGTGGATAGCTCACTCTCTGATTAATTTGATCTACGCATAAGGGGCGGAGTTTGAGCGATGACTTGACATTCGAAATCTGAACAGACTATAGTTTTTCTCCACGGAAAAAGAGAGTAGTCTGTCTGCATCTAAGGTTATTGCTAAAGAAAATAAGTTTTTCTAGTGTGATCAATTAAAGTTTTCTCTAGTCACCATAGGCAAAGTCGAAATGATCCTTTAGGGCCAGGCCGCAAAACGGAACCCTTTTAGCGGCCATTTTGCAGGCACTCCCTTTTTACACCCGTTTTCCGCACTTCTGACTTTGGCCGTATAAGGGGACGACTTCCTGTTTTTCAATCACGATTTCTCATGCCGTGTTCAAAGTAAATTCCGCGAAACTCAAAAACACTCATTCTTTGAAATCCACTTATATTTTTCACCTTCTGACGGCTATTTTGAATTTCGCGGAAATTATTTCAAACGTCAATTTTCAGTGTTCGCAGCTCTCTGCAAAGATCCGCACACAATCGAGCTCAATGAAGTGTGCGGGAGAATTGCAGAAAGCGCAGACATGTAGACACGCCCTTCACTTCGAAATTTCGATTTAAAAAAGTCTTGATTTCAATTTTTTCTGTTTATTTTCCATTCGATTTTAGGGATATTTTTTTCAATACTGAAAAACCATTTTTTACATTTATTTTTTTCTAAATTTTTCCCTTAAAAAAAGCTCTTGATAACGTTTTCATTTTATTCACGTTCAAAATTTTGAAATTTAACTCCTGTTTTTATGCCTCTTCAGTTCTTGACAAGATTCAACATAACGCCGAGTCTACGTGTTAAGATCGAATGATGTTTATAGGCTTAGAAATTCATTCCTTTCCACGCTTGTGGGTGTTTTTTTTTCCTCATTTTTCTTTGTCAGCTTTCATACCACGGCGTTTCCACGTAGTGGGACGGCATCCATTTTTAAAACTTTTTTTCTTCTTTCTTTCTTTGATGAATCTCAAACAAATTTCGATTCTATTAATATTCGAATGATGAAGGATATTTGTAATTTTTTTCTCGGCAATCTTATTCGATTATAGCGGATGGTATCAGCCAGCAGCTCTGCTAAAGATAAGAAGAAGACTAACTCAATTGTCACTAGAGATGCGATTGAAAAGGACACTATCTCATCGGTGAGGATTAATCTCACAAAGCTGATTTTAAATTTGAAAAATTTAAGATAGCGGCGAAGTTCTGGGCACCTTTCACTAAAGGTAAACATGATCCATTCAATGCCAAACTCGTAGATGACATTTACCAAAATGAAATGGTGAAAACACACTACAGTCCGAGGAAAATTGTCATGCTCGAATTCAGGTATTTACGAGTGATATTCTTATATGAGGTTTTTTTCTCAGTCAATACTTGGAATGTTATTTGTGGGCGAACTATAAACCATCGAGCTCGAAGGCTTACCATATGTCAATAATCATCATGGTCAATGAGAAGTTCCGCGAAAGAACGGATGCTTGGCTGGTAATAACTTATAATTACAAAAATATCCGTTCTCAATGATTTTCAGACTTTTGAACAGCGCCCGGTAAACTTCCCGGAATTCTTTTACAATGTTCTCAAAATGGCATTAGAAAAAGAAAATAGTACTTCAACAGCAGAGCAGTGCGCAATTCTCACTTTTCTTGTGAATGCATTCAATTCTGTGGTAAGAAGTTTTTTTTTTGGAATGCAACTTCATCCAGATGGCTTTAGGAAGTAGAAATTGTACATGAGCAAACGAAAAGATTGACTTCCATGGAAATTTGGGACACTTTACTGGGGACACAGCGAGAAGCCTTGTTCAAGAAGCACAAGGTTTCAGAGAAATTTACTCAATAATTTCCGAAGTTTTTTGAAGAAGCTGCGAAGACTTTGGGATATATTGTGGAAAAAGTTTTCGAAAGAGGACGCTACAGACAACGGCCAAGGCATGTTCGAAAGAACTTTTTTGTGGAACATGATTGAGAAGTTCAAAGACACATTGACTGCGATTGACGACGAAAGCAAAGGTTTTTTATAAATAGGTATTCAGCCACAAAAACTTTTTTTCAGAAGTGGACGTCGACGCGATCCGCTACTGCGAGCGGTTTGTAGAACTGCTCATCGACTTGGAATCTCTTCTTCCCACGAGGTTCCAGCTTTTCTCGTCCCTATCTTCATCTTTCTTCTAGGCGATTCTTCAACGCAGTTCTGCATTCGACGCATGTTCTGACGCACTGTCTTCTGTCAAAGTTGATCCAAAGCGAAGCCGGATCTTTGTTCTTCCAATTAGTTCAGCTTCTTAAGTTTTACGCTCGTTTCGAGATCGACGAGTTCACTGGAAGGCAGTTGTCTCACAAAGAGGTCGGCGGACTTTCCTTTATTCTTTTCAAAATCAGCAGTTGATGTAGGTTTCCGAATTACACTACGATAGCGTCATCAAACTGCAAAAAGCCGCCTTCCGTCACTTCCGGTTAGAAATTCTCTCGTTTAGTAGTATGTATAAATTCGTAAAAAATCTCCACCAAAGTTTTCTGAAGCTTTATGAAGGCTGTCTTTCTACTCTTAGAATGCTGAAAATGGGATTTAGCAACGATAATTCGATGAGTTCCACATTTCCTCTTTCAACTAGTACAGCACACGGTTGTGAATCAAAGAAACCATATTTTTTCTCGTATTCAAATGGAATTATCGTCGATTCAGAGACACTATGAAGAATTTCTACGTTCTCAACGTGAGCGGCGTCGATACTCGCAAAGCTCTTTATGAACAGTTCAACAGAATGAAGTTTCGAGACAACATTTTATCCCAATACCTTTGTTCATCAGACACGAGGAAGTTTATCGCTTCGCGGAATATCTCAACTTGGTGATGCCGATGCCACAAAACAACGAGGAAGCTGAGGCTCACCTCTCCCGCTTTTCCAAGAGATTTCTGGTCGAAGCAATCGTAATCTTTATTTCATTCGATTTCCTAAAAAGAAAAATCAAATGAACAGATCCGTTCAAAAAGTACGCATTCAGACATTGACTTGCGAACGCCGCCCCAATCAATTGACGCAACTCAATGAAAAGCCTCTTTTCCCCACCGAACAGGTTATATGGGACGAGAACGTCGTTCCCTATGAACACTACTCTGGAGAAGGTTTTTCAAACTTTTTTTAAACTTGATATCAATGAGTCTCACAGGAGTTCTGGCCTTGAATAAACTCAATCTCCAGTTTTTGACTCTTCACGATTATCTTCTGCGCAACTTCAATCTTTTCCAGCTCGAGTCGACCTGTATAACATGTTTCTGGGGAAAATGGAGCCGGTTTTGATTTTCAGACGAAATCCGACAAGATCTCGAAGACGTGCTGTTCAGAATGAAGCCTTTTATGCACGAGACCAAGAGCGAAACAGTTTTTGCCGGATGGGCCAGAATGGCGCTTCCTCTTGAAAACTTCAGCATCACAGAGGTTATTGGAAATTGTTAAAAGACGTTCAATTAAAATATGCTGAAGACATTCAATCGTGAACTTTTTCAGGTTGCAAAGCCTTTGGTTGGAGAAAAAAGCCCAGCTTGTGTTCGTGGCGTTGTCACTGTGAACATCGGAAGAAGATTAGATATCCGCCAAGAGTGGGAAGGTTATTATTGTTATTATTGTTTTTTGACTTCTTTTCTTGAATTGAGTGTTGAGGTATTGTGAAAGGACGCTTAAAAACAGTCTCAGCTATAAAAAAAGTCAGAAATTTAAAAGTCTTATTTAAATTAAATGTTTAGACTTGGTTCTCCGTTTTTTTTAGAATAAATATCACGGCCTTACATGCCAAAAAAGTTATCTTGGAATTAGGAAGTATTTTTGTAAAAGAAATTTTTTTTTACGAAGTCAAAAATAAAGCTCTCTAAAGTTCAAAAAATACATGATTCTCAACTTCGCAGGACTTCGGAAACACGACGTTTGTTTCTTAGTTTCCTGCAAAGCTACGGCTTCTCCAGGAACGAGGTTCGACGTCCGACTTCCATTCAAGGAACAAATTCAAGTATTTCGTTATCTTTTTCATTTTGAAAATTTTTCTTTCACCAGGTTACTCACGTTCGCGGGTGTGAAATAGAAGGAATGCTGGACGCCAATGGAATGGTCATTGAGGAATTTAGTGAGTTTTTCTGAGGTCTTTGAATGGTTTCTAGTCGATTTTTTTATTAACGTGGGTTCAAAATCGCGAATTTTTTCCTACGAGAAATTTTTGTTATAATCAAAACTTCTCAATCTATTTCTGTTTTATCTTCTATTTTGTTTCAATATATTTTTTGTGGTTTTGAATAGATGTTCGGAGAGTTCTTCGTTCTTAAAATCTTCAAACTCTGCGTTTACAGCCTCTTACGAGAAGAAACCGCAACTGCAAGGCGATCAGAGGAAGTTCAGAGTTTTTCTCGACCCCAACCAGTACAGAATCGACATGGAGAACGTGGCTGAGCAAAAGTGTGATGATGTTTATTACACGTTCAACCTCGTTGTTCGACGGGATCCCAAATCCAACAACTTCAAGGTTCTCAAGGTTGTAATAGGTGGACTTTTAATTGTTTTCAGGCGGTTCTGGCTACTATTCGCGAGCTTTTGAACACAGAATGCGTAGTGCCCGATTGGTTAACCGACGTAATTTTGGGATTTGGAGAACCAGATACCGCTCATTACTCAAAGTCAGTCATACCTTTTTTCAGGAGCTTCTCATTATATTTATTTGGGTGTCAACTAGCTTTAATACATTTAAAGTGTTCTATTGAATAAATAATATTTTTTTTCTGAATTTTTCATTTTATCATAAGAAAGCTAGCGAGGGGAAAAAAGAAAGATTTTTTTTTTGAAGTTTATCAATCCGTAGATTCTAGAGCTTATTCGTATGGAGGTAGTAATACTTTAAAGGTTTTTTTCCTTTCTAGTGCCTGGCCGAGAAACACGATGTACTGGCGAAAAAGTCTCGAATTTCTCAATCTGCAGAATTTCGTAATAATCTTTGGTAGTAGGCATTTTTAAATTATTTTAGATTGCTTTCTAAAGTTTCGCCTAGTCTCTAAAACATCTTGAAAAAATCTTTTTGAAGGCTGAGCAGCGCCGTTCCCGAGCTCGACTTCAATGACACATTTTTGTCGTTTGATCACGTCAAAACTTCTTTTCCTGGATACTCGATCGAACCTTCTCTTGGCGATCCTACTAAAATGCTTCCGCCGTTCAAGTGATAATTCGTTTTCCGTCAAAAGTTGAATCTTTGTTTCAGAATTCAGTTCAAGGACCTCCAGGGGAGACACGAAGCTAAGCGCGAAAAGACCATCATCGTCACTCCGCACCCCAGAAAATCCATAACACCGTACCCTTATGAGCCAAATCGGAATCAAGTTCTGTTCACGCCTGCCCAAATCGAAGCAATCAAGGTTTTTGGTCGTTTTTCGATGACGGATCATGAGAAAAATGTTTCAGTCGGGTATGCAGCCAGGTCTGACAATGGTCGTCGGACCTCCCGGAACAGGAAAAACGGACGTCGCCGTGCAGATCATCTCCAACATCTATCACAACTGGCCCAACCAACGGACTCTCATCGTCACCCACTCGAATCAGGCTCTCAACCAACTTTTCGAAAAGATCATCGCCTTGGACGTTGACGAAAGGCATCTTCTCAGAATGGGTATTCGCTTTTCGAAATCTCCATTTCAGTCTTCACCTTTTGAGGTCATGGAGAAGAAGCCTTGGAGACGGAAAAAGACTTCTCGCGATACGGTCGTGTGAATTACGTTCTGAAAGAGAGGCTCAGCTTGCTCACAAAGGTCATCTTTTGTTTCGAAGCTCATGATTACCACGAGACACCGTACATTACTAAAAGAATAACACAAAAACGCCAGAACATTTTATTTATTCAAATTCACTGAAACTGTCAAAACTTTCCATTCATGCAAATCTAGAGAAAGGCTCTTGATTCAATATATTTTACGAGTGGGCGCACATTTTGTGCGATACCTAGTTTCCGGTTTGCTCAGCTTATAAGGTGGGAAAAGAGAAATAGTTTTTTTTAAGAGGAGAAAAATTCCTCCTATCTTTTTATTAATTTAGTTCTAGGTAACCTCTCGTTAATTTTAAACTAAATTTTCTACTTTTTCAACTCGGAAAAATTCCCATCACGTTATAGAGCACTGAAGAAATTCAGGAAATAAAACAGTCAAAGAAAAAAACAGCTGTTGAATGACGGGAAAAATCGTTTGTAGGTTCGTAGTGACCATGACGCTTTATATTCATCTTTTAACAAGTTTGTTTTCAAATAATAACTTTTCAAGGTTGAAAAATTGGCGAAAACGTTGAATATTGTTGGCGATGTGGCCTACACATGTGAAAACGCGGGATATTTCTTCAGATTCTCGGTAACTTCATTTTTTTCACGGTTACTCGGTATTTTATACTTTAGGTGTGCCGTGCATGGGAAGAGTTTCTCATGAAGGTCAAATCAACGAACCAAAAGCTTGAAGAAGGAATCATCGCGTCAATATTTCCTTTCACCGACTTTTTCGCTGATATTTCACTTTTTACGGTATATTTCAGACAAACATGATAATCGAAAATGTTGTTTTTAAGGGTAACTACGACGAAGATTTGAAAAAAGCTCACTCTTGCTGGCGCTTTATTCAGAGGATTTTCGAACAACTGGATGAGTTCCGCGCTTTTGAGCTTCTGAGGAATGGAAAAGATAGAACCGAATATTTACTGGTGAGGAATGCAAAGTATATGAGCGCAGTCTTTGGAAACATGGTAAAAGAGAAGTCATTTATCGAAGCACTTAGGTAATGGGCCTCATATGAGAAAGGGTGCAATAGAACTTGTTGGCAATATTTTCATAAAAGCAGAGGGACACTCTTTCATATTCAATCTGATCAAAACTCTTCGTAGTCGTGCAACTCTGGTTTCGGAGATTGGTAAGAATAACCTTTCAACAAAATATCATCTTGTTCTTTTTCTTCGACTTCTTCGCTGATAATTTGCGGCTTGAATTCTTCGTCTCTGGAATTTACTCATTTAAAATGGTCTTAAGGCATTGGTTAGGTTAGAATAATCTTGAAAAGAATAAACAGCTCATTTTGCTATTGGAGATTGTAGACCAAATATCAAACTCACGTCGACATTGATGACATTGAAATTGATGGAGAAGCTGAAAGACGCGATGGGAAATCGAAAACAGCGCATTTGGCAGAGTTCTTAAAATCGATTTCCGTACTGACGACTTCTCTTTTTCGCTTGTATCTCTGGTTTTGAAACCAGACTTTCACCTGAAACTATCTGTTCAATTTTGAAGTGGGAATGTTCATACTTGTCGCGGTGTCAAGTTGAGGGACTTGCCGAGAGCCAAACTCTCTGCCGCGTGGATGTTGGGGTGCTGGTCAAACCTCGCTCGCAGAACTCGCAGCTGCTCTTCCGTGAAAAGGATACGAGCTGAATTTGTGCCTTTTTTTATTAAAATCTTTACCAGCTTTACTTTTATTAGAGCTCTCAGTTTTCTGGCAAACTGCTTGGTTTGAGGGATCCACGTGCTGGTCGATCGAGTGTGTAGCTTTTTTGGGCTTCTTATCGGCTTTTACTGACGTTCCCTTCACAACAAGATTAGAATCCACAATAGGAGTTTGTGGTGCAGGATACCAGTAAGGTGCGTAGTACGGTGCATAAGTACAGCTGAAAAACTTATTCTTTATGATTCATTTAGAATCTCACAAGTTGATTGGAGCAAAAGAAGGCTGAACAGCCCATTGGGGATGTGGGTTCGCGGCTGGATACGTGACGAATTGCGGTTCCCTTTCTCCGTAGGCTTGTGCGAAATATTCCGCATACTGTAGAGCTCCTGCTTGGCTCCAATCGTTCTCCATTGCTAAAGTTTTGAGAATCGTTAGAGATATTCAATTTACACATAAGAAAACGGAGAAAAAAAAATATAGTAGGTTTAGCAAAGAGCTAGGAGAAATTCAAAAAAAAAATAACAAAAATAACTCATCAAAGCCAACAAAGAATTTTTAAACAAACAAATTTGAGAACTTGAGAAAGGACGGTCAGAAACTGTCGAGTCGGACTGACTTGAGCGAGAATAACAGACTGAGATAATGGTGGACATCTACACCTCGGAGGCGGAGTTTGGTTAATTCGACAGCCGCCTTTTTTTGACACATTTTTTATTAACCTCTAATTTTGGATAACAACGGGTAAACAAACAAATAATGCTTATACGTTTATATAAGATTTATTTCTTCTGAAGAAATAATTTTAGGTGAAAGAGGCGAAAATCATTGCAATGACATGTACTCATGCAGCGTTGAGAAGAAAAGAGCTTGTTTCTTTGGGCTTCCGGTGAGCTTTCATGAAATTAAAAACATTTTTTTAGATATGATAACATCGTTATGGAAGAGTCGGCGCAAATTCTCGAAGTTGAAACTTTCATTCCACTTTTTGTTGCAGGTTCGTAGCACACAAAAAAATCTTTCCAAAATAATTTTTTTAGTTTAGATGAGTTTTTTTAAAAAAACTTGACAGGAACCTTGTTTGCTGATAATTTTTACCAGATCTGTGGAAAGTTTTATTTTACTTTGAATACCAGAACTAAGAAGTCTCGAGGAAATTAGATGAGTTCAGGAGATTTTTTCTTGAAAATACCTAGTTACTTTTTTTTTGCACTCATGATTAATTTTTTTGAAAAAAAGAAGTTTCGATTTCAAAAAGACTTTTTTTCTCAAAAAGGCGTGTTGATGACACATGATAAAGCGGGAAAGTTCCAGTAAGATTTTAATAAACGAAATTTGATTAATAGTGTTATATAAAATGAAAAACTTTTTCACCAAAGGTCAACTGTTCCTTCAGTTTTTTTGTCCTCTACAAATCACATATTTTCAGTATTTATCTCAAATACTGTGGCTATGAACAGAGCTGGACCACAGTTTTCAGAATCCGCAGGACGGCAGGAACCGACTGAAGCGCTGGATCATGATCGGAGATCATCACCAGCTGCCTCCAGTCGTTCAGAACCAGGCCTTCCAGAAGTACTCCAACATGGAGCAGTCGCTTTTCGCCAGATTTGTCCGCCTCGGCGTGCCCTACGTGATGCTCGACAAGCAAGGCCGTGCTCGTTCTGAGTACGTTTTTGGCGTTTTAGCCACGGGAACGTCGCCTTGTTGCTACACGACTTGATCCTCCTCCAGGCAATCACGCTGTTTTGCTATTTTCGGCGCGTTTCTTATTACGGGGTGTCATTCTTGTGTCGTTCTTGCCTCTTGTCACAAGATTACTTATTGAGTCAACAAAGCGTTTTGAGATTATGGTAACATCCGGAAGGAAGGGAAATATATTGCCCAGCCCCATCTTACAAAGGAGGTCATTTTAATTTGCAGTTTTCCTAAAAATTGGCCAGAACAACCAAATATGTACCAAGAAACATCCTAAAAATGTCAAGCTGCCCAACTTTCTAGTTGTTGAGAGAAAGCATCTCCAAGTCAAAGGTATATCTCAAAATCCGTTAAAAGGCCATTTTGGGGTTTTGAGCTTTTACTTCTCGAAAAATTTTTTTCCCCTTTTTTTTTGATTTTGAACTTCTAACTTTTTATACTTTAGACAATACTGGTTACATTCTTTTTTTTTGGAATTTATTTCTAAGAATTTGAACAGTTTTTTCGAAGTACTACTTTTTCCCATACCGTTCATCGGAAGAACAGTCAAGAAGTAGAGAGAAAGAGCTTTATCTATGAGAATACCATTTATTTACGCAGGAACATCTCGTCAGTGTGACACTTCCCGAGTGATAATGCGCTCCACACCATTCAAAATGATTTTATTGTTTCACGAGCTTTTTTGTCTGTCATTTTTACTTCTGGCTCTTTTGAGGTTGAAGCTAACTTTAGAATATTATAGAATTGCTTCGTTGTACTCGTGGAGATACAAAACACTGGGCAACCTGCCACACGTGGAAGCCTTGCCTCTTTTCCAACATGCGAATGCCGGGTTCGGCTTTCCCTTCCAACTCATCAATGTCCCAGACTTCAACGGAATGGGCGAAACGCAGCCGAGTCCATATTTCTATCAGGTAAATATGAGAATTCATAAAAAAAGAGACGATATGAGTGTACGAAATGAAATGTAACCCATTCAGACAGGCCTTGTCTCGTGTCTTTTGCACAGTTTTTGACTCGTTCTCTTGCTATATTTTGATATACTTGATTTGTTAAAAGTTTGAAATTATCCTAACGAGGGAGCATCGCAGATATGATTCAAACTTCTGTGGTGGGAAGTCCTAGAAAAAAAAACTGAGTTTCGCAACAAGAAAACGCATTAAGTCCCCCGTGAAAAAATCAAGATATTCGATTTAAAAAGAATTCGGTCAACCCACTACTTTTTTTGAACTTTTTGAAATTTCAGGGTTTGATAACTTGATAAAAAAATTTTTGTATAAATAATGGATGTTCGAATTTTCCTTGATAGCTTATTTATATATTCCAGTTGAAAAAACGTTGTCTTACATATAAATCCACTTTAGAATCTTGGCGAAGCCGAGTACGCGATTGCCTTGTACACGTATATGCGGATTTTGGGATACCCGGCGGAAAAAATATCGATCATAACGACATACAACGGACAAGTGAGTCTCAATCGTGCAACTTCGTAAGATTGGTCTTTTTTAGGCTCAACTTCTGAGGGACGTCGCCGAAAGACGCTGCGCCAACAATCCGCTGATCGGCTTGCCTGGAAAGGTTGCTCAGAATCGCCAGTGAACTTGCTAACTTTGTTTTGCAGATCTCGACGGTCGACAAGTACCAAGGTCAACAGAACGACTTCATAATTCTGTCGTTGGTGCGTACCAAGAACATTGGTCATATCAGGTGCCGGCCTTCTTCGATTTCGGCCTCTCACTGCGATATTTCAGAGATGTCCGACGTTTGGTCGTCGCGTTGTCTCGCGCTCGCCTCGGTCTTTACGTGCTGGCCAGATCTGAGATTTTCATGAACTGCTTCGAATTGACTCCGGCTATCAAAATTGTAAGTTTTCTCGATGATCGTATTAATTTGGAAAATAAGGGAAAACTTTTAATTTCAAGTCTTTTCCACTTTGAGGATTTGACTTAAGAATGATGTAGACGAGATATAGAAAAATATTCTCTCGACTTTTTTTCAACCGGCTGCTGTTTTTCAGTTTGCTCAGTATCCGCCAAAACTGATTCTACTTCCTTTCGAGCCTTATCCGACGGAGCGAAAAGTAAGTTTCCAAATGCTTGCAAAAATTACGGGTGATTTATTTCAGCTGAAGGAACGGTCAACTCTCGGAGAGCCGCTTCAAATAGAAGACACAGTCCATATGACGCATTTTGTCCACGAGTTCTACATGAGCAATTTGGATTCGTTGAGGGCGAGCTATGAAGAAGTGTTGGCAGAATACCAACAAAGCATTCGAGTAATTTGTCCGGCCAGCTAAAGCCGCCTTCTTACTGAGACGATGACGAATATTTGCAGCAACTTGCGCCGCCTTCGCAGACCGACGAAGGCCTCGGAGCGGAGACGGAAGCCGAGAAAAGGTCGCGCGAGGCTCTGGAAAAGCAGCGGCAGAAGGAGGAGCTGGACAAGAAGGAGGCCGACATCGTCTTCGAAGACATGGACTTCGAGCGGATGGAAGAGCCGCCAAATGTTTGAACTCATTGATTTTATTGTTATTTATCATTCTGTTGTTATATTCCTCGTTTGTTATCACGGCGTAACCTATGATCTTTGCGCGATCCTGTGTCTATTTCATTTTTCTATGATCCTTTCTTGTTAACTTTAAAAATAAATATTCCGATAGCTATGCGTTATCAGTTTCGTTTGAATGTGCTGGTACTCGCTCCGTATTTTTTAAACATTTTTTTTTTCAATTTTCGATTCATCTTCAATTTTTTTTAGGTTCTTAGGAATCTCAAAATAAGAGGATGACGACAGCAGCAGAGAAAATGAACGGAGAAACGGTATCCAATATTTGTTTTTAGTTATCATCTGGATTTTTCAGCCGGATTGTGAGAAAATGACGCTCGAAGACTCGGACGACGTCGTAACGCCGTGGAGCGTGACTTCGAGCAGCGCGGCGGGCGTCGACTACGACAAACTCATAGGTTTTTCGCTTGGCTCTTAGTCAGGTCAAGTATCGAGCTTTCAGTGAAGTTTGGATGTCGGAAACTGACTGAGGAGTTGGTGGAACGGTTCGAGAAAGTCACTGGTCATAAGCCTCATCCGATGCTTCGCCGGGGAATGTTCTTTGCTCATCGGTTGGTTTTGCCGGCTCTCTCCCGGTCTTTTCGTCTTTATTCGCATTAGAAAAACGAGAATAGTCAAAGTTGAGAAGCGTTTTTCGCTTTAACCCAAAGGTTGAGTCAGTAAATTAAGGGGGTGTTTTGCAAATAGGAGCTTCATAAATGCAGCGAAGGAATCTTAGTATCATTTAATTTATCGTTTAACGTTACCTTTTTAGAATTGGAAAATCTCTACAAAATAATCGTAGACTATGCACATCTGTCATGGTTATCCCAGTTTTCTCATGAATCTCGTTCGTCTTCTTTCAAAAATATTCAAAATTGATTTATTTTTACGCTTTCTAGCTTTTAAAGCTTCTATACTGCTCTTGCAACAACTCCGAACGCCATGCTTTAGTTTTTTCGTTTTTTTTTTTCTGAAAAGAAGTGATGTTATTCTGAAAATTATGGCTGTAAAGATATTTGTCTATGTTTGTTTGATCATGTTTGCTTGTTTTCAAGACAAATTTTTTAGGTGTGAAAAAAAGTATTCAAAAAAAGTTTGTATACAAAAATGTCCAATTTGTCGCTGGCTTTCGTTTAAAAGAGGTTTCAGTCGATTCGGACCACGGAGAAAAAAGAGATTTTTTTCGTTTTCGGCTGCAGAAACCCTCAAAAGGGGCGGAGCCTGTCAAAACCTCAACTGAAAGATCTCATTTTTTTAAATTGAATATGTCTGATTGATTTTTTGTGGTTTTGAAAAGAAACTGTTAGTAGACGACGGGTTGAGGAGGCAGTTTTTGCTTGCAACTGAGATTTGCAGAGATCTGTCAGCGATTCTGGACCGGAAGGAGCAGGGAAAGCCGTTCTACCTTTACACGGGCCGCGGCGCCTCCAGTGGAAGTCTGCACCTAGGTCACCTCGTACCGTTCATTTTCACCAAGTGGCTGCAGGATGTCTTCGATGTGCCCCTCATCATCCAGGTATTTCTCAGTCTTCTTATTTTTCCACTACCAGTTTCGCTGTTCAAGATGACGGACGACGAGAAATTTCTGTGGAAAGATATTAAAATTGACGAGGCGAAGAAAATGGCTCGCGAGAACATCAAGGTTTTTAATCTTGCCAATATTCTGTGCAATTTATTCACGCCGTCGTATTCTTCTCGAAAACAAATAAAGCGTGTTCAGGACATCATCTCTGTCGGCTTCGATCCTGCGAAAACTTTTATTTTCAACAATTTGGACTACATGTGGTAAAAAACAAACCGCATCTCGGAGTTTTCGTAAAGTTAATTTCTTCAGCCCGCCGTTTTATGAGAATGTCGTTAAAGTTTGGAAAGTGGTGAACAATAACCAAGCGCGTGCTATTTTCGGCTTCACGCCAGAAGACAACTTGGGAAAGGCATGAATTCCTATTATGTGTTTAGAAACAAAACAGTTAACAGTAGAATCGAGTTCATAGACCGATAGATAAGCCTAAATTATTTGCTTCTCGCTTTCAATGACTAGGCGTACCCGTACTGAGAAAAAAGTATTTGAGATTAGTTTTTATTTTTTTTCTTGAATATATATATATATCCTTACTTGATGGCCAGCATCTTCACCAATACACTTTACGCTTCATAGGGGAAATTTATTGAAGAAAATTTCCTTGAAGGCGGCGTTCCCAGCGATCGAAGCGGCCCCCTGCTTCGCCTCGTCGTTCCCCCATGTTTTCGGCAAGCGAACGGACCTGCCTTGTCTGATTCCATGTGCCATCGATCAAGTAAGGACCTTCGACCTGGACGACGTGACCAATGAGTTCAGGATCCTTTCTTCCGAATGGCGCGAGACGTCGCTCCTAGGTTGAAATACCCGAAGCCGGCCCTTATCTATTCGACCTTCTTGCCTGCGCTGCAGGTTTTTCTTCCTAATGCAAGCTATCGTCAAAGCTTATCGAAATTCCAGGGCGCTCAAACGAAAATGAACGCCAGTGAGCCCAATACGTGCGTTTTCCTCAGTGACACCGCCAAACAAATCAAAAATAAGGTGGAGTTTGAGAAAAAAAAGAAAGGATATTGTATTTACAACTAAGTTAAATTAAAGTTTTGCGTTATAAACTTTGGTAAATATCATATAAACTTGTTCATAGGCTGGTTCGTATACAGGTGAACCAGCACAAGAAAAAAAACAATCCTATTTTTGCAAATTTCTCAAATCCTGAAAATTCTTTTCCCATAAGAGTTCCGATATTATCAGATATAGCACTTGAATTTAGCAAAAAAAAAGTTCGAGGTGTACCTGTGATGAAGTAAGATGAACAATTGGTCTCAAGAAGCCGCACTGACGCTTGAAGACGAGAACTTCTCTTGCTTGCAAATACCAATTTCTGGAAACAATTTTCAGAAGCGATGAACATTTTCAAAGTTTACTTTTCTCAAATGAAGGTCTCATTAGTTTTCAGATAAACAAATACGCGTTTTCGGGTGGACAGCCTACAGTGGAGGAACATCGTGAGAAGGGCGGTAACTGCGAAGTCGACATCAGCTATCAATTCTTGCGGTTTTTCCTCGAAGATGACGAAAAGCTGGAAGAGATTCGCCAGGTGACTTCAGGCTCCGGCATGTCCATGAATGATTGTTGTTTCCAGAAATACACAAAAGGAGAGATTCTGACGGGAGAACTGAAGGCGATGGCCGTCGCAGAAGTGACTCGCGTCGTGCTCCTCATGCAGGAGCGGCGGAAAACAGTCACGGACGCCACTGTGGAAGAATTCACAGCTATCCGTTCACTTGCCTACAGTTATTAGTCATCTTTTTGCATTTTGTTGTTCTATTAAGTGTTCTATTTGTGAGGGAAAACTCTGCCTGCTAATACGAGCGACTATATAACTTTATTGGCATTTTTCCTAATTCAGAGGAGAAGTTTGATTCTGAGAAAGAAGTCATTTTGAGCTACTTGCCGATATCGCAAGGGAACTCCGAACTACCGAAAGGAAACGGACTTTTTGTTTTGAAAGTTTCAAAATTATCGCTCTTATTGGCAGGCTAATGTTACTTGTTGATCTACTGTTGCTTTCTCTTTTTCGAAGCTTTTTTAGGTTAGGTTCTCAATTTCTATTGCATTACCTGAGTATTGAGTTTTTATTTAAAAATTTTTTTTCATACCAAAATGTTGTTAATGCCTGATGAAAAATTTTGTTGCTTTGAAATTTTTTTGATTGTAGTGAAAGACAGTGATTTCTTTCACAGCTTCAACAGTGCTTTTCATTGAAAGTTACTATATCCAATATCATAATTAATAATATCTATGAGATTCCTTTTCCGTTGTTGATCAGTTGTTCCTATTTAATTTTGGTTCTCGGTGGTTTTTTTTTTTTTGAAGAATAGTTAACTATTCATCTCGAATGTTTTTTTTCTGGCACCTAAGCCCTTGAAATGAGCTCGAATAAAGCCTATTGGGATTGCTAAATTTGAGAAAAACGAAATCAAGATTTGGTTACAAAAATAATTGCAATTTTGTATCAAAAGAAAATAATATTCCTGCGCGTTGGCGTAATTGGGGTCGGCTAATTAAAAGAAGCGCAATTAGCATGACCGTAGTGATTCGAGTCGGAAAGTGCTCAGGGAGGAGGCGGCCGTTGGGTGGAGCTTTCTTAATTTGCCTGCCGCCTCACTCGGTATAAACGTTTTCGTTACTCGCCAAACCTATCTCTTTACCTTGGCTCTTCGGAACTACTTCTTATGTTTTTCCGTTGTCTATTTTTCCGAAATTATCTGTTCCGAGTAGAAAAGTCGTGGTGAACGCCGATATTACCCAAAGAAATAGTTTTAGTCCGTCTGATAAGCAATAATTTGGTTTCCCGTTTCATTGAGACATCAAATGAGATCATTTTTCTTTGAATCTACTTCTGAGGAAGCTTCCGAAGGGAAATCCTCCGAAAAAGAAAAAGTTTCTGACTGCAGGTAAATGAAGATTTTCGTCATCGTAGTCACTTTGCTCGTTTCGCAAATAACAGCCCACTTCAACCACCAAGGTTCCTTTTTCACGACTCTTGTTGAAATCCATGAGAACATCTTCAGATGCGAAGGAAAAACGAGCTGCCGGCGACATCAACGGCGAAGGAATCGACACAGATTGGAACTCTCTCGGCTGGGCCTGGGGAAAACGGAGCTCGCCAGACTTCCAGGTGTTTTCTTCATAGGTGTCATTTTCTGCAACTATAACTTCGCTTAGAAGATGCGCAGTTTCTTGCTCTTCTTTTTGAAATATGTCAAGGTGTTGGAAATGAGCTCTTCCAGATTCCGATGCGATACCTCAGAGCAGTACATCCAGTGAAGAAAAATCCAGATTGGCATGACCTCGGCTGGACTTGGGGCCGGCGGAAGTGAGAATCGACGACGGCTTCAGGGGGTTCGAAACGTCTTTTCAACCAAAAAAGCTATTTTCGTTTTTCGTTTCAACTAACTCGAACACAGCCGCTAGTAGACCAATATCTTCAAATCAAAACAAACTTCATGCAATAAAATTTTGTTTCGTGTTATTGAAATAGTACATCTGCAGAAAGTTCAAGGTGCAAAAAAGAGTTGCTTGGGATTATCGGAGACGGCTCTAGAAGCGGAATTAACAGACCAGGCTTATGGGAGATGAGGCTCATGACAACACGTGGAATACAAACAAAAATAATGACTACGACGAAGTTGGTGATGGTTCATAAAACTGACTTTCATTGTGGCTCCGTTCTCGAAAAAGTTTGGGAAGCTTAGCGGACGTCTTTCAGAAAAAGAGTATTCTGACTTGGGTCTACAAACCACTAAAGTTTCAACTCGAAACCCGTACCCGAGTCCGAGTAGTTCCCTAGTAAGTTTGAAGTTCCCAATTTTATATCTCATTCGCGACGATTTGAAGGTTCTCTGACCGAACAATTCATAAAAAAATGTATAGAGGGCGTGAAAAGAATATAATTTCTAGAAAAAAAAACGAGATTGTTTCTGAGGTATAGTCTGTGTGCCACGACTTGAAATTTCATCGAACGACGTTCCGCTGTTCCGCTGCGTGCGTTCGCGAAGCGTCTTTCGAATCTAGGTCACGCTTTCAATTGATTGTTATTGCTGTGGGTGCACATGAAAGTAGAGTACCTTAACAAAAAAAAAAAATTAAAAGCACGACCACGATTCGAAAAGGCGCGCAGCGGCACAGCGGAATGTCGTTCCGTGAAATTTCAAGTCGTGGTACACAGGCTATATATATTCCGCAAGAAAAGGTATATATACCTTATAAATGAGTATAAAGAGATATACACTTGTGAACTTGTTCCTCTTAAAAAGTCAAGTTTACAAACTCAACGTAGTGGAGAACCTTTCAAGAAAATATTGGAACAAAGAAAAAAAGTATAAACATTGGAATAAACTTCCATTGTGACTTGATTTTCCTCAATTTTTTTGCCACGATTCCAAAGACGAAAAAGTATTGGTCGAGAGACTCAGACGGAGGGCCCAGGGAAGTTTCTCCAAGACAGACGGTTATCCCCCGCTACATCTCGAATCCTCTTCAGATAAAATCATTGTCGACACCATTCTCTTCATTATGATATGTTCAAACTCACGTCCGCTCTTCAACTTTTTGGAAAACCACGCTTTTTATTGAGCTTATCTGTTGAATTTTCTTATTTGTTCGAATTCAGAAAAGAAGTGGTTTGTTTCCATCAAAGCCATCCTATATTTCTGATTGCATTTTTTCAGAATTCAGACAAACTAAGAAGAAACCCGTTTTGTGACGTAAACAGAAACTCTCGGTGTTTGACCACTTTTCGACCACCTTTCTTGAACTCTCAAGTCTTAGACATCTTTTTTTTCGGGAACCAGAATTACGCTTTTTTTTGCTTCTTTTTTCAATAGTTGTTCGTCTAATTTTTCCTTTTCTCTATTTGCGGGCTAGTACTTCCAGAATGACAGGAAAATTGATGGTCTCAGACTTTCAACAATTTCGAAGTTGAAATAATGAGCGACTACGGGTTTGAATAATTTGCGGTTTCCAACGACATTAGCCCAACTTTCTTCGATACTCAGAACATTGTATCTCTCGAATAATCGGGGCTTTTTGAAAATTGTTTGAACATCAATAGGAAAAAACATTCGAAAGTTTGATTTTCCATTAAAGATTTCGTAGACTGGTAGAAATGGCAGAGGGGACTGAATTTGAAGGCTAATTGGACTGTCCAGAGGTAGACGATGTGTAAAATGTTCCAGATTGTCTCTCTTCTTCGCATTTCTCGTCGTTCACACTACATTGATTCAACAATCTCTCGCTCTCTTTGATCCACGAGACAGAAGTCAGACAAGCCTTTTTAATTCCTTTAACATCCGACTTCTCTGTTTTTGCTTTGAACGATCAGCTTCTGACGGAAAGAACGACCAAAGAGCTGAAACTACGTGGCGATTCGATTGCCTTCCGATCGCTGCTGGACCGAAACGCCGAGATGCATATCTTCAGGGATCCCTAAACTTGTTCCGCCGCTTCAAGTACGATTTCGGGCATTCCTCTCGCGTTTCTTTTCTCTTTGGCATGTTTATTTCGCTTCCGGAATCCCTTCTCCTTTTATTTTTTTAATAAATGAAAATATTATCAATCAAATAAGAAAAATTTCTGGTTTCGAGCTTTTTTTCTCTTCAAATTTTTGTTTTTTTGTTTTTTTAAATTTTTTTCAATCATGATTTTTTTTGCGCTCTTTTTATGAAAATGTAAGCTTTTTTTTTAAACATTGTATAGTTTCCTTCACCTCCCTTTTTTCGCGAAGTTTTTCGTTAACCTTTCTTAGAACTTGGATAATTTCGAGCTAAATTTTGAATATTTTTATCGTTTAGGAGCTCATGAACGCATTGGTTTCAATTTTTTCCATCTTACTCATGGAGCTCTATGTTTTTCATCTTATAAGCTCTGCGAGATTTTCTTCTTTTTTATATCCTTTGGCTATCGGACCAGAAATATCTCTGATCGCGCAAAAAAGTTTGACAGAGATGGGCTTGGTGACGGCGACGTTGATCGTTCTGGGCCTCACGTGGCTCTTCAAGTACATCTTCTCGCGCGCCAAGTTCGTCTACGACCGCATGTCGGCCATCCAAGGTCCCTCTGCCCTTCCTATTATCGGCAACTTTCACCAGTTTCACTTTCGTCCTGAAGGTTGGTTGGTCGATCAGCACTTATTAAACTCCTTTGCAAGACAAGAAGAATCAGAGAAAACCTCGTTTTCCACAACAGCAAATTGAAGAGTTCTTCGAGCAAGCGCAAGGTCTTTCCTACATGCTGAAGGAAGGCGACGACCGCGTGACGCGGGTCTGGCTCGGCGGCCTTCCTTTCGTCCTGCTCTACGGAGCCGAGGAGTGCGAGGCCGTCCTCGGAAGCAACAAAATGCTCAATAAGCCTTTCCTCTACGGCTTCCTGTCGCCCTGGATCGGCGAAGGACTTCTCATCAGGTTGAAAGTTTCTCAGCCGCGGAAGAAATGAGTTTTTTTTTCAGCAAACCGGATAAATGGAGACCTAGAAGGAAACTTTTGACGCCTACTTTCCACTACGACATATTGAAGGACTTTGTTGAGGTTCTGTTTTTTTTTTAATTTGTAGAAATATGTAGCTGTCGTCGCCATTCCGGTATATATATGAGAAACAGTGGAAAACATACCGATAAAGAGGGTGGCAAAACGTAGGAGACTTGTAGAAATCAGAGAGGGCAGGAAGAATACAAATTTTCCAATAAGTCTCATTGAAAAACTCTCATGACCTTTCATTTCATCAAAAACATTTCAAAAGCTCGATGCTTTTAGGTCTACAACCGCCATGGAACAACGTTACTCAACAAAATGATGGAAATGACAGAAAGCAAAGAATATCAAGACATATTTCACACGATCTCCCTCTGCACTCTCGACGTGATCTGCGAAGCCGCTCTCGGAACTTGCATCGAAGCGCAGCACAAGCCAGACTCGCCTTACCTCGACGCCGTCTTCAGGTTTCCCCCAAGCTGTTTTTTCCTTCATATTTCCCCACAGAATGAAGGAGATCGTATTCCAACGGTTTTTGAACCCTCTTTATTACGTCGACTTCTTCTTCAACCGATTCGGTCCAGGAAAGGAGCATGATCAGTACGTCAAAGTTCTCCACGACTTCACGAGCAAAGTGAATTTCGCTCTTTTCTTTCGCCAGAACATTGAAGCTGTTCCAGGCAATCAATGCTCGAAGAGAGAAAGTCGAAGCAGCTGGCGGCGTACAGCAACTGCTTGCTCAGGAAACCGCCGAAGGTATTTTAAGTGGGATCATCTAGAAGGGCTGGGTTGTTCTACAGGTCGGAGACGTATGGCGTTCCTCGACCTGATGCTCGAAATGAACGCCAAAGGAGAGCTTCCTATGGAGGGTCTTCAGGAAGAAGTCGACACTTTTACTTTCGAGGTTTTCTTTATCCATTCTTGGGGTTGTGTTCAAATATTCAAAAGGCGGTAATAGCTATGTATTAAGTCTATCCTCAGGCCCGTTTCGCATGCTGAAAATGTGCCAAATCGGTCTTTTGATGAACTCTTTCAGGGACATGATACGACGTCGGCTGCCATGAATTGGTTCCTCCACCTCATGGGAAACAACTCGGATATCCAAGCGCGAGTCCAGAAAGAAATCGATGACGTGAGTTTGATAGGGTCAGGCTCTCAGAAGACAGAAGGACACAGGTTCTGGGAGAAGCCGACAGGCCGATAACCTACGAGGATCTGGGGGAGCTGCGCTATCTGGAGGCGTGCATCAAGGAGACGTTGCGTCTGTATCCGTCCGTGCCGCTCATCGCCAGACAGTGCGTCGAGGACATCAAAATCAGTTTCGAAGCCCTTTTCTCCGGTTTTCTCAAAGAAAAGTTACAGAAAAGCACGTTCTTCCGGCAGGAACAGGTGTCGTCGTCATTCCTTCGATGGTTCACAAGGATCCGCGCTACTGGGAAGATCCTGAGGTTTCGGGAAATTCAGAGACTGATGTTTTTTTCTGTTTGCAGGTGTTCAACCCCGAGAGATTTTACAACGGAGGCGATTTGAAGCACGCCTACGCCTACATTCCCTTCTCGGCAGGCAGTCGTAATTGCATAGGTCACTTTTTTTTTTAAGAGAAGTAATTTTACTTGACATTCTGTAATTTTATGAAACATGGTCAGAATAATTTTCCATCTACGTAAAGATCCGGAAATTCTCAAGCTGCACTTCTCAACTTTTTCCATAAATTAGGGATAAAAGTTTCCGAATCGCTCCCTATCGGTGCTTGATAACTGTTCTCAACTCTGAGGAAAACCAGTTTTAATTTTCGTTTTTAAGATCTTTTTTTCTTGAAAATGATATCAAATAACTTCAAAGATGAACATTTGCAAATAGTTCTTATGGACTTCATTCTTTTCGGGTAGTATGATTAAGTTACGGATTGTTTTTTTTTTCTCTTGATTTCAAGTCCAAGTTTTTTACGAACCGTCGGAAGTATGGTGGTAATATTTCAGGTCAACGGTTCGCAATAATGGAAGAAAAGTGCATTTTGGCGCTTTTGCTGAAGAACCTGAAGGTGAAGGCGAAGCTGAGGACGGACGAGATGCGGGTGGCCGCAGAACTCATAATCCGGCCCATGTATGGAAACGAGCTCATTTTCCGCAGAAGGACTTTCGGCGACTATTCTCCTTGCGTACTCTGATCAACCCATCTGATCTTAATCAGTTGAACTTTTTTTGAACAAAATGTCGCCCGTGTTTTAATTTTCCATTGATTGGCTGTTTCCTTCTATTCAATACGAATGCAGTATCAGCTCGCTGTCATAAAAATGTCGATAATTATTTCAAGCTAGGACGTCAAAAATGAAATTATTTTCGAGTATTTATCGTATTTCTCTCTTTTCTCTAAGATAAAGCGCACATGAACATGATGCTGCGCTCTTTCTTGTTTTTAAGCATTTCTCAGTTCAGTCTTCGAATTAACTTTTCACTTCGCTTCTCCTATATTTCATCCAAGTTTTGTTTCACTTTTTTCCCAATCGGTAAAACTTGCAATTTCCAAACGAAACTTGATCATTATCAGTTCCAATTGTACTCCTCTTGAAACCCCTGTTTATCTACAGTTCTTCTTTTGTCAGAAAACCAAGGCCCCAAGTTCTTTCATCACTTGTCCCTCTGTTCACCATATTGGTTATTTCCATGAGGGGCGCGAAAGCCTCGTCGGTTTGATCTCTCGCTATTTTCGAGCAAATCGCTTTAGATTTTTTAATTGTTGTGTATGTTATTCTGAATCATAGGAAACATTTTGCCTCATAAAATATTATTTTATGTTTCAAACCCGTACAAGATTAAAGCAAACAATAACAATGGCGACTTCGGGGACTGTACATAAACGTGTGAAGATTTAGTATCCCTTAACGAAGGCTGGATTGTTGATAGAAGCCCTCTGAGAATGGAATCTTTCGTCCTGTTTATCGCTGTCGCTTGAGCTTGAATATCCGCTGCCGCCTTCGGACCCCTTCCCAACTTGGTCTCTGCAATTTCCAATGTAAGATCCATACGTAATTTCAACCACAAACCTCCTTCCTTTGCAATAACCGAACAACTGGGAAAACATGGAGAGGAAAACCGGCAGAACGACGAGGCCATGTACTAGGCCAAACATAGACACCAGGAAAACCGACTGCAGAACTTGTTTTGAATTTCTATTCAAACAGGAAGGAGACCAGACCTTGAAGAAGACCATGCCTAAGTAAGACGGATGGAATGTGATAGGCATCATGGCGAGCATCGTCGAAAGACCGCCTTGCATCGTCGGCCATCCGATGTGAAGCAAAGAACGTTCAATCTTCTGTCTCATTGTCTGGACACGATTCTTTTTCGTTTACTTCTTTTTAACGACTCACCGGCAACTTCTCTTGGTAGATGTGGTAGCTGATGTGGGCACCAATGTCCACTGAGAAGCCGATGGCCATGAGAAGCGTCGAAATAGAGACGGGGTCGATTCGGACGCCCCAAAGAGAAAGGAATCCGAACACCTTCAGAAGTTCAGATAACTCAAAACTGAGACCGTGGACTTACTCCCATGTTGACGGAAAGAAGCGAGAAGAAGGCCGCCAAAATGGAAACAAGGTCCGGAATGAAAAGGACGAAAGAGAGGGCCATGCAGACGACTTCCGACAGGACCGTCTGCCAAACTGTACCCACCATGTCGTGAGTCTGAATTCCCGAGTGTGCATGTTTTCATAAACAAATCTTTCTTATGATATCTGAGATATCTTTTCGCAACCAAAAACTTTGGGAGATCGATTCGTTGACGGAAAAACCTGATCAGCAAAGTTGCTCCTTTCGGAGTAGGCGTAGACCTGCAGGTCAGGGTATTTGGCGGAGATCGCGCGCCATTCCAGCAGCAGAGGATACATGTCGCTGTACCTAAAAGGTATGTTGAAAGATGTGCCAGGACGGAAATGCGACGAACTTGGCGACTGTGGTGAAGCCTGTCGTGAAGAGGAAAGCGGAGATGCAATTCGGGCTGTTTTGAGCGCATGCCGACTCATTGACCTTCATCGAAGCCGAGTAGACGTTGTCTGTCTTCAAGAAATCGGGCACCTTCTTGTATGTGAATGGAACGTTCTGAAAATATCAACCTTAAAGAAAAGTTCCTTTAGCTCATGGAAATTTTGCCAAGAAATTCCAGCCTTTCATCTAGAAAACTGATCTCGCACAAAGATAAACTCGAAAAGTCTGTAATTTTCACCCTTCAACTAGCGAAATAATCTTATGAACATATTTTCATAAACAAAAACGTGGAAATGGAATTCATGTTTTGGTATAAATTCAATGATTCTTGCGACTCATTACAACTTTTACGATTGAGGCTCAAAAATCAAAATGGAATAAGTAAAAAACGGAGAAATCACTGCACCTTGGCTTTTCCCTCTTCTGCTAAATGATCAAGATATGGTTGAATCCAAGCATACGTTGATTCGTTGCCATAACTGAAAAATTGGTTAGAAAGAGAACAGATGGAATAGAAACCTGTAGATCGCAGTCTCGAAATCATGAATCATTTTTTGAACTTTTTGAAGTTGCTTCGGGTTGCGAAGATCTCCTGGATGTCGCACCAAGACACCGACGGTTTGCATTTCCTGCGTCGGTGATGCATAAGAAAGTAATAGGTTGAAAGTTCTCACCTGAATCACACGGTCGTATTCAATCTTGAACTTGACGATTCTGGTGTGAGGCGGCGCAATTCTTTGAATGGCCAGATCGGTTTCCATAGAAGTGATTCCAACGCCTGTCAAGTACCAGTAGCCGACCAAGACCTGAAAGAAAGAGCCTTGCAAAGATTCTGGAGAACTCTCACCGCAATCGTCAAAATGCGCATCCAGGGCTTCTCGACGATGCGAGCCAGCGTTTTCCAAGCGTTGTCGTGGAAGTTGGCCGCTTTTTTGATCACTTTTATCTCCGGAGGTACGCAACATTTCCTAAAAATGTTCAAGTAGCGTAGCTGAAATGCTATTTCCTTTCGTATGGCCAGCAATCAAAGTCTCTACCAGGTTTAGCATATTTTCCGTTTTTTTTTTTTTGGAGAATTCGAATAATTGAATTAAATCTTTCAACGCAGGAGGAATATGAATAAAAACTTCAAAAAAAAATATAGTTCTGATGTTTTACAAGCAACTGTGAAGATTCAGACGCCTGAAATCCAGTTACTTACGTTTTCAAATTTTCCTCTGTTTTGAAATTCAAAGTTATTGGGAAAATGATGATTTTATCTCGCCCGAAACTCGGGTCAAACATCTTATTTACTTCTAAGAACTGCGTTCCCGTCATTAATCGATTTTCCTTTCTTTTTTGGCGTCGCGAAAATATTTATGTTTAACCTTACGTCATCCAATCTTTTCGGAAATTGTGAAAACGAGAGGTTAGATAATATTTGTTGAAACAATTTTTTCAGTCTTGAGTTCGCGTTATCGGTAGCGCGCAAAGAGTACTTACATTTCGGCCACCGAGTGAAAAAGTTTTAGATTTACAGCCCGTTTTTCTAGGTTGATCTCTCATTTTTACAGTTTTGCCATTCAATAACTTTTGAAATTCATACTTTTCATGCAAGTCGACCTCCGTGTACTCTTTGTGAGCGGTGATTGCCAGGATGGCAGGGAAAATGACGAGTTGGTAGACGTAGCAAACGATGCTCGCCACAGAGCCGTACACAGCAAACGCCTTAAATTGCAATAAAAAAATAGTAAGGAACATGCTTAATGACTCGCAAAAGCTTTGAAATTGCGAAAAAAGAAAAAGAAAAAAGTCTATCGGCTCATACATTCTGTTCAGCTTTCGCATGTAAATCCATCACACGAACTCCGCCCCTTATGCCGCGATCAACCAATCGAAGAGCAAACACTCCCGAGAGCGTTTTCGAATGGCTTATTAACTTTCAAAACCTGAACAGATCTACCTGTAAAGCAGAGGTGGTTGAAAAGACTCCATTTGCGAATGAGATGAAGTTGGTGACCGAAGTGACTGTCATCGAGCATCCTGCTTCCTGAACAGTTTCGGCGAGGCGCCGCGGAGTGTCCAGAGATTTGTCGGTTCGATGCCAAGCCGACAAAATGACGAACACGTCGTCGATACCTGAACAAAGCCTGTTTCGTTCACATGCAGCTGTTTCCTCACCGATAGCGAGAACCAGGAAAAGTACGCCAACCACGATGCTTTGGAAGGCCAGACCTGTTGCGGAGACTATGCCTACCGTAGTCAGTCCAGACATAACCGGGATGATAGCTCCAAGGACAGCTTCCAAGGGCTTGGACTCTCGTCTCTTCGATCTTCAATTCTTTGTTCAAAAGTCTTTTCGACGCTCAGTCACCGTATCGAACAAATAATAAGGAAGCCAGTGAGAACTGCGAGTGCGACTCCCAACAAAGGAACCATTTTTGTGCCGATCGCTTTGACTTCCTTCGCTATCAAGTTATCTGAAGCGACGCCGCCTTCCAGAAGAGGGTACTTGTCCGTCTCGTAGAACAAATGGACCAACTGAAGACTCTGTTCGTCAAAAGCTCTAAAGCAGAAGTCGAACCTTTTCTTCAAAGTCGAACATAGGTTGCAGAGTCTTGTGAGTCATGTAATACCGAAGAACCACAGTGCTGAATCCTTGGATGATGGAAGAGTTGCCTTTGAACGAAACGTCGTAAATATTCCCGGCGATGAACACCTTCTTCCCATATATTTTCATCACAGGGTATTTCAACTGAAAGCTCTCAGATTAAGCGTTAGATGTGCGGATCGTCACCTCGATGCTGGTGTCGTTGCTGCTGCCGTCTTCGTCGTCGTCGTCGTCTTCATCTTCATCATACCAACTTAGCAAGGCGTAAAGCGCGTCGTTCTTCTGACAGTAGGGTTCGCAAAGGTCGCGATAGGTCAAATTCTTTCCGTGCTCATCCTACATCTCGAACTTCCCTCCAGACACGACTCAGCTCTCACCTGGACTTGGATGATGTTGGCGATTTCGCCAGTGAGGTCAGTCAGCTGCTCCAGATACTCCGATCGGAGCAAACTGCCTCTGTCTTTGGAGCGAACCATCACCTCCATCATGTGCAGGGTGCCGTTCTGTCGCAGGAACTCTTCGAGCATTTTTCCCTCGATGTGGCTCGGCGAGTCCGACGCTGTGTACGTTATCCGCGCGTTGTTGAGCTGTTTGAGACAACTTATGACAGATTGCAAAGGATTTTTACTTGGTGGAACCGCAGAAAGCCGATCAAACTGATGAAAGTGATCAAAGTAAGAACCAGAATATATCGCCATGGGTGATGACCAATGGAGAGCCCTAATCGATAGAAGACTCTCTGCAACAATCTTAACTGAGTAACATATTTCGAAAATCTTTTTAAAGGATAAAACTCCCACTAACCTCCATATAAACTGCATACTTTGCTGTACACAGCCTCATTTTGAAGCTCTCTGTTTCTGAAAAAAAGAAAAAAAAAAGTGGGAGAGACAACCGGAAAATGACGGAAGGACGGAAAAAAAAAATGCTCGGAGAAGGTTTTCTAGAACTACAAAAAGTGAATGAGCTGAAGTTCTTGCGACACACTTATCGATGGAAGTTAGATTTCTTCAAACAAAATTCGTAACTTCAAAACTTAACATTAGAAGTTTCTTCCTAGATTTCGAAGGGTTTAATTCTGAATCGCGCCGTTAAATACAACGGAACCCGTTAAATACAGTCAAACTGAGAGTGAATGAAAACAAGAGGATCACCTAGAGATCACCTGACGTACAAGATTGTTTAGGTTAGGCAAATTGTTGACAGTTTTTTGTTCCAAAACAAGGAAGTGGTTAGCTGAAAAAACTTGAAATTGCCCAAACAAGGAAGGGGGAATCCTAAGGAATCAGAAAGTTACAAATATTTGAGAACCACAGAACTGTATGAAGGCGTTCTTCTGATCAAAAACTTTAAATAACACTCGAAAACACAGGTTATGAAGATTGTTTTTCTTTGAGTCTAAACAATCAAAGAAATCATATCAATAAAAATAGTTTTTGTTTAAATAGGAAAGGTTTTTTTGAAAAAAACTGTTAACGTCTACCATGCTTTAATAGTTCTCCACAACATTAAAAAAAGTTACTTTTTTTAAAAATTAGATCAATTTGAATGGAAAGTTCACTACTTGGTATGAATGCCATCGTTGGAATAAACAAATCGAAAAAGTTCAAAAAGTTATTTTTTCCCAAAAAAAGGGGGTGGCTATCTAAAAGACTCGAATTGCCCGAACAAGGAAGGAGGAAACCGAAAAAATCAGAAGGTCTAACAAACATCTAAACATCTCCGAATGGAAATGACACTTTCCTCTGTTGGGAGGTCATTTAAACAAATAAAGGTTGTGGAAGATCGCCAAAGGGGCCAAAAATCAGAGCGATCCAATCGAAAAGTTTATATTTAAGTTAAGTTAGAACTTCAATGGAAGCTTGATTTGAAGGAAAAAAGAAGACCTTTGATGATCGACTTCTATGGAACAGTAAGATCCCAACAAAAAGCTTCTGTTTTTATTATTGCGTATTTTCGTAGTATAACTTTTCTTGCTTTTGAAGTATTTTAAAAATCCAATTAACTTTCTTCGGAGATTAATATGCTAAGCTCGGCTCTGAGTCGACATCTGCACGGGAAATCGATTCGAGGCGTTCGGCTGCGCTCGACGACTTAGAATACTCTCAAGTGGACTGTTACACCAATTTCAGTAGCAAAAAAATTTTATCTAACAGAACTTCTTAGACCCTGAATATCTCTGGAATCTTTCGAATTCCGAAACTCCTCAAGTTTTTCCTAAATATCGGAATACAGAAATCTTTTGGAGACAATGCTTTCTTGCTTTGCCACTCTGAAACACCGGCGGACACGGGCATCGGAATTCCGAGGACCGTTACGAAGTTTTGCGTCCCTTCATCTAACGTTCAAAGATGTGTACAAAGTTGACATTCACGTGCGTAATTGATGACGTCTTCTGTTTGAGATGTTCACTCATCTGAAGTGCAGGCAGACAGTTTTTGGGAGAGACGTCGCAGATTGTGATCGTAAACATGGTTAGGTCTATGATAAGTCTGCCGGGCCTTTTTCTACTTCATGAATATCCTCCAAGAAACTCTGGGAATGACGACTTTTGATAAGTCTATTACAATTTTGTCCGACCGGAATGTTAGCGTGCTCTTTGCCGCGTTCAAAGCTAATTTGACGCGCGCGGCGATTTTTTCAAAGGTTCTCTCTAAGGCTGCTAACACTTTGAAATTTCTCAATCTAATCCGCCGAGTAACCTCGAGTTTCCCAACGTAGCTCTAAACGCGATATTTGACAAGAAACACTTGGAAGTTTAAAGAACGAAAAGTTTGAGAAGAACTGTAGGAAAGATGTTTGGATGAATACTGCCGGAACATGTTGATGGAATAACAGAAAAGGGATATAACTCGAAAGGAACGCCATTTATTTGACTACAAGAAGAGGTTTGAACGAGTTCGCTGAATGTTCGGAGGCCTCGTGAGTTGGTCCGGCAAACAACCGTTTTCGTCGCCGACACGATCAACGGTCCTGTATGGAATTGACCAAATGGTGTCGAAAAAAAGTTTTTCTTAAAATTTGTGAAAACAAATCCGTCACTTCTCCTTCCAGGTTGCCTCAAAGCTCGGCGAAGCTTCAGATAGCCAACATAGGCGAAGTCCGAAGGGCCCTTTGAGGACCCTCCGAGGGTCCTCAAAGGGTGCTGGAAGACTCCATAGAAATGTTCCTTTCAGGGTGACGAAGGCTCCCTTTTTGCTGCCTTTCTGCACCATTTTTCTGCCTTTATGCACCCGTTACGCACCATTTCCACGATTTTCTCTTCATAGCCTTTCTCCACCCTTTTTATAGCCCATGTTCACGTTATTCTAGTATTCTTTTAAGATTGTAGACATGCTGATATCATTTTATTCGATCAACGTTTGGAAATGAATTGATAGAAGCAGCAAACTTCAACAACAACAGGAATATAAAAACAGAAGAAACAAAAGAAAACAAATAACAAGTTAACACGCTGTCTCTTCAATTTTCAAAAGTTTTCAAAAAGAGTGGGTACTAGAGTTCTCAAAATGACCAATTGAAAAAAATGACATTTTTCAAAAACGAAAAAAATTTTCTTTTTGACATTTCAAACGAATGTCGTTTTTGAAAGATCAACCAAAATTGATCACTTTCATTCTTTTCATTTTGTGACTTTTCAAATAATGACTGAAGAATAAATGGTCGTTTTCTAAACAATCATATTCTGACTAGTAAATAAATGTTCGCCTTAATGACCAAAAATTTTTCAAAGTGAAAAAGTAAATGGTCACTTTTTGACCAAAATTTTTCGAAACGAATTTTAAATGTTTACTCTTTTTAACCAAAAATTTTCAAAGAGTGAAATTTAAATGTTCATTTTTGACCAAAAATTTTTTTCGAAAAAAATAAGTAATTGTTCATTTTTTTAAAATGCTCAGTTATGAAATTTAACCAAAATGAAGTTTTTAACAAACGGTTCATGTGAAATTTAATTAATTGGTCGAATTCATCAAACGTTCGGAAATTGTTTGGTTGAACGTTCGTTCAAACATTTACTTTTGAGAACTCTAGTGGGTACAATAAAAAATTTTTTTGATTTTGATGAAACTTCACCCGCTGTGATAGTCTGTCATCCGAAATGCCGACGCAAGTTTTCAGACCGATTCCTCCTACCGTAGCTAGGTTACGGTAGGCAGGTGCGTCTTTTCGTATTTAGGAAATTATGCGTTCTTTCTAGGAATACCTACCGGTCATCTCGGAAAATCGCTTCGAAGAGGCTCAACTTGGCATCTGTCGGGGAAAATCGCCCGCGGTTAGAGATTTCTACCTCTCTTTTCTCTTCAGATCCGGTGCTAAAGTTTGTTTCATTTGATAGTGCAAGGTTGTACTTCACAGATGATAGTGTTTCCTCCGACTTCTCCGTAGGACTGAGCTCAGGAAAAATCGTTGAAATCTGAGAATCGTTGTTTTTAGGCCAAAATCGGCTTCAAACTGAATTTTTTGTTAGAAGGGTAGGCTGAAAGTCGGAGGAAACACTATCATCTGTGAAGTACAACCTTGCACTATCAAATGAAACAAACTTTAGCACCGGATCTGACGAGAAAAGAGAGGTAGAAATCTCTAACCGCGGGCGATTTTCCCCGACAATGCCAAGTTGAGCCTCTTCGAAGCGATTTTCCGAGATGACCGGTAGGTATTCCTAGAAAGAACGCATAGTTTCCTAAATACGAAAAGACGCACCTGCCTACCGTAACCTAGCTACGGTAGGAGGAATCGGTCTGAAAACTTGCGTCGGCATTTCTGATGACAGACTATCACAGCGGGTGAAGTTTCCTCAAAATCAAAAAATATTTTTTCTATTGTACCTACTCTTTTTGAGAATTACAGAGACAGCGTGTTAAGATTTGAAAAATAGACACAAATGTCTATAGGCCAATCCGCGCCAGCTCGTCACGTTTTTCTTTCCGCCAAAAGGCCAGGTCAAATTTTACCAACTTCGCTTCAAGACCGTTGTTTCTTGCCGTTATAAAAGCAGAAATTTGATATATACGGTCTTTTTGGCGAAAAGAAAAACGTGACAAGCTGTCGCGGAATAGCCTATATGACAGTTAAAACACCTTAAAGAACACATCAATAAATATTTCATCCAACCACATCAATATTTGAAGGTTCTTCATCAATAGTTGTTTCGTTGACATCGCCAGCACCTTGTTCTTGTGCTTCTCTCAGATAAGCTTCTTCCGCACTGAAAAGAATATAGTTTTATTGAAGAACGCTCAACGAGGAATTTCGAAAAGCAGGAATCGCATAAAAAAAAATAAATATAGTTACCTTTCTTGCCTGGAAAGTCCGACCGAACTAACCGAACCGTCCGAGTTTTTTTCAGCATGCCGTGAAATATAACGAAATTAAATTAACGGAACAAAGAAGCTCAAGATTACATTTTTTCAAATAATTTACTTACCAAAAAACCGTTGCCCGAAGGCGATTCCCCGGCCAGCTAAAACCTTTTCGCATCTTGGCATTAATCGTAATCGGGAATCTGATCCTTAATCGTGAGAGGAGATCTGAAGTTACATGATTCTTTGTAATTTCATAATTAGTTTTTAATTTCATTCAAACGTTTCAACATGTTTTTTTTTCGTATAACTTTCACAAAAAAATTTATGCCTCATATCCTTGTCTTTGAAACTAATTGAACACATTAAAACAACGAACGAGAAAATATAATTCACGAACAGAAAAAGAAATCAAAAACTTGAAAGGATTTTAAAAAGAGAGTTTTTAACAATTGACCCTTCGGCACCACTGCCAAAGTCGGAAGTGCGGAAAACGGGTGCAAAAAGGGAGTGACTGCAAAATGACCGCTAAAAGGGTCCCTTTTTACGGCGTTTATCGAGCCTTTCATTTTTGGTGGGCTAAAAAGAGTCATAAAAGGGCGAAAAAAGGGTGAGGCCGCAAAAAGGGTGAAGAAAGGGTGAGGGTGCAAAAGGGTTCTGAAAGTTTCTGCTATTGATTTTTACGATTTTATTACTGTAGCATATTTTGGTTCATATACAGTCACTTTTAAAGACTAGTCTTGATTTTAAAAAAAAATTTTATTTAACAAAAGGGTCCAAAAAGGGCGGATGAAGGCCGATGAAAGGACGCAAAAAGGCAGTAAAAAGGAAACCTTTGCCACCCGTTTAGGAACAATTAATGGAAACAGACGGATCCGTAACGGACTCCCAAAGGGCCCGTGAAGGGTCCTTCCGACTTTGCCTATGACCCTTTTTCCAGTCTCTCCCTTTTTCCAGCATTCTCCACCATTCCTTCACCCTTTTTCCACCCTTTTTACTGCCTCTGCCTTTTTCCAGCATTTTCCAGCCTCTTCCACCATTCCCTCACCCTTTTTCCACCCTTCCTTCACCCTTTTTCCACCCTTTTCACTGCCTCTGCCTTTTTTCACCCTTTCTCTAGCCTTTCGGACTTTGCCCGAGAATTTTCAAGGTTTTTTTCTGTTCAATTTCTGATCTTCTTGAATGTCATTTTTTAATGTTCGTTTGATTGACGGTGAAACAAACTTTATATTTCCAGAAAATTTCATTTCTCTTTCGCTTGCAAGCGTAGTATAGGCCATTCCGCGCCAGCTTGTCACGTTTTTCTTTCCGCCAAAAGGCCAGGTCAAATTTCACCAACTTTCGCTTCAGGACCTTTGTTTTTTGCCGTTATAAAAGCAGAAATTCGATCTAATTTGGTATACGGTCTTTTTGGGGGAAAGAAAACATGACAAGCTGGCGCGGAATAGGCTATACCTCTTTCCAATCTTGAAACGTTTTTGATAAACATGAATCTTTTAATTATTTCATGCATATTTTTGAAAATATTTATTTACAAAAAATTCTGTCTGGCATGTAGCTTGTCAAGCAATGGCACCAACATCAAAAAAATTTTTTCTCTTTTTAATTATATGAGATGCAAGATTTTTATTTGCGAGATTCGGAAAGCCATCGGTCGCAAAAAAAAAAACGAATCATGGCTTGACGACCATTTTCTCGTGAACATCGAGATCTCCGACGACCTGAACGTCTCAATTTTGCGCCAAACTTCAAAAAACACCAAAAAAGAGTGAGATTTGTAATCAGAAACTGTGACTTTCTTTACCACTCGGCAACAAAAAAATGATGAAATATGTTAAAATTTATAACTTTGATAATGTCGATAAAAATCTTCACACCAGACCAAACCGAACTAACACGCCAATTGGAAGGAAGAAAGGACACAGGAAACAAGTGGAGAACATGATGAAAAAGCATAGCCATATATATATCTTTGCATTGTGATTAAAACTCTGAAAGTATTCTGGGTACAGGAATACCAAATAACCCCTGGCTTCGCCAAATTATTTCGTCGGGAAACCGAGATAACTCAATGATTTTCAACTTTTCTATAAAACACAATATTCTCAATCTTTCAATAAATTCGTTAGCAAAAAGACATACATATCTTTTTTTGAAAACAGAAACGAGTGTTTCTTCCAATTCTGTCAAAGGTTAACTCAATAAGAGAAGAGCAGAAGAGCAATATATCCGCAGGCGAAAGCCATGAATACTGAACAAACGCTTTCGGAGGGCAGAGAAAACGTTCGCGGCTTATTACGCTTCATGAAAAATTGCAAATTTAATGTCGATCGAACCACGAAATCTTATGAAAAACTGGAAGCTCAATGTCAAAGCAATCGAAGAAGTTCCACAAGGAACTTACAAAAAGAAGCACTAAAAAGGAACTTATTTCTATATAAAGCAGTGAGAGAATAGGAAATTCAAGAATGAGGAGCGTGAATCAATTAAATATACGTGTGAAATAGATTGCCTCAGACAAAGACACAAGGTGGATCTCAAGAAGGAGACGTCGACCAGCTCAGATGTTCTCGAGCACCATCTTCTTGTGAACTTCCGTATGTTCCACAACCTGAACTTTCTCCAAATAACCTCATTGTATTACATTTTCAATTCTTTCAATTTTTTGAATTATCAATTTTTCGTACTTTTTTTGTATGACGAATCAAGATCGAAAAAATCTCAAAAAAAGTATTGAGTGGAACTCCAAAAGCTCAACTGTTTCCAAGACTCTTATTGAAAAAAATTTTGTGGTTTTCGGAAAGCAGATACATGGACGGCAGAGAAGCCATTAAGAAAATGTGGAGGCGAGCAGAAGATTAAAAGAGAGAAGGAAAATCCGAAAAGAAGATGAGAAGGATCAGTGCGTTTAGCGTGGAAAGCAAAGAGTAACACGGGGCAACTGAAATCCGCAAGAAGATGAGGAGCTCAGGAAGCTCTCAAATCGATTTCGATTCCTCTAATGGACTACGAGGTGAGAAGAAATCGATGTCAGTTTGTTAGTTCATTCAACTGCAAGAAACTGAATTCGTGATAAATTCACCGATCGATACTTTTCTAAGAGTTATAAATTGAATTAAATCAATGAGAAAGTTCGTTTTTTCTGATTTTTCATGCGTACTGGTATTTCTCTGCATTCGTTAAATCACCATTAGAAAGCCCAAATCACAAACGAAAAAAACTGACGTCGCAAAACTCCTGGAAAGAGATTTTCCCATCACCGTCTTTGTCGTGGAACAAAATTGTCTTGTCAACGATTTGCTGAAGCTGCGAATCTTTCAAGTTGTTCCCGACCATCATTTTGAGCACCTAGAATGAAAAAATAAGATATGGTGAGTGAAAATTCAAAAGTAACCTGAAAAAGCTCCCCGTTTGAAATGAAACCGTCTCTGTCCATGTCGTATATACGAAAAGCAACTGAAAAGAAAACAATTGAATTAGGAGAAAAATTTTAAAAACTACATCTTAGCTTGATGTTTTTGTCGCCTTTAACACTGAACTGTGAAATTCCTTGGATGAACTCTAAATTTATTTTTTTAAATAGTTCAAAAAACGAAATAAAAACCGCGGAAATCGACTTCTCCGTTTCCATCTTCGTCAAAAATATCGATGACTCTTTGGACCAGGGGGTTCTGTTGTAGCTCCGGCAGCGACATGAACTCCTGCAAATGAAGATTCAGAAGTCATTTGATTTAATATTAACGCAGCAAACCGTTTCTTCATAAAGTTCAGATATTCATTGGAGATGATTTAAAAAAATTTTTAACTTTTTTTAGAAAAAAATTGATATGACTATGAAAAACAACCTCGACAGAAAGTGAGCCGGAGCCGTCAATATCGAGTTTTTTTGAAACGGCGAGCCAATCTCCGAAGCTCGTAAGCATCGACTGCAAATTTAAAAATTAAAAAAACTCATTTTGAAACTGACAATTGCTGCACATTTCCATGGGAAGAGAGCTTTCGTTACCCTAAATCAAAAACGATCATTCTTTCATTTACTAAACCTGCTCATGACAACAAAATTTTTTTTTTGAACGGAAACTAAATTTACCATTTTAGATTATATCCACGTCGATATCTACGATCGATAGAAAAACGTTGTCTGATGTCCTTTTAGCTGCTTTCTCAGTACTAGTTCCTGCAAATCTATAATCAAAAAAATGTTTTTCGAGTTTACTTCAGGAAACTAATACTCCCTTTTCAACATTTTTGGTGCTAACCGCGAAATTTGAACTACAATATAAAAAAAAACACTGGGTTAAAGAAAAAAAAAGAGAAACCGCACTGAATTTGAAGCATTAGAACCGATAAGATTCATTTGGAAAAAAACCAGAATAATCAATAACTGGACAGAGGTATCAAAGTGAATAACATTTTTGAAAGAAAAAACTAAAATTAATTTGAAAAGAGAGGTCCCGGTTGAATTGAAGTACGAGAAGAAAAGAAAGTTTCAATAATCTGTTTTCCGAGAAATCGTAGTTGAGAAAGCAATTTCAGAATAAAATTCAGTCGTATTGGGGTGTGTTTCTCGCGGACCGGCAGGAGAGAGCAACGAGCAAAATCGATAAGCGCCATCGGCAACGAGAAGTCGAGACGCAGACACCGCAGCTTCAGCGGCCGCAGGAGGTCCACCAAATGTTCCGTCGATCGTTTATTGGACCAGTTCTACACGAAAACACTCATTAATTATAAATGAAATCTCACACTGCGCGTCTCAATATTTTTACGATCAGCTAGTTTGATTGATGAAATTTCTAGCTAAAAGGCATTCAAAACGATTTGTGGATTTAAAATTAGGATTTGAAGTACAACTCCAGTTCCCCAGAAGGTGTATATATTAATATTTATATACAGAAAACATGTTTTTTAATTCTTATCCAAGTTTATTTTGAAATTACGTGAACGAAAGAGTTTTTTTTTTCTTTTATTATGATCCTTGTTTAAAGAGATTTTTGAATGAATAAGTTTTGACGGCGGTCAATCGGGGTGTCCACAACGTCAGTCAATAAACAAGATACGCGATGAGATAGCTATAAATATGCACTTCGGCAGCATACTTTCAAAGATTCTCCAATTCTCGCCAATCCAGATGGAGATAGTATCGGAATGCACAAAAATAGTATTGGAATACCAGAAAGTTGGCCTCTGTATGCTATTCATTGATTGACTATTAGCCGATCGAATTCGAGAGTCCACACCGTCAATTATTTTTATAGATACGCCGATTGACCGGTAAAAAGCGTCAGAAAGTGGTATAATCGAAAAAAGGAGAAATTTAAACAAACTATCCGTTTCCAAATTAATTGTTTCAAAGAATCTTCCTAGCAATGTCAATTTTTCGTCGATGCAAGAAAAAAAGGCGGTCGAACCATGAAGAGATTTCCTATGGGATCGCGCCCTCTCTGTTAGACCTAGGAATTCAGTGCACAGGTGATTCAAGAATTCTAAAAAAGATTCGAAAATCCACTATACGTAAGTTTCAAAAAAGTTTTGTTACAAATTTGCATTCGTAGGTTTCTCACGCTTCTGTACAAAGGTAAAACGGAAAATTTCTTTTTAGGATCCTCAAAAGGAGGTTCCGCTAGAAGCTCTTTAAATGATAGGAGAAGGACTTTGAGCACGTTTTCATAGCCTCATCACGCATGTTTGAGACAGTACTACGGCGGCCGGTGGCCGGTCAATATTGCGCCGCCAGTTTCGGAGCCAGGAAATTTTTTTTAATTTTCTATCTTTTTTGCAATTTGTTAAGGAGCTATTTCTAGAGGTTACAAGGTACGTTACGTCCTAAAAAGTGCACAAGTTTTCGTTTTGTTACAGAAAAAGCTATCCAAACTACCGTAATACGACCGGCCACCTTAAACAGGCGTGTCATAGAACCTTTTTTGAACCGCCTATAATCTTCGCAGTTGATTTGCAGCATTATTTTAATAATTTTTGAAAATTCGAAAAAGATACAAGAGTGAAAAATGCCTTTTTTCCAAATCAGACTGAAACCAAATGGCGGAAAACAAGCCCAAACCTGTTGAAGAGTCGGAAAGATTGAAAAAAGCTTTCGAGGAGCTTTCCCGTTTTACCCGAGTGGGACGAAAAAAGTTACATTATAATGAGATAGTTTCGCAATTTTTTTTAGAAGCGCTCTATTGTATTAAAAAAAATTTTTCTTTGAATTCTGTTTTATCCAGTTTTCGTGAGAAATCACGACTTCAAAAATCCCCAGCCGTCACACACACACAAGGACAGATATGTGACTAGAGTCAGTCAATTGATTATTACTGATATCAGGATAGGATCTCGGCTAATCGACTTGGGGCGCCGACACCGTTCAAGCGGTACCACGGCGTAGGGAAGAAGAAGAAGAAGTTTATCCATTTTTTAGCATGGCAAAAAAAAATTCTAAATGGAAATTTTGAATTATTTTTCACAAACTTCAGTTAGAAAGTGTACTTTTGTTTTTTTATGAAACTATTGTTAAGTGGAACAGGACATAGGAAGATATAGAAAGACAGTTTAGATAGGTTTTTCGGTAATAAAATGAAAGCTTGTACACTTTTTGTCACGTAACTTACTGAGTAACCTCGAAAAATAGGTCCCTAACAAATTGCAAAAAAAATAAATGAATAAAAAAATGTCCTGCTTCCGAAACTGACGGCGCAATATTGACCAGCCGCCGGGAACCGTAGCACTGTCTTTAACATGCGTGGAATATTCTTTTTTTCCAAAAAAAGCATCGAAAAGTCGACCAACAAAAATAACCTTCAACATTAAAAAAAAGTTTAAAATAAAAAAACTCGCAAAAAAACTGCGAAAATCTTTACCCAAAAACACTGATTAGTTGAATAAAATGAGAAAAATTAAAATAAGAAGTGAGAGAGCTGGAAAATTAAGAAAAAATTGGATTAATGGAAAACCAATATTGAAAAAAAAAAAATATTATACGCGTAAAACACATTGTGTGCCGTGCAATACACAGTGGATGAACATTATTTCATACAGTAACCCGCGCGCTTTAGACGGTGCCGCCGGTCAACATCACGTGCGAGGAGTTTTGAAATTTCGTAGGAGGGCGACGGGCATCTAGAAAGTTTTCATTCAAACCTGAATAAACGGAGAGCTTTTTTTTATTCGATGAAAATTGTGAAGATTTCCAAACGATCCGAAACACTGCTTTTCTTCTACGGATTTTTTCTTTCTACTTTAGTCTTTTTGCTTATCATTTTTCAATCAGTGGAGCGCTCGAGCAACTGATTTTCCAAAAACGAAAACAAATTGTCTTAAAAGTTTTGCTGACTCTTCCCTTCCCATTGGAAAAATATTCGTTTCTTCGTGTTTTGAAGTGACTCCCTTTTCGAATAGAGCAACAACCGCGTCCCATAATTGGAGCTAGACCCTAATTGCTGTCATGTTGATCTGAAATAACTTTCCGCACATTGTTAGATTTTAGTTTTTCTTTTTATTTTGGTCCTCTCTTTTTGGTTTCATTTTTGTTCGCAGGCTTTATTCTGTGAAACAAAGTTTTGACAGATAAATTAAAACAATTTGTGCACTGTGTCACCCGGCTGGATGCCTCCTAGGTTAGGTAAAACGGACTAGTTCGCTGCGATATTCTTGCAATCGTACATGAACTATTGAACTTCACAGCCATCCTCCAACTCGGACTCGCGACATCGACAAAGAAGCGCTATGATCGCAAGTTGAAAGGCGTAAAGGAAAGCGTTGCGGACGCTCATTAAATCTTGAACTCTCAGTCTTCATGCGTCGCCGTGTTTTATTTAAAATGCGGTTTCGCTCAAGTTCCTTTTTTGGTCGGATGCACCCTCGATAGCAGCCGTACCGCGTCTACCAATTAGCTCAACTCGTTCACTATCTATTCGGCTACAGAAAAAAAAAATCAAGAAGTTTGATTTTTCGAAGACCAGGAAATATAGCGGGTTGTTATTATTCCTTTGTACTATAAAACGTAACCAACCTGAAAAGTCGAAAGTTTTTTTTCGATAAAGTATATATTAGGCACACCGTTTTAAACTTCATTATTCTTTCTTTCTAACTTTCATGTTCATCCTCAAAAATGGCCGGCCCAGGACAAAAGCTCAAATTTTCTTCAAGTCGAGTTTTCCGTCTTTTTACGATGAAATTGATGTTTTCGCATATTTTTTCTAATAGAGTTATCAGAAACTATGATTCAACAATTAGAAACAATTTTTCGGTGAAAACTTTTTTAATGGAAATTCAAAAATTTTTTTCCCGAGCGCCCTGACGCATAGGCCCTGGGATTGAGAAATTGAGTGGACTACTACTAGTTTTTTAGTTGGACTACTGGCGGCCAATTTCGAAGCACCTGTTTCCTGCAAGAAAAGCAACGTCACTTCTGTTTTTGTCTTGGTTAAAAAGTCCTCTCCTGACACTTTTCCCAATATTCAGTTCCACCTGTCTCAATCTCATACTGGCTGCCTCTGGGATTATCGGTTAATGAACAAAGAAAGTTTGAAATTTTCTGGAGGTGTATTTTAAAAAAAAAGTGATAGTATGCCCAAAATACAACAGGTTTTACGCTTCTTTGATTTTTCCGGTTAGTCAAATTATGAGGAATACCTCACAAATGTAAAGTTCAATGCCTTGAGAGGAAATATTTTGATTAATACCAAGTTAAAGTCGAAGGGGGCTCGAGAAACTTTAAAAAAATGTATAAACTGTGAATGTAAAAAATTCTCCTGGTATGTACATAATTATGTGAATTATGAAAAAAAGTTGGATTCAAACTAACATATGCCGCAGTCTCTCTCACCTACAGACTCGAAGAATTTATTTTGATATAAAACAAAGAGTTGATTTCCAGCTCCTTCATGAGCTCTGCTGCCTAAAAAGAACATATTATAAAAAAAGAACATTATTATGGAAGTTTTTTAGTTTCTTGTTGCAGAGATGTGGAAATGTAGCGTTTCCTTTGTAATTAGTAACTATTGACTTCGCCGGTATTTCTGACTTGCTATTAATTTTCAGTGGTTTCATCTCAATTCAATTTTTTCAATTCAATCGTTGAAGGTTTTAGGCGGAAACAAGATCTTACGGCGGGAAATCCCATCAGCTCGGCTCACACTCGGCTGCATTAGCCGTACCACAAATTTGCATGCTTTTTTTGTTATTTGGTCGCCAATATGCTGGAACCGCCACTTCCGGTCGCCTTTCACACCCTAACGACCTTTTCAAAATGGCCATTCTTTGCTAAGCACGAGAAAAGTTTAATTTGAAAAGGAAAAAGTTAATCAAGTCGCGCTTTATGTGTACACATAATGTTCAAACGCCGTCAGCCCTCGATGCACTTTCATCATTACCTCAAAGGCGCATGTCAATACGCGATAAAGTAATAATTTTTGATTTTTGGCGAAATTTAAATGTTGTTCAAAAAAAGGCACAAAAAGCCGTGTTTCTGGGAGAGAAAAATTCTTTCGCAAAGTGCATCGTGCGAAAGAAGCTGCTCTATGACAAAATACTTCTGCGTTCTTCAACTCGGACGTTGGTAACGCGAACCAGACGCGAATCGGACGGGTCATAACATTTCTTTTTCTAGTGACCACTTTGGTAGCGTATAGCACTCTTAAGTGATTCCTTGATTTGCTCAGAAACTTCCGGAGCGTGTCCGGTTTTGGATATCAAGGTCTGAGAATATTGAGAAACTTGAGGAAACGCGGTTGAAGAAGTATTACTTAGCAGCCCTGGAGAAAACCCTTGAATTTAGCTCGCCGCGCGCGTCAAATTAGCTTTGGACGCGGCAAACGGAGTTTTAAAAAGGTGGACGTGGACAGAAAAAAGGGCTAGCGGGGAAATGTGCCCAGGCGAGAAATTTCTTCGGCGGAGTCAGCCTTGTACGTCAGGCTGAGCGGCGTGGACCGGGCCGGCGCCGCATTCGCTTCGGGCTTCGTTTTTGCGATAAAGCCTGCGCGGGCTTGGGCCAAAAGATCTTCAAACTTTATCAAACAATTTCTACTTTATTCAACATTTTCCCCGAGAAATTTTTGCTTGTTAAATCATAGTTTTTGTTGAATTTTGAGTGAGAAAAAAAACCAAAAAAGGGTTTCGTGATAAAAATGCTTGAAATTAGACTTGAAGGGAATTTGAACTGTTTGGACCGAGACGAGTCGGTTTTATTTTTCTCCGAAAAAAAACCTGAAAAATGAGAAAGCTAATCCTTCTTGACCTGAAAGGTTTTCTTCGATGCGACGAAATATCAAAGAAGAAGCGATTCTAAACCCTCGAGGAGGGCGGCGCCGTTATCCCAGTCCTCGTGGTTCATTCTTTGCCCGCCTTATCTTGAGGCTCTTCTCCACGATTTCTCACTCATCCACCGTTGCAACTACTCCAATCTCATTTCCCTCATTATCGCGAAGATCATCAGTTTTCTCTCGGCCAGCAAAATTCACGAGGATAAAAAATTATTATGCTAAACAGACCAAAGCCTGGTTCAGCCCTATTAACAATAGAAACTCGGTTTCTAATTCGTTATTTAAGATGAACTTTCGATCTTTTTTCTGTTTGATGTGCCTTTTTTCTCATTTTTTTTCAGTTTGGACTTCTCTGTACAAGAATGACTTTTTTAAAATCCTTTTCTGGCGCTTAACCATTCCTTTTCATTCCTCTTCTGCATATTTTTCATAATTGCGTTCTGGGTGCTTTGTTCCATTTACGCCAAGATAGAAATACCTTTTTTTTTTGGTGACTGTATGATATATGTGTTTTGTTATAATACAAGTCTTCCATGTGTTTTTTCTCATCTGAGAATGTTGAAGGACTTGATGGTGTCAGTTAAAAAAACATTTTTTTATCATTAATTCAAGAGAATTAATCTCATGCCTTTTTCTGATATTAACTAACCTATGTCTCTAAAAAAATAACTTTTATTCACAATTTGATATGATTTTTCAAAAAAATTTCAAGTTTCACATGTTTCACTTATCTAGTTGGTGTGTATTTTTTTTTTGGTTAGTATCGGGTTAGTGGGCGGTACGTGTATCGCAAGGTGAATTGTTTGCGAACGTATCAGCTTCAGAATGTTGAAATTAGAGCTTACTTCACAGCTTTACTTTTTTTTTACCTTTCCAGAGATGAAATCTCCGAGAGGAAGATGCAGAGAGAGTGTGTGTTAACGGTTCTTAAGCGTTTTTTTTTTGCTGCATTTCGAATTTTGAGAAACTGGAAGGGATGAAGACCGATTCTGGATCTTCCCAAAAGTAATTTAAGTATATTTCGAGGAGCCCGCGCCTCATAACGAATGTATTACGGCTCCCCGGAAAGAGCGTTCCTATACGAAAATATCTATATGCCTTGCAGCGTTTGCCCCTTTTCTCATTTTTTGTATGCAAGACGCGTTGAAACTCAAGTAATTGGTTCATTTCCAGGCCTTGGTTCTGCTCGGAAAAGGGCGATGGAGTATTGGAGCGTGTAGATGGACGACGTCGTGACGGATCTTCTAATCGTCAAAAATGATTCCAATTTCACAGTTCCTACCGCCGCCGTACGTTTTCTGCAATCTTATATTCGCATTGGAAAGTACAATGAAACGTATCACAACTTAAACATTTTGAAGCAGTTTTTTTTGGCTGACTCTAAATTTTGAGCTGCTCCCCTTTTGAACGTCAATATACTAATTAAAAAGCACCAGGGGTTCATACTGAAATATTCATCCAGAAGAGCAAAACAAAAAACAAGCGAACGAGGATTTTTGCACTTGTCGTCCCTCGAGCGCTCGTTTTTTCACACTCCGAAGGCTCCGAGCGGAAAGTCCGCCATATCGAGAAAGTCAAGTGACTCACTTGAAATACATTTGCAATTCTTTCTCCCAATTACACTAATATGCGGCGACCGTTGTCTAAACTCGTTGCTCGGGGAACAATTACTAATTCTCGGTTGTTTTTGTAATTCGCTCTTAAAGTTATGAACGATCTCACCTCTTTTCTCCAGCGCTCGGCGTCTTATTTTCAATTTTTTTTGAAAGAACGTTTTAATTGTGTCCTTGCCTTTGATATTAATAACATTTTTTAAATTCATTAGGTTTTTTCTCAGAGAGGCGACAATGGATTAATAAAAAAGGCACATCGATAAGATAAAATGCTGGAAAGTTTCAAGAAGTTTTTTTTTTCATTTTATTCACTTTCCTACTCTATCCGTTAATAATAAATCCAGTTTTTTTTTTCAAATTTTCCACTCCCAGCGGCATAAAACGGAAGTTACGAAAAATATCAGAGAATAAATTTTATTATTTGTCATCCGACCTTCCTTGAAGTCTTTTTTTCATGACCTTTATATTATTCAGTTCATTAAAAAAATTTCTTTTTTTTGTCGTTTATGACTCAAGAGATAGGAATGGCTCAACGCGCAACAATTACTGTGTGAAGGAACTCGTCAAAGAGAAAAACTTTTTGGTCGGGGTCACGTAAAAGGTTCCAGCACGAATCTCACGAAATCGCAACGCGTTTAGCCATTCTAAATGCGGTGAGAGTGTCTCGGGCGGTCGCGTATAAACTAAAAAATAAGAACAACTTCAGGCGATGTCCTGGAATGCACTGCACGGCTTTTTGTTCATTCTCATCGTGCTCGTCGTCGTCGGCAACTCGCTGGTCATCTTCGCAGTGATTTTCGATCAGAAGCTCCGCTCAGTCACGACAAACAAGTTCATAGCGTCGTTGGCCGTGTCTGACTTGCTGGTCGGACTTGTCGTCATGCCCCTCTCCCTACATGACAAGGTCTGTTTGTTCGTTTGGAAGTGTCGATCTCCTCAGATCCACGAAGACACCTGGACTCTCGGCATCTCCTGGTGTCAGTTTCACCTTGTTTCCGGCGTTTTTTCGACTACAGCCAGTATTGTACATTTAGTGGCCATCAGCCTTGACAGGTGATTTCTCTCAGAAGTTTTTATACCAGAGTAAGCTCTAGATATTTCGCAATAATGTTCCCCACGGAGTACCAGCGACACTCTGTGAGCACGTCGACTGTTCCTTATATTGTGATGATTTGGTTGATGGCGTTTGTTGTGAGCTCGACGTTGGTCATGGAGCAAGACATCGCCTTCGACTCTATCTGTTGGATCGCCAACCCTCAATATTTGGTACCTCTTATGTGCTGCGGTTGAAGCGAAATAGTAATTCAAGGTTTTGTCTTCATTTTTGTCCTTCTTCCTGCCCGGGGCTATCGTAGTGTATCTCTATACGAAGATTTTCAAAAAGTTGCGCAACCACCAGCTGTACATGTTTGGGCAGAGTGCCCACAGAAACGGAGATCGACGACTTTCTCTTCCACGAGTGATTATCGAAGAGGTACGACCGAGGCGGTGTAGCTGAACAAGAAGGCTTGTAGGTGAGGTCGCGTCGCGGCTCCAGAATGTCGCAAACGGGCTCGCAGAGCGGCAGTCCAACTCGTCGGTCCAGCGGCGGCGGCAAAGAGCGCTCCCCAAGCCAGCCGGATATCCACATCGTCGCAAAACCTCAGCAAAGGTTCAAATTTAAAAAAAAAAGAATGAATTCGATTTTGAGCTCTCCAGTTCATTCGCGCAATTATAGAACATAGATTAGAACTTTAAAAAAATTGTTTTTATTAAAATTTGAACTCTTCTATAGGAAGTATTTCAATGGATGACGTTTCCTTCGATATGTAGAAATGTTTGTTAGCGTACAAAGCAGATGGAGCCAACAGTTCTGAAAGACGAGAAGATGTTTGACCGGATGGAAGGAGAATTTTCTGGGAGACGGCCGTTTAGCTCGGGTTCCAATCGACGTTTTCCCATGGGAAACGATGAAGGAGAATTGACGCTTGAAAAAAAGACCGAGGGGCACTTTAACCTCATTTTTGGAAGTTTCTGAAATAGATAAGCCTCTTAGAATCTACTGACGAAGATTGATTCTTTTCCGGTTTTTTAAAGCATCTTCTCTCAAGTTTCGGCTATTAGTTCAAATATCATTTGAGAATTTCCAACAAGTTATATCCGACATCGATAGATTATGCGAACTTGCCCCGACTTTCATTTTTCTCTTCTTGGCCTTGTCTTGCGGGAGAGTTCTCATCCACATATATGGATATCAAAGAAAAAGGCCAATGCCAAACGAATACGAGAAATATTCAATCTTTGAATTATTCAGTTCTGCCGGCTGAGGAAACTCTTCGACGCTAGGTGACGCAAAAAATCGAGAGCTTTCAATTAAATGTTGCCCTCAGGGAACTCGATCAAACGAGACCAAATTGAATTCTTAAGGTTTCATTTGATTCTTAGGTTTGCGTAATTAATTGTCGAGCATTTTGCGAAAGAGTTTTTTTGGAAATGTTTTTTTTTATTAGATCAAAAAGTGTTCTTAAGAACAAAAAAGTTGATTTGATTGCGTTATCTGAACTTTCGAAGTTGACACTTGTTAGAAGCCTTTTTTGGGTCTGCAAAAAAGGAAAAGCGTTTGGCGGGTATCTTGAGGTCGGTTGCCTCGGGCGACGTCTGCAGATGATTTCATCGGGTTTGACATGTCCAGCCTCTTGCAATCTCATCCGGAAGCCCTCGACGCGCGTCATCGAGTGTCCTGCCTTCGGTGCAGCTCTTCAGCAAGGGGACCATCAAACATCGCAGAAGCCTCAAACTTTGTTCGATTAAAAAAACAGGAAAATTCCGTAAAGCTCGAAGTTTGAGAATTTTTTATCGTTTTTTTGCATTTTCTTGCAGATTTTCAGAGCATTTGAGGAATATTAGAATGTTTTTCTCACTGGTTCGTTGAATAGTTTCAATTCCGCCTCGCGAACGAAAAGGAGAAGCCCCGATTCTGCGGCATCTCTATCCAAAAGTTTTTCGAAGTTTATTTGGAGTCTATAACATGAAGAAAGGACGGTCCCTTCGCATTCCGAATCTTTTAGAAAGTTTGCCGAGTTGACTTTTAATTTTTGATTCAGTTTCCCTCAACAAAGTTTCAGAAGCGATAGAATGATAGAAAATGTAAATAAAAAGGCTCACAGTTTCATACAGATTAGATCAAAGCGGGCTGCTAAGCAAAGTCAACTAACATCTCGTGTAAAGTGTTCACTCTAAGTGGGAGCTCTCATTTCGAGGCTTTTTCCTAGAGCACGGTATCCGGGTTCCAGCCACAAAATTCGCTGTATTCTGAGCTTTTCAAGGCGCACATGGTGAAAAACGCACAAAAGAATAAGGCGAAGAAACGTGAAGTTCTTTTTTCACAACAAAAGGAGCAATTAATTTAAAAGATGTCAAAAAACGTACAGATCTATCTGATCTATCACTATCTGACCAAATTTTGGACTTAAGATGGAGGTCGCCGACGATTTGCGCAGAGACGTTGGCTCACGACCGGCTTCTGGCTTCGAAAAAACGCGTCTCGATAGTGCCGGACCCGCCGTCGATGGACGTCTCCGTGAACATGGGCAGCGTGGACCAAATGCGCGACGAGCATCGAAACAACTTGTTCGTTCTGAACTGGACAAGCTTGGAAAGGCTGGTGTTGCAGACTGCGCGAGAAGGAGCTTCTGTTGAACAGCCATGACGCTAGTGAACAGCAAATGAAGAAGTTGAGCGAAGAAAGAAAAGTCAGGACTGTTTCTCGACCATTTTCTCAGTTGGAATTTTATTTAAAATCGGCTTCTTTTTCTATACTTTTACTCATTTCTGAGGAAGTCGTGGAGTTTGAAGATAAAGTCAATATGACACGGATTTTAAAAAAGCCCAAACAAGCGTTTTTTTTTTGGAGGGAAGCATGGGTTTGAGCGCCGTTTTGAAAATAATTGAAAACATTTATTTAAGAAAAATAGTTTTTCTTGTTGCTCAAATAAATAAAAAAAAGAGTTATAATCGGAAGCTGTAGTGTTTTCAGCAAAAAATAACGCAAAAAAGACGGATGAGCTCGCAAGAAAATCCAAACGGAGTTCCAATCATGGCAGCTTTTCAAAAGGTTGCCCAAAGCTATGAACTCGGAAAAAAAAGCGTTTCAGGCATATCAAGACGTTCGCGCTGGTCGCAGGAGATCTGTGCAGGACTTTGAGTTTGGTAAGTATCGAGAGTCTTTCAAAAGATTGAGAGACTGCAGCTTACAACTTTCCACCTCACCAGCTGGCGACGGTAAATGATGAGGAGCTTCCAACGCCGCCTCCAAAAGGAGATGTTTTGGAAGAGAAAGAGTCCGAAAAAGCTCACGATCTGTCGGGGGGACACAAGCTTTCCACCGGTTCGAGTATTGCCGAAACCGTCATAGCAATGGTAAGAGACGAAGAAGACTGATTCGGAACTCTCGCAGCTTCCGAAGACCAACGCCACCTTGGCCAAGGACGATTCGCACGAGGATTCTGTCTCCACCGACGCCAGCCAGAAACCGCTGCTCCAGTCTCACATCTTCACGAAAAAACAGCAAAAGTTTGTGGCTTTCAGTTTTTTACGGCACAGAGGAAATGCAGACCAAGATTCAATAGAAAATATTTTAGTTGAAGTATTGTTGAAAAGTTCACAAGGGGGTTATTTAAGTACGCAGTTTGAATATTTCTATGTTTGCTCAAACACAGCTCTAGAAAGTCATCCCTCAGAGTCCTTCTTTCCGCAAACTTCTAGTTTTTCTAAGTATGAATTCGCATTGAAGACAAAATTATAAAAATAGACCTAAAATCTATATTTCGCAATTTTGAAAATGCATTACTTGAAGAGATATGATTGTAGACTTGTTTTAGAACGGTTTTGATGTAATTTCTTTTTTTGATAGTATGCAGCTGCTCTCAATTTTTACGTTCTAGGGTCTGAGAAATGAGTTGAATGTCTACTTGCGTCAGTTCTATATATCTGACTTTTTATTTTTCCTACGCCTTTGTATCGCTTGAGCGGCAAGTCGATTAGCCGAAGTCCTATACTGATATGTGATAATCAGTGGACTGGCTCTAGTGTCATATCCCTTCTTGTGTGTGACGGCTGCGGATCACGAAGTCGTGGTTTTCCATTACCAACATTTCTTAGACTCTTTGGTTGTGTCGCGGCGGGGATCGAACTTGGAATCCTACGGTGGAAAGGCACACAACCTGTTTTGCTACGGTGCGCCGCACTTCTATTTATTTGAAGTTTATCATAATTCTTTTGTAAGAATGAAGGTTGATTTTTTTTCATAAGTAATGAGCAAGTCATCTATAAAACTTTCCTCACAAAGGTTAGAGTTGTGGAACAGGCTTTATTAAGAGACATTAATAACGAAGTCGTATTCCATACAAGAAGGAGACGTCTAATATGTCCATTTTTCCCCGTCAGGTACCACGCGTCGATTCCAGCTCCAACGTTTTTGATGGTGCCGGCGATAATGTCAGTGAACACACCTCCGTTGTCTCCCAACGTCAAAGAAACTTCAACTTCTACTCTTCTGCAGGTTCCGAATGAATCTCTATCTCGGCAGAACCTCGAAGAACTGTTTTCTGAATGAAAAGTGTTGAGGTGCCACGGCTTTTCGACTGTCCCTTCGCCGTGCTCGGTCCCCTCCAACAGCAGCCATTCCTCGTACACCTCGGCGAGCGGCAGCAGCGACACCTATCGCAGAATATCTATGAACAGCTACGGCAGCAGTCTCACCGACGCCACGGATTCAACTTACGAAATAGACTCTCGGTTACTTTTTCTTTGGTACACAGACAAAGAAAAATTCAATGAAATCTGAAACAGACAGCGCGATCTTTACTTCGACCATATTTTTGAAAAATACATCAGCTACTCGAATTTCTTAAAAATTTCTTCTGAAGATGCTTCCTTTTTCAGAAAACTGTTTTTGGGCTCACAAATTTATCTTAAAATTGAATAAAAGATCGGATTATTTTGTTGAACGAGTTTTTTTTTTTGAGACGTTCTTCGGCGTGGTCGACACTGCGAGCGGCGGTTCTGGAGCGCAATCACCAGAAGACGAAAGCGTCCGTCGACGTCACCGTCGATCGATCTGGCTCGCCGAGCAAGAAAATGTCAACGATTAGCCGAGGGAAACTTCGCAGAATAGCCACCCAAGTGACAAGAGCGATTCGGCGGAAACGTCGAGAGTCGATGGCCATCAGAAGAGAATCCAGGGCCACTCGTGTCGTCGCTGCCATTTTGAGTTCGTTCTATTTCTATCCCTCTAAAATCAAGAAGCGCAGTTATTTTGAAAACCCTGGCCCCTGTGATAATGCTAACTAACTAGCGAACGTCTTCAAACCACCGTTTGAACTTTTGATGAAACTTTGCATGAGCGCACTTCAGGACGCCCTGATCCTAGCACAAGAAAACAATTTTCGCAATAAATCTGGTTTTTGAGTTAAGATGTTTCAAATGCTTGTGATAGAGTTTTTTTTTTCGTCATAATTTGCGTACTTTGCAGACTTTGAAGCTTCATAAATCTATAACCATAACTATTGCGAGAACTTATTCATTTTTTCTGGAATTGGGAGGTCATAGAGCGCATTTCAGCCAAGTTTCATCAAAACACAAGTGACTAAAAACGTTCTAGTAAGTACGTAAAGAATTAAAAGAAAAAAGGAACTTTTCGCTCTGGCGTCACCAGTTTTTTCTCGGAACTAGAACTGAAACCTTGCAAATTGCGTAGGTTTTCAGAAGTTGACGCGTGAAAAGAATGCAGAGCAAGTTTTCCTTACATCTGCCAAAAGATTAAGTGTATCAAGAAACTGTTCGCAAAACTTCATGACTTTCTCATTTTTAACTAGCTGTTTGGATTGTTCGGGCCTATCTATAGTTTATTATATAATTCATAGATCTACTTTTCAAAATGTTTAGCATGAAAGACGATAGAATTCTGGACGGCAACGTGAAGTTAGTTGAAGGAAAATTTTTCAGTCGCTTTTCTGATATGCTGGATTCCGTACTTCTGCGTGAGTGTCATTCGCGGAGTCTACATGGGCTTCCGGCTTCCAATCAACCGGACGCTGCATCTCAACCTGTTCATCTACACTTCGTGGCTCGGCTACGCCCACTCTTGCTTCAATCCCGTCATTTACATGTGCCTCAATAAGAACTTCCGCAACACCATGCGCAAGCTTCTCCGTCAGTCTGCCAAAAGCAACTGAACTGATCTCACAAACAGACACAAAGTATCCTACCAATAATGTCTGACGATGTACAATTTCCATTTCAAATGTGACTTACGGGGACGCTTTTAAATCCTTCTCGTGTGACGCCTTTTGTGATATAAAGATTTATTGGTACCACCTGTGACGAAAACCGACCTCGAAAGAAATTTCCTACGCACCCGCATGACAAAAAGATCAAGAAAGTGAAAGCGTTCGAATGATGAATTTTACAGAAGGAGGAGCTCATTCTTGGGTAGAGCTTTCGGAAGTTTTCGATGTCTCCCTTGTTCCATTGAGACGAAAGATTCTTCATAAAGCCTCTATCCAGTGTAAGGTGCCACGAAGGATGTTTTCTTTACGCGCAGAGAAACAGTTGCCTGAAAAGAAAAATTGAGAACAGGATGGCTAAAGGTTTGCGACTTTTCCCTCAACAAAATCTTCAATGTGAAATGATGACATGCCCGATCGTTATTTTTTATTTATTTCGTCAAAAGGAGCAGAAGTGTTTCGTTTTTGCTTTTTTCGGCTATCATCTTTTCATTAGTGAAAGGTGTCTCAGTTGGTTTTAATTCAAACCGAGTTCTGTTGAATAAAGTAAAACGAGCGCATTGGATTGACGGAAAGACATGATCAAATTGAAGTCAACGACAATTACCAGCGCGAGTAAAAATATATATCTTACCATGATTAGAGAAAAAAAAATTAAAAATTTTTCAAAGGTACGTTTTTTAGTTGGTTACCGGAAATTATAATTATTTTAGTCATTATTTATCCAAAGGATTATTCCCATTTAGAAAACAAATTCTACATAAAAAAAAATTCCGCGTTATGTCTGACAAAATTTTTCGGCCAACCAAATAAAATCGAGCACTTTTCGCCTGATTAGAACTTTCTCGTGGCTTTTGTTTTTCGGTATGCTCGAGCTTCTGCAACCGGCTGTCTTTCTCCCTTTCAATTTTTTTTATGCAAATGAATGATTCTCAAAGACGGAAATTGTGAGGTCCTCGCAGCTAGAATGACTCGAAGCAGCGCTTTTGTTCAACAAACCTCGCATTTGGGGCAAACCACAGGGCCGTCGTCCGTCCTCGAGATGAGGTCCATTCCGACGTCGTCACAAGTTTCCTTGTCACGACACGTTCCGTTTTGCAGGGACCTGAGAGAAGCTTGAATCGTTTTACAGACTCACGAACTTGGTTCTTTTGCGGATCATTCGCTCCGTGACCAGCACCAGCCCTTTCTTGAACTGACTGTTGAGCCGAGCATAGAAGATCCAGTTGAAGGCTGCTGACATGAAAGGCAGCAAGTGAGAGTAGTACTGAAAGAGAACGTCACGCGAGGATTCTCACAAGAAAACCGTGTAGGTGAGGAAGTCGGGATTGAGCTTCAAGGAGAACATGCTGCAGACGACGCCGTAGATCTGCGGTACCCAGAAAGGAACTTGGCACGAAAGGTAGAAAAAGGTGGCAGCCATGGTGTAGATCGTTATGCGACGCAGTGGAATCCTCGATTGGAACATCATTCTGAATGCTCGGATCTTTTTTCGAATCAATCTTTACAAAATTCGCTATTGAAGCAAACACATTTTTATTAGAATTATTAATTACTCTCCATAACCCTCTAGACGGCTGTAAAACGTGTTTGGACTTGAGAATTCTGAATATTTCAACTTTCTCATCAAAAATTCCACGCTAGATGCGTTCCAGCGTACGTAGGCTTCAGGAACTATTAAGAAATTATAAAAATGTGTTGAACTACTAAATTCGCGAAATGTTTTGACAACAACGGCCGGCTCTAATGAAAGAGGTGAGATGATGAATAGAATACTTTTGTCCACCGAAGATCATGCTAAATAACCTCTTCTGACGGCGGAGGCGCAGGACGATGCGTGTGTAGAAGAAGGTGAGCAGAGTACAAGGCAGGAGAAAAGCGAAGAAAATCAAAAAGCCAGAGACCAGCAGCTTGTACTCCCGCTGCATACCGTCGATGCACATGTGCTTTATCACCTTCCGCACTTCCTGCATTGCAGTGCTCTTAGTGAACAAATCATTCCATTTTCATATTTGTCGAGTTTCATCTTCAGAACATTTTCTGGACTTTTACTCAAACCTCGATTTTTTTTATTTCATAAAAATCATTTTGCAAGTAAAACAGTGTTTATTTGGACTAAACAAATGTCCTGAATAACCCGAAATTGAACATGCCCAAAAAAGCTAATTTAAAAAAAAAAATATAACATCAACGTAAACTAAAAAAAATCTCTCGACTAGGGAATTTTGCCTGGGAATGAAGATACTGATGGGAAATTACAGATTGCAATTACTCAAAATTCGAAACTATAAATCAGACCTCCAAATTTTTTTAACCAGCCCAAAAAAGCTTTTTTGCAGCGTTCAGTAAGAAAGCTAATTTCTCAAAGTTGACTCTATAGCTTGGCGGTAACTAAACTGGAGCCTCAGAACGGTCATTCCTTCCGAGCAATTTCAACCTTCAAATGTTGTCCGATTTCTATACAAAAGATTTTTCTATGCTAGCTTGTAGTTTGACGTTGCATGTCGCGACAGAGCAATTAAATCTCAAAATTTTAATTGGGCTTCCTGACTCGAAGAGTTCAGAAAACTTACTCCAAGCTGTGAAGTTCAACAAGTTTTCTGGAAACTTCTTTCTTAGCTTCCACAACTGGGTTTAAATCATAACTTTAAAAAAAATAGTTTTTCTAACCGATCTTAATTTAAGAAAGTTTCAACAACAAAGCTTTTCATATAACAGCTGACCTTTTTTCTTGAGATGTATTGGCCCATATCATGGAAAGTTATGACACGCGCTGAGAAAACGACTGGCAAGATCAGACCGAATGACAAAAGAGCCAGAAAGGAAGTTATGAATATCGTCTGCCTCACTTGATGTATCTGAAAGTTCGAACTTGTGAAGAACTCTGATCTCAGGAAAACTGACCCGTTTGTTTTCCGGATGACAAATGGCCATATAGCGATCGAAAGCGAGCGCCGTCAGAATGAAAGTCGAGCACATCTTCAAAGAAAGAAATCTCTACATTACTTCTAGCAGTTATTTCGCTTGCGGAATCTTTGGAAGTGCGAGGGATATCTCTAATAAATCTTTGGTTGAAGTTTTTTTTCATTTCATCGCCGTTAAACGCTTTTGACAAAAAAAAAATTCTTCTTGAGAATTTGAGAATATTATTTTTTCAAGAATTCTAGAAATGAAACTAAAGTTCTCATTATTATAAGTTTTCTTATTTGAAGATTTCGCAATGACTGGCTTTCAGTCGGTTTTCCTTTAATTTTATGAGCCTTCAAAGTCCGCAAAATACGCAAATTATGCCAAAATGCGCTACTTTAAGCTTTTGAAGGTTCATAACTCGAAAATGAGATCTATTGCGAAAAACCGTTCCCTGGTAAAGCAAATTAAGAAAGTCCGTAGATTCTTACTCTGTTCGACTTTTTCAGAAATTTTCAATTAACCAATAGAAGCATAACTTTGCTAAGTAACCGGAAAATTACTTGGCTTGCGACAATTGTTTTTTCCAAAACTGTGCTCTTGATATATGAAAAAAGGAATCAACACTTGATGCAAGATACCTTGTTGGACAACTCGAGGGTCCAATGAATCTTGCAGCCGACCTCGCCGAACACCCAGTTGTTGAGGATGGTGTTGGACAGAGAGAACGGGATCGAAACCGTCACGAGCAAGTCGACGGCACATAACGCCACGATGTAGATGAACGTGTTGCCCAAAGCCGTCACTGAAGACTTTAGCGACCTGAAATTCGCTCTGACCCACATTTTTTGACAGATACTGCTATTTATTTCAAAAATATCAAGCCATCAATAATACCGCTCAATTTCACATTCTTTCTAGTTCCCAATGAACGGTTATTTATCAGCGATCCAAATTTATCAAAATCTTGCCACGAATTATTTAAACTGCTAGATCTTTTTAAATTTACTTTGGCCACTTTTGCACCATTTTCCTATAGGGCTGTTTGCTGCTTCCGAATACGGCTAGTTACTGGTTTCAGATCAATGATCAAAAATTGATCAAAAACCTTGATATGGGAACTTTTTTTTTGAGACTTCGATAGAAAATTATTTCCTTTTTTCGATGAAGTAAAAAAAAATGAGAAACCTCCATTATTTTTTCCTTTTTTCCAGTTATGTAACTTACTTTTCAACGCGCTAGAGCCTTTTACGTTGAAAATACTTCGTTCTCTAGAAAAGAAAAAAATAAATTTTAGAACAATAAAACGGGGCTTTGAAATAATTGGAGCAAAAGATGTTAGATTGAAGTCACGCGGGAGAAATTTGTGTGGACGGCAACTTAAAATTCCCAAGAGAGAACCATGATTCGTTTTAATTGGCAAAGCTGAAACCTGGTGATAAAGAAGACATAGCTGAGGACGGCGGTGTTGCCGAGGGTTCCCACAACGAATAGAATTGAGTACGGTATGGCGGTTTTGGCGAAAGGCATCCCTACGAGAGGCGGAGGCGGATATCCAGGCACCGACGTCGTCGCAATCAACGTCTCGCCGTCGTCCATAGTGGTGTATCTGAATCAGATTGATCTCTTATCACGAATCATAACTTTTGAGAGATAAAGACTTTTAGAAACTTGTTAAGAGCATACGTGAACAGGCTGAAAAATCGATAAGTTCAGGAGTACATAGGCGAATCGAGAAAGGGTATCGCGATACCCTCTGATGTATATCGCAGGATCTGAAGTCTATCGATGGTACCTCGATTATACCTTTGAGGACTTTGAGCGAAATGAGATAGACTTGAGGGAGACTCTCAAGTACCTCTGAGATGGCTCAGATATAGCTCAAAGGTATGCTGGAGGTCTCACGTTGGACATATTACGGGGTCTTCACGACCCCTTTGGAGAGGTATATTTGTGCACACATTATGACCCCTTCCGATTCGCCTGTGAAGGGTACTGACATACAAAATTGTCGAGGAATGAACGCGTAATAATAATGTAGGGTATAGTTATCAAAAAAAAGCCAGGTTTCAACTTCAGGAGATATTGATTACATATTATTAGAAAGGCTCGGAAACAGGGGGTAGATATCATTCTGAAATGGTCTGCCCATATACGCTTTAAAGACAAGTTTTTTTTTTAACATTTACACATCAGCAGAAAAATTAGTAACTTCGAACTGAAATTTCTGATTTTCCCTGAATGCCACTTGCATTTTCCTAAATGATTTGAAAAAACGAGTAGAAATTGGCCGACCAAAAATCAAATAAATCAGCCTTGGTAATTTACAAACGACGAGGGACTCGTGACGATGAATAATATGCAAATTTCTAGACTCGATTTCAGCGTTAGAAAAAGCTCACAAAGCTTCAGAGCGAAGTGTGAAAAGATTCGCTGATTAGGTGAGGCTGAAGTCATAGGCTTTCATCAAATATGGGCAGTTGCAAAAGATGCGGAAGAAACGTCCTCGAGGTTTTTTCAATACTCGCGTCATTTCTTTTTTCCGGCTCTGGGAGGGGTTTAAAAGCTCAAAATCATCAAGAGATTGGGCGGACCGACTGAAAACGGAAGATAAAATTCGTCCTTTGCCTCGATGTTGATTAAAGCGTCAGCCAGAATGAAACCACTCAGCTGAACGCGTCAAGTGACTTGAGAGTTTTCAAGTAAGAATGAATTCCGGACAGCCATAGATACGTTTATTGGATGAAACATCCCAAGAGAATTTTTTATTTCCTCATGTCGGAACAGACAATTTGAAACAGAAAAGCAAGCATTCTCTGCGCTTGAGGACAATTTCGTTTTGCTGTGTTCTTCAATGAGCGCGGAATTTCGTAAAGTCGGCAGAGTTATAGACGTCGGTAAGGGAGGGCTACTAGCAGCATTGGCATTGGCGCCGCGCCAAAATAATCAAAAATTCATTATAAAACAAAGAAACACACAAGACGGTTTTTTTTTATCATCTGAGACGGTATGAAAGAAAAGTGAATGTGTTCATCGACTTTTGGGAAAATGGTGGAAAATCATTTTCCACCTCATTGCATAGGGTCTCTAAACAAAAGGAAAAATGTCGGTCGGCTCAGGGTCAATCGACGAGAGGACTTCAGTTATCAATAAAGTGCACTCGCAGTTAGGTAGCAACCGGTGTGCCCACCCCTTGCACGTTTTTTTTAGGTTTTGACTGCCTCGCAATCCAGGGTATCATTGCTGTATTATTCGAATGCACACAAATAGTGTTGAAATACCAGAAAGTTAGACTCTGTATGCTATTTTTATTGAACTTCCGCATACCCCGATTGAATTTGAGAGCGCACTCTGTTAGCTAATTCTTTAAATACCCGCTTGGCCAGTAATACTTCAAAACATAAAACGGAATAGGAGAAAAAAGTGAGTTCATTTTTCTAGAAAAAGTGGTTTCACAATTATTTATGAAGATTCAGCTTCACGTTTTGAAAAAAATATAAATATTTTAGCAGTTCGTTGAGAAATTCTTTTATTCTTGAACGACTCAAAAGAACAATCTACGAAAAGCGTGAATAGATCCTAACAACCCGAGCTGGTAAAAAAAAGTTAAATTTAAACGAAAATCATCTCAATGAGAAAAAGCAGAGCAACTCGTCCCTGGTTGGGTCACACTATAACATTAGAAAATTCAACGAAGCAATTAAAGTGAAATGATGTGAGTGGGAATTTAGAGGCGCTTCCGCGGCGCAATGGGCGGCCTGTTCGGTTCAAAAGGACAGGCAGTTCGAAAGGCTACCGTATCTACTGAACTGAAACAAAACTCCGAGGAAAGCTTCGAAAAACACCAGAGCCGAGCTTCGGTGTCGTAATTAACGAGGTTATTGGTTGCACACGCACACAACTGCCTTCTAGAACGACAAAAGACTCTTTCACACGTTACAATGCCTTGTTTTCGTAAATATTTTTGTTTTATAAACATTTTCTATAAATATATCAATTAGTCCGAATTTCAAAAATTAAAAAGCCTCGAAAAACGAAAACAATACGAAGACGGAGGTACGCAAAACTAATATACATGCCACTAAGTCAGATAAATGCACAAAAAAGGAAGCAGCAAACGGAAATTTTCAAAACGCATAGGAAATGAAAACACACATGCTGAGATTGGTTTGATGACTGGAAAAGCTTGCGGACGTCTCTTTCTTTCTCTGGGTAGCTCTTGTTTTGCAAGGCGCCAAAAAAAAAAACATAAAACGCGAAAAAAGCCAACATCAGTTTTGTTTCAAATGTCATGACATGACATGTCACCGTAGTCCATTCAAACTTCAATAAGACTTCGGTTTCAAGTATTTCGAAGATTTCAAGTTTGACTAAATGGAAGAAAAATCATAAATATTTATATAGTCTGTTCATATTTTATTGTCAAGCAGCAATCTCCGCCCCCAACAACGCTCTGTGGATGACTCGCTTTCTGATTGGTTTGATTTACGCATAAGGCGCGGAGTAGTGATGACATGACATTCAAAAACTGAACAGACTTACAAAAAGTAGCGTTCTCTCGAAAGTTTTCCGTTTCATTTTGATCGTAAAATTTTTATATATCTCAATAAGAAACAAGCCCACAATACTCTATTGAAAATTCCTTTTTCTAGTTTTTTTTTTCAAAGTTAGTAGCAAAAACCAATCTGATAAATCATTTATGCGAATAATCGCTCTCGGTGGTAAAAGAAAAAGTGATGAGAAACTGTCACCTTTGAACACCCCTAGAAAAATAATCCCACAGTCTGCGGTAATAACAACAGAAGAAATTTATTGGAAAGGGGGGAAAAATATAAAACTCGGACTCAGGTGAAACGACATACAAAAGACTGAAAATCTTAAAAACTGGGTTCCCAGTTCTATAAATTGGATTGAAGCTCTTTCCACTCCCGAAACCCTCAATGAAAAGTGATTTTAGAATAAACATAAAATTTAATTTTTTGGAGGTATGAAATGAAAGCAAGCGGATCTTTGAACGGCGACTTTTCCGATTTTTCATATCGCTAAAAACTTTCGGACTTTTTTCGACTTTTTTTTCGATAATCTCTTCGTTTTGAAATTTCTTATATAAAATTAGTTGGTTCATGCTTAAAAACAAAAAAAAAACAAAAAAATGTTATTAGATCTTTCATAAACCGAAAAACATAAGAAAAAAGGTCGGAAAGGAATTCGTCGGAAACGTCGCCGTCGGAAAGTTCCCTCTCGGGCAAAACTGAAAACACAGGTAAAACAGAAAAGTTCCTTTGAGGATCCTTAAAGCTTTTCAGTTTTGCCCGAGAAGATTCCCAAAAGCTTTTTTTAAAAAAAAGACCTTGAAAGGGTCGCCAGCAGATCTTTTTTTACATCATTTCAATTCTTTTTTGCATCTTTTTCACATCCTCTGACAAAAAGGACGCTGGAAAGCAACCAAAAAGATTCGAGCGGATTCAAAAAGGATCCTCTGAGGCTATGAAAAAGGTGTTCAAAAGCTTTTTTACATCATTTTAAGAGCTTTTAGAGGAAGCTTTTTATCTCCCTTTCAGGATCCTTTAAAAATTCTCCAAAGGAACTTTTCCGTTTTACCTATGCTAGCGATATGAAAAATCGGAAAAGTCGGCGTTCGAAGATTCGCTGGCTTTTTTCATATACATTTTTATACTTCACTTTTTTTAAACTTTAAAAAATAGTTTCCAGAAAGTACATACAGCACACTACACTTTGTTCAGTCTTGGACAGCAAATGGAAAAAAACAAAAATGTTCAGAACGTGATTTATTTTTACTTGCAATTTCTCACTTACAAACAAAGATAAAATAATAATCAAGAACCCTTTTCACAACACAATGAACGTCTGGAGCTCATTCTAAAAACTTTTGAAAAAAAGCGTGGCCTTTTACTGTTCATACAAAAGCCGTATGCAAGAAAATGGTAAAAAATACGTTTTATGTGATTAACCAAAAAAAAAAGGGAAAATGGCTAGAACTTTCTCTTCAGAAGTCAGAATAAAATTTTACTTATGAACTACCATCTTTAAGACTCTTTCTTACCGGAATATGAACATTTTCTAATTGTTTGTGAGGTTTTAGGCTATTCTACCATTCTTGATGAACGAGGTGGATGCGTTTACAATTTTCATGCAAACGGCCACTGTATATAGTCCGTTCAGATTTTGAATGTCAAGTCGTCACTCAAGCTCCGCCCCTAATGGCACTATAAACCAATCAGAGAGCGAGCCATTCACAGAGCGTTTTCGAAGGAAGATATTGTAATCGAAATTCAAGATCTCAACATGCTATGTTTAACTTGATTCCCCGTAATGAAATTTTATAAATAATCTAATGAAATCTCAAGCGACAGAGCGTTTTCGAGTGACGTCATCGCACTTGACATTCAAAATCTGAACAGACTATAGGCTTCACAATCTAGCAGGAACTCCTTGTACCCCTCGTAACTAGGCTCTAGTGAAAAGTTAAAGTTCCTTATTAAATGTCGCGAGAGCCAGTACGTGGGCGCAGCTATTGAATACTTCGGAACAAGGTGGAGCATTCTTTATGTCTATTACATATTTAATATGCAAGCCCCTTCCAAGCATAATAATTTTTCATGGCTGTATCCCTTTAATAGCACGACAATGTCTTTCAGTTGCGTATTGAGCTAAAAAAAAGGACGTCGAGCAACAAGAGGAAAGGAAGAATGTACCAGATAATGAGGGAAATTTCGGAAGGACACAAATAATTGTACTGGATATGTCAGAGAAGCGGCTGCAAGTGCAAGACGTGATGATGATTACGCCAGAGAAAAAAGCTTTTCCACTTTTTGGAGTTGCGGAGGCAAAACGTCAGACACACTAGTTTCTTTGCTTAAATAACGTCCCAAAGAGGACATTGGAAGAAGAAAGTGGCTAGTTAAAATCGGATTATGTTTCTTTCGACGAGTTCTAAGTTCTCCAGTCTAAATTTCTCCCTCACAAATTCGGTTTGGAACAAAGATTCCTAAATGAAAAAGCCACTTAGAATAAATTGAGATGTCTTAGGAAAAAAAATTATTTTAAACGGCGCATCGCAAAAAGCCTTTTCTCACTCGATGCCTCGAATCAATAATATTTTTAAAAAAATCACTCTGAAAAATTAGAGTACATGGGTTAAAAAAAGTATTGAAATTATGCAAAAAAATACTAGCACCATATAACCTAGTGACGTTTGTATCAATGATAACGAAAAAAACTTCAAAACCTAACAAAAAAATGTTCAAAAAAATATAATTTTAACATTTCTGAGCAACTTTTAGGCGCCACTGAACAATATTTCACGTTTTTTTAAGCATTTTTTTCATTAAAAAAATTTTTTTCTCAATTGAACACGCTATTGAGTTTAAAGTTCAGCTTGAAAACGAAGTAAAAAAAGGCTCGAAAAAAACATTAAACGCTTTTTCAATAATTCCGCAAAATTCAAAATAACCGTCAGAGAATAAAAAAAAAATCACTAAAAAAATGGAATTAAAATTAAAGGTCCATGCCTATTCAGTTTCACATATTTGATTGTGAAGCGTTTAAAAATTTCTTATATTTAAGTATTTTATAAAAAATTATTTTTCCGAGTCAAAAAAATTTGCGAGTTTGCTCCGTTCTATGCGTGCACCAAAGACGTCATATATTACGAGAGTTGTGGGCGGGGCTTTGTCGAAAAAGACTTCAAAAAAATGAATTAATATACATCAACTCAGTTTTCCAGAGAAAAAAAAACATTACAAATAATGCATTAGCTCTTCGTGATCAAAATGGTTACAGCTTTATAGAGTTCTGAATGAAAAAGTTTAAGCATATAAGAAAGTCGAAAATTATTTTGAAGCTTAACTTGTAATGTGAATATAAAGTGAGAACAAATATTTATTATAAATGGCTTTAAGAAAAATGTCATCAAAATTATGCAGTTGTTTGAACGTATTGTTGAAAAAAAGGTGAATCGCGAGGTCGATACAAATAGCTATAGTCAATGTTTCCCGACTTGAAAGGCGAAGGAGGCGAGGCAAGGGACGGGACGCGTAGCGTGTGCGTTCGCGGTTCTTGGCACGAGTTCAATTCAATTGTCGCCGACTATTTAAAACTCGGCAACCGCTCTTTTTCAATGTTAACATGTTTTCTACTATTTTTTGATGCACACATAAACTTAATCAATAAATAATTGAAAAAGGAATGAAAAAAAGCGAAAAAAACGGGTTTTTTTCAAAGAGTCGATGGCGGTTGAATTGAACACGTGCCAAGAACCGCGAACGCACACGCTACACGTTCCGCCCCCTGCCCTGCCTCCCTCGCCTTTCAAGCCGGGTAACATTGACTATACCGGTTAGCAACTTTTAGAATAGTCGAACGGCGTGTGATAATCGCTGATCGTTTGTTTGCGATCGGGTACTATCTCTATGGTACCTGGGTCGGAAGTCGATGCAAGTAGCTACCGGGTTACCTGACCTTCGCGATTGCTACCGGAAAGTCTGGAATTGCTTCCCGGGTCGTTATTTTTTGTTTCGGCTTTATCCAATAAGACCCTGGGAGGCTTGGGAAGGTGTAAAAAACACTGATGGTATATAAACGACCGATGTGGCAGCCGGGGCAATCGCGAGCTCCAGGTACATACCCGGTAGCATCCAGATACCGATAAGGTATTATCCAGGTACCATAGAGATAGTACCCGGTCGCATACAAGTGACCACCTACTTGTACCGACCTCCCGATTCACCAGTGACTTGAGAATTTTCTTTAAAGCGTGATATCGAATGGAAAAATAAACCAAAACAAAAAAAAGCAAAATATACATTATTCACATATTCATATATAGAAACGGACTTAGAAACTAGATAGAAGTCTAAATTCACTTTACGAGTAATCAAGACTTCTCATCCCTAATTCAATTAGGCTAATTTATGCCGTGTTCAATTTGATTCCGCGAAATGCAAAATACCTGTTAGAGAAAGGAAAACGATCACTAAATTTCGGAGAGTCAGAGATCATTTTGCATTTCGCGGAATCAAATTAAACACGGCATTAAAGTTCGAATAAAATCCTTAATCATCTGCCTGTTGACTAATCTCATTGAACTTTTCCTATTGTTATGATAAAGTTCAGTCTTCACATGCGCCAAACCTCGTTCAGGACACTGTAGTTCTCTTGGCATGTTAAGGGATGTGCAATCAGTTGGTTATAGTAGGCTATCCTTTTTTAACAAGCTGATTTAAAGTTTAACTTGTTTTTATTCAATTATGCTTTTTTACTGATGAGAAAAGTTTTTTTCAATCGATGTGCCAAAGAAATCGTCCTTTTTTTTTACAGGTGTGTCATATGTATTTTCACAACATAACGAATTTTCAATTCGGAGCTTCAAGCAATTTTAAACGTCGCGCTTTCACCTTTTTTTTAATACGGGTGAATCTCTACACAGGTATTTACTTTGATTAATTGAAGTTAACTTATCTGAGTCTGAAATTTGAAAATTGGCAGAAACTGGGCGAAGAAAAAAGAAGCGTCTCGTTGAAAAATATGATTTGCAAAAGAAAAGGGAGGCGTTCAAAAAAGCTCCCAAATGGTGGATTTCCGCCAAAATGGGAGAATGGCGTTTTTGAGAAAAAGCTGTTATTTTCTTCACCTCATCCATTTAAAGCGATTGCTCGGATGTATTTTTTTGAAAACAGAGCCGTAATAATCGACTATAGAAAATTGAAGAGTACCGTAGACTATTCACGACATCTCGCTGGGGTTTTCAAGTGAAATAGTCAATTTCATGAAGATCATTCATTCTGCAAAGAGCCGTTTCCAATTTCCTAAAGATCATGCGGCGACGAGTCCGTTTATTTGAGCTATGCCTTTTGTATTTTCAGAAATCTGTGGGAACGACGATTGACTTTTTGTGTCTGGAATAAAAGAGGCCGAAGCAAGAAGTTTGGATCTTTTTCAAATAGCTATCGTTCTGAACTTCCAAGAAAACTATTGAGTTTCAATAAAAAATGACAGCGTTTCCAATCTTCTGGGGACGGAACCAGCCGTGTTTTGTTGAGAGGCCAGTATGAAGGGCCGTTAACAGCCTTCCAGAAGATCCTGCCGGACCGCCAACGTTCAGGCGATTATGCTGGTTATTGCGAAAACGACTTGGGCATGAGAACATGCGAGAACTTTTGAAAACACGTTTGGTGGCCGAACACGGGGACAAAGGAAAAGCATATCGAGTTCGAGAACCGCGCTTCGTCCTGATACCCGCCTTTGCGATATAAGCTTGGCGACCCGATAACGGCGTTTTCCGCGAAGGCGCCGCTCTTCTCGACCGCCCGGTTCCTTGTATCTTATTTTATCCAAGCCGATTTCTCCTTTGGCCTTTCTTCTTTGATGTACCTTCTGTGAACAAATATGTTCAGTTGAATAATATTATTCTGTTTTCTCATTAGACCTTTTTTACTTTGCCAAAATTCTGTATAGTTGCAGTTCGAAAAAATCTAATACACTGCGACCCATAATTATAGACCCACCCTAATTTCTCCGATTTTAAGAAAGATTGCAAAACTTTCAGCCACCAAACTTTTTTTGTGATAAACCTTGTTGATAAGGAACATAATCATAATATAATTATCAATCACCCAGTTGAAAAAGTTTTTTTCAAGATACGAGAAAAATCTGATTTTTTTTGACCGACCCAGAATTATAGACCCACTATAAGTAATCAACAAAAATTCATTTCACAAAGTCAACAAAGTATAACAAAAAAAGATTAATTAATAATGTGTGATGCCTCCTTGTTTCTGAGCGACTTCGAAAAATCCTGTTCGGCATGCTGCCAACGAGTGATTGCAGCAGTGACTTGTCCAAACCATCCCACTCGGCACGAATCGCTCTTTTCAGATCGTTGACCGTTGTATACTGCTTGGCATTCGCGTAGACCCTTCGTACAAGGACTGACCATAAATTCTCTACAGGGTTGAGGTCAGGACTGAACGCGGGCCAGTCCAGAAGAACCACGTTATTGGCCGCAAACCAAGCCAATGTGGAGTTGCTCGCGTGAACAGATGCATTGTATTGTTGGAAAATCATATTAGCACGTCGTCGGCAACGGAGATAGGGCAGGAGATGCTGGGCAAGCAGTTGCTGGTAGTCTTGCGAAATCGTTCTGGTCCCAATAAAAGAAAGAGCTACCGTCCCGTTGCCGCAGAAAGCCGCCCAGACCATGAGGCTGCCGCCGCCGAAGTTTCTCTTGGAGAAGTACATCGGATCTTTCCTCAAATCTCTACAGTAGTGAGCGTACCCATCTGGCCCATCAAGGTTGAATTTCTTCTCGTCGCTGCAGATGATCTGAACAGAAAAATTGGGAATCATAAGGTGATAGAAAACATTGATACCTTATTCCAATCCGTGGCCATGTTAGAGCGTGCAAACTGGAGCCGTTCATTCTTATGGCGTTGCTGTAGACGAGGTGCTGCCTTCATTGGAGTATTCACAAGTCGACCGGACCGATGAATTGTTCGTAAGATGGTGTTCTTCGAGACGTTTTCAGGAATTTCGGATCTTATTTGGTTGGCGGACTTCGTAGAGTTTGATGCTTTTCGACAGACGTCTCGTTCAGCTTGAACCAATAGCAGCCTGTGCCGTCCAGAATGTATTGCTGTGCCGTATTCTTGCGGATTCCTTGCATAACGGTCAATAGTTCGTCTTGAGCGACCCGTCTGACGAGCGACTTCCCGATGGGACAAGCCGTTGTTGAGTAGAGCATCGATTACCGCTTTTTCGGTATTATCAAGTTGAGTAGATTTAGGCATTATGGCTTATAGTGATACACGAGGACTTTTCCTCTTATATACCACTGAAAAAAACAGGAAAAAAACGTGTTACCTGAAACGAAAAACTCGGAAAAACTCTGGGGTGGGTCTATAATTCTGGGTCGGTCAAAAATCAGATTTTTCTCGTATCTTGAAAAAAACTTTTTCAACTGGGTGATTGATAATTATGATATGATTATGTTCCTTATCAACACGGTTTATCACAAAAAAATTTTTGGTGGCTCAAAGTTTTTTTCAATCTTTCTTAAAAATCGGAGAAATTAGGGTGGGTCTATAATTATGGGTCGCAGTGTAGTATAGTTTCATCTACGGATTAAATTTTGGCTTGAAGGCTCGAGCTGGTTTCGGTTTTCCTCATAATATCACATTGCAATATCTCCTGCAGCATCAAAAAATATAAAAATTAAGACTCGATTCGATCTCAAACGAAAAGCCTTGATTTAAAATTACTTTATCCAGATGCTCCGGTTAGCGATTCTATCACTTTTGGTCGTCGGCAGTTCGGCTCTCTTCTTCGGCGGTGGCGGAGGCTGTGGCTGCGCCGCGCCCCCGGCTTGTCCTCCACCCCCACCAGCGCCGTCCTGCGGAGGTGGTGGCTACGCCGCAGCTCCTGCCTACGCTCCTGCTGCATCCTATCCCGCTGGAGGCGTTTCCTACTTTCAGCCATCTTACCAGCAACAGCAGCCTTTCCAACAACAAAACTTCGCCGCCAACAGCGGATTTGTCGCGGGAAATACCGTCAACGGCGGGTATGTCGCTCAGGCTCCTCAACCAGCTCCACCACCACCGGCACCTCAATCCTACGCGGGGGCTCAGCAAACGCCGCAGCAATCTCAAGAACAACAGTCTCAAGGACAGCAGGAACAAGTGCAACAGGAGCAAACGCAGCCTTTTGTTCCGCAACAGGTCAGTTTTTCGTAAAAATTCTCTGAAGTTTGTTATCTAACGTCGAGGAAAGCGTTTGTTAAGAGTTTGAATGTTGAAATTAAATAATCTCGCCTTTATTTAAAATAAGAAACTGCAGTTTTCTTTCTTCTCCTACACTACAATTGCGCACAACTGTTTCGCAGGAGATGTGTTGTAGATTAGATAAAAGTTGAACCATTAGTCTTCATTACGAGACATCAAAAGTCACTAATCCTAGGTTCAGCCGAGCGAAGAGACATCTCAGCCTGCCGAAGCCTCACCCCCACAAGCCATCACTGAGCAGCAGTACGCTCCTGTTCCGGTTCAAACTGTAACTTTTTCAAAAAATTATCGTGGAAACATTATGATTTCGTATCGAACAGTTTTGAGGAAGAGACGGCGGCTACCACTGAGGAACAGGTCAGCGAAACGAGCTCGCAGAAGGAGGCCGGCTATCAGGTAAAGCTTTGCTTCTCTCATCCAGGAGGGCGCGCTTCGGAATGCTTCTCGCGCACTTGAGCTATCTCCGCCCACGAGTGTGATCCTCACTCGCACCGGTAACCCACAGCATGTAGCACTCGCACAGGCCGTCCAGCCGCTACGTAAGGTGATCATCGAGCCGGCTGCCACGACGTCTGACAGCTCATCTGCAGCGTCCGAGGCTCGTGGCACGGACACCGTCGAGATCGCTTACGATGAGGATGACCAGGTCTGCACTGACTCTCTGATAACTGTCTTTCAACATTCCTCGAAACATTTCGTGAAAAACTCATATCCAGAAATTGATAGACAGTTATTAAGATCTTCACTCGCACAACAACTCACATTGCTTCTTTTTTTTTTTGCTTGCTTGCAAACGTAATCCCTTAAATTTTTAAATGCTCCGCCCTATTATTTCTCACAATTCAACGGCCTTCTAATGGTGCTTCAAAATGACCAACTTTGAGCAACCATGGCTGACAAAGTGATATGATTCGTTGAAACGTTTCGAGCCAGTCATTCAAGAGCACGACAGATCCGCTTTGTTATTTTCGATCAGAAAAAAAAAAACTAAATTTGTATCAGAAACCATGATCGATAGTCGCAACAGATGCGATTTTTCCAGGCGGCTGCAGCGGCGGCCAAAAACGCAGAAGTCGTCGAGGAAGACAGTGAAGAAAACGTCGAAGAGGGCAAGAAGAAGGAGGCCGGTCGCACTAATCAGGTTAACGCGCTTCTATCTATGCTTTCCTCTTTTTTCAAGTCTCATTCAGAACAAGTATTTTCCTTTTTTCAAGGCTTGGAAGCATTAAAATTGAAAACAAGAAAGGTAAAAAAATGAGCTTTCGGGATTTTGTGCGTAGAACTATATAGCTGATTCACGGCTGGCTTGAGCCATCGAAAAAAGGGTCCTGACACGATAATGCGTGAGATAGTGCCTGGCTCGTGGAGAGCGCAGACAGGCACTATCCCCAGGCCCCCTTACCGTCCCAAGCTAGCCGTGAATCAGCTATACTCACTATCTTTCTTACCAGGTAAACTTTTCTTTTCTTTTTTTTTTCAACTTTCTTATGAAGATATAATAATACTCATTTGTTTACAGATAGAAAAGAAAAAGTTCATCGAAAAGTCAACCCCTGGAGAGGAGCTCGTCCCAGAAACTAACGAGAAGGTTGTTGACATCAGCGAACTCAAGCTCAGCGATGATCCTCTTTGCAATTCGGAAGATCTGCGCAAACTCATGTTGGAGGTGACGAGCCGCAAACTTCCTCAAACTTACCTGTCTATTCAGAATATCGACGACCAACTGAACAGCAGTAAACGGTTGGTGCAACTCGCCGCCGAGGCTCAATTCGGAGGAAGATTTGACGTCATCTGCGCCAATGGAGACTTCAGGTATTCCGAATTCATTTTCTGATTGGATAAGTTTTTGTTAAGCTACGTTACGAACACGGAGCTTTACTGCCAGGAAACCAAGGGCGAGGTCTCTTGTTACACTTATCGACAGCTTTGAGGTCCCACTTCGAGATTTTTATTGTTAATTTTAAAATGATGGAACAAGTGCAATACATCGGTAAACTGATGCTTAATAAAGATTCGTTATTGACGGCATGGCCGCATCCCAATAAAAATATTCAAATAATGTCTGTGGAAAACAATGTTTATTATTCAGAACAATGAAAAAGACATGAGAATGAGCGAGACCAAAAGCGAAAAAAGCGAAAAATAAGTGGAAGAGCACAATAACTGAAGGTAGATTTGGGTATTCAAATGGCGATCATAGTACCAAAATTATTTTGGCTCTGCAGGCTTTTCTATATTGGAGAGCAAAACTTCTCTTGACCATTGGAATGAGTATATACGTTATTTAAAAACTTAGTGTTTCAAAGATTTCATAAATGGAAATGAGTAAATCTAACCTATTCATGTTTTTTTCGGAACATACTCAGGAAGAAAAAAAGAAAGAATTCGTGAAATCACCGTACTAGTAAATATTTTTGAAATGATATTATTAAATAAAAAAATGTTCCCTGAAGTGAGAGGAAGATTGGCGAATTTCCAAGTGATCTTCCTTCGTTGCAAGGTGTCACGGCAACTGAAAAAAGAACAATATTTAATGAAACGATGAATCCAACGATATAAAATTCGATAAACTATATTCTTCGACACAAAAAAACACGCCTTTTCCGGTGCCGGCCAACAACAAAAATGGGTCAGTTCAAACAGAACAGGCAAACACGCGCGGAGCGAATTAATTTGCGTGAAACATTATCTGGCGGCACTGCACCATATGGGAAAAGCGCAAATTTTGTTGCGCCACCGTCGCTACAGTCCGTTTGTGCCAACTGAAACTCTCTTCCCTCGCCAGATGGCGATTTTTGTCAGAGAAAAGAAGTTCTTCAAAGCTAAAAAAATGTTTTTGGCCGGTCTTGTAGCTTCAAATTTTACCAAGAAGCTGACTTTTTAGATATAAACCGTGAGTTTGATAATGAAAGCATCGAGGAATGAAAAAATAAATTCAATTCACAAATAATGAAAAAGCGCGGCGCAAATAGACTTAAAGATCTTCTTTTTTTTGTAGTTTTCAAGGATAAATTTTTCTCATCTAAACTGTATATAAACTATACATTTATCTTTTTGACTATCGTCTGAGTCAACATATGACAAAATTGAAAAATACCAGGAAAAGAAAATTAAAAATATTCATTCGAGAAAGAGTTCCCCCAACAATAAGAGATGCTTTTCTATTAATCTTGATTATTAGTCTTTTTAAAAGAGAACTATAAACTCGCCTTAAAGATTTGAGCAGAGAAAGGAAGAAACTGCGATTGAAAGGCCGACGAGAGTTGAGAGAGCGACGAGTTCTGCAAAGAAACTTCTTAGATCCATCAGAGGTTCATTAGTTCATTGGGTAAAGTGAGGCGGCAGGTTAATCGAGGGCCACCTGTCTCAGACACCGTTGAGCCTAATCTACACCTGGTTGGATTAGCGCCAAATGCTCCATCATTTTGTACTTAGATTATGCTCGAAAGCACTCTATATGATTAAATTTGCCTACAAACATTTGCTCGTAATTATTTATAACTGAAAAAATTTTTTACGGACCATTCGAAATTTAATTTCAAAATTCCTTCATTGCTCCTCGCAGAATAACAATTCAACAGAATTCTGATCAATCAGTTCTTCTGAAAATCTATTTTGCTTTCCGACCTGATGATTTCAGCAAATTTTATCACTTCGAACTTTTGAAATATCAAAACCACTGGATTTTAACTTCGAAGTCCTCGAATAGTTCCTTTTGAACTGCAGATTTGTGAAAAAAAAGCCTTTCAACACAATTTTTTGCATGATTTGAATTTGAATGAGATAATTTTGAAACCAACTGGCAGATGACAAAAATTTCGAAAGCGAGAAGTGTTTCAATTACGAATCGGAGGCTGCCGGTAATTGGCTCATTTGAGACCGGACGCTGGCTTTCCCTGGGGGCCTCGTGCCATTCTTGACACGTTTCATTTCGCGCTGCCCATTATCCTAGGTGATCCCTTTTCACATCAAACGCGCCATCAAACAACATTGATTGGCCCCTTCCGCTTCCTTTCAAGGAGTTGCCAGTACGACTCGACCCACCATCAAGATCAAACTCAGAGAAAGCTTGAAACGAAAAATAACCAGAAAATCTCGGCGAACGGAACTCGAAATCTTCGCTTTATTTTCTTTCTTCTCTTAGTTTTGAAGCAAAATTTCAGAAAAAGCTTTAAATATTAAAAAAGAGAGAATTGAAAAATAAGAAACCCTTTAAAAAAAAATGTAGGTGAAGTCTGAATAACTAAAAATAAACTGAACTCCGTAGGATGCTTTTTTGATGACATTTACTTGAAGTGAATTATTTAAAGTTTTGTATTGAAATTTTTCGTTGACCTCAAACGAAATGTGGATAGTTAACGTTTTCTTTAACGCTGCATGCCTTAGCCTGCCCATGAATAGGTTGTAAACACGCCGTTGGAGCCAACAGGTGGTTTAGGTATATTAACGTTGCCCGCCGGCTATAAATCCGAGCTTGCCTAATTTACCTGGAGCAGCGTTGATGGTGACCAATGGACGACTTGTCGTCGTGGTTGTCGTTGTCGTCAGAAGCTCCGTGCAGTTGCTCAAGAGACAAGAACCTCGGCCGGTTCTCGAGTTCTGAAAAAAAGAGTGAATGAGAAGGTATTGAGATGTGAACTATTTGTGTTGAGAATGTCTAGCTGCTCTTATGAGCTTTAATTAACAAAGTCATTCGAATACCTCAACCGGCTCGCATTCGACAGCTTTCACTTGGCATTTGTCACCGTTCATAGGGTCGAACTGGCTATTGCAGCAGAACACAAACGACTGAAAGAGCTTGATAACGCGAAATTTTGTGAGTATTTCTCACTTCGCAGTAAACGTCGGAGTTCGGAGCGTACTGAACAAGGCGTTCGCAGAACTCCGTTTTGTCCCGCACCGTCGGGTCCCAGCCATCGACATTCATTTCGCTGAAAATATTTCCATCTTCGAGTTCTTTGAAAATATGAAAGAATATTCAAGTCTATACCTCACTACTGCGGTGACGGCGACGAGCCATAGGAACACGTTCAACAAAGATTTCGTCGTCGCTTCCATGTCTGACAAGCTGCTTCGATAATCTGGAACAGCTGGATTATTTTTTTGAGTCACGTAAGTAGGCGCAACGAAAAAAAAACGGCATATATTATGAGCCCAAATTTGGATTAAACTTGTATAATTACTGCTAAGATTACATAAAACATAACCATTTCGAATTTCATTCAGCGTGGGGACAAAAATGGATGCCAGTTGTTGGTATTGCTCTCCATGTGTTTTTTTTTCGTGGGAACGTAACTCGACCCCATACGGACTGTTTGCATTGCATTTTCAAGTCGAGTGCATTTAGAATAATTGAAGAAAGAGCAGCTTCATGTTTAGCACAGGGAGGTGTGAGAAATTGCGCGGAAATTCCACGCTTAACTGACCTGCGTCCGTTCCGAATGCTCCGACTGGCATAAAGGCGACTAAACTCAAGTGGATAACATAAAGAAATAATGATTGGAACCAGGAAAATAAGTGGCAAAGAAAACCTTGACAGATTTAGTTTTTGGTTTTGAACATGAAAAGGCTTTCAAAAAAATAAAATGTGCTAAAACGGACTCGCGTGTTTTTGCTTTTAGAAATTCGATACTACTAGTTATTCTCAAGTGCAATGAAAGAGAAGGCGATTCAAAGCAAAGGTCGGAAAGAAGAAAAGTCAGGTCGGAGGCTCAGAAAGGGCGTATTTGTCTGGAAAGGACGAATGAGTAGCGCTTTTGTTTTGGCGCGTTCCTTTCCAACGTTGCACACGATTTTACCCTTTTTGAGCTGCGAGTCACGAAAAGGCAAAAATACATATACGAGAAGGTTTAGTTTGAGATGAGCAGCTTCTGCATGGAATTACCCGCATCATTGTGCCTATATAATTAGTTCAATGCTAGGACGAATCGATAGAAGAAAAGGGACCGAAGAAGCTGGCAGAAGCGGCAAAAACGAGCGGTTCATGGCCAGTGACATGCGATGCGAGATTAATGCACGTAGAATATTTAGTACGGCCTGTCTTTCTTTGCAATTTGCAAAGCGATCCACGAGAACGACTCGAAGATTACCTATGATTTTTCGGTCAACAGCTCAGAAAAAGAAGACCTACTTGAAGTAGCGTGTAACAGGGTTAGAAAAGGTGGAATATAATATCAGAGAATGAAATTTTCTAATGTCTGGCTGATACACTGCTTCCATGAAGAAACCCTTCCCTAGCGACGTCGAAGTATGCGTGAACTATCGAGTCCTCGAAACCTTACGCCTTTCTTGAAAACAAAAAAAAGAAAGCAAGAAATTGCTGGCAGAGCTGCAAACATCGGACAGGCTTCCAAATATGATTTGCATGCGTTTTTGCGTGGCCTCTGGACGAATTCGAGGCATTATAAACGACTTCTTGCATCTCTATTCGTCGGTATCTTGCAGAATTCATTCGAAAAAAAACTCCATTTAAAGGAAACTGCATATCTTGAATGCTTTTTGAAACAAAAACTTGTTTTTCAGCTTTAAGTGCGAACTGGATGTATCAAAAATCATGCAGCTTCAATAGTTACCAAACAGAAAAATTCTTCTTTTTCTGCTAATTTCGATTTAAACATGGGGTTTCATCCAAAAGTTTTGTGGCAGAGCGGTCGTCCAAAAAATGACCTTTTTTGTTCCTTCTCTGTTTTGAAGTTCAGCAAGATTCTGCCGAGGGCTTTGAACTTTTTGGAAGTTGCCACCGCACATAAAAGAGACGTTTGATTGCACTCCGTGAGAGTCAAAAGCGCCGAAAAAAAGCAACAAAATGTCTATTCAGTTCTTTCTTCGTCTAGATGATCCCGCCATGTGTCAGAGCTGCCGTTTTCTTTTCAACTTCTAAGAGACATTAGGGAAAAGCACGTCAGACTCTCTTCGTTTTATTGCGGTCTGAGCCTCTCTTTTGGATAAATCAGAGCCGAAGTCAGCTTTGAAGCCTGTAAAACAGTTAGAAGCTACGTTTAATAGATATGGGTAATGAAGAGCGGATAAAAAGGTATGAAACAACTGAGAATAGTCAAAATAAAGTGAAAAGAAAGTTGGCGCATGGAGAAAGATAAGCCAAATCCGCGACGCCTCGTGCCGAAGAGGTGCAAACAAGACTTGTTGACTGGACGACTCTTCTGAAGCTGAGGTCATGATGCCGATTGGCACATCCATCAGGGGGACGCTAATCCGCCTCGCCAAACAGTCAACGGAGCTTCCTCGACAGTACACATAAGGCCTCAAATGGGTCCGACGAGCACTCGGCTCCACTTGCCACTGTATCGGACATGTTGTCACTGTCTATACGGAGTATAGTCGCCAGAAAAACTTTTTTTCAAACAGTCGAGAAGACTTTTGAAAATATAATTACTTTCAAAAAACTCAGCTTTAGAGCAAGGAACAGCGAGAAAAAGAGAAGAAAGAACGAAACCAAAAAAAAATTGATTTCTTCAACTTCAAAGTCTTGTTCAGACTGAAAGTCTTGCTTGGCAGCTATAGGGAAGTGACGCTATGTGTTTAACGTCGGTCATTATCATCAAAAAAAGAAGGAAAAATTAGTTAAGAAAACTGAAGAAATGGAACGAAATGCAATTAGAATGAGAGAGCTCTGTAAGAACTACAAAAGAAGCGAACAAAGAGGTCGGGCTCTCGAAAAGATGTTTTGACGCTTGAGTGCACGAGAGATTTCGGAAGTCGTGCGGGTCAAGAAGGCTCTAAATACGGAAGAACAATGATTTCAGGACCGGCGAACATGAATGCGTCGCGGTACCACTTGCCGGTCGTCGAGCACTGGGAAATGGCGGCGAGGGGCGTGGCCGCGACCTCGAGCCATCAGTCGGTTGTCGCGAACGGCGAATCATTCGCTGTTCTTTTCTCAAAAAACAGAACAAAAGGAAAATAAAATGGAATCCGATGTAAATGTGTTCACTTGAACTCAGAAAGGTAGATTCAGTGGTTATTCAATAGTAATAGGAAAGAGCTTCTAAAAGAACTATTTGCTATCTGAATATTTCATTTTTAGTATTTTTCTGATAAATGAACCTTTTAAAAACATCTTTTTCACTTATTAACTTATTGTTTGAAGTTTAAAACGGATTTTTTAAACTTCAAACAATAAGTTAAAGTGAAAAAAGTGTTGAGCTTTTTCCTTGCCTAACATACCTTCCAATTTTTCACATAGCACTCAGCAAATTTTTTTTTTCGAACTTTCTTTCTTGGGATCTTCTTTTTATCTACCGCAAACGTTTAAAAATCTATTTTTCGATGCACGCTTCCGAAATTTTTTTGTCGTAATACAGCGATTGGAGAAAAAAACAATCTGCAGGTAAAAAAATGGGAAAAAAATAATTTTATAAAACCTTTGATCAAGATTCTGAACGCTTAAGAAAAAGAAAAAAAGGTTGTCGAGATCTATAATAATAATAATTTATTCACTATTAATGACCTCGAAGTTCAAGTTCTAAAAGTTATTTTGAAAGCAGTACAAATTAGGTAACTGCTTAGAATATAGATAGATCCCCAGTGATTTTACTAAGATCACGCCGCGGAAGGAGTTATGACTAAAATAACCGGTTTCCTGAAGAGGGTCAGCTGTCTTCTTGCTCATTCGAGCTGTTTTTAGATGCGTTCTGCTCGCGCAACATCGAATTATGGTGCGATTGACACGGCCGGCGCCAGCTGCTCAAAATGGACCTCGATTCGAACCGTGTGTTCCTTCGATTTCTACGCCTTCTCAAATTGCCTTTTCTATCTCTACAATGATAAAACAAAAACGACACTGTGCTTTTTTTTCTGTTTTGAGCATATCGAAATAGTTAAAATGATTGCGTTTCAGTGTTTATTGATGAGGAAAATCTTTGAATCGTTAAATTAGATCATAATCCCTAGAAGTGTGAGCTTTTCGAAATTCGGCCAGTAATATCTCAAAAAGCGGTGCTGAATCCTCAAAACCGGAATAAACCTTTTTGCTAGTTGGCATCAAACATCTAGGCATATAGCACTCAATTAAAACAAGAAACTGCCGGGAAAAAAGCAGCCACATTAGGAGGCTTTAGCTCTGTCGCACACCAAAAGTGAAGTGGCTCCGCCAGAAATTCGAGCCGCCAAAGTCCTCAGTCGAATTATCTAGATCAACGGGAAGGCTAGTTCTAGTGACACCTGTTTTCCAGATGAATACGTCACTTTGATTCTCCACTTGGTTGACGACAATCCGAAACTTTTAATTGATCCTAGCCACCTAACCTAATATATCTCATCACGTGTTCTCCGTTAACAAACCCCGAAGTTTCCGCAAAAAAAATTGATGATTAATGATATTAACTGCCGGAAGTTTGGAATTTATGCTGGACAAGATAGAAGAAGACGATAAATTTGACTGCTATACAACATGAAAAAGTTTCTTTTTTCCAGAAGCTCGCGCAAATTTTGATAGATGACCTTGATAGAAATTATTCAAGAAATTCGTATGAAAGATAACCTTCAGAAGAAAGCTCAGATTCCTACAACGAACAACAGAGAAAGAACGATAGCGTTTTTCCAAGCCGTAAATAGCGCCAGATATTGAGGCCAGGTCATTACTCCAAGGAGCTCGAAACACGCTCCAGATTTGTCAGACGACGGCAATTGGACCAAGTGTGTGATGTTTGATTGCACTGGCAGGACGTCCGGGATTGGCCGATCGCCAACGGCTTTGTGTGCCCAAGGGCAGCCTCAAGAAGGTTCTTGGCGAGGCTCATAAAGGAGCCATGCGAGCAATAATGAAATTGGCCGTTCTGAAGGTTTGTTGGGCTCGCGGAGCAGGACAAGAGTGCATCCTTACGTCCAATATTGTCCGACCTCCTCCCATCCTCATAAGTTTTGGACTGTGAACTAGAAGGCCTTCTGAGAAATGAAAACCGACTTTTCTTCTTCCAAAAAGTTCATACGAGAAAAGAAGCCCCTACGTCGCTGTCACAGGCAAAGTCCAATAATCTAACATAGGATTTTTGAGAAAAACCTCCTGTTACTCGAAAAATTGACAGAAACAAGTTCAAATTAACTTTTTGTAGGTACTTTTCTAAACTTGAAAAAAAAAGGTTTGCCCTCTTCAAGGTTTGGAAGGTTTCAGTAAGTTCTTTTGAACTATCGATAGCTATCATCAATGTCATCGAAAAAACCATGGCATCTAACTTGTAACGCAGTTCACAGCCGCATGAAATAGTCAGAACTACTCTCAGAGACCCAAGATGGTTATCTAACTGTAAAACGGATGGTGGTGGCTCCTCCTCATTTCCGGCGATGATTAGAGGGGATTTCGGACAGCCGGCCGTTGGGGCCTTGTCGGCGCCGTCCTGACGTGGGATTAGCAACCCGAGAGCAACGCCGCCGCCAGTAATTGCCTTCATTATTCACTTTTTATAGTTGGAAAAGGGATGCTGGAACCATCCAATTCTCACTTCGAGAATCCTGAGAACGCCAAGAGCGTGAACCGAATGTTAATTCTGCTCCATCTGCGTCGCATCGCCATTTCCTATCCTAAATCTAAAGAAGACGCCGAGAAAATTCATCAAACTCAAGAGAAGCGTAACTCATGAAAATTGATATTACTTTTCTGGGCGGATGAAATCGGCAGCTGAACACAGCAAGAAACTAAATTTCACTGTCTTGACGAGCAGGATCCAGTGATTTAAGTCTCTTGCAGAACAACTTAATGATTCACGTATATCACTGCGAGAATTTTTGCTTTTTTTTCGGACAAATGAGAGTTAAATTAGAAATCTTTTGCTTTCAGAAGTTTCAGGATTCACAGATTTTGAACTAACGCTAAAATCAAAAACACAGTTTACAAACAGCTCCTTACAAAAACTTACGGAGCAGTATGAAAGGTAGTAGTGGAAATGAGAAACTGAGCGGCAAAGGAAAAGCGACGCCAACACCTGTCGGGCGGCTGACCAAATATAGTGGAAAACTGTTGAAATACAACGCTGCACTGTTGCCGTCAACAAGCGGTGGCTGCATGAGGTCGTCATTCGATACGGAGGGAGAAGTAGCAAAAGTGGCGGCGGTCCTCAACCTCTATTGGACTTCGTTCGGACTCTCCTGAAATATTAACAGCCGTAGTAGGAGGGAGAATTTCGAATTGCTCTCAACCCCTCTCATGCACATAATAAATTACTGGGAGCTCGCAATAGCGCTTCTTTCACCCAACTTACTACTTGTCCAACACTGGACCTTGTTTCAAACAGACAGGTCACCTCGTTCTCGGTTCATTTCACCCGATTTGACAGTATCCATCACGTCTGCTCGGCGAGTAAATTAGCACGTTTGCTAATGGACGGCGTCATATTGTAAGAGGTGTGCACTCCCGATACATTTTTGAAGTCTTTCTATTTGTAAGGGAACACATTCAAAAAGCAAAAATAAACGAACCAAAACAAAAAATTATTGATTGGGACTTAGAAAATATTCTTTTAACAGTTCACTAACGGACTACTCCCACAGGCGAATCGAGAGGGTACCACAATGGGTCCACAAAGATACCTCTCGAAATGGATCGTGAAAATCCCATAATATGTCCATCGTGAGGGCTTCAGCATACTTTTTAGCTCTATCTGAGCCATATCGGAGGTCTTTGAGAGTATCTCTCAAGTCTATTTCATTTTGCTCAGAGGTCGTGGTACCATCGATAGACTTCAGACCCTGCATTATACCTCAGAGGGTATCGCGATACCTTTTCTCGATTCGCCGATGCCCTGATATTTTCACTTTATTTCAAAAAGGAAGAAGCTAAAAACCGGACAAAGAGGATGAAATTCGAGAGTAAGCGAAAGAGATCGAGCTCTCATTTCCGTCTTTGTTATTGTACTTTTTCTACTTACGTTCTTTTGTTTGGATCACCGAATACAATTTTTGATAAAAACTATTCGCAAATTTGCGAATAGTTTTTATTTTACGAACAGTTTTTAAAACTTTCAAAAAATTTTTTTTGCAAAAGCAATGATTTTTGCTTTTTTTTACGGTCCTCAAGTTTTGCGGACTTGAGATTTTCGTCGAACCATCATTTTTACGGTGAGTTTTACGCGCGAATTTGAAATTTGCACCTTTCCGGAATACCAATTATATTTCCCGAAATCATTTCAAACGAATAACGTGTCTACTTTGAAATCGCCTTGAAATCACTTTGAACACGTGTACACGGCCGTGTACGGCATGAGATATCGGAATTTTCAATTTTCGAGTTACTGTCATTGTCTGGGCTGCAGTCAGATAAACACTTCCCGTTAAAATGCATACGCCGCGTTGGTGCCGCGATTTACGAGCAAAATTTTATGCCGTGTTCAAAGAAATTTTCGAAAAATGCAAAACTATCTCTCACTTTTCAAAATTGAGTTATATTTCTTTTGACGGCTATATTGAATTTTGCGAAATCACTTTGAACACGGCATTAATTTTAAAAAATTTCCCTCCTCGTCTGTTCAAACGGCTTTTACTGGGTGCTGAAAAATAGGGAAGTAATACATCAAGTTTTTGAGGTGGAGAGCTGGTCTTGTTGTTGTTTTAGGACACATATCCTCTCATGATTTTGAACAGTTCATGAAAAATGATCTAGGTATTATCCACCAATGAAGACCCTTCTCGTCGGTTTTGTCTTGATTTTGTCCGTCTCTGCTCTACGTTTTTACGTTCCTGCTAAAGAAAAGAAATGTTTGAAAGAAGAAATTCACAAGGTTTTTTTGTTTTTTTTTTTCTAATGTATTTTTTTTTAAAGAACGTCGTCGTATCGGGAGAGTATGAATTCAGTGAGGGCATCGGCTATACGGGCAGTGTCCACGTAAGTTATTTTGTTTTTTTTAATGTGTTATGTTTAACTGTTGAAAGATTTCTTGATATTTAGAAAGGGAATATTTCATCAGTCATCAAATTAGTTGCTGATAGACTTCATTTTCAGGTTACTGATACACGAGGACATACTTTGTACAAGCGTGAGCGTTTCCAAGATTTGAAAGGAAAGTTCGCCTTTACGGCTGACGAATACGACATTTTCGAAATCTGCATCTCTAACGATCCTCCAGCCGGTTTTTTTCTTTTTTTTTCACAAATAATGACGTAAGAATTAGGTCAACTTGGAGAGAAACGGGAAGTTTCTCTAATCATGAAACATGGAGTTGAAGCGAAGAACTACGAAGATGTCGCCAAGGCAGAGAAGTTGAAACCACTCGAGGTTTTCGTTTTTCTTATCAAGTTACTGGCAAAATCCTACAGTAATTTTTAGAATACGTAATTAATTCCCGTGAATTTTTCGATTTGAAAAATTATGTTTGAGGTGGAACTTCGCCGTCTCGAGGATCTTGCCGACGCAATTGTCAAAGATTTTTTTCGTTCATGCGGCAGCGTGAAGAGGAAATGAGAACCACGAATGGTCGGTTCATATTTTTCATGCCCCGGGTGTGGTTTAATGATCTTGGTAGAATTTTTCATATTATGCTTTGTATACGTTTAATAGTGCGAAGAAAAGCAGAAGCCAGTTCCAGCATGGTTTTTTTGTGTATTTTCTGGAGGCAGTTTGAGAATGTGACACGAATCGTCTTCTTGGTTTCTTCAGGAAATTGAGTCGTTCTGAAAGTTTTTGCTTTTTAAAATCTACAATGCACTGATAATTCTCTAGTTTTTTTGAATAAAAAAAGAGAAATAAAATTTCATTTTTAAAAAGGTGGAAAGCATAATGTATAGAATATGATTTGAACCATAAGAAGTTTACTTTTTCGAAAGTTCATTTTTTTAAAAATTTAGAGTTTTGAGTAGAACTAGAAAGGCATTCTATAAATTATTTCACATTTTGTATTGGTTTGAAGTTATTCGATAATTATTCCAGTTTCTCAATTCGGCACTCAAAGTAAATACTTATTCATCCAAACAAAAGGACAAAAAGATAAGATAATTTAGAGTATTGTGAAATTAGAACCAACTTTTTATTATAATGATGAGAAAAATGAATAAACCGAACTAGAAACGTTTTTTCAGTTTCATTCAGTGACAAATCATGAAATCAAGGAGACCTAAGAAGAAGAAAAAATGTACAGGCTTGAATTTTCTCTAGAATATCCGCGGATCCTAAAAACTTCATTCAATCAAGATTACCTTTTTAACTGCAGAATCGACAAACAACCGCGTTTTGTACCTCTCCATTTTCTCGATGCTCTGTCTTCTTGGCTTGGCTGCGTGGCAAGTTATATTCCTTCGCAGTTATTTCAAGTCGAAGAAACTTATTGACTGAAATTCTTCTTTCATTCTTTCTCGTACTCAGATTTGTGTTTTCTTTCCCACATTTGTCTGCTGTACGGCTTTTTTGCGCTTAAAGCCCAATAATACTCGTTGATGAGAATACGGATCTTACTTTTCATTAATTATCAGCGAAGCCAATTCTTGCTGGCGGTAGATTTTTTTTCTGGTGTTGATCCTTGATAAAAGTTTTTGATTTTAATTTTGGATTTCGGACCTTTTTTTCGTTTTTATGTCTCCATTCTATGTGTATGAGATGGAATAGGGTATTTTTTCGTCGTTGAACTTTTTTCTTTCTTAATTTATTAATTTTTTTGTCTTCTGATTTCCACGTAATAAACCTTGAATACGTGCTGGAGAGAACGCGAGGGCTCGCGGCGGCGAAAGCACACAAATCGATCGATATTTGTCTCCCTCCGTTGAACCTGCTTCATGCAGTTATTTTCCCGGCGCCGATGCGGTGATATGAGAGGGAATCCTCTTGAATGCGTCGTTTGCAATAAAGTTAGTTTTATTTTTGAAATACTAATAGTCTGTGAAAAATATGTTAGATATTTTACACTTAAAAAAATTTCATTTATTCTATTCTTTTGAAAAATTTTTTTGAGTTTTTTTCATAACTTTTTTTGAAAGACCTCATAAATAAAACCTTCGATTGGAATCATCAGAGGTTTCCCAACTTGATATATATGAAAAATCGAAGGTTTCAGGAGATTTTTTACGAGATGCGCGATATTGAAATAGAAATGTAAAATAGCTTGCTGAAGAAAATAATCTTCTTAAAAAAAGTCAAGAAGCTGTGACTTTTTATCGGATTTTTCTAGTTTCCAGGAAGGGTTTTATAGCCGCTCAGGACGCAAAAAGGCGTGGCCTTTCTGCGCTCTACACCAACCAGACACTGTTTCATTTCTTTTCATCTCAAGACTTTTTCGATGGCACAAGCAAGCTACGAATCAGCTTTAGCTGCTGACATAAAATATCAAAATGTTCCGTTGTTTATAGGTAATCGATTATATAATTTGGTTCTCAATTAGTCACGCGCGTTTCTTATATTCATATTTCTGGACAGGAGCTCTTTGAGCCGGTGCTACTGGGATGCCAGCACACGGTCTGCCAAAGATGTTCAGCGGCTGGCTGCACGACTTGTGCGGAGGTCTTGCGCAGTCCGTCGACGTCGCGCTCTCAGACGCCAGTCCCAGACCGCCTCGCAGCTTTTCTTCTTGATGTTTCCAAGGAACATGCCGATTCTTGTGCCAACTGTGACGAGGTTCGGGTGCCTTTTTAAAATGAGAAAGCAAAACTGTTTTTTTTTTTACTTAAAAACGATATGATACACGAAAATAATTATTTGAGTTTCTCAATTGGATTCAAAATAGAAGGGCTTACTTTCAAATATTTCTCTATGATTCAGGTGTCGCAGCCGATGTTTTTCTGCGAGACGTGCCAGCAAACGCTCTGTCTTTCTTGCCGCAACTCTACCCATCAAGTGAGGATTGACGGTTCTTCATCAGGAAAAAGATCACCTAGGCCCGTATGTTCGCGACGCACAAAATCATCACCGCCGACGAACGCAACCGAGTTTATGGAAGCTCTTTGTGCAAGGACCACGGGGAGCCGTACATCTTGTACTGCTCTGACGTGCGGAAACTCGTCTGCATCCAGTGTTTCAACGGTAGACCTCTAGAAGAAAGGTATCTCAACTAGAAAGTGGTCTTTTTATAGCCACTTGTGCAAATTTTTTGAGCTTCGCTTTGGCTCTAAGTTTTCTTCAAACGCAAAGACTTGAAACAAGCTGTTCTGTCCGTTCTTTTCTGTCTTGGGAACGCTCTCATGCTCACTTTCTGCTATCTATTGCCAAAAGCGCCGGAGCAGGAAAACGAGCACAGAAACGCAGTTCTGATCGAAGTCGCGCTGATTGAAGATCAAAAAAAAACATAGAGCTTTTGTATGTTTTTTCCAATTAGAACTTTATGGTTCCAGGCACAGCTTCGTCTCAATTGAAAGTGGTCACAAATCAACGATAGAAAAAATAGAAAACTGGGCTTCCAAACTTCGTCTTTTTCAAGTTTGTTTGCTCAATTTCCTATTCTAATGATGAATGTTTGACATATTCAGAGCGAAAAAGAAGAAGAGCTTGAAGTGCGAGAACGAATGATTTCGGAGAACTCAACGTCCCACGAAGAAGCGAAAAATTCGTAAGAGCGAAAAAAGCCAATTCTATAGAGATTAAATTCATCAGCATCTACCAGTTGTGTCAGCAAATCAACGACACGGTCCTGACGACGCGCGATCGCCTTGTCCGCGAACTCGAGGTCAGAAGAGAGCTTCTCAACAACGCGTGCAGAGTGCAAATTGCCGAAATTGAGTCCGTTCTGGTAAAAGATCCTCCTTTTCAAGTCGAATAGTTCCTCAGGATCCTGTCCGTCTCTGCCTCTTGATCTCGCAAATCTTGTGCACCTCTGCATCGAAAGTCGACGTTCTACAGTTCACTACCGAGCTCTACAGACGCATTCATGTCGGTTGAAGAAAAGTATAGAGATCCGATTTCTATACAGGTCCTGTTAGATAGAAGCGTTGAAAAGCTCCCCGTAGCAGCGTCGGCAGACACTTTTGAAGTGCGAACAGAGCTCGCAAAGGCGTTAGAGCCTTTCTTGGGTTAGTTAAAGTTGTTTTTTTTGAAGGTAAAGAAAACTGTTTGAGGTCTTTCCGCAGCATGGTGCCCCTTGTCGGCGGCTAGAGATGCTTCTCGCGAAGGAAGTGCGTCTTATAAACGCACATCTGGGTTGGACTCAAATATTCTTTTTATCTTCTCCTTTTCTTTCAGATCTCAATCGAAAGTGACCTTGTCCAAGTTTCAAGCAGCCATCGACCTCTCTGGGGCTTTTGGGCAGCTTTTCTCCCGAGTAGATCGTGAGTGTATGCAGAAAAGCTGTCGGGAATAATCCCTGTTGAGATCCTCTGCGGCAGTTGGTGATCGATCTCTCTCTGACTAGCCAGAAAGTGTTAGAAATACAGAAAGATCTGACAAGACGACGATGTCTCATCAGCGAAGAAGTCGTTCAGGACCTCATAAAATCGTTTGTTTGGTTGGATTTTGAGTTGGAAAGGTTTTTAGGACGAGAAAGATAGAAACGGACCTCGGACTGCATTCTGCAGCGTTGGACGACATGCAGAGCGAAATGCAGGAGTTGTGGCAGGAACAGCTCGACCGCGTCCGACGACAGCAGATCATCTACCGTGAAAAGGTCTTTCCATCGATGAAAGGGCTCAGAGAAACAGGTTGCTTTCAGATCCAAGAAGTGCTGATGCTGCGAGAGACGGCCCGACAGGTCCTCACCGCAGCCAAGCAACTCGCGCCCTACGTTTCTTGCATTCTGCAGATGAACGCGGTCATCGATCCGAAGTTTCTTTCGAATGTCTAAAGTCTTCATTCTCGAAAGTTTTCAGACGCTGCCATCCTCCTGATCCGGCTCCGATGGAAAGCATCTGTCTTCAGATCACAGAAATTGAACCAAACAGCGAAAACCGGATTCTCGCCATCGAAAAGGTTTTTCGATGATCTCATCCGCCATGAAATAGCTACTTTCAAGGAGGAGCAAAACAGAAAGGCGAATCAGGAGGCGAAAAGAAAAGACGCGCTCATTGGCATAGACGCTGTGGTCAAAACTCTCAAGCACGGCAAAGCCAGACGAAAAGAGAGTCACAGGTAGAAAGACACAAGGCGGCAAAGACTTGAAGGTAGTTTCAGACTGTTGGTGAACACAGCTCGCGAAAGAAGCCCTGGGGGGACAGATACCGCGCTGAAGAGCCCCTGTCTCAAGCGAATGTAGGTTTTTTTGATTTACAATGTCGATGTTTATGATCAGATCTCCTACGGTTCGAGAAGAAACCAATTCTGAGTTGGATATAGAAGAGTTTTGGGACGAAAGTTTCGATCTTTCCGGTGAGCAGATGGAGAACGTCGATTCGGCCTTCATCGATCAGGTGTGTATCCCAGAGAATCTTTCATCATTCTTCAAAGGCGCGATGTTCTTCTTCGTTCACTTTTTCCTTGGGGTCGTCTCCGACGAGTTCTCTGCCCTCCCTCGACCAGCTTCTGGGAAAAATACCATTGGCAAGTCGGGTCACGCCAGATATCGGTTAGTTCTATTAGGTTGTAATTCAAGTACCTTCCGTTTTTTCACAAAACTTCTTATTTTGAATAACTTTGCAGGATTGGATCAATTCAATCCTGCAATCGGAATTAGTCTCTCAGTTTCTGACTGGCTGCGCGTTATGATAATAATCTGCTATTTGAAATGTTAGAGCTGAAAAAAAGTGGGCAACTCGGTTTTGTCCTCTCAGAAATTGAATTATTTTTGGAACTTCATGAAGGTTTGCAGAACCTGTGTGGAAAAAGACTTCTTCCTATTCCTACTATCAGACTTGGAACTGTCGTACATTATTTCACAGAAAGCTAGCTTACAAATCTTTCTTCTGAATTTTTGATTTAAAAGAACAAATCAATCACTTTCGTGAATAGCTGCTTGAAAAGTTCAAAACTTTCTTATCTCCTTTTCAGGTCTTTCATCCTATTCTTACGGTCAATTTACTGAAACTTCCACTCAAAATTTTTATCAAAGTAACTCCTGCTTAAATTTGAAAAGTTCAACGATCGCTAACATGGGAGTCTTCAATCCAATCCTCTGAAAAGATTTTTCTATTAATATTTTAAAGCCTTCCGAGAATTCTTGAGCTTTAATTCTTAAACCTTCATTAGTGATACGATTTCAGAGAAAGTCTAGCCTTTCTTAAAAAATTAAACTAACTTTAGCTGATATGAATTAGTTCGGCTCCAATATGGCTCCGTATCTGATGAGAGCGGGAGCTCAAATCTTGAATGATCTACTTCGAAGAAAAATAGTAGACTTTCTAAGCTTCACGTATAATTAAGAAAGGTTGAATCCAGTTTGTGTGCCTCAGCCAGACACACATCAGTTTTCGCTACATCTAATCATTAAAAAAGGAGTTTCGAGAAACTTTTTATGAAAGAAAAAGCTAAAACTAAAAACAAAAATTTTTTTCAGTTGTAGAATCAGAAAATATGAAAGAGTTCAGCTTACGTAAAATAAAAGAGACCTAATACTTTCTTCTTTTTAGCAAGATTGCTTTTCAGGATCCTGTCGAATGTCTATGCTGCAATCTTTGAACGACGTTTTTGCTATTCAAAAGCCCGGCGACGAAAGCGAAGAAAAATTTGTACTTGAAGAACGCAACGTGTTGGCCAGTGCTGTGAAAAACGCGGAAAAAAGGCGTCGTGGAGGCGAAACCGAAGAGTCAATACATTCCCAAGAATGTCTGGCTAAACAGCCGGAAGAAACCAAGATCAAAAAAGCAGTGGTTTGAGAAAGTTTCAGAAAAATAAGTAGTTAGAATATAGGTTCGCCACCGAGTGAAGAGGAAAGACGTCGACCGAAAGGATTTAGCTGAAGACGCAGAGCTGGGCGTTGGAGAAGTCGTTCCGATGATCGTCGAAGGAGCTCTACCTCCTCCTGCTCCTTTTGTTCCGCCAAGTGTCTTCGAGTCTGTCGAAGGAGAGAAATTGCGGTCTTTCGAAGCAAAAGAGAAACTGCTGCAATCGCTCAAAGAAAAACTAAGGGTAGAAAGTACGGATTGAGAAGAAATTTATGTTTTTTTTTTCAAAGTTCTCCAGATAAAGTTTTAGTACATTTTTTCACATTTCACAGTTGAAAATCGTGTGACGTCATGTTTGTACGAATCCAATTCTTCGGATCACATATCCAGACCAGAATAGGGCGGAGCTGCGCCGGTATGCAAACGAAGACTCCTCTTGGCTCTTCCTCACTTCTTCTGCGGTCCACCAGAAGTCGTTCAAATGAGACGGACGGCTTACTCAGTTATAATATTCTACTTGCTGCCGCTTTTTTTTCAAGTTCATGCTTGTCCAGACGGAGAAATGGCAGTATTTTTTGTCAACGGACGCGCCAGAATCCCTCAATCTTCAGGAGCCTGTTTCAAACATTGCGCTATTTCCAATTGTACAGGTTTTTTCGATTTGAAAGAATTTTAGGACAAATTAAGTAATCTGTGAACTTTGTTGCTCTAGATTCAGCGGACTGCGGGTCGTATTTTTAAAGAGTTTGCTCGATTTTTTTTTAAAGAGTTTGTTCGGTTTCAGAGCTGAAGACTTTCATGAGCAGGCTGTGTACATTATAAAAAAAATTCAATTTTTCGTCAAAAAATGATAAAATTTATGAAGATGTAACTCAGAGATCAAAATTAAATAAGATGAAATTTTGCAAAAGTGAAAGTCAGGAGCGCAGACGCTGCTCCATGTGACATGTTGGTCGGGATTTTCAGTAGCATTGATTGTTTTTTCTTCTCAGACCCTGTCAAAGAAGAATTTGTTTTTCCAGCAGCGGCTTTTTACGGAGAGTACTGCTTCGCGGTCGACATGGAAAATTATTTCGGACAAATCGACGAGGCAAATCTCATCAAACGCCACTGTGTCGCTAGTAAAATAGCTTCTAATCAAAGTTCTAATTTTTTTTAATATTCAGACATTTCACAGCCGCTTCTGGCTAAGGAGTTCGACGACAGGATTCTGGTCGACTACACGCAGAAAGTGACGCGAGCCGCTGATAAGCGGGATTGTCTGACCCAGTGCCAGAAGGAGCAGGTCACCTCGCTTCGCTGCATTCGGAATGTCTTTTTGTAGGAGTTTCCTTGTCTTTCTACAATGTTTTATGAAGAAAGCGGCGATTGTCTTCTCAACTCGGCCAACTCGAAGACAGGAGTCGTGAAAACTGACACAGGAGGGTTCAAAGTGTCTTTTGTCGAGTTTCAAGAACTGGACGGTTCGTTCCATCTCATAAGGAAACTCGCTTCATTTTTGCCTCATAGTGCTCTGAAATTGAGAGTCTGACCTCAGAAGCTAGACTGTCATGCGAGGTTGAGGAATTCGTTTATCACCGAACGATTTTTTTGCTAAATGTTTCATTGCTTCCAAGCTTGGAGTAAATAGACCTTTCGAAGTCTTTCTGGTCCGTGTTTCATTTCTTCGAAGCCGTTTCAAGATACCTTTTACTTGTGATCTTGACTTCAAACCGTAAAGTTGCCGGATTCACAGAGCAAATATGCAAAAATGTTTACTTTGGGGTCATCGGAAATCACCTATAATGTCATGCGCATCTTATCTAGGGCGTCGCAGCTACTGAAGCGTGAACTTGTAAAACCTGGCCTTTTCCTTTCACCGCGACAGTTGAAAAACACCATTAACCCGGATTTTAGCAAATGAGACTTGCTCGAACGCCTTCCAACTGCTTTCATCCGATAAAGTAGAGGTTCGCGGGGATACCAAACTGTTCAATGGATCCGGAGGCCTTGCCGAGGTGCTTTTTCTTACTTTACCTTTAAAAAAGTTATTTTTCAATTCCATGAAGAAATCAATTTTTCTCAGTGCATTGCTCGATGCAAAAGATGCGACTTCGTCATCTACAACGAAATCTTCATGGAGTGCTTTCTGGTCGAGCAGGACGCATCCGGACAGCTTCTCGATTTCGTGAACGATGAGTACAAGGTGAACTTCATTTTTACGAAAGCTTTATCAATACATGTGTTCTGAAATGTCGAACACGTTACCTTTAAGTTGAGCAGTGATGAAAATGATTAGAATATAGTTTCATTTTTAAAAGCCGTTTTTTCCTCGGCATGAAAAGAGGACTTCGTTATTTGTTTCAGGTGCTAAGCAGTCTCTGCACGACAGTCGCCCCTCCATGCACAGCACGTAACTCTCTGTATGTTCTTCATGGATCATCAGAAGATTCGACGAAGAAGGCGTGCCTTGGCCAATGTGTGGACGACATCAGCTGTCGATTCGCGCATTTGGGACTGAATGGAAAGTGCGAAATTTCATCCCGGAGGCTTCGGTCGGAACTCGTGGTCGAACGACACTGCATTGGGTTTGACGACCTTCCCGATGGTTTTTCTACCTCAAAAGAAAACATCAAATAAGACTCTTCTTTAAAGGCTCCGGAGTTTTGTTCGACGAAGTGGGCGCTTGCACAAATTCGATGGATAACCTGGCGCGAATGGAAGAAGTCGAACTTCAGGAGTGCATGCATTTGTGCGTCACTCATCCGACCCGCAGGTTCGATTCTTTTCCTCGTGACCTCACTCTGTTTCAGCTGCGAATGGATAGAATATTCGACAAATCGACTGTGTATCTTACACGACTCGTCTGTGAGAACTGGTGCGATTTTGGTATTTTCTTCTGAGAAGTTGTGTTCCTTCAGGAAATTCAAGTTCATGTACGGTTTACACGTTAAATGTCATCAAATTCTCTAATAAAAAGAGTCCAGGTCAGGAGATTTTGTAAACCTTTAACGGGAAGTTCTTTTCAGAGAAAGCCCCCAAAAAGGCAAAGTTGTTCGCCGCAGATACAAAGAAGAAATTGAAAATTGAGGAAGGTGAATAGAAATGTTCAGAGGACTCTCGCCAACGAGTAATTTCCAGAAAAACTTCAAAACATCATCAAACATGAAGGCGTCATCGATGATTCCAATGTGAAGATATCAACGATTTGCAACATGGGTGACGTCACAATAAAAGTAGGTTGGCAGGTATGAGGATGAGGTTCATTCTTTTGAAGGTGTCGGTTGAGACGGAAAGACCAGGAGAGCTTTTTGTCAGAAACTCCCGCTCCAACTGTTCTGCGGTCATTGGAAGAAACGGGACGGCTGAGCTCAAAATTCACCACAACGACACCAATTGCCTCCTCATGAAGGTAGAAAAACATCATCAAAGGCATGAATTCTTTTTTTTTTCATTTTCAGGAGGGCTCGATAATGCATACCGTAGTGGTGGTGAAGAAGAACGAGTTCAGCAACAGCTCGGTCATCACTGCCGACGACAGAATGTTCCAAATTCGCTGCGATTACTCAAATCATAGTTCTTCCGTCGCAGTCGCCAAAACCATCGACTTGCGGTTTTCTCTCATTTGATTGAGGTTCAATTGGAGTTTCAGACCTCCCGAGTTCATGGAAATGGCAATGAAAGGCGCCGTACACATCAGTCCCATAAAAATGGAGCTGCGATCGAAGCGTGAAGCCTTTGATGTGAGGCTTTTGTTGTTGCAAATTCTAGTTTTCTATCGGCAGGCCAAACCAGTCACGATTGGCCAATCACTGGATTTAGTTTTCCGAGCTGAAGACTCACTGCTGGAAAACTTTTTTGTACAACGATGTGTGGCTCTGAGTAGCGATGAGAGAGAACAAATTGTACTTGTCGACGAAGGGTATGGCACAAAATGAAAAAAAAACTATGCCGAAAGATTTTGAGATGCGCTACGACTAACGCCAAAGAGTTCATCCTACGCGGAGAGCTCCGACAGGACGCCATGGGTTTCGTTCTGCCGTTTCGGGCGTTCCGCTTCAAAGAGGGCGAGGGTGTGAAGATCACCTGCACTCTGGACAAATGTCAGAAGTGCAAGCGGAAAATCTGCTCGAAACATCAGCAACGGACGCGGCGATACAAGGAGTTCGAGGAAGGCGTTGGTTCGGCGGAAGAAGTTCATGCCGAACTCCTCGTCCGAGTCCCAGAAGACGGTAAGTTTACTACTCGAAAGAAAAATGAGGGGTAGTTTCAGACAACTATTGCCTGACGTCTTCATGTTTTGCTGTTGTCGCTGCAATTGTCGCCGCTGTTATTTCGGTCCAGCTTCTTTTATTGTTTTACTTTTTTTATAATAGAAGATCTCGTTAGAGAAAAGAAAATTCGTTTTTTGCATTTCTGAACTGTTATAATATTTATTAAGTTGAAAAAAAGAAAAAAATTGTATAAACTTTTTTTCTGCTTTCAAGTCCCACGTCTCCAATTTGAAGATTGCAAAAATTTTAATGGCTCTGCTGGATCATGGTAGATTCGAAGCTAAGGGTTTTTTTTTTGCTAGAGCACTAAAAATAAAATTTAGTATAAAATATAATCTGATGTGAAACAGAGTCAAACAAAGTAGTTGAACTTGTCTTAATAGATACACTCTTCTATAGAAGATTTCTTGCTCAAGAATCGAATTGTTCAAACCGCTCTATCACTATAATAACCTTTCGGAATATTCATCCTGTTTTATCAGAATAATGAAAAAAAGTAAGTTTTTTTTCTCATTTTTTTCTATCGATTTCTGGCGGAGGTGAAAATAAGCGCCTAGTCCCGTTCTGGTGACATTCTAATTGAAGCGAGACCATGGATATATTTCTGCGAATAATCGAAGACGTGGGCGCAAAGACAAAAGAATGTGTTGATTCTGAGCATTGGCCTCTTGGCGGCCAAGCTCACCGGCCCGGCAACTCTGGACGGATTCGGCTCGAATCTGACGGAACAACACAAAAACACGTTTATTCCGATGCTACATGGGCGAATGTTTCTTTTCTCAGAAAATCGAGTGATGGCGATGTTTTGTTGCTTGTGGCTGAAGTTGCGGAGGCTTTATTTTCGGCCGAACCTGCACTTTTTTGCGTGTTTAGCTTCTCTTTAAAACCAACCGTAATCGTTGGGCTCCGTTCAACGATTCGATCAGCTTTGAGGCTTTTGGTGCTCGTTTCACGCTGAATAATTCTCGAATAGTCCTAACCTTAGTAGTAATTTTTTGTTAGAGTGAGTTTTTGTGAATTTCGGAGAAATAAATTAAAAACCACCTAACGCAAATAAGTCATACATTAGCATGAAAAAACAAATACCTGATGAGTTTTTTTTTTGCACCACACGATTGGCGCAACAGTTTCCAAAAAGAGTGTTTAGAGGTCTTCGTTGTTTTTTTTTCAAGCTAGCGATTAATAGAATAAAATGTTCAAACTGATTTTTAGAGCTAGCAAATAAAAGATCATTCGACATACGAAAAAACCCACTTTTCCACAAAGTATGGGCCGAAGTACTCATATGGTTCGCTGACGTCGTCGCTGGAATGAAAGTATGCATGAGGTTCAACGATAAAAGATAGACGTCGAGGATTCCAAATTTGTTCTCACGAGATTTCCAAAATTTCAACTCGCTAAGAAATATTCATGAGGCCGGACCTACGTTTCGTTGCACAAAACACGAAAACACGCTTTATAATCCACATATTTTATATTTACTTCTGGAAAATATACAAGGATCAAATGTCTACCCGTATCAAGTGTTCTACTATCCGCATATTCGCAATTGATGGTTATTGGATGAGGTTGGAAAGAAAGTTGGCGAAAAAAAGAAACTAACTTGAAAAGAAGGGCTTCTTCGTCGGATCGTTTTCCGTACCGAAGCCGTCCTGCGCCGTTGATCGCCGACGTGAAGGAGGTGATGTCCGCCTTCTTCTCGTAAGGCGCTCCTAACGCGCTAAAAGCCCTTCGCTTTTTTAATTTACAAATTTTTGTTTCAACTTCTACAAAATCAAAAAAAAAAACATATTATCATAGTTCTTAACACACACCTCAAAACTTATGAGTTTGAAGAAAATAACCTTTTAGAGAATTAAAACATGACTCATGTATTAGAAGACGCTGTAAAGCAAGTCATTTTATCTGCCTTTAACAATGAATTAAGAATATGGGTCCTGTAGCGAACGTTCGTGTCCTCTTTCAAACGTCCCACCGAAGAATTTTGATCAGACTTTCGCAATAGGTGGAGCAAGGTTAAGCATATATAGGCGGTTCACCTCTGGACTGAAACGCAAAAAGTGCAGGAATAAATATGGTCCAACGAATTATCTTCTTACATTTTGCCATGTCAATTTTCCGATCATTAAACTTCTCTTACTAAAACTTTTCAACATGTAGCTTGTTTATTTTTAGAAATCAGCTCGAGAAAAGTACTCATGGTGTTACTCTTCCACTGATTCGTCACGCGCAGTATATCTTCACATTTCATGGCTACGCAAAATTACCCAGAAATTATTAAACGAACCAGCAAATTAAAACCAAGAGAAGGGAGACCACAAATTCGAAGCTCGAGTAGTTCATCCTAATATTTATCGGGCGTGTTTTACCTGAAGAAATTGAGTTTCTCCAGAAAAAAACAGAAGCATAAAAAATTGGTAGGGGACTTCAGAGACAAGAAAAAACTCTGTAATATGATCAGAGTTGAACGAGAACCATTTCAAATCATATTAAAAGTCTTTTCGTCAGTATTTAACACTTTCTGTTGAGTGTGGCCAATTTATTACTCAATGCCAGAAATCGAATAGTTGAACAAAAAAGGTTCAACAAGTCAAGACAATAACACCGAGAGAAGCAAAAGACAAGGCGAGGGCGTTTCCATCGAAAGAGAAGTCCATTTTTATCTCCGGATGGGATTCGTCGCCGAAAGGGCGTGGCTTTGCTAGTAAGCATTCTCTGTGCTGACTAGTATTAAGAAAGCCTTTTAAAGAACATTTCCAAATAAGTCAAGAAGTGGATCTCTGATAAAACGTGAGCTTGATCGTACGCTAAAGTTAGCAAAGATTTTTTTTTGAGAGTTTTCTGAAAAGTTTTCAGAATAATTTTGATATGTTCGAATGGACATCATCGAAATCTCAATCTTCTCGACTTTCCAGTTTCCGAGAAACACGCTTGCAAAGTCAAAGATATCACCAAAATCTGACTTAATGGGTTTTTCGAGACTTTGAGCCTTATTTTCTTGATAAAGTTCTGAAGGTTGGGAATTTATAATGCGTATCCAGACTTGGGAATTTCCCTTGGTTAAACCCCAGAAGGCCAATTTCAGAAAAATTCTGAAGTATAAAGTGAAAGGAAACTTCCTTTTTATAAAAAAACAAGAAACATCTTTGCAAGAAATCCCTAATATTTGAGCTTGATTTAATTGAACAAATGAAAAAAACTAACTTTCAACTTATGTTTTTCGAGATAAAAAGAAGTTCTCAGAGGACGTGTCCAGGTCATCGAAGACGTGAATGTTTGAGGCAGGTTGAGACTTTCAGAATCTTCTTTTGGTACATCAAGGAGTATTCTGGTCAATGTTTGAAAAATCCCTAACCGCAAACTAAAATGACCTTCCTTGTAAGGCTTTTTCGAGCTTTCGAGAATTTGTTTCGTTTTTGAACATGCGCATGAAAGTTTGGAATAAAATTTCAAGGTCTTATTAGAAGCTAATAAATTAAAGCTCGTTTCAGTTTTTTTTTTCATTCTCTATGTTTACCATCAATCGACGCGTTTCTTCGGTATTTCTCCCATTTATCTGAAACTTCCCAAGTAGACTATTTTTAAAGACGACTCAGAAACTTTCGTACGTCAAAAAAGATTTCAGGCCCATTCTTTCGCGAATGTTTTCCTTACATATTCGGGTAAGCATTTGAGAGATTAGCTGTCCTAAAAAATAACATTACCTAAAAGAAATCCAATGGATATCATCTCTCAATATGGAGAACAAAAACAAATGAGCTTATAAAGTTTTTTGTTAAAAAGGTTTGGATGACTCGATTAGACGTTAGACGAAACACAGAACTTGGTTTAATAACAGAAAAATGAAAATAATTTTTGATTAATTCTTATGCTACTGTGTTAGAACTATTTATAACGATGCTGAGAAAAAGAATAAAAAAAAAGAATAGGAAACTTTTTTTTTGGCTCTTGATATTCTATTCACTTCGATCAGTAGAGTAACGACATTTTTTTGAAATTTGCGATGTTCAAATGAAACAAAAGATCTTCGTTTTTATGTAAAATGCATTGCATTGTAGCGTGCGACGCAGCCAGTTCCCAAATGCAACGTTCTTCAATCCTCGACGCTCGTGACGCATTTCGATGATGTCTGAATAAAGAAAATTAAGACGGTTGTCAAAGGAAACTGACTGATATCTGGAAATACTCTGAAGAATCGGTTCCCATAAAACGAACACTTGTGAAGGTTGTAAAAGTATCCGACGCTCCACTATACGACTCTGGAACAACAAACACAAATCGAATATATTGTGTATTTGTCATGTAATTATCAAGTGATAAGAGTGAGGTTATGATTGCCGACGGCATGCCTTCCGCAAGCTGATAACCGTGATCATCGAGCACGAGGTTACCTAGGACTAAATGTACTGCAAAATAGGATTTATTAATTTTTAAATCATTTTTTGACTGAAAATACTTCGGGTACACCCTTGTTCAAAGCGGGCGGTCGTATTACGATAGTTTAGAAATATTTTTGGTAGTGAAACAGAAATTCCTCTACTTATCGGGACGTCACTACTATTGTTACCCCGAGATATAAGTTCTGAGAATTGCAAACAATTTTTTTTTAAATACGAAAAAGGGAGCGCAATTTTGACCGGTTCCAGCCGGCTTACCAGAACTGGTAAGAACTGTCTTAACAGTGTAGTCTGGCCACTAGAATAGAAAGTTCATCCCTCTTTTAACTTTCTTTGAACAAGAAGTCCCTCCAAACAGTGTTGACTTTTCACTTTCTTTATATTCAGTAGAATCTTCACCCGAAGTGGTTGCTCTCATTTTGAGGCTTCCACCTGAAGAACGGTCTCCGGGCTCCAGCACAAGATTTGCTACATCCTAAGCTCTTCAAGGCACAACTGGATGGACAACGCGCAGAAGAACGAGGCGAAGGACTGTAAGACCAGGCTTTCAACTTGATCAACTACACGTTTGGACTTCTAGTTCGCCAAAGGCGGTTGTTCGTTTTAGCTTCAAAAGTCTCTGTTCACCGCCTAACCGATTACATCTCACTAAAAAAAAAATGATTTGATTTGATTAACGGACTTCTTAACACAGTGCTTTTAATAGACTTGCTTTTAACTACAAAGGCGAAACGGGAGGTCGATGCAAGTAGGTACCGGGTAGCTACTTATAAGCTACTTTCATGGTATCGGAAAGCATTCGCTCGTCACAAATCATACGCGGTCGCATCGCGATACTTCTCCGGTAGTATCCAGGTACCCGGTCGCATACAAACGACCACCGATTAGCATACGCCAATTGATTTTAAGTTGCTACCCGGTACCTGTATCGATATCCCGATTGATCAGAATAAAATTAATTTTTCTCTTCAATAATTCCTAGATTAACGTAGTCCTTTGTTTTCATTTCAAATCTGAAGAACTCTTTAGAGCTCAAAATTTTGCTTGAATATTATCTTTCGCTATCTACAATTTTGCAGTCACTTTTTCATGAATTCCATTCGCTTGGAGCTTGATTCGGACAAAACGGGTAATGAACGACTGAAATTGTTCTTATCATACCGTTAATCAATTTTTTGAACACACTTATAAAATTTAGCCTCAACAAACTGATTAATAAACTATATGAATTTTAGTGAATTAAAAAAAATCAACCTCGATATTCTGAAGGCGCAAGTAGTTTCATGGTCGGGTGCGCGAAAGCAGAAAGAGCCAACTTCTCTCTGCTTCTCATTTTTTCCCATGTGAGCGTTTCAAATCTGCGTGAATGAAGTTTAATGAAGGATACATACATTTACGCAAAAGGAGATTTCACTGAACAAAGTTCAGCTGCGAAAATATCTTTGAAAATATATTTGTTCGTTTCAAAGCGACATGCGCAAGGAGAAAGAAATTTTTTTCAAAGGTTGACTAAAGACTGAAAAAAAGACTTTTTTAAACTTTTTACTGATGGGAAAATTATTTTTTCAATTGAGAAGTTTCACACTGACTATGAGGTATTGACTTCCTCATGTTTGAAAGCTTTCCATGAAGTACTTTCCGCCGAGCAATCATTACAGAGGTCTTGGGCTTTTCGGCGATTCAAAGAAACGGGAACAACCGCAGCAGGACCTGCTATCGCTTCGACGAAAGCCAATTTCTACGTTTTGAACCGATAAGTGATAAGAAAATACAAACGCCGCGATAGTTTACAGTCGCTGCACTTTTTCCCGTTACTTCCAGAATCTGCTTTACCCAAGACATCGGACTTTATTGTTTTGGTAAAGTTTTCCTAAAAATGTGAAGAAACAACTTTTTTATAAAGAACAATTTTGACAATACTTTCTTCAATTCATTATAAAGGTAGCTGGAACTGTAGCTTGTATACAAAAACGCTTTGCAGGTACCAAACGACTGAAATGGAGAGCTTCGAGTTTCACTCATTAACAGTAATTGACGCGCATTTTTTCATCCCAAACTTCCCGCCATCTTTTCCATCTTTTTCCTCAAACGTTCTCAATGACAAATAAGGACTATACAGAGCTCGATCTTGGTGATCCATTTATGGCAGCGCGAGAACAAAGCGAAATCTGCCGTTCTGAAAAAGAAGACACGCCCCGAAGAGAACTGTACAGCGCGAGTTCATTATGCAAATGTCGTCGGAAAAAGAACCGCCCATTTTTGCGTCAAGACTCGCCGCGCACACTTCCCGCCACCTTTCCACCGTTCTAAAACCCCGAAGAAAAATATATTTCGTATCTCTTATCACAGTTCTGAATCGCAGCTCTTTTTTGAGATAGAAAGGGCGGCCGGACCGATTCTAACACATTACACAGGCCGGCTGCCGTACAGTCATCTCCGTCCAGCTTTCCCTCGTTTTATTTCTGTCTTTCCGACGTGCTCTTCCAATCTTTACAACTTACCGTAAGACACAGCTCTATTTTCTTCTTTTCACGATTCTACCTCTACTGGTATTCGTCCCAAAAATTGTTTGCGCCTGAAAACCAAAAACTTCAAGGTGTCTAAAAAGTCATCCTCTCCTCTTCAAGTGAGCATTAATTTTTTTTAATTAAATACATAAATATATATATTCAATAAGCGTTCAACTTTCTATGACCTTTTTTTCTCGTTGAACTCTGGTTTTTTTAAACGATTTCTCCAATCATTTTTCTAACAAAGAAATTATCGAAAAAAAGGTAAAAAAATGAAAAAAAGTATAAAGGAAACTTTCTGTAACGAAATTTAGAGCCGGTTCTGTTCGAATCTTCAGTCGAGGTTTCAATACGCGAGCGGCGCGTAATTAAAAAAATTATCAGAAAGAAAAAAACGGTCTGTTTGTTTCTTCTTCGGCTTTTTTTCCGAGCTAGTGGAAGGAACGAGTTTTTTTAGCCAATGAATTCAGGTGTGCGATTATTCATACATAAATGTAGGAGACTATCTGCGTTTTTCATATAATTCAAAAGAAAAAAAAATTATATTTCAATGAAAAACGCATTTCTTCACATTCGGCTGAAAATTTCAAAATATATAGGCTCATCCAAGATTTTTTTAATCAAGTTAGTTATAACGTTCTCAAAAAAAAAGTTTTTGTGCTAACTCAACTTTTGAACTTTTTTCAGTAGCCTCTTCTTGCAATTCTTCCGCGCGACCATCCGTACAATGTTTATTTTAGCGATTATAACCGCTTATGTAACTGCAGATTCCTCTAAAACAAGCATTTCACTCAAATTTCTTTTTAATCCTTTTGACCTTAAAACTGCGAAAGAAATATGAATTTTATGAATGGAAATCAGAAGCCAAACCTATTTTGAATTTCACGGCTAGATTCTCTTTTGAACATTGATAGGCTAATAAAAATTTATGTTGTCTTAGATCAACCTAGGTCCCAACTCCAGAAAGTCGTAAAAGGTAGAAAGGCGGAAAGAAATGCCGATTCCACTTGACGATGGACATTTGAATCTGATGTGCAGAATCCATGAAACCTCTCCTTTTTTCGAATTATAAAACTGTTGTTTCGTGTCTTTGCGCCTATAAATGTAGGTGGCTTCTTATTGAAAATTTCTAAACTTTTCAATTTCTTTCTGTGAAGTTTATTGCTTTGACAGGGGGTACGTGTTGAGATTTCGAAGAAAACTTTGCTGGCTGTCAATAAGGACAACCACAAATTTTTGAAGTTAAAATAAATCAAAAACTCATTTTTTTTTTTCGATTACTGTAAGAGCGAATAAATCGCTTGTTTTGCACACTTCTCTACTGAAACCTTGAGACAAAAACTATGAGATTTATCTGTTAAGAAACTTCGAGCATTGTTTTTAAAAGAAAATTGACAGATCAAAAATTCCAGTTTAAATACTTCTCAATAATATTTCTATAGTTTCTAGATACTAAAAACAATTGGGTGTTTTTGTGATAAGTATTCAACTAAAAAAGAGGCCGCGAAGTTGATTTTTTCGATTCACGAAATGTCGAAGATTTCTTATTTGTGGTTAATGACCTCATTAGACTTTGACATTCTCTCTTTGAAATGGTTATGTTAAAAATAGTTGAATCCATCAAATCTTACGGTTCTATGAAAATTTTGTGTTTTTTTTTCAAACTCTGAAATTTTAGATTAAAATAGCGCGGGCGAATCGAGAAGGTACTATAATGTGTCCACAAAGGTACCTCTCATAATGGATCGTGAAGGCCCCATAATGTGTCCATCGTGAGACCTCCGGCATACCTTTGAGCTATATCTGAGCCATCTCGGAGGTACTTTAGAGACTCTTTCAAGTCTATCTCATTTCGCTCAAAGTCCTCAGAGGTATATTCGTGGTGCCATCGTGAGACTTCAGACCCTGCGATATACCTCAGACGGTTTCGTGATACCCTTTCTCGATTCGCCTACGAGTTTGATCATCGCATATTAACAAACTCAAAAACTGAGTTTTTATACATTTTCAAAAAATTTTAATGAACAAAGACGGTTAAAAAGAAAAGTTCGAATAATTCTAAAACCGTTTTGCTGACTCGAAAAAGCGATTTCAAAAACTTGCACAAAAACTATTCGACCCTACATCAAAGGTTTCAAACGCGTGAAAAGCCATCACGAGGCCCTAGCAAAAAGATAGAACAAACCGTCGTTAGCAGGAAACAGAAAAACAACGGTGAGCAAGCGCTCGTAGAAGAAGACGTTACGGCGCGATATTTCGGCGTCGATTAGTCATCTTTTGACATTTCCCTGAAGCAATTCTTTTTTTCTTGCTCCCGCAACTGGTGCTACCTTCCTTGCTTTCATACTGTACAAAATTCATTTCTTGTGCTTTTTTTTTGAAGTGGAGATAAGTGCTCGATTTAAAAAAAGATTATAAAAAAATTCGATTTTTAGAACTTAGCGAGCAGGTCTTCGAAAAAAATTACCTTTTTTTTTAAGAGGAAAACATAAAAACATAAGTTTCCCATGGAAAATGAAATTTATCTATTTAGGTAGCTGATAAATTTTTTCATTTCTTCAGCCATTTTTTTTTTTCGAAATTTGCCTATGTTTTGCTCATAATTATCATTGAATAAATGAAACATTTTAAAAAAATTCATAGGTAAAAAAATAAAGGAACATTCACCTTGGTCCAACTTTGTAAGAAACTAAAATTTTTCAAGTTTAGACTAAACTACCTCTGTTGAACACCTTTGAGTTAACTGGAAGTTTGAGCAATATGTGACAACACCTTTCGCGTATTTTAAAGAACGTCCTAAAAGCGAATTGCTAATCGAAGTTCAGCTAAGATCCCATCGAATACCTAAAAAGCAGCGCACGTCTGAACGCACGCAATCATCTCCACGGCTAACCTGACGATCTTTCTAGCATGCCCATAGGTCGTTCCGCTCTTTTTACACACCTACAACTTTGTTTGTCTCCGCGTTCCGTTTGTTCTTACAGGCCGGGTGGTCCTCTGATCTCGATCCCTAGCTTCTCATTAATTACGGTCAACGAACAGTTCTGAAGTCAGCTTCCATCTCGACAGCGTTTTGCGGTTGCAAAAGAGGATTAGGCATGCACGAATACGTAAATGCGCGAGCATTGTCTCTCGGAACCATCTTTTTGACGTTTGAGCAAACTTTGTTGTGGACAAGATATTCCATCAGCACGATTCAGTTCTTCTAGAAAGTTTCGCATCATAAAAAATAGGAAGATGCATAGTTTGAAACAGAACAAACAGGGAATCTGCCTTTTTTGACGATTGGCAAACATTCGCTAAAGTCATTTGGCGTGAGACCAACTATCGTGAGAGCCCTGGTTTGAATATTCAAACCAAACTCCCACGGCCAACCATCCAAGATTTGCGGATAGTTCAAATATCACATACTTGCATGATCATTTTGTTTACTCAATCGCGCGCTTATCAATTCGAATTTTTTTCGAGGTAAAGAACTGTATTTTTAGATTGTTCACTCACTCTCTTGTTTTGAATCTGTCTAAACAGCTATCAATTTTCCAAGAAATAAAAATATCTTTCTCAGCGTAGTCTGGCCCCTAAAGTATACCTTCCCACTCCTCGAAAAATTTGAGATTCAAAATCATTAGTTTTTCATTTTTTTTTTTTTCAAAAAATTTCTTTCACCTCACCTGGCGTTTCTTTATCTTTTTCATTCTTGACTTCTTAATAAAATCCATGGAAACTCAACAAAGTAATTCTAGTTTTTTTCGAAAAACGAAGAAAAGTACCAAAGAATCAGAAAAAAAGAAAGGGAGCTATTTATTATCGTATATTATTCATACTCTTCAGTTTATATAATAAATCTTGATATTGTCAAAAACAGAATCTTGCTAGTCAGTTCTAACGGTCCGTTTGACTTTCTATTCCTCAGAAGAGATAACTGCGCCTGAAATGAGCCTTACTTCACCGATGACCTTCTGTATTTTTGCGTGAGCCTTGTCTCTCGACGCCGACACTTTCTTCGCCCCCGGCGGCACTTGTGTCTCCTGCTGCGTTACAAGTGCGGCCAAGACGTTCGTCGTCGCTTTCTCTTTGTCCAGCGTGAGCATTCTCTCTTATGATAAACAAATATGTCGCGGCAACCGCCTGATGAAACGAGATGGTCTCCGTGAGCTGACTTGGGGTTAACCGTTCCGAACCCCGTGTTCACTACACTTCAAGAAAACCAAGTGGAAACATTTCCAAAGTTGATGAAAACGGGGGTTTTCGGCAATGAGCGTCTCATTGGAAAGCGATGAAAGTTGATTTGATTAGTCCCAAAAGCCTCATGAAGACTTGAGAAATTTCGATAAAAGAGTTGTAGCTTTATAATAAGCCCCTGAGGAGAAGCTAAAGTTTCATTTTTAAGATCGGCTCTTAAGTTACTACTTTTTAAGTCGTCTTCTCTTCCTTTACATCGACTCTGAGACCAAATTGTCAACGCTCTCCAAAATAAGAAAATTGAAGTTATAATTTTTGACTTTTCTCCACAGAAAACTTAATTTTTAGTTTTACCTACTGGAAATATACAAAAGTCGTTGATCCGATTATGTAACGCCAACTTCCTTCATTCTACATTGGGGTCTCCGTTTTGCTTCGATCGTTTGTTCTATCAACAGTAACAGGAACCTTGTTGGTTTTTTCTGAACTTATCGCCACATAAGTCATCGGACGCGCCAAAAAAAGATCACCTCCTCGAGTTCAATCGCGGCCCATCAGCCAATATCCCCGCACTCGTTCTCTCGCTATCCTGAACGCCTATTTCTTGATTCGAATTGGAGATTCAGAGTTGTCAGGACTAGAGACCGGCGATGCGATTCATCATCGCGGCTGTTTTCGTCGCCCTTGTGACCCATGGAATCCAGGCGTCCGCCTTTCGAAGCTCGCTTCAACTGAGGCAGCAGAATCTCGAAAACAGCATGGTTAGTTCAATCAACATCTGCCAAGAAAATCTTCTGATTTTTTTTTTCAGATGCCGTCGACAAGAGATGTTAGAGACAACCAAGACTACATCGGAGATGATTTGCCTCCGCAAGTTCCGAGGTTGAACAAGGAAGCCAAGTGGGGACTTATCCGAGCCCATGGCATGGACCCACTCATACGTCGTCGTGGCTTGCAATTCCAGATGCACCACTCAAAATCTTTGCGTAAATATTTTCGATTTATTTTAAAATGATTTCCTCCTCGTAGACAAGAAGTCGAAACGTGAAGTGAAGCCGTGGAGGGTGCAGAATGTGTTGCCAAAAAGACCTGTCGTTCCGGCTATTCTTAAACCTTTGGTCGCGCTTCCCGTCGATGTCTGTCCTCGCGAGTTCGACGCAGTCACAAAAGGTCGTTTGTTTCTTATTTGACGTCTTCATTTTTTTCTTACAGCAGCGAACGGGCGGACCTACTTTTTCTCAAGAGAACGCGTTTTTCAGGTGTACTACGACGACGGTTTGCCGCAAAAAGTGACAATTTTTCTTTCGGTATTCACAAAAAAAAATAAAATTTCAAGGCTTCGTTCCTGATCGCAGACCTTTTCTTGGGAGGACCGAGACAGGTTTCAGCTGCACTCACAAACTCGCGCTCCGGCGTCACCACGCTGTTCGAGGGTCGAAGAGCCTATCGATTCAGATGGAACAGAAAGACCAAACGATTCCATGTGAGCTGCGATAGAGCTTTAATAATTGCTTCTGACTTTTTTAGCTGGCAAGAAACACGCCACAAGAATTTCCTCGAAATATCACAATAACACCAGCGACAGCCTTCGAGTGGGTCGACGGAAATCAAGTCGTATCTTCTGTGAGTAATATCTCTCTTTCGCTTCAATTGTCCAAGGTTTCTTGGAAATCACAACTAAAATTATATGCAATTCGAGTTTCAAAAACAAAACAAAAAACTCAAATAATCTGTTTACTGTTTATTGCATCTTCAATGTAAGAATACATGTGCAATCCCCTTTCATTGGTTTATCTGTGTTTAAACGGCGGCAGGAGCTGTGGCTTAGACAGAAAAGTTGTGAATTTGGCTCAATCTCTGCCATCGGCCTTTGAAAAGCCGACACCGTACTTCTTCCTACGACCTCTCTTGTACCTGATGTTCTACGAGCGAAACTCAAATTATCTGATGACTTTTTAATCATGTGAAGTTCAGGGAGATCACTTCATGATCTACGACGCCTACTGGAACCTAGCTACGTTCACGGACCACACTAGACGATACTTCCCGAATCTGCCACGCGATTTGCTCGGCATTGTCTACCAGGGCGGCGACAGTACCCTTCTGATGTACACCAAAAGTAACAAGCTTAAGGTATGTCTCAACAGCTCAAATTTCGCTTCAATTAAACTTCAGGTATACAATGCTACCAAATTCAAAGTGGTGCTGGAGTTCCCGCTGAAAATAAACGACTATGTAGGCTGTCTGAGCGCGTAGTTACAGTATTATTTGATTGTTTTTGTTACTATTTGTTTCTTTAACTCTGACAATTTTCAGCCGGTGTTTCTTTTTTTATTATTTCTGAACGTCAATTGTCATGTAATCTTGTTGCCTTAAGTAATCAGCACGCTCAATCAAACTTTATTTTATTTTCCATGACCAATTAAAACACTGCCGGAAGCCATTTCGGATTCCTCTGTTTCAATTTAATCTACGTGTATTGGCTATGCCAATCCCATCCAACTGAAATGTTCTGTTGAAAATGCACTGTCGAAACTCCAAACCCCTTCCCGATTCGGTAGTTTGGCTATTTTCACAATCATCTCTGTGGTGGTGCGCATGACTTAATCATTCCATTATTTTCCTTTTGTCAAATTAACTTCAGTTTCACTGTTTGAACTCAATAAAGGTTCTTTGATTCCCACTTTAATCAACCGTCAAGCGCGAGTGAGCTTATAGCATTTCAAAATCATGGAATCTGAGACCAAAATGAAAAAGGATTGAGTTCACGTATTAAAAAAGAAAAGTAACAAAAAATATATACAAACTACAACTATTCGTGTTGTTTATTCGTCTTGATGACGAAAGCGTGGACTTGGTCGAACAGTTCTTTCTTGACGCTGCTCGGGACCCGACGTCTGCAGTCGTCCTTGACGGCTTCGAACACTTCCTTCATTGTCGCGTTGTCGCCCAACTCCTTGAGAAAATGAAAAAATCGAGGTTTACCTCTAGAGAAAATAACAGCCTCTCTTTCAAGTTTACATGTAAATATGAATATTTTTCATCAATAACTCTAATATAAAGTTATTTATTTGTTTATTTGAAAGATTCTCAGAAAAGAAATATTTAAGTTTCTGAGTCACTAAAGCTGAGGTTAAATGAAAAAAGATACGGAGGACTTTAAAATTCATGAATGGATTAGTGAGAAAAAGTTGAAACCATGTTTATTCAATAATAAAACCTACACTATGTTCAAAAATTCTTGCTGAGACTTTCGAAAATGCGCGTCTTCGCGGCAGGACGCATGTTTTATGTGAATTCAAGCGTGACGTCGCAATGAATTTTCCTTCAGAAAACCCAGCAAGGACTTTTGAATAGATTGAAATGTTCTCCTATTGTTCTTTGAAATGATACCTTAACTGTTTGGATGATATTCTCTCGTGTTTTCTCTTCCCATCCTTCTTGAACGAGGCGCCGTGTGATATTTTCCTTAAAAAAAACTGAGCTCCAAATTTTAGGTTTAGCCATGGAAAAGTAAAAAAAGAGGAAAAAAAAAGATATTAAGCAATGTTTCCTGAAAAACCAGTTTTTCTACTGAACCCTGTTTCTTCTTGCGACAACTTTTTGATCTAATCTGTCTAATTCTTTTGATCAAAAATTCCCGGATCGGAGATTTTTCAAGAACAAAGATGAAAAACTGAATATTTTGCATATATGTGAAATGCTTTTTCATATATTTAGATATCCTTGACTTCACTCAAAAACAAACCTTGCATCTATTTTCTTCTCCACTGGAGCTGAAGGCTTCTTCAATCACGTGAGCTGGCACTGATAAAGCTTGGCTGTCTTCGTCCTTTAAATCGGCCATCTCTAATGCCGTATTCAAATCGATTCCACGAAATGCAAATTAGTCGTCCAAACAAGAAGAAGATAACTAAACTTTGAAAAGTCAGAGATAGTTTTGCATTTCGCGAAAAAATACTTTGAACCCGGCATAAACAATTTTTTTCATGTTTCAGTCTTTATGCAAAATCGAATATAAAATTGAATAAGCAAGAAGAAATGCAGAGCTTCAAGCAACAAAAAAACCAGAAATTTTGAACAAAATTGTTTTAATTAGCGGGAAAAATTCATCACGCACCAAAAAAAAAAATTGGAAACAACCAAAAAGAAGATTGGTTAACAACTGATGAAAAAGAAAAGCGGCGAAAATTGCGAAACTCATAGTGAAAAATTGTTTTGAAAAACTTTAAGTGAGAACCGATCTGTGGAGATTAGACTCGAAAATCTCCGAATTTTCACAAACGAGTTATTCACAAACTTAAGTACTTGAAAAAATGAAAAACAAAATAAAATTTATGCCGTGTTCAAAGTAATTTCCGCGAAATGCAAAATATCCTTTAGAGAAAGGAAAAGATCACTAAATTTTGGAGAGTCAGAGATCATTTTGCATTTCGCGGAAATTACTTTGAACACGGCATAATGCCGTGTTCAAAGTTAAATGCGGCCCTGGGAAAAGAACGATATCGTCGGAGCGCACTTTCTCCATTTTGGCCTAGGTTTTACAGATGCACTCCACCCAACATAATTGCCGATATCGCAGCGGGCCGCACGCGATATAGCCAAGGCTTCTCGCTGCGATCTCGTCAAAGTCTCGCTGCCATATCGCTCCCTCTCAAAAATTTGAAATTTGAAAAAAACTTTTTGCTTTATTTTTTTGACTTTTTATGATGAAATCAATCAAATTCAAAAAATTTTTTTGAAGAAAAAAATTTTTTTCGGGGAGCGATAAAGCGCAAGACGTTTGCGAGGTCGCAGCGAGAGGCGAGCGATATCGCTCGCGGCTCTCCCGCGGTATAGCATTACTCTCGCTGCGATATAGTCCAAAAAATTGGGTGTCATCTTACCAACTGATCAAGCGATTATATTAAAGCATCCAATAAAAAAGAGTTTTCTAATAAGTATATGAAACTAGAATACAGTTTCCGAATTATATCCCACGAGGAACCTCATGACGTTTTCTAAAATTCCTGTGGTCATTTCTCCGACTCCTCCAACGATGTTTTGTTGAAAAGGCCCTCTAAAATGAAAAACGTGAAAAACCGGTATGAATGAAAGCAAAGCAACCCTTGTGGACTCGTGAAACTTTTTTGAATCCCTGTAAGCATTTCGTTGAGCGTCAGCCCTTGATTTCCATTATCAGAACCGTGTAATGATGGTGGTGAAACCTAAAAAACACTACCATTCCTCAATTTTCGAAGTTTTAAACCGGTTCTCCAGGCGCTTTAAATACTTGGATACCACTCGGTGTCTTACGCACCGTTACCTGAAAAGACTTTATTCTTTATCAGAAGAAAAAAATAAATAGATAAACCGTAACAGGCTCCCCGTTTTCCACAATAACCTTTTCTGATAATATAGTTTTAGAAAGCGAAGACTCTCGGCCAATCTGAGAAAGTAATGTTGCTGATTGAATACTGAAAAACAAACCGTTTCATTTCGAGAGATCGGTGGTCGGCGCCATGAGTCTTTACCGATTGGAACAAAAACAGCATCATCAGCGTTTTTGGAAATCCCTGCTAAAGTTCAAGCTTCAAAAATAGAGAATGTTTTTCAATTTATTCGGAAGTAGGAGAATCTCATTGATTACCTGGACAAACTCTGCTTAGCTCCCGCAAAAGGCCTCGGCAAGAAGTTGTCGGAGGAGGACACCTGGTTGGAACCACCACTTCGCAAGGACTCGGGCATCTTCAAATAAATTTCGATAGAAGATCTCGAAGTTATTTTAAAGCAATAGCAAAGCCTCTTCCGACGAGTCAGTTGTCGAATATAATTTGAGCCCTTATCGATATTCTAGTTAACGGTTTAACGCTTACTTTCTAGGGTTATATCATATAACTTATATGACAAAAAGACGTATCTGAAACCTTCTTTTTGAGTTAACAGATCTATTTTTTTCAAATTTTCTGTAATGAATTTCTGGGAGATAGCCTACCCGCAGCAGCAATAATCAAGGCCCTCGGAAAATGAAGCGAAAACGGCCCAAAACACACAGATGAAGGCCGAGAGTCGCATGTCTGCCGAGGTCGAATGCCAGTGGTCGAAAGAGAAAACACAGAAGGACTCGTTTCATTTGATTTTTCCGTTCCTTATCATCCGATGCGTTCTTGTGAAATTGAAAAAGTTGGAATTGATAACTTGTTTGCGATAGGTGCGTCGAAAGAAGAAATTGGGTGAAAGTTGGAGATAGGGAAGCTTGGAGAAACCTAGATCTGGGTCATCCGTATATAAGTTATGTCTTTCTGAAGCTGTCAGACATGAAATCCGTGTGTGTGTTTTTCTTTTTCGAATTTCTGTGCTACGGCTCCCTTGCGGCGCCGTTGCGAACTGTCCTCTGCTGCTGCGGCTGCGAATCGGAAGTCTGTCCGATTGTTGGGGCAAGCTGCGACGAGCCGCGACAGCCGTGCGACCCTTCATCAGTGGACATTCTGCTCTGTTCTGGTATTTATTTTCTTAGATTTTTATTCTTGCTCATACTTTCCAATTTTTTTTCATGCGTTTTAAAGAACTGGAACGACTAGCAGGGGCTACACGAGAAAATTCGGCTCAAAACGAGTCATCTATAAGCATGGAGCATCTGGTAGTTTTCTTTTCCCTTCTCAGAAGAAGCTGTAGTTCAGAAAATTGACCAACGGCCGATGGAGGACTTTTCAGATATCGACTCCGCAGCCATTGAAAACGAATACTTCTTGCCGGCAAGTTCCATCTCTCTTCCAAAATCTTTCATGCTTTGTTCCAATTCAGGACCAGTTATCAGTTCAACAGAACGAAGAAAACGACATTCCACCGGCCCTCTTGATGTTGACAACGAAATCTTATGAAATTTGTTAACTGCAACCTTTCAGAAGAGACTTCAACGAAACGTCATCTGTTCAGTCTCCATCTTTTTACAGGCAGTCTGTGGAAGATGTAAGACAATATAAACTGAAGATTCGGACTCCAATTCCAGGATTACATCGAGTATTATCATCAACAATTGAACAAACTCCATGGAATGATTGACGAAATGGCGGTTTTTCAATGAAAAGGTCATCAAAAACGTTCTTACTCTTCCAGAAAATGATGAAAATGATGAGAAAAGTAGTTGGAAAACGAAGGTTGAATGAAGAAGAAAGCAGCGAAGTCGATGAGACTGTCGAAACTGCGGCGGAAGTTTTCAAAAGGCGCAAGATTAGGTCGAGAAGGAGCAACAAAAGCAACTGCAATGACAAAAAATTGGGAGAATTAATAGAAAAGGTAGGCGTCCAAAGTCCGAAAATAAAATTGAAAGTTGTAGAACATAAAAAAAGACGCCAAGGCCTCGAAAAGAGCGATTCAAAAGGCTGCGGCCGAAGAATTCGGCGGACAGTTCAACGTCGTCTGCAGTCCTTGCGAATTCACTTTTGTCGTCAATTCGCAAAAGTTTTGCGATGGATTTAAAAACGAGGTCTTTTTTTTTATTTTCCATTTTTCTTGAATAATATCATCTTTAGGTGGCCTGTTTCGCTTTTCTCCAGCCGTCTTCCTCTTCGGACAGTTGAAATGAAGATTGTTCGTTCATGTACATTTTTATAGAAATTTATTGTTTTTTTTCTCATATAAAATTTGATAAGCAACAAGAAGGATAGGGATAACGCATAACGCCATTACCGGTAAATATAGCAAACGGGAAACACCAACAAAATCATTGAATATCAGGCAAGAGTAGCAAAATTCAACAAGCATCCGTTCACACGTGATAATTGGCTAAAAATATGAAAACTTCCGAGAGAGGAGAAGACCCTGTCTGAGTGGTCCAAACAAATTGCAGCAGAAGAACAATAACACACACAAGAAAAATAGTGTACAGCGATAGTGATTTCATCAGCTTTGAAAAAAGAAAACTTCGAAATTCATAGTGTCTGCACTGTCGATTGTATCACAAAGATGCTAAATTAGATACCACAAAGATACTTAGCGAGAAAAAAAAAATCATGAGTGGAGCGTCCACACAACATAGTTGTCTACATCGCAGCGGGCCGCAGGCGATATAGCCAAGGCTTCTTGCTGCGATCTCGTCAGCATATCTCTGCGACCTCTTCAAAGTCTCGCTGAGTATTGCTCCCTCTCCAAAACTTTAAAATTAAAAAACATTATTTTGCTTTATTTTTGCCTTCTATGGTGAAATGAATAAAATTGAAGAAAAAAACATTTTTGAAGGAAAATTTTTCAGAGCGATATAGCGCAAGACGTTTGCGAGGTCGCAGCGAGAGGGGAGCGATATTGCTCGCGGCTCTCCCCCGGTATAGCACTATTCTCGCTGTGATATAGGCCACAATATTGGGTTTCATTGGTATCTGTTATAATTCTTGGAAAAAGTTTCAAACTCTACGAAATAAAATTCTGTTCTAAAAACTATTACTCAATCCATCGATTCGATATTTCATGAAATTCGAAATGAGAGAAAAAAAAACTACTAACAGGTAGTCGGCCTAAAGCTTCAAAATGATGGTATTCGTGTGTGGCAAGCAAAAAGAGTGGAAAGAAAGACGGAGTTTCCCTGATAGCAACTGCCGTTTGATTCAGACGCTGAAGAACTGGTTCTCAGGATGATCGTAGCTGTACTGCGCCATGCGGCCCACGAGGATCAGCCCCAGAGTGACGAGAACGACTGCGGTCACGAAAACTATGAGCAGAAACCTGGAGATAGTTAGAATAAAGTCAGAATCATTGTGTAGCCGAACAAACCTGTCGAGAACGGTGGCCAGAAACTCCCATTCCAGCGAACATTGCCGTTTTCTTCTCATTTCATCGACCTCTTTGTTGAAGACATTAGAAGTGCGGCGAAGCTGAGAGTTGGTGCCTAATCGAAAAGTTAGCAAAGTCTCTGAGAGACTGCAGACCTGCCAAAGCCGACATGGTGCCGTCCCAGAGGCCAGGAGGACGATTCGTCGCTACAGAAGGCGTCCGTGAGTGTCGCGGCGTCAGCGGCGAGTTCGGACCGGTGACGTCGATCATCTGGAAGGACTGACGCTTCTCGCTGGGCTTCGCCGATAGAGGCACACGAAGTGTTGACCTGCATTCAAGTTAGCTGTTTTCCGTTCAGGTGGGACCGCTCACGTTGGAGACGAAGGCTTCGCGGAATCGTTGAAAGCTCGGCCACTAGACTTCTTCTTTCGCTTCCAGACGTTGAGAGGATCGTCCTGAAGTCGTTAGTGAGCGACTTGAGCGGAAAGAACCGAAACCTCCAATTCTCCCCACAAGGTTTGTAGTGGTGGCGGAATATTGATGAACAAAACATGAGGGAGAACAACGAAAAACATGTAGCGAATCAGTTTTGGCGGATTCTTGCCATACTGCCGCCGTCCTGTAAAAATAATCCGTTTGTACTCATCGAAGTTTTGAGTATATGAAAATGTGTATTTTTCTGTATTTTACCTTGTACAGAAAGAACGACGCTTGTCAAGAACGTTCCTATGGACACAATAATGATGATTGACAAGTAGAACCAAGCTGTAAGGAACACTTAAAAAGAAAGCAAAAAGAGACAAACCGATGAGCGGGACGAACTCGCTGGTGGTGGGCATCTGATCGGAAACCATGAGCATCAAGATAGACATGGCCAGAAGAGTAGTGATGCCGAGGTTGATTTTCTCCGTTCTGTCGTCGTCAGTAGAAGCTGGAGTGAAGAAACCCGTGATCGAGACGATCGTGATGATGGAAGTGGGGATTATGAGGTTGACAAGGTAGTACAGAGGCTTGCGCTGTATCACCAAAGAGGCTTGCAGAATCACCCACGGTTCCGCGCAGCAGGCGTACTTGTACTGAATAGGAGGAAATTCGAACTTGCAGAGAAGCTATTCAAACTTCGTGTCTGAAGATTTTGAATGATTTCACCTCCCATTCTTCGTTGGGAATGAACGAGGCCAGGTTGACTTCTGGATCTGCGTAGTAATCCAGAGCGGACTTCGAATTGGTCCAAGAAGAAATTGTCATTGTGCAGTTTTGTCGATCATAAGGAAAGAATCAAAAAAAAAAAAATTATAATTTGATAATTTCATTGGAACACCTCACCTTATGTTCAAGCGGCAAGTGATGGTGTAGATGGCTGGATACAAAAAAGAGAGATCGGATCCGTTCTCTCCTTTCCAATGGTTGGTGGATACCTGCAGGAAGGCGGCTGGAAAGGATGCCAACGGAAATAGAGAACCTGGATATTCATGTAGCGTTCGGTTTCGTCTCGACTCATTTTGACGCTGTTATAGAGATAGGTGTCGGGTATCCATAGGTGGTTGAAGGGGATTATCGTCGAATTGATCATGCCGAATTCTCGCGGATCCCAGTCGAGGTACTCGTCGCGCCATTTCTGGATCATCCACACGTTCAGCCGGATGTTCTGCGCTGGCTCATCCTGTCAGTTTTTTGTATTTATCACAGTGTTGATAGCCGAATGAGCTTACCACTTCGATGATTTGATACAAAGAAATACTGATGTGAACTTTTAACGGTTTGGTATGATCAATGATAGGTCGTACTCTGATGTCATATCTGGAAAATTCAAAGTAAGATGAAGAAAGGACGGGGAACATTTTTTGAAAAAAAATAATGAAAGATCAAATAAGAAAAAAAGGCGATAGACAGCACCTGTCGTGTGATAAAAGATATCGGGTGAGTCTGATCAGAGGCACATTTTGCATGGCCGCATCGCGTTGAGCTGTTTCATTCAGCATGCGCGGGTCTGCAAATCCTCGGCTGTGGTTGATATGCTAAAGTTAGAACTAACCTAAAGTCGGTTCCGAGGAGTTGGATCTTATGCTGACATCTCTGGCCAAGGCTAGGCAGACGAGCGGCCACAGGACACCTGCGGACCTCATTACCGCATAAGTTCAACACTAAAATAACATTAACTCCAATATTGCTGAATTGAGTTTAAGAAAATATTCAAGTCTTAAGGTAGGCTTTTAGCTGGAAAACGAGCCATAAATTCCTCCAAATTGAAGAATAGTCATGAAAAGTTCATTCAAACGACGAAATTTATGAGGCCGACGAACTAAAAAGAAAAAAAAAAGAATTGAGAATCAAAGTCCTGAAAAAGCAAGATTAGAAGCAGCAACGCGTGGGGTAGATGAATTCATGGGCTTCAAGGTTCGCAAATCAAAAATGCATTTGTCGCTGGTTTCCAGTAAGAACGATAAATGAGCAAAGCGAAAGGGAAAACTGGAAAAATAAATGGATTCAGCGAGAGGACAAGCTCAGTTCCCTTGTATTCAGTACCAAAGGTCAAAGTGAGAGCAACAGCTGGAAAGGGAAACCGTGAAAAAGTTGAGAAGAGAAGATACACAATAACTCATAAAAGAAATTTCAACTTGAACTTAATCGATTTCCCTAAATCCATTCTACCCATCTTTTTCAAAAAAGTTGAACTGATACTTCTCAGAAAAGATTTTACAGACCGGGTTACGGTTTCAAAAAAATATTATCGTTTAACATTTCAGGCTTCGCTATAGAATATATCACATAATTTTCAATTATAAATTTTCCTTATAGAAACTCACGCACTTCAAGACTATAAAGCCGGCGTTAAATTTGTTTTTCCTGTTAGTAAGGTTCTTTGGACAGTTAAAGTGAAACTTCTAAGCACAAAGTGTGAAGCTATGTGAAAAAAAAAAGTGAAAATAAGAACAATAAATAACGGTATAAAGAGATCACAAGTCGAGATTTCGAAGAAAGTTTACAAGTTTCGAATAAATCACTTATCAAAAACAGAAAAGGAAGTGCTTTAATTTTGAGTTTCGAAGAAATGTTCCGACCGTTAGGGCTTCTCCCATTTTTTCAACTCGGCCTTAATAGAAAGTTAATATCTTGCAACAGACAGAAACAAAACCTCTAGAAGGTTTAAGAAGCTCCAAACTCGATTCCGGCTTGGACCCAGTGAAAGAATCCGATACAGTTGATTCCAATGGTGATGATGAAGAAAATGACAACAAAAATGACAAAGCAAAGACGTTCGACGACCGTCGCCAGCCACTCGAATTCGGCCAAAGCCAGCTGTTTATTGGCCTTGAGCGAGCCTGAAAATAATAAAAATATTCAAATAAAAATGTCTCAACCAAAAAAAAAAACAAAACAGACGTTAGTAAGACAATGGTTAGGTTTTCAAAGTTGTTATGCCGTTAATTAATTCAAGGTTATGAAAGAGCGTCTCACCCAAACCAAAAAAAGCAAGGAGCACACAATTCAAACAAAAAAGAAAGCAGTTTAGAGTGCTTTAAGGCAATAAATTGGAAAATTCTTTTCACTTAAGGATTCATCAGAAGATCGAGATTCGCCAGACGCAATCTTAAATGGTTGGCCTATGAAAGAAGTGCAAGAGATCGGGCGCGTGAACTGACTCTGCATGGCCAGGAAAGCGTTTGTGCAGTGCTTGCCCTTGCCCGCAAATCTCTGGGTTCTGATGGTGGCGGGTCGGCTCGACACGTTCGAGATCATCGACACGGAGTCGTCGTTGACGGTGAGCGGCGCCGGCGTCGTCCCCACCGGCGATCCTGCGGACGCCACTGGTGCCGACGGCGACAGAGAGTCTTCTTCAACAGGTTCCAGTCGTTAGTAGAGGTATTCAATCGTGAACAAATGGTAAACACACTACATTTGATGTTAGTTTAGTTGAGGATTTTTCCCAAATGGCAATTTGAAAAATAATTGATTCAGCGGCGAAAAGATTAAAAAATTGCTTTAAAAAGCTATTTTATTCAAGTTGACAATTAAAATGATGCGTTTTTTTTTCAAAATGTTTTTTCTTTATAACTTTCATGGTTCTATACATCCATGGATGTATAGAACGTGGATATCCACGCCACAAATCTTTCTGTGAGCGAAAAATAAACATTTCACCTCATTACATTTTTTGGCTTCAGGTTATTGAGTAAGAATGATTTCCACACTTGTGCTCAATTACTTGAGAAACACTTTTGAGAAAAGTTTATAGTTCATTAAACACTGGATCAATTTTATATTCGATGTTTATGACTACAGCGAAGCAGTTTGCTGAAAGATGAGGTTCCTGTCGTGTTCAAATTAATTTCCGCGAAATGCAAAATGGTCCCTGACTTTCCAAATTTTAGTTATATTTTTATTTCTCTGAAGGCTATTTTGCATTTTGCGAAATCCCTTTGAACAGGGCATACCACGTTTTTATAGACTAAATTGACTATAATTCTCTTTTTCCAAGCTTGAGGCAGAGGAAAAAGATGAAGGTTTGAAAACGGTTGCAGCCAATCATGGTTCAAGTTTCTACGAAAAAAAGTCTTCATGTGAATTGTATCAAGAAAACTAAAAGTTCGCGGAGCCCCTTACCTTGAGTCGTGGACGGCGACAAATGGATGAGGGGATCTGTGCTTTTGTCGGAAACCAACGCGAGGCCGTTGTTTCGGGCCTTCTTCGCTCCATTGATCCACTTGTTGCGAACGCTGTCGTTGGAGAGCGGCCTCACTTCGACGGTGGGCGTCGGCGCGTCGAAGGCTTCCTGCAAGAAAGATAGTTGCCTTCTCCGGACCAAGTCACCATCATGTGCTCCTTTTCGATGTGCGGAGGGAGCGAAGTACACGTGAAGCAGGCGAGGAACTTGGCAAGTCTGCAACCGTGTAGTCTCTTTCTATCAGACTATATTCCCCATACTTAAGTGATCTTTTGGACATTCTCTCTCCGATGCTGCCCCGTTTTTGGATGGCTATGATGACGGAGGAGACTACAGTTCCCATTGAAATTACCACTATCATTGCCAGAATGAACCATCCTGAAATGTTCGCTCTTAATATTGCTGAAGATCGATCCTTGCCGATCAGAGGGATGAAGGTTGAAGTGGTAGGCATCTGGTCCGAGACCATGAGCATCAAAATGGACATCGACAACAAAGTAGTGATCCCGAGCGAAACTTTTTCCTCTCGCATGCCGGAAGCAGAGGAAGTCCTAAAAGTTAATGCGGCCATTCAACTGGTTGTTTTCACAAATCGAAAAAAAAAGCTGTGTAACCCGATGAAGATATTACATCGGAAAGACTTTGACTTGAGCAAGAGTAATAAGAAAAAACCACTAACGTGAAGAAACCGACAATTGCAATGAGAGTGATGATGGATGTGGGAATAATCAGGTTGACGAGGTAGAACAGCGGTTTCCTCCTGAAAAAGGGAAAGTGAGGAGAAAAGATAATACTGAAACCTCAAAAACAACGTTAGCTGCAGTAACGTGTACTTGTTTGGGCAACAGGCGTACTTCACTTCGTTGCGTGTGACTGGAATTTCGAGTTAGGAAAAATGACTGTGGAAAAAACCACAAAAAAATCTTTTGGTATGAGTGGCTGCCATAACTTTTTTTCATTAGACTTTTTTCAAATCAAAAGTTGCGAGAAAAGTAAAATGATGAAATAAAAAATGCACGTTTTAGGATATTCTGCTACAAAACCTTCATTTTATTGTAAACCCTAGTTTAGAAAGGAATTATTTTGCGATTTCCGTCAATTTACACTCTAAACACTGCTGGATTTTTTCGAACAAAAAAAAAAGAAAAATTACTCAAAGTTTGCTAACAAAAAAGTTTTCCTTGTATTTTTGATTTTTCGTAATGTCGGCTCAGAATTGGCTCATTTGAGGCGATAATAAAAAAATATCGAAATTTTTTTAAGTTCTTCTAAAAATCTTCAATACCAGCCGAAATTTTAAAAAAATGGTTTTTAGGTTGGATGTTGCAAAATATTTGAGCTCTCTTTCTCAAAAAATGAAAACCTTTATCTACTTTCTAAGAAATTTCTTGGCAAAAGTTCAATGAATCTACGGAAAAAAATCTACCCTTCTTCTGATTTACAGTTCTCATAAACTGTATAATATACTGTATAACTGACTCTTCGTGCGCAGAATATACCATCCTTCGTTTTCCAAGTAATTGCTGGTGCCGATGTGATCCGAGTAAGGAAAGTAGTCGATACCTTTTTGGTCATAGGTCCAAGAGGAAAAGGTCATCGTGCACACCTGAAGAAATTTTGAAGTATATTTTCAAAAGGGATGAAAAACCTGAACATCAAACGGGAAATAACGGAGGTCAAGAAGACAGGAGAACTTGTAGATGGTCGGGTAAAGGAGCTCTATGTAGGCTGCTCGACGCTGTCCGTCAGTCGTCAGCTTGGCGTTCAGAAGACGTCGCGTGTCGTCGTCCTTCATCACAAGTCTAGAAAATATTTCTGAGATGCTTATCCGAAAAGAGCGAAACGAGTTGTAGAGTGTGGTGTCCGGCAGCCAGATCGAGTCATGGGGAAGTCGCAACTCGCTGATATTCTCGTAGTCGTTAGGGTTCCAGTACAAGAACTCGTCGTACCAGCGCTACGAAACTTCTAATCAAAAACAAAAGGAAACCCGAAAATTGAACCTCAATAATCCAAGCGTTGAGAAGTATGTATTGCTGTGGTTCGTTCTGAAACTTCCTTGAATAAAAGAACATTCTTCTGGCCCATACCAATTCTAATATTTGATAGAGGTCCATAGAGAAGGAGACGTTGATGGGTTTCGCGTTGTCCCACATCGGCTTCGCTTTCCGGTCGTAGTTGTCGAGCAAGTCGTGCACCAGCTTGATCTGCGTCGGCACCGCGGCACTCGACAAAGTTAGCGCCGCTGAAAATCGCTTTGAAATCTGCGTTCCTTGGAAAAAAACAAAGTGAAGTGTATGGTTCTTGCCATCTTGGCATTCTGCAAAAACTCAAGTTGGCGCCAACCAGGAAATGAGAGGCGAAGAACTCATCAAAGCTTTCCAAAAGACTACGACCTTCTCGAGCCTCCTGGGAACGCCGTAAGTTCCACGTAAACGTATGATTGAACTTTTCACCCAAAACTCCCGAAAAGAATGAGAGAGAAGCATGACTTTCTACTTCTTCTCCAAAGTTGTCAACTAACGAGAACTTCTCAGAAATACAAGTATAGCACTCACTGAAAATGAGGAGAAACTTCAAAGACATCATTCCGTTTGAATTGGCTCTGCTTTATATCTTTCGCGAGGAACGGCTTCGAAATACGTTCAAAAGCGAGAATCAATCAAGGAAATTGCCATCGAAGCATTCGACCGTTGGCCCTTCGTTCAATAACCAAATGACGTCCTGCAAGCGTTCCATTAATACCGACGTTTTAAGAGTTCATACTTCTATACGAGGTCAATAATTTCCTTTTGCTCTAAAATCGAAAATTTTTCAATGCTAAATACAGCCTGGAGTTCTTGGAGTTTCTTTCTATATTTTTTTAATTAGAGGACTCCGGTTGATCTTAAATAGATACGATGAAAGTCCCTCGATATTGGTAATGGAAACAATATCGAAGATGATTTTTGAAAATAAGTGAATAGCTCAAACTTTTGAAAAAGTTGCCTTATCAGGAAGATTAAGTTTGATCTTTCTTTAAAAGATGAAATTCGGAAAGATAGCGATGCCTAAATTAAACTAAAGATTGAGACAAGGAGTCGAAGATTGAGCCACTTAACAGAACGTCCTTAACGAGCAGACCACTTGAAACATGAATTTTCTTTTAAAAGGATAGTTTCGATTCGAAAAAAAAAGACAAAAAATCAAGGATGACGATTGTATCAAGAACTTGAATTTGAAAAAGACGGATGTAAAATCCAAAGCGAACATCAAAAAGAGGACGTATTTCAGTTTGGCGAGGTCGAAAATGTGAGCCAAAACAAAAGCAAAAACAGAGAATAAGAGATTTTGAGGTGGGCGACGTATGGAAGAACCACAAATAATTCTCTTTTGTGAGGGGTCCGATGAACAGAAGCTGCGTTTTTGAGAGCATCCTTCCGAATCACAAGTCCTATTTATGCGAGTTGCCGAAAGGGTCAGCGCTGGAACTTGTTGTGGCTATTGGTTGTGCTCGTTTGGATCTCGTTGATGCTTTCCGTCAACACAAGGAAGTTCTTTCAAACAAATAAATGGAAATCATTGAGAAAGCAACATCGTTCCTGCGTCAAGCAGTTGAATAAAAAAAAAGTCAAACAGTACCGATCTTTTTGGGCTTAAAAGTTTACTACTTAAAAAGCAACTTGTCGTCAAAAGTTTACTCTTTTATTAATATGAAAATTCCTACGGCAAAAAACCAAGATAGTGAAATCAAAGATCCAAGCTCGAAATAAAAATGAGCGAAAAAAAGACAGCGGAAGATAGCCAACAAGGCGGCAAGTCTTTTGACGGACCCAGACGTGTCGAATTCGCACCGGTGAGCAGAAGTGGGCGTGGTCCAAAACCGTGGGTTCTCGGCTCTTTCCATAATTGCGTCGTGCATTTGTGGCAACAAATGCCGTTCGCATTTTTCATTTGCCTTACACCGACGGCTCTTTTTTTGGAAGGTCAAGTCCTCCTGGGGGCGTTGGCAACAAGGAAACTGCGAGGTTTCCACCGTTTAACTCAATTTGTCTCATTTCTCGAGAAGGTTAAACCCCATAAAAAATGCATGTCCGTGATTGAGACATGCATTTTCGATGGCGGTCATGCTCGACCAAGTTGATTGATCCGCGACGCGTTGCCAGCTCTCAGCTGTCAGTTCTTTTTTCTCCGGTCACTGCTTGCAAAACTCGCAAACAGGTTCAATATACATACATTTCAAACCTTTTCTAATTCTCCCAATCTGGATTTTTTCAGTCCATCTTCTTTGGCCTAATTCTAAAAACGTTACCTACTCTTTCGAAAAACCATCTTAGATGCTTCCAAAATATGATGACAGTTTTCGAACCCACCTTGAAAAAAGTTATTTTAGTTTTCAGGCCCTAAAATACGTTCGAGATAAATTTCAAAAAGAGCGCGAAACCATTATATTTCAAACTGTCAAAAAATATAGATCATTTCATAAAAAAGCAGGCTTATTTTCACTAATTCAAACCAGAATGAGTAGGACAAAAAAAGATTGAACGAGAAAGCTCGGGATTCCAAATAGTTCCTGGTATCATGATATGTTTTATATAAATGTACATAAGATTGAGTTTCCTAGTTTTCCTCAAATGATAAAAATTTGTCGAAGAGTCTCAAAAACTACAAGTTTCGGATGCTCGTCAATAACGACTCCTGAGCAATTAATTCAACAAAAATTGAATAGTTTGTATCTGTATTATATTAAATCGCTCTTTTTGCATTTGCTTCATTGAATAGTGTTAAGAAAATGCTTTGAAGCATCAGTTGAGGCATTAGTGAGAGCCTTGTTTTTAATAGAAACAAGTGTTTTCTCCCTGGCGTCCAGAAAGACCTTGACGAGGAATAATTATATCGGTTATCATAAGAAAACCTTGCATGCCCAAAAAAAAATCATAAAGTAAGGTCTATTTTCCAGGAATCTTACGGATCAAGGAATATTGAAAGCAAAAAAGACAAAAAGAACACGAGAGCATCCATCATAACTTGTGGATTGAATTTCCGACCAGCCACATGCTTGGCTTTACACAAAAAAAGAAACGTGAAGAAAAACGATGCAAAGATCAAGGAAGACTTGACTACGACGACTTCATTATCTCAGAAGAACTCGGAGGTGATCCCGGAGGTGGTGGCGGTGAGAGCAAAGGAAGGACTGTGGAGGACGGCTCCAGTCGCGGTGAACCTTATCGGCATCAGTGGGTCGACACGTTGAAGCTCCGTCGTCCTCTGCAGCGCCGCGCCGTCCGTCCGGTCTTCGCTAAAACAAATCGCCTCTGCTCAACAAAACACTCTTCTTTCTGGTAAACATTTAGAAAAAACTATGTCTTATTAGTTGAAAGAAGGCGAAAAAGTGAGCTGAGAACGATTGAATCAAAAAAGATGAGAAATTACATTTTAAAAAACTAGTTTACAAAGGCGCGGGACAACAGATATATCATAAGAACATCTACATAACATACATCATAAGTGTTTCAAAGAATATAAATTATTTAATACTTTAGCTTCAAACTATAACTTCAATGAAAACAATTTAAAAAGTTTTTTTAAAGATTTTGTATATTCCTTCTCCCTTCGGTAATATTTCCAAGAGGCACAATTTTTCAGTTGAAAGAAAATTCGCGTTGGTCAATTTCAAAGGTCTGTATAGAAAATTCATTTTCCTCCATAAAAAATGATGCAATCAATAAACAAAGAATATTCGAAAATTTTGTATAGTTCGTTAGCAGAAACAGAAAAAAATTTCTCTCAATTTTGAAAAACTTCCCCTTTTTAAGTTAGAAATTATTTCAAAAAAATTCAAAAAAATTTTTCTTCGTTACAAAAAAAGAAGCAGTGAATTTTTCTTCTCAATTCCAAGAAAGGTCGAAAGAAATAGCTATTGTTGGTGATCCACAGCCTGAAGAAAAACTTCAAAACGTACACTTTCAAGTTTCTCAGTATCACGTATCACGACATAAACACTAGCTAGATGCTCCTTGAACAGTGGATCCTTCGAAAGAGAAACCCCGGAATTCCGTTCTTTCTCTGAACGGGCCTTCCAGCCGATCCCGTTTTCTTTCTATTGACATAGAATATCTACTTAATGTAAGTCTCAAGTTCTTCAACAGCTTTGAATCTTTGAGTAGAAAAATATTCTCAGCTTCTGGAAAGTACTTTCTCCTCAATAAGAAATATCATTCGATTTGATTGATTAAACCGCATTAAGCGTCCAAAAAAAGCTATTAGAGTAAATTTTAGTTGTGTATTTTTTTTTCTTGTAAAAGAAAATTGGCTTTTGAAATTTCGAAAAAAGTCTCAATGAAGCCAAAAGAATGCTAGTGAAGTGCGGCAATTAATGATGAAATAAAACCATCGAAAAAGTTCTGATTTTTCAAACAATGAAATGGTGAACATTAAAAGCATAGGGGCAGTAAAAAAAATGGGGTTGTAGAAAAATATGCCATTTTTTGAGCTTTTCTTTTGCCTGTCGAACGATGTATTTAAAAACTTACAGGGCTTCCCAGTTTTGTAGAAAAACAATTCAAAGTCGGGGAGAGAAAAGTTTAAATTCCCGCTGAAAGAGCGTTTTGCAACAAAGTTGCTCTACGGCCAACCCTTTTCGCCATTCCTCGGATTTTAGCTTTTTCATCGTTTATTTCAAATTTAACTTTTTTTCTGTTGTCTTCAGAGTCCTCTTGGCCATGAGAACTTTATATTTATAAAAAAAAAACTTGCAAATTTTGATCATAAACTGCTAATCTGGTGAAAAATTATGGTTTTACACAGATTTCGATAAGAATAGCGATATTTTGTGTTTCCTTTTTTATCGGTGTGTGTGTGTGTTTTTTGTTTGACTAAGTTTTTTTTTTAAAGAAGAAACCCTTGACTTGAAGCAGATATCCGATTATTTCTCACACAATGCGAGTCTAATGGCAAGTCCCCAACATCGCGCGCAAGGCTACTGTAAACAGTTTTTTGCACATTGATCCAAAGAATTTTTCAAAATTAGAAGGCGGGAAAATAAAATCATGTTTTTCTTCAAAATGACTCATGTCTGTGCTTTTCTGAGTAGACCGTTCAATTCGCAATGAAAAGCTCTACAAGATAGTTCTTCCACCTCGTCGTTGGGAGTTGAAAATACAGTGAAATAACGAACCAGCAACAGACTGCGCGCAGAACTTGCTCGTTTGGGGACAGCGGAGTGCCTATGAACGAACCGCCAGCCACGTTTTGCATCATCCGTTCAAATTCGACAAGTTGCAATGCTGACCTTCGGCGACAAACGAAAAGCCTGCAAGTCAGGCCTTTTCAGCTCAGAAAAACGATGAACAGTGAATTTAATGATAAGACGGAAAAGCACTCACCAAACAAATTTGACAATGCGAACAATTGATGAAAATATGAAAAAGAAAACAAAGGGAATCACGAACCAAAGCCAGAAAACCACTGAAAAAAAGCATACAGGGTACAAGATTCTTTCATATTTTTCTTTGAAAACTCGCTAAAATTCTTTTTCAATGTACCAAATAAATTCTGGAGCTGTCAGTCTGCACAACTTATCATTTCTGATAAGGGAAATGTCTAGATAAAAACATACAAATCTGATCCAAACTTCCGTAGGAGGTAGTCCTCGGTATAAGTGCTCGAAAACGAAAAGAACTTTCGGCGACGTGCCACAAGGAACTGAGTGAAAGCCTGTCAAAATGTAAAAAAAAAGAAACCGATTTTCTTCTTTACTTTTTGAGAAAAAAGATTTTTCTGGTTTTGCTCATAATATAGTATCATGGTAGTTGTTTTATAAACTGGGAATCCGAAGAAAATCAGTTCTTAGTTCTTTTTTTTGCACGCCCTTTACTCAGTACCCTACAGCGGTAAAAGGATAATTCTTTTTTTTTTTGAACACTCATACTTAGGACTACCTAACACAAAAGTTTGAATCAGATTTGCGATGCTCACTTCACACACATCCGTGTGAGAATAAATGCCTGAGAAGCTTGTGTTCTTCCCAATTTTTGAAAATTTTAAAAGCTTAATGTAGAACGATTTCGTGGATCTGTCAATTACAATGATGTTCATCGAAGACGATCTGCGAATGGCTCGTTCTCTCTCTGATTGGTTTATCAACCTATCAGGGGCGGAGCTTGAGCGACCACTTGATATTCAAAATTTGATCAGACTGAACTACCTTGTCACCCGCAAAAAGCCGACAGAAATTTATGAAAAAAAAATGTATGCTTTTTATTTGAAAATAATTAGAAATAAACTTATTTTTTGATTCTCCGAATCTACAGAATTCAACTTGAAATTGAACAAACTTTCAACATTTTTCGTTTAGAAGAACAGGTTATTGCAAAAAAAAAGTGTTCGGAAAGCCTAATGGGCAGTTCAACGGAAAAAGGCGGAGGTTTTTGCTCTCGGAGAATTCAGACGCTTCACTCTCCATGAGATTATTTGAGGTTGGACGGCGCTAAACAACGGAACAACGCTTACTTACTGCACTTTTCAAGCGACCACCAAAAAGTTTTGCTGAACGCACTGGGCAGATTTAGAAAATGATAAAAGTTTCACGTTCTTTGAACAGTATAAATGTGGGGATTAACAAAATAATGAATAAAAAAAAACGACAAAATCAACAACTTTCAAACAATCTGCGAAATTCAAATCGATGGAGGCCATTTTTCCATTCTCAGTTCGAGAAGCATTGCAAATGGGTTTATTGAAAAAAATTGGAAATCGAAAAAATCGGGAATTACTTTCCGAAAACTGGAACTAAAACTAAGAAAAAAGTTAAACCGTTAATGGGCTCTTGCAGACTTGTGCTAGGGTCGGCCCTTTAGTCTATTCACGTTTTTGGTTCTTCTTTTTCACTCATATTGAACGTAACTAGTGAAAAAATTTTTCGGTGAAAATTTTGAAGAAAGGATGTAATTTTTTGATCAAACTTAAACATTTTATTACAAGCCTGGTCTTTTGCAAGCTCGCGCAGGCTTCCTCGCAAAAAATGAGGCTCAACGCCAGGGCCGCCCATCCCGACGCAAAAGCCTGACAGAGAGTTTTCACAGTGAAATGTTGAATGCGCTAGAGGGCGCACCGGGAGATGATCATCGAGTGGAAAATCTAGAAATGGGCAATTCTTGAATAAAAAACGCTGAATAATTAGCATTTGCATCGCGGGAGGAAAATTCGGCTTCTTAATAAAATAATATTTTCTTCTGACGATGATTTTATAATATTTTTCAGTTCTAACATTGATTAACTATCTTGGTCAAAAGGCTGCAAGGCAGTCAGAGACACACTCCGCGTTCCCTATGGTCTCTATGTGACTGACGCGCACTCCCATGCGAGTTTTTAACGTCCCCACCCCATGTAAACTTTCACGAAAGCATTTAAAGAAAACTTTAAAAAAAAACGAAATATATAAAAAGTTTTGCTTCCGAAAAAAAAAACTAGAAAAAAAAGAAGAGCCTTCTGCTAATTCCCGGTTCGGACGTATTACTGGAGAAGCTTCGTTCAAAAACGGGTAATTTGTTTAAAAGTGCTTCCAAGAGTTGGGCAGACCATTCAATTTAGTTATTGAGTTTTCTGCTATAGTAAAAATAACTTTCATAACTTTCATAACTTTAAGGGTTGGAGAAGTTTCAAAGTTCGGTTGTTTTCAACTTGGAGGGATCAAAACAGGTTTTCACAGATTATTCCAGTCTATTATTGCAGAAGCTATCCGCTTTCGTTTTTCTCGCTATACTGAAGGCAATCGAAAAATGAATGGAAGGGGGCGAGAGAGCTTCTTGAACCTTCTTACTACGGACCATCAACGTGGCGAAAGGAATTCATCAGAGAAATGATTGGGCTTTCGGCGGCACGCAACTCCCATTGTCCTTTATTGCACTGGTAGCCATCGCGGCCCTCTGACTCAGTCCGACGCAAATTATTGTGAAAAGCAACGCGTCCACCTGAGTACTGGCCGAAGATGAAGTCCTTTTACAAACGCTCGTAAAAAACTCGCAGTCATAATTAGAATCACCAGATCTCTGAGAAGCTGCTTCAAAGCCGAAAAATGGGATAAAAACATCAAGTGGATATTTTTATCATTTTAAAATGAGAGGAAGAGACGAAGCAGACATAAATACTATGAGATTTTTTATGTTTATAAAAAATAAAAGAAAGTACAGATTCGCTACGCCTGTGAAAACATTTGCGTCCGCTATCCAAGTAAAACTCCATTCAACCATGAGTAAATCGTAAATTTGCTTCACCACCCCCAAAACAGAAATAGATGAAAAAAAACATTCGAATGATTAAAAAAGTTAACATCAAACTTTATTCTTTAAAAAAAGGCTAAATGCATTGAACCGCGGAAACAGAAAGAAAAAAAATTCGAAAAGAAGGAAAAAGAAAAAAAGGTTAAAGAATATTTAACCGGTTTGATACTTTCAAAAACTTATTATAACGAATCAAAATTATTAGCGGAAATAATAGAATAAAAAATATGAAAGGAGAAACCTTCCTTCAAATAAAAACACTTTGATTAACAACACGAAGCTAAGTTACAAAGAAAAGAAATATGCATCAAAAGATTTTCAGAAAAGTCATCGGGTTTCATCAAATTCCGGAAGAAGCTAGGAGCAAGACACTAAATCAACAGGGTAAAGCGACAAATGGCTTATAAGCTAGCTATAATCCGCCGGGACCTCTCCTCACCTCCGAGAAAAATGTCGAAAAATGAAAGGAGGTGAGAAAAAGCCTCGAGCCTAGGTTTCAGATCAAAGTCGGTAAAAAGAAAGAACAGCAGCCGAGTTTTGGAAAGATTCTGTGGGATGTGTACTTTATCTCGATGAAAATAAATTAATAAAAATATGAAAAACAACTGGACTTGTGGAATATGTAGTAGGGAATAAGTTAAAGGCTTTTATAAGTAAAAAATCTAGACGGTGGAACTATTAGGGGCGGTTTTAAGTACATAGGTGAAGGTCGGTGCTAGGGATGTTTAAGGCACAGTTTCGAAGTATAAATACACAGAGGCACGGAGATTATCAGTTCTACATGAAAGTTCAAGGTGTTTCAATCAATCCGAAACATGCGGAGAAAAGCTAAATAGAAATTGACAATAGAAGGAAAAAAGGTGAAATCAGATAAAAAAATGCTTTTCGACATCATTGCAAGCTAGCGAGAATATGTTGAACATCTAGCGGTATTTCACAACGACTAAGTTTTTCTACAAGTCTATACAAGATTCACACAGCAGTCGGAAATTCATTGGGGGTTACTGAGCTGAGCGAAAACCGGGAGTCTCCCGGGCGTCGCGTCTTCCCATTTGTTGGACAAGGAGTCCTCGAGGCTCCAGCCGATGACGTCGCCTAGCAGGCTGCTCATCTGCGTCTCGTTCATCCTGAGAGTAGCCCGAGGTTTCTCTTCGGACCGAGAAGCGACGTACGGTTTCGCCTGTTCGTAGGCCAGGTAGCGTTGTGCTTGCTGAGTTGGTGGCTGACTTCGTGTTTTTTGTGGAGTCGACATGAAGCCCACAGTGAAAGGACCTTAAATTTCATTCTCTTGTAAGGTAAACCAGCTCTGATTTTAAGGTCCGTTTCTATTGTCAATAACAAAAGGACTTTTTCTTTTCTTAAAAATTTTGATGGACGTCCAAAATCAATGACTTGGACTCGCCTGCGCTTCGTTTTTCTCACTGAAATGTCCCAAAAAAAAAATAGCAACCAAAATTAATCGGACTATTTCAAGTTGTGGCCCTAAGTTACATACAGAAGTTTTTTTCTATTATTTTTTTTCCTAAAAAAATTATTCAGAGATAAAAAAATTTCATCGAAGGCTGTATGGTAGAAGTTTAAGGGGCTCAGTTTGGTTACTTTGAAAAAAAGCTCAGTATTTTTCAAATATGATTATTTTCACTAATGAACTTATCTTCTGGAATTAAATTTATGAAAATTTTGAGCAATTCATTCATGAAAAGGCTTTTGACAAAGTTCTACAAACTCATGGAAAAAAATCAAACATAGTTCGGAGTTTGATATCACGCTTTCTAACATAAACTCTTTCTCAAAACTTAGTTAGGGAAGATCTCCCAGTAAAAATTTCGGTGCTAGACTTACGTATGCCCGAAAACTCATAGGAAATAGCTGACCGTTGTCCTCGAGCTCGAGACCCGGCGAAAAGCTTCCGTTGGGCGATTCACTGCCGCTGTCGTTGGAGCTGCCTGCCGGTGACTCTCCGGCACTGCCGTAGCCGGGAAGCGAGTAGACGCGTTGCAGGACCGAGCTCGGCACTGAAACTCGCTTTCTGTACTCGGTAGCACGGTAGAATCTTACCAGCAGAAATCTGGGAACGGCTGCCGAGGTTGGAGAAAAGAGAGCTCTGGTTGGGGGCGGCAGAAGGCGTACTTTGAGATGACGGCTGACGGCTCTGCGCATTCGTCAGGAGCTCGGTCTCACTGAAGACAGTTCGCTTTTTGCAGTTATTTCCATACTTGTCTTTCTTGACATACTCGAATAAAAATGATTTTATTCATCCTTGGTCTTTCTTTCTATCGAATTGCACTTCCTATTATCAGTTATTGGTGATCTTGGAAAAAAAGTTCTTGAGGCTTTAAAAAGGTTCTAAGATAGTTAGTCCCTTTTCTTCTCGAGCTGTCTATTAAGTTCATTCCTAGTTTTGCATTGGACATTTTTTTTAATTAATTCAAAAACGTCGTTCCATTGAAGACCAACATAAATAGAACATATTATTGATGAAAAGGCGAAGAGAGAACTGACTTGTGGATGAAATGACACCGAGGTCCATAAGGGCAGTAGCCAGTCTGATGGAACGACTGACAAGCTTCCGTTTTGTACTTGGGATGTCGCGGAATCGGTCGCTTCTCCGTTTCTCCGTGAGCGTACTGACACCTAATGAATTCAGTTAGTCAGTAAAAACTCGAGAAAAACTAAAAGTTCGGCAGACGATTATGTAACACTTCTTATTACGAACTTAGTAGAATTATCTCTAGAAATTTAGAAAAATCATCGACAGCAGCATAAAATGAGAATAGGCTTACCTCTCTCCATAATTACACCGTCCATGGTCCATCCAAGAACGGCAAAGTTCGGTCTGAAAAATGTTGGACTTCATTCAGTAATCGAATAGTTCTTGGATGTTCAACCTTGAAATGGCTCTCCTCCTAAGCAATGCGAAAAATTTTCATCGGAACTAATACCAGCTAGCTGCTCAATGTGAAATCGGCTGGCGCAGCAAAATCCCGAGCTATTCCAAATGCGATAAGATTGGCGAAGCAAGAAAAGTTTTTCAGTTCTTAGTAAATTTTCATGAAATATTTGCAACCCTAGAAGAAGTAAAACACTATTTTTGAAAACAAAAAAGATGATTTAGCACTTGATCATCTCTCAAATTGCTAGAATCGAAAAAAAAAGAAGAGCATTTCGTAGAGTATACCTTGTAAAGTTTGGGATTTTTGGGTGGTGGAACGTTTCCCGAAGTGTTCGTTGGAGTGTTGGAAGAAGGAGTCGACGCGCCGAACGACTGGACGCCCACAGCAGGCGACATCGATCCTGAAAAATACTTTTCTTCCAAAATTTAAACAGGAAGAGCTTCAATCCATTCTCATCAAACTTGGCGTCTCGCGAGGAAATTTCTTCACTTCCGCTCGACGTTTTTCGTCTCACAGCAGTAATGAATCGTTTTCATTTTGATAAAAAAAAAAAAAAATCAAATCAACAATAGCAAAATTATATATTTTGGGGAAAACCGGAATGAAAAGAAATAGTACAAATTGAGCTTTTGAGAATTACTTCGAACATAGATTTAGATTGTAGTCACAGCGGTCCGTGAATAATTAGGAAAAGGGTCAGCGCGCAAGTGAAACAAGTCAAAAAGCGGCCATAAAATGAGCAAATTGCTCGTTGGGCTAACAGCGGCGGTGCTGGTGGAGGGAAAGTTGGACGAGCCTCCGAAATTCATGCACATGCAATTCCGATGCTTTCGCGACCTTTTTCGCCTCGACGCCGTACTGCTCGAGCCTGGCCAACTTCAGCGTGCAGAAAGCGAGCGCTTCTGTTGACACAACTACAACAAATAGCGAGAAAAAATTCTTGGAACTTTCAATGCGGAGGAGAAACGTGAAGAAATAGAAAAAAACGAAGGAAAGCAAGAGTAAACGAAAGAGAGAGGAAGAAAAATTTTGTGTTTCTACAACATATGCTAGGCAACTCTCGTCTAGGCCGGCGATACGAACTGGAAAAAAGTTCCAGAGTTCTGACAAGAAAAGAGAAAAAAGAACTAACCGATGGGAGTTCCTGGAGCACCGAGAGGATTTGAGAATTCGCTGAAGAGGTTGCTCGAGCTGTATGAGGTGTTTCGGATCGGCTGTCTGAAAATCCAGTAATTTTGGAGCGAACTTTTTCGAAACTGCTTTCTTTAATTTAGTGGTCTTGCTGAAATTGACAAGTAAACAAATGATGAAACTCCTTCAAAGATGATATTGATTAGTAAGTTCGCTATACTAACCAGTCATTCGAGCTTCAATAATTCAGAATAAAATGCACAACATTTTTGATACATTTAAAAGTTTAAAAAGCTATAAATAGTGAAAAAGAAAAATTACCAGGACATGGCCTCAACTCGGACTTTTTGAAAAGAATCGGAAAAAATGTTTAAAGAGCAATTTCTGAAGGAGAAAGTCACCTGTCGGCGTGCTTGTAAGGGACCCCGGTGAGCTGTCCGATGGTGAAGTTGCGCGGCTCGCCGGTCATGACGTCACCGGCCGAGAAGGTGCCGATGGGCGACACGTTGGCGAAGGGGTCCAACAGCGACGAAAGCGCGTCCGTCGGCGTCGTTCCAGGGGCTCCGCCACTGTTCGAGCCGTAGAGACTCTGAAATTCATCACTTGTTCATGTAAACTCAAAGCTACAGTTTTTCATGTTATATAGGACAAGAAAATTGAAGTCAGTCGAAGCTCTTGGGCAAAGAAAAAAAAAAAACGAAGTCCTGTTAACTACCAATATGAAAATAAAATAAGTCTTAAACTCGTTTGGAACGGTCTGAATGGTTTTGTGAAGGCTCAAAGCGGGTTAGATTTACGATAATCAAGTGATTCAAGTTTTTTGTAGATTCAAGTCTACTCGGAAGCTGAAAAGTTTTCATTAAGACACTTTTCGAGGAGATTTTCTGAGAAAAAAAATACAGGTAGACCCGTCAGAAAATAAAAAAACCGCGAAACTTCGTTCTATTAGCATCGACTTGTGAAACAAAACCTATTCCATATGACGAAAATTCCAAAGAGGTTTTTCTACTTCTTCAAAATTCGCCGAGGGGAACTTCAAAAAACGAAATTAGCGGATTAGAGATGTCCTCTGGGAAAAAAAAGTGAAAAATATTGAACAACCTTTCCCCACGAGAAAAAAAAAAGATTACTCTAAATTCTGAAAATTCCAGAACTAAGCAGTTTGAAAAAAAGCCAAAAGATCATTGCGATCATTCACAGAACGGTTCGATTATCAAGGCCAGACACTAAAAATGTTTTATATCATCGTCCTTGGAGCAGCTGACATATTTTAATGAGGTGAAAATGAGAGCATAAAGTGAAAAAGAAAAAAATTACTTTTGATTCAATGAAAAAAGATAAAAATATATCTCAAAGGTTCCCAACAAGAACTACTATGAACGGGAAGATAAATTCGCACTGAATAGTTCAACAAAATTGAAAAGCTTCAGACACGTGCTCGTAGACGGCTCAGCGACAAAACAGCTGACTTCGGAGCCGCGTGTATACATTCTGATGGACCCAGTCACATGGGTCCAAATGTCGTTGTTTTGGCGGCAAATGCCTTGGCCACGGCGCCAAAACGGCTGTGTTTTTGTTGCAAAAACCGTCGCAAAAACGACGATACAAAGAGGGAGCCATCGCGAGAAAATAGATAAGAGTTTCATGAGACAAAAGAAACAGACGATAATGTTTTTGGCAAAGCGACGGAAATCGAGCCGCTCACTTCTGCGGCTCAAGTTTCAATTCTCAAGACTATCTGTTTTAGTGCGGCCATTTGTCTTTTTGCTTTTTTTTTCTTCTTCTCAGATTGGAAAAAGTGAAATTGACTAATTCAAACTCTTTGAGAGTTTCAAAAAACGACTTAAAAGGATAAGACTCCCTGGATCTAAGATTGACAAATTACTAGGGGAAAGACAGTGTTTCGTACGCGGAAGATCAAGAAAAGAAGGGAAAAGCAGAGAAAGCCTCCTTGTACCATTACGCAACGACGGCGGCGTCCAACTGGTTCTGCCGCTTTCCCCTTCGACTTCGCTTTCGATCATCCATGGCATTTCACTTTTTTTTCCGCTATACTGTTCTCAAACCATAAATCGAGTTGCAAGTAAAGTGGTTACGCTTGACAAATTATGTCACAAAAGAAAAAAAAACCTTCGATTTCATTTAGAAGTTTGTAAAGTTTTTCTCGACCAGTAGGAATCGAAAGAGAAAATATAGTACAAAAATTCTTTACAACAAAAATGGCACCGAAAGAGAAGAAATGAGCAGCCGTCGAATGCGGGGGTGACAAAGCGGCAGAGCAGACAAAGGCGGCAAAGTTGTGAGGAAAACGTTGGCAGAAATGTGGGAAGAGACTCTGCTTCGGAAGACCTCGCGTCTCAATAACGAACATCCAAAATGTGACCCAGGAAAGGTACAAATAATCAACCGCTAGACTTCCACCATAAAAAGTAGTGCAAAAATTACTGAACGGAATAGAAATCTTCTTTTGCAAATTCTAAGGAAAAACTTGGAATCAGCGTAAAAAACTCAATCTAGTGGACCCTGTCTCTTACAGAAGTCCCACTGTGAGCTGAAATTATTTCTTTATCATATCAAAACCAGGTTTTTTTTTCTTTAAATTCTAATGCGTTGTAATTGGCTCAAGACAAATTCGAATGATGTGGAGGCTCTCGTGCTTAGATTCTCGAACGAACCTTGAGGAAGGACTGATGATAGTTGTCTAGTGACATGTGTGGAGTCAAAACGCCGTCATCGAGACTCGTTGGAATTGGAAGAAAGTTGGTGACAGTCTGCCGCGAGGTTAACAACAGCTGCTGCCGCGCGGCCGCGTGATCACGCAAACAAAAAAAACGGGCGTGAGTAGACGGCAAGACACGGTAGAAGAGCATGGAGTGAAACGAAACTTGGGTGGAAACACCGTCACTCTCGCTTTCACTTGGTCTGCCAACTTCCACCAAAATGTTTCCAAAGGGTCAGGAGTTGACAATGCTGACCTTGACAATGCCAGCTGACTGTGTGCCAGACCGCATGACGTTTTGAAGGCCAGTGAAAGTGGGCCGCGCGAAAACGCTTGTGCAACGACGACTTTCCCTTGTTCGGGGATCGTTGGCAGAGATCAAGGGCTTTTTGGATGATGTCACGTAGTGTGCGGAACATTGGCGCGAAATCTCTATTAAACTGAATGGATGTTCATTGAAACAGTAATTGCCCTTTGTGGAATACACAAAGGATAGACGTGTTTTCAGAAAAATCTCCCAGACCGATGTCTAGGAAAGATATCAAAAAGCCAATTACAGCGCCAACAAATGGTAAACAAGGGATTTTGGTTTATTTTGGAAAAAGGAAAAAAAATGTCTAATCTATGCGATCTAACTTCTGATTATGAAGTAAACTATAGATTGATGAGAAAAGCAGCAGAAAATTAAAAGACAGTCGATAGCAAAAAAATGAACAAAAAGTGTTGTAGAAATGCCAGGGGATGATGGAATGCAAGCCGAGGTTGGGCAAGGAGGAAGGCAGCGACCATTCCGGACACAGGCACTTACATCGGTGCTGCAGACGAGCCGGCGGAACCGGCTTCACCCGCCGGCACATTATCTCTCGTCTCCGCCAATTTGCAAATACTCGCCGTTCTCTATAACACCTATGGGCTCTTTCGGGCCAATCGAACACCACGGCTCATCGTCTGATCACCTCTGAGAACATTGATCTTAGAAGCAATAGGAAATTAGGCTTTTCCAAGAATTATACATAATCTTTTCTCCAAAACTCTTCCAACTTCAGAAATCTTTGATCATCTATCACCCAAACATCTATACTACCAAAGTATAGGCGTTTGAAAACTTCAGTATCCAAAAAAGCTTTAAACGAATCTCTTATATGACCCCCTTTCTACCTCCCAAGAAGGATTTTCGAGTAATTCTATAGAAAAATGTTTTTTCAATTGTACGCATTTAATGAAATTCATAAAACGCGTCTTCCTGAGCTTTTGAGAAACTTTGAACAACCTACCCTTACACCTCAAACTTAATTTATGCAACGCCATTTGACAAAAAATGGGACGATCCTGTGTATAGTCAATCCATCCCGACTTTGAAGGCGAGAGAGAGAGAGAAGTGCGCGGGACGCGTAGCGTGTGCGTACGCGGTTCTTGGCACGAGTTCAATTTAAGCACCACCGACTATTTGAAAAGCTTGGTCACCGCTTTTTTTTTGGTTATATCCTACTATTTTTTTATTCAAAAAAATGAAAAAAATATATATAAAAAAAGGGAATGAAAAGAGCTCTCTAAATAGTCGCTGGCGGTTGAATCGTGCCAAGAGGCGCGTACGCACACGCTACGCGTCCCGCGCACTTCTCTCTCTCTCTCGCCTTCAAAGTCGGGATGGATTGACTACAAATGACGGAGCCCCTTCGAATTCACTCAAATGCTTGAAAAAAAAGAGATTTATCCGTGTCACCGAAATGGCTTTGATGTGGGTTCTGGCACAAAAAGCGGCAAATCGTACGGCCCCAGGTGAAAGCATCACACAGTGCAAATATTTGAGCTCGTTTTTTCGTCTCGCGTGTGACGCCAACTAAACAAAACTCAACAGTTGCCATTTAACTCTGAAGTTCCTGCTTTTTTTTGGAAGAAATTTTTCCTATGAGCAGTGTTGAAAGTTCGAAAACAGAAGTTTAAAATACAAAAAAAAAGAAGAAATTAAGAACTTAACGAAGTTTTATTTTTTTTTAAAGAAATTTTTTCAGTATTTTTAAGCTTCTTAGAACTGAGATAAACTGAAATAAAAAGCGAAAAGTGAAGAAAAGACTTGAGTGCAGTCGGAACTAAAGAAAAGGCGAAACAGCTATTACCACAGTGTGAGGCTCAACACAGCCGAACGGAGCAGCTGATTGAACGCCATTGGGATTCAAGATTACAACGGAAAAGGCCGCGATCGTCTGCATTTAGCTTGTCTCACAAAGAAAGTCTTCTAGATTCAAAAATATTGATAAGTTTCTCAGACGGCGCTACATTAGTTAGAAGATGAAATAAGAAAATCGTATCGCTCGAAAGCCAAAGTAATAAAGAATCGAAAATACACACGGAAGTACAAAAAAAGTAAGAGAAATACTGAAACTTTTCTGCACTTAAAAATATCGTGCCAAAACGGGTTTACCAGAGACACGGGAAAAAGAACACCAGAATAAAATTCTCTGTAGATTTTATGTAAATTGAGGGCTCGAAAATGGCGTGGTGCAGGTGGAACAAAGTGGCCGGCTACTCGAATCGCTTGATTTGGTCCATTGTTGAAAAGTCGGCGATTCAGAAGACAACCCAATTTGCGTGAACAGTCTCTCCCACAGTTATTTACCGTTCAAAAATCCTCTTATCGAAGTCGCTCAGGAAAACGTAGAAAGAGAACATCAATGATAGCATTCAACAACAGAAAATGACAAAAATAAAAACAATAAGCTGTACATTTTCATCATTGGTACTATTTAACTCACTTCACGGTTGAAATAAAACGGAAAATCGAATGAAAGAAAGTTAAATGAAGAAGTGTGCTACATTATTTAAAGGCATATTCGAATATGAATAGCGAGCCGTGCCAGAAAAGCGTGCCAAAACAACAAAATAGCCGAGTGTCGGGATTTGGAAAAACGAATTTGGCCACGGTCGGCTTGAAAAAGCGGAAGCGACTCACCGCCATTTTTGTCTATATCGAAAAAATTTGAACTTCAGTGAAATATGTGAATAACTGCGAAGAAAAAAAAATTCCAATTTAATCCAAGCTTGTAGAGCAAATTTAAAGACCATTCAATGGTGACTTGAAGAGTGTAAAAAGAGATACGGATGAGAATGTTCCGAAAAAGCGAAAAAGGTCTCTGGAGAGACAGCGTAATGGTATTTCAAGAAATGAATCTGTTCCGCCATTCGTGTTTACAACTGGGAAGCTCCCAAAGACTCAAAGACGGCTTGTGAAAAGAGTTATGAGTTATATAAATTACATTGAACAATGATATTTTGGATTCTACTTCCCCCGGCAAAAAATAACAAAGGTATTTTTGAAATGCAGGCCATAAACTAAAAATGGAAAAGCAATAAACGTTCAAACAAAAAAAAAAAAGGAAACTGACGCCAAAAAGCCAGGAAGGACGGTCGAGCGAAGCGCCTCCGTGGTCGAAGGAGTTCGGAGGCGATCCGGACGACGAGCTGTCGCCCGAGCCCCCCAAAGATGACGTCAGACTCGCGTCGAACAGCTTTCGGCCGCCGCCGAGGCCCATTCCCAGTTCGAACATCTTAAAAAACTCTTATGAAACCGCACAAAAAGTTATAAATGAAATGTACTGTAAACGTTGCCCCAAGTTAAAACGAGCGTAAAAGGCCGCATTGCGACTGAAATCGGGTTCATTCGTAATTAAGCAGCTCTCTCCCATAGTCATACATGAGCGGCAAGTTCCATAGTTCGAGATTTGTCCAGTTTTGCGTGAAATTTTAAACGCTTCACTTATTTTACTGGACTGTTTCAAAAAAAAATTGGAAAAAGATTGAATAGAAGAAGTAAAAACCACTCGTAGTTAATTAAAACTTTTTCTTTTTTTTTAAACCGAGTTCACCTGTTGAACCACTTTCGAACTGTCTTCAGCCTGTAGCTTCTATTCAACGTGAGAATATGGATAAATTGCAGCTTCTGATCTTCTCAAAATCGGCTCCTGGCGAACCGCCAACCTTCTGTACGAAAGAATTCTGAACGTGGTTGGCAAAAGTGTCCATCAAAAATCGATACGAAATCGGTTATGACGTGAAAAAAGAGAGAAAAATAAAGGTACAACTCAAAAATTTTAAAAAATAAAGTTCCGAACGACCGGGTTTGTCTTTCAAATAGTTTTTCTTAAGCAGCCTATCTCAATTTTCAATTAAAAAATTTTTTTCAAGTTATTCATCGAAAAAAAAACTGTCAAAATAGAAAGCACTTCGAACTGAAAAAAATTTTTTGCCTTTTATTTCATTTTTTCAAAGTTTAGGTCAGTCGACTCCTTTTCCTAGATCTTTAAGCTGTTGGTTCTCAAAAAATCATGCATTGTAGCAAACTGAGGCATTGCCAGGAATACGTCGAGCCGAGGAAGAAACGGAAAAAAGTGGAGAAGAAGAGCGTCTGTCTCTTGATATCCAGCCGCCAACAGCTGCGAAATGTTCCTCGAAAAACGGCGAGACAGAATGACTCGTGGTTGAGTTGCGACACTTTCAGCGCCACCCACGACCCACTCGCGTGTTTCAAGCTCAACCTGCCTGCTCAAATATTTTTTTCGATGGATATCCTCTTGTTTTATATACGACAACTGTATAGCCGAAGGCATTCAATGCAGCCATCTAGAATTTTTATATGCAATGGGTAAGGCTGTGAGAAGCCATTTTTCCATAATTACAAATAATCATTATTCAATCATCAATATTTTTCCTTCCTCTATCCATTATAAGAATGATTTTCAAGTTCGAAACGAAAAGTAAGTTCGATAAAAGTCACGAGGGAATGGGCCGACGACCATCAAACTCTAAGTGGCAGTCTTAAAGATCAAAATGAAAGCTTTTACCAGGGTTAAAAACAAAGAAAAATCGGTTGGTGAAATCCCCTTGGAAAGTAAACATTTAGCAAGTAAATCCGATATAGGACTTCAATTACGGAAACAAGTTCCAGTTCAATTATATATATATATATAAAGACCTTTAGACTAACGGTCCACTAAATAAAATTGAAGTGATCCAACTTCAATTGTTTTTTAAGCCAACGCTTCGAGCCAAACTTGATTATCTTTACTTGAAACTAACTGGACTGAACTATTTCGTGAAGTTTTTGCAAAGACGCAAAATCATACAGTTAACGTACAAGCTCATCCGAAATGTTCGGCAGATGAAGAAGAGAGCGCCGATAGCAAAAAAAAAGCGACAAACACGCACGCGGAAAGACGCCACGCGGATGGCGCATGCGGCTTGCGGAATAGAAAAAAGACGAGAGCAAACAGCCGAGATCTGAACGGCAAGAGCGAAAAGTGCAGACGAAGCGAAACTAGCTTCCGCGTGAGCGTCGCCTTTTCCGTCACCGATGGCGCAATCGACGTTCTGGAGGCTTCCACCTGGCGCCGCCGCGTTTTTTTTTATAGTTTTAAACCGAAGGCATCATTTCCGATGAACTACCACTTATAGAAAAGAAGACGAAGAATGAAGGACAGAGGGCTTCTGCAGAAAAGTTGTAAATGGGTTGAAGGGGTAAATGGCTCATGAACATGCTTTTCATCATTTATATTTCTTTTCACTAATGAAAAACCTAAACTCTACAATGACGAGCGAAAGTTATCCATTATGAACACAAAGATAAAAAAACAATTAGAAAACTATCACTCAGTTTTGAACAGCAAACATTGAACTTTGTATCGAAAGTAAAATTGAGCTCGCCTGATCTTGAACTAGTAATTCAGATAAAGTCAAGCTCGAAGCTGGAATTTAAAATACTTGAGGGTTAAATCATAAAAAAAAATCAAACTCATAGAAGAATTGTATCCAGAGTTTAACAAGGAAGAAAAAATCAAAGAAACATGGAAACTGCGGAGAACAGACAAGGAAAGCTCTGAGAGAGGAAACTGAACGAACAAAGGCGGCGTCTGTGAACCGAAGTGAGCCGCCTACTACCTCGACGATCAAGAACACGACCTCGCCTTGCCTTGGCGCAAATCAGAACTAGTTGGAGGCGCAGAAAAAAACGACGACGCCAATGGCAGAACCTCGTTCTGTCTCGTCGCGTTTCCCGCAGGTCGAATGCCATTGCGATTCTTCGATTTTATCTCCGTGCACTTGGGTGAAAGCGGCAGCGCTGCCACGAGAAAACAACCGGTTTTTCACAGCGTTTCTTTCTGTCCCGGGGCAACAAACGAAAGTTTTGGTTGAGGTCGTGGGTGCCGTACCTGCTCGAGTGCCGGTGAAATGGCCATCTTTTCGTGGAAAAAGTAAGTTGGAAGCAAACTTGCGCACTCTTCGGTCAAATTAATTATAGAAAAAGTTATTCAGGATGAAACTTGAATCAATAAAATTTGCACCGTAGCTATTCTTTCAATTCTGCGTCTGCAGAATGGGTATATCAATGGTTAAACTTTTTTTGCAAATACTAAGATTGAAGAAGAACTGATTTATGCTTGATCTCAGAAAAGATGATGAGCAGAGAAAACACATAGCGCCTGGATCTCAAGATGATACGAAATCCCTAAAATATCCAAGAAAAAATTCTCGAAAAAATAGCGTTCATAGCTCACGTCTGCATGCTGACTGTACAATCTTACTGCGTCAGACAGGTTCACGCCGAGTCGAGGCATTAAATTGACAAAAAAAACGTGATAGAAAATATCTGTCACAGAAGCTTAAAGGGCCAAAAAACCGCAGAAGCTAGTCTACCGGCCGCCGCGTAGAAGCCAAAGCCCTTCGAAGAGCACGAGAATCCGCCAAAGTCTTCTTGAGTGGGTTTGGGTTACTTCCACGCGAAGTGTTAGAAAAGCTCTGGACCTTCCCGCCGAGAAAGGTGTTCAGATATCGTAAGAAAAAGAGTTGATTGAATTCCAGGCCCGCTTAAAAGAAACATGAAAAGATCAAATATTATTAATTCGTCTCATCTTTTCCAAAAATCACTCTTAATAAAAAATGAGAACAAACAGATAAGGGAAAGTAAGTTAAACATTGAAAAGAGGAGATAGAAGAGCGTCGAGAAAAAAAAAAAGAAAGTTGTGAGGCAATCGAAAAACAAACATTCAGAGCGAAAAAATAGAATGTCTTCCGCCAATACCTTTGATATGAAAATTTCAACTGTGAAAAACGAAGTTAATAGTTTGAATAACTCAGGCAAGAAATGAGATTTGACTCTAAAATTGATCTGAAAACGTTTATTCTGATGAAACTCAAAAGATCATCAGAGAAATCATCCCTCAAACAATGTGAACAAAAAGCAACGACGAAAACGCAAAATTTGAGTTATTTTTCGAGAGAAAAAAAAACTGAAAAATGAAAATTAGGCACGGGTTTTGTGGCGCTATGTTTACAATGCAATCACATGAGGAGCGTCAAGTTGATTCAAGGAACTGCCGCGAAGGTTTTACGGCCCAACCTATGATCTGAGTGGTAAAATTTGAAAAGAACAATGCCGAATCGAATTAACCGAGCCCAAAAACGTAAAAGCGGTTGTTGCGGTGAAAGGAGCTCAAACACAGCTCAGAACATAGTTGTAAAGCTTCGAACAAGCGCATGAGTTACACATTATGCCGCACATGATGTGAGGAAGAGAAAGAGCATTTTCTGAAAAAGTACTGAGGAAGACATTTTTATTTTATTTCAGCCAATAGGAGTAAATCTGAAGCCACTAAGCTTCGAAGAATGTATTGAACCAAAAAAAAGTTCGACAGTATTAAAAAAAATAAGGAGTTGGCCGGAAACCTAATAAATGCAAAATTTGTTCAATGGAGAGAACTAAAGCGGATATAATGTCTTTTTCATCATATTTTTTCTCGTAAAAACTTTTTTTAACTTGAACTCACGCAAAACTAAAATATATGAAGAAGTTGTGATCGACAAATAGACGTATATTCAAAAAATCAAGATAATTCTGATGGTGAAATCTGAGAGAGGCAAACTACTGAACATGAAATGGAGGAGACTGAACGGAGTAGGTCTTATGGTGGCGCATGGCTGAGAGTAATGCTTGGCCGACTGCGAGCGCTGTCAACTGCGGATTCCGGAACGACCGGTCCGGAAGCCAGGAGCAGACGCGTTCAGAACACACACGTACGTGCTGTGATCTGTCGGCAGCGAGTGCAAAGAGGCAAGCCGCGCGATTCTCCCAGTTTTGTGTGCTCCATGAGCCTACAAACAACTCGGCGAGCAGGCTTACAAATGACTCTTCAAGCCGATATTTCTCCCATTCAACGATTTAATTATCTAGTTTCTTAGAGTCGTAAAGAAGAAATACATTAAATTACTGCAGGAATTCTCAAATTTATTAGAAAAATTAAAATCGGCAAATTTTACATTTAAAAAAATTGAAGTTTTTTTATATCTAAATGCTTTTGAAAAAAACACCCATTTCTACGGAAACAGAAACACTTGAATGCTGTCAAGGATTTTTGAGGATCAAAGGATCCTTGATTGAACCAACGCAGCGAAACTGATTACACTTGTTTCTTTCGAAAAAAAAAAAAGATAAAATCACATAGTTGATAACGTCTGGCGGTGACTGCCGCACAGAAAAACCAATAATGCACTAAAGCATGTGAAACGCTTATCTGGCAAGAAACCATCGTCCACTTGATAATTTTTCAAAGTCACGACAGATCCATCCATCATTCAAGTTCATACAATTTATTATTTTCGTACAGAAAACTTTGCAAACGATCAAAACATACAAAAGTGGCGCTCGGTGGCTTCCCAGCAACTTCACAATTTCGAACCAAATTTTCTTCTCTCTGAGTAATTTTAACCATCACTCTCATCACTTGAGGCGTCTTTCGAGCCCGAATCCTGAAACACTTTTTTGAGTTCGTTCATTTTTTCCAATCCAATATGAAAAATAATAGGAAAATCATGTTCTGTGGACCGCAAATATGAGTCTTTAGATCATTGCGAGGGCCTCATATGACCACCCGCTGAACTCAGTTACTATTAGATTGATAAACTGGAAATGATTCTCTTGTTTAAGTTCTCAAGTTCAAGTCGAACGAGCTTTTGATGGAATTCATTCTTAACGTTCACAATCCTGACAAGTTATTGATGCAAACGGGATATAGCTTTTGGGTTCAAATATGTACACAACTCCTATTTAACTTCTCACTTATACTTCTTTCGAAAATAAAAACTAACGTCGCTGTCATTGCTGCGCTTGCGTTTGTTGCGAGGCTCGCTGTCGTCGCTGTCGCGGTCGCTGGCCGCCTCTTCGGCGTCGCTTTCCGCTGCTGAAAGAGGTCTTTGCAGCCGGCTAGTCGCGGAAAGACGTTACCTTCTCTCGTTTCTTCTTCTTCTCCTCCTTCTTCTTCATCTTCTTGTTCTTGCTCTTCTCTGTCGCCGTTCATCTCGTCTTTATTGCTCTTCTGAGACTGAAGGAAATTGAACTGTCGCTGCTCTCTTAAGGCCAGCTCTCGATCATTCGGATCGCGGAACCTCAACAACACAGTCGACTTCTGAAAATATCTAGGATTTGAAAGTCATAGTTACCAGAGTTATGTGCGAGAAGTTTTTACAATTTTTTCAAAAGAATTTGAATAAGTCTTTTACTCCTTCAAAAAACCTTATTTAAAGCGCTTTTTCTTCGACGGTTCAGACGAATCAGCATCCCGATTTCTGAATAGGCCACTGCTCCGTTTTTGAAGGTAATCGCCAAGTTCTCCTGTAAACATATCTTTAGCAAAATAAAAAACAGATAATCTCACGTTTTCATTCGCGGCCCTACTTTCCACCTTCCACTCGTACTCACGATTCATTATCATTTCGTATCTGCAAATCCTTTCTTTTTTTTCAAAATTTTGAATCTGTTTTTTTATGTTTCAGAAAAAATAGTTGATGAAAAAAAGAACTCAAAACCAATCATATAATCAAATATTTTTGTTTTTAAGCCATGTGCTGAACGGAATATTTTTTTTTCACGAGAAAAAATTCAGCACGATAATCATACACGTGATCTTCGGTGTATGGAATTCCAGCCTCGCGATCTTCCAAAATTTTCTGGAGAGTTTCGACAGACGGCGAATAATGAACGGCAAACTGTGTCATACTGTTGTCCTGCAATCCCCTGCAAAAAAAGACAATGCCGAAGAGAATGAGAGGACCGACCTCAGCAGACTGTTCTCGAGGCTGAATCTTCTCATCTCAGGGCTCACTTGAGTACTAGGCGCCGTGTCTCCATCGAAAGTCGCTTGAGCAAACGACCATTTCCAATTCTGAAGTTCTTTTTGACGACAAAAAAACTTTAGAAAAATGAAAAAAAGAATACTCAAATTTTATAAAGTTTTATGAAAGCTTTTTTACCTGTGTTCATTCTTTTTTTTTTCCTTTTTCTAATACTAAAGAACTCATAAAAACCTCGAAATCGGGGAAAATAGGGAGCTCTTCAAGTGGTGTAACACCCTTCTTGCTGTAATGCGCCTTAATCGGTTTTTTGACCTGGAAACAATATAGATTCGAGAAGGAAACTCATAAAACTCACATCTTCGAATGTTTTGGTAATAGCGTCGATTTGACTTTGATGATCGCGATACATCTCGCCGGCGTCATGATTGTTCTTCTTCAGATTGTAGCCGAGTTTTGTTTCTTGTCTGAAAAAAAAAACGCTGATCAATAGCTTATGAATGAAAAATGACCTGTCAGCAGCAACACCAAGTCGGTTGAACTCAGTCGAAATGTATTCTGTTTTCCTCATCCACGGAACTAGCCGCGAATGTTGAGCAGACCTAGAAACTATCACGTCAAAAATTCTAACACATTTAAGATCACCTCTTGTGGTTGATAGCCTTAGCGAGATCGTCATCGAGAAGCATTTTATCCCTATCATCCTGTTCTTCCGGCTGAAATCGAAATATGTAGTTGGAGAGAGATCGAGGAACCAACTTCGTTTTCTCGAACGGTGTACTTGTCGAAGTCAACTAGGTTTATTTGAATTCCCATATCGTCGTCGCACAAAACATCGCGCTTGTATTCCTTTTCGAGAGATGAAGTGGTGTAATTCACGAACCTCAAAAAAAAATTATCACTTTGAAATTACTTTCAGGATAAAAGAAAAGGAATTCAAAGAATTTCCGATCATTTTCAGCCTATTTTATTTAAACCACGACCCATGTTTGAACACGTAAACCACTAAAACCAACCTATCAAGCGGAACGAAAGGGCATCCCATAAACTTTCCTTCAAACGGCATATCCGGGAGAGTATTAGAGAAGCGTGGTCTGCTCAAAAAATCTGCACGCCTTCTGTAATAGATAGAAGTGAGTGTAATTAATTCATATATTAACTGACACATTAGAATCCGCTTGTGTTCGCCGAACATGTTGCTGATGGTTATTATGCATCTGAAAGAAATGATTTTTATAAAAACCAAAAATTAATTTTTATTTAGTCCAAGCAAACCGACAATGCTGAAAAAAATGGCAAACGTGAAAAATGGCTCAATAAAAATGAGAAAAACTTAAAAATGTTCATCAGTCTAGACATGGTTGCGGTCGAAGTGATTTCCGCGAAATTCAAAATTATCTGTCTTTCCAAAACTTAGTTATCTTTTTCACTCTCTGGCGGATATTTTGAGTTTCGCGGACTATTATCACTGTATAACGAAAATTGCAGCAAAACAAAAATAAATGGCGGTTCATCGCAGAAATGGAACATGTTTCAAACAACACTAGTTATTGTTTTTAGGCCCTTTTTTGCGTTTTAGAACACAAACAAAACGAGAATTCTAATTGGAATTTTTTACCACGCCAAAACTTTATTTAAAAAAAAAACTTAAAGAAATTTTTACGAGAAAAATTGCTCTATAGCTAGTTCGATGCGCGAGGGTGCGCTATAGGGCCTTCTCTCTCATCCATCCAGGCTTGTGCGCCCGGGCTTCAAAAAAGTTTAAAATTTCATTTAAAAAATTTTCACCGAAATGTTACTTTTACTTTGGAATTCATGGTTTTAGTTAAACTTTAAGTGAAAAAATGAGCAAAAACTTAATTTTGTCGTAAAAAAAATTGATCTCCGACTAGAAAAAAATTGAGCGTTTTGGGCCGGGCGGGCCATTTTTTCTTGAAGCTTGCTAAGGCCAGGCCGGGCCGGGATTACGAAATGGTCGGGGGCCGGGAGGGTGACGGGCCAGCCCTCGCACAAGCCTGCATCCATCGAGGCCGACACACGAAATTATAATTAATTGTTGCCTTGTTCAAAGTGATTCCTCGAAATTCAAACTAGCCTTCAGAGAAAGAAAAAGATAACTAAATTTTGGTGAGTTAGAGATAGTTTGCATTTCGCGGAAATTAATTTGAACATGGCATATTTTTTATTAACTCCCGCGCTCGAAGCGCTGCTAGTCATGATTCATTAATACTCCGTGTTCAGTGATTCTGCGAATGTAGACGTCAGAGAGTGAAAAAGATAATAAATTTTGGAGTCAGAGATGAGTTTAATTTTCGTGGAAATCAATTTGAACAAAAATGATGCCGCGTGCGGGCGTTGTCTTTTGAGCAAAAAGACATTTTACATTTTTTGTTTGTTTTAAAAGTTTTTGTGTTTTATCTTTTTTTTGGAACCAAAGTTCGATCAAGTGCCACATTTTCTAAAGTTTCATATCGTGAATTTACAGATGTCTCCATATTCTGTACTCGTCACAGGGGCCAATCGGGGCATTGGCCTAGGATTGGTTCGCGAATTGCTGAAGGACTCAGGGATTGGAGTCATAGTAGCAACCGCACGCGACATTGAAAACGCCCAGGTCCGTAATGTAGCTTGACTCAATTCGGATGAATGCTTTTTAGAAATTGAAGGAAGTTCAAGATCCTCGCTTGCATTTACTTCAATTGGATGTCAACTGCGATAAGTCGATCAAAACCTTCTATGAAAAGGTGTTACATTTGTTTTTTTGATCACAACCTGTTTATTGCGAATTTTTCTAGCTTTCCGGAGTTGTGGGAGAAAATGGTTTGAATGTGTTGATCAACAACGCCGGTGTTTTGGTGAATTACACTTCGGAACAGGTAAATTAATTTCTGAATTTTATGCATGATGACTCTGAGCCGAATTAAGGAGCCAAGCAGAAAAGATCTTCTGAAACAAATTGAAACGAACACAATCAGCGTCGTCGTTTTGACCCAAGTAATTTTTTTTCCAGGAGACTGTAAAGTCATTTTGAGTTTATTTTCAAACTTTAAGTTTAGAAATTGCTCCCTTTACTTGATCGAGCAGCTTCACAAAAGCCACCATCAGAATTTTCGATCAACCGCGCAGCCGTTCTTAACATTTCTTCTGGTGAGATCCTTTTTTTTTTGGGAAAAACCATTTCATTGTTCAGGGCTGGGGTCTATTGGGAACAATACCATTGGATCGACCGAGAAGGGATTTCTCGCCTACAGAATAAGCAAGGTTTTTTCACCCTCATGTATTTTTTTGTCTTAAACCATTGATTGAAAAATTCATAACTTTCATCTCACCTTCTCTGTTCGAAGAAGCCACTTAAAAAAAGGGAAAAAAAAACGAATTATACGCGAAACTCATCTTGCGAAAGTGATCGGAGTTCCGACATATGTGAGCGGAAAAAAGTAGAAAAAAACTATTGTACCAAAAAAATAAATAAATAAATTTTTTTAAGGTAGAAGGGAATATTTTCACGTTTCCAAAAAAAGGAGGTGAATGGATTTTTTTGGTTGAAAACAAACATTTCAGAGACACATCTAGTAAAAAAAATTTCGCAATTAAAGAATATTCAATATTCTTTCAAAAAGATACATTCATAATTTCTGATTACGCGAAATTATTTAGAACGGCGCACAAGCCTATTTATTGAAATAACTCGGACCTGACGAGTGACAAACGGATTAGACGCTCCTCCTCAAGTGATCACTAGAGAGGCGCAGGTAGTAGTTACGCAAGTGGAAATTTTTTTTTTCTTTTCGACGACCACTTAGAGATAATTACTTCGTTTTTCCTCGCGAGACCTGAAAGCTGCAAAATTTGGGTGGTTTAACTGAAAGTTCTAGGCGGGATTGAACCAGTTTGGAAAGACGTTTGGAATCGACGTGAAGAACAAAGGAATTCTGGTATCTTCTTTCTGTCCTGGCTGGGTTCAGACAGATATGGGCGGCGAGCAAGCTCAGCTTACGGTATTCAGGAACATGGCATCCTGTTGCTATTCTCGTAATTTTTAGACTGAGCAGTCTGCCGAGGCGTTGGTTTCTTCCTTCCATCGATTGAATGCCGAGCACACGGGTCTTTATTTTGACCGAAATCTCAAACCACTCGAATTTTGAAACGTTCTTATGAACTTCGGATATGTGCCAATGTCAGTTTTATCATTTTTTTTTTCCTTTAAAGTACACCCACGCTTCAATTCACTCATTTTCATCCCAAAAGAAATATTTATCTAACTTTTAAATGTGTGTTCCGCCAATGGATGAGTTAAACGTAGAAAAAAGGAAAATATATAATTTTCTGTGAAATTCATATTTAGGAAAAAAAACTGGAAATAGAAACATTTCGAAAGTGCAATTCATTTATGAATGCCAAAGAAAAAAGACAACGAGCGAATTAATTGCTCTCCAAAGAAGAGAAGCATTATCTACGTCTTGGGAAAGTTTCGCTTCTCGAGCGCGCCATTTCGCTCTGAATAAGATTTAATCATGTTTTGGGAAATATTCTGATGCTCACATTGTCCAAAGACAGAACTTCCATTTTTTTCATTGAAGGCTCTTCAAGAACTCGTCTAGCAATCGTGTTGATCCCCTAAAGTTATTTGGAAAAAAATTTATAATAAGTAAAAAATACCTGGATTTTTTTCATTAAGTTGGTGGGGACCGGTTGTCCTTCACTAATCACACGATTTCCCTCTATCAAGGCCTGCAAACTGTTCGGCGTTTAGCTTCGACTTCGAAAAAATTACGTCTTCGGTCATTTCACGAAGCATGCCATACTCCGACCGCTTGTGTGTCTCATTTGACGCAAATTCGAGGTCCCGAAACCTGTCGCATAGGTTTTGCAGCACCGGCAAGGAGCGGCTGAGCACTTCGAACTGTCTGTCGTGGACTTCGTCGGTCGGTTGGCGACTCGTCGTCGTCGCTTCCATCGAAACGCTCGCCACAGTCACTGTAGTCGCTACATCGTCTCCATGGTACTTCATATCCTTGCCCCTCTCGCGGATAAAGTTGGAGGCGTCGCCAAGAACGTCAAGTTGCTGGAAGAAAGAATGTTTACTTTTGAAGTATTTAGTCAATATGAATGCACACTTCAAATTTGCCATCCATGCCAACACGGTTGTAGACCACATAGCGAAGCTCAATTTTTTCCATATCAGGATTGAGCTTCGTTTTTTTGATCACAACACATCGTCGCGGTACGTCAGCGGTTTTGGGTTCTTTTTGTTTGTCCGCTGAATTTATAAATTTGAAAATATATATGAAGAAGGTTTACCATTCCGAGTGATTCGCTGCATTGCCTGCTGTTTAGACGTCGATTTTCGGAAATGCCCTTCTCATTACGATGCCCTCAACGTGATATATTTTCATACCGAGGTCGTTTAAAGTTGATGCTCAATTTTCTAATTTCTTTCTAACTATAGTAAAAACGAGGGCTTTGGTTCTAAAAAATTTTCCGCATTTGACAAGTAGTCAAAAGAATATCCAAAGTTGAAAAAACCGAATTTATGTTCGAATCGAACGATTTAACGCGTTCTTTTACTTTAAGTTGCCAAATTGTTTTAATGGGAAAGAAATCCTCATTGATTGGTGTTTCGCTCTCTTGAAAAAAGATACTCGGTTAAGCTTTTCTACTCATTCACTTCGTGTCAACCTGAGAAAAGACTTTTCTCGTAGTTGCACACATATTTTCAGTTGCTTTCTGAAACTTTCCCCACGTGCTTAAAAAAAGAAAAAAACTGAGAATTCAGATTTTTTTCGCTCATTTTATATAGAAAAGTATATAGAAAAAAACATGTATTTCAAATTTTTTTAATCAAAAAAATATTTTCAAAAAAATTTTCAATAACCGAAACATTATAGCGCAAGATTTTCGTCTTATGAAAAATGTTGATTTCCGGTTTTTCTTTAGCGGAGTTAATTTTTGCTATTTTCAACTTTTAATCAAAATGAATGTGTTTGTAGAATCAATTTTCTGCTATCTCAAACAAGTCTGCAGTGAAATTAGTGCGCAACAGAGTTTTGTTCGAGTGCGACGTATTTTTTCGTGCAAAAAATATCTGCTCGTCTTTGCTTCCCATGTTTGTGGCTTGAAGTTGACTTTTTTGTCGGCTTCAGATGCTTCCTTCCTTTTTCTTTCGAAATCAGTTTTAGAAACGATTTTTCGATTCTCGCTTATTTTTTAACGGAAAAAAATCAAAATAGTTTTTTTCTACTTCATCAACTTCATCAATGGGGAAATTTTTTTTTTACATTATTTTCAAAAAAAGTCCATAAAACGGCTTTATATCATTTCCCTAGGAGAGTAAAAGCTAGAATTTGTTCTCCCATTTTACGAAAAATCACCTTGGAGATGTCTGAAAACCAGAAAAGCAAAAAATGGATCGAACCTTCAATTCATTTCCTATTTTGTTACATGTATTATGTGCTAATAGGGTTCGCATAGAATGTTTTATTCCCACTCAAGCTTTCAGCTTCATTCATGCTGACTAGAAATGTGAAATTGAATTCTTGATTTCAGAGTTCGGTGACTGGAATACTCGAATATTTTTTTAAAAAAATTTGAGTTTTAGGGATAAAGAATCAAGAGGCGGAGCTTCAAAAAACAATTTTCAATGGAAACCACTTGTAACATGCACTGAGCTTTTGCTCAAACTCTTTTGTTTTCTCGGGCTCTCCATAGCTTTAATTACGATTGTTGTGCTCTTGGTCCCCCAAACCACGCCGGAAGCTTTTTGAACTCATTTGGATTAACTTCTTGAGCCAATCCGTATCCTAGTTTTTTTTCTTAGCTTCATTTCCTTTTTTCCTTCTAGGGTATTTAGTGGATATTTGGTTTGTAATTTTTTATTTTCAAACTGTTTTCGATTCGTTTCAAGTCGCTCCAACTGTGTCGAAAACATCATTTGTTGATCTCAAAACATCCGAGACGTGAGATTAGAATCAAGAAACTCGAAATTTTTCAATTTTAGCGCCACTCGGAGCAGAAGGCAGAACATCCACTTCTTGAAACCTTGTTTGGAGGGTTTCCGCTTTGAAGAATTCTTGTCCTTTCTCACTTTCTCAGACGTTGTCTACACACGGTTTTGAAAACGAATTGTCACAAAATTTCAGCGCTCAATTTTTTTTTTCCGATACTCCAACCAAGTTTGTATTTTTCGAAAAGTAGAAACTGAGCTAACGTTCTCATTTGGACTGAGCCTAGACATACCGAATGCGATTTTTAACGAGAAAAAAAGTTTAATCAAGGAGCTTCCTAGATTTGCTGGCAATTCGGAGTGACACAACGCTTGATTATAGCTACACGTCTTTCGCTTTTTGAATTGATTCTGGATGTCTTGCCTTTCTCGGCGTTTCTTTTTTTTTTGTTTTGACAAAAAAAACAATCTGAAAAGCAAAAACTATTAAAGTTCAAATATTACAAGCTCTCAGAAATTGGACAAATACGTGGCGCTTTCGAATTTCAGAAAGAAAAGTTTGACAGAGATTTAAAACCGCGATCTATTATTGATCTGAACATCTTTACGTGGTTCAGCTTCACTGTCTCCACTGTTGAGTCGAAAAATGAATCTCCGGGGTTTTTGGAAAATAGGGAGTGGAAGCAGTCGTGAGGCATGATTTAAATCGAGTTCCTTTCCGTTGTATCGCGCCTGCTCCACACAATTAATTAATTTCTTTCCATTCGAGCACCTCTCCTTTTGTTCCTAAGCCTCTGACGTTCTTTTTTGAGCACTTTAAAAATTTTTTCGCTTCAAGATTAGTTATAACTTTATAAATAAGCTTTTCATTTTGTAAGAAGCTCGTTGCTGAAGTTTTCATAAAATTAAAGGTTTCTCTCAAGTCTTTCTATCTGGTCATATTTGACTATTGAACAGTTTTCTTTCAATTATATTTCACTTTTTTCTTCTCATTGTGATTTCTAATCGTACTTTTTTTTTCTCGGTCACTAAGGACGTCGTGGGCGAGTACGATGAACTTTTTCGTCGTCAAGCAGTGAGTCAGTTCTTCATCTCATTAATTTTTATTGAAATCTGAGTAGACTGAACTGAGTTTCGGTTTCCGCCCTGTTTTCATATCATTTATCGAAAATAGGCGAAGGGGATTTCTATTAGAGTTTATTTTTTCTCCGGCTTCTTTTGAATTCATGGATTTTGCTGGAAAAAAGATTTTAAAAAAGTACTTACGCGCGTGAATAAGGAAGAAGTGATACATATCTCTACTAGAGTTATGAAACTAGTATGAAGAATAGCTTTTACTTCACTAAACAACCTCTAGACCGTGTTCTAATTTCCGCGGAATCCAAAAATGTGATTCTCCAAAGTTCCTCCTTTTCACTATCTGATGGCTAGTTTGAATTCCGCGGTGTTAATTTGAACACGGCTTCACTTTTTGTTCCACCCGCCCTTAACTTTATTTCGACGGCGCTCCAGAAAACAATACATTTTTTTGAAAAATTTAATCAAAACCTTTGCTCAATTAAAACAGAGCTTTTTTGTTCTTTATCTTTTGTAAGCGAATTAGTTGAGCATGTAGGCGTGAAAATTTATGGGATTCGGTTTAATAATGAGTTGGAAGAAATATTTCGGTCGATAGAAGGGCCAAATCGTACGTTGGAGTGTTGCAGATGATTGCCGCGCATCTTCTCGAGCACGCGGCTCTCGGATTCGCGTTCGCCGTTCTCTCACTTTTTGTCCTCGCTTTCGCCGTCGTCGCCGTCGTGCTGCTGACCATCTCTCACTCCTGTTGGTACCGCTGCGGTTCGTTTTTTCTCCGAAACGCGTTCCTCGAGCGTTAGAAAGCTATGAGCAATATATCCATTCATTCCACAGTTAATTGAGTTGGCTAATATGAGAATGACTCAGATGGTGACGGCGACCCTTTGATGGAAGATTACAACGCGTTTTTCGTCGATGATAGTGACGTTATCGTATGTGAGCCCATCGAAACAGTTATCGGATCCACACCAAAGTATGCTGATATTGTCTAGAAATAGATTTTACGTTTTTATAAATCTATATGGGGTTTAACTACCATTGAAAACTTCTGATATGGTTTTTTCCTACCCAACCAAAACATTTACATTGTTTCAAATTGCTCTTCCTTGTGGAAGAAGGAGCTTTCGAGATTGAACAATTTTTCTATTGAACTCATACTGGTATCTGTTCATGCGTTTAAATACTTGATGTTTTTTTATGATCTCTTGATTTTGTCCTCACAAACTTCCTATGAAATAAAAATAGTCTTCATTGAAAAATTTTATTAACAAAAAAATATTTGGTCAAAAAAATAAGTTAAGTGAAATATGTAATAAATAGGAACAAAACAGCGGCGCCTGGAAGCATTAAAATGAAAAAAGAATGAGAATCAGTGGACAACGACGTCCAGATGCGCCACTTGCGGAGTGCTCGGTGGCGTCGAGCGTTTGGTTGAAGCGGGCGACGAAGCCTCATCCAAGGCTTCCTGGAAACTGAGGAAGCGCTGACGTCGTCGGCGGATGACGTGGTAGGCCACCAGAGTGAAGATGACGGCGGAGAACAGCGAGGAAATCACCAGGACCCATTCGCCTGAACGTCTTCTTCAAAGATAACGTCATCCCTCAGGACGCATTCGTCCAAACGTGTCTCCATCCATTCTTTTAAAATTTATCTTCTCTGAGGTTTTTTGTTTCAGATAAAGCAGGATTTCTTTCAGATAACTTTTTTTTTCTGCTTTGAGTACAAGAATTTTGCGATCAGACAAAAGACAAACAGAAAAAAAAAATCAATTGAAATGCGAATGAATTTCGAAGATCTAACGATCAGCTGACAGGAGATGTCACTCGCTTTTTGGCTGGAACGTTCTCATAAAGGTTATCTTCATCTTACACCTCATTACCCATACGCTGTGTGAACTTAGCTCCAAATGGAATTGTTTCTATGATATTTATGGTGAAAAAAAGAACAGGAACCTGATGGAACCCATTGCAACGTTTTGAAGTTTTGTACAGACGATGTCATATGCAGTTTTATCGTCAGAAAGTACCGGGAAGTTAGAAAAGGTGCTGGAAGAAAACTCGGAGAGACGACAAAAGGGAAAACGAGGAATATGAGGAAGTCGACGTAACAGGAGATGTTCAGGTGGCAAAGGCACTGTGCAGGACAGACCCAAGGCGGAAAACCCGACGGACAGGCCGTTGTTTGGAGGCTGTTTGCGTTTTGGAGGGCCTCTCCTCGATCAGCCGCCGCCGGAATCTTCGATCCTGACGGCCCGTTCAAAAAAGGAAATGATACTGAAACTATAGGTGATGTAATATAAAATTGGTTGAAAATGTAGTAGATCTCATAAGCCGTAGTTTACGTTTTGTCGTGAAACTTTCACGGGTGAATTTGTATATTTTCTTTTAAACAGTAGAAGAACAAATCTGAATTTTATCGTACGGCTGTGGTTCGAAACCTCCCGCTTTTTTGTTGCTCGCAATTCAAAAAAAAAAAGCTAAGAATGTATCTTTTATTGAGGTTTTCCGACGATTCTTCTCTTGGACCGCACGAATTTCCATTCTGACGCTCAGCAAGGCGAACCGTATGTGTCAGTGAACATGTTCTAAACTCTTAATTTGAATTTTTATTTTGAAAACCGTTCATGGGGTAAACTGAGTTCTTAGAAGTGTCGATAGTCGGTGAGGACGATGGTCGGCGTCTGCGCACAACTCACTTTGTTTGGAGCAGCAGGTGTCTTCTGACGGTAGGCGTGGTACTCGAAGTCGGGCTGGTCGTCTTTTTCCCGCACTTGCTTCACTTTTTTGTAGAGGAAGTAGATGGAGATGGAGCCGAAGAAGAAGACAAGGACGGTCAGAGCGACGAGGATGACGATGTCGTTGGTCTGATTGGCTAGAAGTAGGTTTTCCGCTGTTTCCTGCACAGCACTCGTCGAAGAGTTCTCTCCAGCTCTGGAAAACAAATAAAGCTTGGAAAAATATTCATCTCTGGCGTTTGCATGAATAGTGTGTCGAAGTCTGCTTCTATTTCGTTTTTGAAGATGATAGCAGGCGGTTTTGAAAAGAACATAGTGTTTACAGTAATTGAACCAGAGACTTCGTCGTAATTTACCGCTTACAAAGTTTAGCGCAAAATTAAAAACCAGAAATTGAAAATCACAAGCTTTTTCGAACCGTATGTACAATATCTGACTAATGAGAAGGTAGATAACATCAAGAAATGTCATGTTCAAGCCGGTGATAACGATTTCATAAGAGCAATATCGCACAAAAAGATCGCCACAGTGTTTTTCTTTCTTTGAAAAACTGTTCAGCTGCTCGATAACAAAAACGCTTCAAAAGTGAACCATTGTGGCGATCTTTTTGCTCCCGATTGTTAGAACCAGAGCTTCTGATGAGACGGGTAACTCGAAGGCATCCCGGTGCGCCTCGACCCGCGGAGCGGTCAAATTGTCAAAAGGGCCGAAAAAACCGCGGGGCGAGCCCGTCAGCAGCTCTGGGCAGAACTTTCGTCGACATTTCCTTCGGAATAAGAAACTGACGTGATCATCTTGCAACAGCTCCTTTCGCAGCACCCGACTGCAAGAGGACATCTGCAAATAATCGATTAAAGACAGTGACAAAACAGAAAATTAGAACGAGCGTTCAAAACTGACGATATCGTAACTGTCAGCGATTCGCCATTGTGATTCGCATCGTATACACATAGTTTTGCATTTTCTGAAAAAATATGTGGATGAAGTTACAATTGAAGTTTTAATGAAAGAAAAAGACCTTCAATTGTAGAGGAGAGTAGTCGATGAACATTGAGAAGCGACATACGCAGTCAGGAGTTCAGAGAATGTACAGAGAGTCTTGTGGGCTCTTTGAGAAGTGAATAAAATTGAGGTGTTTGAAGAGGCGAGTCGGATGTCACTTTGTGCTTTTATTGTGCTAAATGACACGGCTCGTGAGGTGTCAAACCAAGGCTCAGGTACTATTTTTTGATCCTTTCTTGAACCAAAAAAACTTTTCCGTGGGAAATTGCTGTGTGATAAGTATGGAAGGTAATTTTTTCCATTACTTCAGAATTCCCTAAAAATTGACCTGAAAACTCTTCGATTTTCCAGAATTGGGTATTTGTAGCCTTCAGCGGTGCAGTTTTCTAACTTACAAAAAGGACCATCCAAGGTTAGTTTTTTTTTGCCTCTTTGACTGAAAAAAGTCGATTCGAAATACAACAAGTACAAAAGAAACTCCAGTATATGTTTTCCTCAATTTACAGCTTTTGTCCTATCTCATGGTTCAAAGTTTTCTGGAAACTTTTCATGAAGATAAATATGATCATTTGTAAAAAAATTCTAGTGGACTTATAAACTGGTAATTCTAACGGGTTTCCATCCATTTGAAGGAAAATTCGAAATGAGTTTGTTCAATGAAAAAATGATTCGCTGCGGCAAATTTTTCATGCGTTCCTTAATTTTTTTTTCTCTTTTTTTTCCAAACTTTTTCCAGCTTTGTTCTGAATTTCAACTTTTATGCCGTGTTCATATTAGTTTCTGCGAAATGCAAAATTATCTCTGACTTTTCAAAATTTAGTTAGCTTTCATCCTTCTTGAATAATCACCTGAATGAAGAGCTCTTTAGGTTTCTCGTGTGTTTTCAGATTAGTTTTATCATTCAAATTTTATCACATCTGCACATCTCAATCGGTTTCAAAAACTTTCGCTACATTGTTCTCTTTGTGTGAGTCAAGGGAAAGCCTTGATTTGCCGGCCCAGAAACATCCAAACACATGAACGACGTTATTTTTTCGAAAAAGCGTTGATTTGTCTGTTCTGAGCGACGGCGCTAATCCTTTTCAGTCGGGAATCACTTCTTTTGTCTCGAAACTTAACCCACGAGAAGGCCTTCTGTGAAGAAATTTGGCGGCTACTTTCATCTAACGCCACTTCATCTGCGAACCCTATCATATGCTATGAGCACACTTCAAAGCTGCGCAAACGGTCACAACTGCACGATTCGCCTTTCGCAACTCCGCCGTCCAAATATGCTTTCATTGCGGTTCAGCGCTATTTTTGTTCTATTCTAACCGCGGCAACCAACCCAATGTATCGTCTTTCTCCTAATTTTTTGAACACTTTTTTGCAGCGTTTGCAATGAATTGCTCATGTCTTCAAAAGCTTCGTCTGATGCTTTTCTATTTGGATTGCTGATTTCAAATTCAAACTGAACATGAATCAGTAATTCTTCTCGTTCGCCTCGACAGCTTCTTCGGTTTCTTCGGCTTGTTCAGACGGGTTCTCATATTTCGAAGCTCTTAGCTAGGTCATTACAATTTGGAATTGACTCTGCTCTAGATATGATCTCGAAGTTTTGCCGACAAGCTTCAGAACGATCCTCGACTCGCTCGACAGCAACGAATTGTTCGCAAACTTGCCGCCCAGAATCTTTCAGGAATTTTCTTTTCTCAATCACTTAACTTAACATGTAAAACTAGTCCCGAAAAGTGAACTCGTTGGGGTGCTAAAAAATCGGATTTTACAGTTCATTTACCTCAGTTTTTTTTTGTACCATCTCTCTATTTTTCAAAGACTATTTCCCCTTGTCAGAAGGGCCTTGTGAATAAAACAAGCATTGTTATATTATTCTTAATTTCTAGTCGCTCTTCTATATGATTTCATCTAACTAGTCATGTTTCCGGTCAGTTGTTGTTCTGTTATGCCCTTGGGGTTCAGCTTTCGAAATTTGAGTGAAAACCGAAATTTTTCTCCATATTTTGAACCATGAAATCAGGACTTCTTTAATTTTCATTTCTTTTTCTAGTATCACTTTCGCCTGACAAACAGTGGATACGGATTGGTTTGTTATGCGCAAGTGAACACATAGAAAACAAACAAGGAAGTATCGAGACTGTCAAAAGGCCGACAAAAAGACCATTTTCCGGTACTCGCCACGCGTTGCCTTGCCTTGTCAGATATGGCTCAGAGCCGATCATTCCCGTTTATTCGAATCGCCTTCTCCATCATCGTTTCCAAATTTTGTCCTCATTCTTTTCTTTTTTGCTGCCCGTTTTTCTGCAATCTCGATGATGCTGTACTTTTTTCGCCGCACCTTGAAATAGTGTGGCTCCTTTTCTCATCCTCGTCGCTCTCATGTTAAAGTGCTCATCTATCTTTTATCATTTACTGAGAGGAAAGAATAAGACCGTTACCAGTCATGAGGATTTTTTTCATAAAAAAAGAAAAATAAGCTCAATAATTTTTGAAACTTTCTGTTACGCCTTTTTTTAGCATCATGTGCTCACGAAAAATGAGAATTCCTATCTCTATTTTAGGCTGACAAAAAAACAATTTAGAATTTTTTTTTTAAAAACAAAAAGCGGTTTCTCTTCAAAGTAATTTGTGTGGATTGCAATCAAAAAGCTCTATAAGGTGATGTAATTGTGTTCATACTTTTTCGAAAGAAATTTAAAACTTTTTTGAAAACAAATCTTTTTTTTCCAGAAGATCGACTCGACGAAAGTATCAGTTGGTCTCTCCGCCACACGCTCCGACGCGTCAGGTACGTAGCTCAGAAAGAAATAGTTGAAATGTCGAGAGATGTGTCTAAGCTTCTTCTTACGGGTGTTCTTACGGCACGCAAAGCACACATGGGCACACACTTTGGGAGAGATGCCGGAGAAGCCTGTTTGGACCGAAATCGCGCGGTCGAGGTCTCGCCGGAGCGCGTGGTGTTTCGACGCGTCGCCTGAGGCAATCGGCGCACGGTCTGGTGCTCCAGCCGCCGGTTGAGCCTCCGACAACCTGAACGAAATGCTCTCTCTCGCCAGCCAATCGTATCCATTGTTATCGATCTCCAGCTTTTCCTTTGTCTTTGACCTTTGCCTCGTTTTCTCCAACTTCAGTCCTTTTTTCATATTTCCTCTCCACTTTTTTACCCGTCGCTAGATGAAATTTGAAAAAAAAAATCCCCTTGCGCATCTTCAAAAGCATTCAAAAAGTGCACTCGGCTTCTGGTTTTTATGGTTAAGGGCGTGAGCAGCTTAGAATTGATCGAGTTTTTTTTCAGACTACCATGGTCGTAAAAGTAATATTCACCCTCAATGAGAAAAAGATTCATGAGTTAAATCGAGGGATTCAACTAGTCAACGGATTCAGTTGGAATTCCATAATTTTAAATCCATTATCAAAGTTTACATTAGCTTTACTTGTTCCTTAAAAAGGAAAAAGAGAGATTATACAGAAAAGTATGAGTAACAGAGATGTAAAATAATTTCAGATCCCATGTGTGCTTTGACAAAAAAGAAGCCAAAAAAAAAAAGAATTTAAGTATTACTCAGCCAAATGTTTGTTGAACGCGAATTTCAGCCGTCCCCAGAAAGACGCCGACCAGAACAAGCAATGAGTCGGTGGGATGCGTTGCCAAACTCGCGCAACAGTAATCCAACTCTTTTTCCGTGAGATCTTTCTTCTCGAGTTTGCTCTCGTTTTTGAAATGAATTCGTTGTTCGCTCTCCATGGAAATATTCCTAAGGCTGGAATGATTCAGACAGAACGCGGCAGTAGGACCGTCTGCAGAGATGACGTCTTTGTCGCAGACAGCTCAGTTGCAGCAGATGGGTCAAGTGGCTGGCACAGGTCCCGACGAAGTCAACCAGCACGGAACCATCGGCCGCTTCCTCAGAATGGAGCTCGAAGGTCAGACTGCTCTTGCAAAAGCCCCAATAACCATCGATCTATGAACTTTATAAACTTCCAAAGAAGATGTGTCAACTATTTGTTCATTTACTGAAAGATTTATTTATTTATTTTTTTCTCACTCAAAGACAAAGATAAAAAAATACAGAATAGAAAGTGTTTGAGGGAAGTGAAACCCGATGTAAAAACGCCCTAATGAGCGATTTACCGGAAAAGGAGACACGTATTTTGATTGACTAGGCAATGTAGAAGAGTTTTAAAAAAAATTAAAAAAACGTTTCTGAAATCTGTCGAAAGCGTGATGTGAGATTTATTCGTTTTTTTTTCTTTTGCGATTGTTAAATGTGTATGGAAAGTAGACACTGAGGCTTGAATTTTGATGACCATATGATCTGTAGAATATATATTTTACAGTATGTTTAGAGTATTAATCGCGCAAAAGTCTCAACGAAAATCGTTTGATTACCTTGTTCATTCTTATGAATCTACTTCGGATAAACATAGAAATTCACCTACTTACAACTGAACATACTCATACTCTTAGTTTTTTTCAAATTTATATTTTAATCAATGAAGGCTGGAAAATCATTTGTCAAAGAAACTAATTTTTTTTTTTCATCAAAAAACAGAAAAAGGAATGATTTTTTAATCCCTCTCCACATGACTTTTTCATGCTTTGAACGATTTAAGGAGGCTTCTCGTCTTTTGTCAGATGCATCTACGAAGCGAAAAGAACCAACAACAACACAGTGACTCTGGTTTGTGAACGGGACCAGGAGTGCTGCGAACACGGCTGTTGTCCGAAGGACCAACACTGGTACGTCTTCCGGAGTTTTCCGTACTCTTCGTCTTCAGGATGGCCGGCGTCTACGTGCTTCTCGCCTTCGTTCTGTTGGTCTTCGTCGTCGGCACCGTCCTCATGATTTGTTGCTACCAGCGATCCAAGAACAAGCAGAGGAAGGAAGAGCGCGAAGCCGCCGAGTACCACGGCTACGCTGCTTCTCAGGTATCCATCCTAGCTCTCGAAGATTCTGTAGACAAAAAATACGATTTTTTCTTTCATACAAAAATCCTCGCAAATGTCAAAGACAAAGTTTTCCAAAAGAGCCGAACTCTCGGCGTTTCTCAGAAAGTTCGAGAAAAAAAAACTCTTTTTGAAGGTGTTTAAAATTTTCTCCTATTATAAAAAAGTTCTATTAAAAGAGATATTGATATAGGAATTCCTTGAAGCACTACTCCTCTTACCTTGAGAAATCGATTATGAACTAGTTTTGATGATTAAAAAAATCCCTGATTATGAAATAGATAATTTTTGGCTGTTCTGTCACAAAAAAGCCGTCTTCTGAAGGAAGATTCTAGAAGTAAAAACAGTGAGTCGGAAGTTTGAAGGCGTATGCAGCTACTCATTTGGAACCCCAAGGACGGAACTTTGATATGAGCCAAGAGGATGCTTTCGAAAATTATCACTTCTAACTATTCACAATATCATTCGTTTTAGTATAGTTATAGGAAAATCAAGCTTTTTCCATGATCATTTGAACTATACTTGAGCCTCACCTCACAAGAGGTGATTTCATTTGAATTTTCTGAAACTCTGTCAAATATCTCTTTGATGTACTTACTAAGGGTCCTGAAATTTGCAAGCTTCACAACCATCTACTTTTTGAAAACAAACGCCTTCAAACTTCCGATTCACAACAGTATCAATGGAAACGAGCTCAGACTTCTAGCGGAAAAAGCTTCTTTTGTTTTAGTTCTGGAATCTTCCTTCAGAAGATCAGCAAGAGCAACGAACAACGAAAACCCCTTTTTCTCTGAAACTTTAACTAAGTTGACTTTATATCTTGAAAAAATTTAAATTATTGTGAAGTCGCAAAGTTGCCTTCCCGCAAGGTAGCTGCATAAAAGCATGGTATAATAGCCGTTGGGCAATGCAAAGCTTGCAGGTCGGAGGTCCTGGTGCTTACTCTTCATACGGTGGACCGACTTATTGAAAAGCCTTCCTGGAAAACCCCGTGCTTTCGACATTTTCTCCAAATTTAACTGATGATTCTCGAGTTTTCCACCTCACGGATGACTCATCAAGTGTTTGTATATATTTGAGAATGAAAACTTCTATTGTTTCAGTTTTTATGTTTGCTTTTCTGTTAAATTCAAAAAGTTAGATGAATGAGTTGGTTCCAGTTCATACTTGGTCATTGGTTAACGACTGCTTCAAAAGGCGGTTGTGGCCTGTGTTACGGTAATACCAAAACGCGCAGACACATCGACGCCATCTAGAAGGACCAAAAGGCATTCAAATAAAGTCCTCAAAAAATTGTGAAAAGCCAAAGACCCATTTGCTAAAAAAGGAGCTTGAAAGATATTATGCGACTTTTTCAAGAACTTAGAAAGAAGCTTTTGCATATGTTTTTAGATTACTTCAAAAGTCTAAAATGCTTTCTAGGCTTTGCCCGTGAACTGAGATTTAAAGAAAATCGATTTAAAACCTTTACGGAAAGTTTTCGAGTAAATTCAACTGTCCGACAGCATTCGCATTGTCTTAAACTGACATTGGGGTTTCCCTCAGATCGCACTGTTTTTTTGATCATTGTGGCAGATCTTTTCGACTTGTATTTTTCGGACTTTTTTGAGATGCTCATTAAAGATTGAAGGAACCTTAAAATCAAAGCCTGACGAACAGGAAGATCCTCAGAAGAACTTCCTGAAGAAGTGGTCGGCAAGAAACCGACGTGCAACGTCTGTTTATGCAACTCTGGCGCGTCTGGCAGCGCTTCGTCTTGTTGCCGTGTATGATCCTCTCAACGTGCTTCTCCTCCAGTAATTGTTCCTAATGACCCCAAGGGTCTCCTTTTTCCTTTTCCACTGGTCCCCACGTACGCTCCAACCACTCGCCACTCGACCAACGTTTCGCTACTTGCTTTTTTTCTCCTCTTCACCTATCGGATAGGGCCTTATCCAGTTATCCTTATCCTCCTAGTTTTTTCCGGAGAACCCATGATGAAATTCTTTTACTGCCTCGCTTTTTGGACTGATGAGTCTTTTGTAAGCGTTTGAAAAGCACAGCCAAAATGTCGTTTGAATCGATCAGACTTCTTAGAAACACTGACGAGTTTAGAAAGAAGTGAGGGCTGTTGACGCCACGATCTCTCTCTCTTTTTCTTCATTTGTCATTTCGTCTACTTTTAGGCTCCCAAGCCGTTCAGATGCCAACAAAAAGCATTGCGTCTCCTTTGAATGGCTGGTAAAATGACCCAGCTGGCGCTCTTCGAAATGTGCTCACAAGTGCCGGCTCTACACACCTCGTTTTTTTTCTGCAAAAACTCAAAAACTTTATATTTAATTTACTTTCTTGTTCGTTCAACTTTTTTTTTGAAGTCTTTCTAGACAACTTCACTTACCGAAATTTAGTGAAGAGCCAAACGACTCCGGAAGTGTGCATCGGGAAAGGCGAATGACTCGAAATACCATGAAATTCGATAGTTTTGCTTGGTTTGGGGCGTATGGATGCAAAAATGGGATTTGCTTCTCGACGCAGAAACACAAATACTTTGTCTACTTTCCTACGGTGGTGTTTTGAGAGCTCAACTCTCGTGGTGACTTTTCAAGAGCAGTCTTAAACGCTAAGTAGCTGTTTTTGACATTTTTGTAGTTCTTTGAAAATATAAACAAAAAAAAGCTAGAAAGGCTCACAAAAACTATAATAACAATGCACGAGTAATGGGACTTGGTTGAACAAATTTTTTTTTCCGTTTTCCGTTTTAAGTTCTCATCTAAACAGTTTTGCTGATATTTTCGAGCACCTGTAGCAGCATCAGTCGTTTCGTAGTCTCTATATTTTCTTTAAAACATCTCCGGAGACCGGAATCGAACTATAGGCTGTGAATTTTGAAAAACCGAGACTTCTTCAAGATAGAGTTAATCAGATGCAAACATTTTCTCAGTGTTGAATTTTAAATTCAAATTCGAGACTTACCGAAAAAAAAAATGGAAAATAAAGTATTGCACTCTTGACCGCTTCGGCATTGAACTTCTCTTCTTGTTTTCATTGTTTCCGTCGTTTTTCGCCCCACTGTAGGTCCAAAAAGATATTTACTGTCAAGCAAAAAAACTTTAAAGCTTAGATTCTCCGTACCAATTTAAAATCATCTGGTTGGAAAAAAAAAGAAATTGAGAAATTTTGCTATTCTAATTTAATGGTTAGTCAAAGTTAATTAACTCCTACTTGAAACGGGGGATACTGTAGATTGTGGGGACACCAACAAGTCAAAAGTAGCCCTAAATGACGGACATTGCTTTTTGGAAGGAAGAGCTGTGCAATCGCCTTTTCAGCGCTCCTTTGAGCTGGGAATGAACGCGCTCTTTTTCTTCCTTTATTATATACCCCACCTGCTTCAAGGTCCAAACGACTTTTCTGCTTCTTCTTCTTCTGCTTCTTCTTCTTCTTCTTTGCCTCGCGTTTCCTCTCGAGCCAGATAAAAAATGGCTGGAACGGCCCAACGGAATGAGCAAATTCACAAATCGTTTCCGCACTCGGTTTCTTACTTCGCAGCCTTCTTTTGATGTATGGCCGCCACTGATTTGCGTCAATTTTCTCTCACTTCGCCCCGCCCCTTCATTACTTAGTTTCCCGGATCAATTAGCGCTGGGAGAGCTAATCATTCCAAGCGATCACCTCGGCGTGTTGCACTTGTCAAACTTTGCCTTGTCTTTTTTCCTTTATTCGCTTCTCTATCTAAACCTGTACACATTTTTCCTTGTTTTTTGGAGTTTTTTGGAATCTTTCCTCATAACATAATTTTCGCTACTGCATCAAAATATACGAATGTTTTGTGATTGGAACGGTACATTCACCACTTCTCGAATTATTTTTCTCTTTTCCGTTTTTTTTTTTTCAAGTTTCGAGTTTTTCGAGTGTTAAAACCTTATTTGAGCATGATCTTAGCGTTCCCATTAAATATATATTTCTTATGTTTTAGAATGAAAAAAAAACGAATTAAGCATAACTTTGAATCCTTGATGATGAACTTAATCACATTTTTAAGAAAGTTTCATTCCAGTTATTTTTTACTTCAAATGAAAATAAAATGAATTCAGTTTTTGTGCGCCTCCGCCATCAGTTTTTTTCTCTTAAAGAAGTGAAGAAAAAAAGTTTTTTTAAAAACTGAAGTCATAAGAGAAGCTCTTCTCCAAACAGGTCAGACCGTGTGGCTTTTGCATTCTTTGGTGCAGAAATTTTTTTTTTTTGATGTCGAGGAAAAAGAAACGATATGGGCCTTGGATCAAAAATTCATTCCTCGTGCTGGCAAGTAGCAACGAGACGGTTTCGGGGCGGATCGGTTGCCAGGCGACGATCGCGTGCCGAAGCCGCAAGTCACTCCACGGAGACGCAGCCGGACAGACGTCGGCGGTTGGTCTCCCTCGCATCGACCAACTTCTGAGAAAGCCGAGGTGGCCAGGAAAGGGAGAAGACGAAAAAAAAAATACATAAGCGCCGCACCAACAGCACGCCAGTCGCATCTTTCTTCCTCTTGTACTTTTTCTCGGCTTCCCGTCCAAGAGTGACCAATCGCCGGCCAAACGCATGTCCGTTGTCTGGTTTCCGCGCGCAAACCTTATAACAGAAGGCTTAATTCGACGTCTCATTAGTTTCCTACGTTTGTCAACACTGCTGCTCACACCTGCGCCTTCAGCTGAGGCAGTATTTATAGACTGAAAGAGCAACTGTGAATAGATTACTTAGAAGAGTGATTTCACATTCACTTACCAGAGACAGGGCTAACATTTTCATCCGTATCAACTTTATTTTGGATTTAGCACCATCTGCGGACCGGAAATTTCAATTCATTCAGCGCCTCACTTGTGTTCTTGTAGCCGGAGAGCTTATATGAAAATCGCTTCAAACGAATAAGTTAGGCAAAATTAGGCCCAGTGAAACACGTGGAAATAGAAAAGTTTTCCGACAAGTTATGTTGATCTCGCTTTCAAGTTTTTTTTTCATCTCGTAACTGGTATGACACATTTGTCCCATGTCTTCATGGATTCAAAGCTTGTGATGAATATATTTTTGTTATGGAAAAGTTCACCTGAATGAAATGCAACGGAAGTATATTTTACTAGCTCCTTCGTAACTTCTTAAGACTTGTTAAGAAATCTTCCCACGTTTCTTCACGCTGGAATTTTCTGAAGACTTCGTTTTCTTCGTTTGTCTTTCATAAAAGTCGAAGAAAGCTTCAGTCTTGTTTCCAATGTTTTCTTTCTTTATTGATTCATTAACGACTAAAATCCATTTCTATTTATCAGTTTATCCTTCACAAGGCTTATAGAATTGAAGTTCGAGTGGGTATTTATATTAATTGATGAGAGTCGCTTTTCTTTTAGTCATAAAGACTATCGGGTTTTCTTTTCCGTTTTTCCCTCGTTTTGTTTAATCAGCTTTTGCAAAAAACTGTGAGGCACGTCGTTGATACATTTTCCGGAGATCGGCAGCTTCTTCAATTTCAAATCATATTCTTTGCTGAAGTATGAACACCTTTTGGTCTTATTTGGTCGATCGAAGTTTCTCGCAAGTATCTTTTCATTTATAATTTTAAAATCATGAAATAATAGAAAAGCAAATCTCAGAGAGTTCGTATGCCAAGATTATTCACGTACGTCGAAGATTTATTGAAAATGTTGATATTCAAGATTTGTCTCAAGTAGTAGGAATTCATTCAAAAGAAGTTTCTAAGCACTCTTACTGTTCAAATTTTCCATTTTCTATGTTTCAAGATAAATAACTTGGTATGAAAATAAAGAAAGTTGGTGTTTTCCTTTTTCAACTTTTCTCAAATCATGGACACTTCCTGTGGTTTTGAAATTACTTCTAATTCTATCTAGGAAAGAACTTTTGAGCAATTTTTTTTGTTTTTCGTAGCCAAAATGATAAAATGCTTGAAGTTTAAGCCGATTCATCTCAATCGCCTCGACTTCCTATTCTTTTTGACCGCACCGGTAAGAGAAGAGAGAGCGCAGACAAGCTAGTCTGTTTCAACATCGGGAGAGTTGATTATGAACTGTTGCACTTTCCTAAAAACGAGGGAGATTTCGTTTTGCGTCTATCCTCGCTTTTTGATAACTAGTTATATTATTTCATCATTATCCAAAGTTTGTGGTTGAGGAGGGCTGTCGGAGACGATAACGGCGTGACATTGCAATCGCCGAGGGACGTCGGCATATGGCGTTGGTGTTGAGCACCACATGTCGGAAAACCCCCTTTTTTTTTCTTACTCTCACGCTACCTCTTTCGAATTTTCGGAAGAAGTTCTATATATCCTTTTGTAAAATGAGCTGCGCAAAGCAATCTTAGAGGTTCATATTTGAATGCTACTGAATTGAAAAGAAACAATTAATTTTGGAATTTTTGAGAAAGAGGGCTATTTCAAAGCACTAGACTGAAAATTCAGACATTTTTGAAGAGATTTTTGATCAGATATAAATACGATCGATGTTTGAAAAACTTCAGGAAACTGTTTTTTCGCTATTCCTGATAGATCTGTTTCTTCCAATTTTTGAGGATCATCTGACTCAATTTTAACTTTTCGAAATGTAGTGAAGAAACGATTTTTGAGGGTTTTTTGTGGCAAAATCTTTATGAAGCATCCACAAAGTTAAACTTTTCCACGTATCCTGCTACAAGTGCTTAAACCTATAAGCTCGAAAGAGTTTCCATATGATAAAGACATAGCGTAGTCTCACTAAAGTTTCGCGTGGTTTTTTTTTTCCTGAATCAGAAATTCGGGAGGCTGGTTGCTAGCCGAGAGCTACTTTTGGCTGCTCTCCAGTCTCATACCAAATGCATTCATCTTATGTGTCTGTCAATCGCCCACGCGTGTCAGTCAATATTTTCGGCGTCCACCTAGTGTCTCTGATTGGCTTTTTTTTATTCGTTCTCTTGACTTTTACAAAAAGTGAACTCGGCTCATTTTTCATTCGTCGTTCTACTTGAGCGGATAGTCTGTCCCCAAAGTTGTCTTCTCTATGCTGTTTTTGAGAAGTCACTTCCTAGACTTGGCATCCACGAAGCAGAAGAGGTGCCAAAGCCGATTTTGCGCGTGCAAAAAAGCGGATTCATCATCGTCCATGCACACGTTTTTGGAGGCCCTTCATGATTCCAGGTGCCCGCACACCGATATTTTTTTTGTTGTTTGTCCGTCGACGCCCTAAACACGGAAATCTGAAAAGCAAAAGATTTTATACGTCTGCTTTCGAGGCCCAGAAAACGTACTTATTGGCGAAGTTGATTATATGTGTGCGAGAGTCGGCACGGGCTCATTTCTAACATTACGCACCAAAAAGCCTTTTACGATTTTACCCGCTTTCTTTGCCTTTTTCAAACTAGAGTTGCTTTGATTCTCCTAGCTGTTGATCGTGGACTACGGGTTTTTTAAATTCTGAGTTTTTTTCAAAAGATCTTTTCGAGAAAACGCTGTACTGTCGAAAAAAATCATCATTTTTTAAACCTGAATTCCATTCAAAGTTTGATTAAATCTTTCAATGATTTTGCTCCCCAGGCGTCGTGTTCAAAAGGCTGAAAAAGAAATGATGAGCCAGGACCCTATAAGGTGAATATTTTTTGCAAAAAACAGCAAAAACCTTTTTTTCTGTAATTGTTAATTTATAAATATCAAAGAAAGCTGTGTTCAGTTCACCAATAAGAACGAAAAATGGTCAAGTATGTATGCTCAGCGGAGACGTGGGAACCGGACGGGTCCCGGGAGGTCTGAGCTGGTGTGATTGGGTGGTTTCCGATATTTATTAGTTCATTGTTTATTATTCCCGCCGTTACGATCTGTTGTTTTTTTATATTTCAATTGTCGTTTGCCTTTCAAACTATTTTCAATGCTTCGTGTCGTCTTATGATTTATGAATATCCGCGTTGCCTAGCTGATTTTCACATTTAAATTTTGCCTCAAAGCTTCAATCCTGGAAAGTCTCACTTTTCTCTTTAACTACGTTCTTTCCTAAATTTTTCATCTTTTTTTTCAAATGTTTTCCGGAGTTCTCATATTTGAAAGCCCAAAACCTTTCAAAACGTCTGCATTTAAGACCGATCAAAATGTGTATAGTCGCTTTTTCCCAATTTGAAAAGTGAGATGGGTAGACTGGCAATGCGACGCGGCTTTTTGTTCAAATTTTGAGATAACACGTGATTGTAGAAAGAATATAGAAAAAAAAGAACGTTTTATCATCTTTATACTTTTATTCGTTCAACTTAAGTTTCCGCCAAAAATATATAGTCGAACACTCAAGGCTCAACCCTTACCTTACCGATCTCGCCTTTCGAGTTGGGAAGGAAAAGCTATATTCTTACTTTTCTCTTTTATCAATTTTTAAGGTTTTTTGCGTGTAATTCCAAGTAATTAAGGTTTATCTCACTACTTATCTATTTTGACAATAAGAACTCTTCGAATTACACAAAGATTGAATTGAGCTCTGGTCTGACTCCGGTTTCTTTTGTACCAAAGGCACATCAAGATTCAGCCAACCTGGATTTCGTACTTCCCCGATTGAGCAAAAGCCGAAAGAGTAGGAAACCGAGCTGACTTGTTTCAGATTCAAGATTCACTTCCGGAGAAGTTCAAAATCGGGCTCTCACAGAAGCTAATGTGACGTCTTCGGGTGCCCTGCAGTGGGAGATCCTTGAAGTGAAATGCCGGTGGCGAAGCGAGGACTTGTTGCGCCGCAGAACACCTTCCTCGAGAACGTCATCCGGCGCTGCAACAACGCCGACACTTCCTTCATCTTGGCCAATGCCCAGGTCGTCGACTATCCCATCGTCTACTGCAACGATGTCTTTTCGAAGCTCGTCGGATACTCCCGCGCCGAGATCATGCAGAAACCGTGCTCGTTAGTCGTTTGTAGCGTTTACATCAGAGAAAAGTAATTTTTATCCATTGACCAAAAGTACTGAAAAGCAAACTTGTTATTTCAAAGCGATGAAGTGTTAATTATCCTGAAACAATTTTGAGAACGGCTTTTCGGCAAAGGCAATTTTATTTTCATAGCAATTTTTTGTATGATGGCCTCCCCTTTTTATTTTTTATGCTTTGGGTTTTTTTGGGGTTTTTTTCTGATCAAAAAAACAAAAAAATAATTTATAAAATCGTCTAAAAAAATACAACTTTCAGATATTTCTGAAAACTTGCCAGTTCAAGTTGCCAAAAAAAGGGAAGATGGTCGTAGATTTAATTTTTTCATTATTTACAAAGAGGCTTTTGCAAGAATAAATGTTCGGTTATCAGGCTTGTAAAATCGGTTTTCAGACTAGCTTTCATGCACGGGGAGCACGGAGAAGCCGGAAGCTTGCAGAGGATCCAGGACGCTCTCGACAACTCGCGGACCGAGCAAGCGGAAATCGGGTTGTGCCGCAAGAACAGTTGGTGGAACTCCCTTACCTTTCTCAAGTTGGGACGTTTCAGAAACGCCGATTTGGTTGCTGGTCCACCTGGCACCCATCAAAAACGACAAGGACTCGGTGGTTCTCTACCTTTGCCAGTTCAAAGACATAACACCCCTGAAACAACCTCTAGACGATGAAAACAATAAAGGTTGGCACGCCGTCGAGCTATTTCCAGCCGTAACGGAAAGAGTAGAAGCTCATGTTGTGCCAAGGCTCAGTGCTGCATTATCCGTGTTATCACAGTTCTGGCTGACAAGATATTCAAAAAAGAAAATCATATTCTCTGCGAGAATAACGATTTGAATTTGCAGGTCTTTCGCGGATTCTGCAAATAGCGAGGATAGCCAAGTCCAAACAGCAGTTCAATCAAATCGAAACCAAGGACTTGCACAAGTCCTCAGCCAACACCTCTTCAAACTTCAACCAGGTTATCAAGGTTCAGCACTTGCCTCCTTTTTTGTTTCCTTTTTTGCTTTGTGTTCGTCGCGCAGTCGCTTTATGTTTTTTTTTTCTGTTCATGCTGATAACAAATGAAATTTCGAAAATTTGAGAATTTTGAAAGATACTGCGAAAAACATTTTCATTTGCTCTCGGCTGTTCCCTACTTATTTCTTGCCTCGGCGATTTCGCCATGTCTCTACCGGCAAATGTTTGAATTCACAGCGGCCAGCAGACTTCTTTATCTGGAGAACTTCAAAGATTTTTGGCTCAATAATGTTGTGAGAAGAAGGAATTTTCAACAAAAAATTTGACTTCGAAAACTAGAAATTATTTGATCCGAGTTTTTCACTCTCCACTATCTGAGTTTGAAGTGGACTATCATGTGCTTTAAGGAATTTCTATCGGGAAAAGGGAAAACATCAGCCAATTTGAAACGAATTGAAACTCCATTAAAATGAAAAATATGAAATTCAATTCCAAAAATTTTTTTAACTTTTTGTTTCGGTCTCTAAAGGTTTTCAAAGTCGATTTTTTGAAAAAAAAAAAAGCCTTAGTTTTTTGCAGAGCTGCCAATTAATGAAAATCATCAAAAAAAATTTTAACTAGACTTAAAGATGGCTGAAATTCTCATTAAAGGCTCTCAAACTGAAGTTTTTCACTTTTTTCTCAGTGTTTTGAGGCTTTTTCTATATACTCCTTTTGCCTCAACTTGAGACACGGTGATGCGGCCTTTGCGGTTAGGGAGCGTAACGATTGTGAAGCAGAACTGTTATTAATGTTAATCTCAGCGTGTCGTTTTTTCAAAACAGAGTTACTCAAACTATCTCTTGGGACTTTTTAAACAATAGAGTCGGAACTTTGGCTAATTGTTCCTGAATGAAAGAAAAACATATATTTGAAGACTGTTTCAAATGCGTCACAATCGCCGCGCCACAGAGTTTCAATTCTTGAGGAACTCAGTTAATCAGTATTCTAATGATATTCAGATAAGTTCCTTCGGATTATTGAGAAGTTTAGGCGTTTCAATACAAAAAGTGTCGCGACGCGCACACGAGTGTCAGCCGATCGAGAACGATTTTTCTACGAGGACAAAAAATATTTCAGGTGATGAACCTCGGCGGCGACATGCTGCCGCAGTACAGACAAGAGACGCCAAAGACTTCTCCCCACATAATACTCCACTATTCTTCGTTCAAGACTATTTGGGACTGGAGTATCCTTGCTCTAACCTTCTATACCGCTTTTATGGTGCCTTTCAACATAGCCTTCAAAAACAGGTTGGTGTCCTTCCTTAATATGAAACTCGGCAAATGTGTCACGAACTAACTTTCCAAACGTTTGCTCATCTCGAAAAAAGTAGAGAAGTTTAAGTTTTGTTACAGTTCTTCATTTTCGTCATCAACGCTGCAAAATGATGAATTATTGGATTTTGCCGTATTTCCGGATGAGTCAACGAGGGCTGCTCCTGTTCCCACAGCCACCGTAATGTGAATATTAACAAAGAAATTTCTATCCACGAGAAATCAATTCGGCGTTGTGTTTCGTGACACATTTGTTTTTCCTTTAAATAGCACTGCCAAAATATTTTCGTTTTTACATATATTTTGAAATTCTCCTAGCCTTTTAAAAAATTTCGGAAAGAACAACAAACCAAAGTACAACACATTGAAATAGTTTGACCTTTTTGTACATTCTCACTCTATCAGCGACGCGTTTTTGTCGCTGATAGAGTGAGAATGTACATTTTTGTTATTTTTTCCTGATAGTTTTGATTAGAGTAAAGAGGGCGCAGAGAAGTCAGAATTTATTAATTCGTGGCTGAAAAGCAATTAATTTGGATCTGAGGAGTAGAGTCTGTTCAGATTTTGAATGTCAAGTAGAATGACGTCATTCGAAAACGCTCTGTGGATGGCTCGCTCTCTGATTGGTTTGTCGCACCATTAGGAAGCGGAGCTTCAGGGAGGACTTGAAATTTAAAATCTGAACAGACTATAAACGGTCTTCTGATTTTTTTTTTCAAGTAAACTATTTTTTTCACACAAAATTGTTATATTTATAGCCTAAAGCCTTTCTTCATGCAACCTTTCAGGTAAGAGATTTTTTTGGGATATCTGTTGTCAATGTTGAATATTTATTTTCTTGTAATCTCTATAATTCGCTCTCCGTTTGGTGGTTTCATTTCTCTTAATATTTCGTGAGCCTGTTAAGCACACTAGCTTCGTGCTGTTTTTTTTTCGGAAATATTCTGTTTTTCAATGACTTCGTAAAGAGGGGTCTTTTTCAGCTCAAGAGAACTGTTTCGAAAATTCTCGCAATCAAGTTTTTAATATGCATGCAGAAGAAGCTTGAACACTATTCTTTGCGACTTCCACATCAAATTCAGAAGAAAAAAACAATAAAATAAATGTTCGAAGGTTCAGAGAAAGTCCCGGAGGCGGCATCGATTCGGTTGCTTTGATGGACTCCATCGTCGACGTCATTTTTTTTGCCGACATCTTATTGAACTTTCATACAACTTTCGTTGGCCCCGGCGGCGAGGTAAAATTTTTGAATTGAGATTTTAGCAGGCTCTTCCACTTCAAATTTTATAGAAAAAGCCATAAGAATTTTTACCCTCACATGCTTTCTTCGCTTTTTTTCCAAAAATGACTTGTTAATGACAGAAAACTCTGCCTTCAGGTGGTTATCGAACCATCCGTCATTCGACATAATTATTTCAAATCTTGGTTTCTCATAGACCTTCTGTCTTGCTTGCCGTACGACATTTTCTACATGTTCAAAAGAGATGATGAGGTAAAACATGGAAGGTTATTTTGTCTATTTTGATTCAGAGAATCGGGAGCTTATTTTCTGCTCTAAAAGTTGTGCGACTGCTCCGGCTGGGAAGAGTGGCCAGAAAACTGGACAACTACCTGGAGTATGGAGCCGCCACACTGCTCTTGCTTCTATGTGCCTACGTTCTTGTCGCTCATTGGCTAGCATGTATTTGGTTTAGTATAGGAGATTTTGAAGTGCGGTTAAAGGTTGAGAAACGGTTCCGACATCAGTAATCGAACTTTGTTTCTCAGATGGAAAACTTTTCGTTACCCGATGGCTGGCTATTCCGCTTGGCAAACGATCTCAAGTCGCCGTACAACTTCGATTTGTCCAACAGATCGAGACTTGTCGGTGGCCCGACCCGGGCTAGCGCCTACATCTCATGTAAGCTTTCATCTATCTTTCACTCCATTAGCCACAATCAATTTGAAAAAAATCTGACCTGTGAGTTTCGGTGATAGAAAGGAGAGCGGAAAAAAGTATCCATATTTCGTTGAATGATATTCAACAAGAAATGTAATAAAGAAATTTTAGCTCTGTACTTCACAATGAGTTGTATGTCTACGGTTGGATTTGGAAACATCGCCAGTACGACCGACAACGAAAAAGTTTTTTTTTAGGAAACGTTTGAGTCCAATTCATTTGTCTTGCAGGTGTTTGGCGTTTGTATGATGATAATATCTGCACTTTTGTACGCCGCCATCTTCGGTCATATGACAACTATCATCCAGCAAATGACGTCAGCGACCGTGCGCTATCACGAAATGATCAGCAACGTGCGCGAGTTCATCAAGTTGCAAGAAGTACCGAAAGAACTAGCCGAGAGAGTCATGGACTACGTTGTATCGACCTGGGCAATGACAAAAGGAATTGATACTCAGAAGGTTCGACTATGTGGGGTTTTATGAAAACAACTGCATTCTAAAACAAGGTTCTTTGAAAATTTCCTTCATCATCACAAAAAAACTTCCCCTTCCAAATGTTTATTGTTGCGTTCGTTATTTTTTATTCTGAATAATCAAAGTTTTTGAAAACAAGCAATATCTTTTGGTTTCATTGAGGGAGATTCTATGACGATTTGTGTTTTGAGATAACTTTTCAGGCTGCTTTGTGCTCTATATTTGTTCTAATAGTCTCGCAGTTTTCTCGTTAGATCAACTTACCAAATTTCAGGTTTTGGCCTACTGTCCAAAAGACATGAAGGCGGACATCTGCGTCCATCTCAACCGTAAGGTCTTCAACGAGCACAACTGTTTTCGACTGGCGTCTGATGGCTGTCTCCGCTCTTTGGCCATGTATCTTGAGTCGAATCACGCGGCTCCTGGAGATCTGCTCTACCACACCGGGGAGTCTGTCGACGCCTTGTGGTTTGTGGTGAGCGGCTCTCTGGAAGTGATCCAGGACGAAGAAGTCGTCGCTATCTTGGGTGCGGAAACTTGTTGATAGGCTCACTTGACTGGTGTCTACAGGCAAAGGAGACGTGTTTGGTGACGAATTCTGGAAAAACAACGGCTCCACGGGTCAGTCGGCTGCCAATGTTCGTGCCCTGACATACTCCGATCTTCACATGATCAAGAAAGATAAGCTGATGGAGGTTGAATCTAGGCTTTAGAAAGCAGTCGAAGCAGTTCCTTTCAGGTCCTCAACTTTTATAAAGCTTTCGCCAACTCGTTTGCCAGAAATATGGTCCTCACATACAACTTGACACATCGCATGAAATTTCGCAAGGTTCGGCTAGTTTTCCAGGGACCTTCATGGATTTGATTCAGGTGGTTGATGTGAAACGAGAGAAAGAGCTCGATGCGCGACGCAAGAACGAAAAACTAACGTTGCCTGCGGACCATCCTGTCAGAAAACTGTTGTTCCGAATGCGAGAGCGTCACGGACCTCGTATATTCCCAAGCCCTATGTTCGCTGACATAGAAAAGGTTCAGATGTCTTTTGAATCGGGACGTTCAGAAACTACTGGGAATAAAATCATCTTCTAAAAAAGAGGGAATTAAAATGTATAACTATATCTAATTGCAGCTTGAATTCCACGTCATGATTATTTCATATGTTTAAAAACAGTATCGAAGCTTTCAAAAAGGTCTTTTGTTCCGTCTTTGCGCCAAGGAAGTTAGAAAATTGGCAATCATAATTCTCTACAACAATTTTCACACATCTCGTTTGGTTTCATTCAAAGAAAAACATTCTCTAATTTATCAATAATTTTTGGTGACTATTTTATTACTGAAAACTTTCACGCGAAAAACAAAAAAGAATATGTATTTGAGCATTCTAAACCTTGATTTTTTGAAAATTTATTTAGCGGAACAACCGAGAAACGTGATTCACATTTACTTTTTATTTCCTGTAGTAAATGGTTCAATTGTTGGGTTTTTCAGGGATTGAAAAAGCAAAGCGGTGAAACTTTCGCGGATTTCCTCTCTGCATTCGATGATTGACGAAACAACCGGCCTGAGCACGTCTTTCTCCCGGTCTCCGAGATCAAAGCCAAAAAGGCCACCTCTGCTGGTGAGTTCGTGCTCTGTCGCACATTCTCATGATTCTGGGTCTTCACGGGAATGCGACTCCTATGCACGTTGTGTGTTCAGAAGCGTCAGACGGTCGACGAGGACGCGATGTCACGAACAAGTTGGGGAATGGGCGACAACAGGCCGACCAAGGATCGAGTGGGTCTTCGGCATCCTCTCTTAGCACTTCCCTCAAAACTCGCATGATAGCAATCCCGTGGTTTCAAAAAATTTACATTTCTCATAATAACAATCAGTATTGTTGATTCACAAAAACTCACTGCTGTTTTTCAATGGCCAGAGATGAAAATTAAAATTTCCTTCCTCAAAAAGCCCAAACTTTTTTTTTAGTACAAGCGTAACGCCAAGTGTTGCGAAATCGCGTTTTTTTTTAGCGTTATCGAATAAAGTGAGTTTTTGTGAACAGACAAGCACGACTAGCTTATTTATTTGTACAGTTTTTTTGGTCAAAAAAAGTATAGTATAGAGACTCTTTCGAAATTATTTTGCAAAATGTTGCAAAAAAGGGATATTTTTATGGTCTCCATGGATCCTACAGTCCTCTTTCATGAAAAAAAGCCTTCATAAATCAAATAGGTTGAATTTTTTTGATTATGTTCTCAACTTTTAACTTTTACTTATTCGTCGCGATCTACAATTTTTTCCTTTTTTTTTGCAATCCCCACTCAGTCTAACATTCCATAAACTTTGTGTCACTGGTCAATCTAAAATAGTTTGGCGTATGCTTCCGGGTAGTTATATTTTTCAGCGTTTACTAATGTCTTGACACGGTTTACAAGAACACTCTTGCTAGAAAAACGACCACCGACTAGCCACCCGGTAGCAATCGCAAACCTCAGCTGGAATAATGATAGTATCCAGATGTCAGCCTATCTGCCCCGGACATTTTCAAAGCCCGGCCCGGTCATAGGGAGGCCTCAAACACAAATGGCCGGCTAATTGTTTCATTTAGCGTTTAACAGAAACTACTATCAAACAAGTAAAAATATATTTTCGGTAAAATTTGTTTTTAATGAAACTGAAAATTTGTTTCGAAGCCTGGCTCGGCCCAGGCCCGGCCCAAGCCCGCACAGGCTTTTTCTCAAAAATGAGACTTAAAGCCCGGGCCGCCCAGCCTGATGCACAAGCCTGGTATCTTGGTACTGTAGAGAAAGAACGCGGTAGCTAATAAACTACCACCTGTTTGTATCCTCCTTCCAACTGACCTTTTGTTTTGACACCAAATGTCACTGAGAAGAATTAAGGAAAAATTTCCTAAAAAAAATTTCTTTTATTTTTCAGGAATGGAGTTCGCTATCAAACTTGAAAACGGAAATGAAAAGTAAGTTTGACTCCATTGGAGAGCGGCTGGTCGTCGTCGACCAAATCAACTCAAGGCTGCAAAATCTTGAACGAATGTTGATGAACATCTCGATGCAGCAACATGGAGGTGATACAGTCCCTCTGAACAGTTCTGAGACTTTCTCAGCCACGACGCCTTCTACAGTTCCCCTTGGGTCTCTCAACGCACTGAACGAGTCCAACGGAATGGCTCGACTAGGCATCGACAGCGTTCCTGTTTCGCGAAGCGTTTCTTGGAGTGAGCAACAGAACAACTGGCAAAGGTTGGGGTTTCTTTTTGGCTAATTTGAAGCTTCCTTTGAAGGCCGGTTCCGCCTCTGACCGACCTGGGAAACATGGATTGGCAGCAGCGGCCGCAGACTTCGTCTCCTCCGCCTGTTCCTTCCATCCACATTGACGACGAAGTCACTCAATCTTCTTCGAGACCTCCAGATCGAACCCGAATATAATCTATCGTAAAGCTTTTTGTTATCCATTACAGGTGACATCCCGGGTTCACTTTTTCTTCCTAAACATTGAGAAAAGTTCTAGGTTTGTATTGAATTTCTTTGTCATTTATGACTTTTTTTCTTTCACCTCCAAAATAATAAAACGAAAACTTAGGTGAAGCGTAGCTACAAGATGTTTTTTTTTCCGATTCTTAGCCATTTTTTCTTTCAAATTTCTCTTTGGATTTTTTGAAGCTACTCATTAGTTTTTTGAATATGCTCAACGACGTTTGTCTTTTGTGATGAATAATCAATAACAGTATTCCTTATTTGGTTTTCCCGCGGTGTCTTTTTTGGCATGCTGCCAATTCATTCGTTTCTGTGAGTCTTTCTTTCGTGGGTTACCCATTTTCAGGTGATAATTTTGCTTTTGCTTTTTTGGCTTCTCCCATCCTCCAACTTTACACTAAATTAGGATCCTGAACTTTTCTTTGCTTGATGCTGGCAGCTTTTTGATCTCTAGACCTAACACGGCTACGCCAATCTATTCCAATTCACTTACGGCCTAAATATCGGTGATTATATTTCATCCATCATCCATTTCAGTTTCTCCTTGTCTATTCAGCGAGAACGTGTTCATATCACAAAGAAAATATTGATATAAATAATTTTATCTACATTGCAAAGTATGTATAGATGAAGGACAGAAGGAAAAAAGACGGGAAATTACGACCGGTATAATTTCGATATCTCCAGGGATTGTGTGCATAGGAAGATGTGTATTGTAGTCTTTTGGCGATATAGGAAGAAGCGTAGTCACGAGAGCCGAACGGCGAAGCGAAGCATTCCTCGCTGTTGCACTTCTCAGTCGCGCAGAAGCACCAGTGCTCCGTCAGGTCCAGCTACACGCAAATCGACCATTAACATATTTCCACAGTTCAAAGAAAAATCCATAAAAACTAGGCTCTTTGCGCTCTAAAAATGTTGTTTCGTTTTTTTCTGCGCCTGAAAACAATTCCTACTTTTTGCATAGCTCGATGAGCAATGAACATTCAAAAATCTTCCAATTTAGCAGAACTTTTTGAAGTCTTCGTCAAGTACTTTTTTTGGTATAGAAGGTAAAGAGTTTTTTCTAAAAAAATAAAAGCAAACAAAACCTTGTCGAAGTCGTGTGGCAAGTAGTCGCCGACCTCAGAAGGCTTAGAATGCGGGCCGAGACCCAGATGAAGGTGCTGATCATCAGTGAGAAACTGTGCAGAGCAGCCTCTACCAACTCCTTAATGTAAAGGTGTTTTTCATTTTCACTTCACAAAGAAATACCAAGCACTGTCGTGTAACCCGTGAGCTTGTCTGTACCATTGAGATAGAACACAAAACAAGTAGAATGGCATACTTGGTAGGAGTCGGTCTTGAAATCTCGGCTGCAAAAACATTCAAGACCCAGACTGGCGGTGAATCTCACCTGCTCGGGCATTCCGGATCGCTAGCTGACAACTCATAATTGCGTTTCAAAAAGAAATGTCTCCATTGCTGAAAAATTGATCAGAAAATATGTGTTACTTGGTTTTTTTTTCCAGAAAGAAGTAATTCGAACCAAAAAAGTTTTCAGTGAAGTTGTGATTCTGGAAATCTTTTACCGACTCTAATCGAAATTTTTAGATGATCTCGAAACTAGAAGAAAAATTGAAGGCCTTTTCAAAAGAGCTTCCCAAGGAACTGAGTAAGAAAAAATTAGACGATGCCGGAGTTTGAGTGAAAAAAGAAAGACGTGCACTGACCCAAACGACAAAGTCGTTAGCGCAGGAAAAGCACTTGATTGCATCGCATCGTGAAATCAAATCGGAAAGCACCAGAGCCGCGAAGACGATCCGAAGAGAGAATAAGTGGTCGCTACCGACCTGCATGCCGCATAGTACTTCCCTGCAATCATTCGTGGTTACCCAAAGAAGTGCAAAATAAGAATGTGGAAGTGTTAAAAGAAGCAACAAAGCGAACACCTTTAGAAAATGTAAACATAAGAATTTCAGTCTGTTGAGAGAAGCTTAAGGATGGAAGCCAGCAAACAACAAGGAGGTCGCTTTCCAAACGCATCATCAAAGAGTAAAACATTATGTGAGAAGAAAGATCCATATTTTTATAGAAGCTTTTTTTTCTCTGTGTTGGAAATAGTGGTTTTACGTTTTCTGCTCAATAAATATATGTTCTAATTAACTGGAATGATTCCTACTCATTTTCAAATCGCTTACCTTTCACTCGCTCATTTAAACAAAAAAAAAATAGAGTCATTCGGCAGAATAAAAAAAAACAAAGTAATCGTTGCTCAAAACAAAACCATCGCAAAACTATTTGTGAGGTTGAGACTTTATCAAATGTGAGAAAAATGGAGAATTGAAAGACGTTCATTGGACAGCCAGAAGAGAAAGCAGCGTGTAAAATTCAAAGATGGGAGCAGTTCACAGGGGAAAAAAGAGAAGCCGCCGAGGGTAATACTCGATTGCCGGTCATCCATCATTTAGGTAGAGCAGGCCCATTGAAAAAATTTCTCGCCAAACTTCCAACCGTTCTTTTTTTCATTCAACGCATCGACGTTCCATGCATACCCAAAAGTTCAGCTCACATGTCGGATATAAGCAAATTGTTGCCCCAAAAGACTAGGGTGTCGTTTCTTTTATTTATGGCGAAAGGTCAAGAAGATCATTCCTACGTCTTTCAGTGACGTTTGGGGATTAGCATTGTGACTTCAAAATTAAATAGAAATTCGACTTATTGCTGAATATCAAAAAAAAAAAACAAGAAAAAACTTCAAGAATTTTTGAGTTAGTGAAATGTGCATACAGTATACAGTCCGTTCAGAGTTTGAGGGCGGGACTTCTCTGCGCCCTCCTCGTCTCTCGACGACCCTCTCTTGTTGATGCACTATTTTCGCATTCCTGTGACCTCGCCGGTGAGGGAACAGAGAGACTCAGACACGCGAAAACTGTCAAATCGAGGCGGACGGACTATAATAGCATCAGACCTTTTTCATGCCTATATTCATTATGAATAAGTCGGAAAACTAAAAAAAGCGGCGCCTATTTTTTTCTATTTGGTAAAAAGTTATTTTTTTATTTTTTTTAGACTTTGATGTAGAAAGCTACAAGAGAAAAAAATGATAAAGCAAGATTTGATTTTTTTAAATTTATTGAAGATCTTGGACAAACGTTTTTTTGTGTCATTAGAGCCCTATTTTTCCTGTCTTTTTTTACTTTCTTACGGGCAAAGTCCAAAAAGGACCTGAAAAGAAGCTTTTGAAAAAAGGTCCTCTTAGACTCCTTTTTTTCTTGACCTCATTCTATAAATGACCTTTTAAGGAAAAAAATAATAATAATAAAGCACTGTTGACACCTTTTTTTAGGGACTCAAAAAAAGGTCTAGATCCTTTTTTGAGGCTTTTTTTAAGCTTATGAGCCATTCAAAATATAGACGATTCACGGCTAGCTTGGGACGCAAAAAGGCGTGGCCTGTCTGCACTCTCCACTAACCAGGGCACTGTCTCGTCTTTTTTCGTGGCAGGACCCTTTTCTCGATGGCTCAAGCCAGCCGTGAATCAGCTATATGCCTGTTTCTTTTATCCATCTCTTTTTGAGAATTGCTTCTCGGGAGCGTCAGCTGTGAGAAACCTGTTAAATTACCGTTTCGATATAAGTTTAGGATTCATTTCGAAGAAACGTTTTCCGGTTTCTATTTGAATATGTTCAGTCACATTTTAGACAGAAGGAAAGTTATTTTGAATTCTTTCAATCGAGTGATGTGACATAAATAGAGTTCGAGTTCGCACAACAAGACAACGGAATGGACGTCTCCAGACTCGTTAAAATAACGAAGCCGTCCGGCGGATGTGGTGATGGGAAAATATGCGAGTCGGTCTACTACGTGTTTGCGGCGAAGGAATACACAATGGATTAGGACGAGCCCCAGTGGCTCTGTGGGCTTTTTGCGGTGACCGAGTGCGCACTTGAGGACGGAAAGCCACGCAAAAATAGGTTAGAAAGGAATTCTCAGTTCGAGAGCGTGTTGCTCTTTGTCCGCGGGGGCGAGGCGGCAAATCGAATGCATGAAGTATGGGCTTGACCGCAACAAATTTCTTCAACCTTCTCCTTCAGTGGAGTCCTTCAGGTGTTGCTAGATTTATTACACAGGTTTTACGATCTGGAACAAGAAAAAATATTGAGAAAAATTTTTCAAACAAGGAAAAAAAATGGAGCAAACTCATAGATAGGACAAAAAAGAGGATTTGAGATATATTGAGTTAAAAGAAGCACTATTTTCAGTTTCATTCGACCTTTTTGAGAATCTTTTTGTCCCGTCTTCGTTGCGAGGACATATAGCGTCGTTCCGAAAAGGACGATGACACGATTCATTAGACAAATGCACTTGGCTTCTTCGCCGTCTGTCTTTCTGCAAATGAGAGCCTGTTTTTTTTTCTCAGGTCCGAAGAGGTTGGTGCAGTCTCTACTGGCTGACTTATCTATCAAAAAATTCATTATTGGACATCGGCTTCGAAAAAAAAAACGCTCATGACCTCCCTAGCTAAAAAAAAATAAAAAACATAAATACTTTTACAGTTTAGCAACAAAAAAGTGAATAATAATTTCAAGTTCAGAAACTCCCTTTTTGGAACGAAAATTTTCGTTTGAAATGGGATTGAGAAAAAAAAACAGGCAGGAAATTTGTTAACGAATTTTTAATTTTATTTTTTTTGGATCGAGTAAAAAGAGCAAGGCTGTCTTCAAGTGTTTTTCAAACTACTACTACTACTACTGCGATAATCCGTAGAAGAGATTAAAAAGACGCTCTCCTCGCGAAATTTCGTGCAAAATATTATCGGCATTTTTCGGCTTTCTAAGCACCGTGAATAATGAATATGAGCATGAAGGCCTCTGAGGCTATTTGTTATTAGAAGCGAGAAAAATTGGGCAGACTCAATGAGTAGTTCACGAATATCTGCAAACAAGTACCCTTGTGGTATTGTTAAGATAGACACTGAACTTGGAAAAACAAGGAAAAAGATAAATCTGTTTCCGTCGATATTTGTAACGCAGCAATTCTGAGATGAACTTCCTAAATGGGGAGGCAGATTCATCGCGTGTCAAACGGCCATATTTGGAGCGAATGTGAGGCGTGCCAAACAAAATTCATAAAATTGGGGCGGGCATGGGCTCTCGTTTTGAGCTGAATTCGGAACGATGACATGCCATTATTACAGCCACCCGCGGCTCATAATCGCATCTTTCGCGGGATTTCTCTGCGTGCTCTCCGTTCTCGGTTGGAACTTATTCTGGGCGATTTTTCTTCTCTCGTCTCAAAAAGAGATCGGTACAGCTTCTACTGATTGAATTTTAGCTCAGCTATCAACAATTATAGAGTTGGACACCCTAGTTTCAGAATAACACTCAAATCCCTTGCTTGAGTAGAAGTTCATGAATAAGCCATGAAATTTAGTAAGAAAAGTTTTAGCTCTTTTTTGAAGCTTAACAAAAAATATTCGAAAAAAAAAACTCAATGGCTTGCACGGTTATTCTGGTTGTTCAAGTTTTCTTTTTTGCTCCTTCTAATGTTTTCAGCTTTGGAAGGATGTCCTTTGGAAACTCAATCAAGTGTTATTTAGGCACACCTGTCGTTTTCAGCGATGAAGAGAAAAGAACGGAAAGTCAGCCAAAGTCTGCAATAGACCTAAAATGTTCGATAAATCAAAAACCTTTGAAAAAACTGTTTTCGAGAGAACAAGCTATAAAATAGCGGTTTTTGATAAATATTCTGGAATTGGAGAGAAGCAAAGGCCTCGAACTTACCCATGCAGAGTTTTCTCGCGCAAATATAAGTTAGATGTGAGGCACTCAAGAGGGCAAAAAAGGAGTGAAAAGCGGCGGAAACGTTTGGCACCCGGTCTTAACATGCTTTGCACCGCCTGCATTATTCATCTCATATGTCGCCATTATAGTCCCAAGCAATTAAAAAATTATTCAAGCCCCAGAGAACTAGTCATATTTTCAATCTAATGCGTATGTTGGTTCGACAAATGACATGATGGAAATGAAGTTTTATATCTTCGTTCACTTCTTATTATCAGACTGAAAAACAAACATAAGATCTTCTCTCTGCAGTGATTTTTCCCTGAAATCATTGCAAAGAGTTCTTGAGAGTGGATGAAACTGCTCATCGTAGAGTGAAGAAGCTTTTGCAAGGATAATAAAACAGGATAGGAGCTCTCAGAAAAAAACATATCTTTTCTCAGACTTTGAGTACCAAGAAAAGATATTTCGAAAAGGAGGGGTTGTCAACAGGGAGTTTTCTCGGCAAAGTAGCTCAGTTCGGAAATCTTAAACTACCAAAAATTTTGTTTTGACTACTTCCTTAGTAGATTTTGCTGAAAGCTCCAATGAAACATCTCGAAATCTCATATTCCTAGATTTTTTTACTGGAAGTTTCACTGCCAGCTCACTAAAAAAAAAGACAAACTTGAACGAAGCCGTAGGTTTTTGCAGATGAATGAATTAAAGCGGCCAAATTATATAAAAAGAAACTGCAAGTAACTCCCTTTAGCCAACAAACACACCGTCAGGAAACTGAGTAGGGTTGCAGCTGTGGGTGATTGGGAAAAAAGTCATTATTAATCTCGGGAACATGAAGGCGAAACGGACAAAATGGACTCGGCTGAGCACGTTGTAAAACCGGCCGCCGCGTCCAGTGGTTTGTCCAGACATGTGTTTCTGTCGCCGGCTTCTTCATAGGTTATTTATCGCCCTTCCGCGCCTGTTTTTCCTCAAACTGCGAGAATCGCCTTAAACTCTCGCGCGTGACTGCAGTCTTTGAATCAAAACGAAAAAAAAATTGGCTGGGGTTCGTGGATCATATAAGTGAGGTGTCCGCTGAGCAACATTTCTAGTCAAGCCTTTTAAGCTGCACAAACGGCGACATTCGATGAAATGCCACCGGAGGACAAACTTATTTGCTCCAAGCAGCACCTTTGTAAGGCTACGCGACTCGACTTCTTGAGATTGCGTTTCCTATTTCAATTTGCCCACGAGACGACAAATCACACAAACGCCATCGGAATAAATGTTCCTATGCTATTCTAAGAGAGAAAAAATAGACGCTGAAAAGAAGATAATGAATGAGACAATCTTTTAATAAGGATGTGAAAATGATATGTATAAGAGTAAAATCTGCTTCTGTTTAGAACAATTCATAATAAATATTCACTTTATTCGCTCTAGATAACAATAAATAAAATATTTGTTGCTTTTTCGGTTATAATTAACATTGGGAATGGATGAAATTTGAGAAAACTTTGAACGGCATCCGATTGTCGATTTTTCGGCTGACTTTTCAAGGTTTCAGCAAATTATTCGGCGAAAATAAAAAAAAATGGCAGGAAGACGGCGTTCTAACTAATTATCAGACGCTTCAGTACTGATAACAGATCTTATAGCCGCAACTCGTCATGCAGCATGATGGCTGAGGCTGAAAAAGTTCAATCACAACTTGCAAATCGAGAAGGAAACACGGACCGTGTTCTCGCGGCCGAGGCAGTCGCTGTCAGTGTTGCAAGCGTCGGCGTGAGCGAAAAGGCAGTTGAGGCCGGCATTGGCGTCGGCGGGGCAGGCCGGGGTGCCGGTGATTCCTGAAACGAATTCCATTCTGCAACCGGCAGAGAATCTGTCCGTTACCAAAAACGAAAAAAAAAAAAGAAAGACAGAAAAGAGGTTACGAAAAAAAACAAAAAAAGATATCGGTTAGTACCGCTTTGTCCGCAGGTCGCCTGGCAGCTGGACAAGGACTGGAAGTTGTTGGCGTTGCCTCCGCAGCCGCTGTACATGAACTGGTTGCAGCGAGCCGACGAGGCGTCGTAGTAGAATCGGACCGCCGGCGCCGTGCAAGAACCGACCGCCAACGGCAGGGAGCACAGATTCGTGCCTACAAGGTTGCCTTCAAATGACAACAGAAACAAAAGTGAACTCAAATCATTGGTAATTCTTGTTTGCTCATGGGAAAATATGATTGATTAACAAACGAGATTGGGTTTCGATGGAATATTTTTTTCATTTGAAACCGTTTTTTATGATTTCGAAATGTCAAATCGAACAGGGAATTTCTACTTTTTTAAGGCATTTCGAATTCCCAATTCCTTGCCCTTCATTAAAAAAAACGAACATTAACGTGTTATTTTAAATATAAATTTGGTTGAAATTTTCCTTCAGAATAATAAAGAAGTTTAGCAAAATAGAAGGAAAAATTGTATTTTTTTTCCAATTAAAATTACTTTTTAAAAATTTAAATTCATGCCTTTCTTTCAGATGAATGAATAAAAACTAAAAATGAGATGCGGTTATGAAAGTATTGAGGGGGAAGAAAAAGCCTACTGCTAATGCCGACGGGGTCGCGGCAAATTCTTGTCGCGGAATTGGTGACGGGATTCGGCTCGACGCAGCACTTCTGGATGCCCGGACAGTTGGAGTCCATCCAACAGCCGATGGTCGTGTCCTGGAAGACGGAGATGCCAAGCGGCCGCGGACAGGAACCGGCCTTCGAGTTGATCTCCGACGCCGGAATTCCTGAAAAGGCTCTTGTTTGTTTTGATGTCGGCCTTTTTCATGTTGTTTTTATTGGGTGCTTAGCAGTGACCGGTTGGCAAAGACCCTTTCGATTTTCTCACTGACCACCAAAAATAAAATCATTTTACTGGACTTTGCTCAAAAATAAATAAGCCTCTCTCCAGTATGAAAGCTACATAATCGACATTTAAAAGAATAACTTCATGGTTATTCCAATTTACTCAAGTGGGGGGTTAACACGACCGCGAGTCCTCTTCCCTCCATCACCACAAGTTCCGACACATATGTTCCCAAACTCTCCCTACATCTATTTCGTGAAATTTAGTACTTGTGTGTGAGAAATAAAACATTTTGATTGAAGACACTAGAAACAGGATAAATCATATCTCGGAAAAAAAATGAACGACTTACATGATTCAGTTTTTTTTTGAAAATAAAAAATGTATTAACGAAACATGATCAGCTTTATCTGTCTTTTTCCACCAAGTTTATCCCCATTCAAGTTATTTCAGTCGATCTAAACACTTTTTAAAATTTGGTTTTGGAAACGTTTTCTGATTTGAACAAAAACTGCGCTTATCCACCTACTTCCAACCAGGCTTGTGCGAGAGCCTGCCCGCCGACCGTTTTGTAAGCCCGGCCTTAGCGGAGCCTCGAAAAAAAATGGCTCGCCCGGCCCAAAGCGCGCAATTTTTTCCGGTCGGATATCAAGTTTGTACGACAAAAATTACGTTTTTGCTCATTTTTTCACTTAAAGTTTAACAAAAACTATGATTTCAAAAGTAAAAGTATCATTTCGGTGAAAATTTTTTGAGTGAAATTTTGGAATTTTTTTGAAGCCCGGCCCTGCCCGAGCCCACGCGGGCTTTTTCCTAAAAATTTGGCCCGAAGCCCGGGCCCGGCCGGCCTGACGCACAAGCCTGCTTCAAACTAAAACTCGCGAAATAAAGAGAACGGACAACGTTTAGAAAAGCCAGTTTATTTTAGTTGTTCGAATAATTTTGTGGGAACTTTTTCAAAAAACTCTTGGCGGCGTAATCAAGTTCTAAAATTGAAAAAAAAACCTTCGAAAATGTAATCCTACTCAGTTAACCGAATAGATAACAGCACATCAAAATCCATCCGAGAAGCTATTGGATTAGAAACTTTTATAATCAAATTAACCTTCTTGAAAGAATTTTGGGGAGAGTCATTGTTAAAGCAGAAGGCCGATGTCTTTTCAAATTCTTTGCACTGTATCAAAAATTTGAACAAACACTCTCATGCACAATAAGCGCGGCTTAGAAAAGACCCCCAAGGCATGAAAGCGACCGTGCGACCTCCGCAAATGAAAGCAAATACGGCTGGCCGAACGGTTTGCTCAAGACTTGGGACCCTGAGGCCTTCTGGGTGGTTCTCGACTGACCTGCGGTGACAATTTGACAGCACTTGTTGCCGTCGGACTGGATGCACACCTGGCCTGACAGAGGGCAGGTCTGCGCGTCTGCCGTGCACTGAATCAGCGCCGCCGAGCTGGAGCAGAGATATGATGGGCCAAATTAGAGCGAAGACTAACCTGGAGCAGAAGCCGATTCGAGGCTCTGGAGTCGTGGGCGGAGGCGTCGGCGCCGCTCTCACACATTCAGGGTGCTCATCGAGTTTACCGATCATTCGGTAGTAATCACAGATTTCAAAAGCTGAGCCCAATGCAATCTGGAAATTTTCAGCAATTAGAAACGAAATGTTGAACAAAACGAGAAAATTTGGAATTATATATTAGGAAAAAAGTCTTGATCAAATTCTAATATTAGCGAAAAAAAAAAATAATTATCGAGAAACGAGTAACTTACGAAGCAAAACGTGAGAATGAGAAGTCGCATTGCTTTCAGCGATGAGAAAAACTGGATCTAACGTTCAGGAGAGCCTTTCCGCGTCGTCTTTCCGCGCCTTCGAGGCTTTTATGAGCCGCCGGAGAAAGAAGGCGGGACCAAGGTGCGCCGCTCCGGAAACCGACCGTTGGCCATAACCCTCGAGAAAGTTGTTTTTTTTTTCATAAAAATTCCAAGGTTTAGATTATAGAGATTCATCATTTCCACTAATTTTTTTATGAAATAAGAATGTGTTTTTTTATGAAATAAGAATTTGTTTTTTTCCAGCTATGAACTTTATTCTTTAAAGTTTAAAGAATAATTATAGTCCATATTTTTGAACTTGAAACCCTGATGGTTCTCCACGAATAATTTCACCAAGGTAGAGCGTTCAGTTGCAAATTTACCTCTTTCAGTTTACTCTTAAGGAGTACAGAAGAAAGGGTTTCCTCGCTTTGTAGCCATTCCATTTAGCTTCCCTCAGCTGCTGTCATGGTTTCTTGAACAGGTGAGCTTTAACTACCAATCGAGTCATTTTTTTTTGTTTCGATGTTTCATGAGCAATGACTGGAATTTTCAACGGGTAATCCGACTGAATTAGTTGAACCAAACCTCAGAATACTTTTTGGCTGCTTCTTCGAGATAATTCCTTTGTACTTGCTGCAGCATTTGTTCTGCTAACCGAAAAGCATGTTTTTTTTGTTTAGTCCAGGTCTCTGTTCGGACTCGCGTCCTTGTATGATGCATCCATAAGATTCGCCGAGGATTTCGAGTAGGGCACAACTCATGGCAGGCCATTGAACCCGTTTGCTTCTCCGGAAGCGCGTTGTTTGCCGAAGCCATTATGTTGGCCGAGGCTTTCTTTACAGACGCCTGGCTCATCGACGGTCAGTTGCCCTCGGCAGGACAAGCGATGAAATAATCAGCACGAGAGTTGTCGGAAAGCCGCGCAGAAACCGGAAACACACGTAATTATTTGTCGCAAGCAACTCCGAGCGGATAACACGCGCAAACAAATTCTCGGACCTTGGAATCCTGTGTTGACTTTTCCACAAGATCCACCTGAAAAAACACATTTTTTGAGCAGTCCTGGCCAAATTTCATCAAATTTTTTACATTGAAGGTATTTATGAGTCATTAACATTGATTTAAAATGAATAAAACAGAAAAATAGTGAAAACCTTCAAACTCATGATTCAATAAACAATTTTTTCTCAAAAAAATCGAAAAATTCAACTTCTGTTTTAATTTTCAAGAAGCTGAAAAAACCTCGAAACTGTTTCGAATTTTTCGTCAATGTTGAAAGTCTGAGTAATAAAAAATAAAGTTTCACCTGACTGAAGCTTTTAACCTGGGAACTTTTATAAATTTCGAACCTAACTCAACAGATTTCAATAATATAAAAATATGAATTTACATACCATGGAAAAAATTAACACTTGCCAGTTCATTGAGGCATCAATCATCTTTTTAACTTATTGTATGAACTCCCGAAAATAAAGGCATGGGTGAATTTTAATAAAAAGCTCTATATAAACGCGACAAAAAAAAAATCTTTTCTGTCAATCTCAGTTTCTTGTTACAGTTTCCATCATTATGTTGGAGTCAAAAGCCATAAACTCTGGTTCGCCGCATCCCATCGTGTTGGAACAACTGCGCAAATTCCAAAATGAAAACTCGTTCAGAGACAACGGATACCTCCAGTACTGAAACCAAAAGCGAATAAAAAAACGGTCATCCGAGGTGCTTAAAAAGAGCGTCATGAAAACTCGTGGCAAACTTTTCGGATGGCCTCTGCGGGATTTTGGATCGCTTTCTGTCTTATCGTCACTGTCAAAGCACAGACTTGTGCCGATGGAGGAACTGGGCGTTCGTATATCTTTTTCCCTTCGTCTTAATGAATATCATTAATTTTTCACTGACTAATGGAAAAATCCAACGATGAAAGCACATTTTGCATCGTGTTTAAAAATTGAAAGCCGTTTTGATTAAAAAATGAGAATGTTATTTCCGAAAACTTTTCCATAGTTCTTGATATTTGCGCCTTCAACAAGATTATAAATTCTAGAGAAAAAAATTGAACAATATTTTTTTAAAATTGACCAATATTTTTTTTCTAGTTTCATAGATTACAGATTTCTAAAAACGAGTTCGATGTTTTTCAGCATGCTTGTTTGGGTGCGGACCAACGCAGACGTGCATCGATGATAGTTGCTGCGATAATACACAGGTTTCTCTGTTCATTTCTAGTTTTTTTTCCTATTCGTCGCGATCGAGATGAGTTTCATAATTATAACCATTAAGAGATAGTAAATGATCAAAGAGAAAAGCAGAAAAACTGATTTCAGATAACAAAATTTTTCTTATCATTATTACTTTTTCTCGCGCAAAAATAGTCCAGTTTTCAAAATATCCAATAGAAATCTAGAATATGCTGTAACCCAAAAATAAAAAAGCATAGAATGAGAAAAGGAAAAATTGAAAGAAGTTTAAAAATGAGATATGAGAGACATATCCATAGTACATTCCGCACCAGCTTCTCACGATCTTTTTTTCCTCTGAGCTACTCTTCTGATTGAGCCTAATACATTTAGCACTATATATAATATCATACAGAGCAGCCGAACAGAAGGGTTATGTAGCTCTGAGAAAAAAAAACTTGACAAGCTAGCGTGGAATGAGCTATGACAATACAAGAATGAACAAAAAGTCCAAAGTAGAGAAAGTTATCGTTTTGACGGAGTGAGTCCAGTATTGGTTATCATCCTGAATTAAAAAAAAAAAATGGTTGGATACTTTAGAGCATATTTCAAACTTTTTGATCTTGATGTAAGCATTAATTATTTTTATTAATTGAAAAACCGAGAAATTTCCTTGTAATCTTATAATCTGAGGCCGTGGGATAGCATGGTGGAAAATCTCTCGCAATTTTTTTTTCGGTAAAATTACTTTTATTCGACTGTTTACATTTAAATTTGCTTTCTCATATCAGAATCCTTCAGATCTCTTTTAATCGCAAAAAAAAGAAAAAAAATTTTCAGTTTCATCCCTTCTCAGAAAAAGAAGGCGGAAAATCATTTTCCATTTTCTTGCAAAGCCTCTGGTGGAGGAATTAGAGACTCTAATATTTTCATGGAAACTCAAAGTTAAAAAAATTCGTTTGGTATATCGTAAAAACCAATGGACAAAAGCACGAAATGTCTAAAGACATGTACTTCTGAGAATGAGCGCTTCTATCAGATCGTTTTCCCGACTACCGCCGCCGCAGACACGACGGCTGCCATCATCATCACTTCACAGTCGACGGTCCGCGTCACAGCGCCTGCGACGTGCGTCGACCTTAAGAACCCTTCGACCGGCGTATCCGATTGTCCCAACCGAGTCGCTTACTGTAACAACTCTGTCTACTACACCTTGATGACACAACAGTGCCCAAAGACCTGCGGCAGATGCTCGGCAGCTGTCACAACTCCGTCACCTAGTAAGACATCTCGAGCTATCAGCAGCTTCTTATGTTTTCAGCATGCTTCGACCGTTTGAATCCGTCAACTGGAGTCTCGGATTGTCCATCCAGAGCCTATCTTTGCAACGACTCTACTTATTTCACCTTGATGACACAGCAGTGCCCAAGGACTTGCGGTAGATGCGGAGCGACAGTCACAGTTCCTTCAAGTTTAACTTCTGAGTTTGACATTTGACTCTTTGGTTACTTAGCCACATGCGTCGATCGGTTGAACCCGTCAACTGGAGTATCGGACTGTCCCTCAAGAGCCTACTTATGCAACGACTCCACCCATTTCACCTTGATGACGCAACAGTGCCCGAGGACTTGCGGACGCTGCTCCGCCGGAAAGTAGGCCGTGTTATAAATCACATTTTCTGTCGGTCCGAATACCCGCAAAGAGATAAATTCATCAAAATTTTTATTTTGTTCTAAGAAAGCTTCGAAAAAGCGACGTCAAGTTTTTGCTGTACACTTCCGTTTTCATAACTCTTCTTTACGCAAAAAGGAAGAATGAGACGACATTGGATCGATGAGGTCGAATCCGAGTTTTGCTAAATCTCTCCAGAAATCGTCCGCTTCTTAAAACATAAAGACATATTTGAGTATTAAATGAAGTCCAACCTTGGAAGAAGCCATTTTCAACTTCTGGATCGCTCGTGAATCTCAAATAATGGATGTTGTGAGGGTCGCTCACTTGATCCCACTTGATATCTCTGACTTTGGGCTTTCTAAAAACCTTGGAAAGTTTTTCTCGTTTGTTTCAATCACCTGTTCTTGGCAAATGTGATCACCATTTCGGTGATGTCTTTTTTGACGTTTTCGTCCGCTATTGTCATGTTGATAGCACTGAAAAGCTGCATTTCGAAAAGATACTGGTACTCATTCCCGTGTGGAGAACCTGAGGAAAAAACTTGCGCCGGATAATTTCTTGTAGCAAACCTTTTGCGAGGTCTGGAATGTGAGGAGCAAAGATTCCATCGTTGAAGTGCTCGAACTTGTAAGCCCAAATTGGAGTCCCCACTTCCAGTTTACGATTAATTTCGCGAACACTCGCCACATTGAAAAACAGGTCCGAGAGCATCTTCAAAAAATTTAAAATTAAAAAAAAAAGAATGGTGAAGCCAACTAACCTCTGTGTATTTGTCGACGTAAAACGCGTTATCTCCATCTTCTGGGTGTTCATTTGGTTTCAAATAAAAGTTGGATATCTCTTCCAAGACGGTCTCGAAATTTTTTCCGAATCTCTTCTCGTACAGGAGTTTCTGATAAAAAGTTAATGCACAATCGTCTCAACGGATTACTTTGCGAATGACGTCAACCACGTAGTCTTTGTCCACTTTCGCCATTTCTTCCGCTGACAAACCGAACGATTGCAACACGGCTCCGTTGTTCATGACAGCTTGTTTTTACGTTTTGATGATAGCAAGGAAAAATAAATTACTGAAAAAGGCTGATTCCTTGCTGCTGAGTCCTATGATAGTGGGCTTGATAGGGGCATCTTCAACTAAATCATAGGGATGCTTAGGCAGGAAGTCGCCATCGATGACGGGGGCAAACCGAAGGAAGTCAGCTGTTTGAGTTGTTCCACCCTGACAATACTACTACCTTCCGAAGTTCGAGAGCACTTACGATCTTATCGACGGCATCAAATATTTCATCCACCGTTTTTCGCTTCAGGCATTCTTTGAGGTCAGTCTCACATCCGACAACCGGAAAATATTTCTCTTTTTAAAAAAACATGCTTTTATTTATTTTTTCGAAGCAACTTAAAGTAAGAGAAATGGCAAAACCACGTACCTTGGCCAGCAACTGACAATTTTCGACAACTTTCAAGCCAGTGGCCCATGACACGAATGAACTGGCCGACATCAGAATCGCATTGGAAAACAATTCTATGTTGAAAATCGAAGGTCGAAGTCTGAGAAAAAAAAACCTCTAGAGTACGGACTCAGGGTTAACTGAGAAGCACTTGCTCCTCCAGCACTGTAGCCCCAGACCGTAACTTTTCTTTTGTCGCCTCCAAAGTCTTCAATATGATCTTGAACGAATCTAAACCGAAGAGAAGCGATTCGAAAAAGTGGAAAATGACTAACTTCAAAGCAGCAGCTTGATCAAAAAGTCCCATGTTTCCGGGCGCGTTTTTTGTTCCATCCGTCAAAAAACCTGTAATGCTACTTTGAAAAAAAAATGATAGATCAGAAAACCCATGAATCCGAGACGATACTGGATTGTGACGACGATAACTCCATTGCCTACATAGTTGTCAGCAAAGACCTGATAGCCATGTTGAGCCGCGGACCCGATCTCGTAGCCACCGCCGTGGATCCAAAAGAGCACCGGCAGTAGCTCCTCCTGACTTGCGGGTAGTAACAGAGTGCTTGAGTGAAAACTACTCTGTGCTGAGGTCGGACGACGTTGAGCGTGAGGCAGTCTTCACCGGAAGGCTGCATGAACTGCGCCACGATACGCATGTGAGGAGTGCAGCTGTTTCGGAATGTTGTCGCCGAGTAAATATCGTTCCATGGCTCCAACGGCTCTGGTTTCTGAAATTCCCAACCATCGAACGGAAGTTCACAAGGAAGAAAATCTAAACAGACATTGGTTTGTTCAGCTGCAATCATTCATTAATCATTTAAATTTTTTTCAAATCATGAAAACAGTTTTCAATTGATAAATTGATAGGATCGCGAGTAAAGACTATTGATGAATTTTGAGAAACCGCAAAATATTGCAGCGGGATTTTTTAAACTTCCAATATTCTTTGATATGAGATTTAACTGCAGTTTCTGCATTTCGTGAAAGTTAAAAATTAATGGTCGAAATATTTAAAAACAGTGAAATTTTTAAAAACCTCAAAACGAAGATTTCCAACAGGTGGCTTGGCATACGGAATCGCCAGGAAGACTTCAGCTTGTCCTCCCCCTTTTTGCGGAACGCGAAAGCCTTGTATGTCACCGAGCTTCGTAGAAACTATTGGTGGTTCAGTGGCGGAAGTCAAACAAAGAACCACGCAAAAAATGAAATTTCGCATTTCTTAAAATATTCAGGTTTAGTGAGAGTTTGCGCGCAAAGAGCGGTGAACAAATAAAAAAAAGTTGATGGAAAAGTTCTTACGAGAAATCACACGACTTGAAACCACGAAAAAAGACGACTCGATGAACCACGGTTTTGCAGTCGTTGATAACGGCAGCGCTCATCTTTCTTATATGGTGACCTCAGCAATCTAATCTGAACATTGACCTTTTTCAGTCTTGCCCCGTTGACAACACAAATCACACAAAGGATTCATCACAAATCACACGGAGGATTCATCACAAATCACGAATAAATTTCAATAATTAAAAGATTTAATTACAAGTGATGTATCGTTGCGATAAAGCTTTATAGTGTTTTTTTTTTTCGGCTACACTCGTAGCTTCTTGCTCGTAGCCGTAGTTTTTTAAAACTTGTTTTTCGATCTTGGGCCAATAAGTGGCTTACAACGTCATTTAAAAGAAAAAAAGCATAGTTTTCTCTACAAAGAGGTTGAATTTTTTGTCGTTTTTTGTCGAAATTCATTTAATAAACACTTAAATAATAGCTTGCTTAGGGCTGATGAGAGTCGGACTAAATCTTAGGCGAGAGTGGCAATGAAGACCTACCAGGAAATGAGATAATCTTCTAGAGCAAATTTTTTTTGAATTTTTGTTTTTTCTCAGCTTCTTTATGATTATGCACTTGATAATAAGAAAAAAGACAAAAGAAAAATTGAAAAGGTGAAAAAATAAATCCCGCAGGCCTTTCCATTTTCTTCTCCTGGAAAACTTTTTTTGCTCAAACACGAGTTGAGAAAGAGCAAAAATACTTTCAAAAAAATGAAGAAAGATAAAAAATATGAATCCGAGCAGGGCCCTTTTATTCAGTTATTTGTAAAAAGTTTGAATAAACATTCAGTTTCAAATTTCATTCTTTTATTTATTACTTCATTGTCTGTGAAAATTGAAAATTGCAAATAGAAGTCAATGAAATCATTTCTATTTCTGGAGCGATGGAGCGAATCCGATCTGCTTGTTTCCGAGGTCGTAAATGTTGCAGTACTGGCGGATGAATGGATCTCCGAGGATCCACGATGGTCCAAAGCCTCCGAAGTCGAAGGGGAAAGCTCCGAAGAGACATTGATTGTTGCCGGTCTGCAGGAAGGGAGTTTATTTGTATCATCCAGAAAGGATGGACTCACATCAACGATGTAGTTAACAGGCTGGATGCTGTAGAGGTTGGATCCGATGGTGATGTTGAGCGGTCCAGGATTCGCGTTGCATGGAATATAGTAGACCTCCTCCGAAGCGTGCCACTAAAATTGAAAAATTAAAACAGAGACAGTGTTAGAAGACAACTTTGGCGCCGGCAGCTTTTGCAAGTCCGGATATCACATTTTCGGGGCCTCCAAGGAACGATGTTCCAGTGTCAGAGATGACTTCGTAGCTCTTCGTGTTTTGGTAACTCCCGAGAGTGAAGTGGCTTGCCTAAAAGTTCATAGTCCTTCTGATCAAATAGGAAAAATTATAGAAAAACTGTAGGAAAAATTGTGAAATAAAAACATATTGAATACGAATATCTATGGCTTTTTGTACGATTTTCGTACTCGATGTTTTGGATCATTTTAAAAATCAGGAAGAATATTCGTCTGATGTTTATTAAAAGCATTTTTTTGAAAGTGAACCACTTGAAAAAAACACTTGAATAACGAATTTGGTAGTTGTATTCATCTCGGCTCCGAAAAATATAAATAATTTTTCCGAAGCATTCCTAACTGATTTTTTCTCTCAAATGGCGACTCGCTCGCAAGCTCTTCTTTGTCGCTACTAACTTTTTTCAAATCCTTGACTTTTACTAGGAATCATAGATTTGGCGCTAAGGCCTTTTTTTAGGTCGGAAGGTACCGACTATACCTCACTTTGAATTGGAAATAAGTTGCAGATGATAGTTTCTGATAAGCGATGAGAGGACCGCAGTTGGTGGTGTCGACGGCTCCATAAGTGAAGACACCGCCGCCGACGTTGTTGAGGGAGCCTCTGTGCTCAAGCCAGACAGTGAAGAGAGGCTGGTCGAGAAGGCCTTGGTTGATGGCGTTGATGAGAGGAGGAACGACACCGTCAACTGCCAAGGAGGTGAAGGCCAGACCGAGGATTCCGTCGGTAGCGTCTTGGGTAAAGTCGCTGGAGATGTGGGTAGCAAGGCCGAAGGTCGTTTTCGGTACAGCGAGCTGCTGTTGGCCCGTTTGACCAAACTGAAACATTTTTTATTATTTTCACAAGTCCAAATTGATCAACTTTGAGAAGGTCCTCGCCAAGAATGCCGCCGGCGTCACCACTTCCGTACTGGATGCTCCAGTCACGTCCATTTTTCTTGAACGTCGACGATTTGGTAGAATCAAACTTGTGCTTGTTTTTGCAAGGTTTTCTTGAATAAATTGATGAATCCAGACTTTCCAAAAAATTGAATTACCCGTTGCAGTTAGTAGCTGGCACCCACAGGTTAGCAGACCCAGTATCAAGAACAACAATGAAGTTTTGGTCTGGCGTTCCGAGTGTAATATTTCCGAGATACTCGAAATCGCCGAAATCATTGACCTGTTAACGAGAAAAAAGAAAAGAAATGAGCGTAGATTATCCACCAACGTTTTCAGAAAGACTGGCAAGCTCGGGATGAGCTGCTCGCAGCTTGTTTTTATACTCCAGATAGGCTGCGTATTCTCCGCGACGGATCATTTCGATCTTCTTCGACGGACGCCATGAAAGTTTGTGCTCGTGGACTGCAGCCAAAGCCAAGCCGACGAGTGCAAAGATCACAATTACCCTCATCTGAAATATACCTGAATTTACCTGAATTTTACTCAAAAGGCCGCGATCGCGAGTAAGGAAACATATCGGTGCGTCCTTGATGCTTCCATTTTATATACATTTTTGAATGATGCTTTTTTTTTACTATTTCCAATGTAAAACAACCATTCAATTCAAACTTGTGTGTATGAAGAGACTTTTAGGTTGAGGTTTTTAATAGAGCCCGAAGAAAATGAAGTCGTTTTCAGTTCCGAAAAAACTGGCAAAAAGAGTTGAAGAGGTGAAGAAGAATAATCTGGTGGCCTGTTCCGCAGAAGCTAGAAGCTAATGAAAGAAAGAATAATCATCGTTCGCTATCAGTGGCTAGCTTATCTGGGAAATCAGCCATTCTCCACTGATAATTCAGTGTTTCGTGGCATTCTCGTCCTTTTTGAGCTATCAGATGACTGGGACGTGGCTTGACGTGTGAACAGCACTCTGTTCTTTTTTCTTTCATTCTCCTGATAACATTTCCAGCTCAAGACCTTCGTTTCTATGCTCTTTGTAGTTCAGTGTATTAGTTAACTGTATTTTAAAAAATATCCTCTGAAAAACAAAAGCTCTCGGAAGTTTTTTATCGAAAAACCGATACAATTAATTATTTCTGAATGGACAAAGCGAATCCCATTCTTTGGGATCCAATATCGTAGATGTTGCAGTACTGACGAATGAAAGGATCTCCCAGAATCCAGGCAGGACCGAAACCGAAGTTGTTGAAGGCGAAAGCAGCAAAAATGCACTGAGTCGCGTCTCCGTACTAAAATCTTTTTTCCTTTTTGGGCTCATAGTCTTTATTTACATTGACGATGTAGTTAACTGGTTGAATGCTGTACTTTGTGCTACCGATAGTAATGTCCAGAGGACCTGGGTTGGCGTTGCAAGGAATGTAGTAAGTTTCGTCAGACGAACTGTACTGAAACACGAAGATGATAAAACAAAGGCCGCTAATCGATAAGTGCTGTTCTAACCGTCGCTCCGGCGCCTTTTGCAAGTCCTTGAACGACGGCGTTGGGTCCACCGAGGAACGATGTTCCAGTGTCAGAAATAACTTGGTACTGTTTGGGAGTCGAGTAAGATCCAAGAGCGAAGCCGCCAGCCTTCATTTTTTTCTCTTTTTCAATAACTCTCCAGTTTGACTCACCACAAACTGGTAGTAAGTGGCCGATGACAACGGCTGCCACGAAATCACAGGACCGCAGTTGGTGGTGTCAATTGCGCCGTATGTGAAGATACCGCCGCCGACGTTGTTGAGGGCGCCTCTATGCTCGAGCCAGACAGTGAAAAGTGGTTTGTCGAGGATCCCCTGGTTGATGGCGTTGATGAGAGGAGGAACGACGCCGTCGACCGCCAAGGAGGTGAAGGCCAGGCCGAGGATTCCGTCGGTAGCGTCCTAGAATAAACGTGTTTTTTTTTCACGAAATTGAACATAATAGTTTCACAAAAATTCTCTCCAATGAAATGAAAAATTTAAACGTGTGAAGTCCTTTTTTTCCCTGAAAATAACCGACTTGTTTGAAATCTGCTGAAATGTGTGTGGCGATGCCGAAAGTGGTCGATGGGACGGCAAGCTGAGCGTCTCCAGTGGCACCGAACTGATGAAAAGTTTAATTTATCCAGTTAAACTTTGAAGATATCTCACCTTGACGGTATCTTCTCCCAAAATTCCCTTGGCGTCTCCACTGCCGTAGGTAATCTTCCAGGTACGACCGTTTTGAACGAAAGAGGAAGATTTAGTGGAGTCAAATTTGTGTTTTCCGTCGCAGGACGCACTGAAAACTAACTCATAATTTTTTGTGAACAAATTCACTTTTGTTTCAAAAACTAACTCGCAAGACGGTCCAGGAATCCACAAGTTGGAGGATCCCGTATCGAGAACGGCGATGAAGTTTTGGTCGGGAGTTCCGATCGTGATATTTCCCAAATACTCGTAGTCACCGAAGTCATTGACCTGAACTCGGCTTTTTCTTTCGAACTTGCTTGTAACACAACTTTTTCAGCATTATACTAAAGGGAAAGAGTAATTTGGATAAAGCGCCTACTAAAAAATGATGAGGTGAAGGAACTGGAATATTTTTGCCTAGAGTTGTCCGGGGTCTATGACATTCCTTATACGTTGAAACCTCGAAAAAGAGGGGTTTTCGATGGGAGAGCTAACGGTGTAAGCTCTCGAATTCAATTCAAAATTGGATTTATTTTGATTTGTTTTAGGTTTAAACTAATACAGAAGAGAACAGACGTTTTGCGGAAGACTGGCGTACTGTGCAGGACTGACGTCACGAAGCTGTTGCTTGTACCTGACGTAGGAGGCCCATTCTCCGCTGCGGATCATCTGAATCCGTCTGGACTCGCGCCAAAGAAGCTTGTGCTCATGGACGGCCGCGAGAGCCAGGCCAACGAGGGCCAGCAGCACCGTCAACCCGCGCATTTCGAATGAGAAACCCCGAGGGCGGCTTTTATCGATACCATCTTTTATCGTTGTGACGTTATCACCGTCCGATATAATTTTTGTCGGCTTCAAGTTCCTGTTGAGTTGTCTGCACAACTTTCATGCTTGATTTGAAATATACTCACAGAAATCTTACATCAAGCCAAAAATGCTTGAAATTATGAAGAAATATAAAAAAAGACGGATAAAAAAATTTCATGTAAAACATTTGAGATTTACTTTCAAAAAAATCCATTCATTTTTACTTTTTATATCCATGTTGACCTCAATTTAACTCTTTTCAATATACCTTCAAAATTTGTGACACGCCAAAGCTGAAAAAATCATTTTATCTTACAAGTCATTTGAAATAATTTTTATCTTGCAGGAAAGAACGAATTTTTGAGTTCTGCCGCAGAGGTTGAAGTTTCATTTTATTAGAAATTATATAGGTATTCATGCTTTTTACAAAAATTTTGATTTTTTAATTTTAAATATTTTTAGTTAAGAATCCGAAGAACAAATAAAAAAAGAAACATTGCGACTCGTTGAAAAATAAACTTCAGATTTTCCCAACTCAGAAACAGTGAATGAAAAAGTTCTACGCCGGCGACCGGAAAAACATCGGAGAAGTAAAAAAAAGGATTTTATGTGTAATACTTTTATTTTCTTCAGAAACAGCTTTTCTGCTTCGACATGCATTTCCACTGTTCAGAGTGAAACGGTGTTTGCAATGATAATGTTATTCGAAGAAGCCAAAACCATTCTTCTGGAAACAAACGCATCGAAAAACTCATTTTCTTGAAAATCTGATGAAAAGTAAGATTTCTTGAGGTGCAGCAAACGCTGAAAACAATATGATTCGTATGAAAATCAATGAGACTCAGAAACTTTTTTTTATATTGTTTGTACAATACGTCGAAGACGAGGCCAAAATATTTATCAGAACCTTCTTCAGCATAATTATCACATGTACAGAACAGTTGGAGAAAGAAAACGAATCACTTTTGGAGCGAAGGAGCGAATCCCATTTGTTTGTTGCCGATGTCGTAGATGTTGCAGTACTGGCGGATGAAGGGGTCTCCAAGGATCCAGGCAGGTCCGAAGCCTCCGAAGTCGAAGGGGAAAGCGGCGAATAGACACTGTCCGTTTCCAGCCTGAACCAGAAACTCAAAATGGTTTTTTTTTTGCTTTTCATGGCTCACGTCGACAACGTAGTTCACGGCTTGAATACTGTATTTGTTGTTTCCAATTGTGATGTCCAGAGTGCCGGCGTTGGCAGCGCAGTCGATCCAATAAACTTGGTTGAAGTCGTCATACTGAATAAAGTATTTCAATTTTATTTGTTCAGATTTTTGTCCTACAGTGGCTCCCGCAGCCTTGGCGAGACCGTCGACGACGTTTTGCGGACCTCCGAGGAAAGATGTTCCAGTGTCTGAGATGACATCGTAGACCTTGTCCGTGGAGTAGGTTCCAAGGGCAAAACCTCCAGCCTAAAAATAAACTCTAAAATATTGTCATTTTTTGGGTTTTATTCAAACCTTGAATTGGAAGTAGGTTGCTGAAGAAAGTGGCTGGTAACCGATGACTGGCCCGCAGTTGGTCGTGTCGACGGCTCCATAAGTGAAGACACCGCCGCCGACGTTGTTGAGGGAGCCTCTGTGCTCGAGCCAGACAGTGAAGAGAGGCTGGTCGAGAAGGCCTTGGTTGATGGCGTTGATGAGAGGAGGAACGACGCCGTCGACGGCCAAGGAGGTGAAGGCCAGACCGAGGATTCCGTCGGTAGCGTCCTGAAAATTTAACAATATCTTACTTTTAAAATCGTACTGCAACAAACATTTTTGAAATCAGAAGAGATCTTACTGGCGACGCCAAATGTGGTCGAGGGAACTGGTAACTGAGCATCTCCCGTAGCTCCGAACTTGAAAAATGGATTGAATCGATAAAAATAAACATCAAAATCACAGTGATGGTGTCAGTAGCGAGAATCCCAGCGGCGTCTCCACTGCCGTACTGGATGGTCCATGAGCGGCCGTCCTTGACGAATGTCGAAGACTTGCTCGAGTCATACTTGTTCTTTCCGTTGCAGTTGGCCTTGCAAGTAGGACCAGGCACCCAGAGATTGGCAGATCCAGTGTCGAGGACGACAATGAAGTTCTGTTGAGGAGTGCCGATCGTGATGTTGCCTAGGTATTCGAAATCTCCGAAGTCGTTGACCTGTGAATGTAGATAAGAGTCAATTTGAAGCTGTTTCAAACGTTCTGAGGGAGACTGGCTAGCACGGGGTTCGCAACTCGCAGTGCTCGTTTGTACTCGAGGAAAGCCGCGTATTCACCCTTGCGGATCATTTCGATTTTTTGCGATGGCCGCCAGGATAACTTGTGCTGGTGGAAAGCCGAGGAGGCCAGGCCCACGAGTGCGAGAACGATCAGCGTCCTCATCCTGAAGCGCAAAAGTTTGAGCCTCCAAGTAGTATGTGGAAGTTATATCGGGTTGAAATTTCATTTATATCAGCTTGCAGAAGTTGAATTGAGTGTAGCAAAGGAAAGTAGCCAAAACGTTATCGTGGAATTGAGTCGCATATCGCGTTTTATACATGTCGTTGAGCATTGTGACGTCTCTATTTTTATCACCGACCGCCTTTATCGGTGCTACGAGGGATGGATCCGGTTGCGCTGGAAATGGGCTTCCGCTTCATAAAAAACACAAGCTTTCAATTACTTGAAAAACTATGTAGATTGTTTTTTTTCTCACTTTTATCAACTTTAATTGAAATTTTTTCGTTTTTTTTTAGATAATTTTTTTGCATGACAGGAAAACAAATTATTTAAAAATGAACTTGAATGGAGCATACACCAAGAGTTAATCTTTTATCTCTACACCGAATAGAACTGCTTTCGAAAAAAACATATGATCGTTTCGATTTTTTTGTTTTATTTATCTTGGGGCCGCATGAAAACTTAGGAAAAGTGCGCTCTCATAAATTAACTCATAAAAAGTATTATGTCAGTGAAACGCAATGATAAAGATCTCGAAATAAAGACGTGATTGCGCACGCAATGTGAAAACCATTTCCGAAGACTGTCAGCCTCCTGGAACCTCTTCGGCTATGAGGTGAGCCTCCACTCTCCAAAACTCCAACGCACGGCTTCAGGTCCGTCGTCTTCGCACTCAGCGTTCTGCTCGTCATCCAACTCGCTCGTGTTGGTTCCAACTCAATCGATTGCCTCATTTTCCAAAGTCTTTAGTCCATGAACCTCAATCAGCGCCTCCCGGCTGTCATCCAAGAGATGAACAAATACGACGTCACGTCCACACAGCAAGACATAACCGTCGACGTCAGCTCCGAGGAAAAGCCTAGACTCGCAACGGATATTTGCAGGTTGTAATGCCGCATGCACAAGTTTTCAATGGCCCCGTCACCGGGCTCGGCGACGCCAAGAGCAAGCAGAGAATCGCCGTGCAGATCAAGAACATCGAGGACGCGCTCTCGAAAGGGGCCGGAAAACGTCATCGTCGTGAAGCCATCGACATTGGTTCGACTTTTCTTTTTCTTCTTACTTTCCTGGAACAAATCAGCATGTTCTTCATTTTCAGCTTTGAACGCCGCCAGAGCCTTCGACGGCGCTTTCGAAACTTTCAAGGACTACGACATTTTCTTTGAATATTAGAACTCATTAAATGAAGAAAAAATTGAAGTTTGATTTTCGTGTTCTTTCCGAAAATTTGTTCTTCAACCACAAAAAAAAATAAATTGAAACAATTTTTTTTTTCAATCACGAGGCAAAGAGATTTTGATATCTTCAGCCTTCCAAAATATAATTAGAAATGTTTCACAGTGCCGGAAATCAAGTATCATTAAACTTTTTTTGATTCTATAATTCTGAAGATCGTGTTCGAATTTTCTTTTTGTAATTTTTTTCATCGGAGTGTGCTTCTAGGGAATATCGAATTTCAAAAAAACCTTTGGATGCCGTTTTATGTCTAATTTTTTTATGTTTTTCCCTCGAATAAAAAAACTTATTATTTTTTTAAAAATCAAAAATAGGCTACAATGAAAAAAATCAAAACTTTAGAAAAAAACGAATAGTTTCATTACAAAACGGATACCAAGCAAGTTCATTGGAAAACGGCTTTTCAGAGATGCGCAAATTTGAAAAGTGGTTATGTTATGGGTCCATGAAATAATTTTCTCTAGTTGGGCGTGCGCTAACTTTGGGCTGTAAAAAGAATTCTTGAATAACTTCCAGAAAGAAGCTTCAAAATGATCCTTCAAGCTGAAACTTCTATTTTATCACTTCAGCGATACATAAACAAAAGGTATAATAGCTGATAACGAGTTATATCATTTCTATAAATGGCTCTGTTCTTCTTGCTAGCGTTCGCCTTTCACTGGTCTAGTTCACAGGCTTACTCGGTTAGTTTCTCTCAAAATAAAGTCAACTCTTGGTCTTCTAGCAGCAGAAAGTTATAACGGAATTGACTTGCGCGACGGGAAACGTGGATGGAAAGTTCATAGAAACAAGAAAAGACCAAATAACAACGAAGTACGCTTGTGTCTACAAACAGAGCATGACAGGTGCTCTGAAGGGAAAGTGAGGTTCTATAGCTTCTTGGATGCAATCTTCTACTCAGAAAACGCGACATCCCGTCATGGAGGATGCACTATGATATGGTACCTCTAGCAGAACTTCCACCAGAATGTCAGCACGAAAATCATTTCTTCCCTTTTCTTTCTGATCGCAGTTCCCTTTATTGCTGTCATGAAAATTATTGCAATTTTATATCGGATCCACTTGAATTCGTGAGTTTTTTTTTCAAGCCCTTGCAGCAAGGGCCTTGTTTTTAAGTTACAACCGATCAGCAGACACCTCAATTTCGAAATAAGATTTGAATATTGAGAAGCCGGGCATTATATCTCTAGTGAGTGTGGGGACCGCAAGGCCACTCTCGATGACCAAAAAACTTTGTATACCATTGCTTTTTCGACATTTCATTGCTGTTTACGCAGTTTCCCTGAACCGTTTTTCGAAAAAGTGAGCCGTACCATTCGGAGATATACAAATCGGTTGAACCATCCTTTGAAAGCGAAATTACCTTTTTTTTTCTCCCAATAAATTAGTAACCTTTCAGCTTATTCGTCATGAAAATGTAGCTATTTCTTTCCATTCGTACAGCTATTATGTTGCGGTATATTAATCAATTTTTCATAATTTATCAATCGACCTTTACTTAGGTGATGGCGATCGCAATAACTATCTACCCAATATTCATGCTTCTGTTCGAAAAAAGAGAGAGGGATGCGTGGAAAAGCGCAGAACTCGACCACGTCTTGAATCTATCAGAGTTTCCGGAAAATCATATAACATTTAAAGTTTCTCTTTTGATAATGTCATTTCTTTTTGGGATATGAAATAGTTACAGGAGCACCCCATACAGTATGCCGTTTCTCCTCGTTTCGACTCAGTCAAGAATTTCAACCGAGCTCTGCGCAATCTGATCAAACCTGAGCTTTATGAGAACGTAGGTTGAATGTTCCTGTTCGGACGTCTTCTTTCAGGAAGACAGCAGCCGGCCAGAAAGCGATTTATGTGTGATGGAATCCATTAACGCATTCCAGCAAGACGACATCGTGTGCAAAAAGGTAGCAGAAATCCTGTCCATTGCGTTCGTAGATTATTCTCTCACTGAAAAAAATTAATTTGAAAATTTTATAAAAATATGTTTGTAAACAAAAAATTCCTTCATTATAATCAAATGTATGATACTGGTAGCTTTCAAGCAAAAAATTATTTTAATTCGGCGGAAAGCCTAATTGCGGTTTCTATCTTTATTCAAAAAAAATTGCCATGTCCATCAAATCAAAATTTATTTTAGGTTTTTCGGTCTGACGGATCGAAATTCATCGATCTTGCGCGGCGTCTAATTGAGCAAGGTCCCTACGAGTTTGACTTTGACCCAGTTGAAGTGAGAATATTGCTTTTTTTCGATGAGAAAGTAATTTTGAGGTTGGAGAACTGTTCGACATAGCGCGAGATGTCCTAATGGATGAGCCGCCTCTTCTAGAGATCTCTAACGATGTTTACATCTACGGGAGCGTCCAAGGAAATTATGCGTTGGTATTTCAAAATGTTCAACTGAGAAACTCAAATTATTGTAAAGACGCCAAATGTTGAATAGCTTTTTTCAGAGATTTGCTACGTTTCTTCCAGCTCAATGGATATCCACCTGAGAGCAAAATGCTTTTTCTTGGCGGTTACACTAGCGAAGGTGCACCTCACAGTCTCGAGACAATCGTTCTCCTTGTCGCGTTGAAAGTATTTCCTCACTTTCTCTTCCATTCTGCTTGTGTCTACAGCTGATGCTGCCCAGTCATGTGTATCTGCTCCGTGGAGCGACGGAGGTTCACCCAGTGAATATCGGAGAGGTCTCCTCATTTCCAAAGTCTCTACTCCAGAAAATTTGCAGCGGTTCCAACTGAGAGTTCGACGTTACTTATGTCAGGTGATAGATGAAACTTGCGCTGCTCTGCCGTACGCAGCCATTGTGGGAGAGAGAATTCTGTGCACTCACGGAGGAATTCCCAGCAAAGTGAGTCAGGTTTCCTCGACTCTCCCGAAAGTTTCCAGCCGGTTTCTTTGGCGAAACTGCGCTCGCTCAGCAGGTCGCTCGAGCCCATCGTCAGAGGCTCTCTACAGGCGGAACTCATTTTTGGGGTGCCTTCTCGAAACTGCAGTGGTCCTATTCCTGGTAACCTCCGTTCTTGTCAATTTCATGACATTTGTTTTCAGGTATTCGTGGGAGACATTTCAATCTCAATTCAGAGAGAGACTTCAGTGTCTTAGAATCTATCTCCTGTGATTTTTTTATCTGCGGAAGAAACCCTTTGCCTAAAGGATTTTACGTAAGTAATCTTCATTTTGAAAAAAATAAATGAAAAAAAAGAAAATAAGCATTCTTCTCTTTGCCTTAGCCATCAATGTTGGAGTTTTTCCAGTTTTTTGGAACGCGAGCAATGGCTTTGTGGTCCGCAATAACAGTTAACAAGTACGCAGAAGAGGATGGAGCACAAAAAACGGTTCATAAACATTTTAAGGAATTGAAAGTCCTCAAAAATAAGTCAAACTTGGGCATGGTATGAAGATGGAACACTTGAAATTTTTGCAAATTATTATTTTCAAACGAAAAGCTTGGCTCAGATCTGGGACGACTACACATCAGCGGCATGCCTCCACGTTCATGAAAATCTGAACATTCACATAATTCGACTTGTCAAGTACATTAAGGGCAAATCCAAACAACTTCCTCTCGGTACTTCAATGTTTCAAGTACCGTAAAGAGCCCAGCCCTTAGATTGCTGAATAATCAAACCCTTCTTTCTAATTATTCAGCAATCTAAAAAACGATTTTTAGTGCATCCATCGATGATAGCTTGCCGTAAACGACGTAGAGCTGTAACGGTTTGAAAGAAAACGAATATATTGAGAACTGGATTATTTTTCAGTCGGAGAGACCGCGAAGAAAAGCTTCCAGGTCGGAGAAGATCGTCAACTTTCCTTCTTCAAAAGTTCCTCTTGGCGGTGGATCTATAAAAGTTAATTTTTATTTTTCGGCGTTTTTTTTTTCAATATAGACGTGCAAAGTATCATTTCGAAGAAATGAGCGCAGTGGATAGTTTGTTGATCGGTATAATATTCCTGACCGTCGTCTTTGCCAGTCCGGAGGCACCGGTCGTCGGCTTCGTTCGGCGACTCAAGCCATCAGAGGCACTCAATGGAGTTATCAATAGGGTGCTTATTTAAATTATTCAAAAATTTTTATTTCATAATCGCAGCTTTGCGGGTTGAAATGTTTCAGAAGGGGAAAATTAGGAAAGCGATTTTTTTCTTTAAAATCAAAAAAAGTTTCCGAACACAGAGTTTGGCCAGTAGTAAGAATTCTTTCTAAAAAAAGTTTGTATCAGCACGCCTTATATATATATATATATATATATATGATATACATATATATATATATATATATATATATATACACTGTTGAATACAAAATATTATATAGGGACCACAAACCATTTTTCAAAGTGAGTCAAAAAAAAAATTTTTCACTTTTTGACGCAGGCAAAGTCCAAACGACCTCAAAAAGGCCTTAAGGAGAAGGGCCTGAAGTTTCTTTGTAAGTTCCTAAAAAGGTTATCACAAGTTTTTCGGATCCCCTTTTTTATATCCTTTTCCGCCTTTTCTGAGACCTTTTGGACTTTTAGAAAAATGCCTTTAAAGGCTTCAAAAGCGGTTTTTTTGGAGCTTTTTCAAAAAACGATTTTTTAAAGAGTTAAAAAAAGAGACGAAAAAGGATGAAAAAAAGGAGATTCTGAAAAACTTTTGACACATTTTTAAGAACAAAAAGGAGCTTTAGGCTCTTCTTTTTAAGGCCTTTTTGAGGTCATTCCGACTTCGCCTATTTTTGTGTGAAATGCATAACGCTGATTTGCAGAACTCTGGTTAAGGATCTGCTTTTCAAAGACTTTTGTTAGACATGGTTTTTAAGCCCAGTATATAATCGTTATTTCAGCGCAACCTTGAACTTGATTTCGGCTATAAGATCAACTCGTCGGTGGTTGATGGAAAAATGAGCGTATGTTGTTTCCTTTTGAATACATATATAATATAATATCTCATAAAAGAAGGTTTCGAAAAAATCATCTCTCAAAATGATCTGCGGAAATGAGGCTTTTCTCAATTAGCTTGATGGAGTGTTTAAAGACTTAAAATATAGCCAAAAAAAAAATAATAATAAGGTGGTTTTGAGAACATGGGAGTTTCCTAAATCTTCTTGCCATGCTTTTTCTAAGTTTTTTAGATTTTTACACTTTTCAAGATGTCTGAGCCAACTCAGCTTGTGTTTGTCTTACATTTTGTATGCACGACTCGAAACAGTTTGTATAATCTGCACTCTCTATTCTGTCATCTGCTGGGAAACCAAGGAAATATAACGCAATTCTGAGAACATCGCCGAGCAAAAAGAGAGTGCAGAAAGTTCGGACTGTTTCAAGATGTGGGGAATGCAACATTTTTAGAAGGTTTGCAGAAGGGGGAAGTGGAAAGAAAGTTGAACGAAGTGGTAGCGGTACTTGAATCCATCGCAACGCCATAACAATGCTTTATTTTGCGAATAAATTTGTTCTACGAGTCGAACGGTTCGAGATCGTTGATCGACGCCGGTTCGCTCACTAGGCGCCACAGACGGCGTCGCCAAGCAGGTCCGTAGTTACCTGAAGGAGTTTTTTGCATCTCTTTAGCCCGATTCCATTGAAAAGAAAACAAACTAACCGTATATGCGGTATTGGGCAACGGTTGAACAGACGAAAAAAACAGAGAGAACGAGCAGAACTAGCGCCAACTTCATTATTGATGTCGTACAATTTACCTGTATTTCTTTTTCGAAGATAATCTACAGTGAAAAAAAAAACGAATCGTAGTAAACAAAACATCACCAGGAAAAAACAGAACTGACAATGAATAGTTTAACATAATTTTTACAAGAATTTGTATGCAGAGTTTTGGGTTTCGTCAAAAAAGCCAAAAATGTATGGCTCTTTGTTCGACAAACGTATTGAAGTGTCATTGACCTATAGTGTATGAAGCCTTCCACGTTTTTTTTCGAGCTATTTACTAATAGAGTCGATCTAATTTTCTGTTTCGAGAGTACCTCAGTGCTCAGGATGCAAATCTTTCAAAAAATTTTCAAAAAGAAATGGCAGAAAAAATTGGCACATGGTTTGTTTTCCAGTTCGGTGATAATTCATTCCTTTTAGGCTTTTACGATGTGTCTTTGACAACTATTCATGGCTCACTCAAATTTTTTCTTGTTCTATTTACGGATGGCTTTCTCCGTGAATTATTAAGCAGCAATTTTAGAAAAAATTTAATCTATGAACGTAGGAAAAGAAGATTCTTTTTGAAATCTAGCTTTTAAGTTAACTTTTTTGGATCAAACTTTTTACCAGGAAATGGCCCGAACTCACAATTCATAATAGGAACAGCGATGGAATGTGGCCTTTCATAGTTCAAAATTGAATATCTCAGATTGAGGCCATTTTCGAAAAGTATATATAGTATAAATGAAGAAAACAGCAATGCATTATTTTATACGAGTTCAAACCGAAGCTTTGAGAAGCTTCGAAGAGAGAGGGACACGAACGGCGTCTGTCCACCATTTCCAAGTTTGTTCTCAACTTCTACAAGCCATCAGTCTCCTTCAAAAGTTTCCCTGTGTTCCGATTTTTTTTGCAGTGAGAAAATGTTGCAAAATTATAAACTCTTTTTTTAAAGAAGGAATCCCGATAGTCTTGAACAGAGTTGGAGGATGGCTGCCCACTGGCCGCCTTGCCTGCCAAGCCATAAACGCCCAAAAGGCAGAAATGACTTTTTCAAAAGTCAACGTGGCGCGACGCTCATTTCTTAGGCAAAATCGCCCTAACATCTAGAAGCGCTTGTTTCGAGCAATGTATGAAAAATTGTGTACACAAAAAAATCAGAATTTTTTTTATTGTTAAAAAAACATTTATTTTTTGGGAGCTTTCCGACTTTTTTTTCTAGATAACTTTTTTTTGAATCTTCATATATAAAGTAGGTTTTTAATTTATGATTAAAACACAAAAAATAGAAAAAGGTTATCACATGTTTTATAAACCGAAAAATATAAGGGAAAAAAGTCGGAAAGTTCCTTAGCGATTTGAAAAAAATCGGAAAAGTCGCCGTTCGAAAACTCGCTGGCTTTTTTTTCATACCCACAATTTCGCATCAATTTCACGACATCTCAAAATTTTTTGGTCCTAATAGTTCTCCAGTGAGATTGAAAATGTAGTCTACTGACCCGTTCCGGTGACGATTCCCTGCTGAAATATCTGTTACAGTAGGTTAAAAACGTAAACAGAGAGTTTAGAAAAAAAAATTAATTCAAAGTTTACAAAATTGGTAATGATTAGTTCAGGGCGTTATCGCCACGTACTTGACCTAGTTGCCAAAGACCGCGTAAATTAATGGCTCATTTCTATCTTTTGGCTAAATGGCTTGGCTTGGCCGCCAAGCCAAGGGCTGCCTTCCCAATCCTCCACCTCTGGTCTTGAAAGAGTATCATGAATAAATTTATTTACAAGAAAAAAGTCAAGAAAAGACGTCAGCGGCGAGGTTGATCTTAACAGGAAACCATGTGGAGGTTGGGTTGGTGAAACGGAGGACATACTCAGTGCCGCCGCCCTCGACGGAAATCGCGCCGAACTCGGGAAGCTTAATTAGATCCGTCGTTTGGCAGACGCTTCGAGGCACTCACTTTGAGACTCGTCAGAGTGATCATCGGCCAGACGTGAGTCTCCTGGTCGGACGCCCGCTTCACAACTTCGAATTCGACGTCGCCGCTCACAGTGAAGCTCCACACCAGCCTTCCCTTTGACGCAGCTTTCCTTCAACATTTTTTTTCATTTTTGGCTGTTGGCATTGTAATCGCATGCAATAAATTTTGTTTTTTATCCGTAACTCATCATAAACTCAATTGAAAGAGCAGACTGCAAAGTTTCGTTTGATCTGGTTCAGAAAGTTTTGACGACAAATGAGAAAAAGTTTTCAGACCTGACAACTTCGACGCTTTGGTGAGACTTGAGGCTAAAGCTCTGACTACTCGGCACTTTCGAGACATGGTTTTCTGTCCAAACGACTTCTGGCTGCAAGGCGTTCGGTTGAAAATAAGAGGAACCGAACTCACCGATCGATAATGGCTCTTCTCAATCGACTTAGGCGACCGGCAACAATCTCCAGGGGTGTCGGCAAATCCGCTTTTATCTTGCCATTCTCCTCCGTATTCCATGGGGATCGACTGAAGTTGCCCGGGTAATGATTGTAGAAACGAAAACAAACGGACCTTTATTTCGAGGTACTTTTTCAACTCTTCTGTGCTTCCTAGAAAAACAAGTTTTTCTGCCGTCTGCGCATCCATAATGTGTTTTGTAATAGTCCACATGAAAGAGATTATTCCAGGTGAATTCACAACCAAAAGTTTGCACAACTAAAAAACAAAAGTTTCCTTAAGTTGTTAGTTTTCTGCTGACATTTTCGCTAAAATAGTCGGACCAGACTTTGACCACCAATCGAGCGACCTGAGCTGGGCCAGAGAGCGGATTTATGAATTCAGAGAGATTGAGACCTTTCAAGTCGAGAATGCACACCACTGAGGATGGTCTTCCTGGAAAAAGCCTGTTAATTTTCAAACGCACTTTTGAAAGATTCCTTCTTGGTCGAAATCATCAATGAAATGTTCTGTTTGTAAAGTGAAGAAAAGTTATTTGAGTTTGAAAGCAAAAATCCAAATTTTTGATTCAGTCCAACTTTCAAGGTCAAAATTCGTTTTCAGTCTGTATCGTAATCATCATTCCGAACTTATTGAAAATATTGTATTACTTTTCTCCAGACTATAACATTTTTCTGTGCTCAAATATTAAGTTTTCAATCCCTAAAAATGATTTTGAACAGAGTTACGAGTGAAAAAGATAGGGAGCATATTATTTCTAGAAAGTCTCTAATTCAATTTCTCAAAAACCTGAAAAATAGCAGATGCATACCTGTTTCCTTTTCTGTCGCCGCGACAACTCTTCCGAAGTTTTCTTGCAACATGTAGTACGAGTGTATCACGTAGGAGGCTGGCATAACCTTCATGATCTAAAAGAAAGAATTCCTGAACATGCCCAGAAAGAAAACGGAGACTTCTTTCAAATCTGTTCCCTCCATTTTCTGTACAAAAACATGAACGTCTTTCGAACGTGTCGTGTAGTCCAGCATCGATATTCGAAATCTCTTCAAAAGACAAAGTTTTTGGAGAGAACTGACCATGGGACAACCTCGAAACACTGTTTCCCGATCGGAACCTTGGTGAATATGTCCAAATCGGATGCCTTGTCGTAGCCGAGGACTTTGCGATGCGTCAGAAAATCCCGGATGCGTTGTCGAGATTTTTCCTCATCTCCGTTGTTTGCTCGCAGGAAACGGGCCACGAAAAACGGTGAGTCTATGTTCTCAGAAATGTCCAAAGACTTTCTGAAAAACCAGTTTCGAGTTAACATTTTGAACCAAAACTTTATAAAACTGAATTTTTATCATGAACCAAAACGTTTTTTTTTGAAGAAAAAATCAAAATTTGTAGAATTTTGGAGGGCAGTTTTTTATTTGATTATTGAAAAACCTCATTTTGTGTGCTTTTGACAGAAGCTCGTCGGAAAACTGCCCAGGACTAATGAAATCATCCTGCATTTCGTGACTCGGATTTCTAAACATTTTGGTACTAAAGTTGAGAAATGGAATGATGAAAAAAAGATTGGAAATATATAATACCAATACGGGATAAATATAAGCTTATTAAATGCGAAAAAAAAGAAAAGAGCTGACCTTTAAAGCGATTTCGATTCTGAAATTTAAAAAAAACTTCAGTCACTAGAAACGCTGAAAAAAGAGTTTTTGAACTGAACATATTGAAATTTCAGTGAGCCGTAGGCGCTATTGCACTTTTTCAGACATATTTTTTTAATGAATTTTTTTAGGTAATATTCTCATAGCTTCAAAAATGAAATTAAAATGACTCCTGATGTCTGAGCCTCTCCGAAATCCGTTTTCACTAAAAACTGAGTCATCGACGGAGAATTCATTTGTGGATTTCACGGATTGCAGGAAGAAAAGTCTGATCAAAAACGGGAAAGGAGAAGTGTCGAGTAAAAGAAATGAGAAGTTGTTTCCAATTGGTAACCAGTTGGCGGTCCCAGCGCGCCGTTGTTTGAACGAGTTCTCCTTCGCCACCGATTCACGCGACCCGAAAACTGTCTTGGCCTGTTCAACGACCCGCGTGCACCGTCCGAAGCGCATCCGATGCAAAATTATGCCATCTCTGCCTTTCGTGTCAAACCAATTAGTGAATGTTCGTTATTTTCGAAAAAAAAAACAGATCTTTCACTAAAACATGCACGTAGTCTGAATAAATTGGTGTAAATAGGTTTCCTAAAGGGAATCTTATATTTTCGATTTTTTTTTTTCCAAGCTTCTAACCTACAAGATCCGAATCTGCTGAGAGTGAATCTGATTTCACTCGGAACTTCACGCTTTTTTTTTTTGTTTATTTCAAAATATTCTTCTATGCGTCATGTGAAGATTTTCAACCTGCAGGACTTACTATTGCTTTCAGCCTGTGAATTTTCAAACCTTCAATAATTAAAAAGTTTAGTTTTTTTTTTTTGCCCGTTCTTAGGAAATACCGACTTTCTCCCTAATTAGGCAGATTATTTTCTTTCTTGAAAGTTTTTGCTTTAGATTTACTAAAGTGGGACCCACGAAATTGACGTGTATTTTTTTTTAGAAAGAATTAAGCAGTCTTGTTTGACATGTTCAGCGAAATGTAGTAAAAGCTTTTTTGGAAAAATTGACCAATTTCCATGAATAAACTATTTCCTTTATTCTGGAAAGGGACCAATTCAGAAACTACAGAAGAATGTTGTCCGACTGGGGGTCAACAACCAGTGTTTGCACGGGCTAAATCTTGTTTATTTGGGTGAAGGTGATGAAGTAAGTTATGCCCTTCACACATCCACTATAACCTAAACTATTCATGAATTTCCAATTTTAGTGATGAATTGGCCTTTTTATTTATTTACACACTATTGGTAATTGGTGAACACATCGTGAATGGAAAACGAACATGAAGCCTGGTTTGACTTTCAAATTTTTAGAAGCTTTCACACCGACAAAAATTAATATGAAATGAGTATAAAAATATTGGAGCAAAAACGTATAGTTTAAGTTTGAGAATAGTAAAAGATATGCATGATCAACTGCGGGAAGAATATTTGCAGCGAGAAACAGAGAGGATTGGATCGATAAGAAGGCGTCGGATCAGTCATACGAAAATCTTGTTTCGAGGCATACCACACGGGCAAAGTCCAAAAGATCTCAAAAAGGACTTTTGGAAAAAAGGCCTCAAAAGCGCCTTTTTTCTAGACTTTTTTCTGGAAAGGGTTTCCGAGAAACTTTTTACCCTTTTTTGGAAGTCAAAAAGGAGCTTTCTTTTTGAGATCGTTTGGTTGCCTGTGCAAGGAGTTCAACACAACACCAACTTTTTTCTTGTAAAAAGGAAGAACCTTACAAGTTACAAAATTTTCAATAACCGACCTACTTTGCAATCAAAAAACATTGTGCTTTTTATTTACTGAAGAGTTTTTTGAAAAATGATCGAGTTCAGCCTCTTTTTCGATTTCCCAACGACTAGTGGCTTTACGGAGAGAAACGCCACCGTCTACCATTCAGGTGTCATACGAAGGACAAGGGTAAGAAGATTATCAACTTTTTTAAGAGACTCCAAATTTCTCTTCAAACGTCAAAAACAGTTTCTTGTTTGAGAAAAATATATAAAGTTTCTCAGTTTTCACATCTTCAACGTCTCAACCCGTTTAACTTACAAGATTCGTTTTTATACCTTTCCTTTTTTGGGTATATTTTTTCACTCAGAGAGGAACCCAAAAAAAGAAATTTACAGACTATTCAGATATTTTGTCGAGATGTCGCTTACGCTTTTTTTTCAAATATGAACAGAAAATGTCAAAAAATAAAACAGATCTTCTTTTTTTCGCTCCTGGCTGTTGCAAAGGGAGAGACAAAAGTTTCCAATCCTAATTTTCATCCAATATTTTACTAGAAGATCTTCTTTTCAAATGAACGTTGAAAACAGAATGAGGGAATCCAGGACGCCTTCGCAATCCGAAAGCTCTTTTCATTTCGCTAATGCATCGCCATGGCCTTTTGTTGGCAACAAGTCTGCCGAAAGACCTTTGGTGCGGACTGCCTTTTATTTGTTTCTAATTTTTTTCATTTCATTTTTTTTTGAGTGAATGAACTCCATTCATTAGTAGATATTTAGCTGGCAACAAAGAATAGCTAAGTTTTACAAAGGAAAACGACATTAAGCTTCTAAAAATTCTTTAAAGTAGTTTTCAAAAACATGAAGGTTTTTTTAATTGAATATTTGCAATGAGGCAGTGTTTTTGAAATGATCGGTGTCAATTAAGCTTCGACATTTTTCGGTTAATTAAGACTTACTTCCGCGCTCACTAAAACGCGGTGCTCTTTTTGCTCGGAACTTGAAATATTTCTGAATAATTGCTCTATTTTCTTTTAGTTTTCTAAAATCTTTTTATTTTTTTTATTTTTTTGTCAACGCCATTGTGCGTTGGTGTTTTTATTTTTTCACTGGGCAAGCAAGTTTTCTTTTTCAAAAGTTACATCATCTTTCATATTGATCGTTTCTGAAACAACCATTCTGACTGAAATTTTTTTAAAGCCGCTTTGGAAAAAATAAAATAGATAGCTCTCGAATAGACAATATATAGATATATATCTACATATATATAGTATAATCGAAAGTTTTTTTCCGAAATCGTTACCCTCTATAATATTTGTTCAGTTCACTTGATAATTACAGCATTGACTGATCGTTATCATCGATGCATGTGAGTGAAAGAGAAACCATTTTATTAGTTTCAATTTTTTTTTTGTTCTAAAGTTTCCCGTATAGTTGTAAAATAGGCTTTGAATTCAAATTTCAACACAAATATGTGTTTTTGATATTTTCTCATTGTTTAAGCCAAGAGGATCCAGGAAAAACCGGAGATCACAATGTAAAGTCAGAACAAGCTAGTTTTTGCCACGATTCGCGAGGTAATCCTTGCACCTCTCAAAATATCTTCTTCAAAACGTTCTTTTTCTCTCTCTCACTCTCCAATCTTCCTGTGAATTTTTAACTAAAAACTGCTTTTTAAGGACGGTTTTTCAAATAGTAGGAAAAGCTGAGTAATTTCAATCATGATTGGATATCCATTGTCGGATTATTGTCAGATTCTTTGGCTCTTATGAAACAATCCTCTGGCAAAGCTGCAGTGGCGCTTTTGAATATTTTTTTTTCTTCCTACGTCAAAAAAGGTTCATTTCGAAATGTTGCATCTTTACGGACGCCTACGCTTTTGAATTGGACGTAAAAGCTGTGAACTTTACCGTTGATGGACATCCGAAACGAAAAACATGATTCAAATGAACTATGGATTTAGACTGAAGAAAGCCGTTTGCCGACAAATCTCTAGTGTCTGAAGTTTTCACATTTGTAGATTTTGGTAGATTATCTATACTAATTTAAATATTCATACTCAATTATTACATCTTTCAACAGATCTTTCAAAAAATCTTCAAAAAACTCAAATCTGGTTTTGATTTCGAGTTTTGAGGCAGGATTGAAAACTTCAAAAAAAAATGTAGATAGGAAATTTTTCTTTATTGTTCTGAAAAGTCCCAGCAAATCTGTTGATACCAATATCACTTCAGGTAAACTTTCTCGTTTTTAACAATCTTCACAAAAAATCTTTGTCGCCAAATATATTCGTCACGCGTTTTCCTCGAGATCAACTTGTTCTACACATGTTTTGCCTTTTTTGTTACATGTTTGACTCAGTTGAACGCGTTGGGGAAATTTGCATTTGCACATCACTATTTTCAAGAGTTCCTTTTTCCCACTTTCCCTTTAACACTTCGTAAAACTTCCTTTTTTGAGTTTTCAAGTTCATTTTCATCTCATGAAGCTTCATCTGATTTGGAAACGAGAGGAAATCGTTGACACTTATTGTTGCGATGGTTTATGATATTTAATAAATTTTCATACTTATTTTTTTAGAGTTTTTTTCTATAACTTGATTTTGATTACAGGCAGATGAGTCTGAAATCGGCCTCAGAGTCGAGCGACGACTTCTACGCGAACCCATACAAAGGGGTCATTTTCGACTACGGCGAGGTCCTCTGGATGCAGTCCAGGAACATTCATGTCTACCGCCGTGAGTTCTCGAACTACATTGGGAATCCTTTAGAAAATGCTTCATGTTTTTTTATCAATTTCTTCGTATCATTCATGTTTATTCACAGTGATACTAGGGAAAGCTTAAGTGGGTCCTAAAGGGAGTTTTCCCAGCGGGCCGAAATTGAAAAAAAAAAGGTTTAGAAATCGAGGGAGACAACGGTCTTTTCGACAATTCTTTGGTTCCGACGCTTCTCAGCAAGGAGCTGGCGGAGGTTCTGCCCAAGAACTTTCATGAAGACCTACTGACCGGCGTTTATACGGCAAAAGACTTTGACCAATATTTCGTTGCCGCCTACAATCGCAAGGTTGGCTACAGCTCTTGTTCCGGTTTCCAATTCCGCTTTTCAGTATGACACGAAATTGAAGAACTTGAAGTTTTTTTCCGCCACGGAGTACGATAAAGAAGCAGCTTATGTTTGTCTAGTTATTTTTTCAAAGACAAACGGAAAAAACAGGAAGTAGCCGTCCTTCACGCTTGTTGCAAACTTAGGAAGCGCGGCATCAAAACTATATTGATGTTAGACACTTACCATGTCGACGAGACGAGGACAGGTGAGAATTCTTGATGACTTATGTCGCAAAAAGTCAGAAAAGGTCGAAAAATACCAAACATGGACATATATTTCGACCATGTTGTGGAGTCTTGCAACGAGGGATTGAAGAAACCAGATCCTCGGTTTTACATGGTTTGTTTTTTTCTATCGATTCGATTTCATATTTCAAAAAGTTCCTGCTGCCGCAAGTGGTACAAGAAAGAAAATAACAGGAAGAACCAAATTCAGAAATATTGACTGAGAAGTTTAGTCGAAAGTTTAACTCAAAATGGACCCAGAAAACCGCGACCCAATACATTATAATAACATATTTTCTGTTATCACATGTCCATAGCAACACATATATTTTTCCATTGAAACCTACGCTTTTCACTGAGAAATAACCGGTTCAAGGAAGTTTAGAAAGTTCTAATTTTGAGAACGCCACTCAAAAGTTTCTTAAAGATTCTTTTTGAAAATTTTTTTCTGAAGCTGAGCAAGTTGTAGGCAGTCCTGGAAAAGGCAGACTTACAGTCAGACGAAGTCATCTACATTGATGACTCAAAAATCAATTGCGAAACGGCTGAGATGCTCGGAATGCGGTTCATACAGGTAATCACTCATCTGAGTAAATGCATAACTAATGTATCAAAGGCCTACAACAGCATGGACATGCTTGAAGATCTTCAAGAAATCCTCGGTTTTGAACTGGACTAAGAAACAGCTCACTCGGCGGCAAGCTTTGCCGACTTTTCCTCACTTTTTTGTTTTTTTTTTCCGAAGTCTGAATCAATTTCGTTATGCACAGAAAAAATGGAATGCGGGCGCCACATTTCTGTGGATGTATATAACATTTTCGAAACTTCTTTCTCTTATGTTTAAGTTCCACTCTCTGATAAATTTTAAATCTTGTGTTTGAACTTAAAGAAGTATCGAGAAAAGTAATCATGGTCATGCGCTGAAATTCAAAAAAGAAAGGATGAGAGCCGATGCTCATGAGTTGCAAAAAATTTTTCGTTCAAATTTTTTTTATTTGCCGGAATTTCAGTTTGTTCGATGATCTTACCTTTCTATCATATCATTCATTATTGCAAATTTGCTACAAAGGTAATACTCCTCGAAAATAAAACGAACATGATTGAACGTCGAAAAATGCCATTCTGAACCAATTAAAAAGGGAGTCTGCTTTTGAGTTGGAAACACTTCTGATCTCCTCGGATCTTGATAATTTTTTCCACAGGCACTTTATAGATTATCAAAACAAGATTCAATCCTGAACATTTGTTGTCACGTTGGTTATTTAAACAAAGTTGAAGATGAGTATCGATTCTTGAAGAGAAACATCTCAAGAGATTTGATTATTTTTGCCTCAGTTGATGGGGTACGCTCGAGATCAAAAGCAGAAATGAAACCCTAAATTTGAGCCGTTAACGAGATATGCCAGGGGTCATAGTAGTATAAAAAGGCAATTATTTTCCTCTTTTGGTCACTATCTTGAAAAAAAAGGAAAAATGCTGATTCGATGTTTAGAAAAAATTCAAGGAGACTTCTTCACAAGAACTGACTGAACAAGGTCTAAAATTCAACTAAATCAGAAATGAAAAAATAATAAGGAAGAATAAGGCACTGTGGTTGGGTTGCGAGGAGGAGTTAGTAGAGGCCGCAGCCCTGGAGGTTGGCCTGGATGATCATGTCGATGACAGAGTCCAGGATCATCTGCACTTGGTTGGTGTCGGTGGCGCACGTCTGGTGCATGTAAATAGTCTTCTCCGGATTGGCGTTGAGGCCCTCGAACTTCTCCTCGATGTACTGCGTCGAGTCTTCGTAGGTCTGCGCACCTACAACACTTCCATTTCTGTCTGAAGAGTCATTTTTATCTTGGACAGTTCAATCTAGGAATATTGAGTTATTCTCATTGCAACGGGTTTTTTTTTCCAAAATTTCGCGTTGAGTTCTGTCAAAATATTCAGAAAAACTCGGTAGAGATCACGCGTGTGAGCTAGGAATATTTAAGTGAATTGAAATGTTTCTGATAAAACAAAAAGTTAAAACTTCACTTGCTCGTTTTCTAACTCACAAAGATTCCAGTGCCGTCGCTATGGAAAATCATTTGGTTATTATGGTCACCCATGGTGACGCAATTCTTTGGAGTTAATTAGAGGCTATTCATCTTTTAACACAAACACGAGATATTTCTATCACGTAGCGGAGGAAAGGATAAAATACTTTCGAAAAAAGTACTCTCTGACTTTCGAACCGATTGGAAGCTACCATACCTTTATACTCGGGAAAAGCGGTCTTGATTGACGTTCTCTTGATTTTTTCGGCGAAAAGATCTTTCTTGTTAAGAAAAAGAATCATGGAGGTGTTGATGAACCATCGAGAGTTGCAAATCGACTCGAAAAGCCGCATCGACTCGATCATTCGGTTCTGTAAACAGGTCTGGAATCCAGAATAGGAGCACTTTTACCGTGGTCTCGTCTTCGAAAAGAACTTGATCGTACTCAGAAATGGCGGCGATGAAGATTATAGCGTTGACGTCTTCGAAGCAGTGAATCCACTGCAACATGGAACAATTAATATTTTTCTGGAAAAAACACTAACTTTTTTCCTTTCGGATCTTTGGCCTCCAACGTCGAACACTCTGAATACAGTTTCCATATATTTAAACGTTCCGAATTTCTCTTAAACTAACCGGAAGTCGACGTTTTTCATCTGGAACTTGACTTCAACGATACCGGTTGTCTTTATCCTTGACAACAATATGTCCTGCTCCGTTGGATTGTAATCAGGCGCAGCTATCCGATCTACGGAAGAGAGAAAACTAGAAAAAAAAACGAAGATTTTTCAATCCCTGGAAGTTGGCCTACTGTGGCGCGCTTTCCGGCAGTTGGTACTCGTTTCCTCTTCCGATCGCGTCATGGTTCACGCCAGGGTCTTCCCAAAGAAGTTTCAGGGCCTGAACACTTTTGACTGAAAGTTTCAACCTAATAACCGACTTTCGTGAGGTCAGGAGAGAAAGCTTCAGACTCCCTTCCGGCCTTCACGACGTCAAGAACTATTCGTGCCTCATTCTGAACCAGCCAGCTTTACTTGCCGGATATAAAGAAACAGACGTCTCTGGCGGGGTTGTGGAAAGGAATGCTGAGGTTGTTCATCGCGCGAAGAATCGTGGCCATCGCCTGTATCGTGTTGTTGTAGACGACGCTGCGTTGCTGGTCGGCCTCTTCCGTTGAAAATCCGTGGTCGTGAAGAATCCTCAAACACTTTCGTCATTTTTTCGTAGTTGAATTAAACTAGGATTTTTATGTATCAAACCAAACCCCAGCTAAGCACTGAAACCAGTTAAAAAGCGAACTATTCATTCAGAAGGCTTTTAAGTTTGCGGCGTAGCCGACTTTTCCCAATCAGCCGCAGTTTTACTTCGCGCTCAGCGTTTTGCCGCCGCTACAGGCTCGAGTATTGAGAAGTAAAGTAGAGCAAATTATATATGTTTCTTTTTCTTCTACAAATATTTGAAAAATAGCCTTATTGCTAAGAAGAATACGTTTCTCACCTCATCTGTTTCAGCACTGTACTTTTTCCGCATTCACCGGCACCTGAAAAATGTTTAATAATTCTGTTAGTTTCGTTGTTGAATTCCAATAACCATAACTCTGAAGTCTGAGAGTTTTGCTCCGTTTGCGTTGTGTAGAAGCTCGTGAAAGAGAGAAAACGCAGGCATGTCAGACAGTTTCGAATGGTGGCGAACAAGTTTTTTCGCTTTTTTTTTCTCAGAGTTGATCAATCTTCCCAATGATTTTATTTGCTTAATTCAGCTTTGCTTCTCTATTTTCTGTTGTTTCGATTGTAACTAGATGCTTTCAAAATAAAATTGGACGTTTTTACCTAGAAGGAGAAGTTTGACGACTTTCTGCTGAGCGAGATGTCCCTGCATCATTTCCTTGTCGATTGCACGGCTTTTGACAGCCATCTCCTTGTCTTCAGTCGATTGGCAAAGCCCCATCTACTTTGGAACCGCCGCCTTTTTCACTGGAGCCCCAACTAGAAAAAAATTGACAAAATTAATTATTTTTATACGTATTCATCAATGTCTGAAAGGCTAGATAGCGACGTATTGGCTCAGACAAACAAAGCAAGTGGGAAATCAGAAAAAGCGAACTTGAGAGGTGCAGGTAAACGCCTGAGGACGGAATTTTCTCATAAAGAGATCAGTGGTCGCTCGGCTTAATTGTTTTCAAGCCGTGAGAGGCGGAGTCGAGCAAAAAAAGTAAGGCCATGGTTTTCGTGTGAGTGCAGGTGAAACATTCCTCGAATGGATTTTAAACGAACTGTATCCTTCCAATCTCGAAAGTGATGAAATTTATGACTTTTTGTGGGCAAACTTATTTCATTTTTTGGTATCTTTTCTCCGTTGAATACTCGGGAACACGAAAAAAAAAAAGAATGTTTTGATCTTTCTGTACTGCAGTAAAAAGTTGAATCTTTTGACGGAGCCAGGGCGTCAGTGTAAGATGTGATTAAAGACATGAAAACTATTCGGAATCCGTGAATCTCAATCACACCAGTCGGCGACGTTTTTTACGAGTCTTATAAAAGGTTTAGGACTTATCGCAATGACGAAACCTGATGTTGAAGGTGCAGAAAGAAGTTAAAAACTTGTATAAAAAAACATGTTTTTTTAAAAATATCTTGTTTACGATTCAGACTTAAAGATCGCAAAAGACAGTTTCAGCTCAACCACGATTCTTTCACATCCACGTTGATTGAATTATGAAAACATCAACAGAATTATCAATGATCGGTAAACATTTAATTGAAAGAGGAAGCGAATTTGTCCGATCAAAGTTGAGAGTATTCCCCCGGAGACCAGTAAGCTGCACGGCATCCTTTGAAAGAACTCTTTTCGACCTTCTCGTTTTACCTTTCCGAGAAGTTTTCTTTTAGACCATCAGAGCACAATTTGAAAGTCCACAAAGGTGTTACCTTCCCGATGATAGTGATGGGACTATTGGCATTGCTTTGCTCTGTAATTCTTCTATCTGAACAGCTTCAAGCCGTTTTTGTCAAAAATTATTGATCTTAACCGATTTTAAAGCCGTACAATCCTACAACCCAAATCAATTCTCAATCGTTTTGCTAGTTTTCTCACTTCCCAACAGCTACAGTAATTCAAAGTTAAAAAAAGATGAGAGACACTCTAGAATAAGCCTCACAGAAAAAGAACACTGATCAGAAAAATCAGAGAAGGCTGGCTCAAAGTTGGTGGGAAAAAAGAATAGCAAGTTGGCTTGGGTAGAGAGCAAACGACAATAAGAGAACCTGCACATTCACAAAACAAAAAATAGGCGTTTCCTTGGCGACGAGCGGCAGTTCGGGTTAAAAACGGATGAAATTCTGCCGGACAGGTAAGATTGGCCTCGCGGAAAATGGAGGTGCACGCGATATTGCCTCTGTCTATCCAAACAAGGACGGATAGATTGTAGAAGCGAATGTACACACAAGATATTCCGTTTCCCTCTGAAAGGACATCTTCTCCATCAGATGAAAATCAGGACGCCTCTGTTCATTGGATTGTATCCAAAAGTTCTGGGAATATAAAAAAAGATTGGCCTTCACTAGAACAAGACAAAGAAACTCAGTGAGTTATCAGCATTAGGAACAGAGGAACAGAACCTGAAAAAAATTTCAATTTATGCGATAACGCTTGCCGGGCTCAGAAGTTTCTAGAAGCGCAAAATATCCGAAAATTACAGAACCGATGAAAAATATGTTTTAAGTCCGCCAAGTTGACACTAATGCCTAGCGACTTTGAAGACAAAAAAATTCACACTAATTGAAAAAAAGTTCAATGAAATTTTGATTTGAAAAAGGAAAAAGTGTGGTTAAAAAAAGCGGTGGAAAAAAAGTTTTCGGAAAGCAGGTCGAAAAAAATTATTGTAAATGTTTTTTTGAAATTTTTTTATAAGAAGATTTTTCGTTAACATTCTGTTGATTTCAATGTGTTTATTGATTCAAAAATATGTTGTTTTACTTGATTTTGACCTTCAAACGTTGGATAATGCCACCAAATTTTGGAAATGTGACAAAATTTCTGAGATGGAAAAAAATCATAGCTTTTTTTCATCATAGTCGGCCTTTCAAAAATTTATTGAAAAAGATACTGTAAATATTGACAAATAGGAATACTTATCACCGTCTATGAGCATGATGGATGTCCTCTTTGAACCCCACCTCGGAAACGATTTGAATCGTTGAGGCCACCGCTTTTTGATAATAGACCAGTCTAATACCGAAACAATTCTTTGATTTTTTTTTTGAAGCTGCCTTTATCCTAAAAATTGCTCAATACAATAAATCTCCTGGAAAGTTTTTTTCGAGAGAAATTTCAAAAACGGAAAAATGACTGTGAAGATTAGAATTGAAAGGAAATAAGCAGCTGGGAAAATAACATGGTGCAAGACACGCAATCGTAGGAAATTCGGTGAAAAACGGTTAATCTGAAAAAATTGTTTTCCCCATCAAACACTGCGGTGCCACGAAATCTCCGAGAAGATGTCTTTATCTTGATGTTTTGAGCTTTATTAAGGCCCTCATTACAGAGAGGAAGAATCGGAAAAGGCTTTATTCCTAGAAATTCCAGTTGAGCTCATCCTTCTTTCTTCTTTATCACAATCGACAATGATTAAGAAGAAGGCATAATGCTGGAGGAAAACACAAAAAGTAAGAGATATGGAAAGATACGACGGTTTCTCACCCTTCAGCAAGTGAGATACTTCTTCTGAGAAGAGTCGAGTTCGCCGAAAATGTGAGTCATTAAGTGAGACATAAGTCCGCTAACATAAGCTCAAGTTTTTGGGGGGTTTTCTCATTTTCAAAAAGGTAACCTTTTGATATCGGATCCTTTTTTTCAACTCATTCGTTTTTTTAACCGGTTAAGCAACTTGCTTGTTCACTCAAAATGTTCTGACATAATCGTGTTTTAAAGACATTTATTTTATTCAAATGCGTTATATGTAACCTTTTATCTATTTAAGGCTCGAAACTCATGCAAAATGATTCTCGATATGATGCTTGTGACTTGCATGTCCCAAGAAATCAACCGAGCACCAAACAGCTTTTTTGAAAGACAGAAGACGTCGGATACGCACCGAACCAATTAAAAAAGGTGTACTTTGCGACGTGGAGAATCGCCAAGATTGTGTGACGTCAGAAAGGTAATCCTCTGTTCAGTTTTTACTGCGGAAGCAATTTAAAAGAGTTGGCCATTAAGTGATCTTTTCAGGTACTGAAAACTTTACGGAAAGCGTCTAGAAGTACTGAAATATTCAGCGGAGCCTTCTGTTAAACTGAAAAAAAACTTTTTTTTAGAACGAGGACAGAAACTTGATAAAATGCAAAAAAAAACGTAAAGAAATAATTGATAATTATCCTCTCTGGGCCTCGAGGGGGCGGGATCACGAGAATTTTGACTAAGTTTCGGTTAGAACGCGGAAGGAGAAGTGAGTCACTCGAGAGCAAAGCTTCCTTCAACCCAAACTATTGTTCCCATCAACGAGATTGCAAATACATATACATCGAGGTTTTCATTTGAGACACTTTTTCCTCTTTTATGATTGGTCACGTCGTCCAACAAGCGATTAGCAACGAAAAAGTAAACATTTTATCAACTCCAATTGTCTAGCAAAATTAAAAAATTAACGAAATCGCGTCTAGAATTAAGGTTCAATTTGGGCAAATGAGGAATCAAGAAATGAAAAAAAAAAGAGAACCTCTTTCATTATGAAACGTTTTTAGGATCACTCTCAACCTCAGTACTTACGAAAAATAAATAATAAAGCTCTAACTTTTTTTTAAGAAAGTTGTTCAGGGGATAACGTTCAGAAGTTGCGATTTCAATAATAATACTTTCCGGGTAAACTTACTGCTCAAGCTCGAAGTTATTGGGAAGAGTTGATGTGGGGCGGTCGCGAGCGCAACAAACCACAAATTATCGAAACAAGCAAAATTGGCGGTTAACTAGACTTCATCTAGAGAGAAGAACACATCTTGGTACTGAATGGTGATCCTTGAGACTGAAACATTAGACTTTCACGAATTGACCGTGAGTTTTTTTTTTCTGAGGGTTCTGAGCTGGATAATGACTCTCAATTTTCTTTTCGATCAGGAAGTGACGAGGCTACCAAGAAAGGTACTTTCACTCGAAGAATCAGAGCTCGTATGATAGTTAGTGAAAAAAAAACTCAAAATTTACACCTCATTGGCCATGACTTCAAAAATAATAACAAGTCTGTCTCTTATTTTATTTTCATCGTATAAAAAAAATCAAAAGAGCACGTAGGACATGATAATACTGAATGGAACGTGCAAGATTGTAATGTCATAGTGCGTGAGAATCTTCTACAAAAAAGTCCGAAGTCGGAGTTAGATTAACGTCCTTGGAAGCCCATTCAAAAACAGATGCAAAACCTGATACAGAAGCTGCATAAATGAATATCTTCCAAAGATGAAAAGGAAAATCGCTATGAAAACGGGCGTCATTGTTTCCAACTATTGACTTTTGATTAATTAACAGAAAAATTCAGAAAAATCATTCTTAAAATTCTTTTCCGTGAAGTCTTACATAACCTATTGTACTATGAGAACCAAAACTTCTTTTTAATACCTGTTTTCATTCGAATTGGATTGACCGAATAGAAAAGTCAAGCTCTCCTTTATAAAGTTGAGGGGAAAGAAATAATGAAAGATTTGCGCGGCGGTTCTGTGGATTGAGCAGAAACGTCGGTTGCACCTGCATCTCGTTTTTAATTTTCTGGCGACACCTGAAATTCCCCAGCGCCGGAGTTTTTCGAACTTGAGAATCGCTTCTTGGTCATCTGCTACTCATGATTTCCGTTTTTCCAGGGAAAGCTTGTCATTGAAACGTTCTCCTCAATCCTCTCCGATTGCAGTTTAGGAGTTTTGAATGAAAAAACCCTTCCTCATGCCTTTTCCGAAAAGAGAAAATCGCATGCATCTAGACTTTGATTAAACTCTCGTCGGTAGTCCCGGCAACAGAAAAGACTATTGGAGAGGTTGAAATCGGATAAAGCAATCGGTGAAATAGTTTTAAGCGTAGCCAAAATGTTAACACACAAAAACGTGGTTTCGGGAATAGGAAAAGCTGACGACTTGGATTGAAAATGGAGTTAAAGCCATAATGCGGAGGCAGCTGAACTTTGGATTGTGTTTTTTTCAGAGCCCAAGGAGTAAACCCAACCTCTCAGAAGGAAAAACGCTTTATTAACTATTAGGGTAGCTACTGGGTTCATCAAAAGTTTCTCTTGTTTGGGAGCAAACTGTGAGTTGATGGACAGTCAGTGGTTGCAGGATCGATCCTGTCCGGGAAAAGTCTTCTCGAGGTTTAAATCTCCGACGTCCATCCAGTCCTCGGCAGTTCCATGGTGTATGAACTTCTTCGGAACTTGCACTGTTACGCGCTTTTGGCATGGCTACAACTTTTTCATTATTCTCAAGAAAAGAAACTAATAGAGATGCCTCCGACATGTGACTATTTTTTCTACCAAGTTTGTTTTTTCAGAAGCTCTCCCTAATCGATTTTTTTTGAGCAATCTGTATAGTCTGTGTGCCACGACTTGAAACGACATTCCGCTGTTCCGCTGCGTGCGTTCACAAAGCGTCTTTCGAAATTTTTATTGCTGTGGGAGCACATGAAAGTAGAGTATCTTGATAGGAGAAAAAAAAAATTAAAAGCGCGACCAAGGTTCGCAAAGGCGCACAGGTCGTGGTACACAGGCTATAGCACTTTCATTATATCGAAATTCTCAAAGTTAAATTGCTGAATATTTACGGGCACGTATACTAAAATCGATAAAAAGAACAAAAAATAACCCGAATGTCGTCGTCGCAGTCGTGATAAACATATAGAACCTGAAATAACCGGCAGTTGAGAAAAAATGGTTTAAAACGAACCGGCTCAATATCAGTGAATTCGCGAGTAGTGCCGTCTAGCTGTAGAAATGAACATCAACTCATAAATCGAGAAAAAATTACCGCGAATTGTCCGTCAGAACCACTGTAGCCTTCATCCAGAAGATCATCAGCGTCGCCGGGGTCTGAACCGACGCATTTTTGGCCTCAATCAAATGCGTTGGACAGCAAACTTCTATCGAGGTCGAAAATTTTGACCTTGGCGTTTCTCCAAGGTTTTCCATCACACAGAAGACGTCCTCTGACCGCGACGCCTTGCAATCGGAAGGCCAAGGCGACGGAGATCAACGCCGTCAAAACAAACCATTTCATCCTATTATTTTCTGACAAAGTTGCGGGTAGAGAGAAAAACTGGTTGCAATTTGAGCGAATCATATAACTTTTGCGGTTCAAAACGCTCGAAAAAAACATTTCACAGAATGAAAAAGTTTATCTTGTGAAAGAAGGATCGGGCTACCAAGGTTCATTGCGCTCATCTGGATCTTCGTATTTCTCCAGCAAAGTCCTAGTTGTTCTTGTTGAACCACCCGATCTACAACGTTCAGAGATTTTTTTCTCGAAAAGTTGTGAAAAAAACCAAATGGAAACGAATAAACTACCTAGGACTAATATTAGAGTTTCTTCTGCGACGATCGACGGCTTCAACTCGTTCCTCATTGTATTTCATGACCGTTTCCAGGTTGAACACCCCAAATTCGTACTCCTTTAAAAGTTGGTTTTCGAAGTGATGACACAGATAAAACTAAATGTTATTAAACAAGAATTCTGTTAAACCTTTCGCGGATTCACAAATTAAGAGTTTCACCAACATTTTTGTTTTCTTCTCCGCTGGTCACGTAGCGTCCTGGAATGCGGAACTTGAGCTTTCGTTGTCCCGGCTCAACATTCGAACTTTTCATGATACTTTCTCAATATCTACCTTGAGGCCATCATTGCAGTCATGATGAATGGCCAGAAGGGGTTCGAAAGAGCGCTTCTCAGTTTTGCCGCTCAAAACGAACTCTCCGCGTCGGTCAGTGTAGCCCTCGTCCACCACCATTTTACTATTGAGTTCTGGAAAAGTAGTTTGCCTTCAAATGTTTAGCTTCTGGCTTTTTTTCAAAAGCACATAATGGACAGTTAAAGAATGGAAATTTTGAACACCTCCTTCGGAGCCTTGCCAAAGACGTACGCGTACTGTAGCTGCTTCGAAGTCGCCGCATAGAAGCTTTCCTCGGACTGTGACGTCATAATCGGCTCTAACTAGGCGATAGGAAAATAAAAAGACTGCGAAGGCCAAGAAAATTGAATTATATGTGGACCGATGCATTTTCTGTCGCGTTGAACGTCAACTGATAACATTGCCTCTTATTGATCAGCGTGTTGTTCTCGGTTTTTCATCATTAAAGCAAAATGTTTATGAGAGCAAGAAAACAAATGGAAAAAAAGGGAAATCAAACATCGGCGAGCTCTTCGATTTCGTTGTCCGCGAGCAACCAGTAGGTGGCCACCGTTCCTTTTCCCTGAAAGAAATATTATTTGAGAAAGGAAACGATTTTCACCTTTACGATTATCTCTCCACGAGGTTCTGTTCGATACCCGCCAATCACTTCCGTCAGAAAAATCATAGTTTCCGTTGAAATATGTATTTTCCCAGCTGCAGAAAAACTTGCAGAGTTTTATCGAAGGTTAACAATATGAGAAACATTACGTTTTCCATTGCTTTCCATCCTGCTCGCCGTATTCACAGAATCTCCGAAAAGACAGTACCTTGAACGGATTTTTCTCAATGTTCCATCTATCGAGGCTCACCTCGGCATAGTCATTCCAACCACTCCAGTGACAACAGGACCGGTGTGCAGGCCGATGCGGATGCTGATTCGTTCCTTGGGCAGGTGAGGGATGCGGAACGTCTGGATGGCCTTCAGAAGAGCGAACGACATCTCGGCGACTTCCTTCGCATGTTCGTTGCCGTTGCGATGCGGCAGCCCAGACACGCACAGGTAGCCGTCGCCGATCGTCTCCACCTGAAGGACAGAAGATGCCTTTTTTGAGTGATTTCCACAGGACTTTGTAGACGTCGTGCTTGTCGATGGTGGCGTCAAATGTAGTGTACAGGTCATTTAGCAGTGTGACGACCTGCAGAGGTGTGCATCGGCTGGCAAGAGTCGTGAAGGAGACGACGTCCGAGAAGAAGATCGTCACACAGTCGAACGTCTCCGGCTCCACCGAGACGCCCATTTTTAGCTTTTCAGCTACTTGTCTCAATTGATACACCAAAACTTTAAGATATTTATCCTTCTCTAGCAAAAAAATTGTGTTTTACTAAATCAATCCGCCGAAATTTCGACAATTATTTGAAAAGCTGAGTTCGTATTACATATTCAATTACAAAAAGAATCTCCGGTATGTAAGTTTTCGACAAGCTTCATCTCGGTTTACTGATACCTGCTTCCGTTTAAGAGGTACCTCGGAGTGCTGCTTGACATTCAAACTTTTTTTTATTTTTTCTTACCGAGGGAGCATCCGATAGAGCAGCACATCGCTTCTCTTTTTCTCTTCTGTCAGCTCTTTCATCCTTGCATGAACCTGGAAAAACCTAGTCCATAGACCTTTTGTGAGTCTCAAACCTCATCTTCTAAGTTTGATGCGTATTGTTCCAGCACATTGAAAACATGGTCCATCAGGTTTGCAGATCTGGAATGAGTAGTTGACCAAAACTGAGAATAAAAGTAACACAAAACTCACCTGTTGTGATTCAAGCTTTTTATCAAAGATCGTATTTGATCGCAGTTCGGACGGATGTCCGGCTCTTCGCTCCAGCAATCCCTGAACAGTCCCTCCAGCATGATCCTTTCAAGTGAAAAAGAAGGCACCGAACAAGAAGCGACATGGAAGAGTTGTGTTCGTCTTCGGTGTCCAAAGAAGGACGGATAGGGTTTCGACCTCCTTTTTTGATTCGATACAACAGTTCTGCAAGATTAACGTTCTACAAGATTGAATCTTTTGACTAAACCGTCTACGTCGTAGGCTTCGTTCTCCAAGTTCCATGCAGATTTTCTAGTTATTATTTCAGAGCAAATTATGGCGAAACTAAATTTGACTGATTAACAAAAGTTGATGAAATCTGGCAATGGGATTTGATTTCTGCAAAAATAAATCAGAAGCCCTAAAGTGTAAATTGCACTTTTTATGCGTCAAATTCTGGTCTTACCTTTAACTTTATTCTACAAGGTCAAAACCGGTCACGATGATAAAACATCTTTCAGAAGATTTTTTGGACAGATAATCGCTTCTTCGAATAATAAAAGGAAAAATTGAATTTCGAAAGTGACAGCCTCTTACACTCCGTGAACAAAAACTTTCGGGTAACCTGTAAATATCGCCTTCTTTGGACGGTAAAAGCGTCGGATCCCGCATGTGCTCTGGCGCAAAATGCAGGAGGTCTGCAAAAACTTCTTTTTCCGCAAGAACTTCTACTCTTTCAGTCTTACCCTGAGGCTCTCTCGACTCGAAACGTTTGATAGAGATCAGACCAAAGAAAGAGATTTTAACCTGCAAAAATGAGCTTCATTGAGTATTCTCCCGTTGAGAACCTGCCAACGCTCGTCGACAAGGCAAGTGCTAGAACTGAGCCAGCCATGTGCTCCCAGAGAAGAGTGGTGCAAGTAATGAACAGCCTGGAAATTGAGCCAAAACTAAATTTCTTAGGGGCTCAGTACCTCGCAGACGTCTCTAATCAGCGAATACTTGAAAAACCAGTCCATTTGGAGCCCTCCTTTACTGATCACGTCCTGAATATGTGATTTAAAACTTTGTGCGGAGACGCATTCATGCAATTGGATGAAAATTCAAAATGAGAAGATACCTTCAGAGATCCTCGCAAGCAATAGCGCCAAACGGACATCAGCATAGGGCCATCCAAAACGAGACCGATAAACTTGCACAGATTGTCGTGATCGATGTCTCGCATCTATCAAAAAGTTTCAAAAGTCCTCTTTCAAAGCTTGAAATATAATACTCTACGCAACATAGAATAGTCGTTTTTCGAAAAGGCGACCCGAGAAGGATGTTTCCGAGCTACGACAGACTCCATTCCGAAGAAATAAAAAGCGTGACGTTCTGTTTCCTGAGGAGCAGCCAGGTATATTCACAGTTCAATTGGCCTCACCTTTTTGGAGTTTATTGTCAGCTTTGTGCTGGTCGTTACGGAACTGGAAAACGAACGGGAACTTTGAATTGGTCCCTGAGAAATTTGAAATCGCTATAATGGTTGAGTTTTGATAAGGCAAAACCTTGAGCAACGGCTTCGTGAGCAATTCGAAGGGAACCTGCCACAACATGTTCAAGCGCTCTTCTTCCTGTCGCTTGGTTCTAAAAAAAAAGTGTTGAACTATTATTTTTCGCATGAGAACCTGATAAGAATAAAAGTGGAAATTACTATTCCTATGATGAGGACGAGAGCGCCTCCTGAGGAAGCCAAAGTAATTGGCAAATATTGTTCGATGAAGCTTTTCGGACAGTCGTCTCTGAGATAATTCCGAAAGTTACGATTTGATCATCGTTTCTACCCAGAAAATCCGCAGACAGGAACACTAAGTGGTCGAAAGCCGCCTCGAGATGCCCATATAACACTTTCCTCCACCAACAATTTTACCTAATCCGAATATCATCTTTAAATGTATTCCATCAGGTTTGTTCAGCTCACAGGGTCCGAATAGTTATCGAGATTCTCAGTAATAGATATAATCGGGATAGGGAGATTTGTGGAATCCAATATGTAGACTATAAATATTGGATTCCTAGTGGCGTTCTCATTTATGATCACGGCCCCGGAATATCCTCAAAATATATTACTAAAAGAACAGAATAACGAAAACCAACCATTGAAAGTACCTCGAGACAAATCAGAGATGGTCGTACCGGAGGGCTGTTCTATGCCTGCTGTGATGGACTTGTTCAGAGAATAGGCATAAAGAAGCATGGCGTCGGCAAGCTGTCCGACCATCGAGTCGTTCTCAAGAAGGCTGCGGATAAGCGGAAACGAGAGCAAAAGGTACGGGGCTGATGTTGGTACAGAGAGGGCAGTTGAATGGCGACGTGTTGAAGCGAGAAGCCACCTTGTCCGCAAACCAAGCACTGTTGTTATACTGATCGTAGTCCATCTGAATGAGATTTATGGGGAAAATAAATATCTTTTTGCCCACGAACAATCATGAATCGCCGCGCTGCTCGCAATGCTAACTCGTCCTTCCCGTCGTCTTCTCCCTCAGCTCCTTCATAATAAGTTGGATCTGGAACTCAAAAAGCTAGATTTTTTTTTCTTTAAAATGATACTTTTTGAAGGCAGAGAGGATATACAATTTCAATTGGGGATATACAATTTCAATTGGAAATGTTTATTCAAGGCTCAAAAAGTGCTTGGAACGGGTTCGAAAAGTGAGCGAGGATGCTGATAAACTTTATAAAAATAAAAATAAACGCAATTCGAAGAAATTATTTTTCTCTAAATAGGAACATGAATACCAGAGTTTTTTTCTTTTTTTTTGGTATGAAGCTGATTTCTTCGCCGAAAGTATTTTGAAAGCCGTTTTATATTGGGTTTCACTTCGTCATTATCTTCCACAACTGTTTTAGTTTATATTATGGTTTTTTTTTCAGTCCATTGAGCGAACTTCCCAGAACTATAAACTGTTACTCTCAAAGAGAATTTTGTTTTCTTATTTCTTTTTATTTAGTCCTAATTCAACCTTTTTCGTCAGCATTTCCACTCGCAAACCCACCAAAGCCCGCTCTGCGACCCTCCACAAGAAGCCACACATATTCATTGGTGTCGAGTCCTTGTTCAGCTACCGAAATCATCAAGTTTCTTCTTGCAAGTTTGTCCTCCATACAGACCACGACGACTTCAAATAAGATTTCGAAACAAGTTTTGAGAAACTGTCTCAACTTCTCGCAACTTGTTGGATTGCGTCAAGCGTACTTGTCAAAGTCGTGTTGGAAATTGAGGTGATCTGGCGACGGTAGACAATCGTTATGTTGGGGTTGGAGCTTATTAAGTTTTCGAAGTCGGCAAAAACCGAAGAACAACGCGGAATCAACGAACTCCTCGTTATGTAAGAAATGATGGCAATATCCTGCCAATTGTAAAGTTCTAAAAGCCGAATCAAAGACTGAGCTTGTCTAAAACAGCTTGATCTTTTGAAAATCCAAGAATTATTCTACGAGAGTGTGCTGGAAGAAGTCGACACGACGGTGGGGTATTCAAACTGATCTAGCAAGCTTGATGTCGACGGAGGACCCCAGAGAATGATGGGGAAGTCCAAATGCTTGGCTACAGTTCCCGCCACGAGTGCGGCTAAAAAGGCAACATGACCGATCAACTTAGGAAACTAACCTCGACCACATGGCGGACCTAAAACGACGTGCGCATTCGCCAAAGCATATTGGAGGACTATGTCTGCAGCGGTAGATTCATCACAGTCGCTAATTTGCCATGTCAAACTGAATTTTTTATTTTCAAAGCAAATATTCATAGACAACTTCATCGTGTCGTATGCGGGTAGTATTTTCTTGGAAACAATGTAATCCCAAGCCACGCCGACTGCAGCGGCAGTCCGACTCCAGCCGATCATCTGTATCTCCAATAGATCTGCCCGTGTCAGTTCTGCCACTTACCGAGGACAGGTCGGGGTTGTTGTCACTAGCAGCGATCAGTCCAACTTGCAATATTTTTTGGCTTGAGAAAACAACGGCCGCTAATAAAACAAGGAAAAAGCAAATATAATGGCTGAAAGACATCCCATGCAACTCTGAAAAATTTCAAAAGCTTGTCTTCGCCGTTTGAAGAAGCCCTGCAGATTTTTGAAATACCAATTCTCTCAAAACTCTAGTATTCATCAAACATCGGGAAGCCTTGCAGAAATTTCCTTTTTTTTCTTCCGTGGGATCTTTTTTGTGGAGGGTCACTTGTTGGAAAAAAAAAACAGCGAGGAAGACGGACACTTGACCAGAATGTCCGCTAAGACAGCGCTGTGAGACGGAGGGGCGGGACAGCAGACAGATTCCTTGGCGAAAAGCTCGGACCCTTTCTCACAGCTCATGATTCTTCTGCACCTCTTCTGTATCTGCCTGGCCGCCGCTTCTAGAAACTTGACTTTTCCTAGACTTCGCGATGATCCTTTCTACCGCATTGGATCTAAAGCTCTGCTGAAAAACAGGCTTCTAGATAATCTCAATAACTATTTTCCATCTGGAACTGACGAACGGCTGGAAATCCTCGAGAACAACGACGAGACCAACAAAGAGGAAAACCTCGAAAGTAACTCTATTGACCAGTCGGACGATTCCCTGGTGAGCCCCACTTCTTTTTTTCGTATCTGTGTAAACTTTTACCGGATTTTTCACGAAAGGCCAACTCCGAATTGTCGACGCCGTTTCCGACTCTCATACCCACGGAGGTCAGTCTGAATCCGCTCCAGGAGTTGCTCGCAGCCACGCCCCCGTCCATCAAACTCAGGTTTTGTTCATCAAAAACCTTCCTTTTCAGTCAACTTCCCACACTTTTTATTTGATTTGAGCGTTTCGAAAAAACACATTATTGAATTTATATTTTTTCAGAACGTTAGGGTTTCTATGAACTAAATGAGCTTCAATTTTTATTCTTTTTCTGATATCGGTTTTCGTAAGAATGATAACAGAATTTGAATTTTGGCATTCAATTGTCCTTTCTTCTTTCTTCGAGCCTTTGAAGAAAAAAAGAAATCAAATGAGGATAAAATTTGCGGTTTTGATAAATTTGATTAAATTTGATAAAAATTTTTTTTTTCAACAAATGCCGGATTCGAGCAGCTTATGTGAATCAGCAGATATGAAGGGAAAATCGGCTCACAAAAAGAACTGGACTCGATCCGTGAGTGGCGTCGCCGACTATACAGGGCGTTCAAGCATCGTGCGCATCCGGCACGAATCCTCGTCACGCCGCCTCCAGAAGCCCACCGTATGTTTGCTCTGACGCCGTTATTTGCTTGCCCGAAATTCCGCAGACAGTTTTGCAGTTCGCATCGCCGACGACCTCGTCGTGGACAAGAACCGACAGGTGCTGATCAGTCGGAAACAGCCGAGTTGGCAGACGATGCTCGCCGCCAAACGCATTCAGACTTTTGGTCGTGACGTCCAGGGAAATGTTCATAATGTTCCAGCTTCCTTCTGAAACCATTCAACTCAGGTCGTGCCGCTGTTCGGAGTCGATCCGGCCAATGTCTCTCGTCAATCATTATTATCCAATCAAGACCCTATCCAGTTGGATTTCTCACAGACTTCTGGAAAAAACTATTTTGCAGACCTTACCTGCCGCAAGCTCCAACTCGAGAGTCTGGAACGACCTATCGTACCTCAGGAGGACAAAACGTGGTCTTCATTCCTGCCGCCCAAAACTTATTCGCTTCTACTGGGACTCAAATAGTCCCTGCTCCCGCAGCTTCCTACCTCGTCACCGTGAATAATTGACATTTTAATGAAAAACCCGAAAAATTTATTAGAGTTTCTCGCGTAATTTTATAAGATGTTTGGTTCTCACTGTGGGTCATTTAGAAGTTTGAAGAAGAAGCCTCAAAAGACGATTATGAGGATTCCTGCAAACGAAGTTCAAAATTTCAATGATTCAAAATTTAAGCCTTTAATATGGGTTTTAATCTTCCAAATGTCTTTCATGAAAGTTTCGCGTTGGCTCGCGGAATCTTCACATCAGGACCCATGATCACTTTTTTTCTGAGTTTGCAGCTTCCCTCTTCACACTCCCTTTTTTAAAAATGCATTCGCACTTTTCTTCATAATTTAAAGACTTTAGGCGACTCCCGCTGTCAAATACGTAGAAGTAGTAGCCGCTACACGACCGCCTCAAATCCAGTACATTTATCCTTCTCCTCAACAGCCGACAGTCCAGGCGGCCCCAGAATACCTCCCGCTGAAAGGAGTCGCGCCGTTGCCCCCACAGACTCTGCAAGTTCGAACCATTCTGGTTCTCTGGAAAAGACTTCTTAAGGCCTTCACAGCTCCGCCCCCGGCTCCAAATATGCCAGTTTATACTGCTCCTACAGCCCCTCCTCTTCCGTACAGCACATTCGCCCCCTCTGCCGAAGAACTTCGTCAAGAGGAGATCCACGAGACGGCCATGAACAACGACGTCTGAAGTTCCTTTTCTTCTCAGTCATTCAAATCTTTCAGTGCAGCATGGGTCAATGCGAAGCGATTCCATCTGAGGATAAATGCAACAGCCTCCGGTTGAGAAATATCATAATGAATGTGCGTTTCTTATTTCGAAAAAGAAAACTTTAGGCTTCAGAACATAGTTCCTGCGGATGCAGAAGCTTCTAAAAAAGCCGTACAGAGCGCGGCAGAAGCTGAGACAGGCCAATATTTCGACGCCGTTTGCGGCACCGGCTTTTTTTCAGCTACATAGGTTTTTTTCAATTAAAAAAATTTTCATAAAAAAACACTATATATGAGGATCGAGCTCTGGGTTTTAGGTCTTACTCCACATAAATAGGAACTTCTCAATTTTTTAAGAAGGTTGACTGATACACAAACTGAAAAATATCTGCAGTAATCCAAACAGAAAAATGAAGTTTAGCCCACACGGACGAGTTCTGCCTGGCATCGTCAGGCGGCGTCAACTGTTACGTCTTTTCCCCCGTCTGCTCGTCCGGCATGGAGCTCAAAAAAGCTCGAAAAAAGATCTTTGTCAACAGAAACTAATTTTCACGGCCTTTGAAACGCTGATGCGGGTACAGTTGAATGAAAATATTAACAAAAAATTCATTGAAAAGGCGACATATATTGTACACATTTTTCTAGGTTGTCTGAGGTGGTAAAAATAGAAATCTAATCGACAACCCTCGTCATTTACCACGCATGACGACCGTCCTTCTTCTGCATGGAGCGCAAAGGCGTCCCCTGGAGGTACGGATTCGTTTTGTGCTGGAAGCCTGCGGATCTCTTGCGTCGAGGAACATACTGAAAAGAATGCTCATCGAGCCAGAGTAACAGGAGAGCTTCAACCTCGTCGCTGCTCCGTTTTTCGTGGAACTTCTTGGCCATGGTCGAACGGTGGATTCCGTTGTCTTCGAGCATCTGCTCCAACGTCTCGCCGACGCTGGCAGCTTCTTTCTCGGCGCAACTAAAACAAACATCGTTCATCGCGTGAAACTATAGTTTCTTTCTTTGTAAGAGCTCGTCGCCGAACAGAGAGAAATTGTACCTATAAACGGCTGATGGAGAATTTGACTGAGTCCTAATTATTGATCAAATAAAACAAACGAACTTGAACATATGCTCCTGATCGCAGATGCAGTGCTGATCGGCCTGATAATTGCGCGAGAACTCTGCGCTGAAACAATGCTTTTGAAGATTTTCCGCCATTTAGAAATAAAATTTTTTCAGTTCTCTTTCTCCCAAAACGCTACTGAAATTATTTATCAAAAATATATCCATAAAAATTTCCTATCAATCTCGGAAAAATCATGAAAAATTTCACTACGTTTAATAATAATCTTTTTATTAACAGACCCGAGTGAACCCTAATGAAGTCACTCGGATCTAGAACAGGAGAATGCAAGTAAAACTATATATCCTTTGAGTCTTGCGGAGTAGATATGGAAAACTCGTGTAATGATAGGATGAACAGTCAACTTTTTAAATGCTTAGGGTAGTGATCGAACTGAAGTTTGAAAGTGAGTTCGTTTGCAAGTTTTTTCCACATTTTTCTCACGCGAAATCAATGCGATATTTTTGATTTATTGAGAAAATCGACAAAGTCGTAAAAAAATTCATAACCGGTTGAAAAATGATAAAAGTTCTTTTTTTTCTTCGTTCAGAACTTTACTCAAAAGCACATTTTCTACAAGATGTTCCATTCGAAATCTGGCTTAATTATTTGAAGGGTCGTACGAATTTCATTAAAATGTCGAGACGAAAACCAGTGAACAGTGTTATTCTAGATCATGCGTCTTTTCTGCGTTCACAAAAGCTACAAAAAATTATTTCTGAACCAAACTCAAAAATTTTTTTTAATACTGTAGGTTTCACTATATTACCTTTTGAAGAGATAGTTATTAAAATAATTACAACCAGTGAAAACTATAAAAGTCATCTTCGATTGTAAGAGAAGATTCACAACTGATGCCCGACCTGTTTTCGAACTCGTCCAGACAGCCGTCTTCCTTGGTGTAACCGACTGGGCACGGGTTCGGAGGCTCACAGTAAGCCGGCAGAACGGCGTCTGACTTCACCTGAAAAATTCTTCATCTCCCCAAAACTAAAGAATAAAACTCTTTAAAACAGCTAGAGCTATAATTAAAGCTCAAGAAAAAGAAAAAAAAGCGTGTATTTATTTTTTTTACAGGCCAAAGTGGGATTAAGCTTTTCTTCAACTCAAGCTATAGTTCGTCCACCGCGACCGCGAGTTTTGGAGTGTCCGCGTCTCTCGGTTCCCTCACCGGCAAGATCAGAGACACGGTAATATAAGTGGGTCTCTAGAAAAGAGGAGGGCGCACAGAAATCCCGCCCTTTCAAGTCTCAAGAAACGAACTATAGAACAAAGCATTGTTTTCGATAGCTAAAAAATTTCAATTTTTCACCGGGATCATAAAATTCGAGCAATGCGAGCTTTCTGAACCTGATCATATTCTTTTACGAATGAAATTTCGAATATAAAAACCTCTTGCCGCTCGCGATATTCTTCTTCGCCTTGCAATTTTTGAGATCCTTCCCCGGCTCCCCCTGAAAAACTCACTCGAATATTAAAAAAATAAAACAAAAGTAGGTTTACTGACCAGAAATGTGTTTGGCGCCAAACATGGAAAGATCAGGGACGTTTTCGGCGTCGCGGCTGATCAATTCGATGATGTCGCGCGAAGGCAACATCATGTCGGGCTGGAAACAACGCCAAATTCCGAGAGAGCTCTTCTTTTTTACAAGACCAAATAATTTCGACATTAGTTCATGAGTTTTTTTACCTCATGTGGAACGCCCGGTTTCTGACCGATCGTGTTTCGATCAAATCCAACGAATTTTCTGTGTTTCTTCGGGGATCTTTTTGTTTCTGCGTTTGAGCGATTTCAGAAATCCCGAAAAATTATCAAAGGTCTTGAAAATATTAACCAACAGTGTTCAAGAATAAAACGCTTTGTCACATTTGGATCATTTTAGTCCCAAGCCAGCGGTGAATGAAGTATAACAATGATATAAGTATCCTGGAAAATTTAATCAGAGCTTACCGTCTCTAGATTGAATGCATTGACTGTGAGGAAAAAGAGTGGAACGAGGACGAGCATGGGCCCTTTCTCGGGGTACACGAGTGAGCTCGGCTCTCCACGGAACTGCCAAGCAGCCGCAGGCAATCGATCGGCGACGCCTTCATGCCAGCCGCTCATAGCCTTTAGGTGACGTCAATCTGCTCGGCCATTTCTGCTAGATTTCGGATAATTAATAATCGAACATCATACACGCGGATTGAAGGCAGTCTTAATATTCAGGATGATAACCATATGATTCACGCCCGGACGGCGAAATTTCTATTTTCTTCAAAAAGAAGCAAAAAAACACTCTGACATGGCGCCTAAAGATTGCCAGAACTTTTTCTCTGACACACAGTATTTCGTTGTTGTCTAGCTACAAGAAAACGACGAAATAGTGTAGGACACAGAAAGGTTGCTGGCGATTTTTAGACGCCCCATGTCAGAGTAATGACATACCAACGAGAAAATACGGTTGAAAGTTTAATTAATGGATGATCTTATGTAGCAGTAGCTTTTAAGACTGCCAAACAAAACGAAAAACTTCTGCAAAAAAAAATTATTTCTAGATAAACTCTCACCAAATCTGGCCTCAATTTTTTCCATTTTTAGAATCTCTTCTTTATTATGAATCGTTATATCTTATTTGAAAACAAACTTCAAGATTATACAAATTAAAATGTTTAGACGAACCAATTACTCATTCAAATTGATATTTTCAAAGCTTGGACTGGGATAACGCGAACCGGAAATACTCCGGACCAGGCTTGTGCATCAGAATAGGATTTGAAAATGGCCAGACACGCATGTTTAAGACAGTGCTACGGCGGCCGGTGGCCGGTCAATATTGCGCCGTCAGTTTCGGAGCCAGGAAATTTTTAAAATTTTTTTTCTTTTTTGCAATTTTTTGCAATATGTATTTCTCGAGGTTACAAGATAAGTCACGTCCCAAAAAGTAAACAAGTTTTTATTTTATTCCCGAAAAACCTAGCTTGACTACCGTAATACGACCGGCCGCCTTGAAGATGCGTGCAGAGGCCGACAGGCTGAAGGGCCCGCGATCGCACAATTCAGCCCCGGACGTGTCTGAGCATTACTAGTTACCCCTTTGATAGCGTCAGCCATTCCGAGTGGCTTCTAGCTAGAATCGCAAAGAAATATTGCCGAGAAACGTCCGGAGGGCATCCGGTTTTTGTTACCGACACTAAGAATAACTGCCGAGATAAACGCGAGACGCTGGCGGTATAGCTGATTCACGGCCAGCTTGGGACGTCCAGGGGGCGTGTCCTGTCTGCGCTCTCCACGAGCCAGGCGCTATCTCGTGCATTATCGTGCCAGGACCATTTTTTCGATGGCTCATGCCAGCCGTGAATCAGCTATACATTGACGAGCTCGCAAACATCTCGCATTTTTCTCGCGCCGGTCTCGCATTTTTCTGGGCGCGAGCTCGCATTTTTCTAGGCGCGAGCTCGCATTTCTCTCGCATTTTGAAAATTTCCGAAATGCAAGATAAATGCGAGGTCGCGCCGAGAAGAATGCGAGCTCACGCCCAGAAAAATGCGAGATCGCGCCTAGAAAAAAGCGACATGTTTGCGAGTCCGTCAATGTACCGCCACACTAAGAATAACTGCCGAGATAAACGCGAGACACTGGCGGTACATTGACGAGCTCGCAAACATCTCGCTTTTTTTCTCGCGCCGGTCTCGCTTTTTTCTGGGCGCCAGCTCGCACTTTTCTAGGCGCGAGCTCGCATTTCTCTCGCAATTTAAAAATTTCCGAAATGCGAGATAAATGCGAGATGGCGCCAAGAAAAATGCGAGGTCGCGCCGAGATAAATGCGAGATCGCGCCTAGAAAAAAGCGAGATGTTTGCGAGCTCGTCAATGTACCGCCACCGACCTCGCGTTTATCTCGTCAGTTATTCTTAGTGCACCGACGTCGCGTTTATCTCGTTAGTTATTATTAGTGGAAGTCCCTTAAGGGATACTTATTCAATAATTCTAATAATTCTCCGTAGAGCATCTTTGCAGGAGACCACGCTTTTCTCAGAATTTTTAAATTTTTCTCTAAATACATAGGTAAAACGGATGGTACGACAAAATCTCAAGTCCGCAAATCTCGAGGACCGTAATCTTGTGTACGCAGATCTAAAGTCCCATAATCTTGGAAACCAAAATCTTGGAGACCAAAATCTTGGAAACCACGATCTTGGAAAGTAAAAATCAACGCTTTTGCGAAAAAGATTTTATCAGAAATTGTATTCGGTGATCCAAACAGGAGAATATAAGTAGATAAAGTGCAATAAGGAAGACTAAAAGTGAAAATTTTTGCTTTCCAAGATTGTGGTTTCCAAGATTTTGGTCTCCAAGATTTTGGTTTCCAAGATTATGGGACTTTAGATCTGCGTACACAAGATTACGGTCCTCGAGATTTGCGGACTTGAGATTTTGTCGTACCATCGTAAAACGGAAAAGTTCCATTGAGGATCCTCGAAGAGAGTAGCGCCGCTAAATCCAGACGTGGGGGCTTGCCTCACGCGCGCGCCAATTCAAAAAAGTGCGCTGGCGCACAGAACCCAATATCTCCCATTAATGTATATCCTTTTTTTTCAGTCAATCTTTCCGTTTATATTTTTTTGTCGAAAGATTATTTTCGGTTAATTTCGCCATAAAAAGTGAATCGATAAAAAAATATTTGAAATAAAAATAGTCAGTGGGGTTCTTTTTTTCTTTTCGCAATTTAGTACTTTATGTCACGTTTTTGACTATAAATGTAGTTCACATTTACATTTAAAGGCCACTCGAGGTATCCATATAATCAGTAAATGTATAGAATAAACGGTGCGATAGCTATCGGAGTGCTATTCGAGAGCATACAAAGTGCCCATAAAGAATTTCAAAAAAATTTTCAAAGTACTGCTGTTCATTTTTTTCAGATTAATTTCCTCTGTATTTTTTTTCGCATAAACTGTTTTTTTCACTATAAAAATAGTTTATAAAGTTTCATTCCTCAGATACCATTACTATGGAAATGACGACGCTTCCTTCAAGACGCTCTTGTTTTTTTTGAAGACTTTCGAAGTACACAAAAAAAAACAAATATTTTTTTAGAAGCCTGACGAGGGCAGTGTGTCAGGTGAGCATCACAGATATGGTTCAAACTTCTGTGGTAGGTAGTCCCAGGTATGAGTATTGGAAAACAGAAAAAATGATCTGCTGAGCCTAAGGTACCGAGAAACAGCCCTACATCAACTTCCAGTTCATAATTTATGCGCACCCTGTACTTCTGAACTTCTACTTTCTGAAGCCCCCTTAGCCATCGCAAATGGCAATAGCATTAGGATATTAGTGGTGTTAACAGTAGTAGTAATGAAATTGCAGAAACTTAGCCTCTGTATTTCATTCATTGATTAAATGTAGCATATCTCGATGGAACGTGCACTGGATAAGCCGGTTGAACAGTGAGGTATTGTTCGTTTGATCAACATTTACTTGCCGGTATCACTATGAAGGTGAGTGAAGCACTGAAGTTGGCTTTGAAGCTTCAAGATCTCTTCTCTTTCGTCAAAATAATGCAAGCTCAAAGAGGAAAGAATTGAATGAAAAGATTCTATAGTTTCTCAGAATTCCTTGTCTTCCACCGTTATAACTTTGCTGAAGAAGTGCATAACCTCAGGTATACCTTATAATAATCGTGAATATTCCCATTTTTTTCGGCAACATCTTTTTGAAAAAGTTTTTCTGCTCTCGTTTTTTTGCCTGCACAAAAAGTAAACTGTAGATGGTCTTCTTTTTGTAACTAATAAACGGTAGCAGCGCCACTAAGGCTACCGCGAGGCTAATCAGTGGTCATTTATTTGAATCAATTTTTTGTTATAGCCTATTCCGCGCCAGCTTGTCACGTTTTTTTCTTTCCGCCAAAAAAAGACCGTATACCAAATGAAATCAAATTTCTGCTTTTATAACGGCAAGAAACAAAGGTCTTGAAGCGAAGTTGGTCAAATTTGGCCTTTTGGCGGAAAGAAAAACGTGACAAGCTGGCGCGGAATGGCCTATAACCGTGCTAAGACCTGCTGAGCTAGTTAAAAAAGGTAGCTACTCGGTAACTATTTGTATCTCTATCACGATTGACCAGTGGAAAAAAATTTGCGAAAAAACTATTTTCATTTTAAAAAAACTCGATTATTTTTTATTGATTCACTTTTATGGCGAAATTAACCGAAAAATCTTTCGACAAAAATATAAACGGAAAGATTGACTGAAAAAAGGATATACATTAATGGGGGATACTGGGTTCTGTGCGCCAGCGCACTTTTTTGAATTGGCGCGCGCGTGAGGCAAGCCCCCACGTCTGGATTTAGCGGCGCTACGAAGAGAGAGGTAAAAAGTTCCTCTAAAAGCTCCTAAAATGATGTTTTAAAAAAAAGCTTTTGTGCTCTTTTCATAGACTTACAGGATCTTTTTGAATCCGCTCGAATCTTTTCAGTTGCTTTCCAGCATCCTTTGTGGTAGAGGATGTGAAAAAAATGCCAAAAGGAAATGAAATGATATAAAAAAGATCTGCTGGGGACCCTTTCAAGGTCTTTTTTTTGAGAGAAGCTTTTGGGGAGCATTTCAGTTTTGCCCGAGTATATTAAATTAATGGCGCGCTTTATTGTTTTTCGAAATTAAGAACGCGCCTAAAATTTATGATGCGATGACATGCTTATATATCGAAAAACAAAACTGGCTAATCGTGACAAATTAAAACTTTTTTTTAAGTGAAAATATTTTCAATGGTTATTGGAGAAATGTGGCGAAGTTCATATCTGTTAAAATCTCAAATAGCAGATAATTCCTACCCGTATAAAATCAAGTTAACAATGTGTTTTTCACCGCGGCATAACAAGATGAGTATAGGAAATAAAATTGTCGCCCCATAATAAATTTGCATTTTTCAATTCTGACAATGCATAATAAACACGTCTAAAAGGCTCTCCGAATCTCTTATCAATGATTGCAAACGAATCCGCGCAGTTTTCATATGGGTTCCGCAAATCGATCGATCATGGGAAAGAAAAAAGTCGCCGCTCGGCACTGATACGTCTATTTCTGTACCAATTTTATCTGTCTAAGAACTTATACTGCCTTTTTGATAATATTTCTTTCTTCTCATTTTCATCGTATATATTCAAAAGTTTTTTCACTACTTTTTTTTGTTTATTCATGAAACAGGCGAGAAAAAAACATTGTTACCTTAATTTTTTTTTAATTTTGCGTTCTCTTTTTTACTTTTCCCTTTTTCTAATTGATAATTTCATTTTTAAGATGAACAACGGTAGTTTCTCAACGGGCAACATTTTCTCTCGTGGTCTTTCTCGCATTTCGTTGCGGAAGAAGCGAAGAGCCTTGCCGGCGAATACACTCGTCGAGCAGCCACCCGTTGATGTTTCGACGGCCTATTCTCAACCCAAACCGTTCGTTCCCTTCACTTTCACTTTTCAGAGTAAATTAGCTGCGCACTCTGAACTTAATTGAGTGTTTCCTATAGAGTTTTGAGTACTGAAGAGTGACCTCTTCAATGTAGCAAAATTCTTTTAAGACCAGTTTTTTTTCCTTTTGATGAATCACGGCAATCCAAAACGCATTGATGTGTTTGAATTCCAACCGAAAACTTTTCATTAGATCGTTTTATTTTTCCAGTTTCATTAGAAGTTAGGCGCAGACTTGTTCGCCATTTGGGTTTAGGCTGAGTTGGAAAAAAAGAGCGTTAGGGAACCTTTTTCTTTAATTAGTTTTGATGACGTCATTTTTATTTTAATTTGCCCATTTGCATTGCTCATCAATAACTGCTGTGCACACTTGTTCTTATCAGATCAATTCTTTTCTTTAATGGAAGTCGTTCATTTTAATCTGCGAATCACCTTTTCGTTAAATTTGCCGCCCCTCTAACTTTAGCCCATTTGAAAAAAGGTTTAACAATAAGATCACCAATCACCCTAGATCAACCGTAGTTCGTTATGGATTGAAATGAGTTGGAAACATGTGAGAAGAGCTGGATGAGCGTTCGTTTGGCGTAGTGTGAATGCGGACTGCGCCGGCCGCTGTTCCTCGGCGTGCCGTCGGAGACCAGCTGTTCGTTTTCACATTGTCTTCCTCTCTTCCAAAAACATTTTGAGGACAATCCCGTTATCGATTTCCTGAAAAGTTCTTGTTATTATGTTTTACTTCAGCTCATCAAGAGGGTATCAAATAGATTAATTACAAGGACAAAAAAAAATATATTTACATATTTCATTCCATGCGTATGATATTAAGAGTAAGATTAAAAAAATTTTAATGAAAGTGAGATTAATAATTTCCTGTTGAAACTTTTTTTGTTAAAGCTGAAAATGATGCAGAATTTATTTTTTTAATGCATAGGTCGTTCTTTAAACTTTAAACTTTTTGTGATTGTCAGCTCAAAAAAACTTTTTCTCATCAAAAAAGCTGTGATTCTCTGAAAGTTTTTACTGAGTTCTAAAAATAGTTCTAGTCAGTTCTTCTTCGATAGTTTGCTTTAAATATTATAAATTGATATTTGTCTGAGTTCATTGCAAATTTCAGTTAATTTGAGGATTTTCAGGCCCCTCTTGACCCGAGGAATGGACAGACTGAGGAGGTCTCTGCGACTGCCACGACGCCGCGAACGAAGTTCCGAACGCGCGACTTCAGAACTGAGTCCTCAGGCTTCTGGGGGCAGCAAACAGGAACAGTGGCAACCTGACGAGAGCGCCGTCCGCGCCGGTCTTTGCAGCTTTCACGTCAAGGTTTTTTGAATCTGTTTCTTTGCTTCTATATTCAAAGAAGGTTATTTTACTTTGTGGTTGAGAACTTCCGGGAAAGTAGAACCGAAAACACTTTGATGTGCCCGATGAAGATCCTGGAAGTATCATTTTGCAGAAATACCTAGTTTTTGAGAGAGTATGACTTTAGTCCTGCGAAAATTCATTAAAATGTGCTGTATTGAGAAAATGGAGTCTCTATTTCTCAAAAACCAGAAAGTTGAGGTTCCCAGTTTTTGAGAATTGAGCGCTCAAAGTCTCGAACAGGCCTATTTTAACTGCTTTTTAGGATCATCTTTTTTCGAGTCGTTCTTTCTCAGGAGCTAGGAGGTTAGTTGGGCATACAGAGATTCTCTGAAGTTTTTTTTTTGGGTACGTCATTGAGCGTTCTGACCAACTTTCAGGAAACTCCTAACCGCAAAGTGAAATGACCCACCGTTTTAATAAGTCATAAATTTAACCAAAGTCAAAAATCTATAAAATAAACTGCATTCTCAAAATCATAAAAAAATAATTGTACAATGTTTTTGTACAATAAATCGAACATCTCGTCATTTATTTTCATTTCAGACAAAACATCTCATTTTTATTGACTTTTAGTATCTGGGAGCCGTCGAAGTTTTTGAATCTCGTGGAATGCAGGTGTGCGAAGGAGCTCTCAAAGCTTTGAAGGTAATTGTTCGGAAAAAAAAGCCTCAGAAACTATTTATTCTTCGCGGTTTAACTTCCATCTCCTCGTTGATATGTTTCTTGAAGAAGGTTTTAGACGGCGAGAAGAAAACCTGTGAAAGCCGTTCTGTATGTGTCAGGAGACGGTTTGCGAGTTGTCGACCAGGAAAACAATCGCGGGCTTCTCGTTGACCAAACTATAGAGAAGGTTGTCATGCCGAAAACGCCAAGAATTTCACGTTTTTCTTACGATTTGAGGTATCTTTCTGCGCCCCAGATCGAAATAACGCCAGAGGTTTTGCATACATTTGTCGCGATGGGACTTCGCGTCGCTGGATGTGTCACGGTTTCTACGCCACGAAGGAAACTGTGAGTTTTTCAACTTCCTCTGTACTTTTCAAACTTATAAACTATGTTGAACCGCTCGAAAGAATTTCGTGATATTTTTAAATCTATCATATTGAATTCTTGGAGTTTGTTGGACAATAGTATTATCATCTAGCGAAGCTTTTAGATGAAATTCTCGGAAAAGCCTTGAGAGAAACAATTTTTTACCCAAACGCTTCTTTTTTTCTATTTAGACAAAAAAAGCTAAATAATATCGAAGTAATTTGGACTATTCGTTTCCCAAGAGACTAATTAAATGCTTCGTGAAATAAATTCAAGCTGTGGAATCCATATTTTTGTGATGAGTTTGTCAGGGAGAACGTCTTTCACACGCTGTCGGATGCGCCTTCGCCATTTGTCTCGAAAGAAAGAAGAAGCGCGACGACGAGAACTCTGCGGTCAACTCCGAAAATGCGGTGAACGGGTCGCGAATCAACGCCGACGCGGCTTTGAACCCGAACTGGGATGACAAATCGTTGGTTTCTTCATATTCCTCGGACTCATTTCGGATTTATAGTTTGGACCAAGTTTCTCAAAGGACAAATCCTGCGTACCAGTCTTTCAGGAAACAGATTTCTATAAGTGAGCGGTTACAAGTTGGTTTCTCATGAGAAAGTAGTCTGTACCTTTTGATCAATAGGATCCACAGTCGGCGATAGTTAGTACGGCTCCGCTGGCGAGGAATAACGCAAACTCAGAGGTTAAGACGATCGCAAAACCTCGTCCGACGGCCAATCCGGCCCTATTCCTGAGACAGGTCTCGAGATTATAAATACTGGCCTATCTTTGCTCTGCAGGGATCTCTGCGAGCTCCGGATCCACCCAGTAGCAGTCACTTCGCCCGAAACTATTCACTGAGAGGCAATCCTGGGTCTCAGACTACATCTTCCGCAAGAATGGTACATTTTCTTCTTTTTCTAAAATCCTGAAGACAGTAGTCCTGAACATTTTGAAGGTGAAAGAAAAATTGTCGAGATTAGTTGTGAATTCATATTCAACTGACAACCCTGAACAGACATCCGTGTTCCTATTTTGGTTGTTTCTCAATGATTTTGGACCAAGTGACAAAGGTCAATCGAGGTATCCATACCGTCAGTTAATGAAGAGGATACGCGCTGAGATAGCGATTAGAGTGTTATCCGGCAGTATACTTCTGAAGCTTCCTCGCAAGTTCAGATGGTATGGGGATAGTATCGGAGTGCACACAAAGAGTAGTGAAATATCAGAAAGTGAGACTCTGTATCCTGTTTATAATTGATCGTTAGCGAATCGCGACTGAACCTGAGAGTGCACTTTTTTCGCTTTCTATGTGGATACGCAGGAGCTCCTACCTTGAAGGGATATTTTTTTGCACCTTTTTTTTCGTAACTATTTGAGACATATTTTTGTTAGGAAATGTTCTTTTAAAGGATGTTGCCAATTGTATTTTAACGCAAATTTGTTTTTTACAAAGCTTATTAATCTAATTTTTAAGATTTCTCCCTAAAAAAATGCGTTACGATAAAGCTTGAAAATCGATAATGTTTCGATGAATAACGCATTCCTGCCAATATGGTAGGCATTAGATGTGATTTTTGTTCTTTTTGACTTCAAAAATGAGAATAATAGAGATGAAATTATAAAACTTTCATTAAATCAAAAATCTCCTACCACCTAGCGTAGCAATTAACAAATTAGGCGCAGACTTGTTATTTTTCACATCATGAAATATCTCTACGATTCTCATTTTTTCTCAGTTCGCTCAGCTTTGGTGTTTTTCTCTTTGTGCATGTGACTGTCCATAGTGACTCTATTCTTTTTTTTGCATAATCTTGAATTTTAAAAAGGCCTTTTGGTTGCTCTTTTTCTTTTTTCCGTTATCGAAAGGGCCATGCCAACCTTCCTGCCGGTTGATATGGACTACATCCGCATGGCAGTCCGTCGTGTCGGCGAACGAGCTCGCGGTGGCGTCTCCAGTCGCGTCCGCGACTTCCGCTTGATGTACTCTAGCTCACGTCTCCGTTCCTACTGCCAGATCGCCGAACGTGCCTCTGAAATTGATGGCCGCGATGAGTATTACCCTGCTTATTTCCTGCCTTTCAATGCGAATCGCGATTCTGACGAAGACTTCCTTAACGTCTTCTGTAAAGACAGAGTCTCCTGTCAGCAGCAACATTCTGAGATCGTCATTGCAAAACTTTTCAAAAAAGTTTTTATGTTTAATTTGTGTTTCTTGTGTGTTTAATTCATCAATACTCACTTATTTTCCAGTCAGACACTAGTTCCGATTATCGGATTTATTCTTGCTCAGCTATTTCAGGCATTTTCTGTGAGGCACTAGAAGTTGATTTTTTGAAACCCGTTTTTTTTTTTGTTTTAACCACTTTTTTAGAGACACTCAAAACTTCTGCGCTGAAATATATTTTTGTTTTAACTTTCTACAGAGGCGTTTGTGGATCTTCATTTTTTTCTTAAAATTTCTAGAATTTCAAAAAGCAGTATAAACTTGGATAAATTGAATCTCATAGGTCTCCAATAATTCTTTCAGATACATGGAAAGCCGCTGTATAATGAACCGATCTACGAGGGCGACGAAGATCCGCTCAACCTGGGACTTTCCAGCAGCGGCGTGGGCAGTTCGACACAAATGACAAGTTTTTCGAAGAATGGCCTCGAAGGGCTGGACCTCCTTTCGTGGGAGCTCCAGACTTCTGTCTCGGCTCTAAACGCCGTTCAGCAACCGTTTGCTTCTTGGAATGGCTCTCCCTCCCATGAAGTCCTTTCTTCAACGCGCTCTAACTCTTCTGAGATACTGAGGCAAGCTATTTGCTGATTTTCTTCACTGTTATTTTCTGTTTTCAGACTGAACGAAAGACTTGATAAAAGCTGGACGAACTCCACGTTAAAGTCTAAGGCGGACGAGTGGCTGGAAGACGTTTTCCAGTCAGCTCTTACCATTTCTCCTACAAACTCTGCAAAAGTTGGTCTTTAATTTTCAGTTGTCTTTCAAATTTATAAAAGTCATATTTTTCATTTATCAGCCTAGATCATTGTTCTATATATCCATATTTCGATTCAAAAAAATTTTTATAACATGAAAAAGTCCTAGTGCTGAAAAACCATATATTAAAAAAAGTTTTTTTCCCTTATAATGAAACTTTTTTTGTCGGGCGTCAGAACTCTCATGTAGCCAAAGAAAAAAAGAAAAAGCACAAAGGAGGTTTTAGTTTTATTAAAAAAATTTCTCATTGTTGGGTTTTTTTCAGAAGTTTCCGAATTCCTTCGCTTTTTTTGTTTTTTTATTGAACCAAATAAATGCAAACATTTTTTTCTTCTTCAGTGAAATATCTCTCAAAAAAAGCTTTTTTTAATATTTTTTTCCCCCTCTAGATGAAGCTTCGAATTGTCCTTTTTCGAATGTAAAAAAGTTTTGATTTTTTACAAGACTTATTTATTTCATCAACTCATTTGTGAGCAGATTCTCAAAGAACTCGCGAGAGAAAAGTTGATTTTGAATTTTGATTTTTTTTTTAGACAAATTTTTATTTTATAGTATTCTTGATTATCTCTTCGCCTGACTTTTAACATGAGTTCAAGCCCGGTCGAGACGTTTTTGGAATGAAAATTTTATTTCATAATACATTTCCACTTTTTACTGTTTCCATTTTTCAGACAAGTGTACATTCGACACCATTCAATACCGCTGCGAACAATTGTAAGAGATTAAATGAGGAGAATATGACTAAGTTTCTTCTCTCAGCTGTTTCTCGCTTGGAAGGCAGCGGTCCGCCGCCGTCGCAGCCGCCTCCGCCGCTTCCCAGTCGCCAGGCCGTTTCCAACGATTTCTCCAAGTTGGAATCTAATGGAGCCGGTCGCTGCAACGCCTCGCCTTTCGATCGAACCGTTTCTCAGATCTCGGTTAGAGCTTAAAGTTGTCTTCTGTAAAATCTGTGTCGCTTGCCAAACGGCTGTTAAAACGGTTCTTTTTTTTTTAAGATATAGATTTCTATGAATACTCCGCAAAATTTTTCTCAAAATGTGTTTTGCAGAAGATGGACGTCTTCGGACAGGCGGTCGCCTGGGACGTCGCTCCGACAGCTCCTGTTCCCAAGCCAGCCGATCCTTTCGATGTGCAGTGGAGCCGCGTCGCCGTCACCGACAACCAACGTCTCATCTGAGTCTCCCTTTCAATTTTTGGCTTCTTTTTCCGTCGACGAGGTACTATCCACAATTCCAACGCTTGCTTCGCCTATGCTCTTTCTATGCTTGCCGGTCATTCTATTTTCAAAGTTACTATTTCTCACTAATATTGCGCCTTTACAGGGTCAGTTTAAATTCAGATTTATTATAGCTCTGCACTCGATTGTTAACATCTCTATCCCAGTTTAACTGTACAGGTCAACAACCTTTTTTTACTTTCTGTAACATCATATTCTTGCTTTTAGGATTCAATCGATTGTAATTATGTTGTATTTTTATTGTAATAATGTTATTTTAAGTTGGATAATATCAAATGTTTTCCAAAAGCTTGATATTTTCAGAGGGCTATACTTTCCCAGCGAATAAAGTTTGAAAGATGATTTTTTTTTTCTGACTGATTGCGATCCTGGGTAAACACCACATAAGTAATTGGTCTTCATACGACCGCCTGTACTAATCTGCGTGCCACTTACATCAACCAACATTCAGGTTTTAATAATTATGGAGGAGCAATTCTCGGAGAATGCACGAGGTTAACTTAACGTCGTTTGCGATTTAATTGGCTATTCAGCTTTTGGATCATTGAATTTTTTAACGACAGTTTTCGAAGAACGTAGCGAAGATATTTCCAACTTGAGACAAGAAGTTTGTTTTCGCCGCTTTTCTCGCCAATTTTTTTTTTTGAGGTTTTTGTTCGTGAGCAAAATGTCCCGGTTCAGTTAGAATTCAATGATGAAGAAGAGCGAGCTTCTCTATATTTTGTCTGTTATCACGGTATTGCACTCACGTTTATCAGAGCTACATTTGATGCTCAGGGTCGAAAATAGTGGGCTGCATTCGATTAAGAGAAATAAATCAAGTCCTCGTGAAGCTTGAGCGCGTAGCTGTACTTCAGGTGAGATTCGATGAAAGATTAATTTATTAATCGTTTTTAAAAACTTGTTTTTCCTAATCTTTTTTCCCTCGTTTTTCCTAATTTTTCTTCGCAATCAGAAAGCTTTTCTATCATCTATAATAAAAAAATATTAGATTTTTCACTTCTTGGAATTTCAAATTAATCTGACTAGGGTATGGTCTCCCCTGAACATCGAGTTGAGAATTGAGACTATGTGGGTTTGATAGCCCTAGGTAAGAGTTCTCGGATTCAAAAATAAAATTCTGCTAAACCCCTCAGGCAACCGAGGAAAAGCTCGTCGAAATTTTTCCAACGCGTATATCCCCGCGCTCGGAGTCTTCGGCTAGCAACTGGCGGCGTGGTGTAGTGGTAGTGGTTTCTCGATTATTTTGAAATTTGAAAACTTGTCAATATTGTGACCAGGGTTCGAATCCTTTTAGCGGATATCATTTTCGCCGACTCATAACTTCATCATTTTCATATTTTTGAGAAACTTTTCATATCATTACACTTAAATTTTATGAAAATGACAATAAAAAAGTATAATGATTGCAAAAACTCATTCTTAAAAAAAAATTTTTTTTTGAGTGTACAAGGTTAAGGACAACCACCTGAACAAAAAGATTCCGTAATATTTTTAAATGTGCAGAAAAAAGCGATTGACCTCCTGAATTTTTGAATTTTGTATTTTGAATTTTTTTCGATTAGATTGTTTCTATCAGCAATTGTACAGAAAAAAAGAAGTAGAAAAAAATAGTTTTTTTGCAGTTATTTTTCTGTTGTTTATATTTTTCATTTTCATAAATTTTTTTAGTTTAATTATTTGAAAAATTTTTCTTAAAAATTATGAAAATGATGAAGTTATGAGTCGGCAAAAATGATATCCGCCAAAAGGATTCGAACCCTGGTCACAATAACGACATGCTTCGAGAGACCACTTCGAGAGACCACCACTATACCACGCCGCCAGTTGCTAGCCTAAGGCTCCGAGCGCAGGTATATACGCGCTGGAAAAATTTCGACGAGCTTTTCCTCGGTTGCCTGAGGGGTTTAGCAGAATTTTATTTTTGATTCCGGGAGCTCTTACTCAGGCCTATCAAACCCACATGGTCTCAATTCTCAACTCGATGTTCAGGGGAGACCATACCCTAGTGAGAAATTCAGTAAACTGTGTCTTACCAGAAAGGTAATTTCACTTTTTCGGGCAAAACCTCCGAAACTTGTCAGAAACTATGCTTATCCTATAATATTCAACCTACACAGCTTTCTATGCCTGTTTTTCTCGATAATTTTCGGTCGTGTGGAACTTCGAGGCATTCGCTCAAAAAAAAACTTTTTTTGGACGAGCTTTTCAGAATCTTTTTTAACATTAAGACTACTTTCAAAGCGTTCTCGAGTTCCGGAAATAAGAATCTTTTTTCTTTTGTTGTCACAACATCCATTGCTTTGTTTAAAATTCATTATATAAATTTCTTTAGTCGCGTATTTAAGAATAGAGATGGTAGGAAGGAATTTTGGGTTCCCGAATATTCGTGAGCGTTAATTGTGCATACACCAATCTTGGAGGCTCGAATCTTTGAAAATTTGAATCTTTGCAAACGATTCTTGGGAATATTCACCTCTTTTCTGATTTTTTATAATTTTTCCAATGTTTTTGTTAACAGAAGTTGATGGAGAATATATACAGAGTGCTTGAAAATGTGGTAGCCGTTCTGCAGCGAATATTTGACTACGTGTATGCGAGAAAGACGCATTATTTGATAAAAAGTTGTTTGAAATAAATTATACAGTGTTCATTTGTGGTCGAAACACGGCATCTTCACAATAAAACGACAAAGGAAAAAAATGTAAGAAAAAAAAAGCAGGAAATTCAAAAAAGAGGGGAATATTCCCAAGAATCGTTTGCAAAGATTCAAATTTTCAAAGATTCGAGCCTCCAAGATTGGTGTATGCACAATTAACGCTCACGAATATTCGGGAACCCAAAATTCCTTCCTACCATCAGAATAGATTTTATGAGTTTGCCTGAAATTCTTGCCTTTCAGGAATATAGAAGGAGAGGGATCGCTCGCCAACTCATAATAAATGGGCTCAAGTTCTTCCTAGAGGACCGGCGCAATTCTTTGCTCTACGCTTTTGCACAATCTTCAGCTATCCAACTTTACCTGAAGCTAGGGTTTGTAGTCCTTTTGACTAGGCGTTCAGTCATTTTCATGTCTTCAGGTTCTCAGTTGTTTCGGAAAAGTTCGAAGAAGAAGGCACGGACATAGATCATTTTACTATAGTTTTTCCATTAGAAAGAAGACTTCGAAATTTTTTGATAAAGTACTCGTTTTTTTTTTACTTTTCTGCGGTGAGGAAGGTTGATGTCGTTTTCAGCGGTCGACATGAGTTCAAAGATTATGAGAATAAGCCTCATTTCGAGATTCATGATGAGGTCGTTGTCCAAAGGTTGCATAAACTTTTGAAGCAACAAGAAGTTCCGAAGAATCGAAGATGTTATGATATGCCTTCCTTTTCAGTCGCTGGAGCTGTTCAACTTCTGTTCTCTCCCTCTTCTTCTTGACAGCGATATCATATCGGGAACTATTTGTTCGCGCTTCGCCAACTACTGTTACCTAGCTAGTACTTTCATGCATGAACATCGAGAAAATATTCTGGGTTCGAAGAAGTCGAGTTTTGAGCTATTTCTTTTTTTCAGACAAAACTCTGCTGCAGAAAATAGGTTCAGAGGAAGAATTTCTATTCGGTTTAGCCAATGACAAATTGAACACAGGTTGAAATGTTTCAATTCGTTTTCGATGTGTTTTCAGGTCATTTCATGAACGTAGAAGAAAACTGGAGAGTGTTGTTTGGAATGATTTCCTTTGTTAGCGCATTTCTGCTCTGGAAAATCGATTCTCTGGAGGTTTGATAGATTCATGGGACTGTTTTTAATGACTTGCAGAAGTCGTTGGAAACAGCTGATAGGGGACTTTGCATGGGTCGCGTGAATGAAGAATTCGTCCCGCTGCGATCACTTGCTGAGAAAATTCACGATATACTTGTTACCGACCAAAATTTCTCCATTCATCCCGAATATATCGAAAAAGTCGGTTTTTTGATATCGCTACGAACACGAGACCTGAATATCCAGAGAGAGTGCGTTCCGCGCGAAATAGTCGCGTTTTAAAAGAACAGAAAAGAAAAAGCTACCGTAAATACAACATTTTTGGTATAGGGCAGAGGTGGAGGATGGCTGCCCTCTGGCCGCCCTGCCTGCCAAGCCATAAACGCCCAAAAGGCAGAAATGACTTTTTCAAAAGTCAGCGTGGCGCGACGGTCATTTGTATGGCGATATCGCCCTAGCATCTAAAAGCGCTTGTTTTGAGCGATGTATGAAACTTTTTTACTAAAACACAAAAACCCGAAAAAATGGTGGTAGGAAAAACAGATCAGCGAAAACTCGAACAACGATTTTTCTGACTTTTTCATATCGCTAGGGAGCTTTCCGACTAATCCTTTTCAACTTTTTTGCTAAATAAACTTTTCGTTTTGAATCCTCCCATATAAAGTAGGTATTCATGATTAAAACACAAAACAGTAGTCAAAAAAATGTTTTATGACTACTTTCCCCCCTTTTTTCTCTTTTCCTTTTTTCTTCCCCCTTCATTTCTCAGTTTTCCCTTTTCAATTTTTCAAACTTTATTAATTTAAAACTGCGCCTAGGTATAATAGCTAAAAACCTTTTATACTTTTTTGATTTAAAGCAAGAGGGTAAAATGCTGACGATGGGTCACCCTCTAAGCCGTCCATTTTTGGGACGCGAAACGGCTGCGCGATATAAAATATTCTCATCTTTAAACCCTTTCTCCTCTAAGAAATTTCAGAAATCCTAAAACCTTTTCATAGTAATGTCCTCCTCATATGTATTTTCTCACCCTTCATATTGATTAAACACACTGAATTAGGTACCGAAAAATAAAAGGGAAAAAAGTCGGGAAGGTGGCCGTCGGAAAGTTCCCTAGCGATTTGAACATCTCAAAATTTTTTTGTCGAAATAGTTCTCTAGTGAGATTGAAAAGGTAGCCTTTTGACCCGTTTCAGTGACAATTCCCTGCTGAAATAACTGTTACAGTAGATTAAAAACGTTAACACGAAGTTGCGAAAAAAAAAACAATTCAAAATTTACAAAATTGATAATGATTAGTTCAGGGCGTTATCGCCACGTACTTGACCTAGTTGCCAAAGACCACGTAAATTAATGGCTCATTTCTATCGTTTGGCTTTTTGGCTTGGCTTGGCCGCCAAGCCAAGGACTGCCTTCCCAATCCTCCACCTCTGGTATAGGGTGTTTTTGGCGGAAAGAAAAACGTGACAAATCGAATAGGCTTTACTTGATCACAAAATGATCTGTGCGTTCTTTTCGAAAAATTTTGTCCGGCTTTCAGATAGACTCCAATTTTTCGTCACAAAACGCTAATTTCATTTCACTAGGGCTCAAGAATTTTGATAATAATATTCAACGGCGAAGCGTCCCGAATAATTGATTTTATCATTTCTCTAGCCCTTTGAGGTAAAAAAAAAAAAGAATCTTGAACGGACTACATAGATTAATACATACTATATAAATTTGATTCAAGAACGAGGTCAACTTCGATCTACGCCCGCTGGTTAAATCTAGGGGGATAAAAGAAATATCATCCGACGAAGATTTACTCGAAGCCCCGATTAAAGCCTTGATTGCTAATGAGCCTCTAATCATTCGGAAACTGGCTGTTAATTTCCCCGCATTTTATAAATGGAGGTGCGTTCCAAACATTGAAATGCGTCTCACCGAAAAAGGGAATTCAAGCTTCGATTATCTCTGCACGAAGCTTTACAACCGAACCATTCCTGTGGAAATTGGGAGCAAATACTCGGACGAGGATTGGTCTCAGAGGATGATGAAGTTTTCAGAGTTTATATCTACTGCACCGGTTGGTTTGCAGGGGCAGTTATGTTATCGACCTTTTTTTCTCAGGAGAAGAAATATTATCTTGCACAACACCGGCTTCTCGACCAGGTACCTTCGCTTAGAAAAGACATCCCGACTCCTGACATCAGCCTCGCGAACGACGATTCATGCGTTTGTGTTTTTCGAATGGTTGCTTGAAACCTTTTCTGTTTCAGGCCGTGGATGTGAATCTGTGGATCGGACCGAGCGGAACTGTGTCTCCTCTGCACACGGACCCCAGACACAACATGTTCGTTCAGGTAGGAAGCCTGATTCGAAGTCCCGGAAAAGGAATCTACGTGTTTTCAATCTTCAGAGTTGGCCATATGGCTTCAGGCGATTCAGAGAAAAGGAATTAGATTAAAAGCAGACCTATTTTCTAGATTCGAGGCTCCAAGACGCTGAGATTGGTCGCACCAAAGGACTCTGAGGGAGTCTACCCTATTGAAGGAATGTTGTCGAACACGAGTCAGGTACTTCCGGAGGCTTCGCCTTATTATTCAGCCATGAACCAGTAGAAACTTTTGCTAGTATATATCTTTAGAATTTGAAGTCGTTAAGGAATAAAATCTTTAAAAAATGTCTTTAAATGCTTAGGTAGATGCTGAAAATCCCTCTTTGGAGCAGCATCCGAAATTCGGCGATGTGGAGGTGTTTGATGGAATCGTGGAAGAAGGTGACGGGATCCTCCTTCCGAAAGGCTGGTGGCACTACCTAAGATCAATATCCCCCTCCATTTCTGTTTCTTTCTGGTTCGACTGATTTCTTTCAATAAACGTCAATAAAAACCACTTCTTTTCGTCATTATTTTTGTTTACTAGTCGATAAATTCTTTTTCATTCAATAAGTACGCAAGTAATGTGTCCACAAATATACCTCTCAAAATGGATCGTGAAGACCCCATAATGTGTCCATCGTGAGACCTCCGGCATATAGACTATTCACGACTAGCTTGGGACGCAAAAAGGCGTGGCCTGTCTGCACTCTCCACCATGGTGGTACCAACCAGGGCACTTTCTCGTCTCTTTTCGTGGCAGGACCCTTTTCTCGATGGCTCAAGCCAGCCGTGAATCAGCTATACCTTTTTAGCTTTCTCTGAGCCATCTCGGAGGTACTTGAGAGTCAACCTCAAGTCTATCTCAATTCGCTCAGTCCTCATACTCGAGGTACCATCGTGAGACTTCAGAGCCTGCGTTATACTTTAGAGGGTATCGCGACACCTTTTTTCGATTTGCCTATGTAAGGACTTGAATATTGAATTGTTCAGAGCGGGAAAAACCTTTTACAAACTCTTTTATTTTAATTTTTATTTGAATGGGAAATGGGTATTGTTGAGTTTAACCCGTTAATTTTTTTTTAACCTGATCATCATGATGGGAAGATGCGTGAAAGTGGAAGAGGCGGAATTCATTAGCTTATTTGAACAGAAAAAGGCGAAAAAAATATAATGACACTCTAGCCTTAAGCGCCGTGCACGTGCACGCGCCATCAGTA